ACTGGTACTGCTCAACCTTGCGTGCCATTGTAGCCATTTATGATCTTTGACAGACCATCGTGCGCTGTATTGCGATGCTGTTGGTGATGTCAGTTCAAGATACAGATGGCATTGATCACGACTTCAGCTGAGGGAGCGCGCAGGAATACGCCCCAGGTTGAATACGGCTAGGCCGTTGGTAATAGTGGCTTAGACCACTCCGGATCTGTCATGATTTCAACGAAAGAAGTGCACTGACGAGGTGATGTCAAGAATCATCAGCTGATCATGAAGTGGGTTGAATGGACTTGTTGAAGCCCCAAACTTGTACGTCGGCTGCCTATCTCAATGAGCTAAAACGACGATGACGATCTGGGACCACGCCTGACCAACTGCACAAAGGACAGGAGACACTCCGCAAGAGCCAACTCGGGGAGGAACTTCATGCTCTGTGGCTGGTTGAAGAGATTTCCGGTTCTGAAAGCAGATACAGTGCCACTGCCTGGCGAGTGAAAGTTTCCTTGGGGAGTTGAGAGTTGAAACTAAACTTTTTCGGAACGCAATGCCCCTGGAACTAGACACAGACTGACCAGAATCTATGAGATGTGAGCCGTAGAGTCTTTCCGATGCGGGAGTCTACCCAGCTGTCCACAGCAGTGAAGCAACAAAGACCTGTGAGCGATAGTTGAGCAGCGCTACCCAGGGAACTGACAGGGCTCTTCTCCAGAATGCTTAGAGACAATAAGGCGCAATAATGTTGGAGGAGGCGAGGGAACGTGCTTTTAGTAGCTCTGTGGGACTCGTGTTCTTGCCTTCTCCAGGACTCTGGCACGCTTCTGAAGTATGTCAAGCCTAAACTGGTTGGAAACAAAGTCAACGCAGTATATTGGAATCGTATTGACTCAAGAAAATGGTATCTATTACGGGGATGGCAAACCAATGCCTACCATTGTCTCCCGCTGTAATACATAGAGCTGGCACTAGTGCTAGCTGGAATCGTGGACTAGATCGAATCAACCCAAGGTTGTCCTTCAGTATACTTAGCGAGACAGCACATGTATTGATCTGACAATGGAGGTGCATTGTCAACGTAAAATGACTCATTACTGGCACTCCTGCCGGCGGAGGAGGTTCAGCATGAGGAAAGAAATTCAAGAAGCAAGAGTTGCCAAAGAAGATCATTGGCCTCTTGGAAGACAATTAACTTAATTCTTATTGAAGCATGCACTCAGACCAAAAGAAGCCATGGCTCAATGATCAGTTCATGGAAGCATAACCTACCTTCCAGTCAAACTTAATGGGATCAACACGGGAAGTGATTGTTATACCTAGCTGTCAGACAGGTTGGAAAGAGCTCAGTCCTCATCACTAAGATATAAACTGAACAGCGACAGAGGTACTGTATCTACTGGGAGAAGCGCACAGGGGTTAGTGAACAGAAGTTTAAGACCCTAACCTGACTCCCTCCTGTCAGTTGTTGCAACTTTCTGGTTATGAATATGAAGGGATGAGCCTGGTATTTGAGATAAGTCCAGAAAATCCGGGATTAAAAAAGATTACCATCTTGTTCCACTGAACTGACTCCCAAGTGATATGTTCCAGTTCTTCAAGGGACAGCATGGGTCGAGTTCTGCCAACTTAGCAACACCTCGATACTCCTACATGAAGAGGCTGCACCTTGCTTTGCTTCCAAGACTTGCTGCCCCATAGTATAAGTCCTGTAAGGGTGCTGAGTCTCAGTCTTGGAGGTGTTCAGAGCTTGGTTTGCCATGATCGCCAGAGACATCATATATCATCGGTTAAAATATATAAGCTCAACCAAGTTACTAGGCTTGAGCTCTAGTGGCGAAGTACTCAAGCAGATGTCTAGTGTTCTTCACCAGCGCAGCCACCTTGAACAGATGGCCTCTTCCCCTCTAGAATTGCTCGCTATCTTGTAACATTCACTTGGCTGACTTGAAACTATCACCCTCTCCGAGAGAAACTACGAGAAATTATTCTCCGAACCTTGCGAAGCACGCCGCAAACACTGTGCTGAGTGCAAAGTATTAGTCCCTGTAGGTCATGTTGTAATGGGGGAGACAAGTTTATGAGTTAGAAGATTGTAGACGACCGGATCCATAAACCTTGGTACCGGCAGATGGCCCCTTGGTGTAGTTCCTTGAACTAGGACATAAAGAGCAGAAGCCATGTATTGCGTTTGCTTCTCTCTAAGACGCACATCAATGCGTATCTTGCCAAAACACAGTTTTTCACGTTCCGGTAGACTGAACACGGATATATGGATGCTGAGCTCCCTATGAATTATGACACCTACACCCCGCGGCAAGACAGGCTGAACACTACGTTGTGATTATTTGAGAACAACGGAGAACCTCCTGACAGAAGTCATATGGATGGCATGCAGGGATAGGTAATCAAGTGCAATTTGGGGGACTAAAATCAAGCTTGTTGTGCGTTTCTTCGGTACTTCAGTTTGGCAGCGTTAAATAGGCCTGCTGGCTCATCCTCCTGACCACGAAAATTTCTTATTCCTTACGCTATCCAAGATATTTAGGTCAGCAGATATGACAAGCCGACGTCAGTGGATGACGGGAATGCAGATATTATCCCAGAACAATAAACACGGGGGAGAGTAGTGGACATCAGCTGCCACCCTGCAGCGTTGACCAAATAACAGCAGTGAGGAGCCAACCAAATGCAGGCGAAAGAAAGATTGTAGGCAAGTGAGGCTAGCTGCAGGTGCACGGGAACACACAGGCAGCCTCGATGACAAAAAAAAAGGGACCTTGTGACAGGTGACTGGCTGAAGGCTCATACCAGGAAGAAATGACCAAGTAACGAATGGTTAGGAAAAGGCAGGTGATAACTCCTGGGTTGGATATCTGGGAATCCGAACTATAAGTTTGACTGGTCCTCAGTCTAAGACAGTTCCCCTTTAAGAACAGAGATATCATAAGGAACCAAAGTTGTCTGTGGGCGGAACCAGACTCCAACCGTTACGGTTCCAAGGGACAAGGGATAGTGAGCAGAATCCGACTTCTGGTACACCACTTGATCTACGCCATGAGACGGTGTTGTCATTTTCTGCCCCGTGCTTGGTGTACGCTGCCGCCAATACTAAAGTCTCGGGTTCCCAGCTCAGCCGCTGGACGGATGGGAAAGTTGGGCTGTTTCGGACCAGCTGCGATGGTGAACCGTAAGAAGTGAGCAGCAACAAGGGACTAGACGGTAGATGAGTCCGCTTAAGTTTCATAAAATGCCGAAAAGATGCTAAACTGGGCCTGTGAAATGAATCAGTCATTACCTGCTAAGAAACCCGGCCAAGTACTTACCAGGACCTAGTACTCCTTCAAGATTCATGTTGCGCGTCGTCATTTGGGTGGGAAGGTATCAAGTTGCAAGCATAGGTCACTTTTCAATAGAGGAGCGCAAGTATGTCTGATTCTTTATATTGTTTAAATCTTTGCTAACTACTATAAATTGGTATCCAGACAAAAAAAACGTTTGCTGACTGCTCGACAGTACATAGGGGTATCATGCTTCAGGGTATCTGAGGGGTATCCAGTTTACAGTAACGACAGGTGTACAAAAAACGCCAGATGATGCCGATGATGCTAACGTTGTGATGACAATGATGCAAATTCCAATCCCGAAATCCCGCTTGCTTTTTGTTTCCCTTCCCAAAATGCAATGTTCCCGAGAAATGCCCAAACCAGGTTACCAGGTAACTTCCAACATGCGGTTGGAACATTAAAAAACGTGTTCGGTAGTGCGGAGATGACACTGCCGAGAGGCTCGGAGTCGACGGCAACGGGCGCCGTTGTGTGTGTTGCTTCCCGTCCCGCTTACCCGACCCGACCAAACTCGGCAACCTGTCATCATCCATCACACACCGGTTTTGGAAGAAATCGGAGAATAAAAAGTTTGTAGCCAAGAAAGAAAAAAGCTCGGTCCAGCCAGAGAAGGTAAAAAAAAAAAGGAAAGACAAAGTTTGATGCGAGTGAAAAAATTTGAATGCCTTAGCGCGTCACACCAAATGCGCCGGCAACCCGTCTGTACCCCAAGGTGAGAAGGTGAAAGCTGAATGAGATCCCATTGGTCGCCCCACACCGTCTGTGCCCGGGGGACAGGACCGAGGAAACAAAAACGTCTAGGGATGGTGGTCCGTGCTGTGCGAGATATGCGAACGGGCCGCCGGCCAAAGTGTTCTGGCGGTGTTCTGGGTGCGCGCTTTGGCAATTTGTCGGCTTTCGAGTTCCAGGCCCAGGCCGTAGCTGCTGGTCGTTGGGCCCTGGAAAGGCGGTGAGTTTTGCATCCGCACAGGGCTGCATGTTGCATGTCAATGCAGCGCCGTGCAGGGCGGTGTTGAGGTGTGCATCCCGTCAAAGGCGGGGGCGTCGGATCCGTCGGGTGGGTTTGCCGGGGAACGCGCCGTTTTTTGGCAGGTCGAAGCTCCCAAAGGTCTGGAAGAAATTTCGCTTCTCGGACGCGTTCCAGAGAGCAGGAATCTCTCGGTAAATGCCGAAGCTGGCATTTTTACCGAAATTCCTTGACCGAGGGATTTTTCGCTGGAATTCCGGTCGAAGGCAAAATTTGCTGTACTGGCTTGTGAAGCCGGTTTTTGCCTCATCAGGTTTTTGTTGCTTGGGTTTTCAGGTTTTGGGCGCCTCGGGAAAAGAGGGCCGAAAATTCAAAACACTGGGGTAAATGGGTACTGTTGCCAAACCCAACAGCCGGCTGTCCTCGGCACAGCTGTCGGAAATCTGCATATGTGCCCGGATATGGGGAAGGTTCCCAAGGTAACCAAAGCATGAGTCATGTTGTGGTGTTTCTGCATTGCCATGTTAGATCGATTCTTGGCAACGATCGGGAAAGGTCGGGAGAGGCACCGCCCTCGCATGTGAGTGGTTGTCCAGCGGTGAAAGTGACTTACCCAATGGCGAGGCTCTTGTGGTCGATGGCCCGCACCGAACTCACATGCGCCTCGATATGCACGCGATTTCGCGCGGATAGGGCGCTCAATCAGCTTCGGCGATGGGAGTCATCATCGAAACCGTCCTGCCCTTGCTCTTCTTGGAGGACGGGCTCGTGCGGCGCTTCTTGCCCATCATCGCCGCCCTCCTGCGCTGCTCACGCTGTTCGAGAGCCAGGATACGCAGGACTTGACGCTTGGCGGCCTCGTAGTCAATTTGGGGCTGCTGGGGAATGGGCGACTGGTTGGGCGAGCCACCGTGGCTAGAAAGGTCGTCCTCGCTGAAAGAATCGATCTCGAGAAGCTCCTCATCGGAAAAGTAGCACGACGGCCGATCCTCAGGCGCATCCCAACCACCGAGCGAAGACCTCCGGGGCCACGAAGGGAAGGCACAGCTAGCCTCGGGAGCCTGAGTGGAGAAGGGGCTGGGAGCGATGTCGATGGCGATAGTCGTGGTGACAGCCGTCGTGGGGGAGCTGTAGGGAGAGAAGAAGCTACGGGTCGAGGAGCTCGACGAGCTGTATGAGCTGTAGGAAGAGCCGTACATCGTGATTGTGTTGTGTAAGTGGGTGAAGTGGTATGTGTAGATGGCTGGTGTCGATGGTGTCGAGTGATCAAGGACTCGGATTGTTCGAGTATGATGTCTCTTCGTCGACGGTCGTGATGATGATGGAGACGGAAGAGGGACTTTAACCCAAGATGATGGGATCAAGAGTCTTATATTCTCACCCAGTTGTGATGAGCACAAGGGTAGGGCGACCCAGAAGACGGGATCCTGTGGGGCAATTAAATACGATCCCTCGGGGAAATCCTAGTGTTGGCCTCGAACCAAGGGGGACGGGTGTGAGGGTAGAGGGTGTGAGCGGGAGTGTGGGAGGGGGAGTGAGGATTTGAGGCATGGGCGGCGCAGGGATTCACTTTCATCACCTTCCAGGGTTTGCTCCCCCAGACACCGTTCATCGTCGGGATGGACGCTTTTCCCTGCCAAAATTTGGACCTCCGTTTTTGCCCGTTTTCTCCGTTTGGCTATCACTACCGTTTTCAGCTCGCACCTGGGTGGCTGCCCAACCGGGGCTGCCCTTCTATTCTGGACGTCGGCGCATCGGGTTGGTACCCGACGGACCCCCCACGCGCAGACGCTTGGACAAACGGGATGCCCTTATGGAAGGCTTTTTACCCAGGAGCGCGCAGAGCGCGCACGCGCGCACGCACCGACTTGCGGTGTCTGACCGCCCACCCTTCATTGTAGCGCATTCGCTCACCTTCCCGCTACTCAGATTGCCAACCGTTGATACCTCCAGCTGACGTCGACGCGTTGTCTTGGACCAGCAACAACCATTGGCAGCATAAGACAGTGAACCACAGACAGTTAACGGTGCCTCCAGAGTCGTCCCTCCGGGGCTGGTTTAGAGGACCCGGGGAAAAGAAAACCCTCATCCCAAAGTAATGTCCAGAGCGTCGGATTCGCAAGGGTCAGCGGTTCCCATGTTGGGTACGTACCGCTGGTGGTAAGTACCAGGAAACGGAGTACGTACGAATGCGAAATGACAGGGTCCGCGCGCGGAGCGAGACGATCCATTCACGGCACCTCGTTCCGACCCCATCCGCCCGCTTGGCTGTGGATCTGTGCTTTCCCTGCGCTCCCCCAGAACTCTTAGTCCGTCACGCACACCAACTTCCCCGGGTCGATCTGCACCCCCAAGGCCGCCACACTTTGCTGTTCACCGCCTGGATTGGGCACACAGCAAACAGAGAAAAGAAAAAAATGCAGATAATCAATATCAAAAAGACGGCGAGGATGTGAAAGAAGAGAGAATAGTGCGACAACTGTCGGGCGGGAAAAAGCAGCGTCGGATGCATGCGTTTTGGCTGTTGAGACAATCAGCAAAAACACATCAATAAGTATCTAATCAACATTTGTAACAATTGTGGTGTTGTCTTTTTTTTTTTTTTTGCTTTTTTTCTATTCCCTGCGTTGATGCTCTTATCCTGGCTGTTTCTTGGTTTCTTTTTTCTCTTCTATGTCTTCTGTTACTTCACAATCCAGCCGCCAAAAGGGCTGGCTATCACCAACAGAACCGATGGGCAAACAGACAAGCAACAAACCGGTGACAGCCATAGCAACCCCCACGCAGCAAAACGGCTCTCTCCATAGAGAAAACCCACAACCCACAACTTTCACATCAACGAACATCGCCACAAACCTGATTGTTCCCCTCCTCTGCAACTTGGATAGCACTGAGACAACAAACCTAATGACAACCAGTTTGGAGTCTCCAGCACATGACGTTGACCGAGGTGTTTGGGCACGATTTGGAGGGGCTGGCAACGCAGCGAAGATACATCGTACACTTCAGCGATGCATCGCAGCCTGGTTGCCGCCGGTTTGCTTATGATGTCATAGACCTTGTTGTTGGATGTTTTGTATATGTTTGGGCGTCCTCAAAAGCCTAAAATGGACTATGCTGACGGCGTTATTGCCTGAACATCTACCTGTTTTGCTGGCCAGCACCGACACCGACAGTGTCGGGCTACCTAGCTTGGCTATTGCTGTCCAACTCATCACTGGGGCCGGTGCACGCCTTGCAGCGAACAGTTCACCACCTCACCACCTCACCACCACCACACCTGCCGGTGCGGTGAGGGCGATGTGCAACGTCACCTGGATTCGTCATCCTTAGAACCTGATTTCCTTGATTTTAGGTTTGTTTTCATTTGGTTGTAGTTGCGCATGCACCTCTATCTCAGTCTTGTTGTGACTCTGGAATTCTCCGTTTTCTAGCCCCTCCTCCGTTTTTGCGTCTGCTGTCATCGAAACCCACCATATCAGGCAAGTGACACGTCTAGCTGCCTGATGAGTAAAGCTTGCAGGAGGGGCGCAGCAACAGCTCTATACAACCTGTTATCCAAAGGCTTACTTTAACTAATCCAACTGCTACTGTATAATTACTTGTAGATTATGCTTTTGAGTATGCCCGATGTTCTCACTCTCGTGTTCGGCCGGTGCTTCGCCTGTATGGAGGATTTTACGTGCCTTTCCCGTCTCCCTTGGCAATATATATTGGTGGATGATATGTGTCACGCATGCGACCATTGTCGCGACGGTCATCGCCATTCATCCTCATCCTGTCGGCGTTTGCTCGCGGCGGTGCAGTAAGTCAGCGTCTTGCAGGCACAAGCCGCCCTCACCAGCGTATCGGCCTTTTGGCGGGGCAACGGTACAGATTGCATCAGCACTTTCGCAGTTGCGAAGAGGACGAACAGGAAATATGTCGGTGGTTGCTGACTACGCCCGCCTATTGCTCAGCGCTGTATCTTATCCAACCTATTCTCCCGTCGCACCTGCGCCTCACACAGCTTGCTGCCTGGACCTTTAAGAAGGGATGTCCGCATGGCCTCTGTTTTTTGCCGATCAAGCGAGATGGAATATCGACCATGAGTGCTTATCTGGTCGCTTCACTCTGGGTCTTTGGCTCGGGAGAAGCAAAGTTCCAAAATGAATCATAAGCAATGCCCTGAAAGTCCAAGGCAGCAATACCGGCAGGAGGCAATGCGTCGCATCTCGGCCGTATGGTTGTTGGGCAGTTGTTGTATCTGGCTGTTATCATTCCTCGGCGAATCATAAACCGGCCGGAGCAATGCAAGTTCGGCAGTTTGCCGATGTCACTCCCGACGGTTACGGCTACGGCTACGGCATCGGATCCACGGGCCACAGTTTTCTTTCTTGCCTGCGAAAATCTCTGCGGGTGGTAAGAATACTAACATCCGGCCGAGTCCACGTTGATCTCAACTGCAACGTTGCAAACTCCCGTCACAAACGCGTGTTGTTTTTGCAAAAGTCTTGTTACTCTTTTTCTCACTCTTCGCATCTCACAACGTGCCTGCGCTCCAGACTTGCTTGCCGTGCCCGACCTTCTGCAATGACACGCTCATCCAACATCAGCAGCATGACGTGATAAAGATGGCGATCTTCGCGATCTCCTCAGTCCAACTTTAGCCAACACATGCCCGTTTCCCCGATCTTTCGGCTGTTTGCTTTTGGGCACAAACAGACCGCTATTTTTTCTTTCCTGTTGTTTTTCGCAGCTTAGAGTTTTGTTTTCGCCGGTGGAGAAGCAAAAACCCTAACATCCACCCCCTCCCTGCCCTCCAGCGGCCTGGACCGCGCTAACAACAACCGGAAAGCGGTTCCTGCCCGCTTAGCGCGTTTCCCCAGGTTTTTATCGGTCCGGTTCTTCAACCGGAACGCGTTCCACGAGTCTGGGCTCGCGAAGCGCAACAAACCTAGCCCTTGCTTCACTATCTCCGTTTTGATAACGCTTATCGGGGCAAACGGAACACGATAACGAGCCTTATCGGTCGGATAATGTTCTGCAAGATCGGATAAGAGCAGAAAGGAAGGATCAAACTCAAAAAATTGAGATCTTGTCTGATGCCGTGCAGGCTCACAGGCTGCGGCGTCGATTCAAGCTGTTTGGTGTCAGGTTGAGGATGAAACGCCTGCCGGCGTCTGTGCCACGGGGCACTGGCCGTTTCGAAACACTGGCATGGGCACGCAGGGGTTTTTGGGCCGCTGAGCCGCTGGAAGCACATCTTCGCGCGAACGGTGAAGCCGAGCTTGGGCCGAGGGAGCTTGGACCCAGCCCAGACCCTCGACTGCCGCCTGGGCAAACCGGGGAAACGGAAAGCGCAGATCTCGACCGTGAATGGTCCCCAGTCCACCCGAACTTTTGGGAGGTGTGGAGCTGGGCTAGTTTTGGCAAAAGGAAACACCAACGCAGGGAATATCGAGGGGCAAAGTCGGCAGTTGTCGAAGGGATTGGTATTCTCCCTTTGAGACACCGGATCACCATCACCAACGGCTTCGGACTCGGCCTCAAAAAAGGCGATTGTAAGAGCCACAAACACCGTCATAGAGAGCAAACAAACAGCAATTGATTGCGGGTAAGGATGATCTTCAAGCCTTGGTCTGGGTTTCTGCGGAGCAAAGCCGTCTGTCAAACCTGATATCTTTGCCACCACCAGTACTCAATCCTGCACACTGAGCTGTCGATTTTCATCGATGCGCCGGCTCCCAGTCTGTCTGCAACGAGAAAAATCCAAAGATCCAAGTCTGCCTAAGATGTACACCTCCCCTGCACCGGAACTCGACCCGCGGTCCCAAGGCACAGGTTTGCTCCTTCACACACCCCCAGAGGCGAGTCCCAAGGTCCCAGAGCGCTGGGAAGTTCTCAAGGAAGTGATTCTCGACCCCAAAGAGCGCCTCGACCAGGGTATTACCTCTGCGCTGGGACCTCCGGATGCTCTTCCGCGGCCATGCGGTCCGAATCCTTGGGACCCAACCCCACTTTTAGCATCGTCCCTTTCCCCTCCTGGAGAGTCTAGCGAGCCAGGCGAAATGAACCACTTCCCCGGAACTCCCTCCGTCGACTGATCACAGACTCTACGACGACGGTAAGGTTCTCAAGACGAGATTGGTATCGACGCGCCGGTGCGTCCCAGCGATCTGGATTCCCAAGCTGATGGAATCAACACCCTCACTGTCCCTGGCCTGTCCCCGTGGTGCGGTTCTGGTTCCTCGCTTGGAGGCTTGTTCGTCGCCGGGACCCTCTTCCGGGTCCCAAAAGAACTTCCAGCAGACTTTCTAGCGCAGAGAGCATTTTCCATTTTTGTTGCTGATGGCGCTCGGCAATTGAAGATCCTCAAGTGTTCCCGTACGATTGGGAAGATTATCAGCCTGATGGGACGTACCGATTTGGAAAGAATCAACATCACCTGAGGGCATCCCCAATCGTAACCAGTCCCATAGCCTTGGGAAGAGTGGAGGGGAGATTTAAAAAAAAAAAGCCAAAAAAAACAACCCCAAAAACAGACTTCCAGGGGCATTCGTCCCATGGGATTGGACTTCAATCAAAACGGAGGCCAGAACTGCGAAAAAGATGCATCATGTCAGGAGAGAAGCTGTTACCACAATTCGGCTCCCTAGTTGTGCAGCAACGAGCATCCAATCCCTTTGCAGCCCAGGGCTCTGGAACTGGTCTCGGCGCGGGATGTTCTCTCTCCTTGGCGGCCACGTGGGGGGGTTGAGTGGGTGCGCGGGCAGCCAATGCGAGAGCGCACCATCAATGCCACCTGCGCATTTCATCACCCACATCTGTGCGATTCAGGAGGAGAAGGCGCGTCAGATCCTTCTTCAACCCCTCTGCTGCCCCTCTCCCATCACTCCCACGCGTGTCTCTTCTGCCCCCCACGTGTCGTCAGCACCTTCCCACTCCAGTGGCCGCCTGCTTGGTATCGCAATCTTCTACTTATACATACATGCATAGGTAAGTAAGGTGAGGTGAGGGATGAGTCCCACGTTGGCATGCTCACAACGCTTTCTCCTGACAGAAATGCATGCTTCATCATAAAACGCGCGGGATGCCCACGCTGAGAGGGACTATTATTCGTGACGGTGCTCCTCTTCCTTCCTCGGCCGTAATATGTATATGAGTGTTGCTCAGGTCATGACACCGTGATCGCTTAAAGTGATCACATCGAGCCTGTAAGCTGTCACAGCTGTATCGGTTCTGAGCACATTTATTTTTTGAAATCGTAACCACAATAGCCTATCGCCGCATTATCCTGTAGTTGCAGCGCTCTATATATGAGACAGCGTGAAGCCGCGACACTAAGGGTTCACTTTGCGATATGCTCCCATATCATCCCATATCATTGTTAGTTGGTGATTGTGAGACTAAGACGGGCAATGACGGGTAACACCGGCTCAGTCTCTTGGTCGTGTTTCCTTGGCTGTAACAACACGTGTGAAACGGGCGGTCCACTGGTGTGAATGCTGTTAGAAATGGTTCCTCATTGCTACGTTAAAGATCAAACTTTGGTGTGGTATTGTAGTGTTGACACAAAAAAAAAAAAAAAAAAAAGAAACTGGAGACTCGAGATCGGCTTTACACTACATTCCCAATGTTTTGGAACTATCCTGTCTTGAGCAGGTGACGACAAGCACTGCCAGCGAAGAGTTACATTCTAGAGCTTATCGCCGATGGGACATTCCCGCCATGGCCAAAACGCCGCGATTGCGATATTTTGAAGGTTCCTGTCGGATATATCCGATATGGAAGCTGATATTGATATGGTTTTGTTTCAGAAGCTTCCATTTCCTTTCTTTGCTGTCAACTTGCTCCGTTTTGACCACGTGGAACTCCATCAAGAACGGAGTCCATGATGGAGAAGGACAGGAACTTGGCGATCGTGGAGGTTGTGGATTGCGGACGTGGCGAACACCAGGTTCCCCTCTTCTCCCGTCCGCGGCGGCGACATCCTATGTACACTCCTCCGGTGTGGCACCCACACCACACCCGCCGCCCGCCAGCCCGCCCGTCCGCCGAAAAGCTGCTGCTCTCTCCCCGCCCTCCATTTTCGCCGGCATCCCGACCGCCGATCGCTGAGAGATCCACTTTTTCCGCGTGGCCAGCGGGTCTTGAAGCGAAACCGGACACAAGGCGGTTTCGATCTCAACGATTAGTCCAGACCACATCTCCGCTTCTTATCGTCAACTTGCCATTTCCCCGCTTCTTAGCTGCCGCTGGAGATGGTTTTCCTTTCTTTTGAAAATTTTACTATTCCCGAGGGGGATCTCATAACCGACACTATGGATGGATGGCGATGAATGCAAAGACTGCGAGAGGGGACGGGAGGGAAGCTGGGTAACGTAGCGGTGGAGATTCTATGCCAGCAATACGCTACTCTGCATGCACATTAGGACGCCGCTGTTGCTCGTGGCGTTGTTCACCAGCCGCCCATCAATCGCTCAATCAGCGGCTATACACTAGACGATAACGCTAGCGACATTTTGCTTAGGATGATCATCAGCGGATGATAAGGTGTTGCTGGTTGACAGATTCGATGCGGGCTTCTGCGGCGGGCGGTAGCCAGTTAAATGGCACTCACCGCTCGCTTCGCTTTCACCGGCATCGGCCAGCTCAGCACTGCGGATGCTTGTTTGCATGCTTACACCCTAGGTAGATGCAGATATGCAGGTTGGTTACCCCGGAGAGAGAGCCAGGCGAATGAGTTGTCATAGCCATGTTATCGCCATGCTCACAGTTGTGTCCGAGTGCAATGCACACACTATCGATCTACAGCCGCCTGAGATCTCGATCTAGGAGAATACGAAATGCAACACTTCACGTTTTGCCCATCACCGGAGAAGCTGGCTACCGTTAGGCAGACAGACCGTCGAGATAACGGTGGCTGTCTTCCCGCCCCAAACCTAGACGCCCATTAAAGGGGGGGTTATCTTAGTGACCATCGACATGAGCTCAACCACGGGTGGAATCTTGCTGATGTCCAGTATCCCTTGACATCGTGAAAAATCGTCAGGTTACTGGACAACAAGATATCCCATTACACAGCCAATCGCTCTCGCACGAACGAGGTCTCGGGTGACGCTAGAGCGGCGATGCTAACTAGCGTCCGTCCAACGTTCGCAAACGCCCGCGTTAAGGATTATGGGAGATATCGCATCACCCAGTGCGGGTGCGAGGGTGCTTGTAGTTAAACCACACTACGAGGTGACTGGAGGGTTGGCAGTGTCGAAACGCCTGTTGAAGATAATGTAAACCGTCATCTACTGGCTGATCACCCTAAGGTGCGAGACGATCGCATAGTTAGGATCAACGAGCTGAGAGCGAGTAATCAAGTCAGTTACAGGCACGAGAGTTGATGAATGCTCCGCCGACGTCACACCCTCTCAGGAGCCAAGACAGTGTTCCCGGGATTCGGAACCACTGCGACGATGACAGCATCTCCGTTCATCCCACCACATCTTCATTTTTCTGCAATGTCTTCGCATTGGATCTTCAGAAGTTGACTCCCACAACATCACATGGGCGTACGAGTGTGACTATGCACACGAAATATCATTGGTCTGCGCCCGACCAATAACTACAGTTTTGTAAAGGGGACTGTAAGCAATTGGTTGGTTGATACGGAAGAGGGAACGTCAACTCGCTTATGCTTGTCACACGCGAGCCGCTTCGTCATGACCGTTTATATACTTGTGACTGGCTTTTTCACTGCGTTGATGCCTATTATACGTCCGTATGTGGTGGAGTGAGGGCCCGGAGGCCACACAACGTCTGGGGCAACAACAACCACAATCTGGGGAAGCGAGGCAGCCCGGTCCGTGGGGTTGGACGATATGGTCGCGAATGGCGACACAAACTCGTGTGGCAAATCCCTTTCTGACGGGGCTGATAGATCAGCGCGGCCAGTTGTGAGTCAAGGTCTGCCAGCTAAGTGTGGCAGAGAGGATGTCTTCGGGCATTGAAGTTGATGGCATGAAGCGCCATTGGAACGTAGGGCTCAGTCACATGGACATGAGTCCGGGAAATTTCAGCCAAAAGTCCGGATCCAAGGCAGGGGAACAGGCACATCATCGATGGTGATGATGTTCGGGCTTGAAGGATCTGAAAGGGGGAGGAGGGGGTGTGAAAAAAATTGATCGTTAGGAGGGATGGCTGTGTTTGGCTATAGTTGATCCCGACATTGCGAGAAGAGGATGACGAGTTGTTCTGTCAGCACCCGAGGCGCAATACCAGAGACTGTCTTGATATCTCAGATGTGCTACGGCGACGAAGTGGTGCTTGTCATCCCATTCTGACGGAACCATTAGCTAAGATCATCATCTTCAGCCCGGTGCCTTTGTGATACCGTTGATATATTAAGTGAATGGAAGAAAATAGTATCAGCTTAACACAATGTCTGGAGTAAGCTTCGGACTGAGTATGCCGGATTGTGGCGTAAGCATCATCGAGTTCGGATGGGAATGATCGTATTCTTGGGGCTGTCCAAGATCAACCTTGCTGTATAGGGCACAGGTAACCAAAACTTTATTCGGAGCCCCTATGCGCTGCGCCTGCCCAAGTCCCTCAAGACTCTGGTTGCTTGAAGGTTAGTGAGGAAGTACCTAACTGGTAAACACAATCCGATTGTGAAAACTCTCAGAGGTATCTGCTAGTCTTGAGGGCGACATGAGGTCTCTTGTGTCTGATCCAGATCAGCAAATAATAGCGAAGTCAGTAAAGAAGATGATGAGCTGTTGTGACATATAAATACTTCTGGGATAAGCCTTTGGTCTGTTGTCACGTAATGGCACCTGGTCTGAGAAAAGGCACAACACCCGGGCTTCCTTCTAGGCCATCTAAATCCGGCAGACTGTTCATAACGAAGTGTCTATTGATTATGTGCAAGAATGTGCCAGTATCGTAGGAAATCCACCGCAATCCTACATCCCCGGTTCTCCAGCACCGTAGCAGTACCACATGCCCAGGGGACGGTGCTCCGGCAAACCAAACAATCCCATATAACATCCCATATAAGAACATACCAAACAACCAAGGAACCCAAACGCCAAAACGCCATCTTCCCAAACCCGCAGTGACCATCTTAGAAGCGGCTATCGGCTGACCCAAAAAAACAAAACCAAACCTCAACATGCTCAGCTCCTCAGAGCCTCGAGTCTGTTCCGCATCTGGTCCAGCATAGCTTGGGTATCGGCATCTTCTTCCTCCAGAGCCTGTTGAGCAGGCACGGACTCGGTAGTCCCCGTCGGGACGCTGGGCAGTGGCCCGGTCTTCTCCATCCTGTCCTTGAGAATCTCTCCCAACACTTTATCAACCTCGCCCTCAGCCTCCTCATCCTCCATCTCGAGCTCGACATCAGCCGTTGGCAGCATCTCCTCCGCCATCTCCTCAATGATCCCCGCCTTCATCAACTCAACACTCAAATCCCGCATCGTCACCGCTAGCTCAGGCAATCTAATCAGCGCATTCACGTCCTTCATAATCCCCACACTAGCCCGAATGCTCCCCTGGATCTTGCGCAGCGCAAACGCCTCGTTGACCTGCATCTGGACCGACGCCAGCTGCGCGCGCGAGGTAATCATCCGCTGCGTCGTCTTGCGCGTGCGCACCAACTCGCGGGCAAAGTCGCGCACCTCGCGCTCGGCCTGCTGTTTCGCGCGGGAGTTGGCATTGGGCCCGGAGGCGGCGCGCCGCGCGCGGCGGTCGGCGGCTAGGATCATGTTCTTTGTTTTGATCTCGACGTTCTTCAGGTTTGCGATCTCGCGGTCGAGTTTACGCATTTCCGCGCGAAGCATGGCGTTGCATTTTCGGAACTGAAGAGTGAAATGTGTTAGTTGGGGATGTGGGCGATGGGTCGGGATGCGAAAGGGGGGTTCTGGTGTCGTACTTGCGCCTGAGGGTCAGGCTTCCCGAAGAGATTCCTGAGTGTCTCCATGGCCGGTGTGTATGTGTGGCGGGCCCGTTGGGCGAGAAGGAAAGTAGGTAGATCCTCGGCCGGAACACCGAGTCGAAATGGCTTGAATGGGAGGTTCCGAGCGGTCAAGGAATGCCGGGATGAGCGGTGATGTGGTGTTGCGTATGCCGAGGACGAGTGGTGCTTGTCCGAGCCAAGCGTATGAGGCTCTCAGTGCGACGGCTGGGTGTACGAGGCGCACCAGCAAGCGCGGCAACGGGTGGTTGCCATCCCCTGACGAACCCCGCAGTGGGTCTCTAGGCAACCCCACTATGAAGTCCAAGTCAATTTCAGGTTCAGGGCCGGCGAGATCAGATCTTACGATGGAAATTATCCTAACCTTCGAGATCAATAAGTCGTGTTGAAAGAGTCATTGCGACTCCATGAATCTTCAATCTTGAATTACCCTAACTAAACTACGATTATCTTAGGAAGCACGCCCATACTCTGTATACAGGGTTAGTTGGGGACTATTTGCCTGCTTTAGTCTAACCCTTACCCTCTTCTGTGGTAGCTTTGTGTAAGACTTCGTTATTGAGAGTCTCGAGTCTGACTTTCAGGTTAGCATTTTTAGTTGGGCTACTGTAAATTCAAAGAATACATGAACCATGTATAACGAGAGTTGATTTTTTTTTCCCCGATTCTCTGCATTGAAACTCGAGGCTGCTTAGCTTACAATCTAGGCATATTGAGTTGAGCTCTCCCTCATAAAAGCCAACTGAAGCTCTGACCAACTCTAGCCCCGCTGCGACAGGAAGCCGGTTCGAAGCCAAAGTCAACATACTTGTAGGATCAAAAAACAATCAATGACATAACATACAATCCATATCTACTACGACGATTCTTGACCATTGGTCTTCTAGAAATGTCAACGGGCTTCTATGAACAGCACAACCCCACCTGGCTGTTGAGTTTGTTGCCTGGGGAAGGAGCTCAGCCCTGTAGGATGGCCCGTGCAAGCAGCGTATCTTTGAGCTTCTGACGATTTCCACCGTCACCCTGGACGGCAAGGCGGCGCACATCATTTGGCAGCCTCACGACAACCCCCCCCCACTTTCTTCCCATTCCAGTGCTTTCTTCTCCTCCCCATCACAGCTGTTGTCTCTGGTGCAACGATCACCATTTGCTCTCTCGCCAGTACAATTCACATACTTGACGTCCACGTCGCCGGTTTTTGAAGTCGACCACGCTCTCGAGCTTCCGTCTTCATCTTTCAAAGAGTCGGTTCACAGTTACCTCTACCCCTCTCTTCCCTCACCTGTCCGAGACATACAAGCTACCAGCTACACAGTCCAACACCAAACCGGTCTCGATCAGCCAACTTACACTTGAGTCGTCTAACAGATCACAATGGCCACCGATACTGTCACGCCCGAGGGTAAGTAGGCCTGCCAGACAACTAGCCCTACCCATCTATGTCTTCCAAAACGGCACCCTAACATCCCGCGACAACAGTCCTCTGGGCTCAGCGCTCGTCCAAGGATGACGCCGAGAAGAACTTCATTTACCTGACCATCCGCGTACCGGACGTGCCCAAGGAGAACCTCAAGCTGGAGCTCAAGCCGACATCCCTGAGCTTCACGGGCCACTCGGATACTCTCAAGAAGACATACCATGTCGACCTCGAGTTCTACGCCGAGATCGACCCCGAGAACAGTAAGGTGCATCACACTGCCCGCGACGTCGAGATGAAGCTGCGCAAGAAGGAGCTCAACGAGAGCTACTGGCCCCGTCTGCTCAAAGACACCAAGAAGGCCCACTTCCTCAAGACCGACTTCGACAAGTGGGTGGATGAGGACGAGCAGAACGAGGCGGGCGATGATGACTTTAACTTTGGCAATATGGGTGAGTAGATGTTGTTCATTTTGTGCCCCTGGATACCCCTATTCCATTGCCCTTCCATCCCAGGCTAAGCAGCGTGGCGTGCCTGCAGGAGGTCTGCCAGGAATGAGTGCGTACCCTGAAGCTCCACTCTTGGGATGGAAATGAAATTCTGTGGAAAAGAAATGGTTTTTTTTTTTGCCCCTTTGAAGGCGGTCGCTAACTCAGTTCAGGCAATGACTTCGGTGGCCTTGACTTCTCCAACCTCGGCGGCTCCAGCTCAAAGGACGAAGACGAGGACGAGTCGGACGACGACATGCCGCCACTGGAGGGTGAGGACGAAGAGGAGGAGAAGAAGGACGGTGAGAAGGATGGCGAGAAGAAGGAGGAGCCCAAGGTGGCTGAAGAGATGACAACGGACGCCAAGGAGGTGGTTGTCTCGTAATACATTGCAGGAAAATCGGGCGTAAGGGAGAACAGCTGAAGACTATGCTCAATCAGAGATCCCTCTTATTTCCGGAATCGGGTTACGCGAAGGACCTCGGGCTCTTTGGCTTCTGGTGTGAGGGTACATGTTTGGGCATGACATGATAATGAATGAAAGTAAACTTCATGATACAAAGGATACGACATGGGCAAGCCGACGGGGTATGATGGAGATGGGTTCTGCATTGCATTAGCCGGTCCACAGTGATCGAGCCTCCGTCACAGTCACACATGCAACGAGTTGGTGAGCTAGCATATGAGTAAATTAAGCGGAAAGAATATCCCATTTGCAACAGAGACCATTCCTCCGCTTCTTGATGTCTCTGTATGTTTGCTAAGGTTTCTTTGTCCCGATTGCCACCCCTTAACACACATAGCAATTTGTATGATTGGATTCCCATCAATCGCCCCCGTAGCAATCATGTTCGCTCTCCACTACGTAACCACTGAACTAGTGGCGGGGTGACAAGCGGTTGCACCTCCAAACGCGACGGTCTGGTCTGCGTGCAGCTGAGGAGTGGATCAAGTTGGGCACCCATGGCCGGGTCCAGTGCTTCAGCTCGCTACGAACATGGACTATGGGCACCGAAACCTTTTGGTCTTACCCGGCCGCCTCGTCGGTTAGCAAAGTAGTGCAGGTAGTTCGTGAAAAAGTGAAAAGGCTAGTGAGAGAGGCTAAGCCGGTTCACAAGATGGTGCCCAAGTGTAAGTGAAGTAGCATACATCTACATGTGATGGTGGTTTTGGCCACCTACCTCTCTAGCCGTATCTCGATGGAGATGGGTATGGTGTCTGATGCAATCCATTGCAGGTATTTATGTTTGCCGAGGAGAAGGCGGTGGCGCAGTACTGTCAAATCATACATGGGTGATAGGAGCCAAGAGGGAGGGAAGCAAGGAGGGAGGGGAGTAAAGAGGGAGAGGGATGGGAGGGGGAGGGTATAAGTGGTCATGGGGACGGCGAGTGTGCCAGGCTGGTTTGAACTCTCAGCCATCCTCTATGGCAGCATCGTGAGAACAGCGTCTCTGGTGGTCAGCGACATCTGATCCCCTTGGGAAGCTTTGCCTTTTGACAACTCAAGCTTGAACTCAACGTCCATACCTACAATCACAATGCTCGCCGTCCTCCCTCTCTCGCAGCCTACGTCCTCCAACAGCTACATGAACATAACCAACAGCACCTCTTCCAATGGCTCAACAATAAAGGGCTTTCCCCTCCTTGGGAATTCGAGAATACTAGCGGGCCCAATTGTGGCATCGCAAAGGGATCAGGAACCTCCTACACCCAACTCCCTAATTGAAGAAAAGTGTCAAACAACTCAGCCCACCGAAACCCCCTTCACCGCAAAAGAAGCTGCTGAGTTTGCCAGGATGGGCGCCTGTCTGATTGCTCTGCCTCCGGAGGAGGGGCCCTGGAAAGACCCTGTTTTTGGGAATGGCAATTGATTCGAAAAAAAAAAATAGGATGTCACCATGAGGACAAGGCGTTTGTTTCGTCCGGGATAAAGGCTGGGTGATATTATGCACACCTACATCGATCTGCATCTTGAAGGCTTTTTGTAAAAGGCTGGATGGACAATGACTGATACCGTTCGGATTATGGCAATGGCATTCCAGTAATGGGTTTGCGCTGGAGTGTGGTTAATGTTTGGGATTGTTTAGTATCAGAGGGGAGCCTCAAGATGGTTATGCAACTGGTTAGCATCGGATACTGGCGTACAGGTTTGCGAAGAACTTTGGGAATGCATTCAGGTTTGCTACGTTATCCCTTTGGTTGTTGCTGTCAATAACAGCTTCTTTGAGTCATGCATAAGATTCAATTGCTTGGCCATAAAAGATGGCACCTGCGTTGCCTTAGTTTTCAACAAATATTAAAACAGAGTATAATTGAAATCACTCCTGACATATCGCGCTTTTCATAGCCCCTTATTCCGTTTTGAACTCCAGAACCTTAACCTCTCCGCCAAGAGCCTTCGTGGCATAGTTAAAGATACCAAACCTATACCCAAGGAAGAACGGCCATCCAGTATACAGCTCATAAGTCTCTTTTAACGCTGTGAACTTCTTCCCATTCAAGCTCCATTCAAACTTGGCCTGCCTGGTCCCATTAGGACGAGCATCCATCGACAGCCGGAACCTGCTCACGCGTCAGCAGTCTCCTCTTCCCGAAGCCGAACTCGCGCTTCAAGGGCTTACTTACCAAACCTCCCCCTTCTTGCCCACACTGACCTTAACCCTCTCAACCTCCCTCCCCAAATCCAGCGTCGCCCCGCTCCCCCACTCATCCAGCACCGTCCCGAACAATCCCACAATCTCATAACCCCCGTCACTCGTCTTCTCAACAGCCACATACGAGCTTTGGTCCCTGAACGCGGCCAGCCCCGCTCGATCACCCGCCTTCATCCCCCTCACATCCAGCTTGAGCGTCGCCTTGGGATACTCGCCATGCACGCGGTGCGTGAGGGTGTTGCGGGCACTGTATAGGTCGTTGGTGACGGTTGCGGTGCGCAGAACGAGGGCGTTGTTTGTGATAGAGAAGGAGGAGATGTCGGGGTTGTGGTTCCATTCCAACGTTGGTGGGAGGGAGGTGGAGGTCTTGTTGGAGAAGGTGTATGTTCTTGTCCAGGGGAAACGAAGCGGCTTTGCGGGGAGGCCCCGCGGACGTGGGTATGTCTTGCCCCAAGTTCCGTTGACGGTTATCAGGGTCGGGAAGCCATCGGCTTGCCATTCGATGGGGGCGAGGACGGGGAGTCTGCCGGAGGGGAAGGCCCAGGTGAAGGACATGAAGTACCAGTCTCCGGACGGGGTTGGGATCAGAGATCCTTGGTGCGGCGCACCGCCGCCTGGGACAGGGCCAGGGACGTTATCAGCCAGGGGCTTGCCTTCATAAGGGCCCCAGGGTGAGGACGACTTCCAGACGTAGGCTGTTGAACCGGGCCTGTCGTTCAGGATATAGTACGTGCCGTTGATCTTGTACAGCCGATTTCCCTCCACCGAGTCAACACCGACCTGCTCCGGCCAGAGAACACCCTGCGAACGGACGGGCGAGAGGCCGTCGGCTGAGAGCTGCGTCACATTAACCTGGCGGCCGCCGTCGACGGTATAGACGACGTACATGGTGTCGTCATCGTCAATCAGCAGGCCAAGATCGTAGTAACATACTTCATTACCAAGCCAGACGCGGCGGGTCCAGGGTCCTTCAGGGGCTGGAGCCGTGTAAATCCAGGTATTCCAGAAGTTGGTGCAGCCGATCCAGTACCAGAGGCCATTGCTCTTGCGGTAGCGGAGGGTTGAGGCCCAGGTACCACCGCGGTAGGCCCGCTGGCCGGAAGGTGGGAGGTCATAGCCGTCGCCAAACTCGAGACGCGGGATCGAGTGCCCGACAAACTCCCAGTCCACGAGATCGTAAGAGCGCAAGATGGGAGCGCCGGGACTGTAGTGGAAGTTGGAGGCTGAGAAGTAGTACGCCCCGTCGGGTCCCAGCGAGATATCGTTGTCCGGGAAGTCCTCGTACAGGATCGGGTTCTCGAAGGTGTCCTGGCTTCTGCTGCGCTGAACTCCTGGAAGGGCTCTACCTGCCGCAACGGCCAGGAGACCGAGGAACAGCGTTGAGGTCAGCATGCTGGAAGGCCGTTAATCCGAGGGTTGTTGAGTTCCATGGTGAACAGAGGAGGTAATATACGCAAAGAAGATGAGCGTCAATTAATTCATATTTCGTTCTCACGGTTCTTGGGATACTACGTTTGCCGGCGTTATAACCGGGTGGGAGAAACGGAGAGAAGCCTCCGTCGTTCCCCCGCTTGGATCCACGGACCGGGAACGGATGGGACGGTGAAGAGCAGTCCATAGAACAAATCCGGGGAAGGAAGCTTGGTAAAGGGTTCGGATGGGACCTCGAGTATCACTCGGAAGACACGCTCGGGTGATATTCATGCTTCGGATATACCATCTCTACCGCCTCTCACTGGTGAGCGTGACGCGGCAGAGAAAATGCTGGGCTGGATAAACCAGAGAGCAGGTCAACACTACCATATATATAAATCAATCGCTCCCACATGCTAGACTTACTGTGACGACTTTGACAGAGACACCTCGCTTGGGTGCTCTGGCATGCGGAGCGCAGATAGATACAAATAATACATGGCTGCTGATTCCCAAACCAAGCTTACGATCAATTGGTGTCATATTGGTTATTGCCATTATGTATCATCAAAGTTTAAGAGCAAAAGGTATCGCTAATGCCCATTCAATTATACAGCACCTCCAACGAGACTTGGGGTGAATATCAATCTGTGCCGAAAAGCCAGAGATGCAAAACTGCAAACTCAAAGCTAAGAGCCCAACCCGTTCTCACCGCCCACCCGATGCCGATCCCAAAGACTCTTGATCCGCACGAAAAAAAGTATGTCGAATACGTTGGACACCCAGACCAAGCCCTAAAAAGCCATCTCCCTGTTCCGTATCAAAAACCGCCGTATGCCTATTATTTACAAGACATCCTCCTCCATCGGGGCATCGCCACCAGCAGCGGTGGCAGAGGAGGTGCCATTAGCGTTGTTCGCGTTGGTGTCGTTAGTGTTGGCCGAAGCGAAGTAATCGGCCATCTCGGAATCGAGCTCTTCAAGGGTCTTCTTGACAGGGCGGTTGCTGCGACCGCGGCGGGTCTTCTTCTTGCCAGCACCGCCCTCTTTGTTGCCGTTCGTGTTCTTCACCGTAGCAGCAGATTTGGGCTGAGCCTTAGGCTGGGCGATGCGCGCGGCAAGCGGCTTAGGTTGAGGGATAAGATCGGCATTAGCGACAACGACCTCGACCTAAGTACATGGTTAGCAAGTTGTTGTCGATTGACAGTTGCTCAGGATCGAATGGAACCTACCTTGACTGGCTTGTTGTCAATCAAAAGACCATTGAGGCTTGCAAAGGCTTTGGAGGCGCCATCGGCGTGGTGGAAGGTGACATGTGCGATGCCGCGGCTGACACCACCGGGGCCGTAAGAGAGCTCAACCTTCTTAACCTGACCGACAGACTGCTGAAAGTACTCCTATATCGAGGGGAATCGGTGGTTAGCGTCAAACGAAGAGATTTGCGAAGTCGTACTTCGAGTCCGAGGGTTGATAATCGACGGCGTCCTGTTCCAAGTGACCACGACATGGTGTCGCACGGGTCAAGGCGTCCTCCAAGGATGCCCTAACCAAAACGTAGCAGCAGCGAGCAGAGCAGTGAGAGCAGCAAGCCAATCTTTCGAGCGGGCATCACCAGCGACTGGCCGGCGAGCCATATCCCACTAATCCCCCGAACCATCCAGCCAGGTGGCATGTGTGACTGCACACAGTCTCTTATCGACAAGCCGCTAATGTATGGCGATAATCAGCCCTGGTAAAACCCAGGCTGACATGGCAAGAAAGCAGTCTCCCCGCCGCCATATTGTCATAATCCAGAAAAAAACATCGTGCTATGAAAGGCTCAAGCACCAAATAAGTGAATGCGAGCTGCTGCTCTGATACAACCACCCGACCAAGACAGGCAGGATGTTGAAAAGAGGAGAGCCGCGCCATCCGCTCACTGCTCAGCTCGCTGGGGGCATAGCAGCATCAACAACTTGGTGACCAGCCAGAGTTGTGATGGGCATCGTGCGTAAAAAATCACCCAGCTAGGCGTTTGCCTGAGTTATCGCCGTCGCCCGTTTGTCTGTCTGCGCAAATGATCACACATCACGGATGCTTGCCAGGCGACCCGGACGGAAATTGCAGCGAGACGCGGACTTGCTCAACTCTCACGGGCTACAGAGGCCGCCTATCGGGGATGTAAACAGGCTGTGCCCAGCATGCACATCGTGGAGGAGCTCTGGCAGATCTAGACAGCCGCGCTTGAGCACGAGGGGTGATGGGGCCCGTCCCCAATGGTCCGCCGAGGACAAAGGTCGAGGAGAGACGCCGCGTGGGGAAAAAATGTGTCGACAAAAGCCGGAGGGCATCAGTAGCCTCATCGGTAGTAACATACCTTGATCTGGGCCTCCGAGACATCCTTGGGCTGAGGAGTGTTAGCGAAGAACTTTAACATGTCGGGTCGCTGACCACAGCGATGGTTGCAATACGTACCAAGTTGCTGACCACAATCTTGCTCTCGCCGGTCAGACCGCCAGTCTTCGCAGGCGTGGGCTTGGTCGCATTGCGAGCAGCCTTGGAGCTCTTCTGGACGCCGCCAGCAGGAGCAGTGTTGGTAGTGGCCTTGGCGCCAGACGAGCGGCGCGAGCGGCGGCGGTTGCGGTCGCGCCGCTGGCTAGAGAGGATCTCGTCAAGAGTCTGGTCGAGCTTGCCGGACATCTTGATGGTTGGAACGGCGGATGCGGTAGAGGAGATGGTTTTGTGATGGATAATTGGCTAGGGTGATGAATGGGTGATGGATGGTTGGCAAAAGCGGCCGACTCTTGCCGAGGAAAGAAAGCTTCGAAAAGTAGACGAGGTCCGTGGAGAATCAGAGGGTGATTTTAAGGGCGTAAAATGGTAGACGCGACAAGGCTGATTCGGAACTTCAGGTGCCCGAACTGGCTAAGTCGCGTTGGGAGATGTAAAACGCAGCGATAAACGTCGCGCAAAACGCGATCGCTGTGGTCGGGCAGTGAAACGGTGGATTAGGGTCGCGAATATTGCTGTTGGCCAGGGAAAAAAAGAGCAGCTCAGGTTGTCACGATTCTTGTACAGGCCCGAGCGTAACTCAGAAGTGGCAGTTGGGAACTTTTCTTGGGGGGGGGGGGAGGGGAAAGCTGGTCGATGTTGGAGACCAGGTGAGGTGTGGTGGCTGATGGAGAACGTGGAGGAAGGGAGCAAGACGCGCGAGGATTTTAAAGGGCGGGAACTTGGCAAGCAACAAGCAGCCGCAGGCGACCGGCGCAACTTTGCAAGGCAACATGTCGCAGAGCCTTCCACTGGCGCTAGTGCTTTATCAGAGTGGCGCGGCCCAGGCGGTCATACTACGCTAAACTATTTTAGGATTGATTCGATGTTCCAGCCACAACGCGCCCCGCTTGTTTCATATATTAGGATGGGTACTGGTACAAATCGCAGCGCTACACGCTTGTTTGTCCGTAGCCATCTGTGCGTTGCGACCTGCAGACAACTACAACCTCTGGATCAGATCAAAGATGGGGTGGTTGCGAGCTCACTCAAATCCCGTTTCCGGCAGCCTTGGAAAACCATACGTCACCAAGCAATTATTACGCACTTTGAATAGATGTAAAAATAAGAGGGAAGTGGAAAGCACATGAACAAAGCAAAGCAGTGAGCATGCCATTCTGACAACTGCACCGCCTCTCCATGTGGGAAAGCGAGTTCCAACCTGGATCTGCTGTACTTCAGCAGATCTCGTCTCTCTAGCGCGACTACAACCCCTCCAAAGCCCCTCTGCTTTGCTGGCCTTCCAACCTTCATCACTTTTTCCTCCTAGAAGCAGTCGCTCGAAAGGCCCCTGCTGTTAGACCTTCATGTGCATAGCGACGAAACGCCGCTGCTTGCCACCGATACGCAGGTACGGCCGTGATATGTGACTTGACCATTGATATTGATATTGTATTCGAGATTGTATAAAGAATCAATATCGTAGGTCCTTGTCGGATATTACATCATTTACTCTCCATTTTTGTGCGGTTTACCGTTGCTTCGTAGATGTGGCTGCTGATAGTGTTGGTGACTTGGACGTCTTCTCCATTGGCGCTTTATCGGCTGCCTTCTCTTGTACAGCTTTCCCTTCATCCTCGTTGGCGTTGATTTCAAAAAAATGATAGAGAATGATCAAAATCATGGCTGCCGAGCCGAGGAATATGGCCAGGCGGTAGAGTTCCCCGTCGGTAATCATCTCGAGCTTGTTGGTGGTAGCACTCAAAGACACTGTCTGGTAAGCGGTCGGCTCGGATGGGTCGAAGGAAGCTGTTCGAAAGCAACTTAGCGCATTGAGGATGCAACAGGCAAGTCTAGAACAATGAAGAACGTACCTTGAGGCTTTCGGGTGGTTGCGCAGCACACAGATGACACAAGGGAGATGTGGTTGATGTTGGTGATAATGACAACTTGCCTGTTTTCACACCACCAGCCGCGATGCTGGTCCTGAGAGCTCCAATCGCCTAAACTGGCCTGAGCCGATGATGTATCGGTACCGGCACTTTCCCCTGTCTGGATGAGAGAAGTCACGTGCACATTTTGCCCAGGTTAACGCTTGAACAGGGGCAACGGTGCAGCCAAGCAGATACCAGGGCTGGAGAAGTGGCACTGTGGGGCGACCTGCCTGCTCAGCGCGTGTCAGGTCAAAGCACACAGAGATGGCTCTCTTTCCAGTGATGCAGATCCCCGCCTCGAACATCGACTTTGCCTTCGCTGCAAAAAGTCGAAACTCGACAGCCCCCACGACTCCTGCTGACCCTTCATCGCCAGTTCCCATTCCCATTAATCCTCCTTTGGATCTCAGATTAATTCTGCTTCCAATTATCATCGCTAAACACAGGAAGTTTCTTTGACAAAACCTGCCCACCATGCCGCCGAAGCCGCAAAACAAGGGCAAGAAGCCCGATGCGAAGAAGATCATCGAAGACAAGACGTTCGGCATGAAGAATAAGAAGGGTGCCGTGGCTAAGAAACAGATCGCTGCTCTCCAAAAGTCTATGCAGGCTAGCGGGAGCGCTGAAGAGAAGCGGAAGGCGGCCGAGAGGGCGCAACGTGAGCGCGAGAAGAAGGCCGCCGAAGAGGCCAGGAAGGAAGCCGAAATGCTTCTCAACAAGCCTGTGCAAGTTCAGAAGGTCCCCTTCGGTGTCGACCCGAAGACTGTCGTGTGCATCTTTTTCAAAAAGGGTAATTGCGAGAAGGGCAAGAAGTGCAAGTTTTCTCATGACCTGGAGATGGAGCGTAAGACCGAGAAGAAGAGCCTCTACGAAGATACCCGGCAAACAAAGCAGGAGGAAGAGGAGAAGAAGCGCCAGGAGACCAGTGCCGACTGGGACGAGGAAAAGCTGCGATCCGTCATTCTGTCGAAGAAGGGCAACCAGCGCACCACGACCGACAAGGTGTGCAAGTACTTCATCCAGGCCATTGAAGATGGCAAGTATGGGTGGTTTTGGATGTGCCCTAATGGCGGTGACAAGTGCATGTATAAGCATGCACTTCCACCTGGGTATGTGACATTCCAGATATTTTGTCGTTTCAGTGAATCAGAAATTAACAGTACTGCAGCTATGTGGTGAAGACAAAGGAGCAGAGGGCAGCGGAGAAGGCAGCCAGAGAGAACGCGGCGGCGAAGAGCATTACACTCGAGGAGTTCATCGAGTCGGAGCGGCTCAAGCTTACCGGCACTCTTACTCCGGTGACGCCCGAGACGTTTGCCAAGTGGAAGAAGGAGCGCCTTGACAAGAAGGCCGCGGAAGAACAGCTGCGCAAGGCCAAGGAGAACACTGGCCGTGCCCTGTTCGAGAGCGGCATGTACAAGGAGGAGGATAGCGAGGATGAGGGCGACTCCGCCTGGAATTTGGAGAAGTTGCGCAAGGAGACCGAGGCTCTCCGTATCAAGAGGGAAGAAGAGCGCCTTGCTCGGCAGTATGGTCTCATCCCAGAGGGGACGACGGATGATGGTGAAACGAACGAGAAGGAGAAAGAGCCTGAGGGCGATGAGAAAGGGGCAGATGAGGCGGATAAGGCTCCGAACACTTGAATGGGGTATACACCCAGGAACGAAACAAAACGATGCCGCGCGCGCGGCCGGGGAAGGGACGTGAGCCCACTGAGCGCTCCCCCTCAACCGGCGTTCAGCAGTGCCGGCAATGCTGTTCCAAAAGGTCGGGTGAACGTTTTTTTGAAGGACTCACCAGGGTAACCATGGACGAAACAGCAGAGCTAGGACAAATTGGGTCGCCTCAGCGAGGAGGCAGCAACAACAGCAGAGTCGGTTATGTAGCGATTGCGACGAATATATCCTCGATTTATTCACCACTTTCGCTTCTCCTCTTTCTGCCTATGATACTACATCTTTGGTCTGATGGTGCGACCATCCATGGATCCCTGAACGCCAATCCAAGTCCAGACGCTTCACATCCAAAGTTTCTTCATTATCAAAACTTTTCCACGTACGGCCTCAAGTCGAGCTCTTGCGTGAAGCTCGAGCGGTGCTGCGTGTGCAAATGCCAATAGCTGTCGGCAATCTGCCAGGATATTGTCAGTCATCAATGGGTCCATGTTGAGCTAACCATGCAGCTTTATCTGGATCAATAAAAAGCTTACCGCGTCAGGGTTCAATTTTCCATCCTCCACGCCTCCATTAGCAGGCCAACCCTTCGTTAACGGCATGTCGATGACACCATCGACAATTACATGCGCCACATGCACACCTTGCGGGCCAAACTCACGCGCCAGGCTCTGCCCCAGCGCCCGCACCGCAAACTTGCCAGCCGCGAACGCCCCAAACCGCGCCGATCCTCTCAGTGACGCCGTTGCGCCGGTGATGATCAGCGTGGGAGGATAAGGCGGAGCTGGCGTCGCTGAGACGGAGGACAGGAGCAATGGTAGGGCTGAGTGGGCGAAGTTGAGAAGGCCATGGCTAAAGTCTGGTTAGCAGGCTCATAAACCCAGGGCAATGAGGTGAGAAGGGAGGGTTACGCATTGCCGACAAGGGATCGAGACAAGTCGTCCGGGGTTGTATCGAGGAAGGATTTGATTGACGGTCTGGAGGATGCGTTGTCTGCGCATGCCCATTAGCACGCTAGCCCGGATGATCTCTGAGCAGATGGGGGGCTGGTCCGTCCTATCAACCGTAGACGATGGTAACACAGCCAACCCCATCCTATAAGTCCGTAGCAGAGCGAGACTCACAAATCGCCGCGGCGAGCTGTCTCCCTGGCAATTCGCGCTTGATAGTCTCGAAAGCCGCCTTGACAGAATTTGGATCTGTCAAGTCGGTACTGATGCCCAGCGCTTCTCCTCCTTGTTGGCGGATCTCGTCGACAACGGGATTGTAGCTCTCGGGTCTCCGTGATAGCAGGACGACCGGATAAGCCTGTGCGAAACGCAGAGCCACGGAACGGCCTGTTCCTGCACCAACTCCGGCGATAACGGCGTAGAAGGGTTTTGAGATACTAGACATCTTGAATACTATTGACGTTAAGGTTGAAGTTAGGATGAGTAATTTTATTTCTGAAGAAGTGATCTTGAGATAAGTTTTGGTCGAAGTGAGAGGAAGGAAATGCCCTTTCCGATGTCTTCACCAACCTCTGGCTCTTAATGAGGTGCTTCTTTCCCACAATGGTGTAAGGTCCTTGATGTCGCCGGTTTTACAACATTGCGGCGGTTCTCGTCTGCTTCTAAGAATAACCCCGCCCGCAGCCGGAGTTCGGAGACCGATGCTTATTAATACACCCTTCTGATTTTCTCCATTCTATAATATAACGGATCCATCCATGACTTATAAATATATATAGTGGCTGTACATCTGATACTTCACCTTGTTTAAGAGTCGCTGTTGGTTGGCCTATCCCCGATTTACTAGAAGCAATTGTCTCCCGTGTAACATCTCCATCAGACACCGGGGTTAGGGTTGAGTATGCCATTCCACGCTACGTAGCACAAGCGAAGCGAAACAGGGAACAGGACTTCTTATGTCCTCATTCAGCAACAACATTATGGTAACAATTTCTAGATTTGAGTATATGCCAGTTTAGTTATAAGTTGAGAGGTTGAAAATCAATAGTGACTGGCGTTAACGCGTTAATATTGACGCAGGTAGGTCGCAAGGAACTGATAGCTTACCGTGGGTAAGTTTCCGACGCTCTTACCGTACTGACACGACTTGGTCGCGTCAAGCCTGCGGTGCTTTTCCTTCAATCAGCCCATGTCTTTCATCCATCAAATGCTTTGTAAATATCCAGCAAACTCGCTTCATATAACGAAGACCCAAGAGAAAGAAAGTTATACAAACTTTCATATTCCCGGTAAAATTGGAAGAAAAATCATAACGCCCGCGGAAAGGTTCCTCCACAACAACATCCTCGCTCTTCTCTTGGCCAACCACGGGAGTGCTACACCATATGAAGTCTCTCGAAACGAGACTTTCCCATCAAGATGCCCTATGATCCAGACTTGGATCTACGCTATGGAGATCTGAAGGGCCAGAAACCTCCAGGTCACCCAAATGAGATGCAAGAAGATAAACAAGAGGATGAGGAAGGAGGCGATGAAGGCCCTTATGATGATGAGCCTGGAGAGGCGGATGAAATGGAGGTTGATTTGGTTCAACCTGACTCGAAACAGCAGCCACAAACTATCCCTGCCTCATCACCTATGAGACGCCCTCCATTCCCAGAGGCTAGAGCTGTGGTAAGGCCAACCAAACTGGAGGTGGTTCTTCATTCTAGCCCTAGGAGGAAGAGCTTCACCAAAGTGGATGATGATCGGGACCTCTTAAACGAAGCCGAACAACAACCTAATAGCATTACTTCTCATCTTTTCTTGAGGCGAACAGCCAAACATTCTGGAGCAAAACCGTCCACTGCGATACCCTCTGTGGTCTCATCGCCCTCCGAACAACAAGACGCTACCGACACTACTAAACCACTTCCTCAGGTCACTCCCCAGCCAAAGAAACGAGGCCGGCCGTTCGGATGGAGGCCAGGGTGCGGACCTTACTCATTAATGAGAGCTGGGTTGGTTGCACCGACACCTCCGGAGCCAAAGCCAATTAAGCCAAAACCAACGGGACAGCACAAACGGAAACGTCCTGGAAGGAAGCCTGCACTCACTGCTCGTCAGGTGTACTTGAGCTTGAATCCCCATTTCCCGAAGTTCCGTTGTGAGTGGGAAGGATGTCCGGCGGAGCTACAGAATGCAGAGACACTGCGCAAGCATATACATGTCGTCCACGGAGCCTCATCCCTACGATGGGTGAGAAGAGGCACATCAATGAGCATGGGCCCATCTTCCCTTGGCCGCCCTCTGCCCTCAGGAACACCAAAAAAAGACCATGCTGTGGTCTGCAAATGGGTCAAGTGCGGTCTCACCTTGCCCACAAATGAAGCTTTCATTGCCCACGTAGAGGAGGCCCATATTCTCCCATTTCTCTGGCATCTAGGGGACGGGCCTCTCAACACATCAGGCCATCCGCCCAGACGAAATTCCACAGAACAATCCAATAGCTCAAGCAACAACAACAACAACAATAATAATAATAATAATAATAATAACAACCACCCAGCAGGACCAAACCAGGCATCACGGAAATTGCTTCCGCGATACCTCTTTGATGCTAACGGCAACCAAGTCACGCCGTCGATCGAGGAACAGGAGATCGAGAACGAAGACGACCGCAAGAAACGAGCCGCGCGTGTCAACCGGATACTGGCACAACGAGACCGCAATGCGCCTGTGGAGCCAGACTACACGGTAAAGCAACTGGAAGAGATGGCGCGGGTGATGATGGAGAAGAAGACGCGGCAGAAGATGTTGCGTGATTATGTCGATCGAGTGTGTGGTGCCAGTGCTGATGAGAGATGGAAGGCGTGGGATTGGACTAAGTTTGCGAGTTGGAATGGGAATGGGACTGAGAAAGAAACGGGGAATAGCAACGGAAATGGTACCGCAAGTTGATGGAATTTAGTTAGGCATGGATGGGATTTCGGCAAAGGGGATGAATGTGTTGATCATTAACATGTACTCCTATCTGTCTTACTGTACGTGGTTGTATTCATACTCTTCGCATTCAGCATCGGCGTTTGGAGTGGGAGAGGACTAGTACAGGTTATTGGTGGCGTTGATATTCATTTGAGTACGGCTTATAGTCAATGAACCAGTTTCACATTTCGACGCTACAAGCAACCACTGCGTGAACATTAGTGGATAAGCCAGAGATCTTGAAATGAGTGGCAAGGCTGAAACTTGAGAAAAGGTGAAGCATTCATGACTCGCAACCGCCATGCTGAACTCCAATTCCTGAGTCCTTTAACTCGGACGGTTGAACCTGATATTGTGCCCCATCCATCAATGGTGGCTGTAATCCACTTTAAAAGATTCGCTTGTACTTCAATTCAATGTGTGTACGTGTTAAGAAAAACTGGACTCGAGTACGTTTACGCAAGACAGGGACAGCCAAAAAGGACAGAGTACAATGCTACCATGTGACTTCGCGTGGTTGACTCGCTTCTGGGACTCGACTACTACCCAGAACGGAACGGTGATCGGGAGAGTTCGATCAATAGGGTCTTAGGCCGACCCTACCAAAGACATTTCCAACGCTTCGACGGAATGCATGGAATGCAGCACTGGGAGCGTTGTACAAGCCGGGCCGACGGGAAGATGGACAGGGCAACCTGCAACCATCTCTAGTGATCACCGTGGACATCGCAAGGACATGCAGGCACTAGGCCAGGTGGGAGAGTGGCCAGTTTGGTGTGAAGAGCCAGGAAAGAACCGGGAAAGCCGCTCGTGAGGTGCGGCAAGTCCCGTGACTTTCCCAAGAGAGGCCCCCAAGTTTCCAAGCTGGACTGCTTCGGGGCGTTTCCCCTGGTCTGGCCCCTGCTGGTCCGCGGGCTACAGGGGCTGATGGCTGGGCTCACCCGGTTCAGCGCGTGTCTCACTGGCTGTTAGCGTCAGTCGGGGGGCTTCGGTGGCCTGCGGTGCAGCGGGCAGTGCTGGCGCACTGGTGCTTGGTGGGCGAGTGGGCTTCCAGCTTTAGGGTGAGTGGGTGAGTGGCCTCTGCGTGAAAGCAAAGCATCCAATGCGCGATGGGATTCCGTCCACGCCCGTCGTCCACTGATTCCCGCTCAAACACATCCACTTCCATCCACTCTTTCATCCTATCCACTCGCTCACTCGTTCGCTCCCATCATCTGCATCCACGCATCCACATCACTGCCACTCCCACTCCCGAGTCTCATATCGCCCACGTGTGCGCCCACGTCCTCGTCGGCCGCTTCCCCTCCCCATCATCCATCCCGTCGTGTCCCCCGAACCATCATGGCCTGCGTCTCCTCCTCATGATCAACAGACGACCACAACGACTCCACGATGCCGTCAGCAACCAAGAGCACCCATGGCGACGGCCATTTCCCCCAGCGCCTTAAGAACTTCTTCCGCATCACGTCGGGCAGCCGCGATCGCGACTCCGGCAGCCAGGCCCAGTTGGCGTCGCAATCATACAGCAGCCATTCCAGCAATGTCACCCACCACTCCAGCGGCAACAATAACAGCAGCAGTACCGGCAGCAAGCTCGTAGCCATCCGCCAAACCAAGTTCTTCAGCGTCGGCCGGTCGCGCAGCGGTACGACCGCCAGCGAGGGCAACCCTCTGGAGGAGACCCTGAGCCCGACGGCCCACGCGAATCCATACTTCCAGCACCAGGGTCAGCCTGCCTTGCGACATCATGAAGAAGGCTCTGTGCCCCCGAGTCCCCCCGACACACCCGGCATCAAGATTGAGGGGCCCGATGGGGGCAATGCAGAGAACGTGAAGGCCAGCACGAAGGAGGAGTTGGCTAGGAAACTTCGGAGAGTCGCCAGCGCGCCGAACGCCCAAGGGCTCTTCAAGAAGGGCGCCAGCGGCGCAGATAAAGAGCCGCTGCCCGAAGGCGCGATACCTGCCAAAGATCCAAAAGCCGCGAAGAACGACGAGGAGGAACCCCCGGATGGCCTTGAACCGGCTTCTGAGACCAGAGATGCGCTCACTCCCTTGCCACCCCCGAGCCAATCAAACCTCGCATTCCGGCGGACATACAGCTCCAATTCCATCAAGGTCAGAGATGTCGAAGTCGGACCCCAGAGCTTCGAAAAGATCAAGCTCATCGGCAAAGGTGACGTGGGCAAGGTCTATCTGGTGCGCGAGAAGAAGAGTGGCAGGTTATATGCCATGAAGGGTCAGTTTATTCTATCTACTGCGGGGAGGGCTTTTGTCACAAATCTGCGTGTCCATTACTGACTTGTTGGTTGCTGTGCAGTGCTGAGCAAGAAGGAGATGATCAAGCGCAACAAGATCAAGCGGGCCCTGGCCGAACAAGAGATCTTGGCCACGAGCAATCATCCCTTCATCGTGACCCTGTACCACTCGTTCCAGTCCGAGGACTATCTCTACCTGTGCATGGAATACTGCAGTGGTGGCGAGTTCTTCCGAGCGCTGCAGACCCGGCCAGGGAAATGCATCTCGGAGGACGATGCCCGCTTCTACGCGGCAGAGGTCACGGCTGCCCTTGAATATCTGCATCTCATGGGCTTCATCTACCGTGATTTGAAGCCAGAAAGTATGTTACCGTTACCGTACACGGCTTAAATCTGTCATGTCGAGGGCCATGCTAATTGATCTAGACATTCTCCTCCACCAGTCCGGCCACATCATGCTCTCTGACTTCGACCTGTCAAAACAGTCAGGCCCCGGAGGCAAGCCGACTATGGTTCTGGGCAAGAACGGAGCCACCTCCAACGGCCTGCCTGCGCTTGACACCAAGTCGTGCATTGCCGACTTCCGTACCAACTCGTTTGTTGGCACCGAGGAGTACATTGCCCCCGAAGTCATCAAGGGCAGCGGTCACACCAGCGCCGTTGACTGGTGGACTCTGGGTATCCTGATCTACGAGATGTTGTACGGCACTACGCCGTTCAAGGGTAAGAATCGTAACGCGACGTTTGCCAACATCTTGCGGGAGGATATTCCCTTCCCGGACCATGCTGGTGCCCCGCAAATATCAAAGTACGTGGCTTCTTTCTAATTAGCCTGCCTTGCGCATCACTGACATTGTATCCTCAGCACTTGCAAGTCGCTCATCCGGAAGCTCCTCATCAAAGACGAGAACCGCCGTCTCGGCTCTCGCTCTGGCGCCTCCGACATCAAAAACCATCCCTTCTTCCGCACGACCCAGTGGGCGCTGATCCGCCACATGAAGCCGCCCATCATCCCGCACCAGGGTCGCAACGGCATCGACACCATCAACTTCCGCAACGTCAAGGAGTCCGAGAGCGTCGACATCTCCAACTCGCGGCCCATGCCGCCCAAGCGCCACGATGGTTCTGGCGCCGGCGGCACGCCCGGCTCCGAGACGCCCGATCCCTTCGAGGAGTTCAACAGCGTCACGTTGCTGCACGATGGTGATGATGATATCCCTGTCGTGCCGGACCATGAGATGGAGAGGGTCCGGAGTGAGCTGGCCGCGCAGCAGGCTGCGTATTCGTCGGGCTATGGGTATCAGCACTCGTAGGGGGGTGATGCTGGGCTGGGACTGCAGCACTTGCAGAAGTTGCAGCTGCAGGTGTGTGGTAGGTATGGGGGAGTTGATGGGGGAGGAAGCAGCGGTGATGTTGATGGAGTGGTTGCTGCTGGGCTTGTTACTGTGGTTGAGGATGACAACAAACAGGGCGATGTTGTCGTTTTTGATGGCGATAACGACGTTGACGACTATGATTCCCTCCGTAAGAGGAGCAGCAAGGCGCTTCATTGTGATGGCAGGGGAGAGAAAACGGAGAAGATAACGAGGATGAAGAAATCTCGAAGGAGAAAGAACGGAAGAAGGGTGTGGAAGCAGCTAGTGGGCTGTTTTGGGCCTTAAAAACCCCTCCGTTTGCTTGTTTCCTCCCTGTTTTTATTTGGGGTGATTAGTTTTTTTTTGTTTTCCTTCTTTCCCTCCCCCCCCCCTTTTCATCCTCCTTCCTTCGTATGAGAGGAGGGTGTGGACTTCAGCTAAGTGTGGCTGTTGGATGAATAGGAAGACAGATGACAGAGTGGGTAGGCATTCTGGTGTGGAAGTGTGGTTTCTCCAGTTAGCAAATGGATGGGACTTTTCTTTGATCTTGGTCTGATCCGTTTAGTATCGGCTTAGATCAAGGGACAAACGGGATGGATAAGTTGAGAGAGATGTGACATGAGAGCCGTGGTCACAAGTGTTAGGGAGACAGGGGAAGGATGGTTCCTTTATCTTTCCCCTTGCAATAACCCTCATGGTCGTTGATTGTTGCTGATGTCGTTTTTCCATGCTGTCTCGTTCCTTGTTTCATTATTCGCTGTTTTTGTTGTCATCAGCATCAATCATCATGGCTTACGATAATGGTTGACCATCCGCTCCTTTTGTATCTGAATGGTTTGCAAAGTGTAGGGTTGTTTCAGTGGTTAGGTAGTGAATGGTTGCTCTTGGAAGTTTTTTCGTCTTTGCTTATCTGGCTAGGTTACCAAGCTAGATAGCTACTCTAGGTGGACACAGTTAGGGGTCTTCAAAGAAAGCGATTTGTGTTTACTCCTTGTGAATGTTTCGAAAAGCTTTTGGATCTTGATGAGTTTGGGAATAGAACTGAATCAGCAGGCAGAACATGAGGTCATAAAGGGGGGGGGGCTCGTGGGCAGTTGATCGTTGTAAGCAGTTTATCCCCCTGTAACGTGTGAGATCTCTTACGGTGAGACTACTACTGTTTTCTTTTCTTTTCTTTTCTTTTTTGTTTTTTTTTTTGAGATTGTCTTCTCACACGCAACTGCTCTAAAGTCGCCTATGAAGTTGGTCCTGGGGAACTCAGGAGCCAGGAGCAACTTAACTCTTACCAGTTAATGCCGTAAATTACTACTCGCCAATACACGGTCAGAACACAAATGAACCCCCCCCTCCCCCACTACACTTTGTGAACCAACCCACTGTGGTCACCCCGCCCGTTCAGGCCAACAACCACAGCGCGTCGACCGCGTCTCCCAAGTAACCTCCTTGCCCAAACTGTTTACTTCGGGGTGGCCTATCAACCATAGGGCCATAGATGAAGTAACAATCAAAACAAGATGGACCCCCAAGCACGGCCGCAGAGCAGTCTGCTCACAGCGGCGCCCGAACTCTCTCCACTCGAGCAAGAAGTGTTGGATGAGTATGAGCGGCTATCTGAGAACATGAAGAAGGTCCGTCATTACCAAACCCCAGGCTTATGAGAGCCTTACTCTCACATTTTCGGGAATAAGGATATCTCTATGAAGTTTTAAGAATGACGCTTTACTGACATGAATCACTAAAGTTGGCTGTGCTCTTGGATGAGCTTGCCAGTGCCCCAGCAACTGAGATTTTAGATGGGCTGCGCGAGTTGGAGCGTAAGACTAGCCTCGTGTTCACATTGCTTAAGGCTAGTGTGTACAGCATCGTGTTGCAGCAGGAGATTGATTGGGGTGGTGGAGCTGGTGATGGGCACTAAGTGAAGAAGTGCGTGGGAGTCGTGAGAGAGGGCATGGCAACCACTTGGAAGGTGCATAGAGGTTAGTGGAGCATGGGAAGGGAAATCGGACATATGTTTGAGGACTATGAGGTCTACTTTGTATGAGAACTGGCTCTATGGGCAAGGGCAAAGACACGCGACAAGGAATGGGCGGCAACCTCGAGAAAAGGGACGGGAAAACCGGAATGGGTATTTGGCTCTATCAGATTTCACAGCAGCCACAAAGAGACACTCAAGAATAAATCGAGCCATCAAGCGCTTCATGAACCAAAATCCTGATGCTCCATCTATCCCTACGCTCAACACGCCTATCATTCATACACACAGCCGCCACCGAAACTTTAACTCGAGATATATCTACATAGCCATAGCCCTAAGCAAAATCGCTGGCTCTGAGCCGAAGCACCATCGTCAAACGGAGCGTAATATCACACATAAAAGGACACATATACATTCGGGGGGTTGTGAGAAGCAGAACAAGTGGTAGTTAAACACATATTTAATACACAGCGCCGCCGTAGTACACCTTGCGGGCGTCGACCAGTTTCCTTCCGCGGCCCATGGCGATCTCCTCCGGGTCGCGCTGCTTTAGCAGGCATTGGTAGGCGGCGCGGACCGAGTTGAAGGGGTTGCGCGAGCGCGGCATGGTGGCGGCCAGGTCTTTGATGCCTGCGAAGCGGCACATCTCGAAGATGCGGTGCGAGACGCGAAGACCGAAGCCTGAAGTACGTTAGCTGATGCCACACCCAGAGAGCTGGGAAGGGGTAGGATGCTTACCAGGAGGGCGAGCAGCCATCTTAACGATGGTGCCCGAGACTTTGGCTTGAACCTCACCGTAGATAGTGCGGTCCTCATAGCGGCGGATAGGCCGCATGTTAGCAATAGCATTCAGGCGAGCCTTGAGGTTGGCGACAGAAGCTTCCGTCGACTTCGCCTCGCCAATTCCCAGCCAGCCATTGCCGTTGCCGGCGATCCAAACGACCGAAGACTTGCGGATCTTGCCGAGTCGAGTCTGGTTCGCAACCCACCGCGACACAATGCAGCGTGTCTGGATGTTCAGAATCTCACGGACCGACATGCCCGTCCGCCGCTTCAGGTCCTGGTACACACCCGAGTCATCCAACCCCTCATCAGCTGGGTCAATCGGCTTCTTGTACATGCCGGCCACACCGGGCAGCGGCTTGGGCAAGCCATAGGCGACCGAGGAGTTGGACTGGAGGTTGTTATCGGTCATAGCGGACCGTTCAAAGATGTATTGCAGGATATCGGCATCGGTCGGGCCGTCATTGTCGTCCGGGTTCTTCATCTGCCGCTCCACCTCGGCCTGCAGATACTTTTGGAACTCGCGGTGCGCCTTCTGCTTCACTTCGTTCGGCCACTGCGCCTCGTGCTTGGTCTTCCACTCCTCCGGCACAAAGTCGTACAGCGTCTTGAGCTTCCCCGTCACATCACCCTGTTGGAACTGCTCGGCCCAGTCCACAAGGTCCCGAGTGAACTCGTCCAGGTTCATGAACCTCGCGTGCGGATCCGGCGGCATCTTGTTTTGTGGCCGCTTGTCGATCATGGGCTGGTACTCGGCGAAGTCGTCGATGTACTGCATGGTGTAGGGGTCGACGCGCAGGCGGCCCTGAATCGTCAGATCACGGGGGTCAATGGCCTCCTCGGCGGCCTTGATGGCCTCGAGGTGCTTGGCCGAGTACTGGTGGGATAGCTCCTCGAAGTCCTTGTCCGTGTACTTGGGGAAGTGTTCTTTCGCAAACTCATCGATCTTCTTGTCGTCGACCAGACCCATCTCGGCGGCCCGTATGCTGGAGAAGCGTGGTTTCCGGCGGGCCGCCAGTTGCGGCGAGCTGTGGAAGTGGTGGGCGAAAATGCGCTGGTGATGACATGGTGCTGGTGTTGTCGCCGTCACTGATGCCGTCGTTGTCGAGGGGCCAGCAACCGTGGCCGCCGTACATAGCGAAGAGGCCGGTGCCGGGGCCAGGCGCCCAAAGATGAGCCTGCTGGCGACCGGGCGTGCTACGCTCATGGCTGGTTAGCTGGCTCCCTGGCTTTCTTGTATATCGCTATCGCCTTTCGACCCTTGAACCTTCCGATCCCTTCAATTGACGTCGCCCGCTCCCCCCGAGGTCGCTGATCGTCTGGTGCTGTCGACGAGCTTCAATGGTCCCCCTATCGGTTGCAATCGGCCGGCAACACGGACATTGCCCAGCGACTTGATCCGGCTCGAACAACGGACGACCAGGAATTTTTTTGGGTCCAAACTCACGCGCCCGCGATTAAGCTAGATGCCCGATTTTTGCGGCACCAACTTTGGCCCCTCTGCGGTCTGCCAGGGCCTGCCCCGCGTTGTGTGCTGTCTTGGCGTACTTCAGTCATTATGTAAGTCACGTGAATCTTGGCATCCTAGATTTGTCTTGTTATCGAGGTCACCCTTAAGGGGCTCATCGTCAATTTTGGATTCCCATCGCGGAGCGACTCTATGCACGTCTTCGAAAACCAAAGCACCTTCGTTTTCTCGAGCGGTTACTAGTTGCAAGCCGCCAGTCCAACATGATGCATGTTTTACGCTTGATAAACCTTCAATCCAGTCCTTAGTCATCACTCGTCCCACAGAGAGAGGTCTGTGGCACATCTGAAACACGAACCCGGGGCTCGGCGGCAAGCCCAAGCCCAAGCCAGGAGCTCTCCCACACTGCTTGATGGAGCCTTTACCATGGCCTTGTCGTCTGGCCATTACCCCAAGGTATATCGGTATGTAAGAGAGACGCTGGGTAGGAGAACTGAACCCCTGGCTGGCTTGCCCCCATTGTGACGTCTGCTGTTTCAAAGGTCTAGACCGCCTAGCTGCTTGCACCCATTTCTTCTCTTGTATCTCCCCTCTCCCAGCTCTGTCGGGCACGAGTAACTTCTTCACGCTCAAAGTTCGTGATTGCGTTCATCCAACATCACCTTGTAATAATATTTCTTTTACATATTCCTGCGCAGGCTACGCCCTCGAGTTGAACTCGACTTAAATATCTCGACAACATCATCACCTCATTTTCGATACCAGTAGCTCATCTTCCTGGTCTCAACAATGGCGTCTCCGAGCCCGTCACCTGGCCCTTTCAACTGGTTCCTCGCCATTGGCGCGACACCAGAGGCCGTTGCCACTCTTAATGACCAGCCGATCCTGTTCACGATTCTTATTATCGTCCTTATCGCCATGATCCTTCAATGCGTCCTGCTTTGGTACATCCACTACGCCACCATGAAGCCCGAACAAAGGGAAGCGAAGAAGAAAAAGAAGGAGGTGAAGCAGTCTGAAAAGAAATAAGGAATCGGCTTTCGAAAAGATTTCGGCTTCCAATACAACAAACCAAAACTGTGGCGTCTCTCTTGTTAGACCGGTCTGTCACTCGTAATTTTCAATACAAGAAGCAGGTCGTGCTACGGGAGTTGGGGCTTGATAACAAAGAACCAGACGACTACCAGTCACTTTGACATCAACATCGTCTTCTGTCGATCAGCTCTGTTACCATAGAACTGTGCATCAGACACGCTCGGTTCAGCTTGTGCACTTTGGAAAGTTTGTTCAGAAGGAATCAACCAACAAAACCAAATCCACAAATGGGATACCCTTAGGGCGTTGGCTTGGGGATTCGGTGGAATTGTGAGATGTTAGACATTCGCTGTTGAGAAGTCCGGTCATAATGGGTCGTCGTATGGTTGTGGCGGTAATGGATGAAAACTTGGTCCTTGATCTTGATCCTGATACGGAGCCTCATGCGCTAGGAACCAGTTTTGTTCATCGTACATAATATATGCTTGATCTTCGTTCTCGTCAAGGTCGATTTCATTGTCTCCATGAGCAAATATACCGATGTCAGGTTGGCCATAAGGCTCTTCGTGTTCGATCTCATCATCCGCCCAGCTGATCTCGTCCTTTTTAAGAGCCGTATGCTTCTCCACTGGGATTACGTTCCCAAGACCATCAGCGTAAAAGTAGTCGCCCTCTGAACTGCTTATCCAGTCATTCGTTGCCAGATCATGATCCCTCCAAGCGGATTCTTGTATTTCTTCGTTCATCAACTCGTATGCTTGTGATAGGTCAAACCCTTCAAGCAGGGGCTGGGGTGCTTCAACTAGAGGGCTATTGTCTGGCAGACGATCATTGATGCCCAGTTCTATTACTGATTCATCATCGGATACATCAGAGTGTTCGCTGTTGTTTGTGCTGCTTGTATCGGTCTGAACAGGGCGCAACTGAGGTTGTGTCGCCATACGTTTCGAGTCCGGTCTTTTCCTTGGCTGTGGTACTCTAATATCTCCCCGGATCCGAGTTTGACAAAGCAGCCATAATCTTCTTATGATTCCTTCAGAAGAATCAGTCACATCCGCATGTCCGTCTTTTGCTCTTCCTTCACAAGAGGCTAGTCGTTCGAGCTTTTGCCTCAAGATCGATGATTGAGCGTTACTGAGTCTCATGATACCACTGACAATTGACGGGACGATACTCGAGTGGGCTGTCATTGTCTGCATAGGGTTAGGCAAGTCCCTGTGTTCACTTAGAGGGATCTCACCTGGAGATAGTGAAGGTTCCAAACAGCAGGGGCAATATCGATCAGGGACAACTGGAGAGTTCGCTTGGTCACTCCTACCCCTGATGGTGCTCTCCTGACCCCAATGAGTTTTCCTAGGGCAAGGTCTAAGAGGCTGGTGAGCTCAGTTAGGAGTGTCGCTGAGGTAAATGACTCCAGCGCCTGTTCGATTGCGTCTCGTTCGGAATTTTCTTGACTAGGAGGGGGTGACAGTTCCCTGCTAGCTGGGCCTTGTGGTTCGTACTTCTTGAACGGCTTCTTGCTAGGCCTGGGAGGTCGAGGTAGGGGTGGTGATTCCCTCCTTAGTGACTTTGCTGAGGTCTGAGTCGATTTTGCATTGCTTTTGCTTGGAGAAATCCCAAAGTAATAATTGACTTCACACTTCAGCCCCTGAAATCGAGCTAATGGGATAGCTGGAGGGGCGATCATTTCGGAGGAGAGATCTGGATGGTGAAGGAAGTATGACGCCTGCACAGAGTTCTGCTGATGGTCTCCATTGTCGGCATGATTGCTGCGGAGCTCAAGACCGAGTTCGTTCCAGACCTAACTTCTCAGAACCATGGAGTAGCCAAGCCAGGAAACGACTTTCTCACTTACTGGACACTCCGAAGGCAAGTTGACGATAGCTGTCATAGTAGCTTGGCCGAAAATATCATTCAGGAGCCCGTCGTTGACATTAGCCGCAAAGTCCACCCGGCAAGACCCTGCTTTGGCAACCCAAATCTTGCCAGCCGCTGAAGCCTCACACAATTCTCTGGCTGTCGGGGGACTCCAATCCCAGGATGGGGGAAGAGCTATCATGGCAGAACTTGACAGAGCAAGGGATAGACCTGGATGTTTCCCTTTCACGGTAATGCTTCCTAGGTCCACGATCACAGTAACCATGGCAATCAAAGCTTGTGGAGAAAACCCATGACAGCTGGTGGCATTAGGACTGCACAGCCAAGGGAGGAGTGACCTTGGAATTGGACGTTGCGAAGCTCACCGGCGATCGAATGTCATGTCCGAGAACAGGAGAAGGCGACAACGGGAGTGGCGAGGAAGGGAATTCCAGTGCTTGTGATTCCTGACCCCATGCGGAATTGGGGGACGTGTTATAAGGCAAACTATCTAGCAATTTTTGGCCCAAATTTGACGAATCTGGTGGATGCGTGGGAATATAAAGAGGCAAGAGCATTAACTGATACCTTCCCAATGGCGTACGCTGCTCAGGAAAGAACTTTCGAGTGGCTTTTGGCAAACCCTAATCCGTCCCTGACAGAAACCCACTGCAAGCTCTTGGCGTTTTAATCCTGTGGAAAGTACAGGCAGTAAGTAGTATGTCTTGAGAGCAGCAAAGATGGAGGGGCTTACAGCCGAACTTAGACCTTGGTTGAGCTGAGCTGAGCCAAAAGGGCAGAGGGGATATCACCATCTTCTCCATGGTGATAGTGGCAGTATTTCATTTCAATAACCTAATGTTTTCTCAAGGACCTGCGGTGCTCGCTCCGTTTCCCTTTCACATGTTGCAACATGCAAAGATATGTGCAATTAGTAAGTGATTTTGTTGCCCCGACCTCTACCTACTTTTCGCTACCATGATGCAATAGTTGTGAAAGCAGGCACCTACCCCTATGGTGGCCAGCAGGATAGTAGATAATCCATGTCATCTACGACGTCGCTGGTCTCAAGGGGGATGCGATAAATGCACTGGAGGTAATTATTGCTGTTGATGACAGCTGGACAATAGTAGGACAAACCACCTTCTCTAACCCCACCGGCAAAAACCCAAACCGCCTCCCTGGAAGATGCAAAACCATGTATGTCAGAAGTGCCACCCAGCCCCAGAAGAAGTTTTCTTTTGTTTTCTCTCGCGAACATGCCATAAGAACTGTCCCACCCGTGAACCCGGTATATGTTGTTGCAAGGAGGGAAGGAAAGAAAACCTGGAAAATAACTCTTGAGGCGACAAGCCCTCAGAAGCTCTCAAAGGGAGACTGTAAAAAGGATGGACCACATGCCTGCAGCATTCCCCAAAAGAGACATGAAAATGCGGTTTACCAGCCATATTGTTGTTTCATTATGCAGTTGAGGGTGCTGGGCTGGATATTTCATGAGCACGTGAGCTCCTTTTCTTCCTCAACCAACAACGCCGTGAAGCAAAGACACAGAAAAAGGAAGTGAAATAAAAGACAAAGACTGAGAGATGACAAGGCTTGCGGTCGTACTGAGAGTGTAGTGGTTAAGCAAAGGGACGCATCAGCCCATGAAAATTGACATTTCATGGCCTTGTCAAGAATGAAATGGATATTGCAAGTGTACTGTGATGATGACCAAACCACGCTGCAACTCTTGACCAAAGAGCTGCTGATCTGTTAGATTGCCTGCAATCCATTCCTCGAGTTCTGGGCAAGGGACAAAGTTAAATCGGGATGGGCTGTAGATAGAATCGCTCTCGACACAACAGGTTTCCTCTCACAGCGATCTCCGCATTCTCGACCGCTCCAGGGCAGTCTGAAGCTCAGGACGGTCCTTGAGCAGTTCGTGAGCCTCGACGAAAGTAAACCACTTACGCTCACGCTTTTCACGCTCAGGCCAATCGGCTTCCTCGCTGGTAACGGTAACCTCGTAGAAGTGATAGAGCGAGCGCTCCTTTTCCTTCTTGCCATCCTTAGTGGGGGAGCCCGAAGAGTTCGTCTGTGACGACTTCTTGCGCGGGCTGGTCTCGCGGATCTCACCCAAGTCGTAAACAATTTCGACTAAGATGCCGGCTTCCTCCCAGGCCTCGCGAGCGGCAGCCTCATGGCACTCTTCGTCGGTCTCCCAGCCGCCCTTGGGCAGTACCCAGCCCTTCCGGCGCGTGGACTGGATCAACATCACGTACGACTTGTCCTCAGTAAGAGGCACGACTCCAGCGACCAAGCGTTCGCCTTTGGTGTTGTATCCTATAGGGCGGAGAAAGAGGAGCAACAGTCAGTTTTTGACCTGCGGTGGTCTCACAAGCGGCATCTCGGAGGAACTAGAATTGCTGGTACGTAGCCAGCGAATTCCCTTCTCCTAAACCCGCCATGAGCTCATCGCCTGTCGGGATGTTTTGTTACCCTAAAGGCGAGAGGGGGAAAGACTCACTTTGATTGCTCCTCCCAGTTCGCGACTCCATGGAGCGGGTAACCCCGCTGCTCGTTGTCACTGTGCCGGCAGGACTCATTGTGTACCAACTGATGCAGAAAATTGGCGAAAGGAGTTGGAAGGTGTTGCGAGACCGGGGCTTCCGACAAGTCGAAGCGTAATTGTCGTGAGGGCCGGAAGAACCGTGTGAATTTTGCAGCCGCAAGAGTTGACTCGGGAAAAAAAAAGGGAAAAGACGACCGTCTTTAAAGGCTGTTATACAGCATGGTCGACACGTGCAAACCGAGCAATAGAAAGTTGGCAGGTGGCGGCGGTGAGAATGAAGACAAGGGTTGATCGTGGGCCCCTTTAACGGCTTCAGTTGATGAGAGTGCAGTGTGACGATTTTTTTTGGAATCAGGCAGATGTCAGGGCGCGAGAATCGAAGGCAGGTACAATGGAACGACTTGAATCAGTAACCCGAGGCTGTCAGATGTCAGACGAGGACAGGTCCTGGCGCAGCAGATGGGTTGGGATGAAAGTCGTGTGTGCCAGGCGCAAAGAATAAGTGAGTTCGCGGAGAAGATAGCTTGAGCTGCGCAACGTCTCGTGAAACTCGAAAGTCGCTTGACGTTAAAGAGACTGACGACTCTCGAGGCCACACAAAGCGAGTGGAAGTGTTCCAAGAATTATTTAAATTGGATCACGAAAAAGACTTCGGAGGACGGAACGATGACGGTTGGGGGTTGCTGATTTGCGCCTGGAGGGAAATGTCAGGCTTGCGCGACGATGGCGTCGGATAGAAACTTTTTCTGGGGTTCGCACGTCTAGGCGACGCTCGGCAGCAACCGAAAGCCCTATGCAGATGGACAGGCAGGCTGAAGCTGGGATGAAGCGCCCCGGAAACGTAGACGTTCAACGAGAATGGCCGGACCTGGGTAAGGGCGGCAGGGCGGCGAATCGGCAGGTCTGCAGTACTGTAAGAGGGGCAAAAAACGGGCCAAGGTGCACCCGGACAACGCGGGCTGCAGAGATCAGAAGCTGTGCAGCAGGCCGTAGCCGCAAGGTTGGAGGGTGAGGTAGTGTGGTAGTGGTTGGTGGGATTGGATCTTTTTTTTTCTCCTGAGGGTGTGGATGAAATTGGCACGGATATGAATTGGAGGTTGAGATGACGGACGGCACGGACAGAGGTCTGGACCGAGACCACGGTACGGGGTACAGACGGGAGGTCAGAGACCTGAGCACCGGTCGCTGCTGGCGGGCAAGGCTGGCTGCTGGAGGTGTCCCCCCAGCTGAAAGGTTGGAAGAGGGGCAGATGCCAGGAAATCGAGGTTGGTCTTTATACCCTAATACAAATGGGACCTTACAAGGCAAGGCGAGGTACATGGACGAAAAAAAGAGGCCTGGAAGACTCTGCGCGGGCCGGAGCCATAGAGGCAAAAGAACCTGCCTGAAGGCCGTGGCCTGGAGCAAGCAGCACCCTGCAGCACATCAGTCGCGGCGGCAGGGGGGAGCTGCGGTGGCCGGTGGCCGGCTCAGGCTGCTCGTCCCAAGTGGTTCCCCACATGGCGGCGAGGGCAACTGTCATGACGATGACAGCGTGGACAGAGAAAAGGAGGATGGAAAGGGGACACGGAAAGGGAAAGGCACTGAGCGAAAAAGAGAGCGCCTCCAACAGTTGAGCTAAAATTTTTATTCCGTTTGGTCTGCAGCGCCCGCAAAGAATGCTGCCCTGGAAGCCTTGAACCAGTGGCATGAGTGGGGCTCTTGCCATGTGGGGTAGGTACTTGGGTACACAGTGTGGAAAAAACAGTGCAATTCTCGGCATGCTGGAGATACCGATGGATGGACGCTTAGACCCTATGTCTCGCCTATGCTTTAGGTACTGGCACTAATATTCACATCAGGAAAGTGACAGAAGATTGCATCTTTGTGTGCAAGCCAGTGAGTTAGAATGGGGAAATGTGATACCTATTCCATCCGATAATATTGGGCATAGGAACTGTGGTGTCTTTGTTATGTTGGACAAGTCTGCTGCCACATTGCAGGGTACACAGCATCAACTGACAAGTTGACCCGGCCAGGAGTCACGGGCTTGGCTTGTGCTGGCAACAGGGCAGTTGGCACGATCATCAGTCCCGTTATCCTCCGGGCTTCCATTGTCTATGGCGTAATGATCCCCTCGCGTTCATAAGAAAGCAGATATTGACTGCTCTGATGGATCAAAAACAGGAGAGATAAGTTGTTGGAGATTTGTCTGATGATGCTGAACCGGGTTACCAGGATAAAGGTTGATAGCAACGTCGGCAGCTCTCAAAGTTCGGAGTTCCCAAACGTACTTCAAGAAGCACAGTTAATTGAGATCTCATACTGTTGTAAGCCACCGTTCAAATGCACTGGCCATTCGATTGGACAAAAGCCTCTTGTGCCCGACAATGGCTTGGCCAACCCCTTCCCGATCCCAGATCCAAGGCTGCGCATCTTAATCACCGCTGCAGGGTCTTTCAACCTCTCTGCCCTAAACAAATCAGACCAAGACCAAACACAATAGCGTGCTTCTCTCTTTTCCAAAAACAAAATAAACTGCAATTTTCCGATTTCCTTCTCACATGCCCTCATGCCCTTGTAGAGTGTTTTAAGTTACACCATAGGAACGCTGTGGCGCTGCGGGGCAGCAGCAACCGGTAAGGCAGAGGGTGAACCGAAAATGGCGGCAAATTGAAGTGGGGGTTCTCGAACGAGCTCCGGCGCATGCTCGTCCAAGGCCATTCACACAAGTCTCAATCACTTGCTTTATCTTCAACCATAGGAAGACAACGATGCGCCGACTCAACACAAAGCTCATGTCATCCAAACAGTCCTACCAATAGCCTCTCTGGCAGTCATATCTAGTTACCTATCTACTCTTTTTGTTAGCTTGTCCAGCGTGACAACCAGCAGCTCCCTTGTTGGCTGTTGTATCCAAGCACCATTTCATCCCACCTCTTCCACAGCGCGTTGCGACAAATAGCCAGCTCGTGTGCTTCGTTCCTCAGCCAGCCGACCAATCTGGCCACGGCCAATTGGGGCACTGAGCCGCTGCGGCTTGGAAAGGAAAATCCCGGATCCGCTCCGGCCATTTGGATCCAGGACGGCTCTCGGCCATCGTGCGCACCATCAGTTCACGTCACCGTTGCCCGCCACCCCCATCCCCGTGACCCAACCGGCGGCTGTCTACTCGCGGGTCTATCCGAACCGGAAATATTCTTGCCCGGCCCGGGACATTGGCTCCGGCAACCGGCCGTGTAAACGCGGGGTTTAATTGCAACCTAACGGCTTGCTTGATCTTTTCTTCCAGCCAGGACCTGCTCACCAGAATTTGGGTTCAATTCCTCATACCTCCAACAGCATAGTCGGCCGACTAGCAAACCTGCCTGTCGACCCCCACGAATCTCCCGACAAACTTGAGCAGCCATCTCCAAGGGTTTCCTTTCCCAGCATCATGGACCCTCCGGTCAGACCCACCCCCGACGATGAGGCTGCAGACCCCTACTCCTACCTCTTCCCTATCGGTGAGTCTAGGTTGTCTTTGGTTCATCAATCCAACGTGCTAGTTCCATCCAACCATTCGGGAGATTCTGCCCATGTGCTCGGATCCTTGCATGTCGTTGGCTGGCATCCCAGAAGTACAGCCGGACATCACACGCGATCTCTTTCCCTAGACCACTTCATATGACTTGTAATACAATTGCATATCTGTCGTGTTCGGAATCAAGTTCTTATTCTAGGACTCATGGCTGTGCGCTTGGGTTGTGAGACCACTGAGATGCCCACGGCATGGCCGGAGCTCTCCAGCCAACAAGTCCATCTCGTCTGGTCCTCGTGTTGCATGCACCCTCAAGAATGTGGGGTTTCCGCTGGATGTGTGACAAACTAATGAAGCTCGATTGCTGTTTGCTTTTGGATATTTGGCGATCTCCCGTCGCTACATTCAAGCGAAGTCCCCAGGAACCCATGGCTAACGTGAAGATTGATATCTAGGATACAGCAACTCATCTGAATGCGGTTATTGTCATGGATCTGGCAAAGGTCGGTGGAAAAAAAGTGGGTGATCTTCCCCTCTCTAATAAAAGTTATTAAAGCTGCTAGCTGGCCTATGATAACCATGTCCTAGCACATACAGCTGAACTCGCTATCCCTGAACTTCCCTCAAACTTGCCCTTCCCTGATTGACCTTAGTCACACTTGCTTATTCCTGGGTATTGTGGTCTGCAATCTAACACGAGTCACCGTGTAGGGTTCTCTTACTATGCCATAGCAACTCATCTGAAGCCCGAGTTCTATCAAAAGCTGGTAGACCGTTGTTGGAGACGATCCGGAACCCTTCTGTACCGGCCGAATCCAAGGCACTCGTGTTGCCCACATTACACGCTGCGCTTGGATTCAACCAAAATCAAGCTCACAAAGGATCAGAGGCAAGCCATCAACCGCTTCAATCGGCACATCCTTGGGTGTGATTATGTGGCCAATGTGAATCGCCTTTATCCCCGGACTCGGGCAGAGAAGCGAAGACGTCACAATGTCTTTGACCTTGTCGAGAGAATACACGAGTCTGAAGCTCAATACGTCAAACCATCTCCAATCCCAGACCATGAGTTTACAGTGACTCTAGAACCAGACACGTTTACCGAAGAGAAGTACGAAGTTTTCGAAAACTACCAGCGTGTTGTACACCGCGAGCCTCCGGACAAGATCTCGCGCCGTGGCTTCCGCCGTTTTTTGTGCAACTCTCCGATCGTTCGGGGGACGTACCGGGACTATGACGGCTCGCAACGACCTCTGGGGTCGTACCACATGTGCTACCGCATCGATGGCAAACTTGTTGCTGTGGGCGTGCTTGACCTGTTGCCGGAATGTGTTAGCGCAGTCTACTTCCTATACCACGAGTCCATTCACTGGCTCAATCCGGGAAAGCTGGGCGCGCTGCGCGAAATAGCTTTCGCTCGCGAATATGGCTATCGCTGGTGGTATCCCGGCTACTACATCCACAGCTGTCCGAAGATGAAGTATAAGATAGACTATCGCCCTCAAAACGTTCTGGACCCGGAGACGCTGCAGTGGTATCCGCTCACCAAGGAGACCCTCGAGCTGTTTGACAAGGGCCCCTATGTTTCCTTCTCTAGATGGACTGCAGAGCCAGGTGATGACACCCCTCCAAAGCCCAAGAAGCCCAAGCAGCCCGAGTTCGACTCGGACGTTTCGACTAACTCGAACGAGAGCCAAGCCGAAGAGGAGAAAGAGGAAGCGTTCCTTCTGACCTCCTCCATGCCCGGCATCCCGACCCTCGAGGAAATGCGCCGCATCAATATGGACCATATTGTCCTGCGGTCGGATTACTCGGACCGCTTCATAGTCGCGTCGAACCTGGTGGTGTGGTCACGCGAAGACATTGGGCAGCATCACTCGCTCAAGGCCAGTATCGCTGAGCTGGTGGCTGCCATAGGCCCGGATTTGATCCCAGAGTTGTGTGTCGACTTCAGGAAGAGGGAGCGGAGCTCGGGATCGGATTGATGGAGGATCTTTGGGGGATGTAACATGACATGAAAATGGAATGGGGATCTTGCGTCCCGCAATGCAACATGGAAGGTCTCAGCTGAACTGGCATGTCTGTGACTGAATCAGGAACTGGTGAGTAGCCTGTGTCGGTCAGATATCTCTGGGCCAGGCTATTGCTCTATGTGGCGCCGGATCGAGCTCGGGAATATGTAGAGGCATGTGGGAGTACAGTGGGTTGGCGAGTCATGTGGGCAGGAGAAGCGATTGGCTTTCCCATCAGCGGCCAAATGTTCTTTGTCTTACATTGTTATAACTCATTAGAGTAACGGCTAGATAGGTATAATTCAGATCGCAAGGTCATTGTGAGGCACAAACTGTCTCAATATCTCAGTAAAGTGATTGAACCAGTGCATGTCTGCGCGCCTTCAAAGTAAAAACCAAGAGAAATGGGTGATAGCTGTCTTAAGTTGAGCACTCCATGCATTCGCGTAACGCCTTTTACAAGTAGGTAGGGATCGAATAGTATCCGCAGCCAAACAATAGTTAGTATTTACTTGCGGTTTGCTGACTAGGGAGATAACTGAGGGGTTGTGCCTGATAAATGCATGGAAACTGTTGCACCACAATGCATGGTAGAGCGAGTCTTCAACCACGTAAACATGTAAGTTAGTGAAAATGGCAGTGCATAAATCTATCACAATCCTGTTCTCAGCCTCTGCAGCTGGCTGATTAACCCCCCATATGCACCAAAACCCTTATTCTCGGTTTGTGATTGACTCTCACCCTCAGCATTCTTCTTTGCAGCAGCATCGGCCGCCTCAGCGGCGGCCTTGTTCTTATTAGCCTGCTCCATCTCCTTCAACAGCTCCTTATGCCGATCTTCGACCATCTTGGCCAGGCTATCCACAAACTTTGTCCTCCCTTTCTCTTCTGCTGTCCCCTTCCACACCGTAACCAACTTCTTGAGCTCCTCAACCCGGTGTGCGGCGTCCTCAATCCCTTTGATGACCTCTTCTGGAGATTTGCCGTCGCCACTGCTACCGAGTAGCCTAGAGATCTCGTCACGCAGTGATCGCAGGACTTGCTGGCCTTTCTCCTCTGTACTGTTGCCCTCGCCGCCTGCGTCAGGCGCCGAGACGGACAGGAAGCCCGAGCTTACAGAGACCTCGGAAGGCGGGAAGACGAATTCCATGGCTTCTCCAAAAGTCTTGATGACAGACTCCAGGCGTGAGCGCACCAGAGTGAGCGTCCGTAGCTGAGTGATACATTCCGGCTCAGGGGGTGCCGGAGGTTCAGCCGGGGCTGTCGTCGCCGCGGCTGTAGACTCCTCAGCAGCAGGAGGAACCGTCCCATGTACAGCGATCGAGAGCCGCCGTTGGTGCGCACTCAGACCATGGTTGGCACCATCAGAGGATGTGAAGGTCTTGGACTCGATGGTCTCGCGCACGCCGCCCGGCACGAACTTTCCGATGTCATCGTCCAAACGCTCTGTCAACGCCTCCGCTAGGCCGATGGTCTCGCCGCGGAGAAGCTCAACCTCGTAGGCCAGGCGGGCACCGCTGCGGAGGATGTCATTGGTGAGCTCGGTCAGGGTGTTGGTTAGGCGCGTAGTGTGGGCGTTGAGCTGGGTTAAAACAGACTGAGCCTGTACTGAAAGCTCGGCGAGGGGTACGGCGGCTTGTGAGCCTGATAAGGTGGTTGTGGTTGCAGTAGATGTTCGGGTGGAGGTGGAGGCAGAGGATGTGCTGATAGGTGTTGTAATTTGTAAGGAGGGCAGCGTGGCATTGAGGTATGCCACGGGGTCGAAAACTGGGCTGAGGAAGTCCCGCAGAAAGGGGTCCGCCACGTGCTGAGATTTGGGTTCAATTGGTTGTTTGGGCAGCTGTTGTCTTGCGTGAAGAGCTAAACTATGAGTCCGAGAGGCCGCGCTGCTTTGCCGTCTGCGGGACTGTCTTGCATCCCAGGCCATGGTGTGGTTTATGCTTTACAGGAGAAAGGAGCGACCTTCGAGGAGTGGACTTGAATGAGCCAGCTGCAATACTTGCCTGAGAGTTGTCCCTTCGTTGTTCACTGACTCTGTCCAGATGAGGCTAGAACAGACAAATCCTTCCAGATGCCAATAATTGGATTAAAGGGGCCTAAATAAGGGGGACTCTGGGCACAAAGTATATGGCAAGTCGCTGTTAAGCGGATCAACTCCATAGTGGGAGCCGTTGAGGTCCTCATTGTTCACGCCAAGCCCAGAGGACAGTTTGGCAGCCAAGTCTGACCTCGATCCAGCCGGCAGCCAGCTGCTGACAGCTGGGGAACCTTGAATCGCCTAGTCCTGGAAGATAGCGCTTAGGACATCAGATCACGGACCGCTCACCTTGCTCATTTGACTTCACCTTGACCTCTGATAAGTTGAAATGAAGCTCTCTGTGAGTACCTAGACATATGCTGCATGCAGGGTTGTCAACCTCACCCACGCGGGTTAGCTTTGGCACTGGTAGTGACTATGACCATGCTTGTTGTGGATAGAGCAACGCAGGTAAATCAAGGCTTTGTCCACATGACGTTCACCATTCCAGACCTTGCTCTGCATGGTCAGGTGTGGCAGTGCTGACCGACATCATCAGCCCCAATGGCAAGTCATATAGAGCATATTGGGGCGCTTTTCTTCTCAACAATGAGCATGTCTTCACCTTGTCCTGGTCTTTGTTTCTAAAACCTAAACCTGAAGGGCTGCTGCAAAGAAGCAAGCACTAGTTCATATGCTTGCGTGGCCCTGCTGATGTATGCCCCTGCAGTATCGAGGGGCTCTATTGTCCCAGCCGAGGGGAGACCTCGCGGGTTGACCGAGTGTTCTGCTGCAATGAATATCTGCAGCTACAATTGCTAAGCCATCCATATCTCTTGCAATTCCAGCTGTCGTGAGTGTGGGCGGCTTGGTTAAGTGGGTGAACATCACTGGAACACCGGAACTGACAAGCGCGCAATCCGTCGAAGTTCATGATTTCGACACGCGTTCCTTCTGTCAGTACCTGCGGTCTATGGCCACATTGATGTCCCTCTCAATCAAGCAACAATACAATTTATATACTCCGCTGGCTGCCTTTTTCTTTTTGATATTCTTTAACAGATCCTTGAGCAAATTATATCGCAGCAGATATTTCACCTTCCAACCTGGCTGGAGAGGATACAACATCGACTTAGTGCTACTTTTGAGCTGGAGCCTTCAGCGAAACACATGTTTACGCTATTCCCTCGTGATTCTAGCCAAATTTAGCATAAAAAGTCGACTTCTGCGATTTAAATTCAGCCTCGAGCAGCAGTTGAGGACGATGGGAGGCTCATCTAGCAGGCGTCTATCCCTAGGTTGACCAGTTGTCTCGCTCACCCGTGCCGCAGCTGGCTCAGTCAGCCTTGCCTGCCCACCCCCCGGACTCAGCCGGGCATTCTGATGTTGTTGAAACATCCCATGTAAGTGTTCGGTTAGTTATCCTCTTCCATCCCAAGCATCATATCCTAGCTGCCGACAACGCAGCATGGACTCCTGTGTGACATTTTTCAATATAAAGAGGCCCGCTAACTTTATGAATCCCTTCCTCCCTCCCAAGTACATATTTGAGTCGTTTGCCTATGAGCTGTCTGCCCGTAACTCTGGATTTCTCAACAACTTGATGAGTTTGCCAGCATTGTCAGGTATCCATGAGCAAAAAATTCAGTTCTGACATCAGAGCCGCAAACGCAAAGGCGGCCACTGGTGTTATCCCGGGCGTTGTTTCAGTCGTCTCTGGGGACAAGGACGGTGAGATCTTGTCACATTCAACCATAAAGTCCTGCATGACAAGATCCGCATTCATATTCTTGCTGCGGACTCGAGAGAGTACCCCGATGGCAATGTGTTTCAGCCCAGCAGCAAAAATCTGTGTCCGGGGAAATGGGTAGCAATTAAGTGTGAGAAGGACCCTTATTATTACCATGCTAAAATCACCGATTTTAGTCGAGCAGAAGGGTACGTCAACGTTGAGGTGATAACCATTTCAGGCACTCCACCGTCTGGTTCATCCGAAGAAGCGACCAACGACTCGAACGAGGTGATGGCTGCAGTGTTTCCCTACGCAGTGGAATTCGATTCGTTGAGCGACGGTGGCAAAGCTATTGTCATGTAACACATTCTCGACACTCTACCCTCCATTTTGTGGATCGAGGACTGGCTCCTGAACCATCCACAGCAGACCATCCGAGATATCGACCGGATCTCTCAAGCTGCTTCATCGTTGCTGCAGCGGATTGTGTCTTCCAATCGCTCGTGCATTTACCAGGTAGACAGGACGCGTGCAGTGGTGAAAAGGCCATTGCCGCCACACCAAGCATCCGGAAGTGCAATACAAGACGTCTCGAGGCCCGCGGGGCGAGGGAGAAATAGAGAACATGAGCGCATTCCTGGAATGGAAGGCTGGGTGCAGTTCTGCTTTGCTCAGGGCACGCCGGATAAGGAACTGCGCTTCAACCGCGCTCTCCGGGAAGTGGCTGCCCGGAAGGATATCAAGAAGCATCCCACTATCTTTGCCTGGCATGGTAGTAGCCTGGCCAACTGGCATAGCATCATTCGAACGGGTTTAGGCTATAACGAAACCAGAAACGGTCGCAGTCATGGCAATGGCGTGTACATGAGTCGTCATTTTAAGACCAGCAGAGGGTACTCGGTGACTGGTTTGACATGGCCTAATTCGGACCTCAAATTCAACCTCTGTATCGGCCTTTGTGAGATCATCAATGCCCCGGACGAGTTCCTTTCGACAAGCCCGCACTATGTGGTCCAACAGCTTGACTGGATCCAATGTCGTTATCTGTTCGTGCAACCTCTGACTGTAAATACCAAGATTGACTCCACGGGGGAAAGGGGCAAAGACAAGCAGTTCGATCAAGAAATTCACCCTCAACCTTTCGGGTGTGAGATCTTGGGATCAGATGACAAACCGTTGAAGATTCCTGTGACGGCTATTCCCATCCGAACCGTTGACACTTCAACTTCAGGTCGCTCATCGAGGGCTTCCCTCAAGAGAGAGACTCGGGAATTTGAGCAGCTTGGTGACGACAGCGATGCTGAAGATGTGCGTTTGCTCTTTACAAATGACGAATTTAAGGGTTTCTTTCCTCCGGCTGCCAAGCGTTCATCATCCCGTTCCTCTGGTGTAAAATTGGGAGACAGCTCAGATTTGTAGGCGTTCTCACACTCAGTTCCAAATATCCGGATGCATTACTAAACCCACGTGTCCGCAACCAGTCCGTCTTCTCCGACAGGCGGCATCATTCTCGATCCCACAAAGACTGATTTTGAGCCTGGAGCTTTCGATTCTTCATCTCTCCCACGTCTTGACCCTCCATCTTTCGCCAATCCCTCTTCCACACGCGCTCTTTCTCTCGAACTGGCTAAGCTTCAAGCTTTGCAGTACCGCATGCCACTCCATGAGCTCGGGTGGTACATAGACTTCAACTCTGTCACAAACCTCTTCCAGTGGATTGTTGAACTGCATAGTTTTGATTCCTCGCTCCCACTTGCGCAAGATATGAAAGCTGCTGGCATCCGATCCATCGTCATGGAGATGCGCTTTGGAGCTGATTTCCCATTTTCACCGCCGTTCGTGCGGGTCATCAGACCCCGATTCATGCCTTTCTTGCAAGGAGGGGGTGGGCATGTTACCGCTGGCGGCGCCATGTGCATGGAGCTGTTAACAGCCAGCGGCTGGAGTCCTGCGAACAGTATGGAAAGCGTGCTGTTACAAGTTAGGATGGCGCTGTGCAACCTCGAACCCCAGCCGGCAAAGGTTAGACAAGAATGTTGTTGAGAAAGGAAAGGCAGCCTTGGCAGCTGCAGCTGCAGCCGCCACGTCTGGGAAATCAAAGAGTGGGAAGAGCGGTTGGAAATCGTTGTTTTCACGCACTAAGGGCCAAGTCAGCAGCACTCCCACCACTCTGACTCCTGAACCTGTGAAGATTGGTACCGCTGCCCCTGCAAAGGTCACTTGGATGGACTATGGCATCTGGGAGGCGATTGATGCATACGAGCGCTCTGCCAGAGCACATGGCTGGAAGATCGCGGAGAACTGGAGGCAGACGGCAAATGGAGTATGAGTATAATGCTTTTTTGGTTCCATTACTGGGTCCAGATGCTCTTTTCCAAGTGGATAGGAGGTGATTCATGTTGGGCTTACGGCCTCCGTTCTCATAAGATAGTACACGGCACGACAGGGAGCATTGAGGGTCATCGTGGCATTTTGGATGATATACCAAGCAGTGAATGACTCATTGTGAGTATGCCAGTGGTTTGGTGCCTGCAGTTCGGAACATGAAGAGAAAGCATGTATTTTGATATCTGTCTGAAGACACATTGTTTGGATTGTCATGTCTTCTGATGTACTGATATCTAACTGATTTCTATTGAGTCCTGAACGTGCGGGTTTCTTTCGCTGCTTTCTGCGTAGCATTTGCTCCCAACCTCTTAAACAGGAGGGGTTGTGCTCCTAGGCCACTGGGGATCTAAGAGTCTACTATCAGCCAGAGCCTAGGCTGTTTGGTAGTTCTCTAATTAGCTATATACACTCAACGAACATTGCCATCAAAAGCGCGTGTGTTTGGAAGTTTATGGCAACACGGTCTTGGGTTGAGAATGTGGTGTTAGTCGCATCGGCCAGCTGCTACCAATTGTCAATGTCTGCCAAGACTCTGACTTTTCAGCCTTGTCTGCTAAGCTAAAAATTGTCCAGCCTTCCAACCACGCGTCTGCGCGCCTGCTGAGGTCCACTGCTCCCAACATCGTGACCGACAGCCTCGATCCCATTCACCCAGCTTTTCAACTTCACTGACGCCGCCTCGGCTGACGACGTGATAGCCCCCGAGTCTATCCGGGTTTTTCTCCAATTCTGACACCTCATCCGACAGATTGACCTACAGTTTCCATCCGAGGTTTTCTTCCCAACTGTCAACAACAAATTCCACCCTTTGACCAAGTCAAGAGTTGTCACTTGCCAGAGCCTAGATCAAGTCGTCGCAATCCTAGACATTGGGCATCCTGATAAAACTCAGACATACTAGACCCTCATATTAAACTCAGAACGCTTGTACCGTCCGGCAAAATGAATACTGGCTTCGTCCCCGTCAACCCGCGGCCCTTCCTTCAGGACCTGGTCAATCAGGACGTGATTGTGCGGCTCAAGTGGGGTCAGACGGAGTATAAGGGCAGGCTGGTGGTGAGTTCTTCCTCTCTCTGTTGCTGAATGTTGCTGGCAGGCATGGATGGTGAGCTAACGAGCGAAACAGAGCATCGATAGCTACATGAACATCCAGCTCGCCAATACGGAAGAGTTCATCAACTACAAGTCTACGGGGCATCTGGGTCAGGTGTTGATCAGGTTTGTCTCTCCTTTCTATTTCGGGCATTCAATGGCGTATATCAGCATCAGAACGAGCTTGCTGACTGCCTGAACCAGGTGCAACAACGTCTTGTGGGTGACAGCCGCCGCGGGCAAGCAGATGACACCGACTGAGGACACAAAAATGGAGGAGTAACTGTGAAGAAGTTTGGTTATGGTTTGGGGGTCCACAATAACGGCATGTGAAACTAATAATCTGGAGGTCACCCATCATGTAACTGGGCATGACCAGCCAGCTCTTTGGTAGGTATTTGCGGCAACAAGGGATATCACGACAATGGTAAGACACGGCATGAGCGCAACCCAATTATACAGACCGAGACCGTACTGTGAGTGGATGGGACATCGATACAGAGGGGGGTGGTGGTCATAACATGTGAGGATTAAGGGCCAGAATTGGTCCATTTAAGGTCAAGTTGGAACGGTTCCGTCAAGAAACCAGTTGATACCCGGCACCTGATGGGCTGCAATCAGCCACGGACTTAATTGTTGGATAGCCGCTTGCGCAGGTCTAGAGGCAGAAGCCTCATACATAGAATCAAGGTTCTCTACATCAAGCAAGCCAACTTACGACTGCTATGCAGCTCCGACGAGCCGACCTTCATCCGCGTCTTGGGTCCAACCCAGGCATATACCTCCACCAGCCATTCGTACCAGACCTTAGAGTCATCCGTCTGCCGCCACATGCTGACCTCAAGCTCTGAGTCTTGCGGGAAGTAGAGGGGTGTCTGTCCAGCGTTAGCACCGAGCTCATCCTAGCACATATGACGATAAGCTCACCTTAAGTGGGAAGAAAATGGGGAACCACGAGATCATATCCTTGCTTTTCCGATCAATCTGATCAGGGAGGATACTTATCTCAACCGGCTCCTTGCCGGTGTCCGTTTGCGAAGCATATAGCACACTCTCAAAGAACCCAGCCAGGCCATGAATAACGCCGCGTGTGGGACACACAAACGTCAGATGGCAGTGCCTGGTATTATGATCATTCGACCCAGCCGAGCCGGCCATGGCGCCCACACCGCCTGTTGCATACCTCGCCGCCTTGCCATGCACGTCTGCAAAATCATCAATCCTTGATACTCCCACCGGATGGACAAACTCCCACGCCTGCTGGAACCGCGGATGGCCCGGCACGTGCTGCGCGACGTAGTCGATGGCAAAGAGTCGTACAACCCACGGAGTCATGAAAGCGTTTACATCACCCGTCGCAACACGCCCGCTGATATCGGCATACAGCTTGGGTGTGGAGATGGGGCTGAGGTGCGCTGTGTAAGAGTGCGGGATAGAGATGCCGTGCGGGCGGGCCAGATGATGCTGGATGCCGTCGAGGCACTCGGGCGAAAGCTCGTTGTCGCCGAAGGAGCCCAGCAGCTCGCTGACGAGAATATCAACTTTGGTAAGTGCGCTGGGGTCATCACGGAGCCGGGGGCCTTCCCAACCGCGCATGTCGGTCTTGACGACGGTAACTTGGTTGTTCCAGTCTTGCTTGTTCTTGCGCAGCAGGTAGACGTAGGCGTCTTGATTCTTTTCAAGGGCCCAGACCTGCACGCGGGTGTTGGTTTTTGCGGCTGCACGGAGGACGCGAGTGACAAGGGGACCGCGGCCGGCACCAGCAACAGTGACGATGAGCTCGTCGCTTTTGGGGTTGGAGGGGGTTGCTGAGGAGGTGGGCTTCTTCAGCTCCTTCCATTCAGCCATGGCCTCGGTAATGGCTTTCTCGTACTGGTCGTACTTGACCGGGTCGCCCTCGAACACCTCGTATGTTGCCGACTCGAGGTTGTCGGCTAGCGGCTGCAGAGGAGGCTGGAGCCAGTCCTGGAACTGGATCAAGGCCGGTGTCTCCATGTTGGAGTATGGAGGTTGCTGGCGCTCCAGATACCTCATGTAGGCGGCGTAGGCGTTGATGGATGGCTGATGCGGCTTGCGGTTCCCCTTGGTAGCCTTGGCCGCCTCAGCCAACGATGGGAATTCAGCATCCTTAGAGTCGGGAAGCGAGGCCAATTCCTCGGCACTGGGACCAACGTCGCAGAGGATAAGCCATGGTGTGACTTTAAGCCTCATGTAGCGGTTGATCATGTCTTGGTGGTGTCTGCTCAGGGCTGGATGCCCAGCACGGTTCTGTTGGAAGGTGTTCTTGCCAATGGTCAGGAAATGCAGAGGCTCTGAGAACCAGCGTTCTTGGAGCGTCTTCTCAGGCACCCGACGAGGAATACGAAGGGCTACCAGGGGTCAGCACTGTGATGTGTTTTGAGTCTGGACGATGATGTCACTCACCCACAAAGAGCCTAACGTTGTAATTGCAGACAGACCGGATAGTATTCCAGGAGTCCCAGACGGTGAAGATGTCAATTTCCTTGCTCTTCTTGGCGTCTTCCTTCTCCCCATTCTGAGGGTTGAAGATGTCGGAGAGCGTCTGCGCCTTCTCTTCCAGGCCAGGCTCCCGATACATGGGAAGATGGATAACAATGTTCACCCGAGGGGCCACCTGCAACGCCTCAAGAATGGCACGCGCATACTGAACGATGCCACAGCTGTCCCCATCCTGTCTTGGGCCTGGAACCATGATGGTGCGAGCACCGCAGAAGTTGGCATAAGCAACCTCAATGTTGAAGACCTGGCGAGAGATGCTTGCGATAGTGGGGTCCGGTGAACAAAGGTCAATCCATGGACTAGAGTATGCAATGAGTGAGCCAATATGGCTGCACGGGGACAAAGAAGTGTCCTCATCTGTGAGAGTCGGAATGATTGGCGGTGGAAGAGATGGGTTAGCCAGTTGTGTAGGGGTCAGACCGCGTTCACTGACCCATTGCTCCCTCTCCTTAAGGTAGTTCTTATACAGGCTCACGACCCTTTGGAAGAAGTGCCTGTTTGTGATGGGAGCAGTGACATATTGGAACTAGATTGTGTCAATATGGGGACTTCATGCCGATGGCCTCGATGTCTATGAACTGATTCGACTCACCCCGCTAGTCAGGACGTGGGTGTACTGGTCATCTGTGAGGACGTCATAACGGTGCGAATCATGCTGACCAATATAAAAGGATGGCCGATTCTCGAAAGAATCGGCGATGGGATTTAGGTTGCCCTGAGACATCGTGAGGGCTTTGATGACCGATGTTTATAAGTTGCCAGTCTTTTTTTTTATTCAGAACCCCACAATGACCAATGGGTGAGAAGGGGAGACTTGGGTCTGACTAGGAAGACGCAACCACACAGATGGAGCAAGAAAACTAGGAGAAAAACCAATGTTACTGGTAAAGTTTCTAGGCCGACTCTGTAAAACCATGACTATATAGAGGAGAACTGGGACGAAATGGAAAGGAAATAGGTCCCAAGGAACATGGCATAAGGCTGAGCTTGGTGCCGTTGATTCCTTGGAGACTGTGGGCCTACATACGCCCTGATGCTGAGAAGGGCACCCTATAAAGCCCATAATTGGACCAAGTTACACAGGATTTTCTGCTTGAACTGACCCAGCACGGGCCGTCCGTCGTCTCATAAAAATTCGGGTTGCGCTGTATGCTGGGTGGTGGGGTAGCGGGGCGGGTTGAGGAAGTGCCAAGACCTTAGATCTGAGATGGGACGCCAGATTTGACTCTGCATATGGAACCTATCAAGCGTATGGTATCCTTATCGATAGCGACCGCTCTCATAAACAGATGACTAAGCAAGACTACAGAGCAAACGGCTGATGAAGGCTTTCCCAAGAATTGCCTCATAACTTAGCCGCAGTTGACAGAGATTCTGTAAGTCTTAATTATTCTGCCGGTACCCCATGGTGTTTGCTGGCATATCTCGGCCAGCATCTCCACACCAGCAATTCACGACTCGCTAGATGCATTACGCCAAGCTCGACTTTCGCTAGCTAACTGCTTATCGCTGACAAGACCCCACCTGGCGTTCCAGCACTGAACCAATCCGCTCCGTCTTGCAATTCAAAAAAAGTTGGCAGCCTCGCGCATCGCAATTGCAGCCGTCATCTCAACAGCGAAAGGCAGCCGCACCCAGGAGTTTGTCACTTGTTGCCGCCAAGCGTCCAAACTGTGACCGCCATGGCAGATATCACGAAGGGCACGAAGCGATTGAGTGGTGAGGCCGAGGGGAGCCAGGATTCGAAGCGGGTGAAGACGAACGGCGACAAGATGGACGCGAAGAATCCGTACCTGGCTCATCTCGAGGAGAAACCCGAGGCCGACTTCGAGTCGCTCCTCGACAAGCTCGAGCGCCGCAACACCACCGCGAAGCAGGCCGAGGCCGTTGAGGACTCCGACATCAATCCTTGGACCGGTCAGCGGCACTCGGAGCGCTACTTCAAGATTCTGAAGGCTCGTCGCAAGCTACCCGTCAACAAGCAGCGCCAGGAGTTCCTCGACCTCTACCACAACAACCAGATCCTCGTCTTTGTCGGTGAGACCGGTTCCGGTAAAACGACCCAGATCCCTCAGTATGTGCTCTACGACGAGCTGCCGCACCAGACCGGCAAGCTCATTGCCTGCACACAGCCCAGGCGAGTGGCCGCTATGTCGGTCGCCCAGCGTGTCGCCGACGAGCTGGACGTGAAGCTGGGCGAGGAAGTCGGTTACAGCATCCGTTTCGAGAACAAGACGAGCTCCAAGACCCTACTCAAGTACATGACCGATGGTCAGCTGCTGCGAGAGGCGATGCACGACCGCGACATGTCGCGCTACAGCTGCATCATTCTTGACGAAGCCCACGAGCGCACTCTCGCCACCGATATTTTGATGGCTCTGCTCAAGCAACTGTCGGAGAGGAGGAAAGATCTTAAGATTATCGTCATGTCCGCTACCCTCGACGCTCAAAAGTTCCAGTCCTACTTCTTCAACGCTCCGCTCCTCGCTGTGCCGGGTCGTACACACCCCGTCGAGATCTTCTATACCCCTGAGGCTGAGAGGGACTACGTGGAGGCTGCCATCCGGACGGTGCTGCAGATCCATGCATGCGAGCCTGAGGGTGATATCCTGCTGTTTTTGACGGGTGAGGAGGAGATTGAGGATGCCTGCCGCCGGATTAGCTTGGAGGTGGACGAGATGATTCGGGAGTCTGACGCAGGGCCCATGTCAGTTTACCCTCTGTACGGCACACTACCACCCCATCAGCAACAACGCATCTTCGAGAAGGCTCCCCAGCCCTTCCGCCCTGGCGGCCGGCCGGGCAGGAAATGCATCGTCGCAACCAATATCGCCGAAACATCTCTCACCATTGACGGCATTGTCTACGTCGTGGACCCTGGTTTCAGCAAGCAAAAGATTTATAATCCCCGCACAAGGGTTGAGTCGCTGCTCGTGTCTCCCATCTCCAAGGCCTCAGCGCAGCAACGTGCTGGTCGTGCCGGTCGTACACGGCCAGGCAAGTGCTTCCGTCTGTACACGGAAGAGGCTTTCAAGAAGGAGCTCATCGAGCAGACATACCCCGAGATCCTGCGGTCCAATTTGTCCAACACCGTCCTCGAGCTGAAAAAGCTCGGCGTCGAGGACTTGGTACACTTCGACCTGATGGATCCGCCGGCTCCCGAGACCATGATGCGTGCACTCGAGGAACTCAACTATCTGGCCTGCTTGGACGACGACGGCGAGCTAACGCCGTTGGGCAACCTGGCGTCCGAGTTCCCCCTAGACCCGGCGCTGGCCGTGATGCTGATCTCGTCGCCCGAGTTCTACTGCTCGAACGAGATCCTGTCCATCACGTCCCTCCTCTCCGTCCCACAAATCTGGGTGCGCCCCGCGAACGCGCGCAAGCGCGCCGACGAGATGAAGGCGCAGTTTGCGCACCCCGATGGTGACCACCTGACGTTGCTGAACGCGTACCACGCGTATAAGGGTGCCGAGGCGCGGGGCGAGGACATGAAGAAGTGGTGCCACGAGCATTTCCTATCATACCGTCACCTTTCGAGCGCGGACAACGTGCGGGCGCAGCTGAAAAAGATCATGGAGACGCACGGCATCGAGCTGGTCAGCACGCCCTTCCACGACAAGAACTACTACACCAACATCCGGCGCGCCCTGCTCGCCGGCTTCTTCATGCAAGTCGCCATGCGCGAGTCGAGCAACAGCAAGGTCTACAAGACCGTCAAGGATGAGCAGCTCGTCTTGATCCACCCGAGTACCACCGTTACCACGCCGTACGAGTGGGTTGTCTATAATGAGTTTGTCTTGACGACTAAGCAGTACGTGCGCACGGTGACGAACATTCGGCCGGAGTGGCTTCTTGTGAGTTTTCACTATCTTTTGAGGATAGCCTATAGAGAATAGTTTGTTGACTTTGGTTACGTAGGAAATCGCCCCTGTCTACTACGACCTCAGCACGTTCCAGAAGGGCGAGATCAAGAATGCCCTGACGCGCGTGGCTGAGAAGATCCGCCGCCAGCAGGCCATGAAGGCCAGCAAGGCGTGAAAATGGGATTGTGGTTAGTTTTAGCGACAACATTTGCATTTATTCTTCCACGGGGAAGGGGGTTTCGCATCATATCATGACCCATATATCCAGCAGCAGTCCGGGTTGGGGGAGATGGCAAACGGAAATGGTTCCAGCGCTTATTTTGGGCGGACATGCTTTCATTAGAATATAATCTGATTTGCTAGATTGGGACTGGTGTTTTTATAGGGTAAATCCGGTGCCCAACGCGGTAGTGTACGGGATGTGAAAAGGACGGCACAACACTTGGTTGATTGTTGATTCACTGTCGTCCAATACAGCCATAGGGGAAAAGGGCTTGTGTTGACCAAGTGATGATTATGGGTTCTCCTATCAGCTGTCGATCGAGTTAGAAGGCTTTAATTCGATATCTTCCTCGCCTTATGCACGAATCGGATACTTTATCCAAGATTGGATGTTATCTCAGTGCAAGTTCCTTGTTGGTTTGGAATTGCTTTTGAGCCGCGCCAATAATGAAAGTTTGGTTTCGGCATGGCTAGTTTGGGCTTGCCGGAGGGTTGATCGTTCTCATCGCAATAGGATTGTTTCTGAGATGCCGTTTCCTTGACGCTGGGAAGCTGTTGTGTAACACCAACGGACATATGCCGGCACGTATCGCATGCTGTATCGTGGCATAGAGTATTTTAGTGCATATCGCGGCAACGTCACCACAGTCCTCGACTTGGAAAACACACTTTTGGGAACGGGAACAGACTGCGCAGGCTCATCGACGCAAGATGCTGCGTCAGTGGGGGCTATGTGGCTCACCTGCAGTTTTGGTTCCAAGGGCTTCGGCGTGATATCATTCCGGAATCTCTAGTAGCCGGTCACGTATGATCATAGTGAAAGGAGGCTGCCTGCTTTGTTGATAGACTGCGTTGAGTCTCCAAGGCTGAGGAAGAGGTTAGAGACCAGGGTTATGTGTGTGCGACAGTGATGGTGTTTGATATATTCCAACCTTGTTGTGGTGATAAAAACAGTATGAGAGTAGGATGAGAGTGGATTGGCTTATCAATATTAGGTTGTGAGTGCTATTTTAACGCCTCATTTAGTCATTTAGGCGCAGGACTGTTCTCCCACTCAAATGGGGGATACCCGCGCAGGAACTCCCTGGTCCCGATTCAGCGGTAGTCGATCCCGTAATCCTTCGAGGTTACATGCGGCCGTGTCAAGTTGGGGGTACACAGGCTCTATGACCCAATGTGAGTGAAGGCTAAGGTTCCATGGCATCTTCGTGCATCGACAAATGGGAATGAAGCCGGGAAGATGGGGATGATGGCAAAGGAGATATACTGGAGAAGGAGAGGTTCATATCAGGTGTTTTTCTTTTTGAAAAGCTTGGCCAGAGATGTTTGTTACTGAAGTGTATGTATGGTCTGCTGGAATTCGGAGTTATGGCTGAGCTAACAGGTGTTCCCTTGGATCAAACTTTGCGAGTGCGGTCGGTGATGAGGAGTTTGGATAATGTGGTTTGTTCAACCCACGTAGGAGGAAGCGGGATGGAGCCTTGTAAACTCTCACAGTGCGCTTCACAGTGCGCATAACGTAGGGGCTTGCCCAACATCAACTTCTCCATAACACTCCCCTTCATAACCCAAACTCTTGAGAACCGAGAAATATTAGGTTTCACTGATGAAACTCCAGAGCGTATGTTACTACTTGCACCATACCGCTTTGCATAGAGTCCAAGTCCCGACTGGCTATCATCAAGTCATCAACACGGTCCACACATAACCACGTCTGCTTCCTGCACTCTTTGAAGCTCTCCCACCACATGTTCATAGGTGGCTGCCCACTAGTTTGAACTTAACCCCTACTGGTAGCTGTCATCGATGACCAGAGCAAACACTTATGTGTCTCATGGCATGACCGGGAACATCTTCCGGGTACCGTCCCGTGTTATGGCCATCATCACGGTCTCCAGTCGAGTCAGTTGGGTGCTGTGACCTCGCATGCGGAAGCTTCCATCCGCTTTGGTCGAGGATACGCCCATTCAATGAGACACATGAGAACAGAAGCTGATTCTGGATCATCTGCATCAACAGGTCGGATGGGCTAAGGCTAACCAGGGCTACAGCCATCACGTCATGCTTCTCAGAGCAGAGTTCTGACCAATATCATGCTCTCCAGCAGCTCATTCCCGTTTTTGATCATCTTTTGGTTTGCTAACAAAAAAACAACCTCGAGCTCAGGGAGTGTGTACGCCATAAGCAGCGCACACGTTAGTCACCACGTATATAAGAGAGAGACTGCCCACGTCGAATCCGACGGTTGGCTACGATGATCACCTGCAGGTAGGCATCCCTTCAGCTATGATAAACCGTGACTCGGGGGCATGGTACATAGTAATAAAGGCTGTTTTTATTAACATGATTGTAGTGTCTAAGCTGTTCTCTTAAACGGGATCTTGATGCTGACCAAGGAATCAGATCCAACGCTCCAGCGAGGATCATGTTTACCTCTGATATGCCCACTCCCCGTCAGATGAAAGCTTCTTTCTCTTTTTCCATTTACATGTCCATGCTGGTTGTCCAGTCAACAACCCAATAATTGTCCGTCTTTCGAGTATAAGAAGCCAATGTGTTTGCCTTTTCCCTAGTGTACATCAACGTCTCACTGTGGCATCGCACACACAGTTCGCAAGCAGCTTCCAATTATTCTACAATATTTATATCTGCGAACAAGCCATCCATTAGTCAATCTTGAACAACACTCACCAACATGTCTTCTGGAGGAGGTGCCGTTGGAGGTGGTCCTGTCGGAGGTGGGAACCTCCAAGATGTCAACGCCAGCCAGAGCGACCAAGTGATTGCTTCTTCGAGCGCTGCTGCCCGAGGGTCGGTTGGCGCTGGCTGGGGCGGTGGCTATTTTCGGTTCGATTGCATCTTCCGTCATCTGGGATGTGACAGCAAGATTTACACTGGGAATACGGCCTGTCAGCTCTGTGTGGTACTTGCCTATACCTCTTCACCTCGCATATTTCCATATGAACGTGTATTCTAACCAGTTTTTGAATAGGCGATGGGTCTCGTGGGCATGGGTGGTCGCCCAACTCCTCCACCGCAGGAGCCGAGTTCCGATCAGCCACCTCCTCGCCAATAAAAGCCGGATAACAGCTTTTGTTGAGGGTGGTTACAGTGTGGTGTTGAAAGACTCCATACTTGAAGCGGAATATGTTAATATAGTTCGTACGTTCTGGGAAATCAGAAAGGCAATTTCCAGTGCCGATAATTCTTGGTGTGAAGAAACACGGATTTAGTTACTGGGAAAGCATGATATGCCTGGGGCTCACAATGTAGCCACAGGAATGATACATACGTGTTAGGCAATACTAGCATTTTATCTATTTTGATCAAGTACTGCCGGAATGATAGTGGTAGAAGTTACCAGTGAATCAACTAGTGACTGGATCGAATGCCCGTGAACGTATGGCCGCATTAGAATCCAATGTCCGTCATCATTGGAGTTCAATAGAACTGCTGACGGTAGCGATCATGATCTACCAGCGGGTATATAAGATGAACGCCCGATACAACTGTATCATGTATACAGGAGGAACTTGGACAAATTAGTAACTGCAAGTGGGCAAAAATGTGATAATGCAATCCAAGAGTACCAAACATTCCCCGTAGTTCATGCATGGTTCTCATGTCTTGTTAGTATTCGAATGACATGTATCAATGCCTTTTGACTCTATTCCCCGTCTGTCCTGGCTGCGGCATGATCGCTCTCGTACACCAACGAGCCCAATCTGTTTTATCTTGTTGGTCGTCGAGTTCTCGTTTTATCATGTGTGGTCTCGTTCAGAAGTTCAAGTTTGACCACACTTCCTGTAGGTGAAGTGCTGGGAACCTTACTATCATGGGGACAAGTAAACAAAGCAGTGACAGTAGCCCCTAACAGTTATCCATGACTCAAACCCCACGCCACTTGTTTAATCCAGTAGTCATCGATGGCAAAATGATTCTATGGTTTGTGCCATATCATAAAATTTCAGTTGCTTACTGAACAGGTAAGGCATGTTGCTTTGGTTCTGATGTTAAGCAACTTCCCCTTGTTGAGATGTCTAGCCATGAGCGACAGGATTGGGAAGACTCCGACTGATGTTCTGCACTAATTTTAGCGTAACGGTCGGAACCTTGCTATTGCAAGGGTTCTTTGCTCTCAGTGTTCACGTTTGGTGCTGGTGGTAAGATCTTCAACTGGACTTAGGGTATATACCTATCTTTAATCTCGAGTAATGAAAGTAGCTCTCATTTATTACGGAAAAACAGAGCTCTTGCTTACAGAGTTATGTGGCTGGATCAAAGATGCAGAGATAACGAGGAGAAAAACCTAGACCGACTCGAGGGTTAAACGTTTTACTGCAGAAGTATCATTTCTGAAGGCAACGTTGAAAGACAGCTTTATATTTTGTCTCTGATCATGAACCCATGTCCTTAAGCTGTTTAAGTTCTAACCACATACCATCATATATGATCATAGTAATGACATATGTCCACTTCTACCAAGGTTTGATCTCTTCCTGACCAAACCTCTTCTTACTTCCCACTCAATCCCCCCAAGCTCTTCATCTCCCTCCAAGCTCTCACCCAATCCCCCCCAACACCTTCCCCCCTCTCCCTAGCCCTCTCCAACCCGCCCTTCCTAAACCCCCCGGGCAACATAACCCACACCCCCAAAATGAACACCAACACTCCCAACACAACTGGCTGCAACACCTCAACCCCCTTCTTCTGCGCAATAGCTCCTACCGCAAACGGAAAGACCGCTGCCCCGCCCCCGCCAAACGCCGCTGCAAACCCAATCGCCGACACGTGCAGCTCGCTAGGGAGCAACTTTGCCGCAGCAACTATCGCGGCGGGGAATAATGGGCCAAGGAAGAACCCAAGACTGGTCACGAACACGGCGGCGGCCGCGAAGTGTGGGACAAGCCAGTAGCCTAGCTCAAACGCGACGCAAAGGAGTAGATACAGCGTGATGGCGGGTTTTTCGCCCATTCGGCCGGTCACGAAGCCAAGGACTACACGGCCTAGGGTTAGGCCTAGCCAGAAGAGGGTTGCGGTTAGGCCGGCAAGGAAGGGGGGTGCTGAGCGGGCGCGCAGCATAAAGGTCGTGATCCAGCCGCCGAGGGAGACTTCAGCGCCGACGTAGGCTAGGAGAAAGATGGCGATGGTCCAGGTGATGGGGTTTGTTAGGGCAAGGCGGGTGGTGCGGCGCTGCGTGTTTGTTTTTTCGTGCCGGATGATGGAGTGTGGGAGGAGCGGTAGGCTTGGGCATCAGCCCGCCAGAAGGCGGGAACGAGAATGAGGAGGGCAAGTCCGTCGATGGGGAGCATGACGTGAGAGTAGAAGGACCACCAGGGGAAAGGGTGAGGTTTGCGAGTGACCATGGCAGTGGCAGCAAGCGGACCGATGGTCGCGCCAAGGCCGTAGGCGCCATGGAGGAAGCCTAGGAGCTCGTTCGCGCGTTGCATGTTGCCGATCCAGGCGTTCCATGCGGAGTCTTCGAGGCCGTTGCCATAGCCGGAGAGGAGGAGAATGATGGGCACGGCGGGGTAAGGGGGATGAAAGGCGAGGGGGATGAAGCTGGCTAAGCGGCAAAGGGGAGCGAGGATGGCAATGCCGCGTTGGCCGAAATGGTGGTGAATACGATGGTTGCTTAGGGCGGCGAGGAGATAGCCTATAAAGGGGACGAAGAAGACAAGGGACACGAGGGTATAGGAGATGGAGTAGTGCGTTTCGATCTTGACAAGTGTTAGCGTTTGTTTCACTCTGATGCGCTTGACTTCGTGGATTGAGCCATAGAAACGTACGTATGGAAGTAGGGCCTAGTGATCTCAACATCAGTCAAGGGACCGTTTGCCATGGAGCTCAAGCAAACACACGCACACCTATAGCACCGTCTGTCATTCCCATGCGAATGAAGCAGTACAGTGTACAAAAGAAACGAAACATGTTTTCCTTAGACTCATTCCATCTTTGAAGTGCTGACTGGGAAGGAGTCGGAGGTGTCCCCGACTCCTCATCAGTGCAGGTGGCCGTGGCAGTGGCATCACTGACAATTGCTTTGTCTAGGTTCTTTTTCTCATGATGCCCATCGCTTTGAATGGGTCCTGGGCTGCCTGCCATGCTGAGCTATGGCAAAGTGTTGTTGAATATTGATGTTCAAGTGAGGATTGGCGGCGGGGATTGGGGATAATCTGAATTGGGGAAGGCTTTCTTCGGCCTTTTATCCTCACAACACTAGTGGTGGTTGTTGAAACTGTCCATTACACAGATTACCAATCCGCCTCCCTCCAAAACGACTCTCAACTTAGACCTCATGACAGTAGGGAGGGTCTACCGCTCAACACTCTCACATACGGGAACACAGTCCTGAGCACATGACAAGGGACGGATATCCAAATGAAGACGTCAGTTAAAGTCGACATGAAACCGGCCCGGTTGCCAGCCCCTCCCATGAGATAACCCGAAGAAAAAGCGAGCTTCCACCATCCCCATCTATCTTCGCTTACTGTTGATGGTCTTGGGTGGTGGAGCTTCGCTCACACCCGGGCAACCATCCCGTCAATGCGCTGTTCGTTGATGGTGAGCAAAGGCCTACCCCAAATTCGAAGATTGCTGTGGGCCTGTGGGTGCGGGACCCGAAGGAACACCCGAGATTTAACCGTCGGACCGTCCCAGCCGTCTTCATTATTTATCGACGTCATCAAGGTTTGCTCCACCCTTTTTTCGACATCATCGCCAGTCTTGTCATCTCTTCCCCAAGGAAATGCCGTTAAGGGTTCACCCATCACGGGATTTGATACGGAAAAGATATATTCCTTGCAGTGTAGCACAGCTTTGTCTCAAAAGGGCCCATTAAAATTCAGGACTTCAAAACGGCTGAAGATGATGGGCTAAAACCTCCATTCCTCCAATCCAGCCATTCGCCGAGAACCAAGTGCAAGGCCTGCTCTCAGCTTCCCATGTAGCGACTTTTATTCCACAGCCGAACACAACTTTCTAGGTTGTTAGAGACCGTATTTAGCAGTATGCTGTCGCCCTCAGAAAACAGATGTTAGGTTATGGCAGAAAGCCTTGCGTTCCTAGTTGACCACAAATTCAGGAATGGAAATGCGTGAAAGTTGTGAAAAGCATCTAAAGCAAGAAAGCGCATGTCTCCTCAGTCGCCGTCCATTAACTGTTGATCAACGCGCTCTACCAACCAACTTCACGAACTGACCCGCTTCGGGACAGGCTATCATCGTTTCGCGTAACACCTCGCATGACGAAGGACAAATCTTTTTTTCGTATTTCTCAAAACGTCTTCTTAAAAATTTCAGCCATGCAATCTTTGGCAACTAGCTCAAAGACGTAAAACTTGCTTAGATTGGCGATTCGTAAACCTAGGGCTTCTTACCTTCCAATGACTTTCTCAACCATAGAGATCATCGAATTAGGATGTTAGCATACTGGAGGTTTAGCCCTAGCAGCCCGAATGGACTAATCATCAGCAAAACACGAGAGCCCCGAGTTTCGGCGAAGTCACTCAGTGTTGCTGCGCGCTCAGAAGAACTAATTGGGTTACCAAAGCGAAAAATTGTCACACCCCTCATGCATTGCCTGTATTGTAATTTTCAGGATATCGAGGAAGTGAATAATCTTTTTCACGATTTAAGATCCCTTCACCCAAGCCAAAATCTTTAAATCATTTCGAGGATATCTATGACAGTCATAACCCTAAGGGAGCTCCAGCCGTTGTTTTTGACAATGAGATGGCACCGCTGTTTGATACACTCTCTGAATCAGGTGTTATCTCTTGTTCGACTTCCACAAGCTTATACAGCGAGCGTATTTGTTCGACAGGTTGGTACCCAAACTGTTCGGTTTCAGAAAGTCCACGATGGTGCACGCGTGGCACTCCACTCGGGATAAGACATAAAATGCCTGCCTGAACACTTCCTTCCGCTCTTGACTCGATCTCCGCGTTTGTCGACTTGTTTAGACACCTGAAAACGCTATAGGATTCGTTTGATGTGGCAAAATAAGCCGTGGGCAGCTCGAATACAACTACTTCGAGGCAGCGATGAGGCAATAGGTTTTAGAGCAGGACCGCTGGGCGGCACGGGTCACAGCATCGAGCATTTGTGTCAAACGCCTCAAGAGCTTCTCTTTGTCTCTTGTGACAGACGAGTCGGTGCATTGAGTACCGAAGAAAGCACGAAGCTTTCGAGAGAAAGTTGAGAAAAAAGTCCCCTTTCAACAGGCTAAGAATTCGAAAACTATCCCAAAACCCAACGCCAAGCGGGACCCTGCTTGTCATGATGCTTGTGTCGAACTTCTCCCGTGGCAATGTAATTTCTCTGTCAATGCTAGTGACAAGTATTTGGTAAGCAAATGGGTTAGTTGTAAATTGTGTAATTGTGCTTCAATGAGGATCGTCTCGATAACTTTGGAGGAGTTGAGAATGGAGAACAATTCTGAACTTTCAGATACACATGTGGGTCATAGAACTGGAATCTCTCAGGCGGATAGTCAGATGCTGAGAGCGCAGTAGCATGAACACAGGTTGTCCTTGTAGGTCTTTACTTAGGGGAAGCTTCGCCTTCCTTCAGTGTCCACCACACATCCGTATCCAGGTCTTTACATGGTTGGACACCTTCAGTCCATGATGATATTCCTATTTACACGCCCCAGCCGAATTGCTATCGCTCTCTAAGCTTGGACCACCGCAACCTTTTTCATCAATTCATTTTCAGATCCTCCATTAAAGCGAGGTCTATCTCTGCCTGATTTGACGTTAGATGAACAAAAAAAACTCATAAAGCTGAAATAAAGTTCAGCTAAAAGTCTGAATCTTGCTTCCACGAGTGGTTGTTGACGATAGTGAGAGGAAGGCTCACTCGTAAGTGTTAACACTTGCATGAGCCTGGAGCCAGAAAGTATAGGGTTAGGGTTTTTCTTTGGCGATCTCATAAGATTGATCCAGGCTCTCGGTTTCAGGCTCCACCAACTGATGTCTTGGCGCCAGTCCCGTTTCAGACGCCTTCTTGGCTCAGAGACACATCTCGGGCGCTGAGGTCATGCGGCAGGGGCCAACACCAACAGGTCGGCTTATCGATCGGACCCTGACGTGTTCGTTTTCTTGTTATCATCAACCTCGCCAATCTTTCTTGCCACACGCCAACTGCACTTCATTTTGTGTTAGAAATTTTTGACAATCTCTTTTGCAAAAATGAGAATTGGCTTGCGGTGAATATACAACAAACGACCGCATGCCGCGGCCCATCTCCATCAACGCTCCTCCAAGGCTCCAGTTAAGACCCCAATTGGAACTACGCTACCACACCGCCTGCTTACCGTCATTACCTCTTCTGTCCGGATATTAAAACATCAATATACTTCCGACCTCACCTCTATGTCCTCTCATCCAACATGACAAACATGTCCTCCCTTAACCCCCCCCCAGATGCGAAGTTCTTCTCCCCTTCGCCCTCCTCCTCCCAAACGTCTACTCCCGTCCCCTCCTCTTCAACGACAACCACCACCGGCTCGCAACAACCCATTTCCCTCAACAGCACTAGCACAGGCACCCGAACCAGCGACGATGATTATGATGCCGCAAGCACAACCTCATCCTCCAACACCAGCAGCTTCCTAACTCCTCAAACTATAGCCGCCCTCCGCGGCCTTGCCCTCTTTTCATCGTTAGTATCAGCTCTCTGCGCAGGGTCGATCACAATTTTTTCTTTGTACGCGCCGCAGCTGCAGGCAAGATTGCATTACTCGCAGTATCGGGTCAATGGGCTGGCCTCAGCTGCGAGCTTGGCAATGTACGCCCCCGTGCCTCTGCTGGGGTATCTCTGTGACCGAGTTGGGCCGGCACCGCTGGGGATGTTGGCTGGGCTGGGGTTTGGCGTGGGGTATACGGGAGCAGCGGTGGCGTTTGCGAGGGAGAGGGATGGGGTTGAGGGACGGTCTCCGGGGAGGGTTTTGGTGCCTGCTGAGGCATGGGGGGATAAGGTGGGGGCTGCTAGGGTAGAGGGACAGTGGTACGCGGCGATGGTAGCCTCGTTCGTGATAATTGGCGTTGCGACGTGCAGTATGTACATGGCGGCTGTGGCGACGTGTGCAAAGAATTTCGGACGAGGCAAGCATCGCGGTTTGGCTGTCGCGCTCCCAATTGCAGCGTTTGGTCTGAGCGGGATGTGGTTGAGCCAAGTGGGAAGCAGGCTGTTTGGTGATGGCTCGCCGCAGGGGGATGTGGATGTGTTCCGGTTCTTTCTCTTCCTTGCCGTGATGCTGTTCATCGTTGGTGCGGTTGGGTCCCTCGGGCTGCGTATTATCGACGAGGAGGAGTTGATTGAAGACGCGGTCGAGGAGCTTGAGCGAAGCGACATCCTAGAGAGCAGCGTCCTCCTCTCACCCAGCCGAGTCGAGAGCGGCACCGCCAACGGCTATGGCACCATCCCCCCCTCCGACCTCGACGAACCCCTGATAAACCCAACCCTCATCAAAGACGGCGCCCTCACCCTCAAGAAGCGGTTCGTCCTCAATACCGAAACAGCCCGTTTCCTCTCAGATCACACCATGTGGCTCTTTGCTTTGGGCTTTTTCTTTATGATCGGCCCAGGCGAAGCCTTCATCAACAACATGGGCACCGTGCTCAAATCCCTTTCCCCTCCCCCTACCACCGTCCATCTCTTTGATTCCTCCTCCACCTCCCCGGCAACCCACGTCTCCATCATCGCCCTCTCCAGCACCGCCACGCGCCTCCTAACCGGTACCCTAACCGACCTCCTCGCCCCCTCCCCTGCAACCCAACACCCGCAACTCACCCCCTCTCCAATCCAACAAAGACAGCGATTCACACTCTCCCGCGTCCCCTTCCTCCTAATCTTCTCCCTGCTCCTCTCTCTCGGCCTGTCCCTCCTCGCCTCCGGCGCAATGCAATCAAACCCGACCCACTTCTGGATCGTCTCCTCTCTTGTTGGAGCAGGCTATGGGGCTGTGTTCAGCCTCACGCCCATCATCATCACGGTGATCTGGGGCGTCGAAAATTTCGCTACGAATTGGGGCATTGTGGCGGTGTTCCCTGCGCTGGGGGCGACGTTGTGGGGAGTTGTGTACTCGGCTGTTTATCAGGCTGGAGTTAGGAAGTCGATCTTGGGGCCTGGGGATGTAAATGATGGAGGAGAGGAGTATATTTGCTATGGACAGCAGTGCTATGCCCCAGCATTTTGGGCGATGGCGGGGAGTGTGTGGGTTGCCTGTGGATTGGTTGTGTGGGCGTGGAAGGGAAGGAACGGATGGGCGCAAAGGGGCATTGTGGTGTAAATGGCATTTCGGTAGGGGTCTGTTTGAGTCTAAGCTGGCATCAGTGATGGGGTTTTGTCGGCGTCCTGGGCCTTACTGAGTGTTGTCACATGTCTATGGCTCAGGTAGAGCAGCCATGGAGATAATCAGGCAGTCTATACCGGCGGATATCGGATCGACACTATGATACAGCCACAACCAACTCTTCTAGGCAGGAGACGCACGCTCATGCCCAAGCGCTCTATGCTCTATAATGAAGCATGTAATCTTTTCCTTGCCCGAGGTAAAACAGAACCAGATCCCGCCCGAAAAAGCTCACATACATAAAAAAAGGATTCATCACGGGACAGGTCGCGCCGTCCCCAAACCATTGCCTCCTTGCCGCCGTTTTATCAATTACTAACGGATTCGGAAACCTCTCACGCAAGATGCAGCAGTTTGGGGTTATCATCCCGCCCGTTCTTGTCGTTGTCGGTTATTTTGGGTGTGTCCGCTCCAACCCTATCCCTGGGTCAACCCCTTATGTCCACCCAGCCCCTGAAACCACCTCCAGTCACCAAAATGCAGACTTCAAGAACACCACTTTCATCTCATTCTCGTGCCAATAAATGCATTTATTTGGCAATTTCCACTCCACCGACCGCCCCCAACATCTTCTTAACATCACCCTACGATCTGTCAGTAACTGAGAGTGACTGGTGGCTCTATAAACACATAGAATGGGAAAAAAGAAATGAATGAATGAACAAATAAGTGAATGGAAGAAGGAATGGAGAGAAGGAGGAAAAGGAATCGGTTATTGGGAAACAGGTGTGTTAAAGAGTCATTGGTAACTAGAACCAACTATGGCACTAGGTAAATGGTTCCACACGTGAAACCAGCAGTGAAAGCAGATAATGAGATGTAAAGAACTGTCCAGGGAAAGGAGAGAAAGGGTTGACAAATAATGTGATGTTTAGAGCGAGACTAAGGGCTGTTTCAATGACAACAAGCAAATCAGGAATCAAAGAAAGGGTACGTACATAGATGGCGAACTGGAAGGCAGTGAGGGTGCCAACCATGAAGAGACGGGCACCGAGACCGGTGAAAGAGCCCTTGATGCCGAGCTCCTTGCCGATCTTGATCAGGCGGGAAGTGGTGCTCTCACCAGGGAGACCAGGGGTCTTGTTGATCTTAGAGAGCATGGTGTCGGCGGGCTGGGAGACGATGGCAGCAGCGAAACCGGCAATGAGACCGGAGCCAAGGTTGACGGTGGTCTGCAGGCCGTCGGACATGTCCTTCTTGGGCCAGACGCGGTAGACAGCCTCGGCAACCTTCTCGTACACGACGAACTTGGCCATGGTGTAGGGGATCCTGCGTAATTTGAGTAAAAGCTCACAACAGCGAAAAAGGGATGTAGACATACTGCTTGAAGAGGATGGGGCCGAAACCAGCGTAGAAGGCGCCAACACCCTCGTTCTTCAGGATCTTGCCGAAGCCGCTGAGCAGGCCGCTGGCGAAAGTCGGCTGAGAGACGAGACGGATACGGGTAGCCTCAAGAGGGCAGAGGGCAACATCGGCGAAGAACTCGGCGGCAGCAGACGAGGCGAGGTAGACGCCGGTGCGGTACTTGGAGGCGGTCTCGTAGCCGAGGAAGTTAATGTGCTGCTGCTTGAAGAACTCGTAGCCGCCGAACTTGAAGGCGCCCTGGAGGAAGTAGCCGACGAAGGTCGGGCCAACACCGGTCAGAAGGGCACCAGCACCCTCGTTCTGAATGACCTTCTTGAAGCCGCCGAGCATGCCATTGTTGTAGGTCTTGGGGTCGAGCTGGATACGAGTCTTAACGCTGTGAGACAAGAGTGTCAGCCGCCGGTTGCGTTTGACGCGCGGTTTTGCGACAGCAGCGCTGCGTTTGCAAGAGAGGATAAGGCCAAAGATCCAGCCTTCAGCGCGCGCAACACTTCCTGTCTGGACGAAACACATACACATCAACGGGAGTCAGAGCACCGTGGGTGACGGAGCAGCAGACGGCGCCGGCGAAGGCGAAGCGGGAGTAGAGCTGAACGCCGCTGAGCTGCTGCTTCTGCTCGGTGGCCATTTTGGCAACTGAGGGGTATTAGAAGGGAAAAGAAGAAAAGTAAACAAAAAAGAAGTGAGTGGAGTTGATTCTTGACGCTCTCGAAATCGCGAGGGTCAAGACAAAGGCTCAATTGGCACCTGATGAGAGGTTTCCGAGGTCGACGATGGCAGTGAGCCTTTTTGGAGAAAACGAGGCAGAGAGGGCTCTGGCATCCGGGAGAAAAGGTAAAAAAGTTCTGGTCGGTAAAAGCCGGGGCCCGGGGGGGCGGCGACCCTGGCCATCCACGCACGGGCCATATGAGATAACGAAACCAACTGGGAGAGGTCTTGGCGCCCCTTTGGCCCCTCTGCAAGGCCGACGGACCGCGAGAACTTTCCGATTCGCGATTTGGATTTTGCGAGTTTGGGCAGTTTTTGACACTAGGATTTCAGAATTGCATCAGGGGGGACGCCGGCATCATCGGTTTCACATGTTCAATTGTTCTGTATCTACAGATCGCCTTTAAAATCGATGGCAACCGCTTAGGACACACCCTCTAGAAACTCTGATAGCATCATAAAATATTTCACCGCCAGATGCGCAAAAAACTCGGTCCCGGCGGATGTGATACTGCGCTCTGCGGCTTTTGACGATGCATGTTTTCAGTGACGCCATGTGGCGGATGGGTTTTTGTCTGCGGCTTGGCCGATGTGCAGCAGCCGAGAGGCCAGGTTGGTCCCTCTACGCAAGTCCCTTGCTGACTCGGCCTGAGGTATTCATTCGCTTGCCATTGGACGTCAGGATGGGCCAACCGGCAGCAGAGAATCCGGCACGAGATCGCCCCGCAAGTACGGAAGTGTACGTACCTCGCCATCAGACATCGGCCGAGTCACCTTCCATGTCCGAGAGATCTCAAGATCGTGCCTTGCTCCGCAGTTCGTCCGCCAGCCGCAGGAGATAGAACTCTCGCACTTCGGCCGGCAGCTTGCTGAAACTGTTGGCGATCCGGGCGATGTCTTGTCGCCCTTTTTCGTACGCTCCGAGGTCCCTGTTGCCATACACGTCCCTACCAGGCGCATACGAGGTGTTATCAAGGTCCCTGAAGAAGACGTTCACAGCGATGCTAACGCTTGAGGTGGGCATCGCCGTGTGCAGCCAAAGAGCAGGCAGAAATAACACATCCCCCGGCCCAAGCTCGGCCACGTGAGGGTGTGTCGCAGCCAACTCAGGGGTACCAAGTGTCGAAAACACATCTACGCTAGAACTAGATGCTCCAGGGGCAAAAGAGAAGTACTCAACATCCGCTGGCGGGAAGAGAACCATGCGCTTCGAACCGCCAATTTGGCAGTAGACATTGGCCATAACCTGCCGTCTCTGTCAATGTCCAGCCCTCGGGGACAACGGAAACCAACTTACGTCGTAATGAAGCCACATGTTCACCGGCCCCGAAAGCCGTAGAACGGAACTAAAGAGCCTCTCTTTCACCGAAGATAGCTGTGGCGGCAACACAAAGTCTGCCGCTATCTCTGGGTAGTCATCTGCCAGCACTGTCGGCTTCTCTGACGGCTTGTCCTGAGACAGAGCTCTCAGGTACAGCTTGTCGCCCCTTTGTGCCCGCCTGGCAAAGTCGCCGAAGTCCGTTGTCACATAACGGAAGTTCTTAGAATTGAAGTCCATGGCTTGGGTCGCGGCCTCATGGATGACGACCTGTATTTCCTTTATCAGCAGGGGCCCTCGACTCTGTTATTATCCTCTCACCTTGCGATCTGTCCCAATCTTGCTCTCAAGATAATCCAATGTCCAACTTGAGACACAGCTTCCCAGGTCCAGACCCTTGAATACTACGGGTCGGCCTTCCCGTAGAATCTTGAGGAACTCGTCTGGGCTTTGCAACTTTATATTGGGAATCGGCGTGATACGAGCCTTTTCGCCGTTGACCTGGGGAATTGTTCTTGTGGGAGTGACTTGCTCTCCTGGAACAATGTCAACTGCCCTCTCGAACGTCCAACGGGATGCTAGTTGAGACGCGGCTGTCTCGTTGCGATCGGACTCGGCGAAGCGAAGAGTGTATATACCACCGTTCCAGAAGGTCCCCATTGAGAAGCACGTAGCGCCGCCGCCAACAATCGTGATGCTGCCATCTGGTAGGGAGATCGCGGAATGTCCAGCAAGCAATGGCCGTGGCACTGGCACCCCTGACTGGGCACATTGACCCAATACTCTCTTTGTGATGATGAGTTCGTCGGTCGATACGGCAAAAGACAGTACTTCGTCTGCCCGGCTGAGAAGATGATCTCTGGTTACGCCGCCCAGGAGAAAGAATCCTTCACTGTGCTGAAGACATGTGGCGCCAAATCGCCCGAAGAGCCAGCGAGCGATTTGCTCATTGTCTACTCCCTTGACTTGCATGGAAGTAAATCGTATTGATGGTTTCTATTTTGTCAGTTTTCATTGTTAAGCAAGGCCAAAGTACGACATACCTTGACATCAGAGATATCCAGTTCCCATCGCAAAAGCTGGTCAGCAATCAGGCCATCTTTTATTCCTCCAGTATAGATGCCTGCAAAGTATCCAGCTCTGCTAGCACCCACGCAGGCGAGAACTGCACCATAAGTTGCTTCGGGCCTTTCTCCAGCCACTTGGCAGTCTACCCACCCAGCCTCAGGATGATATAGCAGCGCCCCCTCAAAAAGGTCCTTCTCCCCTCTCCCCCCAACAAGCAGCGCCATCCCTGACTCTCCCAACGCCACAACAGAATGCCTGTACAACGGCACAGGCAAGTCATCCGTCCTCCTCCATGCCCTCAAACTCCTATCGAAAAGCCAGCAGTCCTTCACCGGGGTTGACGGCGACCCCCTGCCGCCTGCAAGCAGCACACCCACGCTCCCCAGGTCTGTCAAAGAATGGCACATCCTCGCTGCTGGACCAATCCCTCCACGGAAAGCAAATGTTGCCTCGCTTCCAGGCTCAACTCCGTAACTGAACAGATCGCATGACTGCAACCTCGTCTTTATTCCCAATCCCAAAACATTTAGCAGCACAGGCTGCTCTTTAGGTCTATCGCTTGACAACTGCATCGCTGCGGCGAAGCGACGCTGTCCCTTTTGTCCGGGGCATGGGTCGAATTGGAGGGGCACCTCCTTGATCGGAATCCCATCAGTTTTCGGCACTGCCGGGGGAGGATTGTACGTTGTCGTCCCCTCTATTTCCGTCCTGGCATGCACAACGCAGTAGTGACTGCCGAAAAGTGCAAACTCCTCCCACTCATCAAACGGTTCGATCTCATCCAGACGACGGCGCTCATCAGCTGGGAGGAATGTCTCATCAGCCCAGGCCTGCCAGAGCGTCCAGACTCGGACGGACGGCCAGCCATGGTTAAGGAATCGAGTGTGCTGGTCGGTGATGGTGGCGTATGTCTTGACAGATTTGAGGGGCGTGTTGAGTTTTTGGAAGTGGTTGAGCATGGTCGACGCAAAGGGATGGTCCTCCCCGTCAGGGAGGATCTGTTCTAGGAGGATGAACTCAGCTGCTTTTGGGAAGTTAGCATCGGGTTAAGGTAAGTGAGCAAATGAGAACGTAAGACATACCATTCCCAAGTGTAGACGCCCACTGAATCACCCTATCTGCCCCCTCAGTCTCCATATATGTGATCGAGACCTCCGCGACGAAAATGAACTCGCACTCTGCGAGCTCAGCCCTCAGAACAGCGTCCAACCCTTTGCGAAATGTCACCAGATCACGCAAGTCACATCCAATTTGGACATACTGATCCGTCTGGAGCACCACGGGCTTCACTGTCTCTCCCGGCCCCTTCAACCCTGTAAAGGCGCCCACCAGCTCAGGGGTATTGAGCACCGTCTGCCGCTTGTGCTCAATCAGATCTGGAAAATCCACATCCACGAACAAAACACGCTTCGACTCCTCCGGGTACCGTGTCAGACACTGCCACGGCAAGACATCACTGTCTAAAGTCAGCATCTGCTCCCCATAAGCACGGGTGAGTCACAAAAAACAAACCTTCCACACCCCAAATTAACCACAACCGCTCTCCTCCCCCTCTTCTTCGCGTCATGAAGGAAATCCCTCACCAGTACATCTATCACCCTCAAGCGCAGCCAATACCCTCGGTTGATGAGCGGTGCACGACGCTGGGGCTTGGGTACGAAGTACCGGAAAAAGTGAGGCTCATTGGGGTGATAGAGACGCTCGACACTGCGCTTTGAAACGATGCTGCTACTGTTGGTCTAAGCATAGTCAAAATGTTTGGGTTAGTTGGAGCTTTATTGTCACTTCATATCACTGTCATTGACAGGATATTAACTGCGACAAAAATAGGAGCCAAAAATGAGAGAGCATGGTTATAAGGACGTACCGCCATGACTTGGTCATCTGCCTTGGCCTGGGCTGACTTGCCTCGTGGAAATGAGACATTTGTTGGTTTTGGCATGTTAAGTTCACAGCAAGCAGGTAAAATGGGTTGAAATCTAACTTAGAAGTCGTGATGGGAGTGCGAAAGGTCGCAGTGCTCATGTGTGAGTGAGTCTCTAGGGGAGTTGACTGATGCTCAATCCCTAGCTGAGAGGATTTATACAGTGTCGATAACCTTTTGCACTGTGTCATCATTCACCCGTGAAGTGCTATAAGGTGCATTAATCACAACTAATGAGCTTTTATACGAAGTTTGCATTCACTTAACTGAACAAAGTCGTGAATTAACATAGAGAACAAACTCTTATTGGATATGAACTAGGATCTAGGATAATCTGTCTCTCCATCTTTTTTGTCCTTTCCTCCCTTCTTCCTTTTCTTTTCCCCTTCAAAATACCACGAGTACAGCAAGTAAGCATGTCATCTGTCCACGAACTTTCAATCCATCATCCTAATTTACTGCCTTCTTTAGTTGAGTCTATCATGCTCATCTAAGTCCACATGTTGCTGCTATTTGTTCCGCTTTTTGGCAGGTGGATTGAGCAACACGGACTTTGCGACTGTCGCCAATAGAGGACGATTGGTGAAGCAAGACTTTAGTTGGATTCCATGTGTTAGGATACGGTGCTTGATCATCTCAATGAAATCCATTTTGTCCTCCATGTGGCACATAGAGGGCTAGCGTGGACAACGCAGCTTCAAATATTCCATCTGCTGCTCCACAATGTGCCCCCATATCTGTTGGGGGTGTGTATCCCAAGCATACAGGTATACATGTTCCCGAGCTGGCCTCGATTCGTCATTCAGACAAAATGGATAGAGTTAGGAGCAAGAGTTTGTCCAGCCATGGATCCATCGTAACAGATCTCCTAAACAACCTTCAGAATATCCTTCAGACGTGTTTCGGAATGCCAACGTCATTCGTTGAGATCAAGCAGAAAACGAATGGGAGAATGAATGAAAGGCTGTGCTCATGCACCTTGTGTACTATGACAAATTGTGACCACAAAAGCACCGGGAGAAGGATCCCGAAACAGTCTTCTCTCCTGGAAGGAGATTGTCAACTTCATGAGTGATGCTGAACCACTTGATCATGGATTCTGCTAGCTGTGTTTCATATTGTTCATGAGTCTGCAGCTCGACCAGCATGTCTTGATAGGCCGAGATTTGACATCAGCAATTCCCCAATCTCCCAACGACTCTGCCTCAGTCCATTTGTCACCGTCTAGTTCTTGGCGCTTTAAGTGCTCCATGTTTGCATCATCAGAGTCGTTTTCAATACTTTCATGAGCGATGCTCCGCTCCTCGAAATTCTGATGCACTCCTTAGCATGACGCTTTGGGAGAGGGCATTGTATTTGGTTTTTGAGCACGCTGTAAGATTGACGGTGGCTATCCCGTAAGGGATCACTTGTCCGGGATGCGGCCCAAAGACTTGGATGCTTGGCGACGATCTTCGACCGGATCTTTTCAATAAACTTTGTAAGCTCCTTGATGAGATATTGTTCCATGACGGGGTGAACTCCCTTCGGCACTATTTATTGAGGTGCGGTTGTGCTTCGATTCAGGGAGATGCTGACCATGGCCTTGACATCATGGACCTCGCTACGGCAGAACATGCTCGGGAAGTCGGTCGACGAGATACGAGATTGGTACAGTAAAAGGAAGAGGACCGTGAGTGGCCTATCAAAAAACATTTGGTTGAGCTCTGTTGTTTGTTGTGCCCGAATGTAGGTGACTCCATGCCGCAGCCAGTACGCCACGAACCAATCTTTGAAACTACAGAACTTCCCAAGCCTGGTGATTTGCTCTTGCAGTTCCCTGGAATGATACAGACCTTGATAGTTGGGGTTGAGACCCCTGAATGGAAAGATCAATGGAAGAAGTAATGGGGCGTTATCATTTCCCTGTGTCCTGGTTGACAGGAAACTCGATGAGCGATCCATTTGTTTGTTCTAGGCCTCCGAGCGTCGTGTGGGTAAGATTCCGATGTGAAACTGCTCGGTTCTGACGCTTTCTCAGGGCCAGTTACTCTGGTGTTGGCAATACCTGGACAGCAGCAAAGCGATTCTGTTAAAGCTCCGCATCGGTCTCTGCACGGAGCTGGCCATCAGCCCCGCGTATCAAGGGAGCCATCTCTCTGTCTCCAACTTCGAGGGTTGTATGAGCAAGTCGGCGGTGTGAGACTGTGTTCTTCAAGCTCATCAGAATGGTTTGCTGTTCTGGTGTTAGTAAGGGGTGAGCGGAAGGGAAAAGTGCTCATGGTACCTTAGCGTTAGCTTTCGTAGCAGATACGGCATTGAAACCGCAAACACAGACGGTCCAAGGTTAGTCGTTGAATCTTCAAGTTTACTGTAGGAAGTGAGTGTTGACGTCTGATCCGTCTAAGAAGAGTGAAGATGAAAAAGCTCAGTCAGAGATTTGGCAGACGTGATGGCTTTCAATCTATCAGTTTTAGGAATTGTGCGTTCGAAATTCAGCCATGACAGTAAGACCGGAAAGAAGCAATTAGGCAGTTCGGAAGGATATTGTCGGAAAGAGGGCAGGTTGAGGAGAGAAAAAACATCATTACAGGTAATGTTCCGGGGAGGCAGTCATATCATAGACATATCGAGCAGTTGCAGACGGCACTTTCAGTACAGAGAGGCGGGCCTTGCTGCCTCAGTTTGCTCACACCTTCAATGCTTGTGTGGATAAAGAGGCGGAGAGGAAATAAACACCAGTGGCTGATCTCGTAATCTGGTTTTGTTGCTGAGCTTCTTTAATGAGTAAATTTGCCGCGAGTCGAGTTCTTATGCTTCCCCCCCTTTTCATTCTCCCCTCCTTTCCCCCCTTCTTTCAGTACCCCTTTTACAATATCGCTCTCGCACCCAGCAGCCCTCGGAAAGCCAGAACCTAGAATGACGTAGATCGGTAACCGAACTGTCACATAGGGAGTGTTAGCACATGGCAAAGTGATTCCCAACACTTGCCGAACCTGGTTTTCTGTTAGATCTTGAAAAGAATTTTGAAATCTCTAATGAGAATAGTTTCGCGTTCACTACCTGCTCCCTTATGTTAGTCTTTCATGTCTTCCGTTTCCTCTTTCATTTAGTATCTTTGCATCCTTTCTTCCTTTCCTTGGTCTGATCATTCCTTCCATTTTATTCTCTCTCGATTTTTACCTTCCTTTCTTCCTCCTTACTACACTCTCCCCCTTCTTTCTGTTTTCTTTTTCTGCTTGTTTAACCAGATACTGGGGAACTTGTTTGACTCCGTCATTTATCCAGTGTTTTGGCTTCAAGAATTACGCTTTGAGGAGATTGCCTCTTGTTGAAGGTTCTGCCATATGTTTGGCAAATTCGAGTTGTGAGTTTGTGAGCTATGAAAAGTTGATACGAAGCCAAGGTCTCCAGAGACATAGCCGCCTTGACAAAGAAACTGTCTCTCAATCCCTAATTTGCGATGTCGTTGGAAAGAGGCTAACAAACGTCCCGATATATTTTCATATGCTTCCTGAAAACCGGGTAGTTTCGAGATTCGATGTCCCTGAGGGCCAAAAAGAAGACATGGCATCACAGGTTGTTCTCTCCACCCTTTCCATTAAGGCTCCACGTCCGAATTATCACCATGTACAGAGTACATTTTGAGGAGCTCGACACTGGGCGAACTCGAGACGGAGCCGGAAGGGGAACGGTGGGGTCGGCAGAGAATCTTTTCGCCGCAACCCTGGTCCCCACCTCAAGGGGTTCACAAACTCACTTTCTGGAGCATAAATACCAAGCGCCAGTGGTTTAGTGGTAAAATTCATCGTTGCCATCAGGCAAGGTTCGATGAGCCCCGCGTTCGATTCGCGGCTGGCGCAAGCCTTTTGCACCCCTCTTGCCTCGATCGAGGAGTTCATTTTTGCTGCCTCAGGTGTTCAGGTGCTCTGCAGTGTAGTTCCCGTTTTATCGTGTTATGCTATTTGATCGGAACATGTTGATGGGTCAAATCCGCAATTGTTGCTGTAGTGTAAGTTGTCGTTATTATGGTGCTTTAGCGACGCTACTCGTATGCCCGAGGACGCGGCAGTGAGGGGTAGAGGAGCGAGGGGCATGCTTCGGCTAAAAGGCACTCTGTAGAAACGACTCAATTCCTTGTTAGATAGCTGACTGTGTTTTAAAAGACTGGTTGCAAATCAATTGGCCTAAAGACTGTTTGTAGCACATTATACAGGGTAGGCTTGAGGGCAAGTATTGCGGGAATGTGGTGGTAGAGTTTCTGGGTCTAATTCACTCTCCAAGCTTTACATCAAGGCGAGACATGCCAAAACATGACTGAAACCGGGCAACTCGTCTATTTGGCTCTCATGTACACAGGGGAGGGGTCAACCACGAAGGGTTCTCATCGGTTCACCACAGCATCAAACACACACTCCAGCCCTCCGATACCGGTCTCTTTCATTGCGCCCAACTCAGCAGAAGGAGAGGCTTCCTTCCCATGAGACGTCAAAATGAGACGGAAGTTAAATGATAGAAAATGTTTTTTTTAATTTACAGAGCGTCAGTGAGGAGCTTGTTCATCTTGGCGATCTTCGAGGAGACGCTGAGGTCGACTGTCCTGTCACCGACCTCGACGATCAGGCCGCCAATGATATCGGGGTTAACCTGGCTTGCGTTAGCACAATGAAAGCTCTTAAGGATTTGTAGCGAGCAAGTCGAAGTACGTACGGTGTTCTTAACCTTGAGGGTCTTGCCAGCGCCGACAACGTCGGACTTAGAGACGGCGGCCTCGAGGCGAGCGAGGGTCTTGTTATCCAGGGGCTGTTCACACAATATCTTAGCGTTCTCATCCCAAACCACGTAATACTGCCCCACAACCTCACTACCCCTCCATCCCACCACCAAGCAAAACCCTTACCTGAGCGCTAGTAACAACCATCTCGACCTCACCACGAGCGGCACTCATGAGCTCACCAAACTTGCTGCAGACGCCAGGAAGCAGACCGAGGCGGTTGTTCTCGGCGAGGGTAGCCAGGAAGTTCTTGACGGTCTCGCCCGCGGCACCGGCGCTCTTCTGCAGCTCGGCGACGATGGCGCTCTTGTCGGCAGCCGTCAGGGTGGGTGCCTCGAGGATGGTGACGAGCTTGCTGTCCTTCTGCAGCAGTGCGCCCAGCTTCTCGATGCCCTTGGCGGTGGGCTCCAGCGTCTGCGTCTTGACCGCGGCCGTGTACTATATTCGTGGCGCCGCGCGAGCGAAAGCAAAATGGCGCAGGTTAGCCGGGCTGTGCTTCTTTCTCAAGGCCAATTGAGAGAGGAAATAGACCCCCGCGGACCGCCTTTAGTGTCTGGGGTATCTTGACGGCGAGCTCGGCGGGGAGGGAAGAGGGAGGGAGGGGGGCCAATGGGGGACGGTATGTAGACATGTGCGGGAGGGCGGCATACCAGAGCAGTGGCATAGGTGCCATCGAGGCCGAAGAGGGTGACGGGAGGCTTGACCTTGTCGGCCGAGGCCGGGGCGGCAAAGGAGCGAGTCTGGCCCAGGAGGGCACGCTGGGGAGCGGCCGACCGCGCGGCGCGCAGCACTGCCTGTCTGGAGAACATGGTGGGCTGGGGGAGGGCGGATCGCGGTGGTGATGGGCCTCGAGGTTCGTGAAGCAAAGCTTCCGTTCAGTTTTCAGAAACGGGGTTTGACAGGGTGCTCGGCAATTTCGTTGGTGCCTGAGGCAGCAAGCACGTCGGGTGGACCCGGAGCTGAGCCTCTGTTGGCTTCGGTTTCTTGGAAGGGTCCACTCAGTTTTTGAGTTCATAAACTTGAGCCTCATGATGAGCTGCTCCCTCGAAAGACGCCGTTGCCAATCACGCTGAGCAATACGGTCATGTATTGTGATTGCGAATCAAACCTTTACATGAATAAGTACTAAAATCTACCTTAACAATCAATGGCAATACAAACGGAATACTGCAGCCCGTCCAGAGAAAATGGTCAGCATCGCATGCAGTCCCTTACTTAACCATTCATTACCAACCGTCCATTATGAAGCATTCCGCATGCTTTGCCCTCCCTGGAATTGAGCTATGAACCAAACATGAAAAAGCCGTGAACCCTCAGGTTAATTCAGCCAGACCCGAACGCCGTCCATTCAACGCCAACAATCCCGTAACTCTGGTGGTATCTTAAAACATAGCGGGGAACGTCGGACAGCTCAGTCGCTGCGCAGCATGCTGTCCACTAGGTCTCCCAAAGGGCCCCAATAGTCCTTGCCGGTGGCGAGGTTGTGCTCGTCGATAAAGAGCACATACTGCTTGAAGCTGGTGTTGAGGTGGGGCTCTAGCCCGAGCTCACGGATGACGGGGTAGTGGTGGCAGTAGATGTGGGCATACACACGGTACATGCGCTTGAAGATCTGGCGGACGAGCGATGGGAAGTGCTTGGGGAACGGGACACCTTTTTGCAGTCAGCATTCAGGGGTGTCTTGTCTGCCTCTGGGCGTTCTTGCTCACCGATCCGGGTCGGAAGCACCTGCTCGTTGTCGATGTTGCTCTGAACCCATGTCATCAACTGCTCGATGTAAGCCGGCGCGGGCATCTTGGTCGGCTTCTTGTAGTTCTCCGAATCCTGCCACAGGTACTCAAACCTGACTTCGTCAGCGCAGTGCATCACGCTCATGATGCCGAGTACATACTCATCTGTCGCCTTCATCTCGGGGCAAGACTGGGGAGAGCAGAACTCGGTAATGGCGCCGTAGAGCAGGTTGATCTGGTTGTAGAAATCCACCACTTCACCAATGTCAGTTGCATGCAACGAGAAGCGATATTGGGCATCATATACAGTTCACAGCCAACCACTCATTTTCATCTTCGCCTTCTGGAAGCTTGACGACTTTGCGCAAGCTCCCGCCGCCTAAGGTCGCCTCGGCATACTGGCGCAGCTGGTAACTCGTAGCACCGCCTTTGCCAGGAGCGCGAGGTCGGAACTGGTTCTTTGTCCGGTTGTTGCTGCGATCGCACACACAGAGTCAGCGGTACGTTCAACGTCGCATTGTGCTGCTGGGCTTTTGGGCTTTGGGGTAGCCTCGGGGCGGCAATCGCCGACGCGACGGGCGATAAGGCAGACCCTAAGCTGACCCCAGTAGAACCAAAAAGGTTTGAAAGATGTAATAATAATGGGCGAGGAAAGGGGACGATACACTCGGGAAGTCGCCATTCTAGCAGGCTTGCAGCGGACGGACTGACAACAGAAAGTCGACTCACACTGTTGTCAGAAATGAGCTCATGGCGAGAACCAAGCAGCAGGATGGGCTCTCTCTGATATTATTATTCGACGCCTGCCTTAAACTGCGAGGTCACCTAGAGTGACACCAGCTGAAGTGTTAGCGGGGAAGCCGAGCGGGCAGTCCCTGATGACGCAGTGTCAGAGTGTCTGGAGACGCTCCACTGCTGCGCTAACAGCGGAGCCAAGGAAACGAGGGCGGGGACGGGGATGCACACCGATGCAGCTGATGAGATGCTGGCCTTCGATGGTTGCAGCGCGGGTACTGTCTTTACTTTTTTTCTGGGGGGGGGGGGAGGGGGAGGGGGTTTTAATACGGAAGTTCAGGTTGGCGGAGTGATGTGTGAGGATGAGAGCGACAACAGAGTTGAAGGCGCAGGCCAATACGTAGAACAGCACAGAAGCCGGAATGGAAAATGCTCCAGGTCGATCAACCTCACTCTGGCAACAGCGACCGCCAGACGGAAACAAAAAACAGCCCAACCGCCACTGCAATCTTCCAGTTCCGCATCAAAACCGCCCACTCCATCCATGCGGGCACCCGACCCATCCATGCCTGCTTAGATTCAATGCAATGCATCGCGGCAGCGCCAGGGACAGCACCAGAGGCGCCACTCGGACCGGCGCCAAGTGAAAGCCTTTCCACAGCGGAGTGGCGCCCAAACTCGTGCTAACTCCATGATCTGCCGGTTGCTGGGAGTTGAATTAGCTGCATCATCACTGCCCTGTCCCCGCGCAAAGAAGGGATGCTTCCGAACTTGTGGAGCTGCGGGAGTGTTTGTAAATTTATCAGAATTTTATCTGCGCGATCTAACTTCCAACTACAAAGGCGAGCAGACAAGAACATCACGAGGAAAGGGTCTATTGGTTAGAGATGCCAGGGACAGCACCCCGCATTAGGGCGGCCCGTTACTCGGAGTTCCTTCCGAGCCGCTTCTTGAGAGTCATGGGTGTCATTGTCCCGACAACTTGGACATGTGTGGAAACTCTAAACCAAAGCGACATGAAGATCAGCATTGACAACTTACTTATACTAACTCTTAAGTTTCATTTCAAGAAGCCGTTTTGGGAGTTTGTTTGGTGTGGGTCATTCTGCATTTAAGCAAGCCAAGCATTCTGGGCACCCAGATTCCATATTCTCCTAATCAACTTGCACAGCCGTGCATGGGAAGTATACAACTTGAAACCTCTCACAGGTAGTGTTTGTCATTTACATACCATACTTGGAAGGCCAATAAGAAACAAGATTTAATGTTGTTACTTTCCCAAATATATTCGGGTGTTCAGGGGTTATGAGGAGCCAACTCTTCGGTAATAAACAGAGATATCCATGACACGTTGAGCATTGGATTGCGATTCCTGAACTATCACGGCTGTCGAAGCCCACCAAGAGAGTCTCGGACGAGCATACTTTTGTAACGATGATGCGCCTACCCCTATTCTTGATCCTTCTCTTTGTGGTCGAAGCGATCCCCGTTACCCAACGTGGATTGATCATCCAGTCCTTCCAACATTCGCCGCCGTCATATCAGCTCCGACTTAGCATCATTACGTGTTGACAATGGCAACTTTACCTCCGGCGCGGATATCACAAGTTTGCAGATATTCATGTCGTTTGCCATCAGGTTTACCTGGGGATGGCACAACATTAGTCTGCCTACAACACCCCCCTAACCCAGATGTCTGTTGAAGGCAAGGGCTTCAGATTGTTACAATCGAACAGCTGCTCATGCTAAGTTAGACTGTACAGGAGTCGAATGGTGGACGCACGGCAGATTAATTCCCTGTGAGGTCCCCGATCCGGAGAAGCCTGATACTTCGCAATGGTTAAGAGAGAACCCACACCGGTTAAACTTGAGATGAGTTAGCTTTGAGTTTCTCAATAGATTAAGCGCCACCTAGGATGATCTTTACAACAAAATCCAGGAATTGGATCTTCGGTTGGGAAGGTTAACCTCCTTGTTGTCTACGACGGTGTCCCCTTCAACGTTTAGACCTAAGCCGACCCAGACGCTGACTCCATCGCTGTGAGAGTTGAGTCTAGGCTGTTTTTAACGAGAGGAACCTGGCGTCTTCTTCGACTTCCCCTACCATGAAAAAGAGAAATTCAACATCTCCTTCGTAGGCCACTTCGGCATACGGCGGAGAAGATTAAGCAGGTTTGGGTTGCTGGAGGAGTCGCATGAATGGGATTTTGCCATGCTGGTGATGAATGCGGTGCGAATGGGGATCCGGAACTGGCGGGTGATTACTTGCTGCATCCGATGTTTGAGCTTGATGATGCTGGGTATCCGGTTGGCGGGTCCGAGGGTGATGCCACCGCATATCCGAACTCGGCTTTGTTGCTAGTTGTGACGGCGATCATATCTGGGGGATGGGACGGGGATAAAGGGGCCGAAGGGTAAATGGCCGAAGGATTGAGAGGGGAAAGTTAGGGTGGAGGGGTTTAATCCTGCTTTCCAAGTTCTGCATAGGTATGGGCACGTTAATAAGACATATGCATAGCCAGTGTGATCACCGATTACGGGAACAGCACGATGTCAGTGTCAAACGTGCTCGATTGAGCTTCATTTGCTTTTCTCTATGCTCAATAACCGTTTCTCCGAGATGCTCGATTCAATCGTATAGCGGCTGGATAGCATTTCACAATATTCTGCTTCCAGACCACTGATCCTTGTATGTCTGTCTCCAGCTCAAATATGCATCATCCCATATGAGCCATTTGCCATACGGGCCTGCATCTCATTCACAGAAGAACCTCGCCAACGCTCTCGCCCTCAAAACCCTCCTTGGAGAGCAGCTTGAGCTTCTTCTTCTCCTTAGCCTTATCCTGCTGGCGCTTTTGCTTAGCCAGCTGCTTGACCAGCTCAACGTCGGCCAGGTCGTAGCCCGGCGGCGGGTCGTCGTCCTTGTCGAGGTCGATCTCACCCAGGAGCAGCACGTTCTCGCCACGCACCAGAAACAGGCCGCGATCGATGTCGGCGTACAGGCCACGCGGCTGGTTCGGCATCGTGTTAGGCGGGATGAAGATGCGTTCCTTGGTCGACTGAAGAACCAAGTTCGCTGTGAGAGGAAAGAGAATGTGTTAATAACTGCAGACAGAACCCAGACTGTGCCTTTCATCATCGATGGAAAACGACGATGACGGTTATGGCATTGATGGCTTGCTCATACCAAACTGATCCCAGCTGCGCAGAATACCAATGAGCTTGCGCCCGTCACGCAGAGCTACCATGAGCTTTTCTGTAGTAAGTTTAGCTTCTGATTCCTCTAAAGTGGGAAAGTCAATGCTTACTGTCGGTCAAGTCCAAGAGCTGGGCAGCCGTAGTGAACATCTGGGCCGGCAGTTGCTGGGGCGGCGGAGGGGGACGACCAAACTGAGGTGGAATGCCCCCTGGGATGCCACCAACGGGCGGCTGCTGGGGAGGAAACTGTTGCTGTTGATGGAACTGACCCTGCTGCTGTTGGAAACCCGCCGGCGGCGGCCCCAAGTGAGGTGGCGGGGGGTCGTTGAGGGAAAGGTTCTGGAAGTTATCCATTGGTAATAATAGATGGTAGGGTAAGTCGGTTGAGAGGTTGAGGTCGTGAGTGAGGTGTGGGTTACGAGTAACAGGTCATGAGCTGGATGCGATGTGTTGAGTCGACCCAGTCCATGGGGCTGGTGTAGGAGCTCAAGAAATGTAAGTAGAAAAATTGAGGCCTAAGGTTCAATTGGCATTGAACTTGAGGCCCCTTGATTGGACTCTGGAGGTGAGGTAGGTGAGGTCGCTGTCTACCAAGTCCAGATGCGCCTCATCGCAGGGTGGAGCTCTTCGCTGGTGGTGTGGTACTCAGGTTGCGATCGATGAAAGTCCCCCCAGCCTGGATTCTCAGGGAGTGGAACACACAGTCGCCTGCAGCTTGATCTCAGCTTCGGCCCTTCAAGTGCAACGTGCAATGCACAACATACAACCCGCTGAAATCGAAGGCAGAGCCTCAATGCCAACCCTGATCTTGGTGCCCAGCTGTGCCCCGCGACCCGCCCTTGCAGAGAGCCCCACAACGGGATTTTCAAGCGCGAAACGCCGACTCGGATTAACCCACCACCCAGAGGGCGCTCTCTGGTTGGCTGACCTCCCTCGGAGACTCCACACAGTATGACTACAGTGTGCGCACAATGGCAGAAACCGTTTGACACTGTTCTCGCGGCGCCATTGTAAGCGGCTGCCCTGGTCGTGGTCAAGCGGCGCTACCCGGCTAGTAAGCTTTCTTTCCTCACCGTCGTCGTCTCCCACAACCCACACATGCCGGAATCCATATACCCATTCTTTCGCCCTATTTTCGCATCTTCACGATCGGACACGCGGCTTCTTGTCTATATATCGTCCCAACGAAGAATCAGCGTTTAGATGCTCATGCCATAGAACCGCTCGATCGTTCCATCGCCCGACCACAAACAAGCCAGATCCGGCTGTCATCTTTTGACTTCTCACTTCTCTAATCTCCTCTCCCAGTACTCAACCGCCCGAGGACAGTCTACAAGCCACCGATTCCACGACTGCCTTAGCATCTTGCATCTGTTTCCATCAACAAGATTTCCTCCAAGCGAACACTTTTCACGACCACGCCACACACACAATGGCCACGAACGACGTCTCTATGGCTGATGCGCCAGCCAACCGCCCTGACCGTCGTGTCAACGGCTCGCCGCCCCCGGCGCAGTCCAAACGAGACAAACGCCGTCAGATGCTCGTTGACAAGCTTGCTACGCTCAACGAGAAGTTTAGCAAGGACCGCGACCAGGCCTACCGCGAGCAGCTCACGCGGATCCAGATCGACACCTCACTGGTGATGAGCTTCGATCCTTACGTGGATCGCCCGCTGGATAAGTTCGAGGAGGAGTATGCAAAACTGCAGCAGGTCGGCGGCGGCGATGGCCCGGCCAAGTCGCTACTTGAGAAGGCCGGACCCAAGTTTGCGAAGTGGATGGAGAAGGTGCAGGATTTGATTGAGCAGCGGGACTACGCCCTTACCAAGTTCAAGGTATGTGCTGTCTCGCCGTCTTTCTTTGGCCGTTGCTGACTCTCTACAGTTTGACTACGAAAAGAAGACCTCCGAGTACCTAAACACCCATGCTTTCAAGACCGAGACCGCGAACCGCGAGTTCAAGGCCTTGTCGCAGACGCTACGCGACCGCCTAATCAACAGCATCATGGCCAAGAAGTTCCGTTTGAACAAGGAGAAGGAGGCGCTCGAGATTGCCGACTCGAATGCCCTCCTGCTACACCCGAACCAATATAGCATCACCAACCCGTCCAGCCCCGGCGGCACACATGGCAAGCGGGCCACACGGCTGCGCCGTGAAATGGAAGAAATGGCCATGGAGGGCAAGAAGAGGAAGCGTGGTTACAATGACGATGACGGCTCACCGGTGCCACAGCGTCGTCACTTGGACACCTCCAACAGCACGCCCATGTGGCAGACGGATCGTCTCATCAACCGCAAGGCCACTGGCCCCATTTACAGCATCGACAAGCTCTTTACGGACAAGGAGCTTGCCATGTACTACAACGCTGCGGCCCTGGCGGCTCGCAAGTACCTCCTCACACACAAGCCTAAGCTTGACGAGAACGGGCACCCCATTCATGAGCCCGGCACCGAAGGCGCGGATGGCGACAAGGACGACGACGGCGATTCCATGCCGTCGGCGCCCATGATGGAGCGCAATGTGTCTCACGCTACCCGTAGCAACCGCGGCAACCCGAATTTCACAGATGACAAGCTGATGGGTATCGAAATGCTGGCCAACTTCGACTTCCCCGGCAACTTCGAGCGCATGCTCGCGGCCGACCCCAAACTGCCCCCGACGTTCCCGTCCACTTATGTTAAAGGCTACAGTAAGATGGAGTATAACATTCCGAGCAGTCTCAGCACCGAGGATGCCAACCAAGACCTGATGGTCATCAACGCGCTGAAGCAGTACGACGCGCAATTCGGCGTCGGCGCTTCGTTCGACATGCCCAACGGCAGCGGCAGCCGCAAACTTCTCGAGGCAGCGTCCATTTCGGCCCGCGACCACCGCTATGTCGCCTACCTCCAGGGCGAGCGTCCCTCGGAGAATCAGGTGCGCCGCCAGCTCGGCCTACCCGTCCTCTCCGACGTGGTGGAGCCCATCGAGTCCAACGTGCGCGCATCTACACCGAAGGTGGGGCCGATCGGCGGTAGTACGCCAGGCCCGTCGCCGGCTAAGGGAGGAGTGCCAATGAGTAGGCAGTCGAGCGCAAATGGCGTGCCCATGTCCCGGAGCAGCAGCCGAAAGGGTGGGCGGGGCGGACGCGGGGTTGTATTTTTTAGGTTTTTTTTTTTTTTGGAGGGGAGGGGGAGTGGGTGGGAGGGGGGAAAGCGTTTAAGTTGACGGGGAAAAGAGATGATTGATACAGTCAGTTTTGAGGATGTCCCTCTTTGCAGTAGATTCGAATGGGTTTTCTGGTTTGCTCTTGTTTTGCTTTGCTTTCATCATTTTCCTGTTGGATTCCATGAAACGACACAGGAGTTTGGGATGGTTTTCGCTTTGTGGTTTATTCCCTCTGATACTTTTTTTGGGTCACACCTCATCATGATGGGTTGAACGAGGCTATGGTCATGGTATAACAATCGGGGCATACTACTCACTCAGGGGATGGTTCCATTTGGTGATGTTGGGGGGGGGAGGGAGGAGCAATGGGACAACCGCAATTATCCCAGCTATATCGTATTGAAACATAGCTTTTGCTGTATACCCAAAATTTAGAAGCGCTTTACGATCATGCTGAGTTGGTGTTTTGTGCTTTGCAGGATGGTTGAGTTGGAATTTTATCCCGTTGACATCTCTTTCATTACGCTTCCCCCATTCCCTCCCTATATTTTTCCCTTTCCATTCTTCCCATCATTCTTTCGCTTTTATCATTCCTTCTTTCCTCAACCCTCTACACGGTCAAGTTTTTCAATCGCCACGAGCCATAAGTCAAGCATACGCGTCGCTATCATTAAAGGGGCTTGCCATTTATCTGTAAAGGTGTAAAGGCACTCGATGGAAAAGAGCTGGGAAATCACGAATGTCAGGTCCTCGAAAATGAGTAACCGCTTTCGTGTAAGACATTGTTGTCAGGCCCTCCGAGTGAGCGATAAGATCACAGGGGGTAAAGCAATAGAGAACTTAACTGTGTGCGAAGAGCCCTGAAGACCATTTCAGTCTCGGTGCGCATGGCGGCATGATGCACACCAGCACACCATCCCGGGCTGTGTTGATCCAGCCAGAAAATCCGGCCAAGGCTTCCGGCCCAAGGCACCTGGTGCGGGGTTGCGCAATATCGAGAAAACTCTTTTCGAAAGCTCGATTTTTGCAGGCAGGAATCCCGGGGGGTTGATGGTTGCTTGAGGATCTATCTCTGGGTGTTGGTCGGCCAGGACCCCGAGAAGTTATTTAGGTCTCCGGGCGTTGCACATGCCAGTTGGAGGTGTGAGATTGCTTCAGTTTGACGCTTTGAAGGGAAAGTTCAGCTCGTGTTCGCGAAGCTTGGTTTATATTAAAGGAGTTTTCATGGATTTTTTGTGTGGTCCTTGTAATGAAGTCTAGCACAGGGTAGAATGAAAAAGAGGAAAGAAAAACAGAAGAATGAGAAAAGAAAGAAAGGAGGAAGGAAAGGAAGAACGGCGAGAAAACGGAAGGGAAAGAGGTAGGAAAGAGAAAGCAAGGGGGAAAAGGGAAAAGAAGGAGCGGAAAAAAACAAAAAAGAAAAAAAAGGCATGAATACAGCAGCGAAGAACTATCTTAGGGCTAGGACTAAGCTATAGGTAGTGTAAGATCTACCTTTAATGTCTAGCTTGATTGTACCTTCTGGCTGTAACGCTGTTCGCATAGCATTCTATGGAGAGGCAACACTTTGACTAAGATTCTGTGGAGAGCTGTATACAGTTTCGTATATCCTCTAGATGGGATTGGATCATTTGCCCTCGCTTCTAATGCAAGATCGTGATGCTTTGATAGATATTGTTGTCGGGGATACTCAAACTGTCTAGGGAAAATCAGGTGTGTCAAGACTGTGTCCCTATCGTGCAACCGTGATAGCCTTGTATCTTTCACCACATTTTGCATTTCTCACCCCACTTTGTACTTGACGGATGTCACCAATGAGCAAAGATAAGAAGGCAATTGGGAGTTCTCTCGCCAATCCCTTTATTGGTATTATAGCAATTACAACATGCCGAACCATAAACCCCCAAAAACGCCGGCCAATGCACCCAAAGAAGTCCCAGTTTCTAACATAACCCGCACTCCTGTAAACTGTTTACTGCTGCTTAACCAAAACAGCCTTCTCCCTCTCACTCTTCCTCTTCTCGTACTTCTTATTACTGTGCTTCCGCTCATTCTCCTCCCTGCGTTTGATAGCAGCCAACTCTTCCCTCTTGATCTCCGTCGCCTTCTTAACCACCTTGGGCAGGTGTCTGTGCCGACGGATGCGCCGGATCTCGGGTAGGTGCCCGTAGCGATCAAGTAACGCGTTGTTGTACTCGAGGGCTTGCCGTTGCCGGGTGGCTTTGACGCCGCTCCGCTCGGAGGCGTTGGCGCGCCAGAGGCGGACGTTTCCCTGGAAAAGCAGTGTTAGTGAGGGGGTTGAAGGGGAGGGAGGGAAGAGAGGGGGAAGAGAGGGGGAAAAGGGGGGGGGGAACTCACGTCGTCGCTGCCGGTGAGGATGTATTTCGAGTCCATGGTCCACATGGTGCGGAAGACGCGCTGCATACGCTTGGTGTGGTAGACGTCGCGCGAGTGACCAGCATCGCGGCGCCAGAGGCGGATAGTGCGGTCCTGAGTGTGTTAGTGATGTAAGGCTTGGAATGATGGGTTGGAGGGGAGGGGGATGCTTACGTAGGAACCGCTGACCAGCTCCTCGCCAGTGGGCGAAAACTCGACGTCCATGACGGCGGCGACGTGGCCTTTTTGGATGTTGAGGGCTTTGTCAAAATTGCGGGCGTCGAAGATGTAGCTAGGAGAGTCAGAATCTGCGGTAGTGCTCTCGGCGTATCTCTGATAACATACATGTTGTGATCTTCGGAGGCAACAGCCAGGTTCATGGCCTCCATAGGGTTAAACACAATGCGGTTGCAGGCAAAGTGCAGGACGGTCTTGATGACCGGCACTGTCAGAGGTTAGCACCAGTCTTAACTCATAGAAGCCGGCTACATACTGTTGGTGCGCAGGTCGAACAGAATGATAGAGCGATCCGTAGCTACGGACCCGATAACCGATGTCTCAACCTGGTTGAAGCACACATCGGTGATGGTATCGACAAAACTGGGCCACTGTATTGCCTGACCCGCAGTGCTGTGTTCCAGGTCCCAGATGCGGATGCAGCCCTGGCCGGACGAGGCGGCAAAGGTGTTGGCGGATCTGTGGAAGGATAGCGAAGTATAGGGGCCTCCCTCTTGCCATGTAGCGATGGGTGTTGTGTTGCTTGGCGAGGCATAGGGATCCCATAGCTTGATGCCGTCTGTCGCGCATGAAAGGAGCTTCTTGTCATTGGTGAAGGTCAGGCCCTTGACAATGTTGTTGCTGGGGACGTCAGACTATGTTATTAAACTAAGCTTGGGGTTATGGAGACATACTGGGCCGCCACACGCCAAGTCTCCTCGTCGCGGGTTGTCAGGTCCCAGACCTTGACCACGCCGTCGCCGGACCCTGACGCGATGCAGTTGAGGGAGTTCTTGTCCTTGCACATGCTGTACACGCCCTGGACGTGGCCGTTGCCTAGTTGACCGAGGAAGGGCTTGGCGAACATGCGCTCCAGCTTGACGGCATTGAGGGCACGTTGACTGGGAAGGTCAGCGCCGTCTGAACTACCGTGTGTAGAGAAATTACGCCCGCCGTAATACGTACTATTCGCGAGCGCGCTCGAAGGGATGGAGTTCGGGGGCGAGGTTACGGGGGGCCCGCTGGACGTCGGAGCCCGGCGCTTGCTGCGCCGTGATGCTCCGGGTGAGAGCTTTGATCTAGACACATAGGTTAGCCATCAAAAATGGAATTGGACTGCGTCGAGCAGAGATGTGGTCGCGGCAGAGTTGATGCTTGGTACCTTCATGGCGTTGCACGACTGGCGGTTTCAATTAATCTCGCCAGGATTTTTTGTACTTCAAGATCGGTTGTGGAATTGGACTCTAGGTTGAAGGTCGCTTTACAATGGCGACGATAACTAGGGTGTTCTGCAACTGTTTTTCCGCCTCTGAAGATGGCCCTCAGTGTTACTGCAGCAATGCGATCGCAGGGCCGTCGCTGAAATTTTGGCGGGATCTGGCGGCAGAATCCTCAAGGTCGGTTGACCGCCTTTGCGGTTCGTCAGCAAGCAGCCACACATCTGATAGGCCGCCACAGCTAAGCGCCACAGCTGGTCCAGCTGGCGGGGTGCCAAGACTAGGTGCCGCCTAATTACGTCGGACGCGCGACAGCCTAGCCAGCCTGGGCTGCAGGGCAGCGGGCGGGAGCTTGGTGGGTGCAGCAACATCCAATGAACCTGTGGACGGTCCCTGAACCAAACATCACCAACATCAGCCCGACCTTAGTTAGCAACCTCAGTCTCTTTACTCCCTGCCTCGCATAGCTCAACTAGGACGATCTGAACCGCACCCGTTGATTCATCCGAGTTCTGCCCAATCGTCAACCCCTCCCAACTTCGCCAACCTTCCCGCCCAACACACACACACACACACACACACACACACACAATCACACAATGGCGCAAGAAGACTCGGAAAAGGTGCGCGAGGCGCAGAAGCTGGCCAAGATCAATCCCGAAAAGGCCATCGCCATTTACAAGGAGATTATTGCCCAGCCGCCGTCCGTGACAAACGAGGCTGCCATCCGGGAGTACGAGGTTGCCCTGGTCAGCTTGGGCGAGCTCTACCGCGACCAGAGGTATATGATGATGATTCGAAGGCGTAGGATATTGAACCAGCGCTGACCCGTGCAGAAACACAGAGGCGCTCGTCGGGCTCGTAACCACCAGCAGGACAGTGCTGTCGTCGTTTGCCAAGGCGAAGACGGCTAAGCTGGGTATGTCTCCCTCCTCTGCTCTTTTCGAACCCTGCTAAATTTCCCCCAGTCCGCCAGCTCCTCGACTTCTTCGACGCCATCCCCAACAGCCTCGAGATCCAAATCGCCGTGACGAAATCCTGCATAGAATGGGCCAAATCCGAGCGGCGCAGCTTCCTACGCCAGAACCTTGAGACCCGCCTCGTGCAGCTGTACATGGCCAAACAGTCATGGTACGAGGCACTGACCCTCATCAACGGCCTTCTGCGCGAACTCCGCCGCATGGACGACAAACTTGTCCTCGTCGAAGTGCAGCTCCTCGAGTCCCGTGTGTACCACGCCCTGGGCAACATCAGCAAAGCCCGAGCCGCCCTCACCAGCGCGCGCACCTCCGCCGCCTCGGTCTATACGCCACCCCTGCTCCAAGCCAACCTTGACATGCAATCCGGCATGCTGCACGCCGAAGACCGCGACTTCCAGACTGCGTACAGCTACTTCATCGAGGCGCTGGACGGGTACCACACGCAGGAGGAGCCACAGAAGGCACAAGCCGCGCTGCAGTACATGCTGCTGTGCAAGATCATGCTGAACCTAGTCGATGACGTGCACCAGCTGATGCAGTCGAAACAAGCGCTCAAATATGCGGGGCGCTCGCTGGAGGCAATGAAGGCCATCGCGCGGGCACACGCGAACCGGTCTCTCGAAGAGTACGAGCGGGCGCTGGCGGCGTACAAGTACGAGTTGGGCAGCGACGCGTTTATTAGGAACCACCTGCGCCGACTGTATGACAACATGCTGGAGCAGAACCTCATAAAGGTGATTGAGCCGTTCAGCCGAGTCGAGATTGACCATGTGGCGAGGATGGTTGGCTTGGATACGCAGCAGGTCGAGCGTAAGCTTTCGCAGATGATCCTGGACAAGGTGATCACTGGTGTGCTGGACCAGGGGGCGGGGTGCCTGATTATTTATGACGAGACGCAGCGGGACGAGGCGTACGATGCCGCGCTGGCGACGATTGAGAAGCTGAGCAACGTGGTCGATTTGCTTTATACCAACCAGGCGTCGCTGTTGGAGTAAAGGGGGAGAAGGAGAAGAAAAGCTGTTTGTAATTCTATCTACCGAGAGAGCAGTACACACGGCTTTAGACGCCGGGGAATGATACAACAACGATGGAGAATCTGATGATTATGGTATCAGCCAGCCTGGTATTCAACGCGTCCGTCCTTGTAAGCCATATATACTTCGGAATCCGACTGTAGGAGTATCGTATACAGTAACCAGCACCCAACGCCACGTAATACTTTGACCTGGTATCCATCTGTACACTTTTTTAAGCACCCAGCCATTCATCCATCCAACCATCCAAAACCCAAACAAGCCCTTTATCCCAAATACCAGGAAGTAGGTATTCATCTCCTCTTCGGTACCAACCCCCTCCGCCGTCTCTCCTCTCCCACCAGCAGCGCAAACACCCTCTTCACAATCTCCTCTGCCCCCCATTTATTCCCTTCTTTTTCCTGCAATTCCAGAAATCCCTCCACGACATCTAGATGCCACCCCTCAATCGTCATCCGTTCGCCTTGAGAAGTAACCACCTTGCCAAGCAATCTTTGGCGTGAGGAGCCGCCAGAGGAGGAGATGCTTCGGCCGGGGGTTTTGAACACCGGTTCGGGGTCGGGTTCCAGACGGGAGTGCCGGTTGTGTCGGCGTTGTAGGTTGGCGAGGTGAAGTTGAAAGTAGAGCGTGCCTTGTTTGCGGGATTGAAGGAGGGAGTCGAGGAGGAGCCAGTGAGTTCTTGTCCAGGTATCGTCGTCGTCAGGTTGTGGACGACGTTGTTGAGATTCGGGTTCGGGTCTAGGGGAGTCGGGGACGTTAGTCGTGGGGTGAGAGGGTGTTGCGAGCAGGGTAGCCCGGCGGGCAAACAAATTGGCGAATTTGCTCGCGATGCGGGAGGAAAGAGGGGGGCGTTCTTCCTCTTCCTCTTCCTCTTCCTCTTCCTCCTCCTCTTCTTCTTCTTCCTCTTCTTCTTCTTCTTCTGTTTCTTCTTCTTCTTCTTCCTCTTCGTTGTCGTAGTCAGACTCCTGTTCCTCCTGCTCTACCTCATGCTCAAACTCAGACTCAGACCCATGCTCCGGCTGTGGAGCAGCTGAGCGCTGCCGTGGCTGTTCAACCTCTTCTTCATACTCATAGTCATACTTCCCTTCATCCAACTCCCTTTCCCTATGCCCCCCATCTGCCTCAACCTCCCCATCCGACTCAGGCAACTCCTCCTCTTCTTCATACCTTCGTCCATTAACCCTACCCCCTCGTCCCCTCTCCATCTCCATCTCCTCCAATCGCTGTCCCTGCCTGCTCTGCCGTCCATCCTCCCTCTCATGTTCCCTTTCCTTCCGCCGCTCCGCCCTCCTCCGAGCCTGCTCATTCGGTGAAAGGGTACTACTCGTAAACTCGACCACCGGGCCAGGCGTCTTTGGTTTGAGCGGCGAACGCAAGGCTGATTTTGTAGGGGATGCCTCGCGGTGGTTAGGAAGGGGACGGAGGACCGGGGGTGGGGGGATTGAGTCAGAGTCAGAATCATCGTAGTGGTTCGCTAAAGCTTGGCGGTGTTGCCGGTGGTCAGATTGGGGTTGTTGGTGAGGTTGGGAGGGTGGCTGGGGTTCTGGTTCAGGAGTAGGTTGGGACTGCTGGATTTGAGATTGAGGTTGTCGACTGCGTCCACGTCCCCAGCCCGCAGGCTTGAATTGCGCGAAGAAATCGTCGATTTGGCTGTTCTCGGCAAAAACTGACGTTCCCGCTGCAGTGGTGGCTGTGGACTTGTTCTGCCCAACGGCAGTCCCATCCCCTTTACTCACCCTCTCCCTCCTTGTCTGCATCTCCCCACGCACCTCCTCCCGACCATGGTGATCCTCATCCTGGTCCTGGAACGACAGATCCGAACTCGGCGACATCCCCCTAGTGATCGGCTGCTGCGCCTGGACAATCGCTTTCCTAAGCAAGTGCTTTGCAGGTGTGGGGTTGCGCATGGGCGAGGATGAGAACAGGTCCATGCTGCGCTCTCGGGAGATGTGGAATTCTTTCTGCGGGACGGATGGAGGGGGCATCTCCTCTTCTGGCTCCTCCTCCTCTTCCTCCTCCAGTTCCGGTTCTCGCTGCTGCTGGTGGGATTCTTGCTCCCGACGAGGCTGGAGGTAACGTGAGAACAGCCCTCCCCCGGTCCCAGTACCCGTACCTGTGCCGCTGACCGTTCCGGTCCCAACTTCCGGCCTCGACACACTTTGCTGTTGCTGCGTCGTAGCATCCCCCGCCCTCATTCCAAACAACCCCCTCGACGCCTGCGTAATATCAGGTAGCGTCGCCGGTGACGAGAAAAAGCTGTCCAAGTTTGGCTTGGTTTTGACGGGCTTCGTAAAGGTTGGACGGGGCGGCTCAGGTCGGTTGTTACGGGCGACCATGCTGAATCCTTCGAGCTCCTCGTCCCCATTCATCTCATCGTTAGGGGAGGACTGCCGCCTGGCTTCGGGCTGGGACTGAGTTTGAGGTTGCAAGGGGCCGTTGCCGTTTGCCTCAGATGAAGGTTGTGCCTCGTCGGTGTAGGTCTGTGGCCTGTTGTCCCGGTGCCAGGTATCTTGGGGTGAGGGTCTGCGAGGGGCAGGAGCAGGCCCAGGAGCAGGGGCATGAGAGGTAGCCACAGGCTCGCGGCGTTGTTGAGGGAGGGCTGTGGTAGTGGTTGTGTTCGGGGCGGTCATGGACGCAGAGCGCTCGGCTTCGATGGCCCAGATGTCTTCGTCGGAGTCCTCGTCTTCCCCTTGTGCTTGGTCGACTTGCATCGGCTCGGGGCCATTGACTTCAGGCTGAGTCTCAGACGGTTGCTCACGACTAAGCCGAGAGAAAGACTCTCTCGAAGTCTGCCGACCAGGCTCCTTCCGCGGCTCCTCCTTCTCGCTCTCATGCCGTGGACTCCCATCCAAACTCATCTCATCCTCCCCTCTTCTTCTAACCAACCTAGCCGCCTCTCTAGCCTCCCGCTCGGCAACCAACCTCTCTTGCTCCAGCCTCTCCCTCTCAGCGGCAATCCTCCTCTCCCTCTCCAACCTCTCTTTCCTTTCCCTTTCCGCAGCTAACCTGTTCCTCTCACGTTCCCGTTCCCTCTGCCCCTTTTCGGCGGCCCTCGACCTTTCCCTCTCCTCCCTCTCCAGCTTGTCCCTTTCGAGTTGCTCTCTCTCCTCCCATTCCCTCTCTAACCTCTCTCTCTCCGCCCGCCAGCGATTCCCCCTCCCCGGCCCGCTAAACAAGGTTCTCCTACCCCCTTGTTCAGCATTCTCCTCCGGGTCGGGTCCAAATGGGTCATCTATCACCCCCTCCACACTCGACTTCACCGCAGCCGTAGTTGCCTCTGGTGCAGCAGAACCATCATCCCCCCTTCCCCGTCTAGGCGACGACGACCCTAACGCCTGTGCCGCCGTCCGCGTAACAAAATCCTTAAGCTGCGTAAGCGGGGCAAGCCAGGATTTTGAGGGGGACGAAGGCACCGCCGCCGCCGCCGGTGCAGTTGTAGTTGCCTTGTCACCGCCCCACGTCCAACCACCGCTGCTGTCCTGCCCACCGCTGACCTCGTTGCTGTGGTCTTGCTCTGCTTCTTTCTCCTGCTCGGGGGAGCTCGACCTACTCCTCGTCCTCCTCTCCGAGGTAGTCGTCGGAGGATGGCTCGCCCCAGGGGAAGCACTCCTCCTACTAAAACTCCCTTTAAACGGACTCCCCAACAAACTTCCCCCTCCCGGCGGCGAAGGCGGGTCGCTCGTAACAATCTGCAGCGCCCTGCCCGCTCTGACAATTGGGGAGAGCGACGGCCTCGTTGCTCTGCCCGTTGTGGGCTGCGGCAAGAGAGGCTGCGCCGGCTCGGGCAGGAGCACAGGAGGAGGGGCAGCGAAGGGAGCAAGTTGGTCGACGGGGGTTTCGGTTGAGGGGGCGCGGAGATGCCCACTGGTCCTTGGAAGGGGGAGGTTTGCGGAAGGGGGGCGGGTTGTTGGGGGGGAAGAGTGGAGTTCTGGTTGCTCGTTCTCATGGGGTTGTCGTGGGAGTTGTGGTGGTAATTGCTCGAATTGCGGCCGGGGGGGCTCTGGTAGCGGGGACGACGACGGCTGTCGTTCGGAATCCGGCTCCGGTTCGTGCTCGTGAACATCGTCGTGGCCGCCCTGCTCGCTCGGCACAGGCGAGGGAGTCTCATCAGGTGTCAACATCCTGCTATGATCAAGGTGTTGTTGGGGGTCATGTACTCTTGAGGGCCGCTCGATGGACGGCTGGATGTCTTCTTTTTCTTCCTCCTCATGAGGAGCCTCAGCCTCTGCTTCGGGCTGCTGCTCCGAGGAAGACGGGCCTGGAGTCGGGCTGGCAAGGATGACGGAGGGGATCGAAGAGAATGAGCTCTTGTAGACGCGAGAGTTGAGGGTTTCGTTGGGCTGTGTGGCCTGGAGTGGGTTGAGTGAGCGGCGCGGCCGACGGGGCTTTTCGAGGAGGAAACTCTTCTCGTGAGGGGAGCTCGAGGCCGGTGCGGGCTGAGGGGAGGGGGATGATGGTTCGTGATGCGTAGGTTCGGGTACTTGCTCAGGTTCTGGCTCGACAGGCGCCTGTTCAGGCTCTTCATTTAGGCGCGTCTCAGGTTCGGCGGTCTGGGGATTCGAATCCGCATTCGCAGGCGGCTGGGGGCCCAATTGACTCGACCTGTTGTTCAAGCTCTGCCTAAGAGATTCTAATGTCCTGTTGATAATTTGGTTTGCTTCCTCGTCCAGCTCTTTGTCCTCCTCCCCCTCTTCCTGCGGTGGATCGAGCAGTCGCTGACTAGACTTAAGCTGCATTGAGGGCAGGGAGTGTATGGAGATCATGGTGAATCCTTCGCCGGCCATGATTGTGTCTTGGTGTAGATCTCGGTCGTCATGATCACGACGCTCACCGTCTGACTCGCGGTCGCTCCAGTCGCCGCCGGGGGCGTCGTGTAGTTCGGGCCAGTCGTGCGCTCCTTGATCCTGGGGCTCGTCTCGCGGTGGCTCGGGCTGTGGTTCGAACGGAGGCTCGTTTCGCGACGGGAGTTCCGGCTCCCTTTGTGTTTGCCTTCTCGCCGGTACTGGCGTCGGCTGGTCAGACAGCGAAGCAAGCCAGATATCCGACTCCAGGTTATTTTCGCCAGCCCGGCTGTCTCTAATAGCATTACTGATATCCTCAGACACAACCCCCTTCCCCTTCCCCTCCTCAACTACTCCATCATTCTCCTTATCCTCCCCTGCCGGCGGTACAGCCTGCGACTTTCTAGGCCGTCCCCTCTTCCTCGGCTGGCTCGCCGGCGCAGGCGAGACAACTTTCCTCTTGGTCGCGCGCTTCGCCGTCGAAACACTCCCCGGCACCGCTGGCCCTGGCGTCCCCGGATCAACATCCATATCCTCTACGAGCACATCCTTTCTCGGCGAGATTTCAAACGCGCGACTATCGCGCCGTCTTGCCGGCGTGCCAGGCCTCTTTTTCTTCCCTGTCGTCGCCACTGGTGTCCCCGCTCTCCTCGGAGCCCTTCTTCCTGGCGTCACAGCGTCCCCCTCATCGTCGCTCAGCCCGCGCACGGGCACGGTCGTGGTGATTGTGGTCTCGCGCATCGCTGTCGACTTTCTGCGACCAGCTCCCGGGGTAGGCGACCGAAACAAGCGTCGACGCGTGCTATCGTTCCTAGGGCTGCTCCCCGCAGGGTCTGCCTCGACGGTAACGCGCAGGCGCTGGGGCGAGCGCTCGTCGCCGACGTCTAGTTCAAACGTACGCTTTCGCGGCGAGCGGCGGGGCGAGGGTCGCGGTCGAGATACGGAATCTGGGTTGAGGGTGTACAGGCGTTTGGCGGCGGGCGACCAGGTCTTAATGGCGCTGTTGTTAACCATGGGCGGGCTCAGCACCGGGTCGATGAGCGGATCAGGAGACGAGCCGAGGTCGAGGATGATGGTGCGCTCGGGTTCGTCGTCCATGACTTAGGTAGTTTATAAAGCTGGGGCTGGGTCCTGACTGAGAAATGGGTATGGGGAAAGGCAGGGAGTGGTGCTGCTGCTGCTGCTGCTGCGCGGTGGTGGCCCCCCTTGTCGCCGTCTCCATGGACTGTGCGCCGACAAAGACCGATAGTTTGACTTGACTTGGGTTGTCCGATCGAAGATTAAGACAGCTACAGTATCAATGGCGCGGCCTGCGCGTGCGCGCTGCGCGTCGCTGTGTGTGTAAAATACGCCGTCGAGATGCTGGATGTCTATTTCCCCTCCGTATCCGTAAAACGCGTTGGATACGTGATACGTGGGTGTGGCGGGACACATTACACCGTGACGGCACTCTCTGTACCACAGTACACGTGGTGGTGTGGGTTTTCTTGGGCGGCGCCGCAACAGCCAATCTCGATGCCCAAAACCTGAGCGGCCGGTTGGTTTGCCGCCCTGTGCGCTGGAGCGTTTGTTTACTCTTTGCCTGACTTGGCTTGGTCCGGTTGTTTTCTGCCCAATCATAGAATGCCAGAAGATGACTTGCCGGACAAAAGTTCACCCAGCCCCTCACTGTGTCCGCACAGTAAATTACTGTAATTTTACTGTATTGAATTGCTCCAGCTAGACGTCATGCTGTTCCTTTTAACTCGGCTCTCTTCACGACGACAGACAGTATTCAGACAGTATTCATTCACACTTGCAAATCTCGAGTCACCAGCGAGTAGCCGATGATTACTAATTATGGTGAAAGCGGGTCTCGCAGGTGCAGACAGAAATGCCAATGGGCTGTTGCGCCCTTTGTCGGACAACAGTGAGGAAGATGATTTATTTTGTACTTCTTCCCTTTACGGTATTGGATGTTGACATGTCTGCTCGGAATGGCGCAAGCAGGCTATAATGTAAGTCGGGGGGTATGGGCGGGGAGGATGGAGGTGTTGCGATTTCAAATCAATCTGCTGCTTATATAAAAACAGAAAATCTGGAGGTTGTCCTGCCGATAGATGAGTATAATAATGAGACAGTCCTCCCCGTCCGTTTTCTTGCTCTTTGTAACCATTCGGCTGTGATCCAACGCTTCTGAGCTTTAGATCCTGACTTCCTTTGCTCTCACTGGTACTCCGGTCTCAATTGGCTTCTTACTGTCCTCTCATCATGTCTACGACCCTAACAACAACCACCTCTTCCCCAACCCTCACCCACATATCCCAATCCCCTCCCTCTCCTCCCCAAGGCGACGTCCACGCCACGCTACACTTCTACCACCCACCCCCGGACAACTCCCTTCCTTACAACCTCGCCGACCTCAACCAACGCAACTACGGTTCCTCCCCCCATCAAGTCCTCATTCGCGACGCCCGCCCTGTCGCCGAATCCTTCACCCTCGACCACGACGCCTTCCAAATCCTCTTCAACCAGCCCCCCGCGTCCTCCGAACCTTCCAACTGGACCGACGACGAGAGTATTCAAAAGCATTATTATCCCGAAGTCGAGAGTTTGCTATTGAAGACCGTTCCCGGGGCGAACAAGGTTATCATTTTCGACCATACCATCCGAAGGAGTGGGCAGGTACCCGAGGGAGTAAGAACGCCCGTACCAAGGGTTCACATAGACCAAACCGGCCCTGCAACCATCCAGCGGATCTACCGCCACGCTTCTTCCACGGAGGAAGCGAAACAACTTCTAAAAGGTCGCTACCGCATCATCAACGTCTGGCGTCCCCTCACCCCATATCCAGTCGAGTCTTGGCCCCTCGCCTTCGCCTCCTCTCATTCAGTCTCCGAAGAGGACATCGTCCCCGTCGAGCATCGGTATACCAAGACGGGGTATATAGGGCAGACGGCAGCGGTGAGGTATAATGCAGGACAGCAGTGGTGGTATTTGAGTGGGATGCGGGATACGGAGCGGGTGTTGTTGGAGTGTTTCGATAGCTGGGGGGAGAAAGAGGGGAGTGGGGTGAAGGGGGGCAGGTGTGCACATACGGCATTTGAGGATCGTAGGATGGGAGAGGGGGCGCGGGAGAGATGGAGTGTGGAGGTTAGGGCCCTGGTTTTTGGGCCATAGGGGGGAAAGGGGGGATGAGCAGGATGGTGATGGACTGGTTGTTCTTGGATGAGATGATACTTAGGGTAATGAATGGATAGACTGTCCTTCATATTAGTAACGAGAACAGATAAAAGTTCACAATCTGGACGGTTGTCTGTCTTTTCTCATTTATTTATTGTATCTTCTTTCTCTTTTCATCCTTCTTTGACGTCCCCGTTTATTTCTTGTATTCCTTTTTCTGTGCTACAAAAAAAAAAAAAAAACTAGCTATGTTGTATCCAAGCCAAAATGAGGCGGTTGTAGTAATGGGGAGTTAAAAGCAACACGTTAAGCCGGACCTCATGAAAGTAAGGAGAACAAAGTAAGAAGAGAAAAGGGGTTGATTTCAAGGAAGCAATTTGAGATAGAACACCTGCTAGACCAAGCCTCACTCACTTGATCTGATATTTCCTTTCTCCTTCTGTCCGACATGGCACCTCAACAGTGATGAACCCCAGTCACACATATGGCAATATTTTGACAACTTCAATCAAGCGTATGCACGCTCCAAACATTCATTGTTATATAATTCTTTTTTAATATTTTCCCACAGAACAGACGCCTAAAAGCAGTTTCATCAGCCACGAACCAACCTTAGACCACCAGCCTTGGAATCCGGGTCTCCTATGGACCTTCTTGCTGGCCCCTTTGTGGATCACCAAAATCAGACCCCCGTCTCTCTGCATAGAACTTGTCAGCAAGTTAATTCCTAAAGTATTCCTATCATGCACTCGTGTGTGCTTGTAAAACCAGTGTAACACGCAGCATTCATCTTCATCCTCAATATCTTCTGTCTCTTCTTCCTCTTCAAAGAGCTCAACTCGAAGAAATCGTCGACTGCCTCTGCCCTTTCAGCAATCTCACGTATTTTCCCAAACTCTCCACCGCGCTTCGCAAGAATTTGCAGTATCCCAGGGGGTAGCAGCGGAGGACCCCTTGGTTGGCCGGCCGCTTCTCTTCGATGGATCACTTCAAGGACGAGATCCAAGGTCCGAAAAAAAAAAACAACTTCTCTTGCCTCTTGCCCGAAAGAAGCTGTCGCACTAGCAGTCCGAGTGATCACGCTCCATTACGCTACAGCAGAGTCTCATCGCTGAGCTTCAGAAGCATTGCTCCAAAGTGTTAGTTGGGACAATCAGGAGACCAAAACACGAGACCGAAAAGCAGAGCAGCCATTAAGACAACGGGCCATGTATATGGCTCGGTCAGGCTTCACGATGGATTCAACGTCCCACGAGTCTCACCCAGAGATTTGGGAATTGCAGCGCTGAAACCTTCGGTCATGTAAAGAGATTACAAAATCGATGGCAGAAGCCAAGCGAGATACTCAGGAGGCAAACTGCAACGGTCCCCTTCAGTGGGCAGGCCGGCGGGCGTTGACCACGCCGAACTCAGCAAAGGAGCGTTCAGAACATCAGAAAAATGTCATCATCTTTGACTTGGTTATAGCCCGTGTCATTAGCGTCATCTGTGTCTCTTGCTTCTTCTCTGCTTTCCTCCTCTTCTTCGGGCGGCAACAGAAGGCCCCATAGCCCGCTGGTCCCTCGCTGTTAACGATTAGCAGTGCAACAACACCAAATCAGATGCGAGGAACTCCGGGAGAAACTAAAACGTTGACGGAAACATCGAGAGCCCTCAAGTTATATTGCCCAGGCGTAACCGTAAAGCCCGGCCGAAATCCTCGTCCGACCAAACGTGTTCCGGTTGCCAGAGCACGTGTCAAAGGAGAGAACTGTATGTTTGTTTGGCCGACAAGCCAGTTTCCCACTCGAGACATCCAGCAGCAGATATTAACACTCGATCGGAATTCTGTATTCTAACCTGGTTTTTTTGTGCGCACTCTTCGTCGGGGTGTCGCTGATGATCAGTCAAACATAATCTCTTAGCAGACTTGGTTAGTTCTAGGTCATCTGTTTCTCAGGAGGAGAGAGCGTAATGGCGTAATGGCGAGTAAATATATAGATTCACTTTTCTTAGCATCGAAGGAGAAAACATGTTGGTAAGGAAGGGGACAGCAAAGGGAGAACAAGCTAGGAATGGGAACAATGGGGCGGGGGGAGAGGGGGGGGGGAAAGGGGGGAAAATGGGACAAAGAGTCAGGCCGACCTAAAAATTGACTACCCTATAGTCAAATACCTTTGGTAGAAAGCGTTATCTCCGCCACATCTTCCCCTCAGTGCTTTCTTCATTTTTTTCTCCTTCTCTGTCTTCTTCCATTCGTTTATTTCATCTTGTCCCTTTTTCATTCCCCTCTCATTTTCTTTTTTTCCCGTTTATCTCTCGCTCTCCCTTAATTAACTTTGCCAATTCACTTCCTTACCTAAATCTGAACTCCGGCATTACTAGCACTATTCCAAGGGCCCAAGGCTCTCTCACTCATCACTACGATCTAGTCTGTCACCCACCAACTTAACCAAACATCATCTCCAAAGAAAAAAAAAAGCAATAATTTCTACAGTCTATTTTGTATGCCTAATGCTACTAATCATAGGTGCGCAAAAGAGAAGCCTCCTATCATCATCACTCAAACCAGTTAGCCAAAAAAAAAAAAAAAAGCAAACCTCCCAAAGACACGCACTCCTAGGTGGGAATGTACTTCTCTTCCCCCACGATCAAGGTAGTGTCTCAAACTCATCCACCTCATCCTCCATCCCCCTCTCCGCCCTGACCCTCTCCAACTGCTGCGTGATGTACAAATGCAAATGCCTTTCCGCCTCCTGCCTGCGTCTCACCCTCTCCGGATCCGTCATCCACGCGGGGTTAACCGACCCCCTTCTCACCTCTCCTGCCCCACCAATCCCTGGCGTAACCCCCCCATTTTCCTCTTCATCTTGGTCATCATCGTCATCTCCGGGATGGCTACTCCCCACCACAGAGGACCTATCATCCCCACTACTGAGAACCCCGTTGAGCGAAGTGCAGGAGGAGAAGTCGCTTCGTGCAGCTAGGGAACGGCTGGTGGAGCTCCGGCGCAGACGCACGCCAGACGAAGTAGGAGATAACACAGGGGAGCGGATATTAGGGGTTTGGGCGTCGCGGCGGCCGCCGAGGTGGCGGTGCAGGATGTCGTCGAAGTAGTGGGACATGCCGGCGCGGGGGGTACGGGGGGTTTGGGGGAGGCGGCAGTTTACGCTGTAAAAAGTAGAAATTAGCAACAGAAAAAAGTATATAGAGGGTAAGGGAGGGGAGGGGAGGGCAGGGCTTACCCTGTATCATGGATCATCCTCGCGATCAAGCCCGTCCAGCCACACTGGTGCGTTGCACCCAGACCACGGCCCGTGTCTCCATCAAAGAACTCGTAAAACCAGAGGTAATCCCTCCAGTGGGGGTCGAAGTCGAGTATATCATTGCCGCCGTTGATGCTCCTCCTGCCATCATCACCCCTGGCAAAAAGATGCTGCAGCCGGTGCTGAATCTCCTCCGAGACATGTCCCAGATGCATGTACTCGCCCGAACCGACAGGACACTCCACCTTGAGATCCTGGCCAAAGAAGAGGTAAAACCTCTGCAGGGACTCAACCAACAAGAAATTGACACACAGCCAGATCGGCCCCCGCCAATTGCTGTTGCCCCCAAACAAACCGCTGTCCGAGTCGCCGGGGACGTAGCCGACCTTGAAGACCTGGCCGTTGACCTCCATCGAGTAGGGGTGTTCCTTGTGGTATTTCGACAGCGACCGGATACCATGAGGACTCAAAAACTCATCCTCATCGAGCATCCTCTTCAGAATCTTGATCAACCTCTCCTTGTTGACCAACGACAACAAAATCCGATCGCCCTTACCCCTCTTCCGGATGCTGTGCATCGTCCGCTCCGCAACATCGCACTTATTCGCCATGAACCACTCGACCCTCTTCTTGAACGTCGGCAGCCGGTTGATCAGCTCCGGTTCCAGCGTCAGCGTCGCGTAGAGCGGAATCAGCCCGACGAGCGAGCGAACGGGCAACTGCTGGATCCAGGGTCCTCCCCACGAAATCGCATCGTAGTAGAACCCGTCCTCATCATTCCACAGGGACTTTTCATCCTTCTGGCCCATGCGGAAGGTCATCGCGTCGCTGATGAGTATAAAATGCTCGAAAAACTTGGACGCGATATCCTCGTAAATCCGCCTATGCTTGGCCAGCTCCAGCGCGATGTTGAGCATGCAGAGACAGTAGAACGCCATCCAGCCGGTGCTATCGGCCTGCTCGAGGGTGCCACCTGTGGGCAAGGGCTCCGAGCGGTTGAAGAGGCCGATGTTGTCGAGGCCGAGGAAGCCCCCCTCGAAAACGTTTTTGCCTTCGACGTCCTTGCGGTTGACCCACCAGGTGAAGTTGAGGAGGAGCTTTTGGAAGACGCGCTCCAGGAAGTCGAGGTCTTGCCGGCCGTAGAGCTTGCGCTCGATCTTGAAGACGCGGAAGGTCGCCCAGGCGTGGACGGGCGGGTTGACGTCACTGAAGTTCCATTCGTAGCTGTCAAGGAGTCAGTGTCTCGTCTTTAGAGCGTTAAGGCAGGGTAACATACGCGGGGATCTGCCCATTCGGATGACAATACCACTCCCGTGTCAACAAATCCAACTGCTTCTTCGCAAACTCCGGATCGATCATCGCTAAGGTAATACAATGAAACGCGGTATCCCACGCCGCAAAGAAAGGGTACTCCCACGAGTCGGGCATCGACAAGATATCGTCACAATGCATATGCTTCCAGGCCGCGTTGCGAATGTTCTTGCGGCCGGCCGGCGGCGGCGGTTGGTTGGGGTCGCCGTTGGCCCACTCGTCCCAGATGAACAGGTAGTGCTGCTTGCACCACAGCATGCCGGCGAAGGCCTGGCGCTGGATGTTGCGCAGGTCGTCGGCTAGTGGCAGCGGGCTGATGTGGTAGTAGAAGTCGTCGGCTTCCTCGCGCCGCCGGTCGATGATGTCGTCGAACTCTTCTTCGTCGAGGTACGTCTCGGGTTTGCGGCTGAAACGGAAGCGGACGACTGGTGATGCCAGTCAGTATCTTGTTCTCCCATGATGTTTAGGGGTATGGCTAAACATACCAGCACACTCCCCCGGCGCGACTCCTCCCCCCTCATTAAACACAAACCACGCGGCCGCCTTGGTTCCCTTCCTCTTCGGATTCACTGCGCTCCTCTCCCCCTCCACAATATACCTATGAAACGCATCTTTCACATAAGGAGACTCGTTCTTGCCCCCGTAGAGCAGTTCAAAGTTGGTATCGTTCTCCGTGAAGAGCAGCTCGGGCTCCACGTCTTCACCACTCGGTCCCACGCCGGGAGATGGTGAGAACAAGACATACCGCTCGCCCAGCCGGTGATGCCGCGACTTCATCATGTTCTCGGCGTAGTACCCGATCACCGGCTTGTTCTCTGGCGGCTCGCGGCCCCAAGCCCAGGTGTTGCGGAACCAGACGTGTGGAATAATATGTAACGGAGCCCGCTCAGGGCCCCGGTTCCAGGCCGTAACGCGAAAGAGCAACTCGTCGGGATCATCATCCTCTTTGGCCGTCTCGATAAAAATGTCCCAGTAGCGGTCCTGGGCGAAGATTCCTGTGTCGAGGAGCTGGTATTCGGGGTCCTCCTTCGTGCGGCTGGCGTTGGTGTCGAGGAGGTCCTGGTAGGGGAACTCGCGTTGCGGGTATTTGTAGAGGAATTTCATGTAGGAGTGGGTGGGCGTGTTATCGAGATGGAAGTGGGCTTCTTTGATGCTCTCGCCGTGGTTGCCTTGGGGGTTGGAGAGGCCGAAAAGGCGCTCTTTGAGAAAAGGGCTGTATGGCGCGACCGTTAGCACACCGTAGGTTCGTAAGGGAGCAATTGGACGTACTCCTTCTCATTCCAAAACGCAAAGGCAATGTTCTGCCACCCGTGTGTGTCACAGACACCGGCGATGCCGTCTTCGCCCCAGCGGTATGCCCGCGACCGGGCCATGTCGTGTGTGAAGTCTGCACCAGGGCATCAGCAAGCCATGTCCTATCCCACTTAGCATCCAAAGAGGACTTACGGCTCCAGGCGTCGCCATCAGCGCTGTAGTCTTCGCGCACTACGTAACAGCATGTTAGAAAATGCCAGCAATACACCGTGGGTCTGGTTGACCTGCCTGTGGCCCATTGCCGCTCAGCGATATAGGGCCCCCATTTCTTCCAGTACTTTGTCCGCTGCCGGTCCTCCTGGAGCCGGCGCTCCTCTTCGGTGAGGTACTCGTGGCCGTCGAAGACAACCATTGTTTGCCTGTCAGGGGTATCGGGGTCGTGCAGGTATGACGTCGATGTTAAAGGTTGGTTCTAGGGCTCGCACAAATCCGTTGGTAGGAACTTAGAGAAAAAAAAAGCAAAGCAGGGAAACGGAAAGATATGAAACGAAGTTATAGGTCCACGATCAAGAGCTTCACAGCTTGAACTGGAGCTGTCTGGAGCTAGCAGCCCCAAGTCTCGGTCCTTTTCCGCTGAAAGCGGCGTGTCGCAATTGCGATGGCGGGGCAATCCAAGTCTAGTGGAGGGGCAGGAGTCGGAGTCCAGTCCTTGTAGAGAGTCTGGACTGGGGCATATGAAAGCCTAATGCCCGAGCAGCGGAGTTTTTTTTTTTCTTTCTTTTTCCCGTCAAACAGACAAGAAACTCTCCAATTGCATTCAGCAGAGCCAGAATGTGACGGACGAGTTCCGACGAGGAGGAAGGATGTCAATAACAAAAACAAAAAGAGGCGGTTGGTCCACGATTCATGTGACACAGCATTGCAGTGGAATGAAATAAAGAAATAAGGCGAGACAGGACTGCTGACAGGAACGGATCCGACCAGAGCTTGGGGACCTCGAGCTTTTGACACCGCTTCTCTCAGTTGCTGACTGACAGCTCTCAAATGCTTTTCCCCCGCCCGAGATCATGGATCTGGAGCCTACCCTACCCGACTGACGGCCAGGCCGATTTGCGCTGGGGTCGCAGACGCCTCTTGTAAAAGCCAACCCCGCCGCTGGTATGGAGGTTCGTATGATGAAGGGCCGAAGATCTGCTCTTAACGGCCTGTCAACTTTTGCGCGGCGGCGACCGCGGCGGCGCCCACAGCAAATGTCTGTTGGTCAGCTGCGAGACCCCGCCATCATTGGAGCCTGCCCGCTTCCTAGCATCTCTCTACGATACAGCTTTTCTACAGCCCACACCGCAATCGCTTGCCTCTCTTCTTCCCGTGTCTGTCTCTCTGCCCATCCAATGGCCACGAGAAAAAGCTCCTCGAAGCTCCCGACCGCTTCTTCTGCTTGACAGGTAGGGCACCACAAGACCTGAGGTTCGGGTTGCAGCGCAGCAGTAGTAGCGGGTGTGGGACCAGCGTTGGAGGGGCACTGGAGGCTAAAAAGAACAGGGGTGTGTGGTGTGTGTGCCTGTGACGTCAAGACACACACCACCCCCCCCCCTCTAAATAATCTGCAGGCCTGCATGAAAGCCCTCTCCGTTGCATGTGCAGCAGCAGCAGCAGCAGCAGCAGCAGCCAACCAACATTTTTGACAACAGCAGCCATCGTCAGAGTCCAAAAGCAACCTGCAGTAGAAGCAGGCAAACCTCAACTCACGCCCCAGGCCGCGAACCCGTCAAACAAATGGGCCAAACCACTTAACACCCGGACATTTGAGAATTTCAGGGCTGCACCTAGTCTACAGAATATGCACAATCGCTGTCCCGACCGGCATGCCCAGTCTTGGCGAACTGTTGTGGCACTGCTTGCCATCCACCAAGACCATCATTGACATTCACTCGGGCTTCCAGCCCGGAAAAGGCTCCAGGTTCAGGGGGCTCCAGCTCCGGCCGAATTGACGCCCAGTTAGGCACCGCTGCTTTATCGTTGGCAACATTCTCAAAAGAGCGGGACATATCACCAACTTCCAGGCAGGTTCTATCACTCTGATGGACAGAGAGAGACACCGTTGCATCGCCACCCATCTCAGTGCCAGTGCCCACATCGGGTTTCTGAACGTCTTCGCGACCGCCATCGGGCACGAATTGGACTCGTTGGCCCACTTAATGTAAGACTCAAATCAACCTGGAACAGAGCGATAACCGGAGGCTTCACAACATGCTCCAGCTGCTGAAGCGAGGAGTCGACCGGGGAGTCGGGCCAAGTGACGATCTGAGGTTCTCGGGCAAAGTCAATTTTGAGGGATGGATGGGTTCGGCCCGTTGGGTCAGCTGGCTGAGAGTTTTTTTTTTTTTAAAAAAAAAACAAAACCTCCAGTAACATCACGAACAGGGCAATATCGTCATTAATATTGGTAATGTTCGTATATTCTAGCAAGCGCCATAAACCGGCGCTCGTAAACCAGCCTGTATATCCCCATTTGCTTCCGTCTTTCATCATGGTATACATATGCGCACGTAAGGTGATAGTCCTCCATAACAGCAGCAGCCAGCCATATAGACGCCCAACCACTATCCACCCATCCATACCATCCCCTCCTGCTCATAAACAATTTTTTTTTTTTACTCATCATCAATAGTATCAAATCCCTCTCACAACGCCTCTAACCTACAACTTCGCCCTAACGGGCGCCGTCGCCTCCTCATTTACCATCACCTCCCCCGTTGTGCGTTCCCCATTCCCAAAGAAAATCACTTGTACCGTCAAATCATCCCTATACCTCCGTGAAATCGGCGCCGGCAGCGTCAACAACGCACTTACCTGCTCCTGGTTCCTCCCGCCCAACGCATTCCTCACCAGATGCGTAGCCACATTGCTGTCCTGCACCACAAACGGCCCATCCGCGTCGGTCCCGCTCCATTGGCGGACGCCTCGGAATGGGGTTTTCTGTCCCTCGGCCGAGTCTTTTGTGCTGGGAGGGGGGACTTCGACGGGTAGGCCGGAGGTGCTAGACCGGGAACCGAAAATGCGCGACCAGACTGTGTCGAAGTGAGAGGTGCTGCCACCAGCAGCAGCGACACCAGCACTGTTGGGGTTGAGTTTGTGCCCGTTGTGTTCCAGCCACTTGCCGACGAGGCCGACGACCTCTTCATTTGTCAACATCTCCCACAGTCCGTCGGTGGCCATGACCACGAAATCGCCCCTTTCGGGCTCGATCTTGGTAGTAGTAATCACCGGCTCGGCGGTGACGTACGGCGGGGTCTTCAGGATAGGCGAGATCGACCTAGCGAAAAAGTGCTGCCGCAGCTTCTCCGAGACTTCTCTCGACCACTTGTAGCTTGCATCGCCAAACGCTCTTGTCGGCTCCAGCCCCCCCAGCACCCGGCCATTCCGCACGACGTTCGGCTCGCCGGGATGTAGCCTACGCAGACGCTCTGCCTCGTCAGGGTTGCTCCCCGTCTGGTCTACCGACAACGGCGTGGCGGTCCACTTGCCGTTGGGCAGCCGGCGGCCGAGGACGGCGCGGGAGTCGCCGGTGCAGGCGACGCGCAGCAACTGGGAGCGGGAGTCGTAGAAGGAGAGGAGGGCACACGAGCCGGAGAGGGCGGGGGCGAGGAGCTGGGCCGCGGCGGTCTTGTTGTTGGCTTGGAGGACTTTTTGCACGCTCTGGTGGACGATCTCGTCGTCGAGCTTAAGGAAGCCTTTTTTGATAGCTGCGTCGACGGTGTCGGGGGCGGGGATCGAGCCGCCCGCGGCCTTGTAGGTTTCGTTGAGCTCGACAGCGACGTAGTTGACTAGGGCTTGGCGTAGCTTGGCGGAGGTTGTCCAGCCTCTGCGAACAGTTAGCAGAGATGGCATCATGATCTTGATGTAGAGGAAACATACGAATGTCCATCAAAGACACCCCAGAACATCCAGTCGCTTGTCCCAGCACCGGGCTCCCGCTCCGGCACGGTAATAATCGTCTCAGCATGGTCGTCTTCAATTGGATCGTTGCTCGGCAGCTGCACCAAATCATAGCGCACGACGCCCTGCCCACGATTAATCAAATACGACTGCTCATTCCGCCTCAACTTGGCGGTGGCCTGCTCGGGCGTAAGCATCTCGATGACGCGACGGCCGTCGTCGCCAGTGACCTTGGATATGGGGCCCTCGCCGACGATGGTGCCCGTATGCAGCTCGTCGGCCCCGACCACTAGCACGGAGCGTGTGGGCAGCGCGGCGCTGGTCGTGGCCGTCGAAGAACTGCCGCCGTCGCCGGCCGACGAGGAGTAGGTGCGTTTCAGGAGGCTGAAGTCCGAGACGTTGCCGCCGTACTGGTACCAGGCACCGAAGCCCACGAGGGCAGACACGAGGACAGCAGAGCGACGCAGGTACATGGAGGCTAGGCGAGGCGGCAGGGCCGACGACACATGAGTGATCGTCCGGGGACGATGACTGCGCGTCGGGGAGGTCGTCGAGAGGAAACGGCGGGTCGAAGCGGCGGATGACGAGGAGGAAGAGTTGTTGTTAGACGGGAATCGTGTCGTCGCGCTCGACGAGAGCAAAGAATGGGATGCGCCGCGGCGGCTGCTAGCACGAAGCCCCCGAACACTGCATTGAAGCGCGGTCCGGAAGGGCTGAACAGCAGGACGACGCATGGCTGGGTGGTAGAAAACGGATCGGGATAGCCAAGCGGTCCAGCGGTCCCTCCGAATTCCCGGCTCTGGAAGTTGAGATGGGCGGGCGCTGCGACTCTCCCTGGTCTCCCAGACCAAACACGGCTGGTCTGGACTTGGCGCTTGGCGCTGGCCTTTGAGTTCCCCGGAGTCCCAGGAGGCTTGCCGGATGAAAGAGGGGGTCCCCTAGCGTTGTTGGCCGAGACAGTAACTTATTAGAATATTTCGCACTGTGCTCGGCCCTCGACGCTCACTGGAAACTCGCCGTGCAAACACCGTGTCTGCATAGTCAGCCTCATCGATCTCACACTGTAACCAAGATGCAGGCAAACAACCCCTCCAGTGCTCACATGTGGGCACCTGCCAATTGTTCCTTCATCCCACCCGTTGCTACACGCCCCGCGATCGTGACTCTGAGGTGTTTCCCCAAGACGAAAAAAAAAAAAATAAATAAATAAAAAAAGTACGGCTGGAAACCGTTGTGATCATACACTCCGACTCCTCCACTCTCACATTCCTTCACGTCTGGTGTCTCATTTGACTCTATTTCTACGTACATTCTTAATCCCATTTTCCATCTCATCATCTATCATCTTTCTGTCTCTTACGATACCCGGTTCACTGCCCCTCCCCCCGTTTATCCCCGACTTTCACCATGAACACAAACAGTGTCATCAATCCGGGTCAGGGTCTGCCCGTCGACCCCAACTCCATCCCCGCCTCTCTTACCAATGACCCCGAGGGCTTCAAGAAGTTCGACTCCTACCCCTGGGAGAAGGATCGCCAGTTCCTTGTAAGTCAATTGCTCACTTTTGATTTGTTTTTTTTTTGTCCTCATCGGTTACTCGGCTATTCGGCCAGAGTCACAGCCCAGCTTACAACTGAAACACAAACAAACAGCAAGGTCTCAACGCCTCCCTAGGCCCCATAATCTCCAACCAGCACGACATGTTCATGCGGCAGAAGGCGCTGAGCATCACGCTGCAGTCGCGCATCTGGTGGTACAAGTCGCACTTTGGCTGTCAGATCGACCGCATCAAATATGAGGCGTGGACGCTGAACCATCCAGAGACCAACCCAGACCACAAGATCCTCAAGAAGCTGGACGAGATCCGCAAGATCATGGGCCTGCCACCTGCTGTGCCCGTTCCGGACCCCGATGTGACAAAGAATATCCCTGAATGGCAGCTCAATGCGCCCAAGTGTGATCTCAGCAAGAAGGCCGAAGATGTCGGGGGCCGTAGCACCGAGGGCGGTGCGCCGTATCCGGAGGACTTTCAGGCTCTGGTTGAGGCAGTGACGCAGGGGAAGCCAATCCCAGGGATTCGAGAGATTCCGAACAAAGTTGTTCGTCCTCCGGTATGTTCGCTCCTCTCATATAAACTCATTTGGCTCGCGAAGCTGACTCTCTAGGGCATCTCCCCCTATGGCAAGGCACCCGCTCCTCCCAAGCCGTGGGAGAAGAACCGCGCGGGTGAGAACACTCAAAAGGAGTGGGCTCTCCAGGGTGTCTGCGACAAGGAGTTCCCTCCCCTTGAGGAGGACAACTCCAATGACACTACCGAGAAAAAGGACGAGTAGTTTCGTCTGTGTGAGGACCCAACCATGACAGGTCAATGACACGAACCTACATTCTATGCTGGCTTTGCCTTTGCCTCACCACAATACCCTCATCCTCATCGCCATGTCTTACAGCCTCGTTGATGTGAGGTCTGTCCAGCTGTAACAGGTTGGACACAAGAAACCTCGTCCGGAGGATTAGGGCATGTATTCCACATCGCATCTGGGAAGACAATAGGAAGTCAACCGGCCTTTTTTTGTCTTCATTCATCACGTTCCTCTCTAGAGCGAGCGCCGCCTGCTCACCCACTCAGTACCTCGAGATCTGCTTCCTCGCTTGTGATGTTATCACGCCCCAGAACTATTTTCCCTCGATTCTGCGCAACACAGCACATAGTATTCTATGCCTGTCAATGGTTGAGGCAGATCGTAATTGCCAGTACCATACCCGTTATTATCGTCACCATCATCATCATCGTCACTGTTATTCATCTTTTTTTTTCCTTTTTTTTTATCATCGATTATTAAGGGCATCGCTGGCATATAAGTTCTCGAGGTTTGGGAGCTTGAGTGCAAGAGGCGGCGTATTTCGGGCATTAATTGATCAGCCAGCATAGCATAGCATACCTTGCGAAACAAGACAAGGTCATGGAAGTTAGGTTCATAATGAGACATGACGCGATGGTATGACATGCATACGGTTTACCTTTAAGCTCACTTACTATGTGGGTTGTTGACTAACAACTTCAGTGAAACACAACGACTATGCTTCCCATTTACCTACCCACTTACCTACCTACCTACCTACCTACCTACCTACCTACCTACCTACCTACCTACCTACCTACACTCCTTTCCTCACCCATCATCTCTATCTCTTCCATCATCATCATCATCATCATCATCATCTCTCCCTTACGTTATGTACATCGCTCTCCCTTCAACCCCAGAGCGTAGGATCAACATCGCCGAAAAAAAATGATCCACCAGCAGCAGTAAGCAGCAGTAAGGAGCGTAGCGTAGTACTTTAAGGCACCTTTTATGTTATGTTGAAAATATACAACAAACCACAAATTTAATTCTTTTCTTTTTTCTTTCCTCTTTTTAAAAAACAAAACAAGGTATCTACGCTCCATACGCAATCTGGCCCATCGGCCTATCCTCCTCCATGCCAGGCGCCATGAAATTCGTGCGCGGGTCGCCCGTCTCCTTGGCCGCCGAGCAGCGCGCCATCGTGGGGGAGCTGTGCAAACACTCGTCAGTACCTCTTTCTTATTTCAACTTCTCTCTTAACCTCTTTTCTCCCTTGTAGTTGAAAGACTCACCTCCTCGAAATGACATCCGTAAAGTAGAAATTCTCCACCACCTTCTTGAGCGGCTCGCCCGTCACCTTGGCCCCCTTGTTCTGGTCGACCAGCTGCACCTTGCTCAGATGCCGCAGGGCTACCGGCTCCACGACATCATACGCTGCCAGCGCGGGGCTAATCTCCGCCATGCGGTCCCGCAGCTGTGCGACATCGTCGTACGGCAGGGGTACGCCCAAGAACTCCGACACGGCACGGATAATCTTCCAGTCGGTGCGCGCGGCACCCGGGAGGCCAGTCGCGGCCCGCGTCATCTGCACGCGGCCCTCGGTGTTGACATAGGTACCGGCCTTCTCGGTGTAGGCAGCGCCGGGCAGGACAATGTCTGCGATTTCGGCGCCCCGGTCGCCGTGGTGGCCCTGGTAGACGATGAAAGCATCCTTGGGAACATCGGCCGGGTCGAACTCGTCGGCGCCGAGGAGCCAGACGAACTTGGGCTTGGTGGCAGCGACCTCGGGGGAAGGGACGACGAAGCCGACCTCGAAGGCGCCAGCGCGGGAGGCGGCGCGCTGCAGGACGTTGTAGCCGCACCATTCCTCGGTGAGGAAGTTGGACGCGTTCTTCTCGACGAAGGACCAGACCGTTTCGTAGAAAGCCTTGGCATCGGGATGCTCGGTCACGCCGGAGCCGACGATGATCATGGGGCGTTTGGCCTTCTTGAGCTTCTCGCCGAAGGGGCCGGAGAGGGCGTTCTTGAGCGCGGCCAGGTCGGTGCCGAGGTGCTCGTAGTCGAAGGTGGACTCCCAAGGTTGGCCGACGGCGGCGATCTCGAGGTCGGAGCGGAGCCACTGCTTGCGGATGCGGGCATTGAGAACAGCGGCCTCGTGGCGCGGGTTCGTGCCGACCAAGAGGATGGCGTCAGCCTCCTCGATGCCCCAGATCTTGGAGTTGAAGAGGTAGTTAGAGCGGATGTCGACTCCGTGGGCAAGAGGCTGGCTGCCGCCGGGGAAGTCGAGGGCGAGGTTCTCGGAGCCGAGGCGGTTGGCGAGGTCCTTCATGGCGACCAGCGACTCAACCTCAACGAGCTGACCGGCGATAACCTTGAACTCGTTCTCCTTGGGGGCGAGGGTCTGGTAAGCATGGGCGATCTCGGTCAGGGCCTGCTCCCAGGTAGCCGGCTCGAACTTGCCGTCGCGGCGAACCAGAGGCATGGTCAGGCGCTGGGTCTTGAGGCCGTCGCAGGCGAAGCGGGTCTTGTCGTTGATCCACTCCTCGTTAACATCGTCGTTCAGGCGGGGCAGGATGCGCATGACCTCGAGACCGCGAGAGTCGACACGGATGTTGGAACCAAGGCCATCAAGGACGTCGATGGACTCGGTGCGCTTCAACTCCCAGGGACGAGCACGGAAGGCGTACGGCTTGGAGGTGAGGGCACCGACGGGGCAGAGATCGATGACGTTGCCGGACAGCTCGGAGTCGAGGTTCTTCTCCAGGTAGGTACCAATCTGCAGGTCGTTACCACGGCCAGTGCTGCCGAGCTCGGGGGCACCAGCAATATCGTTCATGAAGCGGACGCAGCGGGTGCAGTGGATACACCTGTTCATGGAGGTTTTGATAAGGGGCCCGATGTTCTTGTCCTCGACCGCACGCTTGCCGCCAATCTCGTGGAACCGACCACGGTCGGCGCCGTAGCGCATGGACTGGTCCTGGAGGTCGCACTCACCACCCTGGTCGCAGATAGGACAGTCGAGGGGATGGTTGGCCAGGAGGAACTCCATGACGCCCTCGCGGGCCTTGTGTGTCAGGGGCGAGTTGGTCTTAACGACCATACCGGCCTGGACGGGCCAGGCGCACGACGCAACCGGCTTGGGCGACCGCTCGACCTCGACCAGGCACATACGGCAGTTACCGGCAATGGCAAGCTTCCTGTCGGGTGGTAGATCGTTAGGGAAGGAAGGGGACAAAGAGGGGGCGAGGTGGTGACGCGAGAGAGGCTAAACGTACTCATGGTAGCAGTATCTGCAGACAGTCAGCAAGAGCTCATATCCCTCAGCCAAACCTCCTCATAGAGACTTGCCTAGGAACGACAACGCCAGCCTTCTCGCAGGCCTGGATCAGTGCAGACCCAGCTGCACGGAGAGAACCGCTGATATCAGTATCATGGCGATAGCGCAAAATTACGAACGGCAATTGGGCTCACCCTCGATCGAAACTTTCTTCCCATCTGGTGGCAGTCCACATTTGTCAGCATTCTCGCGAAACCCCTAATGCCAATGGCCTCATAAATGCAAGCAGCACTCACCAATCGTGAGCTCGACCTCCGCTGGGCGCTGGGCAGAAGCCGAAAAGGCCCGGGTAGCAGCACCAGCTGTCCTGGCGGCAGCAGCTGGGTGCTTGCCAGTGCGCCAGGCCGAGCGAGCCAGAGTCTGCCTCAGCATGCTTTGCTGCCGTCCTGACGACGGGGATCTGAGAAGGGAAAAAAAGAGGAAGAAAAGAAGAAAGAGAAAACCCTAGAGAAAGGGGGGGGGAGAGAAAGGGGAGGGGCAAGGCGTGGGTGGTTGGTGAGCGGTTGGCGGGTAGCCGTTGGTGGCCGCACTTCGGGGATTGTGCCGGTGGGAATTGCGCTTCTTCCTGTCCGCTTGACAGCAACTGGAAGCAGCACCACAACGCACAACCTGGGCTGGACAGCAGCAGCAGCAGCAGAAGCACGAGCCGAGCGTCGTTTCTTGCTCGATGGAGACGAGACGGGGACGGGAGCTTCCAAAAGCCTGAGCGGCCACTGGCCAGCGAGTACTCGAACAGGGCTTGGCGGAGGGGAGCCACCCGGAAGAACGCGACAGGGCAGAGTTAACCAATTAGAGAGCACCGTTTGTCAGCCCACTGGCCCCAGCGTCCTTTAAAAAGGGCCCCCACTGTTGCGCGGGCCGTCTTGATCTTGAAACTTTTTCTCTCCATATCAATTGTACTTCGATGGGCACTTATTGTAGGAGATCTCCGACCGTGATTTGGCATTGGCACGCCAGTGCCGAATTGCACTTCCACCGAGTCCTCCTCTATCATGTGTCCTAGAGCAAGAATTGGCTCCGTTTATGGATGCATGTGAGAGCTTCGGTTCGCTGATCAACGCCTCTTACCGCCGGTTGCCACATTTCAGTCTTGATAATATTCAATAAAGTTAAATTTTTTTGGTGATTCTGGCTTCTCATTATTAATGAATTGGGTATCTCGCTCTGTCGTCACTCGGAAGAAAAAGAAATGATGAGAACTGGTCGTCCCTAGTCCGTCCTGGTCCTCTCCTCAGGCCTCTTTCCCGCCTCCTCCAACCTCACCACCTCCCTCTCCAACAACTCCAAATACTTCGTCCTAATCCCCTCCGTATACTTCTCAAACGCCTGCAGATCGAGTACCCCCCTCTCAATGACGTTAATTAAATCTGCGACCGCCCTCTCCCTGACCCCCATATCCGGCTGCGGCACCACAAACCCCTGCTGCTGCTCCCCCTTCCAGGGATCATATTCTCCAACCTCCCCCTTCTCCTTCTTGCTCGGTCTAGCCTCCATGTTCCGAACAACCTCATCCTCCTCCTCCCTCGTCACGCCCTCCCTCACCCTCTGTACACCCATCTTCTCTTCCGCTTCTTGGGCTGCTAAGATCAGACGCTGCTTCTCTCGCTCGAACATGTAGAGCAGATTTTGCTTGACGCCGTCGTGTTGCAGGTCGATGGTTTGGAGGATGTGCTTGAGACGGGCGATGCGGTCGCGCGGCGTAGAGAACGTGGATATGTCGTCGGTGAGGGGGACAAAGATGGAGGGGGCGATGCTGTTGAGGGGAGGAATGGATTGGGAGGATGTAGTTATGGTTGCTGTTAAGGGGGGTTGAGGTGGCATTGCGTCGATTCGGTTATGGTGAGATATCTGTTTCGTATAAAGTGTTGGATATAGTTGGCTTGGGTGTGTATGAAATTGTAGATTTTTGTGTGCTTCGATTGTTGTCTTGTGATTGATCTGCTTAAAAGATAATCGATCTCATTGTTCGTCGTGAGATGGTTTGTCAGCTGGCCGAGGTGAAAGAACCAAAGCCGTCCAAGCCAGCAGAGTGAGACCGCTTAGAAGTCGAAACCTGGAAAAGAATTTGGGGGAAATTATCCAGCTTCTCTGCCCCACCTCTGAAAGGTTCCCGTCCGTCTGGAATGGAAGGCCACAGCAGACAAGATGCCCTGTAAGACACAGTAGTACTTTCACAACCATCATCTCGTATCATATCCCTTCTGGGGTCATGAAGTATGCGTTGGGCATTTCATGGATTAGATTTACTTCGTCTATCCTGGTCTAAGGTATCATCATAATGCTTAAGTGTTCGTAGTGATTTTAATGTACAAACGACAAAGGAAACAGTATCTTGATTTTTCTTTTCCTAATCCTGTCTAGTAGTGACCGTAGGCCATGCATTCCTGGGTGAGCATACTAAGAGCTTACCCAGGCTGATTTAGGTTGGATCAAGTACAAAGATCTAGCGTCGAGGAGTCGTGGATGCGTTGTTTGTGCCTAATACACCGTGCCCAACGCTTAACCCAGGGGAGAGGGGGGGATGTTGAGGGTATCCAAGACCCAGGACCAGAGGGTAGTGGTATGCCGACCAGAACTCTGGATGGCATCGGGCAACGGCCAAGAATTGTTAATGCTGGTATATGTTTTGATGCCAGAATGCCTACTTGGGACTGGCAAACCTTAAGGGTGCTTGATCCCTAATTATTGGTAAAAAAAAAAAAAACCGGAGAGCGATGTTTTTGAGCCAGAGTAAATCATGCTGTGAACAACATCAAGGGTCCGATGTTGCTCACTGGTACTTGTCGTCGAGCTTCCCGTGTATCGGGCGATTATCTGCCCTGCTCCGTGATATCGCCTACCCCAGCCACAGATGGCAAAATTATTTCACCGCGGTGCTGGTATCGATGTCGTTAGGCAGAAAGAAGCAGACCGAAATCAGAGCCACTTCGTCGCGAGGTGACAATGCCATACGTTGGCAACGAACGCGATCAGCTCCGCGGCCGCTCACCGCGAAGGCAGGATCTTTCTGACATATTCCCTCGCGACCCTAAAAATCCCCCTGACATGGTCCTCCAACCTCCTATCCCTCCTCTTCCGCATCCATATCAGCACAAACACCAGAATAAACAAATCGATCGTCACATGCTTCGTCACCTTCCAAAACACCCACCCCAACCAGGCCACGACGCCCCTTTCCTTACGCGTGCGCCACTCCCGGCCCGAGGCGATCTGCTCCCGCAGCGCAGCAATCTCGGCCGACAACCGCACAATGGCGCGTTCCATGCGCTTCATGCGCTTATCACTCCGCCGCTGATAGTCATCACCCGGAACCAGGGCCCCCTCATCTGCAGCATTATTCTCCTCTTCCAGCAACTCCGCCAGCCTCCTCTCCGACTCGTCCTCTTCGCTCATAGGACTCAACACGCGCATCGGCCCATCTGTCCCGCTCAACGGCGCCTGAAACCGCCGCACAGGAGTCGTTATCAGTCCCGGCTGGCTCGGCCTTGGCTGCGCCGGCCCGCCTCCCTGCAGCTCCAGGCCTCCGGCAGCACCACCTCCCGCGCCAGACCCATCTCCTCCCGAGGTAGAAGACCCCCCTGCTGCGCTGGGGTTATTACTCTTCACCTGATTCCATACAAACTCCAGCTCGGCCACTAACTCCAGCGCATTCGGGGTATTAGCATACTTATGCATCGTCTCGATCAGCGCCTCGACGTATCGTCTCTTCGCCTCGGTTCGACTCAGTCCCTTCTGCGAGTTCCACGCGTCCCATTTATCCTGCTCACGAATAAGGTCTTCTTCACTGGTACCCTGCGCCAGGGCGGACGCGGCGGTCGGGCGTTCCATCACGCCGTCTACGTCGCCTTCCATGGCTTGCTTGTAGAGTCCGTACAGGCGCATGCGGTCGGCGGGCGGGGGACGGGTCGCGCCAGTTTTGGGGATTTTTTTAACGGTGTTGAGGGCGTGGACAAACACACGATCTGTTTTGGTGTCGAGGAAATCGTGTTAGTCGTCGTGTGTTTTGTTGTGTGCAAGGCGGCTAAGGGATTATAATGCATGGGCTGGATGCGAGGAGATGGATGGACACGGGGCGTACCTATTGAGTCCGACATCTTGACTTATGTTTGGACTTCGTTGCAGGAAGCTGCAGACTCAAGGAAAGTTTGTCAATGGAGAAGGGAAGAGTGCGAGAGGAAGGCAGAGGTTGGGTAGTGTAGGCGTAGGTCGGGACAGGGATGCCGAGAACGGGTGTTCAGCCGGCAAGCTCGGTGCCGGATGTTGTCGTTGCCGAGACACAAGATAGGCACTGCACACTCAGCAGCAGCAGCACAGCAACAGGCGACACAGGCGAGAGCTTCAGCGGCTAAGCAGAGGGGCACAGGAACTTGTGCACCTGCTGTGCCTTGGCTGATGGATGCTGTTGGATGACACGCAGTAGTGGGAGGGGAGGAGTCGACGTGGCTGGCTGGAATGGTCTTGAGCTGAGTGGCAGAGAGGAACAGGAGCCTCGATCGGGCAGAAACCAAAAAATGGTACAAATTCCCCCGGAGATCGGGGAAAGGCTAGACACACGTGTATGAGGAATAGGTATGGGTAAGGGTATGGGTGCTAGTTCCTCCTAATAAAATATTCCGAGTTGTTCATGTGTCCGCACGCTTGTATCAATCTCGGCCCAGGGGCTGTCCGACCCGTCGTGCCATGTCCAGGACTTCAGCAAATCGTCCAGAGCACGCTTATTGAACCCACCGACTTAGATGGATGACTGGATGACCTCTTAACTCTGGCTTCCTACCGTGCAGTGAGTGTCGTTTGGCCGAGCGGCGAACCGTTTGCCGCATGGGAAAGTCTTGGAGAAGACGGATATGGAGTCAAAGCTCGGAGCTTTGGCGCTGCGGAAGCCGTTTGACTGGGCGATGAACAGCGTAGCGACACAGCCGCGGATTTGCCTCGGCACGCGAGATCTTGACTTTCGGAGGGACCACCCCTGGGACCCACTTTCCCCAGCCCAATCCATGCCAGTGTTTCCCGTGCGACGCTAGCGTTGCACCAACCGACGGTTGTGCTGTTGCTCGCCGGGCGTTTGTTGCAGGACGGGACCCTGGAATGGGAAACGCAGCGAATAACTTCACTTGCAGTTTGTTAAACGCTGGGCCCATGCCGTGGAAGACTACCCGCGGCAAAGGCCTCCAGAACGGAAGCTCTGCGCGCTTGGTACAGTACTCTGTCCTTACGGGCATTTCCGTTCCACGTAAAAGAACGATCAACACCCCGCTGACAGACACAAAAACCCCAGACATGTGAAAGTGGCCAAGGATGTCCTATCTGATGAGTATCAGCAACATCCATTGTGATGCCTCCACGTCAACTCATGAACCCCCGCATCGGGTGTTGGCGTCGTCGTCGGATACCAGCCGGTTGTCATCTGCTCTTTCTTACATTACGTCTTGCTATCATTCAAGTCTCGATATTTCCTAGCTTGTGGGCCCATAAGGCCGTCAACCCCTCATCAGCGCTCTTCGTGGTTGGGCCTGTTAACCGCCGGTTATGCAGCCTGACCTAACCCAACCATGAGGTTCCTCCACAGGACATGTCATGTACGTACGAGCCGACAATGACACCCAAAGATGACGTGCAGTTCCGGGGATCACCGCAGGGCTACTGCTAGGCGGATGACCTCGACAACCTGTACTTCCATTTTGATATCCCGACTCAGATGAATACAAGCTTATCCACTCAAGACCAGACAGCTCCGTCGCTAATGGGTATCCCTAGACGGTAAGAAGACGTGCTCCTTAAAACACCCAAAAGTCAAGTAAAAGCCAGACAAACCCCCTCATCCCGAGCTCGCACTGCTCTCAGCCAACTTTTCCTCTTCCCGCTGTTGTTGTTGTTGCTGCTGCTCCTGCTGCTGCTTCAACTGCGCAGCCCTAGCCTCCATAAACGCCTTGCGCTTCTCCGCAAACTTCTTGATCAGCTTCTTATTATTAAGTGCCATCTCGGCCGCCTTCTGACCCGCCTCCTTCTTGCCCAACGCGCTGCCATGACCCAACTGCAGCCCGCTCTCACCCCAACCGTGCAAGAAACAACCGACCGTATAAAGAGGCTGCTTGGAGACCCTATCCTTCTTCCCGCTCGACGGCAGGTCCTTGTACTCAATCTTGACACCGGGCGCCCCAATCAGCTGCTCCAGCTGCGTCTTGAACGAGATCTCGTCGTTCTTCTTGTCCTTCTTCACGCTGTTGCCGTTCGGGCCCTTGCCCTTACCCCCGTGTCTGCTCTCCTCCTCGCGGATCTGCCGCTCTAGGACGGGCCCCCATAGGTCTTTCATGAATTGTGCGGCCCGCTTAAAGCCGTTCTCAGGGTCTGACCGGACCACGGCACCGATGTATGCTTCGAAGATATCGCCGAGTGCTTTGGCACGTTTTTGTTCGCTGGCTGCGGTGCCGTTCTTGCGCCCGCCGAGACCGAATTCGGGGGGAAAGTTGGCCTTCTGATCGAGACCATAATGGATAGAGAATTGGCCAAGAGTCGAGTTGCGTACAAGCAGCTCGCGATACATCGAGCACTTGCCCGGTTCGAGGTCAGGAAATGTTTGCCAGATGAGCTCAGACGCGATCATCTCCAAGTAGACGTCGCCTATCCACTCCAGCCGCTCGTAGCTCGGGTCGGATAGGCTTTGACGCATACCGGAGTGCGTGAGCGCTGCTTGCTCGAGCTTCGGATCCAAGATTTCTGGGAGTGGCGGGGGGTTTTTGGGGATGGTTGCTAGGGTCCATTTTGTGAAGGCTGTAGGCGGGAGGATTTGAGGCGTGACGCCAGTCTCGAGTTTTGCGCGCTTCGTCTCGGGCTGCTGGGGGGCTACTGAGGGAGGGTTTGAAGCCTCGAGGCCAGTTTCTTCGAAATATCTTTTCGCCATGGAGAATAGATTGAACTCGAGGATACAGGACGGGATTGCGTAGCGACTGTAAGTTGAGAGGATGAGTTCTCATTCAAGATTGACACTGAAAATCGACTTACAATTCTCGGCGCTGGCAGCCTCGCAGACCCACTCCGGGTGCACAGGCCATAGTCTTGGCGACCAGCCGTTTGGATGTAAGACCCCACATTACGCCACACTACCTGCCACAGTTGAAGACCTAAAAGCTCAAGATGTGCTCTCTCAACATCCATTCGATCAAGATTTGGTGCACGGATTGACTAACTGAGGAGCAAAAGTCATGGTGTATTAATATCTGGATTGAGTAAAAGAGATCCATCCAGTCTTTCTTCATCAGACAATGAGAATGAGAAAGGTCCAACAGCAATGCAAATTGAAAACCTATCCAAGACAAGTTGGTGACAAGCTGTGCCGTCAGAAAGCACTGTTCATCTTGGTTTAAACACGTGAACCATTATGAATGAGTCTAAAACCAATGCAAGTGCAATTGACTTGAAAAGACATAAGTCAACTGCTGCACACAAGAAGGCTTAAGAAACCCAGGTCTAGATACCACAAATGTCCCGCCGTGGGTCCTGGTCGCAAAGACCCACCAGCTGCAAGGCTGATAACCCCACGCCGCCAAGCCCGCGCTGATTGGATGCGCTAAGTGCATCCAAAGATCTTCTGAACGTCAGCAGTCTCTCGAGTCCACCTGGTGCTTGCACGGCCACTCCATGTAAATAGCGGCAAGATGTCGGTTCCACGTGCGCGGCTGTTGGATTTGATGAGGGTAAGCAATGCTTGATTCAGACAACACATCAATACCTCGCTAACCCCCCCCCAGGCTCGGTGCGAGCTCTTCGGCACCGTCTTCAACCCTGAGGGCATCCGGACTGGCAACAAGGTCCTGCGCAAGGCACTCAAGGGTCCCTCGGTCGTGTCCTATTACCCGCCGCGGCTCTACACCTTCCGCGAGTTCAAGAACGAGTTTAAGCCGCTTCATCTTGAGGTGGAGTGTGAGGACGAATTGGATCGTCTTGACCACATCGCCGCGTAGGTTATCGACTGCTGGTGTTGGGGTTGCTAAACTGCTCGCTAACTGGTTGCAGTCTCAAAGCTCGTGGAAAAGGGACGCCGAAGAAGAAGAAGGGCCCAGGTGAGTTACAGTTTTCAGGTCATGGCCAAGTTGCGAACGTTCACTGACACCTTTGCAGGAGCACAGCCCAAAGCCAAGTAATCGCGCTGAGAACCGAATCTTATGTACACTACCATCACAGCCTATGTTGTTATTGTATAAAGTGGATAAGGGAAAAATATACCCAGATGCTATGGGCATCTTGCATCAAATTTTAGGTCCCATTTCCCTTGATGTGATCTTGCCTAGCAGATGTTGCCCAGAAAATGCTTGCCCTCTCTTTCGGTCATCTAGTTTGGAGTAGACGCTCTTGGGCTCGCCTTCTCTGCCAGGTCACAGTGGAACAAGCAGGATGTCAAGTTCGGGCGAAGCAAACAGCATGGCGGTTATTTGACACCTCCTGGTCACAGAGAGCTGCAGCTCAACATCATCGCCTGTGAAGCTTTACCCCTGACCTCTGTTTCTCCGTTCTTTGCGCTGATATTCTCTACATTCCAACATTATCTCGGGATATCTATGTTAGACGGTCATTAGGGCCTTTGTTGTTCAGTACCTCCCGATATGTCTAGATCCCTTTTCACCATTCAAAGGTCCTCTTGTGACTCTGGACCTGTAAAGAACGCCAAGAAACAGGCAATTCGTGTTAACCAAAGTTCCAGTGGCAACTATCATATCATGCATCATCAGCCTAGTAAGCACACTCCTCTGGACATGTTCCCCATAATCCCGAAGTGTGCAACACCATGTAGTTACCTATATCTCTTGACACCTGAGATGGGTTGGCCTAGCTCCTCTGAGCTCTGAGGATGCCATCAATTGTCCGCCGGCGGCAAAGTCCGCAACGACAGTAACTTCCGTGTGTCCCTATCGGGCCAGCCTCCGGTGTCCCCTCCGCCGCAGCCTCAGGACGCCAATCAGACCTCTATCTGCCCGCCGACCGTCACCCAATTCGATCTCCGCGATCCCATCTCATCGCGGTCCTGTGTCCGGTCAGGCAACTACAAGAGGACTTAAAGACGCAATCCCAAGCGGGGGGTGCGTTGCCTGGCTATGTTACTGCCCTCACGGCTTTTCCCATCTGATGACCTATCCTTGAAAACTTTTTTTTCTTTCTCCCATCTTTTGTCTATCCCTTCTTCCCATACACTTCGCATACGCACACACACACACTGTTATTCCTCCAGCTTTGATAGACTGCCAGCATCTTCGATTCAGGCCAGCCAGTGTCAACAGCCTACATCACTGGGTTTCAACTACCTTCAAAGCAGTAGACTCTTCCAGCTGGTGTTAGGCTGTAGCATACTGTTCCTTTCCCTTGATCAGGTAAGTTCAAAAACATGGTCCCTTCTTCCCCTCGACCGCCGACATCGGGATATCTCCCAACGCGCTTTCCCATCGAGATATCTATGTCCATCTTTTTGTGCCTTCCCTCGATGACAAATACCCCTCAGTCACTTTATTCCATCATCTCTGCTTGAAAACTTTCCCTTCTCGATTTTTTTTGCTCCTATCCTCCACCACTCCGTCCCATACATCCTCCCATTTTACCCATCCGTGTACCTCTTTGCCAGGGACATTAGAACTGATCCCTCTTTGTGTCAAATTCAGCAACCATTGAGGTTCAAATCCATCCATTCCATTTCTCTTACATACACGCCTACCCATAAATCTACTTCTCTATCTTTCCGCCTCTCTTTCAGCCCTTCCATTCCGCACCAGCCACCATGTCTGCTGCCGCGGCTACCGCCATGGCCGGCTCGCCCTCTGAGCGCCGTATCGACAAGCACCTGAATCCCGAGGACGTGAACAAGGTGAGTTTGATCTTCTTTTTTTCTTTGGCTTATTGGGCTGCTCAGGCTTGAATCGAGGCCCGGCGCGTCTCATTTGCAGGATCACTCGCCTAGGCTCCTCAGCCTGATGAACTCTTGAACCGAGTCCATCTACTTCATTTGTGTTCCGCTAAATCTGCTAACCTGAACAGCATTCCATCTCAGCCCTCACGGACAAGACGACCGTGGTCCTGACCGGCTCCGACATGCGGGACCAGAACTGCTCCAAGGTATGTGACGTCCCGGCATTATGCTGTTCTGACCTGCTGATAATGACAGAAGTTGAAGACTTCCCACGAGCCCGAATACTCTGAATGTGAAATGGCCAAGACCATCGACAAGGTTTTGGCCAAGCTTGCCGAGCATACGGAGGCCGCGCGAAAGGAGGCCGAAGATGAGGCTGCTCGAAAGGAGACTCAGAAGTCCCTGGACGATCAGACTCAGGGCTCCCCGTCTTCTGGCTCGATGTCCCTCTCGGGTAACGACTCGTCCACCTCGACCGCTCCGACCACTCGTCCCGACAGCACTGCGTCGAAGGAGTCTACTACCAAGGACAAGACTACCCAGGATGAGATTCTACGCCTGAAGCTCGAACTTGCTCAGGCCCAGAACAAGATTTCCCGTCTGGATCAGGAGTTGCAGCAGCGTCGTGCCGCTGAGGCCGCTGGTGGTCGCATCACTCCATCTCTTGGAGACCCCGACTTCCTGCCGCCTGTTGCCCCCCTCGTGTCACCTGCTGGCTCTCGTATCGTTAGCGGCACCGCCATGAACGCACCAGGCCGAGTTCCGTTTGTTCGCGAGGCCAGCTGGCCCAACCCAGACGACGCTCGCTCTGATACTAGTGAGACCATGTCGACAGGTGGTCTGAACCGTGCTCGAGGTATCTGGAACAACAACACCAGCAAGGCACCCTTTGGCAACCCTTTCCCTCAGGGCCCGATGGCTAACGACGGCCCTCAAGCCGGCCCGTGGGGAAACCCTCGCAATGTCACCCCTAACTACGATCCTGCCTTCGCTGGTCCTTCCGCGAGCATGGAGTTGTACCGTCCCGATCGCATGCTGCCCCCTGAGGCTACTGAAATGATGCGGCCTTCTGGTCGCCGCGGCAACCGTTTCGACAGTCGGTATGGCAGCATGAATGCTGGCTACGGCTACGGTGGTTACAACATGGGCCCTGGTCCCTTCGACGCAGGCCCCGGCTATGCTGCGGGCGCCCAAGGCCCGATGGGCGCGAGCATGTATCCTCCCTACCAGCAACAGCCTGTTGGCTCGGCTCTCTCGCCTCACGCTACGGAGTTTACGTCAGCTGCAGGATCGTGGAAGACGGCGGATGGACAGACGTACATCTCGCCGACCACGGAGCCGCTTAACTATCGCCGCCTGCTCGATCGCAACGTCACTTGTGACTGGAAGTACATCGTGGATAAGATTGTCTGCAACAACGATCAGCAGGCGTCCATCTTCCTGCAGCAGAAACTCAAGGTTAGCACCCCTGAGCAGAAGTACGACATTGTCGAGGCCATTGTCGCGCAGGCCTACCCCTTGATGGTCAACCGCTTTGGCAACTTCTTGGTCCAGCGCTGCTTTGAGCACGGTACCCCTGAGCAGGTCATCAAGATTGCGGAGGCCATTCGCGGCAACACCCTCAACCTGTCGATGGATCCGTTTGGCTGCCATGTGGTGCAGAAGGCCTTTGATTGCGTCCCGGAGGACTATAAGGCGATCATGGTTCACGAGCTGCTGCGTCGTATCCCGGAGACGGTTATTCACCGTTACGCGTGCCACGTTTGGCAGAAGCTGTTCGAGCTGCGCTGGACTGAGTCCCCTCCCCAGATCATGAAGTATGTCAACGAGGCCCTCCGTGGCATGTGGCACGAGGTTGCCCTGGGAGAGACTGGCAGCTTGGTGGTTCAAAACATTTTTGAGAACTGTCTCGAGGAGGACAAGGTATGAACACTGATCACTGGGTACAGAGAACAAGGGCTAACGGTTACAGCGCCCCTGCATTGAGGAGGTCCTTGCCAACATTGACATTGTCGCCCATGGCCAGTTTGGCAACTGGTGCATCCAGCACATCTGCGAGCATGGTGCTCCGCAGGATCGCAGCCGTGCCATCGACCATGTCATCCGCTATGCGGCCGAGTACAGCATGGACCAGTTTGCCTCGAAGGTCGTTGAGAAGTGTCTGAAGGTTGGTGGTCCTGAGTTCCTCCAGCGCTACCTCGACCGCGTCTGCGAGGGTCGTCACGACCGCCCGCGTATTCCGCTCATCGACATTGCCAGCGACCAGTACGGCAACTACCTCATCCAGTGGATCCTGACCCACGCCGGACCTCAGCACCGCGAGATCGTGGCTGCCCATATCAGGAAGCACATGGTGTCTCTTCGCGGTTCCAAGTTCGGCTCGCGGGTCGGCATGCTCTGCACCAACCACGCGGTGGCCACTCGTCCGGGCCCTGGTGTCGGCCCCGGCATGCCCGGTCGTGGCATGGGTCCCGGCTCGCGCTACGGCGGCCGCTATCCTTGAGTGACTGCGAGGTGGTAAGCAGAGGCGACTTGACGGTTGTCTGTCGAGGCTGTTCCCCATCCTCTTCCGTTTCACACACTGCCATGTTTTTCTGCGATCCGTTTTCACAACGAGAATTCTCCTAAGATATTTGAGACTCGTTTTATGATCATCTTCGACCTCAGCTATTCTACCACATCACCCGACATCCTACGCTCGGGAGGCTACTGCCCGTTCGAGTGCTTTGGACACATCATGATTATGGATTTTGCGATATCCAGTGGTTGGCTGCGTGCAGCCCGCCGAAGGAGCATAAACTAGGCTGTTCTGAGGGAGCGATCTATCTATGGGGGAGAGGACAGTGATAGTGATCAAGCTACCTTTCGGTGTGGATTGCCTGGCAATCGCTTGCGCACAAATATAGCTGAGTAAAATTGATTTTGGCAGACATACGAGGGAGACGGTACTGCGGTCTCTTTAGGCGGTTTACATGACGCCACCTCGTTTTTTTCTTTTTTTTCTTTTTTTTTTGCGCTATCAGATGGAGGAGAGAGAAATGCATGGCCCGCAATGGATTACTCGGCCTTGTCCATGTACCTGCTAGTTTCGAGCCCATAGTCACTCTCTTATCAATGACTTATTATATATCTATTTCCTGTGATGTAGATCGTGCCTTCTTCCATGCACAGCCCAAGTAAACTTAGACTGCTGAAAAAAAAACCCAAGAGGTCTATACAAAGCAAAGAATTACGAACTACAACTGCACTGAAGCATCCTGCCCACCTTGGGCACATCACTTGTCCACCTCTCCTCCTCGTCCTTATTCCCTTCGTACAACACCCCATCGAACTCCCTCCCAGCCCAATTGTCCTCAAAAGGATGCAGCGACAGATGCAGCAATCGCTTCAGAACATTCCTCTCGCCATCCTTCTCAACTCTCCGAATGACCTCATCAAAAATCCATCCGCGCGGCACAAATTTCGGATTTACCCCCTTCATAGCCTTGATTCTTTCCTGGTCTATTTCTGGTATAAGAGGATTGCCGTTGTTCCAGTCCTGCTTGATCCGCTCGTGCCACTTTTCAAGCCAGGTTGTGAGGTCCTTTAGTAGGGGGGCTTTATCTTGGGGTAAAGAGGAAGGGGGGGTGGAGGGGTAGAAGAATTTTGGTAGGACTGTGTCCCACAACTCGGGAGTTGGGGTTGGAACTAGGGGGATGGAGGAAAGAGTGCGGAAGAAGAGATTGTAATCGAGGGAAAGCGATTCCATGGTGTCTAGTAACGGGGAGATGAACCCCTCCAAATCGTCGGGGTTGACAGTACGGAACCCCAAACGTCGGCGCATGAGACGGGTGTACTCGGCTAGGAAAACGGCCTTGTACTCCTGCCCTGCTTGCGCGATGATCTTTTCTGCCCGCCTAACGTAAGGTTGTGTCGCCTCTTCACTCTCGAACTTGCTAAACCCCTTGCTCACGAACCACTCCTCGTCCACCTCCCCCCCGGCAGCGAGCAGCTCACCGAGGGCTTCGGCTAGCCTGACCAGATTCCACCAGATGATTGTTGGCTGATTCCGGTAGCTGTATCGCAACGTGTCGTCGTCGTGGTTGGGAGTGTAGCTTGGGTCGAAGACGTCGAGGAAGGCGAACGGGCCGTAGTCCATGGAGAGGCCTAACAGGGAGGTGTTGTCTGTGTTGAGGACGCCGTTGGTGAAGGCATATGATTGCAAAGAGGCGACCATGAGGGCGTTGAGTCGGGCGATGTGCCGGAAGAGGCGGGCGAAGCGGTTTTCTTCTTCCCCGGGGGAGCCTTGGATTTCGGAAGGGGGGATGCCCGTGAGGGGCGTGAGGATGGATTCGTCTTGTGGAGGGGAAGAGGGGTCTTCTAGTCGGGCAGGGAGTGCCTCCCACCCGCCGGGGATGACGTGCTCGGCGAGGTATGTCGCCAGTTGTCTTACCAGCTCGCGGTCGCCCCGCATACGGGGGAGGTCGAAGGTACCGATGCGCAGCCACGACGGGGCGAAGCGGACCACAATCGCCCCCGGCTCGATGCGTTCCCGTCGTACCCTCTCATTCGGCAGCAGCGAAATTGCCAGCGCTCTTGTCGTCGGCACCCCTATCGCGTGGAGGTACTCCGACACGATGAACTCGCGTATGCTACTCCTCAAAACAGCCTTGCCATCCGCGAACCGGCTGTATGGCGTTATCCCCGCTCCCTTTAATTGCACTTCATATCGCGCCCCCGTAAACGGGTTTGTCGCTTCAAACAGCGAAATAGCCCTCCCGTCGCCAAGTTGTCCAGCCCAACTGCCAAACTGCCACCCGCCGTAACATTGCGCCCAGGGGTAGCCCTCCCCCGTTTCCTTTTCCTCATCCCAACCCCACAACTTATTCCCCACGACGGTCTGCTTGAAATCTTCCGTCTCTGCTTCTGACGCTAGCAGTCCCAGATCGCGCATCGCGGCGGGGGACACGGCCAGCAATTCAGAGGTGGATTGGGGCTCGGGACGCACCCAGGTGAAGAGGGCGTGGCGGACCTGGCGAGGGTGGATCTCATGGCGGGGGGTGCGATGGCTTTCGGCCGGGGTCGGATACATTGGGTCGGGGGGAAGGGAGGAGGTGAAGGTCCAGGATTTGGGGAGGGCTGCGAGGGTCACTCCTGGCCAGGGGGATTGGGCTTGGGTATTGTCGGCGTTGCTTGGGGGGAAGCCCCGTCGGGAGCTTCGGTTCGGGGACCAGCGCCGGTTGAGGCCGTCATTATTGTTCTCGGTGTTGCCGTGGGAGGGTAGAATGCGAACGGGGGCGCTCGACGACAGAAGGCTTGGCGGATGGGTGATGGACGGAGGTGATGGGCGAGGGCGAGACAGCGGGTTACTGAAGGGAAGCGCATGAAGTTGGAGGTGAGGATGTTCTAAAAGATATATGTGGTCGTTGATATACAGGGGGTACCTAGGTGAGACCCTCCCGAGCCGCCGTCCGGCTGGCGCGGGTGTGTTCCGTTTACGACTCGGTTTGCGACGGTAATGTCAGTGTCGAAGCTTCGAACTCGGCGCGGTCTGGCTTTTCCCGTTCGATCTAGCTATTGACTTGAGAAATTTTCAGAATATTTTGTTGAATTCCCAACCTAGAAAGTCTCTCTACCAATTTCTAAGAGAACTTGTCGCGCCAACTGACTTCTTGTCATATCAACCCGTGTAGGTCAGCTTGATAAAGACCCTTCTCCGACATGAGGGGCGAACCGCAACGGCGGAACATTAGTCGCACAGACAGGCGCGTCATCGCCGCCGTCGGCAGCCCAGTGCCCTTGTCGCGTGCCAAGACGTACCGGAATGTACCCTCCGGGGACTTGGGGGAAGTAGGAGCACGCAATGTGTGACGTTGCTTGCGATGAGCTGCTGCTGGTAGACATGACTAAGAGTGACGATTGGGCGGGGAGGATTTGTAAGCTGGTGCTTGAGGGTTCATTTGTAACATACGGGTTAAGATGGTGGAAGGGGATTCGAGAGGTACGTTGAGGGAGGAGGAAGATGGACCCCTCACCGAGAAGGTGGTCAAGGTCTTCATCGAGAGAGGAGGGGCTCCATAGCAACGCTATCGAGGAGCTTGAGCAGCTGTTTTGCACCTCAATTACTTTGTATATCTCACACAGAAATCTCTCTTAATATTATTCAACTTTATCCAACTTGTACCCTAGTGTTTTCCATTTTGCTCTCTCCAATAACGCTCAATGGCGTCATACCCATCGCCAACTTCCCCCCTCCCTTCCCCCCCCCCCACATCGCGGTATCGTGGGGACCCCCCAACTGAAACCCTGCGGGGCCGCCTACTACAACCCGTTCCGGTTGCGAATACCAATTGGGAACCAGGCAATAGTAAGGTCGGACACAACTCGGCAGAAGCTGCTTAAACCCGAGCTTGCTTGCATACCTTCCGGCAGGCTAGAGATAAAGTTTGATAAACGTACGTATATAAACCAGCCCGCCTTCACCAACTTGGTGTTACTGCTCCCATCTTCCTGTCTTTTTCTTCCAATTGACACTGAGGGACTGGAAAGAGAGGTAATATGAGCGCCGACCAGTACGAGCCGATTCCGACGGTGAAGCTGAGCGACGGGAATGAGATCCCCTTGGTACGTCCAACACATCTTAACGAATTGATTAGTAAAGCATACTGATAGAGAACCAGCTTGGCTACGGCCTCGGCACAGCCAACTTCAAGCGTGGAAACAAGGACGAGATCAACGAAAAGATCATTGGGGACACCCTGACCGCGCTGAAAGTGGGCTATTATCATCTTGACGGTGCCGAAGGTAGTCCCTTTCCTCCTTCTTTTGCTTCCTTTTCACCCTCTCCCGCTTCATGAATTAACATCCCTAACCATCCGTATCAGCCTACGGTAATGAACGCGAACTCGGCCTGGCTATCTCCCGCTCCGGCCTTCCCCGCCACCAACTCTTCGTGACCACCAAAACCTCCTGCCGCCAAGGCGAGTCTATCGAAACCGCCTTCTCCCGCTCGCTCGCAGCCCTGGGGCTAGACTACGTTGATCTCTACCTGATCCACTCTCCCTTCTTTTCCGGTCCCGACCCCAAGCCGGAGGAGCTGCAAGCTAAGTGGCGCGAGATGGAAGCTATTAAGGACTCCGGGCGGGCGAAGAGTATCGGCGTTAGTAATTTTTTGCGGCCTCATTTGGAGGCGGTGTTGAGCATTGCGCGGCATAAGCCGGTGGTCAATCAGATCGAGTACCATCCGTACCTGCAGCACGATGTTGATGATCTGATCCAGTTGCATCGGGAGCAGGGGATTGTGATTGAGGCATATGGCCCGCTGACGGCGGTTACGAAGGCGAAGCCGGGCCCCGTGGATGAGGTGTATGAGAGGCTGGCGAAGAAGTATGGGGTTGAAGAGGGGGATGTGGCGCTGAGGTGGTGTTTGGATCAGGGGGTTGTGGCGTTGACTACGAGTGGGAAGGAGGAGAGGCTTAGGGGTTTTAGGGAGAGGTTGCCCAAGTTCAAGCTGACGGAGGAGGAGATACAGGAGATTAGTGAGAAGGGAAGGGGGAAGCATTATAGGGGGTTTTGGGGGCATATCTTTAAGGAGGATGACAGGCGGTAAGGGAGAGCGGACTCTTGTGGAGTTTTCTTTTAGAGGCCGGGAGGATAGATGGATGGCTTGTTTTCGCAGCAATATCTCAGAGTTGTGTGGTAAACACTTGAATTATCCTGTCATGTCCTCGTCCACAACATCCTGGGTATCCCATAAAACACTACAGCTCATCATCTGATTCAGTCTCACTCTCCTCCGGCACCGGTCCTGCACTCCGTAAAGTCCTCCTCGGAAACACCTCCACATTCTTCGTGATCTGCGAAGAACTTGGCGCCGGTGCTGCCCGACTGGCGCTCGGCCTCGATAGCGGCTCCGACCTCCTCGGGAGGACAGGAGCTGATTCGTCTTCTCCCTCGCTTCCTGTACTTGTTGGGTCGTCTTCATCCTGCAAGGTAGTACTCGTTTGAGTAGCAGGTTTAGACGGTTCGGGCTTATTCTTCTTCTTCTTCTTCTTCTTCTTCTGCTGCTGCTGCTGCTGCTGTTGTTGTTGTTGCTTCCTTGTTCGGGGCGGCGAAGGAGGAGAAGGGTCATCCTCCAGTTCACTATCCGTCGCATCCTCCACCTCCTTCTCAACAGCCTTACCCTTAGCCTTCCCCTTAACAAGATGGTCTTCATCAGCACTATCAGCCGTCTGCTCACCCTCCTCATTCTCGTGATCAGTGGTATGCCGATCCTCGTCCGACTCGGCACTCCCCCTCTTCCTAGCCTGAGATGCCCTCAACGGGGGATCAACATCCATCCTATCCCCCTCATCATCATCCTCTTCCGAAGGCGTTGAGGCCACAGACACAGGCCTGGCAACGCCCCTCCTCCCTACAGGCTTAGCCATCGTCTCAAAACCCTCCTCCCCGTCTTCTCCATCAGAAGTCCCTCCCCCAGAGGCATCCTCCAACGCCTTCCTCTTCGCTTTTCTTGACGGTCCCGGCCTTCTCCCCTTAACGGGGGATTCTATCCTTCTAAACGACGCTCTAGCAGCAGCCAACCTCCCCTCTCCCGACGGAGGGTTCGCACTAGCAAGTAACCGCTGCTGCTCGCGGATCTTGACCTTCTTCTCATTCAACAACACGCAAAACTTTTCAAGTAACTCATTCTCCCGGGCCTTTTTTGCCTCCACCAGCTCCTCGAGCTGGGCTCGCAGAGACGAGATGCGGGATTCGAGGTCCACAAGTTGTGCGTTGGCCGAAGTGAGAGATGACTGGAGAGTTTCGCGGTCAGAGAGGGCTGAGATACACCAGTCGAAAAGCTGAATTGCTTCCGAGGGGTGGTGAGTTAAAGTTATAGTGCCAAGGCGTTGCTAACACAGTTAGTGGGGCACTGGACAACAAAAAGGGAAGAGGAAAAGGAAGGGGGGGGGAGGGGGTGAAGAGTACGTTAATGCCAGCTACTCGCCGACGGACGGTGATGGTGAGTGAGCGGCCGGTATGGGCTTCTGCGCCGAATTCGATGCCCTCCATTGGGGGTTCGTTGAGAAAAAGGGTCTTGAGGATGCGCTCCCATTCGTCGGGGGAGCAAGTGCTGGTTGTGGAGCGTAGGTCTGCGATGCGGTCGTGGCGTACTTGGAGTTTCGTTAGTGACTTAGCCTGGACAATAGTATACCAAACGCTTGGGCATAATGCATGAACAAGACTCCAGATCGGGATACACACGGATGAAGGATGGGGGCTGGACCAGACCAGACGGGAGACAGGATCCGCTGGGCCGCGGACGGAGAAGAGGAAGGATGTGTGAATCCAGAAGGGAAGTATATACAGGGCTTGGGACAGGACGGGACACTCACACTTGACCACATATGGCTCTTCGCCTTCGGTGGCGATAAACTTGAGGTTCAGCGGTTTCCCGCTAGACCCAGACGGCGTGACTTCGCCGAGGATGAAGGCGCCATCCTCGTCGGTCCGCGGGATGCGGATGATGCGGGAGGGGGGCATCACAACGTTTGGACAGGATGTCTGGGCGATCACTTGGGCAACAGGAACCAACACGTATTTTGTTGATGATGATGCGACAGGAACACGGAGTTCAGACGATCTCAGATCTCAATGCGCCGAAGACGGGAGATATTTGCTCGCCGTGCCGCTGAGATGAAACAGGTTTTCGCTGGGTGATTAGATGAGAAGAATGAGCCAACAGTTGCAGCCGGTTTAATTTCCAAGACCAAGCGCTGTGGTGATGATGGAGCTTAGCTCATTCGGGAACGGGGTATGTAAGACGGTGTTTGTTGATGTCTTGCTCTCATCGATAGTGAAAATAAAGATCAATTTGTGGTCGGAAAAAAAAAGAAGAAGCATTTCCAAATGAGGATGGGCAATGACTTCACATAATCTTCGAATGGTTTTTGAAGGTTGAGGTGAGGCCAGGCAGCAACGTCCAGGGCATCCACTCAAAGCTGGAGCTCAAGCTCAGCCTGGGCCGCTTCGGGAAGCTGTCAAAGACACAGAAAGCTACTATCTCACTGATGATCAGCAATGCAGATATTTGCGTTCCACGCGCTCGTGCATTTTCATTTTTGCAGTTCACCGTCTGGTCAAGATGGTGCTGATCCTGCACTCTTTTCTCCCAAAGGGTTGAACTGCAACACGCGATGACGGATGCGAATAAGACGATAAGATAGCCGGTCGCTTCGGCGACGAGGATGAGCTTTTGGAGACGTTAACTTTTGGCCCTTGGTCCCTGGTCCATGGTCAACATCGAAAGTGGCGCATTTCTAGCTTTAGTGGCTCCACCAACGATGTAACTGTCCCTCTTTTTCATGTGGTTGCTGGGTTGGGGATGTTGATTTTTGCTGAGTGAAAACATGGGGATTTTTCAATGCATATCGGATTGTCAATTCTTTAAATCGCTTGCTTGGAGTCAAGATAGAGACATATTGCTGTGATACACCAGGCAACGCAAGTACACCTCTTTGAACGCTGAGACCAGAGCCCCTCATGCAAACGCGTCGCGTCGCACCCCGCTGAGGGATGGGAGGGACAAGGTGAGGATTCTCTCCGTCGTACCCGTTCCACACCAGCCACTCCAATGGTCAAATTCCCTGACCATCATCTGCCCTCGACTGAGCATGTGACGGTTTCGGAAACTACAGGACTTTGTCCAGCCATCAGGGAGCTTGCTGCTATTCAAAGCTATTCACTGAGTACTAAACCCATTGCACAGCCTGCCTTTACCATTGAGCTGTTGTTTTTCCCCATTCACAAGCTCCCAAACGCCTATTCACTGATTCCCCGCACTGCCGCCCTGGGGAAGCCTGTTGCAGCTACCAGCCAATCAGATTGCACGCTTTGTAGCTCAACCCCTGTCTGACCCCTGCGCTGCCCGCAGCCGTCTCTTGCATCTTGGCGCTTCGTCTGCCTTCTGTTTCTGTTGTTTCTTCCCACCTCCGACTTTCCAGCCACAGAGGGAGAGACTGCAAGCCCACACAATCTTTCTCACATTCTGGCCAAGCAACCAAAAACACTCTACCAGCCCAGCACACCCGTGCCGCTGGTTTGTGCTTTTGGTTTGTTGTTGGCCGTTGCCGTTGCATTCATCACCGTCAGGATTTTGCTGTGCATGCTTGTTTTTTTTTTCCCGGCACGCACGACGCTGCAACCCCATCGCTCTTCGTTTACTTCAATATCTTCCTCCCTTTCTCCCCCAAACATCCGGACGACCCGCGCTCTCGTCTCCGCTTCGTTTGATATCTCTCGGCCACGTCCGATTCTGTGAAAAGCTCTGCTAAACTTGCTATCTGCATCCGGCGATATCGTACTTAGTCTGTAGCGCTCGCTCTGCTCTGAAGCATACCGACTTACTCTAGCTACCGTGAATAATAGCCTTGCTCTACACAGAAGATCTTGCGCTGCAGGACGCGGATCAAGCCGACTCGGCGTTGTTGACTATGAGTTCGCGACGCTGATCGCACACATCTGTCGCTCCCACATCGCGGTGTGTCCTAAGACGGCACACCAACTGCGCCCGGAACTCCGTATCGATCGATTGATCACGACGACTCGTTTGACCCCGCACTTCGAGGAACCCCCCGTCATGGAGACCCTGCGCCTAAAGAACCGGCCCCCGGCCCCGGCCGAGGAGGAGATCGAGAACTGGGACGACGACGACTTCATAATCGAGGGCGACGACCTCACCTTTACGGCCCTCGTTAACTCGACAAACCTCTCAGCCAGCCGCCGAGACTCCCAGTCATCCTTCCGCTCCGAGTTCGAGTCGGTCGGTGAAGAAGAGCGTCAAGTGCATCTCCCGGGAAACGATGAGAAGTCGACTCTCGATGCCATTGCCGCTGCTGCCCAGGCCGGCATCCCACTACCGAAGAACATCCCTCCCTCAGCCTTGATGGGCGGAACCATCAAGCGTCTGGGTGGCAGGAAAATAAAGAAGATAATCCAGGAGGACTGGACGGAGGATCTCGAGTTTCCTGAAGGAGTCCAGAACCTCAAGATTAAGAGCAGAAATACCACACCCTTCCCCGAGGCCCTGCGGCAAATTAGCACCTCAGCCACGACAAGTCCTAGGAAGCCCCGCGACTCGTTGAACCTCTGGGAGGAGCCCATGAAAGAGAAGGGCAGTTCGTCCCCCGGCTTTATCGACCTCGAAAAGTTTCGCGATGCCGAAGATGACGACCTGTTTGGAGACGGTCTGGAGACGATCAAGGTATCTAAGAGACGCCAGCCTCCGAAGCCGCTTTCCCTCATTACCCCGCCGACCCCGCAGAAGGAGAAATGCGATGATGCGGATGACGACTTTGAGAAGGACTTTGAGCTGCCGGAGGACGGCACGCTGAAGCTTACATCCCGCAAGGATGTCCCCAAAACCCCGACATTCAATACTTTGCTGGAAGACCTCGAGTGGGCGGAGGGCAGTCTCGGCACAAGGGTTGGGGGTACGCGCCGGGACCTGCAGTCCGGCCATAGCTCCTCAATTTCCGCCTTTAGTCCCAGCATTGCCAGCTCTATGACTGCTGAGAGCGAAGACGACACCTTCGACGGCCTGATCCTGCCGAGCGGTCCCCTCGACTTTGCCGAACGCCTCAGACGCCGCCGCCAGAGCCGGTCGCCCTCCCGCATCCCCGACGAGCCCATCCAGGAGGAAGAGCCCGTCAAACAGGAGCCCAAGGAGAAGCCTAAGCAGCAGGACTCCGAAGAAGACTTCCTAGAGGGTCTCGATATCGGCGATGGAGAGATCTTTGATCCCCGCAAGCTGACCCTCAACCGCAATATCCAGGTCAAGGAGACTCGTCCTACAAGCCCCGCCCGGCCTAAGGCCTCTGTTGCCCTCAAGTTCACCAACAAACCTACGACAGCGTCGCGGCTGCCCCGTCCGACGCACGAGCGCTCGCACACCCAGCCTACCCTGGAACCGGTTTCCGAGACAGGAGGCCCGATCTCCCGCACCCACACCCGACGCTCGCTGTCCCGGCTGGGCCACGCTTCGCACTCGTCTGTCACAAGCATCAGCAGCATTGCGACCACTACGTCCCCGACTCCGACACCCTCGTCTTCGCACGGTGCGACGCTAGCCACACCGCGGAGAAATGCTGGTGTCCAGAGGTCCGAGCCGACTACCACCAGCTCCCAGCTCCTGCGCATGAAGAGGTCCATGCCTGTCATCAGCAAGTCGCAATCGCCTGCTCGCGGTCAAGCAACATCGACTACTCGTGGCCATGAACGCCCTCCTTCTCGGACTGACCAGCCCACAAGTCGCATCCCCATCCGGCCCAAGACCCCGGTCGAGCGATCCAGGCCGGTAGAGGACTCGGCGACCATCACTCGCAAGGCTCCTCCTGTGCCATTCGTCCCTGCTGGCGCCTCCGCCGAACAGTCGCACAATATCAACGCCAAGGCGCGTGCGCTACGTCGCCATGACTCTGAAGCCAGCATCGACTTCCGGCCCACTTCCCGCGCTGTCTCGCGCTCAGCCATCCGCTCGCCTAGTCCGCGGCGGTATCGGCCGATCAGCGTGATCGAGAAGACGCCGGACGGTAGCTCGTGGAGCAAGCTTAGTCTGCCTCGGCGGGTCAGGAACTTTGGCGATGGCCACGAGCTGGATGCGTTTGACGACCTGCCTACCTCTAGTCAAGCTGAGGCCAGGTTCCTCAAGCAGCCTGTCAGCGGCAGGTCGACAATCCGCACGGCCGTCAATAATAACAACAACAACAACAATAATAATAATAATAATAGTAGTAGTAGTAGTAGGAGTAGTAGCAGGCCTGCCCTGCCAGAGCGCACGCCACCCACGACACCGTTCTCGTCGCGCTATAATGATGGCAATGTCCCGAGCTTTGCACGCGATACTACCGCGAGTCGTATTGCGAGGGAGACGAACCTTGCTCAGCGTAATGCGTCGGGAATCATTGCGCCTTTGACGGCTGCCCGGGTTGCACAGATCTCGGCGAGGAGTAATCTGCTTGCGCCACAGACGGCTGCGAGCGCGACGACCAAGGCGAAGAAACGTCGTTCGCCGCAGGCCAAGCCGCATCTGATTGCGAACTTGAATCCGCCTAGGGAATCGAAGAGTAAGTCCCACACACGGAGATGGCTGAAAGGATGATGCTAACGCTACACAGTGGTCAAGGGTATGTGGTACAACCCGGAGACCTACCGCTGGGAAGGGAACGACACCGTTCTCTCCGCCTTCGACCGCGTCTCGACCGCCTCCTCTACCAACACCACCTCGGCTACTCTCGGCAGTGCTGGTGGTTCTCAATTTACGCCTACCCTCCGCGGCGCCGGCTCCGGCCTAGGTTTTCTCACCGACCGCGACACAGCATCCGCCACCCCGCGCCCCGCGCTCATCACCAACATTGGCGCTTCCGCCACCAAGGGCGTCAAGGTCGTCGGGGGAATGGTGTTTGATCCGGTGAATATGTGCTGGCTTAAGGTTTCTCACGTCCGACGGGGTGATAGCGATGACGCTGGAAGCGACTCGGACGACCCCTTTAAAGACATACCCGATCTCGAGGAGAGGACTGTAGCCTCAACGGCTACGTCCGATGGTATCCCCGGCTACATGAGTGGCTATGGTTCTGGGTCTGGTGCCGGAGCAGGCGGTGGGGGGAGCAGGTATAGTGATATCAAGGATGATTGGCTGGTAGGCGAGGAGTTTGATGTCGGGCCGGAATTTGTCAGGCGCCAGAGGGAGGAGGAGGAGCGGTGGAGGAGGAAGTGTCAGGTTTGGGTTGAGCAAGGACGATTGGTAGAACGGGGGGACGCGTGGAAGTGGGCTATTAGGGAGATTGTGAGGCAGAGTGCCGGTGGGGAGGAGTGATATTGGTTTCTTCGATTCGGGGGGTTGTTTTATTTTTTAAGACTTTTTTTTTTTTTGGTAGGCTCTGGGTCTCTTATGCTTCTGCTACTATTCGATATAGCTGGATGGTTGGGAAAAAGGATTACGCTATCGGTCGGTGGACTGGTGGATGGCTGGGTGGACGGACGGATGGATGGGTCTCTGAATTTTTTTTTTTTTTTCGATCCGTTTGATGAACGGCGGCCGATGGTCCCGATGGTTATGGATACCTCTTTTCTGATGTTACCTTTATGATGAACCCTTACCGTCGATGATGATTATGATGATGGACTGGACTGGGTGGGTAGGCATTGCTAGTTTTTATCCTCTATTTAGTGGTAATGGGACGGTCGTGAGGAATGCGTCTTTGGTATGGTTGCAGCTAGTGTTGAGCTACTCTGGCCTGTGGCCTGAGGAGAGGAGTGTAATAGGGATGCGGAGGATACTTAGGTACGAGAAAGGAGGAAGATATTATGAATGATGATGGTTATGATTATGATTATGGGTTCTTTAACTTAGCTTATGAACTTATGCTAGACGATTGATAGACGATTATGAGAGATAGAGTTGGTTATATTATGGGCTTTGGTTGTGCTGGTATTCTGTGGTGCCCGTCTACACATGTCTTGAGCTCAGGTTTTCTCAGGCTTCCAACTTAAGGCCTTCCAAGTTAGTTATAATAATTTTCGTCCTTATAGTTACCATTTGTAGATCGTTCGCAGGTCCTTATTCTGCTGAATAGCAAAGCCATCCTCATTTCATGCCAGTTGTAAAACATACAAAGCTTAGCCGACAACCTAGCGGTGTTGGCTGAAGAACTCATCCGATGCGATAAACAGATAAGATAACAACTTGTTCTAGGCACCTTGCCCAGCGACCAGAGCTATGCCCCACCGATCGGCAAGATGAGCAAGGTGGGGCTGGCAGCTGTCCGACAGGCGGGAGAGAGAGCAGATATCATTGATCGCGATCGATCCATCTGATTCCAAGGTTCACCTCTTGTGAGACTCGACGACAGGTAGCTACAGTCGCAGCTGTAACCTCAATCAACAAGCCCCAAAAAAGGAGTGACGAGCTCCTTGCAAATCAATCCCGATCATACGTCAACATTTGGCCGACACCAGCGGCAATTCAAGCTCCGACCTCTCTAACCCCAGTCGCAACCTCAAGAGGAGGCGAGAGATAAACTAAAACAAGCAAAATGACAACCGAAATCGCCTTCGCCAAATCCTTCCTCGCACTGCTCGACTCGAAGCCGAACAAGATCTCGGCTGACCACATCGAGGATCCGCGGAGCTATCCTGGTGTTTCTCCCGTACGTCTTCCTTGCTCCCTCTCTCTCTCCCTTAGTACACCAACCACTCTTTGCTCCTCTTTCATTTCCCCCCTCCCCCCCCCTCCCCTCCCTCCCTCCAAAACAACAACAAGAAAAAAAAACCAAAGTCATGCAGCAGACTTTCTTTCAACCCCTATCCCCCTGCTTACTACCCTCTCTTGCCCTCCCTCTGGCTCTCCAGACAATGACTGACTGTCTTCCCTTCAGTATACCCTCCCCCGCCACCCCTCCCTCCCAACCCCGAAACGTCCCCGCCTCTCAAGCCCACCCTCTTCTTCCTCTGACCTTCCGGCTCCCCCCGCCCCTGTTGTTCCTCGACCCGCCGGCATAACTGTAACACTCGTTTCCCCGCGCAACCCCCCCTTCACCCTGTCCCTCTCGGGATGCTCCCCCTCCACGACTTCCGTCTCAGACCTGAAAGATTATATCGTGTCTGAGACGGATTTGCCAAGGGAGAAGGTCAAGGTGTTGTATAACAAAAAGCCTATTGTCGACAGCAAGGTTCTCAAAGACTTTATTCCTGCCGAGGTGCTGCAGAGGGTTGAGCAGGAGGGAGGGGAGGTGGAGGTGGGGGTTATGGTGTTGGGTGGGCCGGCTAGTATCACGCTCAAGAGTCGGCAGCAACCACAGGAGCAGAAGCCCGCTGAGGAGAAGAAGGAGGGAGGAGGGGAGAAGCAGGAAGAGAAGGCGACGGTCGAAACTGTCACGAAGGATGTCGATCGTATGGAGGTCGATGATCCGATTACCACTGCCACCAAACCCAAGAACAACAGCACGAGTGGCGCAGGGGTGTTGCAAACGGAGGAATTTTGGACAGACTTGGCGACGTGGGTGCAGCAGCGGGTTGGAGGGGACGAGGGGGTTACGAAGGAGGTGATTGAGGTGTTTAGGGAAGCTTGGGGGAAGAGGAATTAGTTGCTCGATAGGGAGGAGGGATGGAAGTTAGGACGGGTTAGGTAAAGAGAATACTAATTCAACATGAGCGTTTACTGCTTTGAACGATGGACAGCAGTGTTGGGAAGATAGGTTTACATGTGGTTTGTGAGACTGGAGGATTACTTGGGAGATATGGTCACGACATGGTAGGTAAAGTTCTAGTCTTTAGCTTACCTACGGATGATGGGGTGTGTCTCTTGGGGCTACTGGGACTATGTGAGGACGGTCACGAGCACACTGAGACTTAAGCTCAGAACCGCATCGCAGGTCATCAAAGGGAGACTGGAGGACAGCAAATTATCAAGAGTTGCCAGGGAGAAAACACCACGGCATTACGTCTTCGCGTGAGTAAGACTAAAATTGGATGACGACGATCACATCGACCAGCCTAAGCAGGCAGACATGGGGCGCGAGCTGTGCCAGGATACGTGTAGCGATCCCTTGAAATGACAGGCTCCTACCGCACAGACAAGCTCCTCTAACGGAGAGGGGGCCAATCGCAGATGAGTGGCTCCTAGTCTGGAGATTCAAACGTTTGTTGCCTGCAGTAGCAATGGTAGTGATCGAGATTGAGAGAGCACGTAGTGGTAGAGTACGAGGGCGAACAGCACAGCAGCACCATCAAAGGCAACAGCAAGACGTTGGGGCTGACCGCCCTTCGTCCCACCAAAGACCCAAAGTTCAAGGGGCAGAAGCAGCAGCATCAGGAAGTAGCAAACCGGCTATCTTCTTCTCCTTTCTTCTTGTTTATGAAGACACGCGCAGCACAACGCGAATTTGCATCAGCAGCAACAGCAGCGAGAACTTGCCATCAATCATCAATATGTGTTGTGTTGTGAGTGTGGGTAGTTTTGCGTGACTGGTGACTGGTGGGTTGGTGGTGATAGCCCTAACTGAGCGCATCTTATATCGCGGCAGTGCCCTTGCTGACCGTCTTGAGCAGCGACTCGTACTCGATGTCGTCGGGGTCGTTGGCCTGCACTTCAGCCGCCAGACCGGGCAGCGCGCGCTTCAGCGCGTCCTTGGACGAGGCGTAGACCATCTTAGCCTGGGGTCATCAGTTAGTATGTGGGTAGTCAAGCGAAGTAGGAGGTAGGAGGGGACGTACCATGATGCCGGCATCATCGGGCGACCACGACAGGAAGGTGATCTTGTTGCTGTGCGGGGTTAGCGCGGCCCAACGTCGGGTAGTCAGGTCGGAGCAGCCTACCGAGTGCCCTCGCCCGAGGCGAGCTCGTACTGGACGTCGTAGACGGCATAGCGGGGCCCCTTGCCGATGGCGCCCTGTGGCAGTCAGCGGGTTGAACATTAAGTTGGTCATAGAAGATTGGCGGTTGCGGCCTACAGTCTTGCTCTTGGTGGTCGCGTTGATCAGCTTCTTGCGGAAGTCCTCATATTCGGGGCCATCCTCGCTGGTGCTTTCGACGACAATCTCCTTGTTGTCGTCGGTAAGCTTGAAGATGACGTATTTGTACTTCTTGTTGAGCTTGAGCTCGTTGTAGGCCGTTATGCACTCGGCGTTGACAGTAGCTCTGCGGCGTGTTAGCGTGTGTGCGTGTGTGGGTATGCACGTGTGCATAAGGTAGTTGGGCTGATGTCGGGTCGACGTGTAGAGCCAACGTGTAGAGTCTTGGTGTCGCGGCCGCACGCGATCCCATCCTCCGCTAAGTCATCCTGAACACGCGGGTCCCGATGGCGAGGTGAGGCAATGCGATGCTCGGCGGCGGGGCTGGAAGCGTGCGTGCCCGAGGCAGACGGGTCGGTCTGGTATCGGAGATGGAGAGGAAAGACAAGGTACAAACAGGGAGCAGCAAGGAACCGGTCACTACTAACCCGGAATGAGACTGCAATCAGGCAACGTCAGCATCATCGACCCGATCCGCTTCAAGATAGAGTTGGCGGGTCACGACTATAGCCATGAATGAAGGACGGATGCGCTTACCATGATGTGCTAATCTTAAGGAGACTTAGCCCTGGACTGTTCTGCGCAAGCTCGTAAGAAGACAAGAAAGCAATCAATATCGTGCTGTCCTCGCAAAAAGGGGGTGTTGGTGGACCGGGAAGAAGCTATGATGGGGAGGCAGAAGGGGGAGAAGGAAAAAAGGAAAAGAAACCAACAATGGGCGGGCGACGTTGCGGGGGTTGGTATTGGAAAGGGGAGAAAGGGTCTCGTCAGCAAAAAATGACGTGGGGTCGCGTATTGACAGAAACAGCAAAGACCAAGGGGCAAAGGGCAGTCCAGTCCGTCGCAAAAAGGGGAGCCCGCTTTCGTGTTGCCGGGTTGTGTACCGTAGTGACGATGATGAGGACGAAAGAAACCCAAGCAAAGAGAACGATGAAGGGAAGATCGGGTCTCAGGTAGGCAGAGTCGAGAAGAGGAAACAGAGCAGAAAGCGGGCCCGATTTGCGCGCCGGGGAAGGAGGAGCCAGGGGACGTAGCAGAAAGAGGGGCCACCTGGTAGGCAGCTTGTCGAATACCAATTCCAGCTTCAAAGGAGACAGCTCCCTCCCCGCGACCCGGCGACAGCAAGCTGCGACGATACCAGGACTCCTCGATGATCTTGGGTTTGGTTGGGATGGAGGGAGTGATAGAGGGGCGGTGATGGATTCGAACGACGCGATGGAGACACTTACAAAGAAAACAGAAGACAGAGAGTTAAATGGATGGAAGAAAAAGAGGAAACTTGTCTCGTTACCCTTTTCTCAGGATATTAAATCTCCGAAGAAAGTAAGAGATGAAGAGTGAGAGAGCACAAAGCACGGCACACACGCACACACAAAGAGACAAAAAGCGTGTTGCTAGCCTCCCACGGTCGATACGGTAGGTTAGGTGGTGGTTAGAAAGTGAACAGCGAAAACAGCCCCGATAATGGAACGGATAATGGAATGGACAGACGAGCGAGTGATGGTCTTGGTTAGGGGGGAGGGGGCCGTCTACTAGTGCCAAGGGGTAGGGTGTGTGCGTGTGTGTGTGTGCGTGGGCGGGGCCGTGTCGCCTGCCCGCCTGTCCATCCAGTTGCTCCGCCTGAAAAACAACATCAGCTCGCCATGGTGGGGTCGTCGTCGTCGGCGGTGACGGGCTGCCTGCCTGTTTGATTACTGTTACGGTAAGTAGGTATCCAGTCCACGGATGGACATCCTTGGGTCCTTGGCGGGCTGGTTGCTGGGCGCCGGAGCCTGGTGCCACCGCGCCAACCTCGCCAATGTGACATATCAAGACACCAAAAAGGAATCTGTCTTGATACGAATTACTTGCATTTGGCGCTCTGGTTGCCCAACGATTGCAATGAGATGCTGCAGAGCCGAAAAACGGTTCATGCTTGTCGCGGGAGCTTGCGTAATATTACCTTACTGTATTGATTGCGTACCGGCCTGAAGATTACTAAATCCCCACTTCTTGGGTTGAGCTGGAACTGGAGCTTGAGCTTCATATAACAACATTTAGTCGCCAGCTTCAACATCAAAACGTACAAGTTAGACTCTGAGCTGGAAGTGTCAATACTTTAATGTCGTGCAGCACTGAAATCCTCTAATTGCTACGGAGACAGCTCTGCGAATGCCAGTAGTGGGCATCGGCAGCATCGCCACCACACCGCCCCATCCACACACAGCCCAATCTACGTCTAGCAATTATCTGCCTGGTCTGCCGCCAAGCAAACGCGTCACCACAACATCATTAGACTCCCAAAGATTGCCCATTACTCTCGCATTTTCTCTACTCTAACCCATTGTCATGAATAATATACAATATGCCACAGGCTAGCTGTACAGGCATAAACACAGGCAGGTAGAGAGAGAGAGAGAGGAGATTAGTTTTACATGGCACACCGTTATCCGTAACACCGAAGCCCAATGCACCCCCCACCTCCCAACCGTGTCGCCGTGGTAAACGTTAAAATCACACAAACAAAATCCCAAATGTCATGTCAAGAGTACAGTTGTTCTGCTGGTTTTTTGTGCCTCAGTCCTCACTTTACATCATGCCGCCCATGCCACCCATGCCGCCCATGCCGCCAGCAGGGCCCTTCTCCTCGGGAGCCTCGACGATGGCCACCTCGGTGGTACCGAGCAGGGAGGCGACACCGCTGGCGTCAATCAGACCAGTGCGGACGACCTTGAGGGGATCAAGGATGCCAGCCTGAATCATGTCGACGTACTCGCCGGTGGCGCTGTTGAAGCCCTTGTTGAAGTCAGCAGCATACTCGTCGCTGATCTTGCCGATGACAACGGAACCCTCGAGGCCGGCGTTCTCCACGATCATGCGGGCCGGGCGGGTAATGGCGTTCTTGATGATGTTGACGCCGAGCTGCTGGTCGAAGTTGGCCGGCTTGAGGTTGTTAAGCGCGTTGACCGAGGCCTTGATCAGGGCAGTGCCACCGCCGGGCAGGATACCCTCCTCAACGGCAGCGCGAGTGGCGTTAAGGGCATCGACGAAGCGGTCCTTCTTCTCGCCGACCTCGACCTCCGAGGAACCGCCGACCTTGATGACAGCGACACCACCAGAAAGCTTGGCCAGACGCTCCTGGAGCTTCTCCTTCTCATATTCTGAGGTGCTGGGGTCGTTCATGGCGCCGCGGATCTGCTCGCAGCGCTGGGCAATGGCGTCCTTGCTACCGTCACCGTTGAGGATGATAGTGTCCTCCTTGGTGATGGTGATGGAGCCGGTCGAGCCGAGCATGTCAGGGGTGACCTTCTCGAGCTTGACGTCGAGCTCGTTGGTGAAGACGGTGCCGTTGGTCAGGACGGCAATATCGCCCAGGATCGACTTGCGGTTGTCACCGAAGCCAGGGGCCTTAACGGCGGCAACCTCGAGCTGGCCACGCAGCTTGTTCAGGATGCAGACAGCAAGGGCCTCGCCGTCAATGTCCTCGGCAATGATGACGAGAGGGCGGCGCATCTTGTGGGAGATCTCGAGGGCCGGGATAATATCGGTGGCGGCCGAGATCTTCTGCTCAGAGAGCAAAATCAAGGGCTTCTCGAACTCGACCTTCTGGGCCTTGGCGTCGGTGATGAAGTAGGGCGAGACGAAGCCGCGGTCGAAGCGCATGCCCTCGGTAACCTCGAGCTCGTCCTGCAAGGTCTTGCCCTCCTTGACGGTGATGACACCCTCCTTTCCGACCTTCTCCATAGCGCTGGCGATCAGCTTGCCGATGTGCTGGTCGCCGTTGGCGCTGATGGTGGCAACCTGGGCGATCTCAGCGCTCGTGGTGATATCGCGCTTGTTCTGCTGCAGGTACTCGACGACAGCATCGACGGCGGCCTGGATACCGCGGCGCAGGTCCATGGGGTTGCAGCCGGCGGCCACGTTCTTGACCATCTCGGAGAAGATGGCACGGGCCAGGACGGTAGCGGTGGTAGTACCATCACCAGCAACCTCATTCGTCTTGGAAGCAACCTCAGCCAGGAGCTTGGCACCGAGGTTCTCGAACTTGTCCTTCAGGGAGATAGCCTTGGCGACCGTGACACCATCTATTCCGAGGTCAGTCTGCTGCTTCCTCTTCTTATGTTCATAATGCGGGGTAAGAGACGGGCAGCTCACGCACCCTTGGTGATCTTGGGAGAACCAAAGGTCGACTCAATGAGCACATTGCGACCCTTGGGACCGAGAGTGGTGGCGACGGCCTTGGCCAGGGTTTCGACACCGTTGAGGAGGGCAGCCCGGCCCTCAACACCGAACTTCAGCTCCTACAATGCGGGGTCAGCACCAGGGCCTATGCTGTGCCAATTGGCCTCACACCGAGCTTCCACAGTTCTGTCCGGGATATCCAGAGGCCCAAGACTTCTCCATGACTATAACATACCTTGTGGGCAAAGCGGAGCTGCTGAGCCGAACGGACGCGGGCAGTCGCCAAAGGCGACGAGACGGAGGCTCTTGTGAGGGCGCGCTGCATTGTGGCTGTGTGAATTAAGGAGGGGTATCAAGGAAGAAGGGCAAAGAATAAGGAGAAACCGGGTATCACAAGCAACTGGAGGAGAAGAACAGCCGGCCGAGGAGGTCCAAGGTCGAGGTTGGGGATGGGAGGTGTTTGTTTGCTTGAGGGGAAGAGAGAGAGAGAAGTTCTGCTCTCGATGACAGCGACACATCCGAGAAAAAAAATTCCCCAAGGTTCACATCTGGTTGGTCCAAGCTCCTATCCCCCCTTGCCTGTTTTGGTTTAGCGCGTTACTGGATAAGCTGTGGGTGTTTCTGGAACCATCGGAACTCCACATTTCCCATTCTCCGGACATCCAGCCTCTCTGTGCAAACGAAGAAAGCTTTGGAAAAGCGAACAGACACGGGTCAATGGAGGCACTGAAACGTTGTTCTGAGTACTGGAAAAAAATTTTTCCATACATTAGGTGAAAAAGGCGAGCGATGTGCGGCCAAGCAGCAGCACATCAAAGATGTCTACAGTATGAACTTTAAAAAAACGTTTGTCAGCGCCGCTGTGCCCGCGGTAACCGAGTGACGCATGTCCGTTGTCTCCGTTCCCCAGCTCTTGGCGACGGCGTGGTGGGGTCTCGGCTCGGCTTCCAGTGGCCAAGGTCAGCGGGGCCGGAAACATGGACGCCAGGGTGAGACACCGACGCCGGTCCCGAGCATCATCAACCATCACACATCACGATAGTCAGAGTAGAGTATATGTGTTCCGAAAGAACCTTTGTTATTCCTATCCCTCAGGCTGTTCGTAGACGCCGAACGCCAGACTCCTATAGTCTAGGTTAATTCCTGTCGACTCTCCATAATATGCCGCAACCCAGAAACCCAGAACCACGAGACAACCACGCCCAGCACCAACCAGAAACCAATCCAGCCAGCCACAATCTTATCACCTCGCCACCTATGCTCATGAACTGTTAGAGCTTGCTCAGACCGTGAAGATCTGTCAAAATGTGGACTCACCTTAATGCGGACCGTGATGATGGAGAAGCTGATGTTGAGTGTGGTGTTGGCCAGCCAAATGAGCAGCAGAGACCCAATGTGTCTGGTTCATGCCAAGTGATGTAAGAGTTCTTTGGGTGCTAGCAAACCCTCCAGTAGTGGAGCAATTACTCCGAGAAGTCAAAGTCTGTGAGTTACAACTAGGGTTAGCAGCGTGGTGAGGACACAGAGCATGATGATGATAATGATGATGTGCAGCAGTAACGGTGTGAGTATGATATCCAAAATTGGGTTGTGTCGGTGCCAGCGGAGCAGCAAACATGAGCCCAGCAGCGGGACTACTGGAACTGCATGGTGCTGGTGACGAGCCAGAAACTGGAGTCGAAGTCGGGACCGGAACCCGTCGTTCTCCCAGGATGATGCGGTCTTCATCTTTGGGCGGCGTGGGTGGTGGTGTAGCAGGTGTTGCCATGGTCGTTAACAAACCCGGGTTGGGTGTTTGGGGCTGTGGTGGTCGAGGTGGGTGTGGTTGTGATGATGATGATGATGGTGGTGTTGACAAACCCTCACTGGACTCCTTCTTAACATTGGCGTCGGAGTCCGACTCCTCCTTGATATCTTGCTCATCCTTCACATCAGAAGACTCCTCCTTAACCGCAGTCTCCTCCTTAGCAGCCTTCTTGCCGCGTTTCGTGGGCGTCTTGCTAGCTTGAGCCTCGTCGTCTTCCTTTGAAGCAGTAGTGTTGCGAGCAGTAGCCCGCTTGCGCTTCTTGCTAGGAGTGGAAGGCTCTCCCTCCTCTTCGGTCTTTGTGGCTGCGTTCTTACGCGGCGAAGCCGGATTAATTCCGTGGGCCTTCAGAAGGCGCTCATACCGCTTAGCGCTGTACACAAGATAGTGTCAGTAAACTCCATTTAATTACCATATAATTGTATCTGGATCATGATTCCAATTGAAATAGAACTATGTTGGAACTGCAAGTTGATGGAAGACAAGAAATACTTACGCAGCGGCCTTTGAGACGATGTTTAGTTCCTCAGCAACAGCAGCAAAGTTAACCTAGAAATGAACGTAAGCCACTAGATCATTTCTGGAGAGCGCTGGATAGGCTATACTTTTCCGTTAACAGAGTGCTTGATGCACGAGAGAAGAAAAACAAGATGCTCCTCAGTAGCGCCGGGCATCTTGGAGTCCTTGATGTTATCTTTGAGGGCTGCTCGAGTGATTAGCGATTGATTTCTAGACTGGAATGTTGAAGATGGCCAAAAAGGTAAAGGGCTGTTGATCTTAATGTTTTAACGGAGAAATGTAGATAAAAATAGGTTAAAGAGAAAAGAAGGCCCTTCATTTACCTGGCATTTTGTCAATTGTTAGTTCAAGTTGCTGATGCTGAGGTTTGAGTTCTGGCAAGATGTGGTGTCTGGTGTTCTGGGATTTGTGAAGGTTGTGGAAAGATTGTGGAAGAGGGAGAATTTGTGGGAGGGATTAGAAGCATTCAAAAGAAATAAAAGGAACGGGGGTCTTTGAGGCATGGCCGCGAGCGCACATCGATCTGCACATTTGCCATCCTCATAATAAGATCGATCATGTGGAGGGAGAAGATGTGAAAGGTCCTATTGTAGAAGAGTAGTCGCGGGCAAAGCTGTGCATGCTGCCATCCTCACAAGTCAGATAGCAGAAGAACATCATCGCGATGATTGCAACATTTACTCAGCTGGTCTCAGGGACGCAAATGCAAAGCGGTAGGGAAGGGCAATCCCATGATCCTGAACATCCCAGAGATGATTTCGTATAATGAAGGTGTCAAGGTAAGGTGTGTATCGCTTGTGCCTCTCATGTTGTGCAATGATTGATATTCATGAAGCTCAGGACAAGGATTGCGATGTGGTAGTGAAACAAAGTGAGATGGTATACTCACATTTGTTCATGTAAAAGTAAGTTGATGACTAAAAGCTGATGTGATGTGGTTAGCATCTGGAAAGACCCAGTTTGATTAAAAGTTATGAAAGTCGTAGGAAGAGAGGTCAGGTAAGGAGAAACCACACTATTCTCTCTCTCCTGGCTGTCACATTTGGCCGAGTCAACTGACACTGGCTCTCCAGACTGGCTATCTTGTTTGGCTGAGCTGAATGAAGCTGACCCTGACAATATTACCTCGCTTCTTGGCTGTCCAATTTGGCTGAGTCGACTGATGCTGGCCACTGGGGTCGGCTGTAACATCTTAGTGCTGCCTTTGGCGGACAAGAGAATCACCAACTGACTTGTTGCTCCTGACTCTGGCTGTCACATTTGGCTCATCGAGTGCATCGTCGACCGACTTTCCGCTGTTGAGCCTGGTAGAACAGCTTGGCCTTCTTGCCCCCCTTCGCCATCCCGCCTGTCTGCTGAAATGAACCACTCATTGATATTTTCCAGCTGCGTCTGGCTGTTGTGCTTGACTCATGAACGGAGTCACTCGCTGACTCCTTGCACCTGCACCTTGATGCTGGGCTTGGCTGGTCAAGTGAATCAATTGGGACATATGGCCAGTAAATTGGGCTGGTGACCTTTGCCGCACCATTGGACTGTCCAATCAGGCTGATCAAGCAAAATGGCACACTGACCCTTGACATCCTGGTCTGGTCGTGGCGTTGGACTTGATCGAGTCGGTTGGGCGAGACGAATTCGCCTTGTGATCCCAAGTACCCGGGATGGTCGAGTCTCAGGAGAGGAAGGAGAATTAAAGGCTCGTGTGATGTGATGAATATCCAAAGGAAAGACGGTCACTTACCTCAACACGCACTGGGAGCAGATGAGACCAGAGAGTTGGGAAGTTTTGGTTGTGGAAAGAGGAAAAATTGAACCTGAGGGTTCAGGTGAGGGGGGTTAAATACTCCTTTGGGACCGGGATCTCGTCCAAGTTCGAGACGAGGTGCCGATAATTTACCGTGCAAGAGTCCTCATACTGTGACTTCCTATTGTGCTCCCATTGGCACCCATGCACAGTGCCAGGCATAGGGCTGTGGGAGCTGGAGAGTAGACGGGACTATTCGGGAAGATCCAGGTCAGATCTGGCACCTGGACAGGCTGGCCATGAAATAGGAAGGACTCCGAGAAGATGAATTTTGCCACGTCTGCCTTGTATTCAGGATAGTTACAGGAAATTCTTGTACTGGAGTTGAGCACACACAATTCTTTCGCGTCCATTGTCCTTTGACGTATGTTCATCCACATTAGTCGCACGCCGATGTTTTTGCAAAGCATTACATTCAATTCATTGTCCTATCATGACACACACACAGTGTTTTTCAAAGAGTCAAAGATGAAGGAATCAGTGAATATGGGATCGAGTTACCTTTAAGGACAGCTGTCATCCAGAAAGCATCCGCAAGATTACTACTCATATTAAGAAACATGGCGGACCAACAATCACACACTGCTCTTGCTGAAAAAGGCGGATTGGTTTGGTTCTTTTCACTAGACGAGCTCTGGCTACGGAAAATAGGACAATAACTTCTTATATCTAAGTTACCTAGATTGAAATATTCTATAATTTGCATGGCTGAGAACCCGAAGGGTGTTCTCATTTCGAGCTGCCATTAAGCATGCTCACTCCCTCCTGTTTCAAGCATTATATTCAGAGATAGAGCCTTGAACCGTCATTTAGCTGCGTCTTTTAAGCGCTGTGTCTCCATTCCAAAATATAACGCACTTTGTTAACGGATCTGATGGTCAGCACAAAACATAACTTGGACGTGCAAAAGCCTAAGATTGGCCCAGAACCTTGGGTCCCACACGAGCAGGAAGATGGCTACCGACCGACTTGGCAATTGCCAATGGGACACTGGAATCTCCAAAGCATGGTAACAACCACAGATTGATGACTTGCGGTATCCTACAACCATGCGCCATCTAGATAGAGATGCCAGCAAGTCGAAGAATTGTTTTCCAAGATCCAGAGATGTCTTGGTTCCAACCGTGAAGACACTGGAGCTCAGAGACTGACTGAATGGCAGACAGATTTACTGCTGCACCGGCTACTCCCTCATCAACCACTCCTCTTACATATCATCTCTTTCGATGCTAGAATGAAGGCCCTCTTTCTTCACTCTGCCCATATATCAAAGACAGAGTGAACTTACCAGTGTCACATCTGAGTCAAAGCACTCCACAAGATACCCAAAAGACATTCACACATATGCCCAGATCAATTACAGCTTTTTGGCTCCATGAGTCCACAACCAAGTCCATTTCATGAAGAAGTGTCCTTAGAGGGCACTGTCGTCAGACACTAAGTATGAAGGACGAGGACTTGGTCAAGATTGCAGAGTACAAGAGGATAATGTAAAAATTTCACAGATGCTTTTTTCAACAATTTCTCATCACTAATTAGCTTGCAGGCTCTGTCCATCCACATCCAGATCAGTCTTGAACTTAGGTATCTTCCAATGGCATTTACTACTTCCAAACTCACATATCCACCTTATCCATATTCAAGTCCGATTCTCCTGCTATGTTGAATGTTGTTATTATAGATAGAGTATATTTGCTATGCCATTAGGCAATTGCCAAAGCCCTCTAGACAAAAGGACGCAGATTGGGCTGATGGTATAGGTGGGCTTTGCAACTGGTTAGATTTGGGATTGATTGATATTGAGTAGTGTATGACACTGATAAATTCATGCTGTGTCCACTCCTGTCTTTGACCCAGAGCTCCTTATTTGACTAGTTTCGCATCCTCTATAGTTGGCCTGACATCGAGAGAGAACGAGAGCCACTGTGTTGACATATATCTTCGTCAGGTTGAGTTCGTGACATCAGCCGGGGACAGCAATAATAGTGTTTCCCGCTTATACACTCACTCTGTTGTTGCAAAGACACCAGAGCTATGATATACCGGTGGAATATAGGAAAGGAACAAGCCTACAACCAGTGAGCGAGCAATCAGGGCTTGATACCTTGACTGGTTCATGGGTATACTAAAAATTACTGCTGTACTCTGACAGACTGCCTATATCTGTACTGATACAAACATTCAAGATACATTTTGGATGAAAACGAGAACTGCAGACGGAAAGGAGTACAGAAAAGATGCATGCTATGACAAGCTAACAACCATCTAACATGCAGTGTTGCCGTATTTCTGATCAGGAACTCCATCTCAGCCATGATATGCAGTATACGGACTGTGGAACTGGTTACCATTGTGGTTTCTCAGTATCAGAAGATGAATTAATGGCTAAGCCTGAAGGAAGCAATGGAAGAGTAGCATTGGAGTGATGCAGTCTAGCATATATTGATGAGTTCCTTAGTGTCCACGATCTACCTCATTCAAGATTGTGATGTCTAAACACTTGCGAAATGAAGGCTTCTGAGCATCTTCACACTGATACCTACACCAAAGAGTGGCAAAAGATTGGTAACAGATGATGTGAACAGAACATTGATGGTAAAGATAGTGTACTAGCTGCACATTACATAGAATTGCTTCCCACTTTGAGAAATCGATTTTCTGGCACATAGTTAGGAAGTACAGGCTGGAACACTGAATCACTCACTGAGTGAATTGGCGTGAACTGTGTAATTCGTAAGACGCATACTTCAAAATCTTAAACTGCAAGGCAAGGACCAACTCTTTCAGAAGGATTGAATAAGACATACGCAATCAATCACCGTTGCAGCTTCCAAGCATCGCATAAACTACTGGCATTGTCTGGACTTTTAGCTCTCTTTCAATTTTGTCAACATATCCAGAGGCCCTAAATGGACAAGTTTACCACAAAGGCCTCCCCTACCCCATGTTGCATCATCCCCCCGCGCCTCTCCCTCCCCGGGAATTGTCCAAATATTATTGACTTGACGTTACCAGGCAACATGCACATGTCCATGTGACTTGGCGCCTTGGAAGCAAGCTTATTCTGACAACGTGCAAAGCTCTGAGCCCCTGAGCCAGTGACTAGGTGTGGACAATGTCCTTAAAATCGTCATGAAATTAGCGATGGAAATGTAAAAATCTACCGTGGATATCAGTGACATCCTTGGGGCTAGTTCTTGTCTGTCATTTTGCACAAGATGTGCAGTGGTAGGCAGAGATGTTTCACTTTTCACGATGTCATCCAGGATAAAAGACACAACAAAGACTTGAATGAAACAGAGAGAGACTCTTCCATGATTGTAGGGCCAATATTGGAGAGATCTTTTTCCAGTTGTGGTTCTCATGAGCGAGCAGCAGTCGCGATCACGACACATACAAGAGCGTGGTTGTAGGTCTTGATGTCAAGTCCTGGGCCCCATGGCTCGGCGTTCCACACCCACAGACGCGCACATCACATCAAAGATCACAAACAAGACACTCACAAACAGGGAAAGAGAATAGTTCTGAAAGTTGAACCAAATGTCTCATTACATGGCACAAAGACCGGCCAGAGCTAACCTAGAGTTTTTCAAGGGAGACCCCCAAAGCCAAACCCCAAGAGACCCAATCCATCCTCCGCAGTGCTAGTCCCACCGAAAACGCCTATCGCCAAATCCCGAATCCCTATGCTATCAAAGACCAACCCAACCAGAAAAATGAGTGTGGCTCATGATGATGATCCTTAGGCCCGGGGATGTATAAAGTGAGAGCCGTCGGAGCGAAGTCAACCGGCGTACATGACCTCCCTGTGGAAAGGTTAGCAGCATGGTCAGTGACGATAAGAATATTGAGGAAACTTGCTGCTCCTCCTGCTTGACAATAGGCTCCACGTTGTTGTCGCCCTCCGAGTCAGAGTGAGGCTCGGACTTTACAGACGGAGAAGCTGGCTCGGACAGCTCAGACTCCTCTTTAATCTCAGGCTCAGACTTGGTAGTATCCTTCTTGATAGCCTTGCGACCGCGCTTAGAAGGGGTCTTGAACTCAGTGTCCGAGTTGTCATTGTCGACGGCCGAGGCCTTGCGCTTGGCAGAGCCGCCCTTCCGAGCGGAACCTGCGGCAACGGCGCGGCGACGAGGAGTCTTAGCAGGAGTGGTCGCAGCAGAAGAGGCGCCATCTTCGCCGTTACCAGCTTTTTTCTCATCCTTACGGCGCAACTTCTGGAGATGCTGCCTAGGAGGCCGTTAGCGATATCTGAAAGAAGAAATTGATGATGACGAGCGATAAAGCAGGCAAAAAATGCAAGACGAAACGGAAATTGAAAAAAGCGCGAAAATTGTTACGTGATCGCCTTCAAAGTGCAGGAATAGCCGAGCTCATGCATGCGACGCATGACTCCGCGAAGCTGTTCCTGCGAAGGAGCCAATTCTTGGACGATGGAGCTGAGTAGATCGTGGTCCGCTTTATGGTCCCAGGTCATGCGCTCCGGCTTGTCCGACATTTTAAAAGTCGGCGGCGACGAAGGACGAGATTAGAGAGAGGGGAGTTGTTGCGTGGTTGAAGTGAAAGGAAAGCAGAAACTTGGTTGGCGTTGCGGAAGAAAAGCAGAGGAGTGAAGAGAAATGGTTAAGGAAAGGAAGAGAAAGCTGGAGGAAGGATAAAATGGAGATGATGCTTGGGTTGAAGAAATTTCAGTGGGGGGAGTTACATAGCAGCACTGGGAGTGTATCTGTAGCCCTTGGCTTCAACCCTTTTCAAGATTCGCTCCCACTCATCAGCAGTGGGAGGGTTCTCAGACATGACGGCTTGAAGAAGAGTGAGATGGGCATCGTGATCCCAAACAGTGGGGTTTCTAGCAGACATGGTGAAGGCCAGATCGTGTCGTAGATGTGTGCAGCAAAGTAGGGAACCAAGTGGTTCGTAGGAGTGTTTTTGAAAAGGGAGCAAAGAAAGTTGTTAGGGAAAAGTTGGAGAGAGAAAATGTATGAATAAGTGCAGAGTGAACACAGGAAGATCAGAAATGGAAGGAAAGCGGAAACACAACAAAGCAAAAGCGCTGATTTGGCGGGGCTGCCACATACACCAAAGCACCCTCAGAGAAGGTGTACCCCTTCTCACGCAGGTTCTCCATGACTTTGGCCCAATCTTCCTTGACAGGTTTCATAATGTCCAAGAGAGCGATCAGAACATCTTCATGAGTCTCTGCATTCCAGGAGTGAAGAAGACGCTTGGGCGGCATTATGAATAAAGTATCCCAATGCGAACCAGAGTAGATCAGAGTAATGGTGTTGATAATAGTTGGCGAAGCAGAACTTTTCTGACTGAGGTATAACAAAGCAGGTCGAAGGGAAAGGTGAGAGAAAGGTAAGGAGGGCAGCATGAGAGAGGAAATAAATAGAATCACAAGGCAAGACGCGGGGCATTTGCCCGACTTCTTCCCAAAATGGTGATTCCACCCACCTGACGATAGCAGATAGAACAGAAAACATACCGAAGTGCGTTCCAAACGATGTCATGGCCTCGAGCCTGCAAAAATGCGACTATATCATTCTGTTGCTCCTTGTTGAGAGGAGGAAAGACGTTGACGAGCCCCTGAATGAGGTCATCACGGATGTCCTCCCAGCGAACAGGCATGATTCTCGACGTAAAGAGATTCTAGCAATCAACAAGTTGTTTAGGGCAAAGAAAAACAGGTGCTGATATCACGATATGCTGCGAGATACAAGCAAAAAAGTGGGATGTTTGGGAAAAGAATTCAGATCTTGCGAAAGCCGTACAATAGCATTGAATGAGAGAGACCAGAACAAGGGCCTGACTTTCGTCCGCAGATCACGTGATTGAAATGTGCTTCCATCAATTTCTGGCCTTGAGATTGCAGCTCTTTCTGGCTCAAACAGCTGTTTTGAGGACAATGGAACAACTGGCCGCTCACCCTGAACAAACCGAAGCATACGGAGGATGGTAGCATCATTGACGCTACTTAAGGCAACCAGGCTGCGGCTAAACAAGTACAATGATAACTGCATGAGCAACACACATTTTAGGTAGAAAATCATCATAACATCCAGCGATGGTAAAGGTAGCATGCAATGATGTGAACTGCAAAACCTATGTTACCACTGTAGAGCAACGAATGCGATGAAAGACGACACAGAGCAGTACAAGAGCTGAAACAAACATACGACGAAATGAATGAAATATGTATCTCACGGACCCCAAGTCCGATTGAGCCACGCTTATGGAGCTCAGACATGATGACTGCCCGCTGTTCGGGCCCAATCTGGAACCCGAACAGCTTGTAGAGGCCCGTGACAAGGGCCACATAATCCTCTTGGGACCATGTCATGCTCTCACAGTGTGTCATGATCGTTGTCGTCAACAGCAGACAGCTTGTGCTGGCTGTCGCAGTCGGTAGTTTCGTTTGGAGTAATTTTTTTTTAAAAAAAATTCTGCCATCTGCAGCAGATGGTTTAAAGTAGCAGTTGGCGGAGCTCGCGTGCGCCTCATGTGCCCACCGCCTGCGCTGCTATCTCCGCCTGCTGTTAGTCGCATATGCAGCTATGTGGGTGCGTGTGGTGGCGATGGAAGGTGTGATTATATTGATGATGTACCTTTGTTGTGGCTCTGGTGAAGTTCTGGCCCAAGGCAGGTGCCACTCAGGGGTTCCCCCTTAAGGTTACCCCGCAACGGATGTTGAGAAACCCTTCTTGGCAATCAGAAAACATGCCAAGAGTTGTCGGATGAGCTGCCATGATCCCTTCTATTAAACAAGACCCATTGCCAATCTCTACAGCGAGCAGAAATCTTTTTTCATCAGCCCCAGTAAAACATAGCTGATCTAGTTTACTGGGCCACGAAACATGCTCAAGCTTGGGGTGCTTCTTGATGGAAGTCTTTCTTCACTGGCAAATGCAGAATAGCCCGATGTTGGGCCTCAGACTCTCTCAGAATCTGGTATAGCAATATTTCAGGAGTGTTTAGTAGCCCAGAGTAAGACTGACGTAATCACAGTCTTACCCTTCTTACCCCTTTCCCGTCTTAACTCTCTCGTGCAATTCTGTCAAAATTAAGACTGACGCAATGGGCATAGAGTAAATGGGTGACATGCCGTCGTGAAGTCAACAACCAGCTACCAGTCAAATTTGCAGGCTGCGGCTGCCGGCTGCAATTTCGGTGACAGGACATGACTTCTCGCTGGAAACTACATCTCGTCCCGTAATGGTGTCATGAAAGATGACGGCCTTGAACCTAATAAAGAACGAAAAACTTGCCAATGTAGCTCTCGCTCCTTTTGGACCTGTCAACTAGGTGAGGAGCCAACAGACGAACAGTAGGAGGGAAGTGAACTTCGACAGAAGGATACTATTGTATGTATTGACACTCTTCATCCCAGAAAACAAGTGATGCTCACTTCCATGTCTTCTCATCCGTTAATGTAAGCAAAATTGACGACTCAGAAACTGGCCAACAACCAGAATTTGGGGGACAAAACTGTTCTTACCTCTCAATTCTTCCCCCCGTCCAGCACCTGCCCTATGCCCCGCACCTTTCCTCCTGGCTCAAACACCTTCTCTTCCCAAGATCTGTCTTGTTCTCTCTCATGGCAAGCAGCCATATAATGCGCCCTTCGGGTTCTACCTCTCAACGAAGGGGCAGATGACGGCTGGGCCAAAAGGCGTAGTCGCATGCACACCAATCAGAGAATTGAATCGCGCTACCACCCTCGCGGAGGTCGCGGGTTGGAATCGCTGATTGGAATTTCCCGTAGGCAGAATGTTACCCCTTAAGTAGGGACGCGGAGACCCCTTCCAGGGCTGCGAATGGGACACTTCTCCGCTGATCAGGACCCCGGAAAGCTAGGAAAGCTTAATGGCTCTTTCCTGTCGAGAATAAACTCGAGACAATCACTGGTTTCTGTAGCCGGACACTTCTTAGCGCTGCTGGTGAACTTTTATTCTCAACCAAAACTTGACTTTTTGGCAACCTCATGATAAGAGCTGAGTAGTAAGTCTGGAGGTTTGCTTATCATTATTTCAGCCTCTTCACCAAGTTAAGGACTCAAGCTCCAGGTTGCATGAGGTTTAATTCTCTCACCTGTTTCCAAACCTCCCGGACTGTTCTCTCCTGACCCATTTTCTCTGTCTCCGTTGTGGAAGACCTTGCTGATTTTGAATGAGTTAGAAGTAAGAGGCGGACGAAACTTACGACCGAAAGGGGAACAGCTGTGCTTAGCGTATAGACCTTGTCTTTGGAGCAAGCCTTGTCATAGAACCTTATGCCATGAGAGAGGGAAACAAGTTAATACCTGAAACAAGCTATCTCACGGTTCTAATCAAAGAACACTCATCCCAAGCTCTGCCCATAGTGACTACCGGCTGTAACCGCTTGGTGAAACTTCCAAGCTATTATTGTGCCAAAGTCCGCATATTGAGTCTATGCCACAGTTTGCATTGATAGCGGGTTGAGACTTATGCTCAGTAATTAGGTACTTTGAGTGCAGAATTCACAGTGGTAGGTAACTAACTGCCGATGTCAACATGCTTTGTCCGCTGCAGACACAGACTAATGCCTAGTACCCACAACGAGCTTGGGATCAACAGCAGGCTTCCGCGCCAGACAAGCAACTAATGCCTGGCGTTAAAAACACTTTGCCGGCTGCGAGTTCCAACTAGCACCCGGCATCCGTACTAGCCAGGAAACCATCGTCGTGTGGTAAGACTCTCCGTCCATTGCAGCTTCGGGTCAACACCAGGCTCTCACTGCGCTCAACTTAAAGATATCACGATCATGAGCCTTTGCCAACCATCTTTGTGGGATCATATTAACAACTCATAGAACCTCCTAGGGAACTAAGTTGTGCACCTTGATAAACCACATCATGAACCCAAAATTATGGTGATCATCTGCAAAATTCTGCCAGCTGAAACCGCTCAGTGCATGTCTTTATGCACACAGAGCAGCGGGGTAAAGACATGCTTCCCTCATTGAGCTCCCAGCCTTACTGCACAGTAAAACAACGCACTGCGTGTCCTCCTATACAACAGAAGAAGAGAGAGCTGAGCTCGTGCTGTTCATCAAGTCCTCAGAGAGCCTTCTGTCCCAATGGCATCTTCTTCCACATAAACAGCCAGCTTTGCCCTTGGCGTACCTGCACGTAGTTCATGCATGAAAGAGTAGAGTGCCTTCAGTGTCAACAAAGACGGGTTAGCTGTTCTTCGTCTTCAGTCCAGATCGGACAGTCTATTCTAGCACTTTGCTTCATTGCTGATCTCAACTGTAAATTATCAACACCAAACTCTTCTAATCTCCAGGCTTCATCCATCTGCCAACCTTGTACCCATCTGGATGGCTTTCATATTCTCCACACACTAAACTGACATTTCACCTTTTCGTCTTTCCATCTTTCAAATCGACAAGATCATCTTTTCTTCCTCTCTGCCAAGTCCTTGAATTCGTATTTTCCTCCCCTCCTTCAACCAAGCAGCCCCAGCGGAATTATTCCTCCCCCTTCCCCCCCACGCCGTGACAAGACGGTCCATGTCCCCTTGTGTCTTAGCTTCACTTTCCAGTATCTCCCTCCTACAACCATGCAAGGGGCCAATATTCTCCAGTTTGTCTCTTCCTCGGAGCAGGAGATGGACAAGACTTGTGGTTCCCTTTCCGAGTTGAGTGATCCCACCCTCTCTGGACGCCGACTGTCGTTTGAGAGTGTGTGAGTATCTGCTCCGCAGGCTGCAGCAGGATGCTGTGACATGTTGAGGTAAAAGCCTGGTGCGATCATCAACCGTGGACAGAGAGGATAATCCTTAGTGCCGCCGACAAAGGTCAGCTCCGCCAGTTGAAGAGGGGAATGTCACAGCAGAGAGCATGGCCGATAGGGCTATTCCCAGCAGGCGGAAGGGGGCTTTGGCGACGACAGCTTGGCCTGGTGTCACAATGTCCAAGAGGGCGACTACTTGGAAACAGCCCAATGTGATGGAAGATGTCCATCATAGTTGTTCTAGTCGACGACCGCCCTGAGTGGGTCTTTACAGTGAACCAATCGGCATGACATTTCGTTGACGAGATATATTTTTCTGTTGGAGATATGGAATTAAACATTCAGACTAAGATTGTACATCAGGCGATGCAAGTTGATTTCAGACAGTAGAGACTTGGGATGTTTTTACCATGAGAATTCACCCTCCCAAGAGATAAATTAAGTTTGTTGGTTGAAATCAGCACCAGGAGTCAGAACCTGCCACAAAACACAAAGATCAGATGTAGCAGAATAAGCAATTCCTCATGAGAGTTACTTGGCTACCTATGGAAGATGTTACTTGCCTTGCCATCATCACCCGATCTTCGACCTTTCAACAGCCAAAGCTGTCTCGTTTTCATGTTCTCGTTCTCATTGAGCAAGACGGACCGGCCTGGGAGGTATTGTAGACACTAAAAGATTCACCAACCCTTTTCACCTAGACTTCACAGCTTGTCATTATGAACCAGTTAATGAAACCAAGGCACAACGCCACTCAACTTTCGTTATCTTCACTCCTCTCCCTTCTCATTGCACCAGGAGCAAGATCAAGAAGACTTCTATCTGCTAGTTTAATTTACCTTCCCTACCTACTCGGCACTAGCAACTCCAAAGCTCAAACTCAAGACACCAACTGCCAACTCCCTGGGCACAGCCAACAAACAACCCCCAAAACTCAAGGCAAAGAACAACAATCCAAGGCCAGACTCCTTACCACAACCATAGCAGTAGCAAAGCAGCACCAAGCAGCAACTACTAAAACTCAGAATAACGCCTGCACTCCTTCCCACTCTCCATAACACCGGTTCCAGCTAAAGAAAGGCAGCGTAGATAATGTAGATACATAATATTACAACGTCCTGCTTCTAACCCAGGACAGAGCAGACAAGCCGGGGAAAAAAAAATTCCTCTCAACTTGAAGCAGAGTACCGCTTTTGGAGACCGAACCAAAGAAAGAGCAAGACTGAAGATCAAGCAAAGGCGAAGCTACTTTCCCCCCCCCCCCTCCATCCACTCCCTTTCATTGTCTCTCTGAAAGGAGTCAAAACCCGCATGCAATATGGATTATGCTGAAGACAATGAAGACTGACAGGCAGAGCGATGGCACAGCACTACACGACCAACTGGGGAATGGCCGACGTAGCTCATCGGGAACGCCAGCTAAGCGTCGCCGTAGGTATATCTATCTCTCTAGTCAACATCGATTTCCCCCAATTTTCCCTCTAATAAAGGATAAATACTTACTCGGTCTGATAATCCCCAGGCGTACCTTCCACATTGTTGGCACTCGTCAAAGCATTCAACACGGCCTCATCCTCGAGGGACCCCTCCCGGCTGCCTGTATCATCGCTCAACCGTTGACGCTTGGCTGCGCGCTCTTCTGTCTCCTCATCGTCATTCGTCTCTGGAGGGGCAGAAGTAGTTGGAGCTGGGGTAGGGATAGCTATTTGAGGAGCAGCAGCGGCAGCAGCATTGTTGTTTACGGTAATAGCAGGCACCGGCGCAGGACGAGCCTGAGCTGGGCTTGTTTGTGCCGTCGCCACCGGCGGCGGGGCCGGGGCAGCCGCTGGGGCCTGGCCTTGCGTAGGCCTAGGAGCAGCAGATGGTCTCGCTTGGGGTTGAGCAAAAGCAGGATGGGCTGGAGACGCCCCGGGAGGGGGTACAAATGAGCCAGGAACAGCTCCAGGTGGAGCCGGAGTGGCCGGGGCTCCTTGCGGGTCCGGCGCGGGCCCGACAGGGACAGAACCCTGTGGAGGGATGGCACCAGGCTGCGGGGCTTCAACGGGCGCCGGAGCAGGAGCTGGGGCAATCGGGACTCCAGGAGCCGCTGGTTCAGGTCCAGGAGCCGCGGCGGGGTTCGCGGCGGGGTTCGCAGCGGCGGCGGCATTAGCAGCGGCAGCGGCATTAGCATTTGGATCGGCATTGGTATTAGCTGCCGACTTTCTCGGACGACCCCTGCCGGGACCTGGCCTACGGGTGATAGGGTTTATGGTAGGATCGATGTTCCTGACAGCAGGATTCTGCAGGCCATTTTGCTCGGCTTTAGCTTGGGCACGACGCAAGCCTTGGAAATGTTGACTGCATGGGCATCAGCACCGTTCCAGACCGAAAAATAGGGAATGCAACCAGGAGTGATTGGGGATGGGGGGATGATGGTGGTAAAAGAAGCACGATGGTAACAGCAGTTACATGTTATCTGACAGCCGTCATCATACGGGAAAATACAACAATTGGGTGATCCAGTAAGCGGGTAAAGCTGTACATGACGGTCACATGGATGACGGTGTTTTGAAAGGTTGTTTTCAAACAATTGCAAACACGGTAAAGCACAAACCGTAAAGCGTAAGCACGATACACGATGAGCAGCGATGTGAGCAATTGACGACCGCCAATTGAAACCATAACAACACAGCGGCAACAACGTTTCGGCGGGCAGTTGGTAGCTCTAACACAGGGCCGCAACACTTACCGGCATCCTTCATTGGTGAAGCCGTAGCCGAGTGAGCGCATATGGTTGCCTATCGTCACCCATTCTGAGCCGCTGATGACGCCGATATTCTTAACTTGCAAAATGGTAAAGAACAGGTCCTTGTCGGCCTTATCGTTCCAGTTTTTGTTCATTGTGGAATCGCGGGTAGGGATGCAGCCGGGATGACCGAGCAGGCGGGCCAGCGAAGCGCGGGCGGTGTAAGCGATGCTGAGTGATGCGTGAAATTGCTAAGGTCTGCTAAGGAGAGATAGAAGAACTAGATTGCGTGGGTGGGCGGAGACGACGTGCTCAAACAAGTGGCAAACAGGAGGTTGCGCCGGCCACACGTTCAGCCGGCGCCGATGTCTCTGACCCTGAACCAAGTCAGCCAATGAGCGCGCAAAACCAACTTGTAGGTGGGGAACATGTTTTTGCCTGAGGAGTGGAGATGCGACCACCAGGCAGCAATCCGAAAGAGCGCGAGACTTTGCAGCTTGGCAGCTCTGCCCCCACTTTTACAAGTCAGATGATCTGGCGCAAATATCGCGACAGAAGAAGGGAAGCTGCGACGCGCCGGTGCTGCTACCTTCCACGTCGGCCTCGCCTCTGAAATTCCGTGGCACGCAAGCGGAAAGTTCCAAAGTCCGCCAAAATCGGTGAGATATTGGTAATCTGTTCTTTTTCGACTCGCTTATCACAATCCTTCGTTCACAATGCGATGGGCCAACGGAAGCCACAGCAGAAAGGCCTGAGCACTCTCCAATTTACCAATTGCTCCATCGCGTCGCAGTCTATGTGGGACGTGTCATCTTTGCATGGCACAGACCCATATATTGGAGTGGGCTCCCAGCAAGCTGCAGGGAGAACAAGCCTTGGCTTCAAAACCATCCCTCGCTATCACTTACGGCTCTTGCGAGTCTGCGACGGAAGCGATGCCGCTGGCTATGAAAGTTCATGGCCATGCAGGTACGACTCCATTCTGATTGCGGTTACGTGCGTATGGTTGCCTCATCAATCAGTCAGTCATCCTCCGTCACGCTGTGAGGCAGATGGAAGTTGGAAACTGGAGAGCCGGGAAAAGTCGTCCGGTTTCGACCTTTTCATCTCCAGCCACTCACATCTTTCCCCCAATTAGTGACTCATCTATATTTTATGTGACGCTGCCGGGACTGGACACCGGAAACATGGGTACCACACTTCTGCGCCTCACCATTCCACTACAACTCGGAGACATGCCATCGCCGACTTCCACGATGACTGCTGTTATAGTCATGGCATCATCAATTGACGGATGCGTCGAGTTGCCTTTGCAATCCTCTCAATCTCCCCCGGTCGCGGTGCTCTGTTTGCTCCATCAGGTAGGTCCCAGTCTCGAGCTCGCATTCGCTGCGTGTTCCCATACTACTGCATGAGGTGCAGCAGGTGGCCATGCTGCTTGGTGGGATGCAAGTGGGTGTCACCGTCCTCGGCAGGGAACCGCGAGCAGGGATCGGCATCCATAAACCATGCACGACCAGGTCTTGGAGCAACCACTTTACGCGAAGGCGCCGCGGTAGCGCGTCGCCGACGCAGCAGTATCACCAATCTCGTGTCAGCATGAGGCCCGATGGCTTCAGCGGTTTGCTCCCTTTTTTCCAGTTTTTCTTTTGTTTGATAGCCTTTCCCCTCACACCACGGGATACCACGGGACACCCTGCGCGGTCCAGGCAACCATCCATGCCGTCGCTTTTCATTGCTGTGGCAGCCGTGCGGCTATCTCAATTGGGTTGGAATCAAACTCAATATCTGAATGGCCAGAAAGATTTTCTGGGGGAAAAAGGAGCCGGCCCTTTGGCTGGTCCTTTTGCCCCGCCTTGTTTGTATATCTGGCCGTCTTTGCGCCTTTCTTCCCATCGGGAATGCTTTCTACTCCTTCTCCTCCTCCTGACGATCCTCCTTACATGCACACAAGGAGCCAAGGTATCCCGCCAACCTTGCTCTTAAAGGGCCTTTGGACCAAGGGGACTCGTGTCCTTGCCGTCCTTATCACCCCTCCTTAGTCCTGCTTGACAATACCGCACCTCCCCACAGCCTTGGAACCTGGCTGAGCGGTTGGTCTCCGTTCATAGTTTGCAAACTGCAGCTCATAGTCCATACGAAGGTCCCAATCGGCCTTTTTGATGGTGAAACAGACATATAACTGGCCGCCTCACCACTGAACTACACCCCAGTGACTCACGACTCCGCCGCTGAGCACTGACTTTTGGTGATTGTGATTGCGGCCACAGCAGAGTTCTTCTCCAAGCAAGCAGTTGAACACTGGGCTTTAATTGCCATATTGGCCTGCTGTCCCATCATATGAACACTGAGCTGCTCTTCTCCTTTCTGCAGTTGATGTTCAAGGTTTGAGCTGAGAATTGTCTTGAGTCTCTCTTGCTATCATTCCAACTCTCAAGGCTCCTTAAGCCAGCCTCTGGCAACCATCACCAACATGGCCAACAACGACAATGCTATGGCCCGCTTCCTCTTTGCCATCCTCCAGCAGAAGTGCCTGAAAGATGTAGGTAGAACTCCGCAGCAAGGCTGTGCTATCTCATGCTAACTGATCCGGTTAGATCGACTGGAATAAGGTGGCTAACAGCCCGTACCTGACCCAAAAGATAACCAACGGCCACGCTGCCCGTATGCGATATTCCCGCTTTCGTGCTGCTATCCTCGGCATTGAGCCGCAGCGTCGCAACAAGAATACAACTCCAGATGATAAGTCAAGGGTGACGAAGAAGAAAAAGACTGATGTTGTGAAGCCGAAAAAGGAGGATGATGAGACAACCGGCGAGGCCATCATCAAGGCTGAGCCCACCACAGATGTCAAGCCCAAGGTTAAGGTGGAAATCAAACAGGAGTCTCAGCAGAATGGCTTGCCTGCTCCTACAGCCCCGATGATGCCCATTGCACCAATGGTCAAACGCGAGTCTGTCCATGGCCAGCCGGGTGCCTGCCCCGACAGACAGGCTCCATCTTTTTCCAATGTCAAGCAAGAGCAGGCTATGAATACTCTGACCAATGCTATTCATGGTCATCCTGGGATGTGCGAACAGCCTAGCCCATTTGATCTGGTTACGTCAGCTCCTGCAGCGATGACTGTCGCTGCTCTTGCTGATGCTCATACTTCCTTCATACAGTCGCGCATGACTCCCTGTGGAGATGCCAGTATGATGGCGGCCGATACCTCGGGCTTCATGATGGCTCCTCACAGCCCGCCTACGGCAAGCAACGACTTTGTTCAAACCCAGAACCAGCGTACCACGTATCATCACAACTCTATTGCAGCCATGGGTCCTGCAGTCGGTGTTGCGGGCATGGCATCTGGCGCCGGTACAATGGGCAATAATGCTGGTGCTGGTCCTACTCCTCCACCCTCAACAGCCAGCTCGCCATTCGAGTTTCCTTTGCAGGACTTTAGCTTGGGCAATGGCGGTTCATCGCTGCCAGCATCACCCTGGCAGTCTCATAGGCAGCCGCCGCAGCAGAACACTGCCCAGGCTGTCGGACAGCAGCACATGTATCCCCAAGCTCACGGCCACCTCCATCCTCAACACTTCCAAGTCCATCAGCTGCAAAACGTGACACACGGAGCGCATGTTCATCTGACCCAGCAGCATACTCAGATGCAGCACAATCAGATGCAGCCCGCGGTGCAAGGCACTCTGACCTTTACAGGCCTTCCCTCACAGACCATGTTCCCTCCTATCCCCCGTACCACTAGCACCTATGCGATGGAGAACGCAAACAACTTCGCGACCTTCTACCACCAGCACCACCTCACTCATCAACCTCAATCTCACCACAACAACATGAGCGTTGCACATCAACCCCAGGTCCAACAACTCCAACAACCGACCCAAATGGAACCCGTCTTCCCCTCGCCGACCCCGGTCCCCGACGATCCGACCGCCAGCACGACCACAGCCTTCCAACTCACCTCCCAACTCCAAGGCAAGCCTGACCGTGCCCCCTCCCAGCCCGAGGCTCCATCCGCCCGTACGACCCCTCCGACCACACCTAACATGGACTCTAACAACAACACGCCCACAACTATGGCGAGCGTCAGTCCTAATGGGTCCACCACGACAGCGATGACGGCTCCATCCTCAGTCTCTCCTGCCTCGCAGCACTCGGCTTGTTTCTCGCCTGCGACATCTCCTGAGAATGGAGCGAGCTCGGTTGTTGGCGGAGGTATGAATGGGGGAAAGGAGGGGTCGGTGGTGAGGAGTCCGGGTCCGGTTGTTGGGGAGCGGATTGGTCAGGCTCAGGGGCAGGGACAACAGGGTCAAGTTGGGTCGTCAGGTGAAAATGGGGGGCAGTAAGCGATGATGGGTTTTAGTTTGGATACGTTAGGTGGGATGGGAGGAAAGTTGGCTTCTCGGAAGTGGACGAGGCTTTTGCTGAGGATCACACTCGCCTCTCACGACAAGTTGCTGTAACCAGATCTAGCTATGGTCGCCGACTTGTTGAGATAATGACAATCATCAACTGTCAGATCTCATCATCTACTCGAGCTCCTCTCGAGCCATCGTTTTGCACCTGAGCGCTCGCTTTCTGGCCATTAAACGGAGAGTCTGCAGCACTTGGTTGGATAAATCCCGATCAACTTATGCGTCAGGAAAGTTTGACTTCTGGATGGATGTATGACCCCTGCCAGGGATGATTAAGATATGTATCGAAAGGTCCCCTCTGGTACTTTCTTGTGCTACCTACAAAGTTATCCTGGATATGCTAATGCATTGGGTGTATTTGTACCATGGCAAGTTGAGATTGTGATATGACTCTGGGTGGTTTTATGGTTTACAGTTACCCTGGTCCCTGGTTAATGAAATAGCTGTGTACTAAAATACAACTGGTGGTTACCCGCTCTGGTGTCGTTTGTAGCCGTTGTTTTACCACAGCAGCAACGTAAGCGTTCTCGCTCAACAGGGCCATCTAGCCAGCTCCAGAACTTTCCAGTGTTTCCCTGTGTGGCATTTCCATGTTATCGATACTTCAACATCTTTTTGCAGATCGTCTTACCTCGGGTCTAGCAGGACGTACACGTCCAGATGCCAGTTACCAGCCGACTTTTAACATCCGGTACATTGACTGCCTGATCCCCAATGTCCACCTGTTGCTACTGCCCGGCGCAATATATAGAAGGGTCAGTGTAGCCATACGATTAGCCAGGGTCGGAAACCTTGGCCTTCACAGCCGCTTTGAATCTTGTCCGGGTCGGGGGCCGAGCTAGCTACTTGCTATGGCCGTGCTACCACTCACTTTTTTTACGGCTTTCTTACTCTCCTTATCCTTCTTCGAAGAACGGGCCGCTTCCGCTTATGACCAGCACTCGGTTCGCCAGTGAATCGTCCGCCAGACGCCTACTTCATCGAAGCGACTTGAGGAGTCGGCAGAGCATCAACCTTGAGTTTTCCAAGTCAGATGCAGGAGAGAAAATGGGAGAACAAAGAGCGAGAAGAGCGAACGGCAGCCTGTTGGCCGCCTGAGAACCTTCAACTAAATGCTTAGCCCGCTGCACCCCCTCAACTCAAGTCTTCCTTCTCTGTTTTCACATTTCTATCCAGCTCCCCTAGTAGTATAGTGCCGCAGCTGCGGCCGAGCACATCCACCTCCCCCATGAAGCCCCGTGGAATTGTCCAATAGTAACACCCGCTGTGACAGTCGCGGTCGCGATGCACAACCGCGATATGGTGCAGGTTAAACCTTGTTGTGAGGCTTGGACAAGTGTCCACCCATAAAGCCCCGTCAGGACTGCCTTTTGTGAATGCCAGTTGCTACCACCCAGCCGTGGGCATAGCTGCGGGTATTGGCCTGGACATTATATGGCTGGTGACTCGGTCCACGGCTGATACCTGCTGTTATAGCTGGCTGTCTCCCCTGGGGGCAATGCAAGCCTCTGTGTGGCTGCGGGCGTAGCCGCAACATCAAGCGGTTGGTGTGCGGTGTCAGTGCCCAGTGCAACCGCTAGTTGATGGAGGGATACAGCCAGCAGGGAGCCTAGCTGCTGATGTCTTATAGTTCAAGACAGAGCTATTGCCAAGGTAGACTCCTGATGTGGATGCCCGCTACGGACACGGCCAACCACATAAGTCGTGGAGACGGTTGGTGCTTGATGCTAACGTCCATTGTAGCTGGCCTGGTGAATACAGCTACCGTTCTCATATAGTTCACAGCCCATTGTTAGTACCCGCTGCAGTCGCACTCGGTTAGCGCAGCCGTGAATTTCCCACTGTCGGAGCCCAAGGATAGGGTACAGTGGTAGCACCTGTGGTTGGTGCCCACTGGGAACTTTGCTTCTGAATATGCTGCTCCTCAACAAACGCTTCTATTTCTGTTACAGACGCTCACTGTCGGCACTTTCTGTGAGCAGGTCCATAATTATCTTTCTCCTTAAGGCCGCTCTTGATGCCCTCTGTTAGCACCCGTCACAGACACAGCTGCTGACTTTTCGCTAAGCCAGAAACCCGCGTTAAGGCCCAGTAAGACTATCCCATGCAATCAGAGGCCTGTTATTCATAGCCCATCAATATTATTGTTTTAGCCCCTATTAGCGCCAAGGTCACCACTTGATGCTAGAGCCCTACATAAGCACCAAACACAGATTACTTGAAACGAATTGATAATCTTATGTCTTTGCTGGTTGCTACTGGCACAGAGCGCCTATAGTTGTTCTCTATGTCAGCGGCCTGCTGCTGAGTCCAGTAGCAACTGCCCATTGTCGGTGCCCGCTCTTAGTGCTTAATGTCACTTCCCACCAGAAGTTAGCACCAGAGAAGGTTGTTAGTGCTCACAGTCGCTGCCCGATGGGGGAGCCTATTGATAGCGCCCACTATCGGCGCCTACTGCAACTGGATGCCTATTATTAGTAGCCGCTATGATAACCCATGATCACTGCCTAGTTTGGTGCGTGTAAAGCCAGTTTTCCGAAAGATCTCTAACAAATTAGCATATCCCCTCCTCCACCGCAGTTCGTATAATCAGATCATCTACTGTCGGTACCTACATTCAAAGGACGGTGTCAAACTCCGGTGTAAATGAGCTCTTGCTCACCAGGGTATATACAGCAGATTAATATGTGTCTGCCAAGCCCGTTGTGGCTCATTATAAAACTACCCATTAGTGCACCGACCGTTCATGTGTATTGTCAAAGAACACTGTGAGTAGTCTCAGGCTTACCTAAGGGAATCGTGTGAAGTGATATATCCCTTCCTCCATAACTCCCATTATCAAACACACATTGTCAATGCCCATCGTTAACCTTCAACATCACCACCTGCTAACAGAACTTCTCATTAACAACTGCCTACTCGAGTCTAAACAGCAAAATTACATCTCTACCAGTAATCGCAATTACTGAAAAGCTCGTTGGCATCTCGGTTGCGAGTACCCGCTATCCATACCTGTTGTAACTGTTCAGGCATAAGTGATGTCTTTCTTACCAGAGAATAGATAGGACATTGACAAGTCTCTTTCTCTACTTACAGCTACCTCATAAAAGACTCAATGTGAGCACATGGACATATAGTCTGTTTTGAAAGCAATGTCATTGTTCTATGACAGTCTTTTTGCCTCCTCTGTCTTTGTGTGTTTCGCTAGGGTGGAGAGTGACAAGCCCTCTGTCTATTTCCTGAACCCATAATGATTTTATATTCTCAAAATGTCCCTTCACAACAGGAACTTCACGACATTGAGCAACTTGTTGCCGGTTCTTGTTTTCACTAAACTGCCTGTCCCCCATGCCCATTCCTAACACCTCATTTTTTGCAGCCGTTATCATAGCCAAGGTCATACTGTGATGGGAGTGAACACCAACTGTTTTCGCTGTGACTTCAGTCTTTGACCTGCAGTGAGGTTCTTTCCTGTCTGACTTTATAACTTTGTTCCTATAAAGATAAAGACCCAAGATCTCACTGCAGAATTTTGCCTGCTACCAGTCTCTCCCTCTGCCTTCTCTCAGGCTTTATACCTGCTCAACATCTCTTGGAATCCGCCAGTCAACATCCTGATTAAAATGATGGTTATTGTTGTCCATGCTAGTCTCAGATTTTAGATTCCGTCTCCCGATGATCACCCACTGGTAGAACCCGGTGCTGGTGCTCACTTTGACTTTCGAGTGTTATCACCCGCTGTTAAACTCCTCGTTCTACTCCAGTCCAAGCATCAAGCCTTGTCGCCCATTATCAGTGCCCGTTGTCAGTGCCAGCTGCCCAGCATAATAGCACGGTGCCAGTTCCGCATGTTAAAGAACACCTAAGCTGACTGCTAGAGGCCACTGTTCCCGCCATATGGAGAGCTAAACATTATCATCAGTTGTTAGAGACTGTTGTTGATGCCGGCTGTGATGATGGAATTTAGTTCAGAAACATGCAGCATCATGCTAACGTGTTCAGTATAGTGTGAACTAAAGTCCACAGCTGAGTGCTATCGCCCATTATTAGTGCCCGTTGTTAGTACCTTCTGTTAATGCCCACTGCAAATGCCATTATTCAATGTTGCTATTTACTCTATTCTGACACCCACTAATATAGAAGATGTGAATGCCTAGTGTGAGAGCTGAGAATTCTGAAATGCCTAAGGTACCTTATCTACTCCTTATGTCTCGTTGATCATCTTCTCATCCAAGCTGTACAGGACCTCAAGCAGGTTGATTGCCCGCAGTCAGTACCCCTTGCGAGCACCTGATATAGACTCCAAGCTAAGTATTAACACCAGCTGTGGCTGCAAAGATCAACCACCTGGTGTTTGAGGCAAGAGTCAAACCTTAGCTATTGAGTTGAGAGAAGGAAAGACGCCTCAGCTGGGTCTCCTCTTTTAAGTTACCTGCTGCAAGTGCCCGCTGTGATAGCTCACTTTGAGTCCCAAGAGTCATGCTAGAATTGACAGTCTCTTTCAAGTCTAAGCACCCGGGATTGCAGGCAGGCGTTCACTTTGATGATAGAGCCGTAAGAACAACAGCTTTGACTTGGGGCTCTCGTCGACATTGGCCACTGTTAATGCCCACTGTAGGGGACACCAGCAATCACAGATGGTTGGGACCAAGCAGCTGTCTGCAGCAGTCATAATGCGCATACCTAGACATGGGAGGGCAAAAGAAAGCAGAGAAAGCCAACCGTTCAGAGAGAGTGAAAACGTGATGTGCAGTCTCGGTGGGTCTTTACCAAGAGCACTACCAAGCCCTGGCCCCATGCTTGGCACAGCGGGCCGAGCCGAGAGCGGAGCCTGGTGTGGGACAACCAGCTGCGCGAGTCTCTTGGCACTTTATCAATCAACACATCCGAGCAACCAAGATCTTCCAAATTGTCATCGGTCTTAGTAAGGATCTTTGGCCAGCTTGTGTATATGGAAAGCCAGATAAATGCAATTATCAATTGGGAAAAAGTGGTTGTACCCGAAATGGAGCCTGGGGAGCAAATCGCAGGGCTTGTTAGAAAGTTAATGGCCAGTAGTTGCTACTCGGGCATTCCCTGAGCGTCCACCATGTTGGACATGCTTTGCACCACTTCTCTGTGTTAGTTTTCTCAGCTTGGAATTCAGACACCGATTTTTGCAAGCAGAAAATTCGTTTGGTCTTTCCCTTGCTCCCAATCTTTCACACATGACCACTCCCTGTGCCTGGCTTCATTGTCCATTTGAAGTGAGAGTCATTCTGTAATCAAAAGTTGATATCTAGCCAACAACGTAGCACTCTCGGATTCTTTACTTAGTGTGAATGATGTTGTTCTGAGTGTGATGTGCCTTGTTGAGTTGGAGTAAGGGAATTTGTTGTTTATAATGGACATGGATTGAACATGATACAGGGTACAAGAATATGTGGCTGAACAAAGTGAAGGGTTAAAGCAGGGATGAAGTATCTAGGACAAATGATGTAGTTGGAGGAATTATGCTAAGGACATTCCGTGAAGTATCATGTCCTATGTTTGTTGAAATGCTGAAGATCACTGAAAAGGAGTCACAGTCCATCGGTAACCACCCTTCACCCAGGGGCACCTCCCTCCAAAGATGCTAGCCTACTGAAGTCCATGCCCATATAGACAGAGCATGATGTATAATAATGAAGCATTTGAGTGAAAGCATAGCACATAGTGAGGAGTGAACCATAAGAGAAAAACGCTGTGGTTGGATAAGCGCCACCAAGTCCCTCAGGTGAATTATAATGTCCGCTTGTGAGAGATTACATGATTCCCTCGGAGCTGCTAGTACCAATTCATTCATGTTCTAGTCATGACGACACCTTTATGCCAAAAAACTCAATCAAACTTTCTTTTACTCCATGTATCTTGAGTCAATATGGCTCATGCTTGACCAATCTGATCGTAACAGGCATGGTTAAAGGTCAAAGACAGTTTTAAATTGCATAAGTGTTGTGAAAGCGCTTTGGAACAGAATTCCTAGTGTGTCCATGGCGTAAGTCTTGGGAAATCCAGCAGTTGAGTCAGGGTCATATTGAGCTTAAAAAAATCCAAACTTGTGTCCTTTAAGCTATCATTACTTCATGTCGCTAGAGGATATCTAGGAGTTGGTCTCTTATGGCGTGTTCTCGATGCATTTCCCTGACATGCTCCCCAAGATTCAGACCTGTCAGTCAGGCTCATTGCAAAACCAGAATTTTACAGTGCTCAATTGTAATGTCTATCTGCTGGCACTGTCTGTCTGAGTTCGAATCCGCTCAAGAAGTCAACTGGAATCTCTGTTTAACCCTAGTAGTTAGTGAGGGAAGGAACCTGACGCTTCCAGGTCATAACTTGTCGGTGGTCCTGCTATGGAGAGCTCACCCTATCGCTTCGCAGAAGGCTTTACCATTGATATGTGAGTAAGCGTGGCCAGAAAGCATTGCCTTGTTCTCTCATCGTGCTCAACTTGCCCCTAGGCTAATGGGCTTGTCTCCATGAGCTTGAAATACTGCTAGCATCTCTCCCGGTTGGTTGACTCAATGTGGTCAACGTGCTCGAGGTTCACATATCTAGATGTCGCTTCGTCGGTAGTTTTGTCAGCAGGTCCCCTGTTGTATTGTCCCATTGTACTTGCCTTCTCTTTGACTTGAGTTCTCAGCTGTCACTGGATCAAAGCGTTGTGAATAAGTGCGCTGGTGTATTGATTGATTATTACCAAGGTCGAGGGCCAACTTGGAAGCTCTCTCGATGATACAATTGGTAAAGTGCTTGGTCGTTCTTACATTTCTTAACTCCCAAGTGCCTTGGTGGCTGATACATTGGAAGTTGTTTGGCCAGAATGTCGGAGAATTGACTCCCCGCACCAAGGTGAAAAGCCACCGACGAAAAGTTGCAAGCAAGGTCGTTGATTCGTCTTTCGTTCCTGCCATGTGCTCTGGCTTGAAGCACAATATCGGACGGAGGCTGCTTCTGTCAAGTTTATAAATCCTTTGCAAACCTTGGCGATGAGATCCTTTTTCCTCCTCCAACAACCAACTAGAATGCAGTCACCCGAATTGTTTTACTGTTTCCTAGCAAAGCATCGCCGCGGCAACCACGCTTAAGCATATTCTCAGCACTCTCGCAGTATTGTCTTCCAAATCATCGCCACCCGGTATTATTTTCATAGGTAAGTCCAAGATACGCAAGTCAATCATCTTCATGAATCAGCTGGCCTGGCTGGCATGCCATTCCCTGGTTCTAGACATCCTTCCTCTGCATAGAACATCACGTCCTTTTCACAAATCCTCGTTCCTTTGAGATACCATGCACAAATCTTCTTCCTGCTCCCAGCCTTCAACCTGCCTCTCACTCTTTTATGCACACTGGCCTTGATCTGAACTTTGAGCTTCGTCTCAATCTTCACTGTCACCGCAAGTTTGACTTCACCATCCCACCTTTCACATTGAAGCCTTTGGCATCGCGATCCCAACTTGCCTTTGGCATGGAGCACACCTTCACTGAATGCTCAGCCTCTGTCACCTGGATCAGGGACTCAGCGCTGGCTGTGGCGGGAGATCTCGCCTAGACGAGCCTAATCTCATCCACCAGGGGCAGATAATTGTCCTCGCTGGCAAGGAGAGCAAGCCTGAGGTGGCTATCGAGCATCATCTCCAGCCGCATGTGCCTACCTGCAACGCTTGCTGAGCCCCTGTCGTGAACATTCTTAAGAGAGCACCTGCCCGCAGCACCCGAAGGTCTTACCCGCTGTTGAGAGTCCTCTTCTGCCTACCGCTACGTGTACCCCGCTTCTCAAGCCAACATATTGTCCCTCGCGGGGTGCCGTTCGCAGGCACTCGCTATCCGCACCCCGGTCGGGGCGAGTATTTATTTCCCAGCCGGGTGCCTTGACCATTCTTCTTCCTCTTCCCCCCTTCTACTCATGTAACCATCATTCTTTGCTTTTGGCTGGTTGATTAGCCAATACTAATGTGTGGAATCACTTAGACCAACAACCATGCCGGCCTCCAACAACGCTACCAAGGGGCCCAAAAATGCTTCCAAGCTCTCGAAAGCATTTGCTGATGAGACGCTTCGCAAGAACATGCCGAACGGGCAAGAGTCGTATTTTTTCTTCACCATGCTCAAGCACCAAATCACCAAACCCGAATTTGACTGGGTGGCGATTGCAGAGGATAATCGCCTGAAAAATGCCGAGACAGCAAAGGTATGTTCACAACTCTGTTCACTGTTTCATAGAATTACTCTATAGCAGTTGTTGGTCTTGGTCTTCCGGCCTGTCTTTACCATGCTTTAGAACACTTTCTGTTATCTGAACCGTGGGAATGGTCCTAAAAGGGTCAAATTCGCCTTGCTTTATCGCAGTTTTCACCCATGGCCCCTCATTTTCCCTTCATGGCCTTAGTTCATCAAACTCTTAAAGCTTACTGCACGAGAAAAAACTCTTGGCTTGTCTGCAACACTTTATTACTCCCCTTTACCTCTTCAAGTTTTTGTGATCTAGAGTATTGAGCCTTGAATATTTCTTGTGAGAGTTCATATTTTTTTTTCCTCAAGCCCTCTTGAACTGTTCTTTAACATCTCTACAAATTTCATCATCTATGTTCCGGACATCGGTTGAGTTCTTTCACTGTACTTTACCCCTTTTACATCTTTTGTTATCTGGAGTTCGCATGTTCATTTTACAAGGGTCAAGATCTGTTCTATTTGTTGTCTTTCTCTTTTTCTTGTTTCTCTTCTTTTCGTTTTCCCTTAGGTCCCCTTTATCTTCCCTCTAGCTCATCACTCAATTCTGCCATTTTCATTTTTGACTTATTCTCACACTACTCAGGTCCGCTTCGGCCAGATCCGCCGTAAACTTGGCATCGACAAATGGAAGGGTTGGGCGAGCGGTAGGGCCACAAGGACTGCTTGGGCGCGCGAGAAGGAAAGGCAGCTTGCCCAACCTTCTGGTCTCTCTCCTTCTTCTTCGGCTTCCTCTGCTGGCCCGACCCCCGGCAGCGGCAGGCCCAACCCGACGCGCGACCCTCCCGCCGACCCCCTCACACCGACGCCAGTCGGCATCGCCAAGCGCACCCCCTGTTCATCTGCTCGTCGTGCTTCCCGTGGTGGTGCTTCTGCTTTCGGTCGTGGTCGTGCCGGTGCCCGTTCGCGTGCCGGCCGCAGGCGTCATGAGACGCCTGATGATACTCCTTCCCCTACGCCCGAGCCAGAGACTGAGGAAGAGGAGGAGAGTGAGAATGAGGGTGAGCCTACCGTGCCCACCAAGGAGGAGAAGGAAGAGTCTGATGAGGAAATGGAGGTAGAGGAGGAGGAGGAAGAGGAGGAGGAGGAGGAGAAGGAGGAGCCTGCCAAGCCCGAAGAGGAGGGCGAAGAGGATGATGACGATGATGACGAAGAAAAAGACGAGCCCGACGCCGACAGCATCGGCCTGGCCTCCCTGCCGGAGGAGGTAGCCACCCCCAGCAGCCCAGACATCGTCAAGCCCGACCCGGCCGCCCTCGCCGACCCCTTCGCGCCCACCCGCGCTGCTGACTCTGTTCCCGCCCAGCAACAGCAACCTGCGTCCGTTTCCGCGGCCCCCAGTACCGGACCTCAGCAGCCTTCGCCGTCTTTGCCCGCTCCCGGCCCCTTCGACGGTTTCCCCCTTTCAGCTCCCGTCCCCGGCCCAATAATGACGACGGTCAGCATCCACCCATCCCTGCCTCCTGTCCTTGTCCCTGTTCCAGCGGTCGCCCCTCTGCCTCTGGATGATATGGGGCTTTCCAGAATGAGGCCTCATCTCTCGCCTAACTGGCCGGGCAACAACAGCACCGCCGGCTCTTATCCGTCTGCCGCAGCGATCGGAGCCACCGCCGGCCCCAACCCCATTCTTTCTGCCGGTCCCCATGGAATCGCACAGTTCCCTAGCCTGGGCACGAACCAGTCGATGGAGTACAACCATCTGTTTCTGGACGGGATGCATGTGGGCACTATGGTGATGCAGCCTTTGACAGAGGAGACTAAGGGGTATATGGGGTTGGATCAACCAGTTGGTAGGCGATCGACGCAGCAGAGAGAGGAGCAGATCGAGAGGGAGATCCTACGTCGGATAAGGGATCAGAAGAGTAAAGAGGAGATGGAGGCCGAGCCGGAGATTGATTTAGATGAGTGGATTAAATGGGAAGGGGGCCAAGAGAATTATTAAATCCCGGGGATCTGAAGCTGTTTGGGAGTTTTCGATCGGTGGTGCGTCCTCCAACAACAACAACAACAACAACAACAACACTACCATGAGCAGGCGATATTGACATCGACCCTTTTCTTCCGAGATTTTCGAGGATTTCAGCTCTTGAGCTTTGACTTTGGCATTTCAACATCAATATCATTATTAGGTAAGCGAGGGACGGGACGCCCCGCTTCGCCATCGGCGCGTTACTAAGCACCCTCGGTCCCAATAAACGGCTTCATGGATTTTCTTTTCATCTCAGAGTTTTTTTTTTTTTTCGTTCTTATGGGTTCAATATCAGGATGGAGTTTGGACGGGACAGTAGGACATGGTCATGGCATGGGTTCGGGAAGGGCAAGATACCCCAGTATGAGCACTCGACGGCATTAGGCGGATTTGGGATGCTCGGGGGTCCAGAAGATTCGAACGGCGCATGGAAGGGCTTATATATGGACATCATCATGGCATGCATGGTATGGAGATCTGGGATAGGCGTTAGTGGAATGATTCATCATGGATCAGAATGAAGAAAAGGATCAAAAAAAGGGTACAAGTAACCGACATGGACATGGAGTTTGCCGATCTTGACATGGTTGGCATCTGGCGTCTCGTTCGTCTCTTATCATTTCGTTTTGAACCTGGACGGGAACTGCTTTAAAAGCTTTGAGAGACAGAGCATAAGTAGATAGTTCTCAAGGCTCTGGCGCTTTCAACAAGAGATTATGGGGTAGCCTTACGATTTCCCAAGAGTTTGCTCAATGAGTTTTGACTGATAGGGTGCGAAAATGTCCATGGAAGGTCCCCGTCTGATAGTTGGTTAGTAGGAGTCGAGAGAAAGGTAAAGGACCGCGTAATGACGGACCGGGCCACTTCCTCCAGACAAGACACAGCATCTTGGATGAAAAAAAAACCTGAAAATTGTTCTCATGTCGCCAAACAGAGACAAACAACCACGATCTGAGCTCATAGTCTGTACTTTTAAGGTTACTTGGCTTCAAAGAGCCCCGATGTGTCTGTCACTCACAGAGGTGTCAAACCAGCTCGCCGTTCATTTTTTTTTGATCAGCCTCAATGGAGCTTTCCTGTTGGAAAACGTCATAACTCATTCACAAGAGGGCTTCATCTTTGGCCCAAAGAATTCTCCTGAAGCACAGCTTTCTTATTATGGCCATCACCCATGAGTTGGTCCCAACTAACCACTGATCTGGATAGAGGACTCGCCCAACTACTGTTGAAGAGACGTTGAAGAAGACAAGATATAATGACTTATCTACTTACTGTGATTGAAACAGTTATCAGAAACAAACTTGGTAACTACCTAAGGTACAATATTCTTACGGGATGAATGCCCCAATGCCATGCCCAAGACAACACCAGAGACCGAAATTCCCAGCTCCTCGAGCAAATTACCGTGCATCATCATTATCACCTTAGACAAACAGTGAGCTGACACACCAAGTGTACGGTCTGTCGTTCCTTGTGCCACACCCATATAATTTAGCTTCCTAACCCTGACTCCTTTTTCAATGGATAGATGCGGGCACATCCTATCATGTCTCCAAACTTTACCACACCCAAGGAGTCAAAAAAGCAAAGTAGAGGTCTTTTGAGGTATCAGAGGTATCAATGAATCAGCAGTATATAACAAGGAGGTATCATTCATTCATTCCCTTGTCCAAGCCGGCCAGCAAACCAACCAACCGATCACCCAAAACACCATCCAGCTCCTCCAACCAGGCCCACCAAGCCCTGTCCTGTCCTTTCTCTACCATTTACCCCAGAGAGACAACAACAATTCAACAGAAGATCTCCCCAAAAGAGACGCCAGGGGTTACAAGGTAGTAAATAAACAACACCACATAAGTAAGACCAAATCAACGACACAAAACGCCGTGCCCAAATAACCTGTCCTGACCTGTCCTGTCCTGTCCTGACCTGACCAAGTGGTAACCATAAAAACGCCGAGCTATGCTACCGAAAAAGATTTTTCGTCCATCCATGTATCCATGAATCCGTAATGGCAATTCACTTCAGTAGAGAATCGAGAGTATGTATCTCTCTGTCTGTCTTTTCCTGGCCTTTCCTGGCCTTTCCATCCTTCCATCCTTCCATCCATCCATCCTTCCTTCCTTCCTCCCTCTCATTCGAGACATCCTTTTTGTCTTTTGCCCCTGGCAGATGATGAGGGAACCCAATCTGTCGAATCAACGTCGTCCTACTCCGTTGCGGCAACATGATGTATGCCCTACGTTTGAATTTCCCGTCCGTGTGCGAGGTTGGTGTACGAGTTCGTGTATCATATATTAAAGGTAAGAAGGGACAGCACAGTCCTGGAGAGACTCGAGTTTGCCGATAGGAAGCGGACTGCAGAGCTGGGTATCGAACCAGTATATTTCCTCCTTCTCTTTCTTTTCCTTCCTGACTGCCTGACTGCCTGACTGCCTGACTGATTGATTGACTGACTCTTGGGGGGGGGGGTATCATGTGCTGTAGGTACGTAAGGGTAGCTCTTCCTGCAAGCAAAACTGAACAACAACAAACCAAAGCATCGCGTTATATCGAGAACCAAGTACTCCATCATCCGCTGGGCTGAGAGCACGATGCACGTAATCACCTATCCTCCCAACAAACGCCCCACGGAGACAGGAGATCATCTGTGATGATCCCTAACCCCATTCATCGGGCCCCTCTGCCGGGACCGGTCCCTTTCCCTCTCCCGATCCCGATCTCTCTCGCGCTCTCGATCTCGGATCCTGTCTCGATCCCTCTCCTTATCCCGGTCCCTCTCACGCTCCTTCATCGACACCTTGTCCCTCTCTCTCTCCCTCGGCTTCTCCCTCTCGATCCTATCTCCTTCCTTGTCCTTCTCTTTCGGGTTCAAAATAACCTCCTGCACCCACCTAACCCCCTCCCGTTCCGCCCACCGCCTCATAATGCCCAACGCGACCCCCACACCCTCCTCGACCTGCGTCCAAGGCCCCATCACAACCCTCATCCCCCCTTCACTCCCAACCCGCTCAAACAATCCATTTGCCTCTTGCCACACCGCAACCCTCATGCGATTATGCTTAACCCACCTGCCCACCATCGCCCCCCCATTATTATCTTGCTGTATCAGCGCCGGGCTCATACAATTACATATCTGCTCGAGACAGATCGCATGCAACTGCGCCGCCAATGCCCTCAACGCGCGATGGTGTCCCGCCGCTCTAGATCGCAACTCCGCAAAGTGGGGTAGTAAAGACTCCCACGCCGTGATGTCGCACACCTTCCTCTCCAACATCCTCCCCTGGTTGAGGGCATTAAACGCCACCATATATGCCAACACCATCTCCAGATGAAGTGCCATCGCGCGCCGGTCGTCTCCCCCCGGTACATTCGCCGGCGACGTAAGCTGCCCTTGCGTTTGCGACTGCGATGCACCCCTGGAAAGTGCATCCCTAGCATGCTTGAGCTTACTCCCTAGCTGCTGGAAATGGGCGTGCTTGTCGCGCCAGGCTTCAATGGCGGCGAGGGTTTTGGGGTCGGGGGGTTCAGCAGAGCGGGTTGGCGGGCGTTCCGGAGCGGGTGTTGCGGTGGTCGCGGCGGGGGTGTGGCCGGCTTGGGACTGGTTGGATGTGACGCGCGACATGGCGGTTGCTTTGAGGGGTGTTGGGGGGCGGGCGGTTTTGGAGATGGTAGATGATTCCGTGGTTGTGGGGGCTGTCTTAGGCCGCTTGGAGGCGACTGGCTCCTGGGAGGGTTCGTCGGTCGGACGCGGACGCTTCTTGGCCGGGGGCGGAGCTTCCTTGGACTCCTTGGACTCTTTTGTCTCTGTACTCGCCGAGGTCTCCTTCTGAGCAGCCTTTGCCGACTTAGAAGGCAAGCTGAGCAGCTCTTTGGCGCGCTTCGTGTTCTTCTTAAACCTGAAGGTAACAATCTTAGAGGGCCTGGCAGGCTTATCCTCATCCTCGACGCGAACAACCGGCGCAGCGACCGTCTTCCTCGCCGTGTTACTCGACTCTGAACTCTGCGACGCAACGGTCTTGCCCGCCGTCTGCTTCCTCTCCTTCAGGGCCTCCTCCACGACGGGAGGCAGAGTGGGCGAGAGCAGCGGTGGGAGAACGACCTTCTTCTTCTTGGAGGACGACGGCCCTTCGGTCTTGGGATTATCGGCCTTGCTCGCCTTGTCGGCGGCGGTCTTCCTAGGCTTTTCGGGCTTACCAGGCTCATCCTCAAAGAGCGACGGATGCAAGGGCGAGAGCAGCTCGGGCAGCCTGGGCTTCTTGCCGGCTGCCGACATCATGCTCTCTGAGCGGGGTCTTACCCCATTGATCAGCGTCGTGGACTTCGGTGATGCCGTGACATCCCGGTCCATCATCTCTGCCAGGCCATTGACAGACGGATGTGCGGCCTTCGACGGAGTAATATCCTTATCTTCTCGCGGGCGCTTCTTCGGGGTTGTGTTGTTATCGGTATCGGGGGGGCGCTTATGGCTCCCTGAGGTCGTTGTCTGCGACGGCTTTCTGCTGGGGTGTGAGCAATGAAGGCATCCTTGGGCCGAGGCAACATTTCGTCACCTACCTCTCGCCGTTGGTCTCCTGGCGCGGCTTCTCGGACCGCGCATCAGCCGGGCGCTGCGGCGCAACCTTCTCGACCTTGCCGTCCCTCTTGGTATCATCCTTCTTGTCCTCCTTCTTAACCTCTTTAGCCTCCTCTTTCTTAACTTCTTCCTTCTTAGCAACATCCTTCTTCTCCCTCATATCGTCCTTTGGCGGTGGTGGCGGCGGCGGCGGCGGCGGCGGCGGCTTCATCGCCCCACCAGCGCCGTTCGTCTTAGCTTCTCCCAGCTTCGCGGCATCGTTCGACCCAGGCGACGTAGCCTTGATCCGATTTTGGTAGTCGGACAGGGTCATCTTCTTCTTGACCTCGCCCTTGGCGAGGACCTTTGCGGCGGGGATCATCTTAGCCGGAGAGTTCTTCTCGGGAGACTCGATGATCTCAAAGGACGCGCGGGTCAACAGGATACCGCGTTCCGAGTCGGAGATGTTGGTCAGGTACTGCAGCGGGGCGCTGAGGCCGGTGAACCACCAGCCGTCGGGCTCGGGATAGCGACGGGTATATGACAGGGACAGACGGTGCGGTCGGTCGGGCAGGATGCGCTGGGCCACGTTTTCAGCATTTTTCGCCGCTCCATCCATTGTTTCCCGTGTTGTGTGTGTAATGGTCAAGTGTGGGACATGGAGCTTGGTTCGCGTAGCTGTGTCGTGTGGTTAAAGGAAGGGTAGATAGATGTAGGTGAGGGGAGGGGAAGGGGAAGGGGAAGGGAAGGAGAGAATGGGGGGAAACGCGCGCTTTGCAGCTCGAAAGCAGAAAAGTCGGGTTGCTGCGGGAACTCGAGCCGCGGAATCTACGCGCGCCGGTTCGATGATGATTTCGGACGAGAATATGAGCTCACAGTGAAGTGCGCAACGCGCTGCGCGGCGCGTCGGTCACGTTGCGACTGTCGATGCAGTGCGCGAATACTTTGATGGCGCCGTCCTCTGATGCGCGCCGGATGTCTGCAGTCGGGCGATTAGCACATCGACACTGGAATACACGTCGGCCGGGTAATTGACTGCGACAACCGGTTCATCGTGTTCGGGGGCTGATACGTACCAGATAGTCCGAAGGGCAGTGTTGGTGTTGTCCTGCCTCCTCCACAACGTCAACTCCCCCGAATTCCAGGCGGCTGCAGATCCGATCAGCTGTTTGTATGTCCGGACCAGCTCCAACCGCTCGCAGCCTTTTATCTTGGAAGTAATCTTTTATGTTCTCTTCTTTTTTTTTTTTTTCCCTCGTGACTCGGATCGAAGGCGAAGTCGCAGTCGCAGTCGCCGCGATCCGCCTCGCTTATCCCAACCTCCAAGCAGCGACCTGGGCGTAGCGGACGAGACGCGAGTACATCTCTCGCAGTCGGGGGCGCGGGGATGATGTCGTTGGTGATGTTGGGGCACCGGAGATGGGATGACGAGGATGAGATGGGATGGGGATGGGATGGATCGAATCGAATGGAGGAGGGGCGTGCGTTGTGCAGAGGGTCTAGAGTCTGGTGGTGTGTTGTGTCGTGTCGCCTCGCCTCACGGGCCGGTAAACCAAATGCCGAGAGGGTAAAGTAAAAGGGTAAGTTGCGGTTGATGGATGGGATGGATACTCCGCAAGATACCCTTTCGATACTCGAGACCCCTCGGGGGAAAAATAAACAACGGAAAAGAGAAGGACGAATAGAGAAAAAGAGCACCCGACGACAGGATGCAGACACGGCGATGGCGCGCAAGCTCGCTGCAGCAGGGCGTCCGAGGGGCGAATATGAGGCTTGGTCGGATCGGAATACAACAACTAAGAGTGTTGAGTTTGTTTGTTTGTAAAAAACGAGAGAGAGATATCGTGTAGAGTGAGGAACGGGAAAATGGGATGGGAAGTGGGAAATGCGGATAGTGTAGCGTACTGTGTGGTGTTGTGCTGTACGTAGTAGGTACTGCGTAAGGTAATGTGGTAATGGGTAGCGGTAGAGTGGTAGTGGGCTCGCTTCTCGGCGGCGGCAGATGGACGGATGGATAGACCCGTCCACGGCTTGCGGGTATGGTGCAGATGGTAACCAGCAGTCGCAGCAAGTGGTTGTGATGTGACAGAACAGGATCGCTCGGGGCTTGGGACCTGCTTTGCTTCAGTTGGATGGAAATGGGCTAGGGACAAGGTCCCGTAGGCCGTGCAGCGCAGGTCTGCGTCTGTCTGGGAGTGGGAGTGGTGTGCACGCAGAAAGCGATGCCGAAGAGTGCAGTGCAGCTGCTGTTTGGAAGCAGAAGCAGGAGAATGCTTGGAAGAGATGCAGTGGTGCAGTGGTGCAGCGATGCAGCGATGCAGCGATGCAGCGATGCAGTGCTTTGGTGCAGTGCTGCTGGCGCAGGGCAGACAGAGTGGAGCTTTCTGGGGGGAACAATTTCACGAAGCGGATTGGCTGAACGGACCCCAGTCCAGCCCGGGGATTGGCAGATTGGGGGAAGAGTGCAGTCCCGCTGGGCTGATGCGGTTGCTTGCACCAGAGGGACTGAAGTTGGATGAAAGTGTGTTCCAAACTTTGAAGTACAGTGTACACTGACATTCGGATCGTGGACAGAGAGGGTCGCCTCCGCAGTTTCAATCCTCCGTCCGGGGAAAGTAACTTCAGGGTTGCAAAAAAAAAAAACAAAAAAATCCAAAAAAAGGCAGAATGGGAAAGCTGGAAAGCTTGAGGAGGACACCTGGGGCTGTTGCAGCAGCAGCGAACGAAACGTTCTTGGCGCCGAAACACCTGGCAGATTGCCCCACTTTGCAATAACTTCCTCCATCCAGTCAGGTCGGGGTCGGGTCGTGAGCTTGGCTCTGGCGTCGTTTTGCTTTCCGCCTTGCCAGCTGTTGCTGTTGGCCGCAATCTCAAACCACACAACGACAGAACAGCCTTTTTACGCGGTCTAGCTTGATCTCCCGTTCAATTCTCAATTTCACAAGGCTCCATGTGCCCTGCTCAGCGGCCAATGGCTGGCATTGACCCCTCAGGAATCGAGTTTTACTTTTAGTTCTTGCATCTCTCTTACTGGACGAACTGACGATCTGACCCCCCACCCAAACACCGGGCTCTGAGTGAGCGAGACGGTTCTTCTCTGTGTAACTCGCTAGAAGGGTGGACGGATAGCCGGCTGCAGCAAGAGGCCAACCTCTCAACCCAAACAGATCAGACACTTTCCCTATCCGAATGGTTGGTGTTTTTTTCTTTGTGTGACCTAAGCCAAACTGAGTTGAGCGCTGAACGATGGCGCGATGACACCCATCATTCTACCGATCTATCTCTAAGACCATTTCCATCACACACCTATGGCGTCTTTGGCTCTCTCCCATTGCTGCCCATCCGTTCCGTTGTCTTCGAACAAGCCGTCCTTGCAGTTCGTGCTTCAAGAAGAAAAAAAAAAAAATTTTTTTACGACCATTTTACACCACAGTAATGCCCAATCAGACCCACTTCAATTGTTGTAATGCATGGACAGCAGGATTGCCGGCTGCTTGGTTGCTTGACAACCAAGACATGCTTCAAAATTTCAGGTTTCCAACCCTGGTAGCCCCCTATCTCCTTCGCCTTTCATCTTGAAAACTACCTCATTGCCCTCTTCCTTACATGCGGGAGGGCAGGGTAGCACCTATTTGTTTTCAGCTCAAACCCGGATGGAGGTCATTAGAAGAGAGAGGTGCTACAGAGGCACGAAGAACGTCCGTGGAGGGAACAAAGAACCAAGGGAGGGTTTCGCACAAGTAAAACCTAACCCCTCTCACAAAGATACGCGTGAGACATTGCCAATCATACTTACGGATTATCCTGCTGCTGCTCCTCCGTTGTTGGTTGTTCATACTCCCTCATCCAAACAACCCTCAAATCGTGTTCTTAGTCCCAACATGCTGTTGTCCTCAGGCACTCGGAAACTCAGGAGTCAAGGCTCAGGTTTTCTTCAGGGATGCCGACCCCGCTCCTCACCAAATTTTTCCTCGCTCCCTGTTGAACCACGTGTTCCCGCCTGATATTTCACTTACCTATACTACATGTAAAGAAGCAGACGAAGTGGAAATGTTCAATCCTGCGTGCTGCTGAGCAAGAACGGACCCCGACGGGATCTGCTGGAGGATGTTCGCCTGCCGGGGTTGAAGGCCGAGGGCGAGTGATGTCGTAACGTGCCAGTGGTCAGGACTTGTAATCGGTGATCAAGTTCGGGGAAACGCCGAGGCCCTGAACTCACGAGGAGACTGGTGTCTCGACGGGACTCATGGCAAACGCTCGCAAACTTGGTGAGGATAAAGAAAGGTAGGAGAGGTCAACCCTTCCATTTTCGCAACACAGACAATCCCTACCAACTATCTAACCCCCGAACTATCCCTTACAATAACGATCAAACTCTCATATTCTCCCCGGCAGGAAATGACGTACGAGCAAACAATTGCTATATACGGTACCCCGCGAGTTCCCTACAAAACCCTCTTTATTCTCCCACGGGCTTTCCCACAAAACAAGCAATCCCACAACGTATGTCGTAGCTCAACGTAAGAGCCAATCACGATATCTCTCTGACACGGACTATCCGCCTAACAAAGACTCGACAATTGAATGCCGACAGAAGATCCGCGTAAAACCCCCAGAACAAACAGGCGTAAACTCCGACCAGTAGACTGGTCATCCTCTAGGAAGTCGACGCTCCAACGTCGACACAGAAGATCCGGGGTTTCCCCCGACCCACGTAATTAACACTAGCCTTAACGCATCTACTCACTTCTCAGCCAACCACACACACACACACACACACACACCAAACATCTTCTAACGTTCAGCCTCGGCAGCAGCATTCCCATTCTGTCCCTGACCCTGACCCTTACCCTGGTCCTGATCCCCCTCCGCCCCAAAACCAGCCGGCCCTCTTCTACCTTCTGGACCATCCATCCTCTTCCTCTTCGCCGGCGGTGCCCCCTCTCCACCACCGTGACCACCAAGCCCATCCAACAGTTGCCCAGCCAACACGCGTTTTTGCAACACCCAACACACCTGCTCCAACGTCTGCACCTTCGGCTCGACCGCATCAACCCTCTGCTTGAGCGCATCAAAGTCGCTCACCAGCACGCGGGCCCCAGCCGGGTTGAGCAGCTCCAGCTGGCCGATGATGTGCTCCGCCAGCGCGCGTGTAGACAAGTTGTTGAACTGGGAGTCGAGAACGGTAACCGAGTGGCGGACGAACTCGAGCTGTTCGGTGCAGTCCTTTTTGGTGGACGTGACGGACTGGTTGAGCTGGACGAGTTTCTCGGATAGGCCGGTGTACTTCTGGGTGAGGTCGCTGACTTCCAGTTTGGTAGAGTCAAACTCGGTCTTTATGTTGGCGACTGTGGAGGAGATCTTTTCGAGTTCGGCGGTCGAGGGCAAGCCGCTCAGTTCGGGACCTGAGGAAGTACTAACAGGAGGATTCTCTTCCAGGGCCTTGATGCGCGTGTCATGGCCTTTGACGGTGGTCTGGACACTGTCTAGCAGCTTCGCCAGCCCATTGGCTGTGTTATTAAGGTAGACCTGGACCCTCTTCCAAAGCTCTTCCTGCTTAGAGGCGACATCCTTAGCAGCCTTCTCCAAGACCTCTACCTGCTTCGTCAAGCGCGGGACGTCGAAAGACAGAATTTCAGCTGCTCGCTCTAGGATGTCGATATCGAGTCGGCCAATAGCCGCCTCGCAGTTTCCAAGCCGCTGTTCCTGGGTCTTGACGTCCCTTTGAAACGAGACAAGATCTTCGCGGAGCTTCGTAGCCTCCTCCGCGTTGCGCTGGGTCAATTGCTGTGTGAGTTCATCCACATGTTCAAGAAGTTTTGTGATACTGGCGGATACCCCCGTCTCCGTCTTGGAGACCTGGTCCACATCGTTATGGTGTGCCGATATGGTCCGCTCGATCGTCTTCTTGAGCTCCTGCTCTTGCTTGGAGAAGCGGGCTTGTAAGTCGACTTCCTGGCTCTTCTGCTGCGCCTTTTGTTGAGCTATCTGGCTAGTTTGCTGCTTCTTGAGCTCCTGCTGTTGCACTCTCAAGTCCTGAACCTCCTGTTTGAGGTCTTTGATTTCCTCGAGAAACTCGGCCAATAGTTCTTGCTTAATATCTTCCCTCGCCTTCTTCAGTTGATCCTCGTAGCCGACTTGGAGCTCTTGTTTGATTTCTTCTCGTAATAGCTTTATCCGATTTTCAAATTCGGTCGTTTTTTCATCCTTTTCCTTCATGTATTGGTCATTCATGGTTTGAATCTTCGTTTTTAGCGCACTGATCTCTTCGACCAGTTTCTGATTCTGAAGAGTCTTTTGCTTAACGCTTTCCGTGGAAGACGCATTTTCGTTTTCCTTGTTGTTTGTGGCGGATAGGCTTGTAATAATCTGGATCATCGACTCGGTTGTCGTGTTGAGGTCATCTTGAGCTTTCTTTATTCTGGCATCCAGCTCATTTACCCGATTTTCATACCTCATTCTATGCTCATGCTGGACCTCCGGTATGGAAGGAAAGTCGGCATGCTTAACAAGGGATCTGTTATAGTCATTTTTTCTTTGGATCAATATCTTGCTGTAAGCTTCCCTCTCGGCCTGCAGCTTGCTGAGCAGGGCTACGGCCCTATCATGTTCCTTCCATAGACAGAGTAGCTTATCCCGACTCTGCGACTGCGTGCCCGTTGATACTGAGAGAAATGTTAGACAATTATTTCTTCAGATAAGGTATTGTACAACTGAAACAAAGGCAGTTGTCTCACCTGACTTGACAGTGGCGCTAGTACCATTAATACTGGCGGTGGTACTGCTTTCAGTCGGTTTGGCCGGCTCTTGGGGGGTCCTTGGGGGATCTGGGAGAAGAGGTGGTCGTCTGTCTCGATCCCGGTCTCTCAGGGGAGGATCGGTATCCCTCCGATATCGATCGCTGGCATAAAAATCCCCTGAACTTGATCTTTGGTGACGGTAATCACGGGAATCAGAGTATGAACGACGACCCTCATCGGTGGGGCGCCGAGAGTAGACATCGGAAGATCTGTACGACATATCGTCTCCCTACCACAGATCGGAACCGACGGGGCTTCTACCGGAGGTGGCGCAAGGCTCTGAAGCATGTGTCACCCCAGCTGAAAGCACTAAGCCCTTACGGAGCCGTATACCCAATGTGGATATTGTTTTTTTTCCCCCGGCCCTTGCCAGGCGGACTATGCCTGCAGCCAGGCTCTCGTCCCAGGAAGGCAATATCTGTCCAGAAATACAAACCGGTTGACAAATGTTAGGAGTAAATGTTCGGGTTGATAGGCTTGCAGTTTAGCCACTCGATTGAAACACTCAGCAACTGAGATAAAAGAGAAGACTTAGAAGGTTTTGAGGGAATGCAAGACCAGAAGGGGAAGAATATCAACCTGTCCCAGAGAAGTATATATATATATATATATATATATAGATATAGATATATATAGATATATATATATAAATATATATATATATATTCTCAAAGAGTTGGGACCTTCCCGTGATCTTAACTCTTAGCTGTGGCTGTTTGCGACAGGCAAGAACGCCCTGAATTGATTGATGTTTGCTGTTGAAAGCGCAACCGTAACAGTGCTTGACCTGGCAATCAATTTTTCCTCACACTGACTGTGCAGTGACTGCACAGCTCACAGCGCGACGTGCGATGATGCTGCCTCATCAAAGATGCTGACCGGGATCAAGCCTTTTTGGAGATGTCACTGATGGTGGGAAATAGCCAGTTGCTGCAACCTAAGGTTACACTTGGGCCGTAGATGTAAATCACCTTCGGCCAGGGACAGCAGTGATAATCGAGGACACAGCCGGCTCAAGACTGGTGGTCACAAAATCCGAGAACTTAGATCAGTTGCCAGTTTATTTGTCGAGGACGTTCTGTTGCCGCAGCATCCAGACACCAGCAGCTGTCGGGCGGTTTGGCTCGGGCCACGCCCGAGCCCTTGGTCTTGCGATTTAATTTGGCACTTTCCGGGTCCACATGGTGGGAGCAGCCAGTTGGAAGTAGCCATGATGTGCATCGATAAGATTCTATGGAGCTTGACGCTCCCCCTCGCATCCAATGAGGCTTATGCTGGCTTTCTTGGAACTAAGGCCAATCTGCCAATCAGTGGGCTCAAAACCCGAAGACCGCAACTTTTGTGGCGCTTGACAGCTGCGCCAACAGGCTGTGGCGTTTTGAGGCGCGTCAAGCATAAACGCGGTCGGCACTAGCCACAAATTGAAGAAAGTTGGGCGGGCCAGCCACGGATATACTGTGCCTGGATCTCGACAACATCGAGCAATCGAACCCCTCTTCGTGGCCGCGATCGAACCGTGGAATCGCATCTATCGACGCGACCATTGTCCGTTTCACCGCGAGCAAAATGGCTGCTGTAAGTGCCATACATTTCGTGAACTTGCCCCAACTCAGAGGCTGACATTTAACACTTATAGCCTCTCGTAACGTCGGTCACCGAGACCAAGGAGCTCCGGGGACTAAACCTTATCGCGGCGCATTCGCATATTCGCGGTCTTGGTGTCGATGCGGACACTCTAGAGCCCCGGCCGTCGTCGCAAGGCCTGGTCGGGCAGGAGAAGGCCCGTAAGGCTGCGGCGGTGGTTTTGGAGATGATTAAGCAGGGCAAGATTGCTGGACGCGCTGTTCTGATCGCTGGTCCTCCGAGGTATGCAGAACAGTGAAGTTATACTATGGAAAAGCTCCAGACTAATGCGACTCTAGCACCGGCAAGACCGCGATTGCCATGGGTATGGCCCAATCCCTAGGCCAGGATGTCCCGTTTACCACACTAGCCGCGTCCGAAATCTTTTCCCTGGAGATGTCCAAGACCGAGGCGCTGACCCAGGCCTTCCGCAAGTCGATCGGCGTCAGGATCAAGGAGGAGAGTGAGATCATGGAGGGAGAGGTCGTGGAGATCCAGATCGACCGCAGCGTCACCGGCGGCGCGAAGCAGGGCAAGCTCACCATTAAGACGACGGACATGGAGGCCATCTACGATATGGGTAGTAAGATGATCGATGCCATGACCAAGGAGCGTGTGATGGCGGGCGACATTATCTCCATCGACAAGTCCTCCGGAAAGATTACCAAGTTGGGCCGCTCATACGCCCGATCGCGCGACTACGATGCCATGGGCGTCGACACCAAGTTCCTGCAATGCCCCGAGGGCGAGCTGCAGAAGCGCAAGGAGGTCGTCCACACCGTCTCCCTGCACGAGATCGATGTCATCAACTCCCGCACACAAGGCTTCCTGGCCCTCTTCTCAGGCGACACGGGCGAGATCCGCAGCGAAATCCGTGACCAGATTAACACCAAGGTCGCGGAGTGGAAGGAGGAAGGCAAGGCCGAGATTGTGCCGGGCGTGTTGTTCATCGATGAAGTCCACATGCTCGATATCGAGTGCTTCTCCTACATCAATCGCGCTCTCGAGTCCGATCTCGCCCCCATCGTCATCATGGCCAGCAACCGTGGCGTCTCGCGCATCCGCGGCACCGACTACAAGTCGCCTCACGGCCTGCCCCTCGACTTCCTCGACCGTGTCGTCATCATCAATACCCACCCCTACACCCCCGACGAGCTGCGGCAGATCCTGTCGATCCGCGCGCAGGAGGAGGAGGTAGACCTCACCCCTGACGCGCTCGCCCTGCTCACCAAGATCGGCCAGGAGGCCGGCCTGCGCTACGCGAGCAACCTGATTACCACATCGCAGCTGATTGCCGCCAAGCGCCGCGCCAAGCAGGTTGGCGTCGAGGACGTGCAGCGTAGCTTTAAGCTGTTCTATGATCCCGCCCGCAGCGTACGCTTCGTGCAGGAGTCGGAAAAGAGGTTGATTGGGAACGATGGCGTGGTGGATTTCTCGTATCAGGGTGCGGCTGAGGCTGCTGCTCCTACTCTCCCGGCCGCAGCGCCGGTTGACCCTGTTGGTGGGGAGAAGATGGACATGAGCTGAGCGGTGTCTCGTGGAGAGTAAAGGTTTGCGATGTGTCTTCCATTGCTGCGGGCGTTAGGGGAATCGGGTGGTACACTACGTAACTGGGAATTAAAATTGTTTATTTGACTGATGATTGAGATATGCGGATGGGCGAACGGGCGGGATGAGGTTCCTGTATCCTGTGTAGAGCACGTAATGAATGATTTGATACTGGTAGACACGAATGCAGAGGTATTGTCAGTTGTCGTGAAAATTGTACGCCATGAATCTATCGTTCCAGTATTGGGTATAATACAGAAGGTCCATATACATATATTTTAAATATATGATAGCGACACATCCTCATACAAAATTCGCGACTCTCGTCCAACCCCCTTCATCCCCAACTAACCTAAACTCCACATTCTCCTTGAAATATCCGGCATCTTGCCACGCCTTCATTGTCGGCCCGTCGAAAGGCCCTTGCTTCTGCCCTCCATCGCGTCCATCCGTCCACCGGAACTCCCACATCTTGACTGCCCCTGGCGTCCCTCCATTCCCGCTAGTCCCATCCTCTTCCTCCTCCGCCGGCGGCGCAACCCAGTCCTCGCCTGTCTCAGCGCGGTACTCCCTCATCAACCGTTCTCTCTCCGTCTCGTAAATATTGGGGTAGTCCCTCCCCAACAGTTTATCTGCCGCCTCAGCGATGGCATTAATTGCCTCCTTGATCTTCCTCTGTTTTGGATCCTGCTGCTGCTGCTGCTGCTGCTGCTGCTGCTGCTGCTCCGCCCCATCGACCTCCATCACGTCCCCATCACCGTTGCTATTACCCTTATTCAACTTCTTTTGCTTCCACTTTGGCACCTTCTTCACTTGTTTTCCCCCACCGCCCTGCATCTGCGCCCTCCTCAGCCTCGCCAACGCATCCAGGACCGTCTCCCCCGGCTCCAGATGCCGTATCAACGCGCTCAACAAATCCTTCGTCAACACACTATCGCTCTCCCTCTGCGCTCTCCTTAGTTCCTCCTCCCTCTTCTCGTGCGCCTCACGCGCCTTCTTCATATCCTTCTTGCTGATCCCCTCCAGCCAGCGGTCGTGCACTGCATCAGCGTCCGCCGCTTTCCGAATGTAATTCCCTTCCTCGTCGAAGGCACCTTCTTCTTGCTCAGCTTTCATGTTGAAGGCATCGATCTTGGGGGCGTGTTTTTTGAGGCCTCCAGCGCCCACTTCCGCGTCGAGGCCTTCTTCTTCCATGGCTTTTTGGTAGTCGATTTCGCCGGTGACGGAGTCTTCGTCTTCGGAAGAGGTGTGTTCAGCGTCGTCAAGGTGGATGTGCCCGCCACTTTTGGAGGACATCTCCTGCCCCTCAATCTCATCGTCTGCCAAGAAGCGGACTTCTTTCCCTTTCTTCCCGGACGTCGTCTTTTTCGTATCTTCCTTCTCGGCGTCTGAGTCCCCGAACATATCAATCTCCTCTTCCTCTTCTTCTTCCTCTTCTTCTCTAGGCCCCTTCTTCGGATCATACTTATCCATCGCCTCGAAGAAATCTACATCCTCTGGATTCTTCTTCCCCTTCTTCCCTTTTGTCCTAGCCTCCGCCCGATCCTCGAAGTTCTCGTTGTCTGAATCGGAATCGTACCCATCAATGTTAACCGCCCCGCGCTTCGTTCCTCGCCCGCCCTTGCCAATCACGTCGGCTTCCAGTAAATCATTGTTGTCATCGTCATCGTCGGCATCAGGATCGTGCGCGCTGGGCGCGAGAGTTGAGGGATTGCGCAGGTCGAACTTGACTTTCTTGGCGGGGCCCTGGCCAACGCGGTCGCGGTCGCGGTCCTGGCCGTGGTGGGCGCGTGCAAAGGCTTCGCTGTCGCGTTTAGGGCGGGCAGCGGAGAAGGAGGATGCCATTGTTATATAGGGGGATCGCCTCGAGGGCTCAGTGCCTATAGAGGGCAAGGGGTTAAGGAAATGATGCGGTCGATCAAGGCTTCTAGAGGATGCACTCTTCTGAAGCCTGTTGAAACGAGTGTCAAGATCCTGGAAGCGCTGCTCCTGTTGGGCACGCTAAGCTACTTTAAGGAACTTTGACGTCAGTTTCTTGGCAAAGTAGGAGTGTGGCTGGTGAGATACAGGGGTTTGGGATATTGACCTTGGTGGACAGCACTGGCAAAGATGACAAGAAAATCCGGGGAAATTTCTATGTATGGGTATAAAAGACCAGAAATATCAGACGAATCTTGATTCTTAAAGAGAATTTCAGTTCAACGTTCTGACTGCAAAAGAACACACTGCTAACGCAGCTCCCACCACAGCGCCACAAAGGCCCCGCACTGGGTGTCTGGGCCTGTAGAAACAACGCCCGAATGCCGCTGCCCAGAGCTGTCAATGTCATCAGCTGTTGCCTCAGCTCCAGTCTAAAACCAACGTCACTCAACGCAATCCGGAACCTCTTCCCTCGTAATTTTTTCCCCCCTCGACTCCTCTATCTAGATATTCGATAGAACTCGGTTTCATCTCCTAATTTGTCATTCCCGAAGGCCTCCAGTTAGTAAAAAAAAAAACAGCACCACGCGCATTAATCAATATGGTATGCCACTCCCTCTCGGCACCAATCCTCCCCCCCCCCAAAAAAATATTACACACACCCAGGACCCGACTGACTTATGACTCCGGCAGTTTGGACACTGGGGCGTCGGCGGCCCCGACTACCGCGGCGCCGGCATACGCGGCGCCCGCGCGCAGCGCTTCGACGAGTACTACCGGTGCTACCCCATCATCATGGCGCCCGGCGCCGAGCGGCCAGAGCTCAACTACGGCTCCAAGATCTTCCTGCCCCCGTCAGCCCTGGAGAAGGTGTCTAAGTTGCACGTCCAGTGGCCCATCATGTTGGAGCTTATTAATGGTGCGAAGGGAAGGCACACGCACGCTGGTGTGCTGGAGTTTGTTGCTGAGGAAGGGAGGGCTTATATTCCGCAGTGGGTACGTCCGTCAGGGACATACATAAGGTTGAGCTGGGGATGCAGGCTGACAACCGCAGATGATGCAAACCCTGCAGCTCGACGTAGGCGACATGATCCAGGTCAAGACAACCTCCCTCGAACTGGCACAAATGGTCAAGCTCCAACCTCAGGACGTCAACTTCCTTGAGATCAGCGACCCGCGCGCAGTCCTCGAGCGCGTCTTCCGTAACTTTGCCGCCCTCACCAAGGGTGACGTCTTCAACTTCGAGTACAACGATGAGATCTACGAAGTTGCCGTGCTCGACGTCAAGCCCGAAACCGAGAAAATGGGCGTCAGCATGATCGAGACTGACGTCTCCGTCGAGTTTGCCCCGCCCGTCGGCTACGTCGAGCCCGAGCGCGTGCCTCGTGCGGGAAGCGGCGTTAGCACGCCGCGCACACCTGCCAGCGGCGCTGGTGTCCCTATCGGCGGGCTCCTACACCACCAGGGTACCATGGCCCAGGCCATCAACTACGACGCCATCGCCCCCGGCTCGGCGCTCGCCACAGCAGGCAATTTCGCCGGCGAGGGGTATCGCGTCGGGAAAAAAGGTTCCGCAGGCAAGAGCGGGGCGACGCCGGGGACGAGTACACCTAAGGAGGCCATGCCGGCCGCTGCTGCTGTGCCGGGCAAGTGGAATCGTAATGGGCCCGCGCCGCTACGCTTGCCGCCAAATAAGCTGTTTTTGGGGTACGAGATTAAGCCGGTTAAGACAAAAGAGGATAAAGAGAACGAGGCTGCGAGGGGTAAAGGGGGGTATCATTTTACGGGACAGGGGCAGACGTTGAGGGGAGCAGGAAAGAAGAAGGGAGGTGGAGAGGAGAAGAAGGGAAAGTAAGAGTTGTTGTGGGGAATGACCGGAAACGGGTCAAGAAGAGGGACGCAAGGGATTGGGAGCGAGCAAGCTTGATGGACAGTGCTTAATCTTTGGCTTTTGGACAGCCGCTTGCAGAGAGAGGCACGATGACGTAGACAAGTGCTTCTTTTTTGACATGCGGCAGACGTTCATGACTGGGATTTGGAGTTGAAAGATTGCTCTAAGTCTATGAAAATCAACGGGCTTAGGAACGAGGGAACACGGAGGGCGGGCTGGCGTCTTGGTACCGTCATGATACCAGTTTGTGAAGCTGAATTCAAGAAAATTCGAAGGTTCTTTGAAATGAATCTACCTATTATTGTAAGCCTTAGAAAGGAATCAACTTGAAATCGCATGTTTTAATGGCATCAACATGTTTTCCGGGTGTTGTCGTCAGGGAGGAAAGTCAGGCGTTTTGTGATGCACTGTGTGTAACACACTGTGTATGCTGTCCTTGCCAAACTCAAGTTTTGCAAGGCACTGACACTGAGTCTTGGCAAACATGGAATGATACCAAAGAGACTCCAACGAGTAATCATTCTCTAGGCATAACTTCCTTTTTAAACTTCCAAGCCCAGGGCAGCTTCAAGCTTTGACTCTCCCCTTGCAGTCAAGGAGCGCGAGGTCGTTCCTGCCCTAACTGTAGAAAGTGGGCCCACAGTGGGTCCCAGCCGGTCAGCAGCAAACCACTCTTGTGCTTTGCCTGCGCTCAGTCGTCCCATCTCCGTCACCCACTCACTCGCGCTCACTCACACAGTGACCTTTCGCAACCAAGGCCAAGCAAAGTTTCGCGAAGCTCAACATCTCAAAAAACCACCCTGCGTTATCTGCGACCGCTTCGTTCGATGAGCGCCCGCAGCTCAGGTTTTCACGAGCAGTCGCTTATACATACTTTCAATTGATGTCGACTGCATTGTGATTTTCCCTTTTTTCAATCCTCGTTGATTGACTAATTCAATTGCATCATACGTCACGCACATAACCTTACCCAGGGGGGCCTCGACTCACCTCGCCTCAACTCGACTCGGCTCAGCTCAACTTGACTTCTCGCCAACGTCAACGGCGACACTCAGTGACAACAATGACATCCACAGCCTTCCACATGCCACTCGACAACCGTCGCGTTCTGCGTCCGCGGCCGCCGCCTGCGCTTCCTCCTCCCAGGTTGAACGGCCCTGTTACCAGACGCTTGGCTGCACTTGTCGCGGCCAATCCGAATCTCGTCTCTGCGATCGAAAATGGCAGTCCCAGCCCCGAGCCGACTCCAAGTCCTCCACTTCGTACTTCGTCGCGGCTTCGCAAGAGATCGCCTTCACCCACTGCTGAAGCAAGCACTCGTCGTGCAGCAAAGAGAGCGCGTCATCGTCGTCGGAGCCAGAGTGAAAGCGACGAAGACAGTGACTTTGACAACGACGGCCCCACGCAGCGGCGGGGTGCCCACTTGACCCGGATCGGCGGTCGTCAAGCCCGCGGCGCTGCAGTGGAGCATGCGACCCCCCGGAAGTCGGCCGCAGTAGCAGCCAGTGAAAGCAGGAGGGGAAAGCCAAGCCTGGCCTCGGCGGCCGTGAGCAAACCGAGCAAATCCCGGTCCGGTGGGACGTTGCTGTTTGACAAGTCTCCGAGAGGAGGAAACAAGAATGCAATGAACGAGAAAGAAGCTGATCCCGAGACAATTCCCCCGTGGGCGACCTTACCATACCATGTCCTTGTGCAGATCTTTCGCTACGCAGCCGCGCTGCTCGCCGACGACTGGGAGCGCGCAAAGTGGCTGCGCGCAGCGACCGGCATCTGCCGCGCCTTTGCCGAGCCGGCCATCACGGTTCTGTACGAGTCGCCGCCCTTACTGACGAAGGCGATGGCGCATCAATTTATTGCGCTGCTCGCGAAGGATCCGGCCACGACCATGTTCAATTACCGACAAAAAGTGCGCGAATTGCGCATCGATCCCGAGGAGCTTGCCTGGAGGCCGTACAGAGGTCAGTTGCTGGATCTCAGTGCGCTGGTTACCTTGCCGAGGATCCAATCGATCACGCTGTATCACCCCAAGGACGGCCCACCTTACCGAGATTTGGATGAGAATTTGCGCTGGCATTATCCAATGTCGCTGTTTGATGCCCTCAATGGCGTCCAAACTTCTTCATCTCCCGACGAGTCAACCTCGGCTTTGTCCCAGCAACCTACCAAACCAACCAGACTCACTGAATGGCACTGGAACCGACGCATGATGGGCTCCAAGGTTACCCTCTCCGACATCAAGAGCCTCCACCAAACCCCCGCTTTCTCTTCCCTCAAGAAAGTCACCTTCCTCAACTACCAGCTCCCCTCCATGCGCGACTATGCTACCAGCGAGGACGTGCTGGCCGCGAGGGATAAGGCCTTTGTCGCCGCGCTCGCTGACGCGATCAATGCTTTACCAAAACTGGAGCATCTGACGTTCGAGTCGTCGACAGCCGTCTGCGGACAGCTTTTGGCCGTGCTGCCCAGGAATTTGAAGACTCTAGAGATCACCAATTGCTGGGATGTGGATAGTGACGCGCTGGCAGAGTATTTGACTTCCGGGGGAAAGCAGCTGAGACAGCTTTTACTCCGGTATAACCAGAGCTTGAGCCTGGCGTTTTTGGTTGTGCTGAGGGATGCATGCCCGAATTTGCGGACGTTGGTTGTCGATTTGAAGACGTACCGACATCATACTTTTTATGATGACTCCGACCCGGAGTATAGTGCGGTCTTAGAACCGACGCAGACCCCGACGTGGCCGGAGAGTTTGGAGGTTATTGAGCTGAAGAATATGCGCAAATGGACGGCTGAGGGCGCGGAGACGCTGTTCCGGAGCTTGGTGGACGCCGCGCCGAATTTGTCTAACCTTCGTAGGATCGATCTGAAGGCTATGCTGGATATCCCGTATCGGCAGCGGTCTAAGATAAGGGATCGTTGGGCGGCGACGTTGAGGCATGTATTTTTGAGAGAGAGGAGTGATCCCATGCCGCTGTCTACGATCCACAGGCGGAAGGAGGAAGATAAAGATATGAAGATGGCCGATGTGGAGGAGATTGAGAACAAGTCTCCTGGTCGTGGCCGGAGAGCTACAAATGTCACCCCCTCGAGGAAGAGTGCCCGTCTCGCAGCGAAGGAACAACAACAACATCATCATCAACAACATCAACAGCAGATGGAGGACCCGTTCCGTCCAAGCAACTGCACACACAGCCTCCGCAGCGGCGTCACCCGCCCCTCGTACGTCGAACCTGACACTGACATCGACCTCGACTCCGACGCCGACTCCGACAACGACAACGACAACGACGGACAACCCTACACCCCTCAAAAGAAGAGAAAATCCTCCTCCAATACCATCTCAGGAAACCCCACCCCCCGCCTTGCATCCCTAGACGACGAGGACTCCTCCCAGCCAGGCTCCCCCTTCGATCCATCTGAGCTGGAGGGATTATACAGACAGGGGCTGTGCGACGTGGTAGAGATCCAGCTCGACAACCAGAAGCCGGCAGAGACGATGTTTGTGATGGATGATTTTCTGGATGATGAGCCGGATGATCTCGAGGATGAGGAGTGGGATGGGGTGGATGATTTCGAGTTCCAGGCTGGTGGGTGGGGTTGGGCTTGGTGAACGACCCTTCTAGAGTGCATTTCAAGCGTGATGAGAAAGAAAGGTATTGGATCCTTCTTCTTTCGTTTTATAGGCTATGAGCATTCATCGCCGCTGGCGATTGCGATTAACATAAGAACCCGCCAAGGTGCTTTGTGTTAAACCTCCCTCTACCGATGATGATGAGCACCCTTCGGCGTTGGTGGTTAGGTTGGGAAAGGTTTTGAAAGGACACTGGATGGATGGATGGATGGATGGATGGATGGATGGATACACCCGACGTTGATCATGTGCCGGAACCAACATCCGACTACTACTAATTTCTCGGGGTGTCGATCCCACATTTTCTTACTTACAGGGCTATTAGCTATCACGGTTGCTAGCTCGGATACTGGCTTCTACTGGAGTTTGGTCGGAGGGTAACTTGCTAAGGAAAAGGTAACTGAACTAAACCTTGAGATTGTGACTGAGCAACAGACATGGCATTGGGTTGAGAGGTAATAGTGTTACCTGGAATTTGTTGAACGCATGGAATACATGGACCTCGGCCTATATGATTATATTGGGAACTGGCTTGCGCACTTTGCTATACGTATATGCAAAGGAACATAGTAAGATTAAATATCGATTGAGATTAAAATCCCTACTTGGTGTTTCGAGGATGTTCTTGATGCCTTTCGTTGTCTCCTATGTTCGAACGCTGTGGCCAACATCATGGTTGAGGTTATTGATGGCTTCCTCCGAACCCCAATTTATAGTAAGCTTTATTTACTTCTCTGTGCAGTTATTTGAGCTGATACTAACGCCTAAGACGCTTGATCTACCTGACCAGCCCTGCTTTTCGCGATCAGAGATGTCCAACCATCACTGCATCTTTGCCTTGACCATGACTCCGGCCTCGATAGACTGCTCAAGTCTTAATATCGCCAGAAGGATACATCCCGTCGGTTAGCACATCCATCTCTGCAGCGAATCAAAAGTTGAATAAGCCCCATTCTCTACAAGTCCTGTGACATTCACTCAGGCTTCCTATTGCTCATGGTTCGATCAGGTTCGTCGATGATCAAAAGCGTTGAATTGGCATTAACTCTGTTGCTTAGTATGGCCACTGCCCTCTGGTAGTGATTGGTCGGCTTCATTCCGAATATGCCTTAAAAAAAACGTTCGCACGCCCGGATATACTTCCCCCGTGAACAGTGCTGGTTCCTCAGCTCTGGTTGCCCTGCAGACGGTGATATCAGTTTTGGCGCTGTTAAGACGGCACAACAGATCCATGCGGAGACTTTTTGCCAAGACGAAGTATCCCACTATCACCTACGGGCAGTGGCTGCTAACCCTGGGTGCCAAAAGCCCCACAGTCCAGGGTTAAGCGTGGGCCAGCAGCCGCGAGTCTGGCGTGTGCGTCAACACTGGCGCCGGCACTGTAAAACGCGTCTGGCTCATCATCTTTTTTTCTTTCATCGCCTCGCGGACTATATGCGCCCTGAAGATGCGTCTGCAATTTCAATGATTCTCGAAGGCCAGCAATTTTATCCAGATCTGTTTTTATTTTCAAACACCGTTCTGTCTCTGTATTCTCTTCCGTCGTACCTACAATTTGGCCGGGGATACATCGTATATAGGTAACGGTGGACGCGAATTGTTTCATTTCAAATCATCGCTTCCTAGCGTCTTGATTTCAACGCATCCGCCCGCGACTCACGACGTAAACTGCGGGCAGGTAGAGAGGGAGCAGCGATTGAGTGTGTGGCGACCACAGTACTTCAAACGATTGCCTTAGCGACTCAATAAATCCGACTCTGTGAGGTCAACTGCGAAATCATCGCTCTTTCCAGGAGTAGGGCTCTCTTCCTACGTCTTTTTTTTTTTTTGATTACCCACTTCATCCATATATTGGCTCACTTTTCCCTGATTTGATTTATTATACCTACTCTTCTTCATCCCAGCCTTCATTCATCTCACTTAGCAAACTCCTCAAACGACTTTTTCTTACCCCTCAACGCCATCGACTCGCAGCAACGTTAAACCGGGCTTGCAGGCGTCCTTCCTCAGACAATGCCTCATCGTCTCACACACGGACACTAACACTGACCCTGACCTTGTCTGTTCCTGGTTCCTGGTCCCCCACGCGTCGTCGCTCGGACAAAGCGAGCCGATCTCCTCTTTTCCGGTTTCTTACTCTGTTTGTCTTGCTCAACCAGCGGTGTGCAGCCTATCGGCGATGACAGCAAATACCCGTCATCGCGGCCTGCCTTTCCTGCATCGGAACTGGCTCAAGGCCACGAACCACTGGTCCAAGATGGGGAATAAGGCGTCGTCACAGGCGCAGAAGCGGTCGCAGTCGCAGACAGGCGACTCGGCTACTTCCAGACCGGCAACAGATGGTAGCGGCAGTCAGCAGCAGCAAAATGAGTCCCAACAAGAAGAAGAACGCGCCACCAAGCGCCGGCGCATCTCCAACGACTACGACGGGTTCCCTCTCTACGAGAACTACGCCAGTACCCAGCGCGCGCTGCGCATCGAAGTCCTGAAGATCAGCCACAAGGACGCGCCGCGCTGGAAGAACGGCATCACAGCCATGAACGGCTCCGGAATCACGGCAGCGCCCGTAGACATCCGTAACATTGCGCAGATTAAAGCCCGCTGCAAGCTAACCATCTACGGGCACCGCAACGGGGAGCAGATCGTCCTGCACGTGGACAGCCAGCTCTGCGATATCCGGGTGTTCAAGAACTCCGCGGGCGCGGCGCCCATGGTTAGGTTTGCCAATATGAGGCCATTTAGTATCCCGGAGGAGAAAATTTTCCTCGAGAGGGAGGATGATTCCGTGTTTGGGCTGGCTAAGTGTTATTCGGTTAGCGTGGAGCTCGAATCGGCGGGGGATCCGAGCTGGCCGCCGAAGGAGTTGGTTCCGCCGACGAGTGATGAGGAGACTTTCTACAATAAGGGGCTGCTGCCGCAGAGGCAGTGGGTGCTTACGGCGAATATCGCGGATATTTATGAGAGTCGGAATCGCAAGTCGGTTAGGTTGAGGATCAAGAAGCATGCACAGCAGGATATGGCGACAAATTTTTTGATGGATATGGATGTGCGGTGGTTGACGCCTATTTCGAGTCTGGCGAGGGCGAAGGAGCAGGCGAAGGATATCCAGCCTTCGATTGTGGCTATTGATCCGGATAATCCTATCCCTCTGCTGGTCAATGGCCCTGCTGCGGCGAATGCGAACGGCGTTAACGGCCAGCACGCTCCCAAACCCGAGTGCGACACCCAGCCAAACGGCACCCATAATGAGGGCACATCAGCAGAAGAACCCGCCGAAGGCGAACTCACCCCCAGCCGCTCGCGCCGCGCGCGTCAAGAAATCAACTACAACGTCAAACAGCTCTGGAACAACGCCGTCGGTCGCGAAACCCGCAACAACAGCAACAAGCGTCGCCGCGGAGGGGCCTACGGTGAGGATCACCCTCCATCCGACGACCGCTCCATCACGTACTTGCTCCCGCCAGAGCAAGTGCATACCGACAAGTTCGCCTGCCTGATCTGCGGCGCGGAGAATGAGCGGCTGAGTCAGCTCAGAGCACATTACATGTGTCATCCACAGTATGACTTCTATTTTGAGTATAAGCCCAAGATGGGGGGGTATTATGTGACTGTGAAGCCGACGGCACGGGAGGGTGAGAGGGATGGAGAGGGGTTGAGGCCGAGGGTGTATCAGCTAGGGTTGCCAGTGAAGCCGCTGGATTTGGAGAGGTATGTGGAGGGGGATGAGTCGTGGGTGACGAGTAGACTCGGGCCGGAGAATGGGAGAGAGGTAATGCTGCCGGGGAGAGGAGTAAGTTCACTGCCACTACCACAACTCGACGTCATCCTACTGACCATGATGCTAACCCCCTTAATAGGTACCCAAAAAGCCCCTCCGCCGCCCCAAACGCCGTCCTCTCCTAGTCCCCAAAACCACCCAACCCCTCTTCGACCCCCTCTCTAAAGTCCAGCTCTTACCAGGCCAACCCCTCCCCCAACACCCCATCGACGACTCCTGGCTCCTCTTAAAACATCGCGACAACCTGCAAGATTTCATCGACCTGCGTCCGGAAGAAAAAGAGTTCCTGCAGGAATGGGACGCCTTCATTTTGCGCAGACATATTTCGTCGGAGCAGTACCTGCCTAGGTATTTTCTGAGGTTTGTTCGTGAAAAAGCGGACTGGTTGGTGAGTAAACGGAGTCGGGGGGAGGAGTTTTCGAAGTTGGTGGCAACGCTGTTGGCTAGGAGGGTGTTGCCGGAGAGGGTGGTGATTGAGGCGACGCAGGTGTTGAATGATGCTAGGGGAAGGTTGAGGGAGCAAGGGGGAGTTATTGAGGGGGAGGGGGAGGGACAGAGGAAAAAAGTAACGGGTGGTTGTTGTGTGAAGTGTGGGGAGCCCGTGCCGGTGTGTGGGATGGTCGTGTGTGGGGTGAAGGTATGGTCCCTTCCTCTGTTTTATTATCTCACTGTCTTTTTTTTTTTTTTTTTGGGTGCTGACTGAAAGTTAGGAGTGCACCGCCCGCCTCTACCACGACACATGCGTCGATAACCCCGAGCAAGCCCGCCTGGAGGGGAGACATTGGAAGTGTGCCGACTGCCGTATCAAGTGCCAACAACAACAACAACAGCAGCAGCAACAGGAACTGCAACAAGCACAGCAGCTACAGCAGCGCTCGTAGGACGGGCAGCAGCTGCAGCAGTCGTTGTTGCAGCTGCATGAACAGCGTCACAAAGAAGAGATGCCGCGGAAGAGTACACTCAGGAAGAGGACGCTTTTTGCGGGGGAGAAGAAAACTGTTAGTTGGGATCGGAGTGTTAGGGGAGCGGGGAAGTAAAGTAGTGCGGGTGAGCTGCTCGGGTAGAGAGTGAGGTGTTTAGGAGGTTTCTGGGTTCGGATGGTCATAATACTAAGCAGATGAAGTAATCTGGAGTGAGTTTTGGGTTAGGCTCAAAAGGGAGTAGAGGACGGAAGAGTTACTCTTCGGTAATGCACATTTATGGTTACACGGACCTACACATACTTAACTTGGCTGTATCTATTTCCCTTTTAGCTGTACATTTTTCTGGCATGGTAGAGGCGGACTGGTCATCTCAAGAAATTCAGTAATAAAGTTTTTTTTTTAAAAAAACCATGGTTAGCTCAAGGTTTAGTGTCTGCTTATTGAGGTTGAGTGATTTTCTCCATGACACTGGCCATCATTTTTACCTTGGGTTCAAGAGATGAGCCTAGAGACTCAATTCTGGGATGATCGGATGATGAAAGGATTGCTGAAGATCAGCCGATGTGGTTAAAGACCCCGCGAGATATCAACACCCCAAGAACGGACTTATTATTTTCAACAACCTTGTAATTCCAGCGGTCTCGCAGCAATGCCATATTCATGATTCGGACGGATGCATACACGCACTCATTAACCTAAAAGCCAAACCTGCCATTATAAAGCCCAGTCTGGTGATGGTCGCAGTGTAACTCGCAGCAAGGAAGCAAACTACCATGAACCCTGCCCTAGCTCAATAAATGATCCCCATGCCCAACCCAGCCCAAATCCATGACATGACATACCTACCCAAACGCCTCATCCAGCCCAGCTTAATCCCTAAAAAAAAAAAAAAAAAAAAAAACCATACGAACACCAATACCATTTCACGCACCACTCAACCCAGCCTCCCTCCACCCCTCGAAACTCTCCTGGCCCAAATGTCCCCCACCGCTCCCCGACCCTTCAGGCATCTCCCCAAACCCCTCATCCTCCTCCCTCAACCGCCTCTCACACTCCGCCCTCCCCTCCCGCCCCCAATACCCCGCCTTCTCTTTTCCCTTCACACATCCCTCGGTAATCAACACATACGGCATCGGCGCATCAAACATGGGCTCGGCCAACACCCTTTCCATCTCCATCTTGAGTCCCCTGGCTCCTGTCTCATTCTTCATCGCATTCTCCGCGATTGCCCACAGTGCGCGGCGCGTGAAGTACAGCCGGGAGGGGTACGTTTCGAAAAGCGCGGTGTACTGGGCTACCAAAGAATTACGCGGTTCGGTGAGGATGCGGTAGAGTTCATGGAGGGTCAAAGGGGACAAGGCACATATGTTGTGCAAGCGGCCGATGAGTTCAGGAATGAAACCGTAGGCTTGGAGGTCTTGCGGGGTGGTCAGGTCAAGAGGCGTGAAGTTGGCAGATTGTGGGGACGAGGGCTGGAAGGGGAGGTGGGCGTAGAGTTCAGGAGGTAAGAGGGATTGTGTGCCGGAGAGGGACATGTTGTTGGCGTAGGAGGGGCGTATGTCGGAGGTGAAGCCGATGGAAGGTTTCGCGACACGGCGCAGGACGCATTTGTCGAGGCCGACGAAGGCCCCGCAGAAGACGAAGAGGATGTTGGTTGTATCGACGATATATTGTTCGACTTTGCCTGTGGGAGGGGGGGAAGACTGGGGGGTTGACGAGTGGGAGGTATAGCCCGGGCCGGAGCCGCCAGAGCCGCCGGAGGGTTGGGTGGGGGGGGCGTTGCGTGAAGATCGGTGGTCTTTGACGTTGATGGTGACTTTTGTGCCTTCGACTAGCTTGAGGAGGGCTTGTTGGACGCCCTCGCCGCCGACATCGCGGCCGTTGACGGTTTCTTTCTTCGCGATCTTGTCGAACTCGTCGAGGACGACGATGCCGTGCTCGGCGGCCTTGACATCATAGTTGGCTTCGATCAGTAGGCGCTCGATGCAGGACTCGACGTCCTGGCCGATGTAGCCGGCTTGCGTGAAGGAGTTGCAGTCGCTGATGGTGAAGGGTACGTTGAGCTTCTTGCTGAGGGTCCTGGGGAATCATAGGTTAGCGCTGCGACCTCTAATTTGGAGGGTGTGACACTCACTCAAGGATGTAAGTCTTCCCCACGCCAGTCGGACCAATCAAAAGTAGATTGCTCTTGTCAATCTTGACGTGTTCTGTAGGGGAGAAGTCCTCCGGCGCAGCATAGTAATCATTCGCCAGGGGCTCGAAGAGACCCTCTCCCATAGCCGAATGGGCAGATGAAGACCCCCTCAAAGAAGCCGATGATGACGTCTCATGCATCCCAATAAACTCCTCATCCGCGGCCATCGCAAAATTAGCCCTCTCAAACGCCTCCCTATCCTCTGCATACTTCTGCCTAGCCGCCTTCTCTCTCAATCTTTGCTCCTGCATCTCCAATGTCTGCCTTCGCCGCAAGTTCTGGTAATGATTAAAAATCACCGAGCATATCGTCTTCTTAGCCCTCTCTTGCCCAACGACATAGTCATCCACTCGTCTCTTTAGGTCGCGCGGGTAGAATTGCGGGACGCCGAACTGATTCTTCGAAAAGATGGGGCCGCGGCCCGTTTCCTGGCTCGGGTCGTAGCTGGTTGTGTAGCCCGAGCTGAAGTACTGCGAGCGTCGTGGAGCTGAGAGCAGGGCACGCGTCGTCGCGAAAGAGGAGCGCTGTTGACCAATTTGGGGGAGGCGAGTGAGCCGCAACGTCGCGGCGTACCGCAGGACGGAGCGCGGCCGAACTAGGACCGACATGTTGGCGACAGAGATATGATCATGGGCGGGCAGCGGTCGGCTGCGTCGGCTGGAAGCTCTTATCGGTGTGTCGGTGAAAAGATGAAAGAAAAGTAAACAATCAAAAAGAGACTCGAAATATTCCCAGATGAGTGCTCTACTATCTAAAGATAAGCAAACTCCTCTCGTTGCAAGCCGTGATCGCTCAGGTCCGGGGAAACTTCCGATAGCCCGTCACGAGCACATGTGTCGGGACGCGGCAACGATGGAATGAAGTGTGAGATAGCAGAGATGACGGCAGCGCCCTCGATGCGGTGGCGTTATCGCAGGGGGAGCTCCAGCGCCAATGTGGGGATGCCACACTGCCAACCCGAACCCCCAGATCTAGACCCCGGCCGGAGGTCTCGCCAAGGGCAGCGGAGGATCCACCGCAACTGCAGCTGCAACGCTGCCCTGCGAGCCTTCCCGATGCACCGGGCTCCGGTGCCGCACTTGCTTTTGACATCTGCTGTTGCGGTTGGGCTCAGTGGCAGCCTACTCGGCTGCTGGGGCTGAGATTGGGCAATTTCTGGCGTTTGGAAAGCCCCGCTGCAAGCTACAAGTGGAGCCTGAGCTACATCCTGATACTCACCTAGCTATTGAGATAAACCTCTATCTTGTCACCTAGTTTGAAGAGCCGTCGTACCAGATTAAAACTTCACCGTAACCTATTCCTATACTAACACTACCATCCTATCTCAGCGAGCCATTGACACTTCCGGTCTGGAGGAGTTGAACAATTTCTTCCCAGCGTGAAATGATGTTACCAGGCAGTCGCAGCTCTTAAATTCGGGCCCTCTTCAGATGCCAGACCCACCGCCATTGGCATATGCCCCCAGAACCGTAGTTTACAATGTGCTCTTTCTGTCCCAGCTTTCACTAAATGCCCGCCACAGCCTGCAAAAACAGGCTGTGGCCAAGTGGTAAAGCCGATTAATACCATTTGGTCCCTGACACAATCGAACCAGTCCTCATGCGCTGGCCATGCATGTTTGAGGAAGACGTCCTGGTTCGATTCGGTCCAGGAGCAGCAAAACCTCGGTCAAGGTTCTAGGGCTATGTCAGAAGCTGGACCGCCGATGCACTGATAGATCACTACTGAGTCAGTCCGTTGGCCCAAGTAAGCGCTCCTGAAGAACCAGAGTTTTCATAGCCGATGAATCTCCTCTCACCGACGAAGGGAGGAGGTGAACTTTTTGTCAGGTGGCTCGATAGATCCAATTTTTGCCCTCTCTGGTTACCTAGGTGTCCTTCTCGTCATCATGTGTGTCTCTTGGTTTCCTCTCTCGCATAAGAGAAGATAGCTGATCAGAGCTCAAACCCAGAAATGGCAAAGGCTATGTTGCGCAGCCTGCGCCGTTTTTATTATTTATTGTTTGAGACTTTGAGGTGTTGACTTCTGCCAACCTGAGCCAACTAGTCCAGTTTGACTTCCAATAGGCTTTGCGAGAAAAATCTTCGATATCCATCATACCCCAGGTTGAACCGAAATATGCAAATCCTCTACCCTGAAACGGCCGATTCAACTGAACTTTCTCACAGTGGGTTATAAGGCTGAGCTTTCGTTAATAAGAGAAGAAGTAGCATCACCTCATCCTGGAGATTATTCTTTGATTGGTGCTACAGCTTGCTGCTTCGACAACGCGATACCTGGAAAAGCCAACACACTCGAGTGTTGACGAAGAGGTAGCCAAAATACCATGGAAGGCAACACAGAAGACAGAACTCGCCGCTGACGCTGTCCAGGCTTTTCACCCTTGATCCAGATTGTGTTTGTCCTTGTTATCCCTGACCTGTTCTCCCAATCGGCGAGAACAGGATTCTCAGAGTCATTCATCATTTATAACAACAACTTCCTTCTTTACAGCTTCAACTTGCGGTTAATCCAGCCCACATTGAAGGCAAGATGGGCAGCCCCTGGGACGGCCTAGCGAAAGACATGGTCTTCCCTGGCAACTGGCAAATCTCTCCCCGTTCCAATTACTGCCCCAGCCCCGGCGCCATCTTGTTCTCCTTCCTCATCACCAACCTCGTTGTGACCTCCGTGGGCCTCTTCCTCGCTTTGCTGCCCCATAACCCACAAGCTCACCTGCGGCCGCTTCGCCAAGCTCGGCAAAACGCTGTCCGCTGCAACGGGAATTGCCTGCTGTCCATGCAGATCCTGGCAAACGTGGTATACGGCGCGATTATCTGGTCCACGGAAGGGTAAGAGCATATACAGATCCACGATGCGATGATGCTGTATTCGTTCGTCCGAGGTTTGCGCTGATCGAAACCATCACTGTAGCGTGCTTTGTGGTATTCAAGAATGAATATCCGTGGATACACGCCATGATGATTCGATGGGGGCGAGCTGATGCATATGACGCAGTGGAGGGGCTTAGAAGTAGATCACGCGTTCAAAAGTCGGGGGGAGAATTGGGCGAGGATGTTTCAAGGGCCGCGCCGGCTTATATCGTCAGTCGGTTGGCTTGAGGGGTGTTGCTTAAGAGGCTGGATAAGTGAGTTGCTCCTATCTACGATGGCGATCTGGTGTTTGAAGGTTGCTGATATATGCTTATTTGTTTATGGCCCTTCTGGCAGGTGTTCCCCGAAACTTGGGGCCTAATTTGCTGTCTGGATCATCTTTCCTCTGTTAGGTACGCATGTTCAGTAACTTTGTGATAGTTATATGTTCACAGGTAGTTAATTTAGTCTGTAGGGATCCTTGGAGGCATCGGTATCTGCTAACTGGAAAATGAATATGTAATTAAGAAATGGTTGAGCTTATTGACCTATGGGATATCGACGTGATCCCTGTGCTATTAGGCTTGAAAGAACTCTGGGAGCGCTCTTATATTGACAAATATCAAGCCTTTTCTTTTTTGTCTTCTTTTTTCTTTTTTGCGATGGCCTATCATTCGTGTACCAATTTTGGCGATAGGCAATCCGTATCTCCAGGACAACCCGGATGTTCTCCTTTCAACAAATCAGCGCAATAGTTTGACTGCATCTTGTATCGTGTATGCCCACAAAATGTAAGGTCAATAACACATAAATTGGCGGTTACTATGCTTTCTTCGAGATACTGCAGAACTTGGTTATCAACCAATGCGGTAAACTTTGATGGCTTATATACAGCAAAGCTTCTGGACTGGCTTTTGCTCAGTCCCCCTTGGGTTAAATCAGTGCAACAACACCTTATCTTAGAGTCAGGGGTCTTAGACTTGACCGCTAAAGCTTGCAATTGAGTTAAACCGCGACGATCTGGGGGCGCTGTTGATGTTTGGGTCCAACAAAACAAACCCACCTCTCGAATGTTCAACGTACCTCATCAAGGTTCCCAAAGCTGAGACATGCGCCAGGCACTTTTGGTTGAGCTCAACCCAAGTTCTGGCAGCCGCCGTGGACCACTCCTGTCAACCCGTTGCGGGAGCAGGGCCGCAGCTGGCGCAGCGGAGCAGTGGGGCCACTCAGGACCCATGCAGCCCCGCCCAGCACAGGCGAACGCCCCCTCCAGCCCCTCGCGAACCTGAGATTGCTGCCCCACCATCGCCACTCCGGGCCGCTCAAAGTGAGTCGAAGGTCTGTTGATGTCCCCGAAGTGTGTCCGATGCCTGTCTAGTCCAGTCATATCCCCTCGTTCCTGGGCCGTGATAAGCATGTTGGGGCAAATGTCTAAGAATTGAGGAAAAGAAAGCCAAACGCACGCGCGCCCAACCCAATAGCAGGACCGTCGGGCGCTCCATGCGGCACAGGAGGCAAATTTGTCGCATGTCGCATCCATCCTGGCAGACATGCACAACAGACGGCAGGGCAGCCCGAATGAAATGGAATGAGAGGGGATTCTGCGACGCAATGCGATGGAATGATACGAGCTGCTTGCTTTCACGGCGGCGATTGATGCCCGATCGATCTACCATCCATGCACGGAGTTCTCCATCTTCTTGGTTGGAGCTGGGCCCATGATGATGTAATCTATCTAGATTCCATCCATTTACATATTGTGATAACCACGCCTGTCCACGATTCCAGACGTCTAGACCCCAGAGCTCCTCCTATCCTTCTGTCCTGTTAGTGAACCTGGTCAGCTCTGCTCGTTGGAACCCCAGCTCTGCTTTTCCTACTCTAGAGGCAAAGCTCTGCTCTGCTCTCTTCCCACCAGTGACACAGCGAAGTTTGGTGCTTGGTTAAGCAGGTGCCCCGCTTCTTGTCCGGCCGTTAATCACATTCCTGCTCAGCTGTTGATTTTGAGCTGGGTGGTTTCTTGTGCTCTTCATTTTCAGGGCGGTCCTTCCACTTCCTCCTTTAAGCGACGGCTCATCGCAGCCGAGACACCAGCTTGGATAGTGCGTCTTTCGTTGAAGAACACTAGACCGGAGCCATGGACTACAGTCAGCTCATCAAGGACGCCCCCAATGACGGGACTGGTAAGTTGCATAGGACAGGACAATTAATTGATATGTGCAGATACTGACATACCCCAGGCGTGCTGAAGCTCGACCCATACCTGACACCCTTCAAGGAGGCCATCAAGCGGCGCTATGCCAAAGCCCAGGAATGGATCAAGAAGCTAGATGAGACGGAGGGTGGTTTGGACAAGTTCAGCAAGGTATGCTGATGCCTCGATGCTCCAGTGTGAAGGAAACATGCTAACATGCTGCTCCAGGGCACCGAACGCTTCGGTCTGGTCGTTCAGCCAGACAATAGCATCATTTACCGAGAATGGGCACCTAACGCCGTCCAGGCGGCGCTCATCGGTGATTTCAGTACGTCTCTGGTCATACTCAAAGCTTGAGAAACACCTCCCCTCACTCCCCCCCCCCCTCCCCCCTCCTCTCTCCCCCAACCAAGCCAAGGCAAGCTAACCCCTTTCCCTCCAGACCACTGGGACCGCAAAGCGCACCCCATGAAGAAAAACGAGTTCGGCGTCTTCGAAATCACCATCCCGCCCACCGCCGACGGCCAGCCCGCCATCCCGCACAACTCCAAAGTCAAGGTAAGCTTCTTCGGCTCGGAACTTCCGCAATCCAGCGCAACCTCCTCCGAGCTAACCGGCCAGATCACCCTTGAGCTGCCCACCGCCGAGTGGGTCGACCGCCTGCCAGCCTGGATCAAGTACACGACGCAAGATCTATCCGTTTCGCCCGCCTACGAGTCCCGTTTCTGGAACCCGCCACCCAGCGAGCGCTATGTCCCCCGCCATCCGCGCCCCAAGCGCCCGCAGAGCCTACGTATCTACGAGGCGCACGTGGGCATTTCCTCGCCCGAACTGAGGGTCACCACATACAAGGAGTTTACGAAGAACATGCTGCCGCGGATTAAGGGGCTCGGGTACAATGCGATCCAGTTGATGGCGATCATGGAGCATGCTTACTATGCTAGTTTTGGGTATCAGGTCAACAGTTTCTTTGCGGCGAGCAGCAGGTATGGTACGCCGGAGGATCTGAAGGAGCTGATTGATACCGCGCATGGGATGGGGTTGCAAGTGCTGTTGGATGTGGTGCATAGCCATGCCAGCAAGAACGTGCTGGATGGGTTAAATATGTTTGATGGGACGGATCATCAGTACTTCCACGAGGGTGGCAGGGGCAGGCATGATTTATGGGATAGTAGGTTGTTTAACTATGGGCACCATGAGGTGCTCCGGTTCTTGTTGAGCAACCTGCGGTTTTGGATGGATGAGTATGGGTTTGACGGATTTAGGTTTGATGGTGTCACGAGCATGCTTTATCACCATCATGGCATTGGGACGTAAGTGCTCTCTTTTTCTTTATTCATAAGACTCTTTTACTGACAACTGAGCTCAGGGGCTTCTCGGGAGGCTACCACGAGTACTTTGGTGCCGAGGTAGACGAGGAGGCGGTCGTCTACCTGATGCTGGCCAACGAGATGCTGCACAAGCTGTACCCCGAGGTCATCACCATCGCCGAAGACGTCTCGGGCATGCCAACGCTGTGCGTGCCCTTCGCCCTGGGCGGCGTTGGCTTCGACTACCGCCTCGGCATGGCCATTCCGGACATGTGGATCAAGATCCTCAAGGAGAAGAAGGACGAGGACTGGGACATGGGTAACATTTGCTGGACCCTGACGAACCGTCGCTGGGGAGAGAAGACCATTGCCTATGCCGAGAGCCACGATCAAGCGTAAGTTTCATGAATCCCTAGACGATGACCAAAGCTAACCTTCGCAGGCTTGTCGGCGACAAGACGCTCATGATGCACCTCTGCGACGCGGAGCTCTACGCCAACATGTCGGTGCTCATGCCACTGACGCCCGTCATCGACCGCGGCATGGCCTTGCACAAGATGATCCGGTTGATCACGCACGCGCTCGGCGGCGAGGGCTGGCTCAACTTCGAGGGCAACGAGTTCGGCCACCCGGAGTGGCTCGACTTCCCGCGCGAGGGCAACCAGAATTCATTTTGGTACGCCCGGCGCCAGCTTAACCTGACCGAGGACCCGCTGTTGCGCTACCAGTTCCTCAACAACTTCGATCGCTCGCTCAATCTATGCGAGGAGAAGTACCGCTGGCTGCAGGCGCCGCAAGCGTACATCTCGCTCAAGCACGAGGGTGACAAGGTGATCGTGTTCGAGAGGGCTGGCCTGGTGTTCGTGTTCAACTTCCACCCGACCAAGAGCTTTACTGATTATAGAATTGGCATTGACGTCGCTGGCACCTATCGCATTGTGCTGGACACGGACACCAAGGAGCATGGCGGCCACGCCCGGCTGGACCACGGCACTCGCTTCTTTACGGAGCCCATCGAGTGGAATGGGCGCAAGAACTGCACGCATGTGTACATTCCGTGCAGGACGGCATTTGTGAGTTTCCTAAGCATTCCCTTGGGAGATTTGATTCGAGTCTGTATGCTGACTATCCCAGGTACTGGCGCTCGAGGAGACACTGGACGAGAGCCAGAAGTGATATCGCGGGGTAATGCGGGGCTCGGAATTGTAAGGACAGGTGGACTGTATCACCATCGACGTGGGTAAAATACAGACGGACGTAATAGGCGGTATCATAGAGCCTTTTTTTGGCCCCAAAAAATCGGGTTTCTTTTTGTTTTGGGTAGGCTAGAGTCATTTCAACAAGACAACAATGCAAATGCGTTCAGAGTGTTGAGATTTGAGAGTGAAAAAAAAAACGCCAAGCTCACCCTGGCAGCTTCGTCCCGGGACCTTCCGGTGGGCCGTCGCGAAGTAACTGGAGTCCAGCTGTGCAAAAATCAATTGCCTCGCAGCCTGGGGCTAATTGCAGCTAAAAAGTGTGAAATACGCGATATCGCACATTAACAATCATGTTTCCAGAATTCCATTGTAATACCGAGGCTCCCCGTGCAGCAATTGGGCAAACGCTGGGCAGGCACAGGAAAAACGGAAGCCGCAGACCAGCCCAGCTCCTGCTCTGTATCCAGTCCCGCACGGAAAGGCTGGCACAAGCAGCCCCACCTTTTGCTGGAAACGGGCAGTCTCACGTGACTTAGAGGAGTGGAGCTGCGCAGCTTCTAGCCGAAAGCTCGTCGAGAGATTTTCGAACCCGTTTTCTTCCCTCCCCCCCGAAGCCCATCTTTCCCTCACTGCACATCCACCGTCCCTCAAAGTCCGCCCTTAATCATCGTCACGATGTTCAAGAGGTGAGTGCACCGCTTTACATGTCCAGGAACTTTTCGCAGGACCTGATGATATTTTCGATGAGGTCAATTGGATTCAATTGAGGCTGACGAAAGCTTTTTTTCAAATGTCGACAGCGGCATTTCCGCCTTCGCCCGGACAGCCCGTCCCTCGTTCGCGGCGGCCACCCGTCGCGCCGTTCGCCCGGCTCCCCTTCTGAACCTCAGGGCGCCTTTGCTCAGCAGGTTCGCCAGCACCCAGCAGAACAAGGGCGTGGGCGAGGGCAAGATTCACCAGGTCATTGGTAAGTTTTTTTTTGCTGTGTTTCGTGGGATTGACGGCGATGCCCCTCACTTTGTTGAAGTTGGGCATTGCCGTCGGCCTGTCGGCAAAACTTTTCTCGGGGGCCTTGGCTGACCTTTATGTCTCATCACAGGTGCCGTCGTCGATGGTTAGTGATAGCTACACATTCTTTCGCTCTCTGTCGCCCGCGAGGCCAAAAGAGGAGAAATTATTATCAGCGGGGCATCCAGAACTGATTCCGTGCAACAGTCAAGTTCGACACCGACAAGCTCCCCCCCATTCTCAATGCCCTTGAGACCACCAACAATGGCCAGAAGCTCGTGCTCGAGGTCGCCGTATGTGCCTTTCAGTCTCCGAGGTTTAGGCTCGCAGCCCCGCAGATGCTAATTGGCCGCAGCAACATCTCGGCGAGAACGTCGTGAGGTGCATTGCCATGGACGGTACTGAGGGTCTGGTTCGTGGTGCCAAGGCCGTCGACAGTATGTTTCACAGCCTATTCTCTTTCAAAATGCAGAGGCTAACAGTTAACAGCTGGTGCTCCCATTACCATCCCGTGAGTTTTGACTTCCTCTCATGATCTGTTTTTGGACCCCCCCAACTAATTCCTGCAGCGTCGGCCCTGCCACCCTTGGCCGTATCATGAACGTCACCGGTGACCCGATTGACGAGCGTGGCCCCATCGTCACTGACAAGTACGCTCCTATTCACGCCGATCCTCCGGAGTTCGTTGAGCAGTCGACCGAGGCCGAGATTCTGGTCACTGGTATCAAGGTCGTCGACCTGCTGGCTCCCTATGCTCGTGGTGGCAAGATTGGTCTTTTCGGTGGTGCCGGTGTCGGCAAGACTGTCTTCATCCAGGAGCTCATCAACAACATCGCCAAGGCCCACGGTGGTTACTCCGTCTTCACTGGTGTCGGCGAGCGCACCCGTGAGGGTAACGATCTGTACCACGAAATGCAGCAGACCTCCGTCATTCAGCTGGATGGCGAGTCCAAGGTCGCGCTGGTCTTCGGCCAGATGAACGAGCCCCCGGGTGCCCGTGCCCGTGTCGCCCTTACCGGTCTGACCATTGCTGAGTACTTCCGTGACCACGAGGGCCAGGATGGTAAGTTTTCCAGTATTTAAAAAATGCGCGAATTATTGCTAACAGCGTCTCTAGTGCTGCTCTTCATCGACAACATCTTCCGCTTCACTCAGGCCGGTTCTGAGGTGTCTGCCCTGCTGGGTCGTATCCCCTCTGCCGTCGGTTACCAACCCACTCTCGCCGTCGACATGGGTGCCATGCAGGAGCGTATCACCACCACCAAGAAGGGCTCTATTACCTCCGTCCAGGCCGTCTACGTGCCCGCTGACGATCTGACGGATCCTGCCCCTGCCACCACCTTCGCCCACTTGGATGCCACCACTGTCTTGTCTCGTGGTATCTCTGAGCTGGGTATCTACCCCGCCGTCGACCCTCTTGACTCCAAGTCCCGTATGCTCGACCCCCGTATCGTCGGCCAGGAGCACTACGAGGTTGCCACCCGCGTCCAGCAGATCCTCCAGGAGTACAAGTCGCTGCAGGATATCATTGCCATTCTGGGTATGGACGAGCTGTCGGAGGCCGACAAGCTCACCGTCGAGCGTGCCCGTAAGATCCAGCGTTTCCTGAGCCAGCCCTTCACTGTTGCTCAGGTCTTCACTGGTATCGAGGGCAAGCTCGTCGACCTCAAGGACACCATCGCCTCGTTCAAGGCCATCCTCAACGGCGAGGGTGACGACCTCCCCGAGGCCGCCTTCTACATGGTTGGCGACTTCCAGTCGGCGAAGGAGAAGGGTGCTAAGATCCTGGCTGAGCTCGAGAAGAGCCAGGCTTAATTGGGGGGTATGTGAGCGGTGATATGCACGTGTAAAATGGGAAGGAAGGAATCGGCTCGGCGACCTGTGTATAGAAGCGAAAGAGAAACTGGTTTCCGGGGAGTTTCCCTCTGACACACTATCCTATCTGTCTTCTAGCTCAGCCCAGTTTCTTTTGTGAGCTGTGTACCAATCTATGAGTTTACCCATGTGTGCGTGTGTGTGTGTGTATGTGTGTGCGTTTGCATGTGAAGGTGAGTAGAAATCTATGGGCTACCATGATATTGCTTGTTGTGATACGTGATGTTCTGAGGTGCTTTTACGTCTTGCCTTCTAGCCATCACGCTTGAAAATCCACCTGATTTGAGATTCTTAGAACTTGAAATTCACTGCCTGCAAGCCTCCAGTGTTTGATTTTGCCTTAAGACTATTTCCACATTTTGTCAACCTACCAGACAACTTGTAGCTCTGTCTGTTGTTATTAAGTGAGGGGCCCACATATAATACAGGATTAAGCTAGAAAGGCTTTTTGCTGACAAAGGCGACTCGTACTTTAGACTTCACCTAGGTGGCCCAGGTAAGCTATAAACCACAAGTGTCATAGGAAGTGAAACAATCCCTAGCTAAATTCGCGAGAGTTCATTCAAATCATTTGTGAAAACAACTTACTGGGCCATCGAGAGAGAGTTTAATATGCTAGGCACTTCAAATCCGAGTGATCGGGTTGGACAGTTACTACTACAACTTAGTTAACTAGTCAAAATGCTATAATCGGCCATTGTTTGGAGTATCTTATATAAGAGGCCGTACAAGTTCTAGCAATTACCTAGTTTATGAAAGAATAAGTGTCATTAGATAATCTTTTCTGTGAGATCAGCATAGATTAGACGTTTGAAGAAATATATCTGAGCCGAGTCCAATTATCCAACCAAGATCAAGGGTATCACAGTCCTCTATCCCAACCTCCCAACAAAGACAAAGCCCTCCCGAAGTCCCCAACCAAACCCAATCCAAACTCAATCTTTTCTTTCTCCGTTGCTAGCCAACCCCTCCCCCCCCCCCCCTCTTTCGACTTTTCAGTTCTCCTCAATCCTCCTAGGCCCCCCTTCCCTAGCTATCCTGACCACCAACTCCCTTCTCGTTAACCAATCCCCCAAAACTTTCTCCCCCTCCCTCGGCGGCACCCATTTATCATCTCCCAACAACAACCTCGCAATTTCCAGATCGTCCTCCAACTCCAGCACCTTTTTGGGCAGTTTCAACAGCTCCTGCCACTCTTGCCCCAGTAGATTGCATATCGCGGGTATTTCCTTCTCTGCGATGCCCTCCATCCACCAGCATCGGCGTTTGCGAAGACGGAGGAAGATCAAATAGTGGGCGATGATTATGAGGGCGGGGGGACGGCGTAACTGGCGCGCGGCATGGACGAATTCTGCAGGAAGATAGGTGAAGAAGGTGACGATGCGGAGGAGGAGCATGATGCTGAAGCCTGAGGAGGACAATTCCAAGTACAAGGAACCCAAATACGTCAGGGTGGTATGATAGGCGGGTATCAGCCCGTGGTCGGGGTCGGTGGGAGGGATGGACGTGAGCATTACCAGCAAATGAGACGGTATGGCAGTTGCGGAGGCAGGCAGGTTGACGGAGGGGCGGAAGACGAGCGCTGAAAGCGCGCGCAGTCCTTCCAGGTGGGGGAGGTCTTCTGGCTGAGGAGAGGGCGCCGGAGACGGGGAGGACCGGCAGGGCGGAGATTTCGTCACTTCGATGATGGAGTTGATCCCCCGCCAGAGGACCATCCAGTCGAGGACTGCTAATGGTTTAGGATCGGGGCTGGGCCCGGACCCCTCGACGGGAGCGGGCTCAATATCAGGGCGGAAGACGTGTGTCCCTAGTCCGCACAAAAATAATGAACAGGCCAGTAGGGCGGGGTATGTCTTCGGCTCAGCTGCCTGGACTGCCTTGCGATAGGACTCGAATGCCCGTACGCGGTAGAGGAGTTCCTTGCGGGGCGGCACGGCGAGGTGTGTGAGCTGCAGATGGCGAATGTGCATTGCTGAGAGAGCGAGTAAGCAGTCCATGAGGAAGGAGTTCGCGAAGGCGTATTGGGGGACCGAGATTTGCAGGACAAGATCGACGTCGCGGTTGGGCATGCGGCCTGTGCTGAAGGACGTGTAGGTGTGTGCGGTGTAGAACCAGAGTAACCTCATATCTGTCTCATCCCTCGATGGAGGTAAGGGGAAGGGGGAATGGTAGAGAGGATAGCCGAAGGGATGGTTGGTGTGGGGGATAGGGCTTTGGGGGGAGAGGGAGAGGGTTGAGCAGGTCGAGGAGGGAGATGAGGATGGTGGCGTGTGGTGAGTGCGTTTAGGAGGGACGGGCAAATAGACACATTGCTCGTTGCGGGCAACGCAGGTGCGACAGGCTGGTCGGGACTCGTCGCACTTGACTTTGCGGGCTTTGCAGTTGCGGCAGCCGGTGCGAGACTTGCGGTGCGGGCGTTTGGGGTGGTAGGGTTTGGGGGGAGGAGTGGCGTCGCTTTCGTCTGGCATCTTTGACGGGCGTTGATGTGATGTTTATCTGATAGTGACGTTGATGATCTCGATGATAGTGGTGATGACAAGGCTGGTGTGGAGGTCAAATTGACTTGACACCTAAGGACACCGAGACACGGAGACGCAGAATTTTATAGTGTAAGTGGCCGTATCGGGAGAAATCGTAAAATCGTCTTGGGGAAGAAGTGAAGCTATTCGTAAAGTCGTGGACCTGTTAAAGCAACTGGCGGTGAGGTTTCAAGTTGAAGCCGAATTAATGCACCCAAGAGCCTCAATTATATTTTATTTATCGTCTCAACACCAATTTAGAACTAGGCTTGTTTAGAAGTACCGCGACCATTATCCAGCGCTGCACACATCACCAGCCGCGTAAGATGGCGGCGTTGAGTCTTTTGACAAATCATCGACGCAGCTGAGTTCACCGGCCAATGGGGGTTGGGCCCCTGGCACTGGGTGGCAGCAAGCGGGGGACCGTGTGAGAAGACAGTTCACAGTAGTACCAACACTGTATTACCGTTGACGCGGTACGCGTAGGATTGATGATTTACATTAGGATCTCATCTTCACTTGAGCCTCACAACGCTAATTGGGATATCCGCAATTTAAATCCAAAATGAACCTCTTCCGGCTCCCTGATGAGCTGATATTCTCAGCCCTCTGCCAACAATTCCCCTGCCGCGACCCTCAGATCCGCGCGCTGGCAACTCTTCTTCATGTAATAAGCTTTCTCACTTAGCCTTTCACCAAGAGGTCACTAATCATCCCCCTAGCCCTCAGCAGCCCCATGTCCCAACCTCGTCCTTCACGGCACCGAGGCCACAGGGAAAACCGCCATTACGAGCGCTCTCCTCTCCAAACTCTCTTCATCCCTCGATAACCAAGATGAAAAAGAAGGCCCTACCCTCCGCTACGCCATCATCAACTCCCTTGAGTGCATCACCGCGCGCCATCTTTACGAGACTGCTGTCGCGAAGGTCGCTGCCGCCTTAGAATGGGACTTGAGCTCATCAGGCCGATGCGAGTCAGTCTCGCAACTGACGGTCGAGCTGTGCAAGATGCTCAAGTACCCATCCCGGCCAGACGGGTTCAGGTTTGTGCTGGTGTTCGATGGGATTGATCGGCAGAGAGAGGCGCCGGGGACTTTGCTACCGGGGTTGGCTCGGTTGTCTGAGATTGTAAGCCTTCTTTCACTCCTCTCTAGTTTGTGGTGATGGACTAATATTGGTATAGATCCCCCGTCTAACCACCCTCTTCATAGTCACCACGCCCCCTCCATCCCTCCACCTGCACCCCCCCATCCCCCACATCTACTTCCCCCCTTATTCCAAACCCGACTATGTCACCATCCTCTCTGCCACGAAACCTCCTCCCCCGTCTCCCACAACCTCGCCTTCCGACACAGCCGACCTCTGGATGAGGTTCATTGGGGCGGTGTATGATTCGCTAGCCAAAGCCGCCTGTCGGACGTTACCGGCTCTGAAGCATGCGTGTGAGACTCTTTGGCCGAGGTTTACTGCTCCCATAGCGCAGGGAATTTATGGCGCAAGAGAATTTAGCAAGCTACTTGTCGCGGGGAGGGTCCTGTTCCAGGATGAGAACGTGCTCGAGCCGGGAGTTGTCTCTCTCCCTCCTGCCGGTAGCAGCAAACCCTCTCTTCCCAGCAATCCCAACCCCAGTTTCATCACAGCCGGGCCGTTATCTCCCGTCAAGAAGCCTCCCCAACCATCAGCTACTTTGAAGGGAACGACAACAGCAGACCTAGCAACTCTCCTCCCCCCAACCGCCCGATTATTACTTCTCGCCTCCTACCTCGCCTCACACAACCCCTCCCGCTACGACATAACCCTCTTCTCGACGCACTACCACGGCCGGAAGCGCCGTCTGGGTGGCCCTAAGTTAAAATCCTCGACCCCCGGACAGCGCAGCAAACACCGGAAGATCTCTCGCAAACTGCTCGGTGCGCACGCCTTTGTTCTAGAGAGGATGCTCGCTATATATGCTGCTGTACGATCGGAGTGGGATCCGAAGTTTAACCTGCGCGAGGGGGATGAGGTTGTGGCATTGACAGGTGATGTTGATGTGGGGATGGCGCTTGCCACCCTCGCTAGCCTGAGGTTACTCGTCAAGGTTGGAGGAGCTGGAGGGGGAGGGTCGGCGGCGATGGGGGGGATTGGACTGAGTGGGGGAGGGGGACTGGTGCCGGCCGATGTGATGGATCGGGGAGGCAAGTGGAGGGTGAATGTAGGGTGGGAGTTTGTAAGACGGGTGGGGAGAAGCCTTGGAGTTGAGGTAGAGGAGTGGTTGGTTGAGTGAGCTTGGGGAATGGATGGGTTTGAGTGAAGGGAGCGGGATAGGAAGAGAGGATATGGTGACAAGAAGGAGGTGTTGGGCCGTTTGGCCGACTTAGAGAGCCTGGATACAGGCAGACGCCAGATCGAGACACAGGCAGGTTGGAGAGGAAGCCAGTTTTCTGTTCAGATTCATCTTCAGGTTCGAGGGTGAGCATTCAAACGATGGAGCAAAAGAAGACTAAGAAGCCGGAGCAGACTCTAGACCAAACGTTTCCCTTAAGAGGACTGCAGAAAACTCTCCGCAAATACTATACCATACTTCGATATCAGAAGGCGGTCAGCTTTTCAAGTCATCATATCCAGTCCGTCTTCTTCGACTTAACTGTCGTGTTGTCCCCGTAGAATCTTGGGAGACAATCCCTTGGAAGGTTAAGGAGAATGAACACTCATTATACATAATAAAACCAAGTACATCCATGTCGAACTATGGGATCTAGACCCAAAATAAGAGCAACGCATTCTATCGCTAAGCATCAGGTCCGACCTTGACCAATATCATACCTTGATAGTTCATACAGATCGACACAGAGTCGTAATATATACGTGGGATAAACTCATTACACTACATTCGACATAACATCATACGAGAAACAGAAAAACGCCCTCTACCTATATAATAGCCTAGCCTGGCCTAACCTAACCATCCATCCGTGTATGCAAAGTCCTCATTAAGTCTAGCATCATGAGGACCCTCATTCCATGGAGTCCGTCCAAAAAAAAAAAAAAAAAGAAAGAAAGAAAGAAACACCAACATTAAGAACATACCATGTCATTTCTATCCCTCTCAAACAAAAACTAAACTTCCCCTTTGATCTCACAATACCTATATATTATCCTTCTCAATCCCCCTTCTCCCTTATTTCCTTCCCATCCCCCACCCTCCAACTTTCCTCCTGCCTACTCCCCACCGGCGGCAGGGGGGCATGAGCATTACTCATCCCCCTCTGTCTCCCCCCGCCCTGGTCACATCGTCCGTTTTTTTTAGTATCAACAATACCTCCCGCTCCCGAAGAAAACTTGGCTGCTGCCGCGCTGCCGGGGGTGGTATAATAATACCCCGACCCCGATCCAGAGCCCGACCCATCTGAATTATGGCTGACGTTATTCAGAGCCGACGGGCGACGCTGATGGCCTCCATGTCCGTAGGCACCAACACCGAAAGCGGATGAGGAGGAGATGGAGGGCACGGGGATGTGCTTTGTTGAAAGGGGGAGGATCGGTGCGGCAGCGGCGGCTTTGGAGGAGGCAGACAGCGCGCGGGCGCGCTGATCGGCCTTGTTCTTAGCGCTACTCCGATCGTAGAGGTACAGCCCCAGAAAGGTGAGGGCGATGCCTAAAGCTTGGACCTTCGTCGTCGGCGAGCGGAACCAGAGGATTGCGATGATGATTACGAAAACGCGCTTGATGAGGGACGCGACGGAGTATGTCACGGGAGAGACCATCGACAGAAGTATAAACGCGAGGATGTTCTGCCCGAAATGGAACGTCCCGTTAAAGATATACTCCAACACCAGAGGACCGTGGTCCAAGGAATTGGGCGCCTGGTTGAGATCGACGCTGCCGTCCCAGAGAAAGTCGCCTAGGATATCGAGGCCTTCGGTCCAGAACCAGATAGGACCAGTTAACAAAAAGGCGAGGCCGGAGGAGTAGCACAAGAGATTGAGCTTGTCGAGTTTGCGGGGTAGGGGGCCGTTCGGGCCGGATTCGGCTTCCGCGCGTGCGGCTTCGTTGAAGAGCCGCTTGGAGAAGATGTTTTGGGTGACGAAAATTATGGCTGCCAACAGGGCGTAGATGATGCCGAGGAATTGGCCTCCGAATTGGTGGTTACCGCTGCAGGCGAGCATGACACCTATAGTGAGGGGGATTAGGCTGAGGTAGGTGGAGGTTGGGTAGCGGATGTCGAAGAAGATGCGGTAGGCTAGGACCGTGAACAACGGGGAGAGGCCCTTAATGGTGTGGACTAGGGACACGGGGATCTTGGATGTCGCGCTGGAGGAAAGAAGGTGCCCTCCGATTTGGAACAAAGCGAGCGGGAGCGTCGTACGGATGACATCCTTCGAGGGATGGCGAATGGGGTATTTCAGAGCCGGGATCGCGGTGCGCAGACGAGGAAAGACGGACGCTAGCCAGGAGAAGAGGATGCAGTACGACGATACGAAGCCGAACTGCACGAGCGTCAGCGTCGCCGGCTTGTCGAAGGCGGTCAGGATCGCCTTGGACGAGGTGTTGGTCAGGGCGGACGACCAGTACCACATGAGGCACAGTACGATAAGCTTCCAGGAGAAGGGCGCGCGTAGCGCGTCGGCCAGGTCGTGTGCGTTTTGCGACATGCTACCCGACCGCAGGCGGTGCAGAGCATTGCTGATACTGCTTTTGCGACCGTGGCCGAAAGACGATGAGGAGCCTGGGGCCCAGCGTACGCGGCTATCGCGGCGGGCATGCCAGCGGTCGGGAGGAGGTTGCGATATGTTGGGAATGCTGCCGTTACCATTGAGGTAGCCGTTTTGTTGCCAGCGAGGGACGGACGGTGTTTGGCCGTTTAGGCTGGGAAAGGCTTGCGAGTCGAAGTCAGGAAATTTCTCAGTCTCGCCTTTGGCGTAGTCAGAAGAGGATGGGCGGGAGGGCGAGCGCGATTGCGAAGAGGCGCGGAGATGTGAGTGCGCCATGGCACGGTATTCTTCTCTTATTACCCTATTTTATTTTCCGTCTGTCGGTTTGTCTGCTTTCTCTGTCGGATCAAACGACGGCGATGACGATGGGAGACGGCGTAATCCGTGTAATCCGTCGAACGAGGGGACGATAAGAAGAAAAAAAAAAGACGAAAAGTCAAACGAGCGGAAGGGTTCAGGGTCTCGCAACGATGCACAGAACACGTTGTATCACCACGCCGGGCGACGGTCAGAACAACGTATCATGGACACAGACACGAAGCCGATGACATGGACAATGAGAAAAGTCGCAGACTTGCTCCCCTGAGTTCCTGACGACAATGATGTCTAACATCCAAAACCTGGAAGTGGAACGTCGCGACCACGCCAGCGATTGGCGCTGCGCCCTGCCATTGGCCGATTGCAGGGACCCGCTTCCTCATCTGCATGGCGTGGAGGGGCGTGCCATGTTGATTGGCCCAGAGCGATCCGTACATTAAGCTCTCTTGGCGCAAAGCCTCAGGTACGTACTGTGGCTGGGCGGAAGCTATCAAGCCACAGTAATCCCAAACTTTTGGCCGGCGCGCATCATCATCTACAGCATTGAGCATCGCGTGCATCTCGAGTTTCTCGGGATCGGCCACCAGCTCAACCTTTTTGTCATTAATATTTTCCCATTTAATGACATAACCCAGCGGGAACCATCAAGATGGCGGCCCCTAAGATGACTAAGAACCAGCTGCGCCGGGCGCGCAAGAAGGAGCTCAAGAAGGCCCAGGCCGAGGTCAGTCTCATCGTCAGCTTTCATTGGCATCTCTAACACCGAGCAGGCCAAGAGCAAGGAGGTCAGCGAGAATGAGAAGGAAGAGTCGAAAGAGCCAGAGCCAGAGGACAAGAAGCCGGTCGACCTTGAGGTCAAGAAGGACCCTGCGACACCCGATGTCGACGCAGACGGCCCGGTCATAGACGACTTCGTCCAACCACCCGAGGACCCGGCCTTCGCCGAGTACAAGGCCATCTTCGAGAAGTTTGGTGTCGTACACATCGACGAGGACAACAAGAACCAGGGCCCGAACAAGGGCGAGGTCTTCTTCGACCAGGACGACGAGATCCCCAGCGAGGACGAGGAGCAGCAGCCGAAACTGTCGAAGAAGAAGCGCAAGAAGCTCAACAAGCTGTCCATTGCTGAGCTGAAGGCTCTCGTCAAGAACCCAGAGGTCGTCGAATGGCACGACGTCTCGTCATCCGACCCGCGTCTGCTCGTCCAGATCAAGGCACAGCGCAACGTCGTACCCGTTCCCGGTCACTGGTCCCTCAAGCGCGAGTATCTCTCCAGCAAGCGCGGTATCGAGAAGCCCCCATTCAAGCTCCCCAAGTTCATCGCCGACACGGGCATCACCGAGATGCGCGACGCGATCCTCGAGAAGCAAGAGCAACAGACCCTCAAACAAAAACAGCGCGAGCGCGTGCAGCCGAAGATGGGCAAGCTCGACATTGACTACCAAAAACTCTACGACGCCTTCTTCCGCCACCAGACCAAGCCCAACCTCACGCGCTTCGGCGACGTCTACTACGAAGGCAAGGAATGGGAGGCCGACTACAAGATTTTCAAGCCCGGCGAGATGAGCGACGCCCTCAAAGAAGCCCTCGGCATGCAACCCGGCTACCCGCCCCCGTGGCTCCTTGCCCAGCAGCGTATCGGCCCCCCGCCGTCTTACCCTACGCTCAAAATCCCTGGCCTCAACGCCCCCATCCCGCCCGGCGCATCCTGGGGCTTCCAGCCCGGCCAGTGGGGCAAGCCGCCACTGGACGAGTACAACCGTCCTTTGTATGGCGGCGATATCTTCGGCATCATGAACCAGCCCGGCTACGCCACGCAACCACAGGGGCCCGTCTCGGAACCGATCGACCGCTCCTTGTGGGGCGAACTGCAGCCGCCGGCGGAAGAGTCCGAGGAAGAGTCCGAAGAGGAAGAAGAAGAGGAGGAGGGATCGGAGGTTGGTGCCGGGGAGATTCCTCCCGGCGGCACAGAAACCTCCATCAGCGGGTTCGAGACGCCAGCCGTCACGCATGCCGAGGCGCCTGGCTTGGAGACCAGTCTGGCAGGCGAATTCGACCTGCGCAAGGCCCGTCGGGGGTTCGAGACCGAAGAATCGGCTGCGCCGCGGCAGGCGTACACGGTCATTCCCGAGCGCCAAGCCCGCGTGGAAGGCTTCTTTGGGTCGGACAAGGTGTACGACTTATCTGCCGCTTCTCGCTCAGGTGTGCCTGTGCTTGGGTCAGGGGAGGATGATGCATCGAGGAAGAGGAAGAAGCCTGGTGATGTGGATGTCGCGCTGGATCCGGACCAGTTGGCTGCGGGAGGAGGATTGAGTAAGGAGGAGCTGAAGAAGAAGTATGAGGCGGGCAGGAAGGAGGAGGGGATCGGGGCGCAATGGACAAGGAGTAGGGAGTATGAGGAGGACTTGAGTGAAATGATTGCGCAGGAGAGCCGGAAGAGATTGAAGAGGGAGGAGGAGAGGAAGGGGAGGAGGTGAACTAATGGGACTAAGTAGCTTGTATGGGAACTTCTCAATAATTGGCGTTGGGGAGATAATGGGTTTTGAGGTTTGACTATTCTTCATGGATGGAGTTACTGGTAGTAATGATAGTAGTCACATAGGCTGTTGAATGGATGTATTAGGCTTGAGTGCATCTCTAGAATGTTTTTACTGGTTGTACAATGTAAGAAAGAGGAAGCAGAGAGAAAGTAAACAATCCTTGATATGTGGCTGCGTTGTCACGTTAACACAAGCCACAGTCTCCTCTCACCGGCAAACAAGCATTTTGACCCGATATGAATCTAGATTCAAACGGATTACATATGAATAACTTTTCCAATACTCGAACTCGCCGTATTGTGCCCTCAGGCATACGACGCCCAACGTCAAGAGTGGATTGCATCATAACGCAGGGAGCCAAGCTCAAGTGGGGCACAGCAGCGCGGCATCGGAGGCGTGAATTGACACCAAAGTTTAGTGAGGGGCAACACGTTGCCCCTTCATCATCTTTCGAGAAGTTCACATTGTCAAACTCGTGACTTCTCTCGAGCCCTACAGTGGACTTCTTGGCTCAAGGAAATTTTTTGTATAATTTCCTTCCGCAATTAGTTTTCACTGTTGATTCGAAGGCAGGAGAAAACAGCAAATATTTGTGTCATTACCCCGCGTTTTCTCTTCTCAACTCGACCTCACCCGAGCGCTATCTCTCTCTCTCGAGAGAGAGAGAGAGACTCTACCGATAACCGACCTCTTGTACTCCGATCAGCCTACTAATCAACACAATGGCTTTGAAACCCAAATCCGCGATAATATCCCCCCTGTCCCCCTTCACCCCCGACCTCTACCAACGCGCCTGGTGCTCCATCCCCCACCCAACCTTACCTCTTATCGCAACCGCCCACGCCAAATCCGTCACCGTCTTCTCCCTCTCCACCTTCACCAAACACAGCTCCCTCACCGGCGGGCATTCGCGGTCCGTCCGTACCGTCGCATGGCAGCCGCCCTTCGATAACGACAGTAATAAAGGAGGGGGGAAGAGGCTGAGATTGGTAACGGGCAGTTTTGATGCAACAGCCGGGTTGTGGAGTTATAAACCTAAGGCAGAAGATGAGCTGGAGCAGGAGGTTAAGTTCGGGAATGGGGATGGGAGCGACAATGAGGAGGAGGAGGAAGATGAATGGGAGTTTACCCTGGTCCTAGAAGGGCATGAGAACGAAGTCAAGGGGTTATCGTTCACCCCCTCGGGCCAGTACCTCGCCACATGTTCCCGCGACAAATCTGTTTGGATATGGGAGGATGTGTCGCTTGCTTCGTCGGACATACCTGGTATCCCCTCTGGAGAGGGGGAAGATGAATGGGAAACGGTTGCTGTTTTGACCGAGCACGAAGGGGATGTCAAGGCTGTGGCGTGGGCGCCTTCTCAGCTGCCGAATTCCCGCCCGAAAAACGCGAGTCGGTATTATAGCGCGGAATGTTTGGCTAGCGCAAGCTACGACAATACGGTGCGGATTTGGCGCGAAGATGCGGCCGAAGGACCGGGAGAGTGGGTGTGTGTGGCAGTGTTGGAGGGTCACGAGGGGACGGTGTGGAGTCTTCAGTGGGAAAGCAAAGAAAGAGAAGATGGGAGGTTTCCGAGGTTGATGACGTGTAGTGCGGATGGGACGGTTAGGGTTTGGAGGGTGAAGCACGACGAGGATGAGGACCAAGATGAAGGGCAGGGGCTGATGGGGAGGTTTGGAGCCATCCCTAACACGATGAGACGATCGTTGAAGGAAGAGTGGGAGTGTGAGGCTGTGTTGCCAAGGGTGCATTCAAGAGATGTGTACTCGATTAGTTGGAGTGCCAAGACGGGGCTGGTGGCAAGTACGGGGAGCGATGGGGTTGTTGCGATTTATGCGGAGGACCCTGATGCTCAGGAAGAGGGGGTGAGCAGATGGAGCGTGATTGGGACAGTGAAGAATGCACATGGGCCATATGAGGTTAACCATGTGACATGGTGCAAGAGGTGGGATGCTGGGATTGAGGCTGAGAGGAGGGGGAAGGAGGAGATGCTGGTTACGACAGGGGATGATGGGGTTGTAAAGGCTTGGGAGGTGAGAGTTGAGTAGGTGTGGTTGATTCGTGTGGACGGTTGGGATCTGGGATTACATAGAGAGGCTGGCGCAGATGGTAGAGGGTTGGGTTTGGAGGTTAGATGGTAATGGACAATTTCAGTGAGTTTCTTTTAGTTTTCTGCCTTTGAGATAAATGACAACTTGCTAAAGGAACTGCCAAATGAAGGGCTTTGCACGTCTCGACGTTCTGTCTCTATCGATCCATATGACTTGCCATGATTTATTTTGATGCCCCTTCCTAACCAAACAGGTCCTCTCACGTTCATGTCTCATGTCCAGGCCTTTCTCATCTTGCTAAAGCCTGGAAATGGCTAAACAAGCTGTGATAATATGGATCAGCTTAGCGTATTCATCTATCTTCATAAGCCTTTTGAGATACCTTTCACCCATTGATGAGGTGATGAGGAAAATATTTGGAACGTTCTCATGCCTACAACAAAATTGTGTTTCAGCACCATGAACGTATATCTTGCAGTGTGCTTCTCCGAAACTTCGTGGTTTCTGGCTTCACTCTAAGCTGTATCAACCATTCAGGCACTGCCTTATTCCTAGACTCCTTAGCTCTTACATCGTTGGAAAACCTTTGACCAGCTCTTGTACCACAACCAAGAACGAAATGAGCGTGACCACAAAGAATGCCTCTGGTTGATACGGAAAAAAGTGGTTGTTTGTCTGCGAGCATTTCACATGTCTGCTTGCAGAGGTAGACCAGCGGGTGAGCAGTTTGCAGCAATCCTCCCCTGCAATCTGCTCCCACAATCTGCCACTGTGGTTTGCCCCTACAGTGATCTTTTGCAACCTGTCCCTACGATATGCCATCTACTTTGGATTTATGAATTTTTTGTGAGACAATCTTGGAGATGCTGAAATATGCCGACAACCAAGACATAAAGATGTCCATCTCTGAGCTGGGGAGAGGAAGGTGCAGTAGCTGACTTCTTTTTGTTTCATAGCTTGATCCGATGATGTGACAAGGTTGCCTTTATATTGTGCATGTCTGTCCTAGGCTTCACCTGTCTCTTTTGGTCATATTCTGAGCTTCTGGAGTGCCTTTCGCTTTTCACGAACAGTCTGGTTCTCGATGTGTACAGAGTGCTGTCTGGATCCCTCTCGAAGATGTCTTCAGGCTCAGAGTTGGGACTGTGTCTTGAGGTGATGACTTGGGGACAGTGCAAATCTGTGTGTGAATTTGGAATTGAAGAGATAGTATTCAAGAATCGGTCACACTTATGTAAAAGTGTTATGTTGCAAGAGGTTATGAAGAAGTCACTGGATTAAGGAAAGACAAAGCGAGGAGTTTGGTCGAGGACAGGAGCATCGCAGATAGTCACATATGAGACCACATCTCAGTATTTCACATTCACGTGCATAATCAACTGCCAAAACTAACTACATACTTTGAACACCTTTTCCATTTCCATGTCCAGCATGCTTCTCATCATCCATGATTCCTAAACCCTGAAGGCAACATAATACTTCCCTTTCCACGAAACCTGATGAAAACAGCAAGCAAAACTTTATTGGTCTTTCTCCCTCACTGGCCCTTCTTACACCCTTCACTTTTAAAGCCCCCTGCTCGGGATTCTCAGCAATCTCGCCCTCGTCATCATTAATTCGTTGTCAACAAGGGAACTTGGAGAAGGGCATGCCAAGCTTCTTGATGATGCCTTCATAGTTTGCTCAGTGATATTAAAAGGAGGAGGTTTGTCCTTCTTGTCTTTCTTCTTGCCGTTCTCCTTTTTCTCCTTGTCTTTCTTCTCTGACTCGCCATTCTTTTCGAAGTTATTCTTTCTTATCCTTGGCCCGTCATGCTTGTGCCTCAGCTATTTTCTGACTCGCACCCAGTGTGCCACACGCCATTGTGCCAGGCGGGCCCGTGAGGTGCCGGGAACGAGATACAGTCACAGGTAGACCCGTGTATAGTGCCAAAGGTCATCCAGCGCGAGGGGCGCATCCCCGCCTTGCTGGCGCAGGAGCTTGTTCACGAGGACGACCGCTGGCTGCTCCAACAGCGGCTACGTACTGTAATACGTCCGCCCGCGAGCGTGTAGCACCCCGTTGGGCTGGCAATGTGCTTTGATATGCCGGCTACGCCCGCCGGAAAAGCTGGCAACGCTGGGTGAGGGGGTTTGTTTCTGTGTGCTGTGGTGGCGATGGCTGGCAAAGAAATGTGTGTGTTGCTGGCCATGTTTAGTGCGGATGTTGCTGCTGTTGATGGGCTGTTTAAGGGAAGAAGAAGGGAAGATTTGAGAGAAAGAGGGAGAATTTGAACTTGTGTGTGCCCCGAGACGGACATGTGGTGAAGACTCGATGCGGCTTGAATTGCTGCGACAGAGAGCGACTGTGTGGTGCTGGCTGCAAGATGGGGAGGTGAGGCCGGTGTTGATAATGATGCCAGCCGGCACGGAAGGGGCCTGCACTGAGGCTCCGCCCGCTGCTGGTGCCCGGTGCCGGTCCCCTACTCGGAACGGAGCCGGCAGATTTTACACTATTTTACTGTCGGCACCCGGGGTTCCTTCACGGAGTCAGCGGCCGCACATACATGACTGACAGCCAGTTTCCGAGTTCCCAAGCAGAGGGGCTAGGGATTATTAGAGCGACAAAGTCATTTCCCGTGCCGATTCTAGAGTGGAAAAAGCTCAAGGTCACCTATTAGGTTCAGAGTAAACGAATAACTATAGTGAACGATTAACCATAGAGGCTTCGCCATTGAACCCTGAGCATAGCCTGCCCGACCAAACACTGACGAAAAGGTGCAAAACTGTGGTTCTCCCCAATATCTGCTATTTCTGAGACAACCGAGAGGGAAGCCCATTTGTCCCCGTTGTAAAAGCAACCCGCAACCACTGAACCTATCATTCCACCAGACATTTCACAGAAGGTATACTAATTGTCCACCCATCTCAAGATAACCTTGAATCTTCAAGTGATCCACATGTGAACTGGGTCAAAGTAAAGGGGGGGGGGGGGAGCTTACACACTTCTCTCACTGCTAATATCCAGAGCTGATGTGCAAAGTTTGTCTCCACACTTGAAGTTGGTAACAGTAGGTCCTGCATTGCTATGGCTGTTAGTAGCATGTAGTGCTCAAATAGGAGCAGATGCCCTTCCCAGAACAACATTTGTTAGTAAACGCTACTCTATCTATGGCATAAACACATTTAATGTTACTACCTATGATCTCTATTCGATCAAAGGGACTAAACTCTGTGCTCATAGACGGTGTTGTTCTCCGTGCTATCCTGCGCCCAGCATCCAGCATTTGGATGTTCCCACCTAGGGTAAAGCCCCATCCCAGAGCTAACATCGGCGGGGTGCTGCATTGTTTCACTCACTGCACAAAGAAGATATCAGGCCGGCACTGGCACAGATAATCATGCTACAAAATAATGGATTATGGGGTTCAAGAGGAGGACTTGAGCGCTGAGCCCTGGAAGACAGTGTCGTTGGCGCATATCAAGAGAGACACCTTACATATGCCCACAAGTTGGACAATTCAATCACATACGACCATACCCAGTGGAAAATTCGGGATCCCGTCTGCTCTCCCATAGACAAGCCACTGAGGGCTGGGCTAGTACTCAGGTCGGAGACGACTGGGGAATCCCCAGTGTTGTATGTTTTTGAATTTTGCTCCACCGGATCTGTGAATATTTGGGCTATAACGTCAGAGGTTAGGGATGACCTGAGAAAATATTTAGGCATTGAACTAGGATAGCTGAAGAATAAATCTACAACAGTGCAACAATGACTGTGATTTGTTAGAGCTGAATCTGGAGTGATGTGTATTCAGCAGTCTTTTCCCTTTTCTCTTTAATTAGGGTGAACTTATTCTGATATTCCAGCTGGAGCTGGGAATGAATCTTGATTCTTGTCAGAAGAGCAACATATTGTGAGTTTATGACTGTCCAGTCACTAGTGGTGATATTCCTCCCACTCTTCTACACTACTTGCATCAAAAGCTCCAGAAGAATGCCTTGTAAATATATTGATTGATCACATTTACCTGAGTTCCCTATAAGACATTCAGTCCTATCTCGGACTGTTTAACTCGCTGCGCTCTGTAAAACAACCCTCCAATACAAGAATGACGTCAACCAAGTAGGCCAAATGAAGTGGAGAATACTGTCTGCAGAAAAATGAAAGATATGGATGGGGAACCAAAAAATGGGCAGAGATCTTTAATATTGAGGAATGACATGAGAGATCAAGCACAAAGATGAGTGTAGGAGCTAAATGTGAGAGCAGGGAAAGGAAAGTGAGTCTGAATGGGAGAGGGACTGAAAAATTACAAACAGCACACACTGCACAAGGACATCAACACACAAAAAATCAAAGAATCATTCATTCCTGACTGACAAAAACAGCCCCTCCCTCTTGGCTTCATGCCCAACCAGAGTAGGGTAAGGCCGTAGGTACAAGGCTAAAGAGAAGGTGCTATTTCTCTCCTGAAGACCAAAGTCTCCAACAGAGAGAGAGAAGAAACCACCTAAAAGGTGGAAAGGTTCCAAAAAATTCTTATTCCTCTTCCGCCCTTTTACCTAGCCATCCATTTGGGGGGGGGGGGAGAATGGTAGGTCGGTCTGGCTGAGGATCACCCTAGAGGGATCTCAATCTCCAGTCTTTGGCAGCCAGTCACCTCTATAAGAGGGCCTTGAACTGCACTCAACTGCTTGAAAGGAAGAAGAAAACAAGAGGAAGTTTGGGAAAGGTCTAAATGTATTTATACTTGGCAGAGATCGGTCTGTGCAGTGCCGCGTGCCGCGACTGCGGGTGCAAATGTGGGATAGTCGCATATGCGGTTGGACAGCGTTCCGGGTGAGAGGTGGGACATGAATGGTGTTAAAAGGCTCTGTTTTGCACTCGCGATACTGAGCAAGGCCAGAACTGGCTGCTTCTCCTGTATAGAAATAATCAACTCTCCATACGGGTTGGGAGATCTGGTGCATGTGCAGCCCTTGTTATATGTCGTCCAGCAAGTTCTGTGTCTGAAGCCTGCCAGAAGTTTTGTTCTTGCCCCTGGGTGTGGACACTGGTGTGAACATTGTCACCACCTTCTTAGTACATGAGAAGTGAGAAGCAAATTGACTCCAAATGATTTGATGCTCAACTGTTTTAATTGTCCTGATATCAGCTACAGATAGATGAGGAGCTCGAGGACACATCAGGACTCTCGATAATGCTGGTTGCTCGCGAATCATGTCAAGGCAATCCCAAGCAGAAACCAAGAACGACTGAAACGTCAAGCATCTACGACGATGGAGTGCTGTAATCAAACTGGCCTAGAATCTCTCAGTGTAAGCATCGTGAGTTCAGCGATCATTCACAGTTTGGACAAAGTCTAAGAGCAACTCAAACAAAGCCACATTCCACTCACAGAAACAGTGTCATCATCAGCCACACACAAAGTCCCTCAAAGTCACAAAGCCATATTATCTCGAATGCCGGTGCATTATTCACTCAACTGTCGCTGGAATCGGTTTCAGCTGACACTCTGTCAGGCATCCGAGAGATGCGATCTATGGTCATCGCAGCTGCCCGGTTCCGGACGTCCTCGGGAACTGAGCTGGGCTCATCAGTGTCGGGTTTTATCAAATAGAGCAATACCGACATTTATGACATATATCTGTTATGTCATTAAAAAGAGACATCAGAACTACATTGATGCTTCAGAAATTATGGGTTCTGTCACTTAGTCGGATACTTTTGCTCAGTTCTTCCCACAAGTAAACAATCCAGTGCGAATGCGATATGCAAGTCAGCCGGACGTTGTTTTCGCCTGAGATGGCTAATAGCAATTAAACTCAGTTTTCATGATAATACCAGAAACTTAGAGTTTATTTAATCCATTTCTGCCATCTTACGTCACCTCAAGGACAACTGGTTGCCCCTGGCATTGATTGTTTACCTAATCTTTTATGCGATCCCAGTTACCGTTGTGACGAAGTCGACCGGCTAACTAGTCAATCATTGAACATACCAGTGTTAAGTCGGTGCAATTGCAGTCTCAGAATGCTAATGAAACCACTTTGTAAAGCAAGTGGTTGCAGTTGGGAACTCAGAAGCAGTGGTTTCACCAAATTCAGTGCATGGTGGTCCTTCGCCGTTGATGTAACTAATGGCAAAGGGTCTTCGCGCAAACATCTCGCTCGAAAGGTCGAACACCGACACTTTTCGAGGAGCTCAAATGTCTTTCATCTTTCAAAACTTTTTAGTTTAAAAACAGACCATTTCAGTGGTGATCCCTGTTCCCAATATATCCCTACCACTTACTTCGCATCCAGTCCGCTAACTCCCAAGCTTATGACCAGACCGGTTGTTGCTATCTCGGAAATTGCCAACTCAGGTAGTATCGGAAGCAGTGTATTCCTGAGTCAGAGGGATCTGAACCTGGATAGCCTGGCTCGATTAATGCCCAATCCTACTGTTCTCGAGAAATCCTCAACGTCATCACAATCTCAACGCCTTCTTGATTCCCATCAAGACCGAATATGTGAAGACATGCCCCGCAGTAAGCGACAGCCTAAGGGCAAAAACCAGGCTTTTACATGTAGCGTCATCCACACTAACCCTTCGGCTACGCAGTCCAAGGCCAAATGACCGTTGCCACTCCCTTCTGTGTAGCTTCCCGGTTAACCGACTGCAGAACTTGGACAGGTTTCGGTTCGGCAGATCTTCCGAGAGCCAGATCGACACCAGACTAGGCCCTAGGCATAGGATAACAAGGAAAAGAGGATACTCGTGGAAAGATGCGATGGACTCCTGAGTGGATGGATTCGGAATCTTCATGATCGAGAGCAGGCTGATAGGTTTCATCCTCTCCATGACCAGGATATGTGCAGCCATCTGTCTGTGGTCTTGATAAATTGGAAGAGATTGGCATATGATTGCGCACCACGTAATGCCAATTTGTGAGTGTCTCATTGGGCGTTTTGGTTGGTGAGGGTATTTAATTCTCCGACTGAGATCCGAAGGGTTGCTCGACTTCATACAAGCTTAGAGAAACGACACTCGCAGACAACCATTCAGAGAATGATGAGTCCATCTAAGGCACTTAGTTTTAATTGAATTCCCATCAGAAACTCGTCTTACTCGAGAATTCTCAAGTCGAGAACCTTGTGCTTAACCATCCTTAGATTGAGGCCGCGCCCCTTCAGCGATCTCCCGGCAACAGCCAACGACATCGAGCCGAGATAGCGCCTCGAAGATCTATTCCATCACAAACGACAATACAACCTTATGTTGACACTTTCCCATAAAAATTGAGGAGACGTGGTGGCGATATCCAGTCCATCCAGCCTTGTAAGTCTACCGCATAACCCAATCCGGCATGTGCCAAACAAGATCAAATCCCACGTTACATTTAAACTGATGGCCTTCGGCGGCGTCACCACCCAAGCGATCGTAACAGGACAACTTCCCAATTTTACGCACACCGACCTATGCGGGCGAATCGTAACACAATGAGCATGTGCATATACGCCGGCAATGTCAGGTTAGGTATCATTTAGTCCAAAAATCCAGTCCTGTATAACCTCGCCAAGATCGCCCCAAGCTGCATCCATTTTACCCCGGATTTCTCCCAGCCGACCCGCATAGATTGCGCCTATTGTTCCGGACCAGTCGGCAGCATTGCGGCCGCGGCAGTCCAGGACCTTGTGCCCGCCGGGCTGGGACCCCTGTGACCGTTTGTTTTCTTCTGTGATCAAACGGCCCAATTAGAGAAAATCGCAGGACGGTGTTTCATGCTTACACCTACCCACTATATACCTATACCCTACATGGGTAACCATCCAAAGCAAGGCCACGCAACCTCGGAACATTGCGCCGAAAGGAAACAATTTTCTTTCTTGGTCTTGTTCTCTGTTTCCCCGCGGGGCACGCAGCGCAAGACCCGGTCCCGGTACCGAAGGTCTCAGGATTGATATCCGGTTGGATGCTTTCCTTCTTTCCGTATCCAAGCCCACTTGAGACGAGCGTTTTACCGCTTGCTTGTGCTTTGTCTCTTCCCAAATCAGGTTTGCACAGCAGGTAAACTTAGATCATAGCCTTTCGAGCGAACGAAGCTTGTACATTGCCGGAGCGTCCATCTGCCGGGAACCGAACCGACGTTGTATCATAGGCTGTTCACATTGGTAAAAATGTTCACTTGAGGATGGCATTGGGTTATGCGTAGGTTGCATTCTTGTTTATATGACGGCACGCGCCTACCATACTCCTCAAGACTCCTGGATAGATTGGAGCCCTACCAGAGATGTCTCTGCGCCGGATCCAATATGCCGATGATGGCTTCCGGATTGCGGGGGTTGGGTAGAAAGAACAAGGGTTTTCGTGGGTTACTGAGTCTTGGGACTGCCAAGTGACGGAGGGAACGGAGGGATGGAAGGGCGGCTGTGAGACCGGAGGATACCGTCCTGAACCAAGCTGGGGAGGAGGTATATTAGTCCCCTTCACCCATCCGTCCCTGACTAGTTGTTCTGGTTGATTGAGCAAGCGCCGTCTAGTCCAACCCAGTGCTCCTAGCGGTCACGGTGGTCAGCTGTCACCATCATGGCGCGCATCACCCTGCTCGGGCTGCTCAAAGCCGTGCCCTGGCTGCTGTTGGCTCCGGACCTTGTGTCCGGCGACGCGGTCAAGGACCTGCAAGACCGGGGTCGGCCGAATCTTGATGCGGCGATTGCGAGGTCCTCGACTTGTACGAAGGAGAAGCTTCAGGTTAGGCGGGAATGGTATGTTTCTTGTCCTCCTCCTAATGTGGAAGTAATAATGGATGAGAGGGATAGGTTGCTGATGCAGACCAGGGGCGACATCTCGGCCGAGGAAAAGAAGGCCTACATCGCCGCCGTCAAGTGTCTCCTCCAGAAGCCGTCGCGCTTGGACCCTGTGCAATTCCCTGGCGCCAAGTCGCGGTATGATGACTTTGTCGTCGTGCACATGAACCAGACCTTGACTATCCACGGCACTGTAAGTCTCTCCAGAAACCGATGTTGGTTATGGCCAGTCAGCTGATGCCACACAGGGAAGCTTCCTCACCTGGCACCGTTACTATACTTGGGCGTTTGAAAAGGCCCTTCAGACGGAGTGTGGCTATCAGGGGACTCAGCCGGTAAGTCATCCATAAATATATATCCTCCTTTACTCCCCTCAAGAACTCAGGCTAACAGCCCACAGTATTGGGACTGGGGACGCTGGGCCCAAGATCCCGAGAACTCGCCCATCTTCGATGGCAGCGACACCTCGCTCTCCGGCAACGGCGAGTACATCCCGGGCCACCGCGGGTCCGGCGTCGTTCCCGCCGGTAACGGCGGTGGCTGCGTCAAGACCGGTCCCTTCAAGGAGTAAGCCCCTCCCCCCCTTACCTCTCCCCCATTACCTCCTCGTTTTATTGCATGATACTAACCTCCCTCCCCTAGCATGATCGTCCACCTAGGCCCCGTCGCCCCTGCCGTGGATCCCCCACCTCCGGCCAACCCTCGCCCCGACGGCTACGGCGACAACCCACGCTGCCTACGCCGCGATATCTCCAACCAACTCAGCAGCCGCTACCTGCGCACTGAAGACATCGTCAGCTTAATCACAAACTCTCAAAACATCGGCACCTTCCAAGACGTGATGCAAGCCGTAGGCGGCGGCTTCGGCGGCGGCTTCGGTGGCGGCTTCGGTGGTGGCTTCGGCGGCGGCTTTGGAGGAGGTTTCGGCGGCGGTTTCGGCGGCGGTCCCGGCTTTGGAGGCATGGGCGTGCACGGTGCGGGACACTTCACCATTGCGGGCGATCCAGGCGGTGATTTCTACACTTCGCCGAATGATCCTGCTTTCTGGGTGCACCATGCTATGATTGACCGGACGTGGACAATCTGGCAGAGTTTGGATTTGAATGCTAGGACGCAGGTGGTTGCTGGGCCGAGGAGCATGATGGGTTTTGGGCCGCAGTCGACGCTGGATGACTTGATTGACTTGGGGGTGGTGGCGGATAAGGTTTATCGCATTCGGGATTTGACGAGTGTGGTCGATGGGCCGTTCTGCTACGTCTATGAGTGAGCAGGGAGTTAAAGCAGAGTGGGATCGAGGGAGCTTGCTTATTCAGTAACAGAATTGATGCATTTATATTTTCCCATCTATCCCAGAGCATGCATTAGCCTGATCATAAACACGTCATGATCTCTATGTACCCCCAAAGACTTAAGCCACAAGAGCCTTGATATCACCCTCCTTTAGCTTGCCAGCGCCAACCAACCGGGACACCTCCTCCTTCCATACATTCTTGATCTCATCAGCCACAGTCAAACCGTTGAGCTTACCAGCCAAGGCGGCAATCTCATCGGCATCAATCTTGGTAATGACGAGATCAACATCGTTGAGCACGGCATCGATCGTCGCAGCAGAGGCCTCGCCCTCCACAAAGTAGTTGGCCTCCTTGACGGAACCACGCAGCACACGCTTGTTCTTCTTGACAGCATTCTTCGCTGCTTCCTTGGCCTTCTTGGCCGCCTCACGCTCAGCCTTGGCCTTCTCCTCAGCCTCCTTGCGGGCACGCTCTTCGGCCTCTTTCTTCAGACGAGCCTCTTCGGCCGCCTTACGCTCAGCCGCCTCACGCTCCAGGCGCTTCTTGTTCTTGGCAGCGTTGGCCTCCTGGCGGAAGCGCTTGATGCGCTCATCGCCAGCCTGGGCCTCCTCAACGAGCTTGCGCAGACGGGCGTTGTCCTCAGCCTTCTTCTTCTTGCGGGCATTAGCATTCTTGCGCTCCATGTGGCGCTTTTGGTCGCGGTTCTCGTTGTCGTCGGGCACGTCCTCGTCGAGGTACTCGAAGGAGCGCCAGCTGTCAAAGTTGTACCAGAAGTTGTAGAAGGCCTCGACCTCCTCGCGCGTCGAGTTCTCATTGCCGAAGCCCGGCACTGGCTGGATCTTGCTGAAGCGCGCCTCATTCTCAAACACCTTGCCCCACAGCTCATAGTAGTTGCCCTTGGCCAGCTGCTTCTTGGTCGGCGGTGGTATGTCGGCCTCCTCGTCGACCGAGTCGAACTGCCGGCGCTTAACAGGGTCCAGCAGGATCTCAGCCGCCTTCTGGATGCACTTGAAGAAGTTGTCGTCATCGGCACGGCCGGCGGCAGCCTTCTTATCGGGATGGTGCTTAAGCACCTTCTTGCGGTGGGCGCGCTTGATCTGATCCTCGGTGGCACGCCAACGGTATTTGGATAGGCCGAGTACCTTGTAGTGATCCTGGGTTTTCCAGTCCTTGGCGTCGCGGGCCAGCAGCATGGGGTCCTCTTCCTCGCTGATGTCACTGTCGCTGTCCTGCTCGATCTTCTTTGCCTTTGCCTGCGCTTGTATCCGGTCATCCTCGGAGAAGGTACGCTTGTGACGGACGCGGCGGGCGTGCGCGAGGAAGTGTGGGCCGACGGGCTCAAGGGTGCGCATCGACGAGCCCTCTTGGGTCAGCTTGCCGATGGCCTTGAAGTCCTTTTCGGCTGCCCAGCCCTCGGGGAGGGTGGGCAGAGGCAGCGAGACGACGGTCGCGTTCATGGTTCAGACGGTGTTGCGAGTAGTCCGGGGGCTAGTCGCTGTCTGAAGGTTGGTATGGGGGGGATGTATTTACCAAGGACAAGTGGTGAGCGTTGGATGGAGGGGCAAGTGAAGTTTTGGGCGGCGTCTGGATTTTTTTTTTTGGGTCTCGCCCCGCTAAACTTGGGATCCAGCCAATCATAGACCACAGAACCAGGCTTTACCTCCGCTGCAGGCGGGCATCCAGTAGGCCAGTACTAACCTTGTCTTTCTAATGTTCGGGTCCGACCGAGCGTCTACTTCTTGAGCGCTGTAGTTGTGTCTTGCCGACGTCAGTCATTAGATCAATTGGCTCCCCAGACGCCCGCGCCCACAGCTCTCGTCCCGTACCAGCCCAATAGTCCACAATGTCAGCAGCCATCCATGCCTACAGACACCTTCTGCGTGCTGCGCGCATTGCCTTCGACGGTGCGTCCTCTCTTCCATCTCATCCTCCATACTCACACTGATCTCTTCAATCCAGGTGACACGAGGGTTCTTGAAGCCGCAAGGCAGCAGATCCGGCAAGGGTTTCGGGAAAAGGCTTCGCTGCCAGCAGATGACCCGTCCATCGGCCCCGCTATCCAGCATGCCGAAGAGGTTGCCCAGTTCCTGAAGACCAACCTCGTCCAGGGCCGCAAGGAGGGTGACGTCTACAGTAAGTCGCCGCTGGGATGCATAAGCGCAACCTTTCACAAGACCCAAGGCTAACAAGAGATTCAGAGCTTCGAATCCACGAGCACACCGAACGCGGTGACAACGACAGCGTCAAGAAGCCCAAGAACAACTCCAAAACGGACCCAAACTTCAAGTGCTGCTCCGAGAGGTAGTAAGTCGAGGAGCAGTTCACACAGACATAAACACCAACCGTGAGGCTTGTCACTAGACGGGCAATAACAGGTCGACGAGGACTGGAGAATGTACAGTCATGTGGCAGGGGAGCCTGCCGTGTATTTATAAAACCGTCTATGATACCCCTCAGTGTAACAACAGGATGAACACGAGAGCAGAAGACAAGATATCATGCCCCAACACTAAGGCCAACAGATCGATTCAGAGAGTCATGTCGTTGCTTGCCAGAAAACCCAGTCCCATGTATTTGCGCCCAAACGCCGTGCCAAAGACGAGAACAAGAAAAAGAAAGAAACAAAAAGAAACAAACCACAATATGACTTCTAGTTGCCCGCCAGACTGGCATACTGCACGTCGGCAGCACCAGGAGGGGCAGCGATGGCAAGGTCCGCGAGGTCGTCCTGCTGGGCCTCGGCAGCAGCACCGCCAGCAGCACCGCCGGCAGCACCGCCCTGCGCACCAGCAGCTTCGATGGCCTTTTGTGCGCTCTTGCGATTTGCCTCGGGGAAAGCAGACCGGCCATCGCGCAGCATCTCCGCGCGCTCCTCCTTATTCATGGTGCCAATCGGCCGGGGGATGCTCCAGCGGATGCGCAGCGGGCAACCAGCAATGACAGCACGCCCCTTGAGCTCCGTCGCAGCCTTCTCAGCGCCCTCACGCGTCTCGTAGTTGACAAACGCGCAGTGTGTCATGTGTGAAACGACAAGCGACTTAATCTTGCCGTACTGCTTAAAAAAGTCGCGGATCTTCCACTCCGGCAGGTCGTCCTCGATGCCCGTAATGAACAGTGACATAATGCTCTTGTCCGCCGGCGGCAGCCAGTCCTTAGGGCCCGGAGGGGGAAGAGCGGCGCCGGGGCCGCGGCGCGCACTGCCCGCACCTCCAGTCCTCGCACCCGCTGCAGCCGCCGCTCGTGTATCGCGCGTCCGGATCGGTCCTGCGCCGCCCAGCCCGGCACCGACAACCGCATTGCCGCCAACCGTGCTACCACTGCCGCCCGCGACGGGGTTGCCCTCCGAGTCCAGCTCCCTGCCCTTACGGAAGTAAGGCTTGCTGTTGGCCAACCGGCGCAGCAGCTCCCTAGCTTTCTCATCTGTTTTCTCATATTCCTCCACACCAGCTCGGCCCTCCTCAATAGCGCGCTCATTATTCTGCGCAAAATACTCGCGATTAATCTCGCTCTGGGGGCCGGGGGCGATCAACTCGAGGGCCTTGTCGCGGATGACGATGGGAAGGCCGAACTGCAGATCCATGATGCAGCACTGGCAGGCGTTCTTAAGGCGGGCGCACGTCAGGCAGATGTTGGTACGCTTCTTGCGACCGTGGGCGCGCCCGTCGCCCGCCCAGGAGAACACGGTGAAGGGCCGCGTACACAGCTTGCACTCGGCACCGTAGTCCTCTTTCAGCATCTTGACATACGGGTTCTCGGGCAGGCAGTTCTCGCAGACGGAAGGGAAGTCGGTCGACTCCCAGCCAGCGCGGTTGAGGTCTTGTTTGATTTGCGGCGGCATCGTGGTTGGTCGGCTTTGTCGGTTAGTAGTTTCTGTTTATCGCTGGGGATGAATCTCGATTGCGGAATTCGATTCGGATCGCTTATTGCGACTCTTGGGAAATATTTTTGGGTGGCAAATAGTGGAATCGACCGTAGACAGAAAAAAAAAGTCACAGCCCGATCGACGAGGTTGCGGTTGATGCAGGCGTGGGGTGATCTTGCATTGGCGTTTTGGATTGGCAGAAAGCCAAGCCGGCAGCTCGCTGTGGCTCGTTGCCTTGCTGATAAGATTCTGACCACTGCGCTCAAGATTCTCCGCCACACCGCCTTGGCATCCTGTGGCTGTAACTTGGTTCGTGCGCTCTTATTCGTGTTCGAGTTCGCGCAAGCAAAACATTCACCGCCTTCCTTTCCTACAGTGTTTTCGAATTCGAGTTCGATTTCGCGCTTGTAGCGGCATGTTTGCTGTTGCTTCTGTCCAGTTGTCCAGCGCACTGCAAGCACATGCAACAGAAGCTCAGCTAGGCTCGCCCCTTCTTTCGGGCTGGGAAGTGGGCATATATGTCCGGTTGTCTTGAACGTCGTGATGGTTACAACAGATAGGATTTCACTCATAGAATATGTAAACAAACCATGACTTAAACCGTGACTTGTGATCGAAGTCTCCCCGCTCCCTCATCCAGACCGCCATGTTGATGTGCGACCACATCATCGCTTTCTGCCCCAAGTGCCTGACGCAGGCGTTCGGGCCCATGTGCTTTGGTGGATCCTTCCCCACAACTCCCGTTCCCTTGCCCTGAATCGATGCAATTGGGCCAATCGATGCGCGGCATTCTGCTGGCTTCACATCGGCTATCCGCGACCCTTGCCCCTTTTCCCAAGGGAATCTTCCGGCGGGTTGTTCCTCTTTAAAAGTGAAGACCTGCCAGCTTGGATAGGGGGGTACCACCAACTTTTTTTTTCTGGACACTGTTCAACACGATTTCGTTTCTTGTGCCCTTTAATCCGCCCACCTCTCCGTTCTCCTCTTCGAAATACTTTCTCCCTGCACAAAATTCAACATGGCTCCAGCTGCGAAAGACATTCCCCTCGAGAAGGAGGACTTCGAGCGTGATAAGGCCTTCATGCAGGCCCTTCACGGCAAGTCCACCGAGGCCAAGGGCGGCTTCAGCGCCATCCTCAAGAAAGACAAGGAGGCCCAGAAGATCGCTGTTGAAGAGTACTTCAAGCACTTCGACAACAAGCGCGCAGAGACGGAGACCCAGGCCGACCGTGAGGCGAGGACACGGGAATATGCTACCCTGACAAAACAGTGAGTCCACTGGTCTCTTTCCTCGGCTCTGGTTTGGGCTCAGGCACTGACTTGTTTTGTTTCCAGCTACTACAATCTGGCTACCGATCTATACGAGTACGGCTGGGGCCAGAGCTTCCATTTCTGCCGCTACTCGATCGGCGAGCCCTTCTATCAGGCTATTGCCCGCCATGAGCACTACCTCGCCATGAAGATCGGCATCCAGGCTGGCATGAAGGTCCTGGACGTCGGCTGCGGTGTTGGTGGCCCGGCCCGCGAGATCGCCAAGTTCACCGACGCCCACATCACCGGTCTTAACAATAACGACTACCAGATCGAGCGTGCTAAGCGCTATGCCGCTCGTGAGGGCCTTTCGCACCAGCTCGACTTCGTCAAGGGCGATTTCATGGTATGTTCTGCACATATCTCGGCGAAAATACTCAGGTGCTAACTAGCACAGCAAATGAAATTCCCAGACAACACCTTCGACGCCGTTTATGCCATCGAGGCCACCGTCCACGCCCCCAAGCTAGAGGGCGTATACAGCGAGATTTTCCGCGTGCTGAAGCCCGGTGGTGTCTTCGGCGTGTACGAGTGGCTGATGACCGACGAGTACGACAATAACAACCTGGAGCACCGTGACATCCGCCTCGCCATCGAAGAGGGCAACGGTATCTCCAACATGGTGACCATCTCGGAGGGTCTGGCGGCCATGAAGGCTGCTGGCTTCGAGCTGCTGCATCATGAAGACCTGGCGGCCCGCCCTGATCCTATCCCGTGGTACTGGGGCATCGCCGGCGAAATGAAGTACATGCAGTCCTACTGGGACCTCTTCACTGTCCTGCGCATGACCCACGCCGGTCGTCGGGTCGTGCATGTCTTCACAGGCTTCCTTGAGACCATCGGCCTGGCTCCCAAGGGCACCAAGAAGACCGCCGATGCTCTTGCCAAGGGTGCCGACGGTTTGGTAGCCGGTGCCAAGAAGAACCTCTTCACCCCAATGTACCTCATGGTCGGCCGCAAGCCGGCGAACTAGACATGCGATGAAAGAGTTGGCGATGTGTATGATGATGTGATGTTGGAACGGATACAGGGTGTAATAATGTAGAGATGGGCACTGGCAAAGGGATCACGGATATGATATATCGTCCTAATAATTGTCCTCAGGAAGAAGCACTGTCGATTTTAAGTGCTGACAGGCTCTTTTTTGGTTGGGCCAACCATTTCACTGTACATACCCATTACCATACGAATACCAAGACCGTAATAGATGCTGACACACACATCGGGCTCTTCGCGGTGGGACCCCCAATTGGGCTTATCGGCGCGTTACAGGTGTTGACCTGCGAACATCCCCACCGGCTTTCCAGATGACACTTGCATTGGATGGCTGACAACGCTGCTGTTTGCTTCGCTTATCTGTATGTTACGGCAGGTACTCCCAACTGCGTACTTCTGCGTACTTGCCACGAATGGCTCAATAATCGCCCTGAACTCTCTGTGCGGTAAATGAACTAAAAAAAAAAAAAAAAAAAACAAGCACTGGTAATTTGGCCCGCTCTGCTTGGCTGCTTGACAGCAGAATTCAACGCTTGATTATCAAAAACATTGTCAAGTGGAAAGCCCCACTCCGGCAGCTTTTGTGGAGCAGCAAAGCTGTCAAAGCTTCACAAAGTTCAGGGTTTCGGCTTGCCAAGCTCCGGTCCGCCCAGCAGGGTTCAAGGGGCTAGTCCGTTCTCGCACTAGCGCGGATTTATCGTTGGGGGTCCAACGTCAAGTCCGGCTTCCTGGACTTGCTGGTCCCAAGACCTTTGTGTGTTCCAATCGATTGCACAGTCGCAAAGAAAATTTCCCTCCAACACGCTCACAACCCTCCAGCTCCCCGTCTTGCATCACCGCCCTCCCGTGGTGTTCGTTCTTGAAGCCATTTTTTGATCGAGCTACCCCTGTATCCGAACAGCAGGCCCTCTCGATCCACATCCATTTGATACCTTGCACTTTTACCTACCCCTACCCTATCTGCCAGGTGCCCCTCTTCTCTACAACCTTAATTTTCAACGCCCAACCACCACAACCACCACCCCCAAACCCTTAACCATCATCGCCAACGTCATTATGTCGCGCTTCCTCCGGCCGGCCTTCCGTTTGGCGACTACCGCCACGCGTGCTTCGACCATCCGTCCTACTCCTTCTTCTCTCATCACCAAGGCTGCTGCCGTCCCTACCACCAGGCTACTACAAAAACGGAGCTATGCCGCCGAGGCGACGGGCGTCAAGGAGTACACGGTCCGCGAGGCCCTGAACGAGGCACTCGCTGAGGAACTCGAATCCAACCCGAAGGTGTTCATCCTGGGCGAGGAGGTCGCCCAATACAACGGCGCCTACAAGGTCACTAAGGGCCTGCTAGATCGTTTTGGTGAGAAGCGTGTTATTGATACGCCCATCACCGAGATGGGTTTCGCTGGTCTCGCTGTTGGTGCTGCACTTGCGGGGCTGCAGCCTGTTGTAAGGACCTCAGGGAACTACGATATTCGAATCTCTAAGCCGATGCTGACTTATACCCCCAGTGTGAGTTCATGACCTTCAACTTCGCCATGCAGGCCATCGACCACATTGTCAACTCCGCCGCCAAAACCCTCTACATGTCGGGCGGTATCCAGCCCTGCAACATCACCTTCCGCGGGCCTAATGGCTTCGCCGCTGGCGTGGCCGCCCAGCACTCGCAAGACTATGCCGCTTGGTACGGCTCGATCCCCGGTCTGAAGGTCGTCTCCCCTTGGTCGGCTGAGGACGCGAAGGGTCTCCTCAAGGCGGCCATCCGCGACCCCAACCCAGTCGTGGTCCTCGAGAACGAGCTGATGTACGGCGTGTCCTTCCCCATGTCAGAGGCCGCGCAGAAGGACGACTTCGTCCTCCCCTTCGGCAAAGCCAAGATCGAGCGCGCCGGCAAGGACCTGACCATCGTGTCCCTCTCCCGCTGTGTCGGCCAGTCTCTCGTCGCGGCTGAGAACCTCAAGAAGAAGTACGGCATCGAGGCCGAGGTGATCAACCTGCGCAGCATCAAGCCTCTGGACGTGGAGGCCATCGTCAAGAGCGTCAAGAAGACGCACCGCCTGCTGGCGGTCGAGTCTGGCTTCCCCGCCTTCGGCGTTGGTGCCGAGATCCTCGCGCTCACGATGGAGTATGCGTTTGATTATCTTGACACCCCGGCACAGCGCATTACTGGTGCCGATGTGCCGACCCCGTATGCCCAGAAGCTGGAGGAGATGAGCTTCCCCACGGAGCAGCTTATTGAGGATTATGCTGCTAAGATGCTCCGCGTTTAAACAGGGTAAGAGAGGGGGTCCAGGGGTAATAGACTGAAGTGAGGGAAGGCCTTCCAAACACCTCGCGGCGTTTGGGCCAATGGATGGATTACATGACAAACAGATACACCACAAGCATCGCCTGCTCGTACGCATATATCTACTATTTTACTTTGTGCCCATGCCAACACTGGAGAGGGAAGGGGCTGGATCTTTGGTGATGGTGGTTGGTAATGGTCTAATAGACAGGCTGCCGGGAATATCTGGGTGTTATACAAGCAAGCAAATGTTATTATGTTTTTTTCCGTCATTATTTTCTGTGAGTCCTGCCGTTAGCATGAAGCAGAGCCATACATACCCTCTTGCCGCTCAGCTTGCTCTCGTTGTGTCACGGTTGAGAGCGTGGTGTGTCGAGAGAAGGAGTCGTTGACATTGGTGGATGATCGATCCATGTTAACTAAAATCCTTGAAGAGCAGTCCCATCCATAACTAACGCAACGCCTACCAGCCTTCACCATATTTCATTACCTCCTCTTGATCGCCAAAATACCATACTTCCAGATCTCATCTCCTCCATATCAAGTAACGATTATCTTCCCACTACAAGGCCCGACCCCGGCCACAAACCCTACCTCTCCCTTCCCTGCCTTAACAAACTTCGTCTCATCCGCATACCCCTTCGGACACGTCTTGCCTTTCTTGGCCCCCTGCTTCTCGGTCTGCACAACCAACCTTGTGCACGGCGTCCAGGGGGACTTGTCATTGAACAGCCACCCTGTGCACCCGGAGCCTGGACCCTGCGGCGTAAACTCGGGCGCGGCATTGTCCGCACATAGCTGGCAGCATTCTGCAGCGCTGGAGGCCGGAGGGTCGTAGAGGGTATCGTAGAGTTGGGGGCCAGAGCCCAGCCAGGTTATGTTAGTGAGGAAGTCGGAGGAGTTGGTGCAGAGGGGGTGGGTTATGGTGAGAGGGGAAGTGTCGTCTGTTGGGTTGGTGGGAGGTTGTGTGAGCTGTTGACATAGAGGGTTAGTTGGGATTGAGTGCAACACGGGAGATGGAAGAAGATTGACTTGCCGTTGTGGAAATCATCATCGAAGTAGCCGTCATCTGGGCGTCCCCCTCCATGTCAGAGGAATCACCGGCGCCGCTGGCGGCGGGGTTAGTCACCTCGGCTTGAGCGGACGTAAGAGAAGAAACGGAAATGATCGTGGTATAATCAGAAAGAGAAGAAGAATCGCCAGACCTATGATGGCCCGTGAAGAACCCCATTGCGCCCAAGATGGCCAGCACCACCCCACTGATCCCCAGGAAGGTGATTGTAATGATCAACCAGCCCACGCTCGAGATGCGGCGGTACCAGGGCATTTTAGGCGGGTCGTCCCAGACGTGTTGACGCATGGCAGTAGGCGAAGTGGTGCAGTTAGCTGCTTTGGCGGTGGTGTCGATTTCAGGGAGGTAAGAGTCGTGTGGGTTAGGAACGGTGGCAGTGGTAGGGGTTTGGTGCTGGTGGGATGGTGGGGGGGAGGAGTTCGCGCCCGTGATTTGGGAAGATTCCGTAAAGTATTCAGGACCTGTGGCTACGAACTCTGGAGGGGGGTTTGGCGAGGTTTCGACGTATTGTTGTGCGCTCCGAGAGGCTGGAGCAGGAAAAGAGAGCGTGTTGAAGCCTGGCTTGCGCGGTTCGGATGAATGAAAGGCCTGAGGAGGCGTTGACATGTTCCCTGGTCCTCAGAGCGCGTGACTGCCGAAGTGTTAAATTTGTTTTCTTTTTGTTTGAATATCGAGGGATGTTTTCAGGAGAAACTGTGATATGGCAGATGGACAATTAACTGACACGACAAAAAGGCACAGAAGACAACATCTACAAGGGCAATCGGGGGACTTGCGGCAATTCTTAAAAAACGACAAAGATCAAGTTATCAAGGACATCCTGAAATGAAGTTTAACATAGACAACTGAGCGAGAATCTCAAAAGAGTCAGACTGACCACTCACCTTTTGGGCCCCGTGTCAACCGCAGCGACTGTCAAAACCGCTCGATGACACCGACGATAAAGCACCAACCAATCTATTCCTTTGAGTTTAATAGACCTTATCGCTTGTCATGATTTCCGGCAGCTGCCTATCTGAAGGAAGGTATCCAACTGCCCATGTATTACTGCATGAAAAGAAGTCGCGAGTGGTCGTGCAATGGGACGCGGGGACGGACCCGATCTCACTTTTCAAACACAAAACAAGAGGACAGAAGCGATCTAATCGGACAACTTGAGAAACTCTCGCAATCAAAAGCGTCACTTGGCCTGCTGGTGCAACCTGATGGCTGACCAAAAGCCCTTAAGCCCGATGGCCGCTCCGTTTCAAGGCGCTGTGTCAGGGATCGAGGTAGGACCCGTGGTCCCGTGGGACGGACTGACTGAGCACATAGGCTTGAGATGAGCAATGGAGAAAGAAAATCTATCATTACTGAGTGATCTATCTGCTCAGCAATTGTTTGTTCTCATATTCTTTTTAGGGTAAGATTCTGGGAATCCGAAACAACATATGCAGGCGTGTACTTGGATGCTAACAAAGGCTTGGACTCCAGTTTCATTGTTGGACAATGCATAGTGACTGCAGCAGAAAGACAGCGCATTGTCGTCTTTATGAAGAGCCTCATTACTATGACGCAAACGGAGCTGGGTCAGAGACAAACGTCTGGATATACTACACTTCACTTTTGCCGGCATACCACCGCTACCCGGTGTTGTGTAGCTTGACGTCCGCTTTTGCAGCAGTCAGTCGTCCTTAAAAGCAACGACAGTATATCGAAGAAGGATAAAACGGTAATTCCATCGCTCATACTGTTGACTGTAATATCATGTTAAGAGTCATATATCGATCGCCGAGAAGAACCCCAGATCCGGTGGGCCGGTTCCTCAATACAATTATCCAACTCCGAGCTCCAGGAATCTGGCTCATTCAAGTCACTCCAAAACGGCTACCAAAATCTTAAAACAAAGCTGGTAACACGACAGACATAAGACTTGAGCCAGGTTGACAACTTTGCATGACTGGAGCTTGCAATTGCAGGGGCCCTCGGACAAGTACCACCCACATATTAATAAGGGACTGTCTGTTGTACGACATCATAACGGTTAATCGACACAGATACAGAGACTGAAGCTCAAACTCCTCCTTTGGAGTCAGGTTCATTGCCATATCAGAGCCTTTGACCTTGGGGGCGCAAACTCAGAGTGAAAACCGGCCAGGCAAAGAAACGCTAAACGGGAAGTCGAGACGATAAAGGAACAAAAAGAAGGGAGGGAAATGGCAAATGAAAAAAAAAAAGATTGGAATACACTCTCAAAGTCGGAAATACCTAACTCTCCACAGAACGTTGTCTCTCAGCCTTAACATATTCCGTACATCCTGGTCTGATGAATATCTCCCTGGCTGTCGCTTCAAGGCTCTATTCTGCAGCCTCTCCTCCTTCTTAGGTACCATGTGATTGGCCACATTTCAACAAAACATGCTAGCCCGCTTGGCTCAGTGGTAGAGCGTGACACTAGTAGGAGTACATCCGAACAATGTCAAGGTCGTCAGTTCGATTCTGGCAGTGGGCAGCTGCTTTTCCTTTTGCAGGATAATCCTGCCTTCACTTTTGCATCTCATAGTCTTTTGTTTCTTTGTTTCTGCTGAGTTCTCCCGAACTGATTGAATTGTTCTCTCAAAAAGAGAACAAAGATTCGTTGCTATTTCCGCTAATGCATGTCCATTATAACGCACGCGTTGTATCCAAATCTCTGCAACGTCCGTCACCTGCTTAAGGTTTGCGTTCCTCAAAGATATCCTCTCAATTCAACGTCGCCACTTCAGGTTCATCCTGGAAGTTCTTCGCCTGCTTCCACGCCAACTTCTCCGTCTTCTCATCCACCATCAGGTCCTCCAGCGGCGGAATATACCTCCTCAGCACTCTTTCCACATAACCCTTCGGTATCCCCATCCCGATTGCATCCCTAATCCCCCGATTCATGCGCACCACATACTCCTCCTTGGGCGGGTACCCGCCCTTCGCGCGCTTGACATCGATGTAGACGACCATGGGGCACGTGTGAGCAGATAGGTCGGTGGGCGTGGACTCCGTCACGTCGCCAGGCCAGATGGGGCCGAACGCGCTCCAGAGCTCGACGTTCATGGTTCTTCGCTCGTAGATATGTGGCGCACCCTCATTGATATCAAGGCTGGCTAGTCCCTTTTCCTCGAGTTCCCAGATCACACCCCAGACTTCGCTGTCGAAGCGCGAAACGCTGCCCTGGCTCTCGCTCTTTCCTGACTGGTTGATAGTCACAGGCGCAATGTTGGCATATCCGCGTTCGTTGATAAACCATGTATATCCCGGCAGACGACCGATACCTGCAATGCGATTCTGCCCGGGACAGCGGTTGTCCATCTGTTCGACCCAGAGGTTGGAGCCGTAAGCAAAGTAGAGGTATCTGCCGTTGCCCATTTCTGCGCCACTTTTTTTTGAGACTTTAGTGGGTAATTATAGGTATATGTTCTGTCTGAAACGAACTTGAGGCCTCTTTTTTCTTTTTCTCTCACAAGAGCAGTGGTGATAAGATGGTGAGGGTAGGGGGTTGAGGAGCTGGAGGGGGAACGGTATGCCTAGCGAGGTGGGAGCACATGGCGGGGCAGACGTACTGATTTTAACCCATCACTTGACAAAGCGAATGCCTAACATTCAACAAAGAACCAAGCCCTGGGAGATCTCCAGACAATTCTGACTTCAAATATTCAAACTGGGACTTTCGGGATATGAATCAGGGCGCGAGCCAAACATCCAAGGAGCAGGCAGCTGCGCATTCTTAAGCGTCAACACCACGCTTCACTCATCTACGAGAAGCAAACATGCTGAGGATCTATCACAAAGTGGAATGAGGGGTTTCCAGGACAGACAGAGATCAATTGACAAGCGTCCCCTAACGCTGGCCACCTCAACACTTGCCGTCAAGCCAACGGTAACGGGACTGCTTGACGGCGTCACTGCGGACAACTTCACCTCAACACCACACCGGACCCCTCTCATTTACATCCCTTTTTCCTTAACCACCAGCAAGACGAGCTCTCATCAGCAGGACAATCTACACCCGGTCCTGCCCCTGACTCTGCTCTCGCGCTACCAGCCCCCTCTTCCTTGCTTCATTCAGCGCCTTCAGCTTAGCCGTGCCAATCCCCGCAACACCATCCTTCTGATTATCCCCTAGCCACGGCTTCTTCGAGTCGCCCAGAATGCTCCCGGCTAAGAAGTACACGACCATCCCACAAATGATTAGCACAAATGCGATAGGATACATCCAATGTACCGAGTAGCCAAACACCCTCGTGCCAATAATCACTCCCCAAAAATTTGCCGTCAACAAATTGACGTCAAACACAGCCGCGCTGCCCATGCGCAGGATGAGCGGGGCGAGGGAGTAAAAGAGGGTCAGACACAAGGTGTATCCGACGAGCCAGCCGGCGACTTTCCCGTTCCATGTCGCGCCCTGGAAAGAATGCCTGTCAAAAATGGACGCCTGCACGCCGTTGATGCAGATGCCGAAGATGCCCAAGAAGGAGAGCACCTCATAGACGGGGCGCTTGCTGACGAACCATTCTTCAAAGACGTTGCTGATGCCGTAAAAGGTTGCACCGAGCAGGCCAAAAAGGTCACCCTTGACCTTGTCGACGGCCGGGCCGCCGTTCGTGCCGTTGATATGGTCTGACGCCAATAAGACGCCCATGCCGCCGCAGCAGAGGAGGATGCCAAGGATCTGGACAATGCGGTAGCGCACGCGGAGGAACAAAAAGGACAGCACCACGACGCAGACGATCGCCCAAAAGTTGAGCAGCTGTGCGGAGAGGATGTTGGTGTACTTGTAGGCGAGCACGGTGAAGTAGTTCCCCTCGACGTCGAGAAAGCTTAGGATGAAGTACTTCCATCCGTCGCGCACCACAATCTTCAGCCAGCCCTTCACCCCATGGTTGTACAGCGAGATGGGCAGGTAGATGAGGGTGAGGAGTGCATAGTTGAAGAGGGTCTGAAAGGCAGGGATGTTGGTGCCCACTATGGCAAGCTCCGTCGTGAAGGTGTTAGAGCCGGTGATGCACAACGACAAGATCTGGCCTACGGCGATGACAGCCCAGAAGTCGAGCGTCAACAGGTAGGAGTACCAGTGCACGTTGCGCGCTTCGAGCTGCTGGAGACCGGCTGCCACGGCCGCTTCTTCAGAGGAAATGGCCGAGATGGACGCCCGGGTGTCGCCATCTTTGTTTTCGTCATTCTTGGAGGGAAGGGCATCCGCCGTGCCGTAGTTGGCTCCGTCGGCATCAGCCTTGGGCAAGACCGGCTCAACTGCCGCAGGGACGGGTCTGTCGGCCATATTGTTGTCGGGGGAAAAGGGGGGGGGGGCAGTTCTGCACCAGTTGGCAAGTGATGATAACTGTCCTCCAAGTGCCAGAGACGAGTCCAATCTCACAACAAAGCCTGAATGTGTTCTCTCAACGACACACAACAGGGCCTTTCTTGGGAAATAGGTGAGGACAAAGTTTTTGCCAAAAGGTTAGGTAGTATAAACGTTCGTTCTTTCTTGACGTATGTAAGAAACCCCTTCTTGGAAGTCTTTCTTACGACCCCCTCGAGCAAGCGCAAAGACTTCGAAGTCGCTTGCCGTCTAGATTACTTCCGTCGCTCTCGGCACATCCAAAGCAGTGCCGAGTTGTTGATGAGATCGTCGAGGGGCGCAGATCTCGCGACGGACATGAAGAGACAAGAAAGAAAGACCTAGAAGTTGAGCTTCACACAGACGCCGTGTCGCGTTTGCCTGTGCGACGACGCGTTGCAGTTGCGCTTTGCTGAATGCCTCCTAACTCTGGTTGAAAAGCAAGTTTGTGGGTGACAACAAGGCTAAGAGATGAGCGAGGAAGGAAAAAATAAACACCTATTAAGATGCCCAGCCCAAGAGTTTCAGGACCAGAAAACTATAAGGGCAGGTAAAAGGTTGAAGTTGTGAGCTCTGAGCTTCACGACACAAAAGCAACGCAAGGCGTCAGCCCAGCTGTTGAGCGTCAAGCAGGAGAAAAAAAGTTCTTCCTGCAACCCCCTGGTCTCATCTCCAAAGGATCAGATAAGCAGCCGAGCACCGAGGGAGAGTAGGGTTTGTTGAGTGGACCCCGCTTTCTCAGCGGGTACCGGCTCAAGAAGAAGGGGCACGGGGGTTAGACGTGGGGCCCCGGTTTCGGTCCGGCCCGCTATAATATCTGCCGGTCGAACTGTGGACAGTTTGGCATCACTAAGTCTCTGTTGATCATGGTGTTTTGTCTACATTGTTTGAGGTTACAGTACATATTTGGGAGAGGTCATCGATCTCGCTGGCACCCAAGAAGTATGAACCAGGTACTGATGAGCCTAGAGGGCGATAATCCAGAGAGAGCATCAAGTTGGGCAGGTGCCCCTCCTTAGGCCTTGGCTCGGCGACCCCCACATTCACTTCATGCATTACGAAAGAACAATGATGCCATCTCCTATCAGGACTTGAGAGCTGGACATGTTAGAGTGTAGGGGAGCGAGTGCAGACGAGCTCAAGGTTCTACGTTACGGTCACACCATTGACAGTTTTTGGACTGTCCGTCATGTTCATTTGACATGTCGTACCATCGTGGATAGCTCCCATCGGAGGTGCCCGATTTTTAAGCCTGTCGCGAATTATTATATATGCTCAGGCATACCTCAAAAGGCACTTGTAGGGCCGAGCTGTCCCTCGTTTTGGAAGTTGAGTCCTAGAATATGTCTCTCAGCTTACTGATGCTTTTGTTGGGGATAGCAACCCAATCAAAAGCAAAGCCTGATAACACATACATCGATGCCCAAGCCCGATATGATAACGGCAGGTCTGCTTGTGTAACTTGTTGATGAAGGCCACATGAACCCCTATAGCTGGGTTAGGGCTGACCACAAAAATCTGCGGTTGGTCGATCTGGTGACTGTAAAGCGGGATGGCAGAGTACATTACTGGCCGTTGAGGATTTGACTAAATCGATTCAGGCCACTCACGAGCCGTGACGCGCCTGTGTCGCGCATTCATGCGTGTGATATTTGGTCATCGTGCTGCTACCCAGCCAACAGCACCCAATCTTGGCATCATTCGGGTTACTTGCTCCGTCAGGCTATGACGTCGAGAGAATGCTCCAAACACTGAAGGTTTTATGGTGAACGGCGTTGAAAGGGTTGGTCGGAAATAACTTAGTCTTTGCGGGAGACTAAGATCTCCAAAATTGTGGTCGGATGGATGGATAGGCGAAGACTTCTCATTCCGGCATCGGAAGGAGCATGTCTGAACGTCTCCTGGCAAGTGAGAGAAGTCGATCTGACGAGCACAGAGTAGCATGAAGCATCCAAGTTGGCTTCCCTCAAAAAGTCGTTCGCGATATTACTTTTTGGCCGTTAAGACACCCAAGTTGAACGTCACCTCCTTGGCCTAGCTCGGGTTTGTTAACCCGACACTGAGCTCGATAGCTTCCCGTTGTTGGTGGCGTCGAGCAACAAATGGTTTGAAAACTCCCAACTTCAGACGATAGAGCCCCTATTATAGGCGCTTGGCGATCAAGCCGCGCTACAGGCACGGAATTCCAGGTTAAAGACCCGAGGGAGATGCCATGGCATGTTCCAGTGTCGTTTCAAGCAGCTCTCCGTCCACTGAAGCATCGATGTCCACGTCAACAGCCGTGGTGATCCAATAATCCCCCCGCATGTGGCTCGGGGCGGGCGCAGTCGGCTGCTTCGCAGTCCGGCCAAGGCCACACGGATCGGCTCTTGGAGCTGGACTCGACGATGGCATGGAAGAACAGCAGCTTCATGCTCGGTCTAGTGCAGGGCTGGACATGAGGATGTACAGGTGAAACTGTGGGCACACACAGGGCCGACGCACGATGGGTAAATGGACGAGGGACGTCCTGTGTCGACCATAGGTCCATGCATGAATCCCATCAACGGAGACAGCGCTACCAAGATGACAACTGCGCAACTTCGACTGAGTTCTGCCGTCAGGAAGAGCGCAATACGAACTGTCAGTATTTAGAAATTTTACAGCATCTTGACTTACAAACAGCCCCAGCCTGGCCTGAAGATGAAGGAACACTTCATTAATTTGCAGGTGTTCTCAGGGCGGACCCATCTACCCCGGGCATTCGTCCCCGCGACCCCTCCTTGCCTAAAAACGATGACCCCGCGTTGCAGCAACGGCCGCAGCAGCAGCGCATGCTGCCCCTCCATGTTCGCCTGCCAAGTAGCCGTCTGGCGTTACCGTTGGCAGCCCTCCATCATGCGTAACAATTTTTTTTGCTCAAGGACGTAAGCTGAGAGTTATTGGGCGCGTAGTTTTCCACAAAGCCCGGGCCATTTTGGTACAAGATGGGTTGAAGATCATGAAATGTGCCGTCTTGGGTGCCGAGAGATTTGCTGGCGAGCGTGTTGAGTGGTGGAGCTGGAAATGGCAGGTCAGGCTAAAAGCAGATCTGGCGAACGAAGTTTAACAGAGACCCCTGCAACACCCCCTTGTCTGTCACTTCTGGATGGGCGCAGTTGAGGCGCTGAAGAACGGGAATTGTTTCTGAAACTTTGAGGTTGATGGAGAGCGTTTGGCGTGCAGATTCCGAGTCCTAGGCCTCGAGTTCTTGGGCGAAACGGGCAGCAGAGTCTGAATGCAGGACCCGTGACAGTAGATGTTGGCTCCCTAAATCGAATAGAGCAGCGGCTGCCCCGACGATGAGGTTGTCCAATCGAAAAAGGGAAAACGCAATCTATCAAGAAGCTGACTCTGAAGGAATTGTGCCCCTCATCGGATGACTTGTGGTCATTTTTTTATTGCTGCGGTGCAGGCAAATACTGATCTTGATTTCCCATCGAGCCTGTAATACTTACAGAATTAAGTGTATTTCATACGCCACCATATGTAAGAAACCGACATCGGGCCAAGTTCACATCTTAGGAAGCTCGATGTCTGATGGTGACCATATTGGCACCTCCTCCTCTCAGTGGGAGGTTTCAGAGCGTAGACTAGTCAATTGTAGACAGCGTCTGCCGGCGATGTATCATTTGCCAAAATAGATGTACTACAGACTCTTGGATTATCAACTAGGTTGGCATTGATTGTTCTCTGAGCTTGGACCACCTCCCAGGCTGCGCAACTTTTGGAAAAACCGGCTGCCAGGCTCGAAGTTGCGGTGGAACAGTGTCGGCAAATCAACGGCGCCCCAAACTGCTGGGAGGTTGGCTCCAGGCATGAAACTTTGGTTTCTTTTTCGAAGATTTCGGTGGCACGTGCAAGTCGAGCGTGCATCCATCGCACTCGACGGACCGACATCCGATGTAAATGGCAGTGTTTCCTTGGAAGCCGTCGCTCACCATCCAGACGAAGCATCGATGGCTTGGAAACATTCGACGATGACTGCTTCTACTTTGGTGAAACGATCTTTCCAGATAGCCTTCGGCTCGATCGCACTGCACAGTTTACAAAGCGGTGATTCGGACTTCAGCCACGGAGGGCAGCCAGGCTGAGGTCGTGCCTCTCTGCCTTTGTGTCAAAGGAGAGAGGGAATATAAGTTGCAAAGGGTAGGGCTGCCAGCCTCGTTGGGCCCGAGGTGGAATCAAGTTTGCGACGAAGAGCGTCCTATCTTGTATTTAGTTGCCATATCTCAGCATCAAAATGTCGCTCTTCCTGTCTTCATAGTGCAAGATATTTCCAGATCGCAACTGGAAGTGACAGGCTGCCGGGGCGTGTGTCTTTGCCGTGGGCCTGCCCAGAATACCTAGAGAGAACGTGCCGAGAAAAAAAGGAGACTGGCGGGGATCCGACTGCACCCTTTTTCTGCAAGAGCCACCAGCCCACCATACCCCGTCAGGCGGATCGACCCACGACCGCAAGTACGACCCACGGCAACCCACGACCCGACCTTTGCGCCGGGGCCCAGGAGTGGCCAGTGGCCCAGTCGACGGGTGTCCAGCCAGCGTCCACTGAGTTTGAGTGGTGAGTGGTGAGTGCCCCGTCCAGCGGTCCAGTGGCCCAGCGGCCCAGAAGCTCCCTCTCCCCGGTCTTTTCCTTCTGGAGCAGGCCGGGCAGCCCTCCACTCGCAGCTCGTGACGGAAAAAAAGCCGCCTGCGCGTGCGCTTCGTGTCCGAAATTCCTCCTCCTTTCTTCTCTCCTCGGGGGTCTTTTGGTCAACCAGTTCGAGCATTTGAGCATTCTCAGGCCGGGAAGCTTCTCGCAACAGGGCAGAGTTGACTTGCAAGGTGAGTGCAATCTGCTTCTGCTATCTTCGAATGTTGGAGAGGGCGAAGGATTCCAATTTTTTGGCCCCCTTTTCTTTCGTCCCATCCCGCCCGTCCACGTCCCCATCCCCTTTCGCTGGTGTTCGAAGAAAGCGAGCGCCACCTGTGGCCAGCCAGCCAATTTCTTGCTTTCTTGATCAGCTTTCCCTGTTCTCCGTTATCCATCTGTCAGTCTCCATCATCATCATCGCCAGCAGCTCTTTTGAGAGCGACTGCGCATTTCTACGGCCCCGTACCAAATTGTCGGGCACCCGACGCACGCCCCCTCGTCCCCCTGCACTGGACCTCTCTAGCGTGCAACTTGCAACTTGACAGGTGGTGCTAACCAAGGATCTCGTCCAGCAGCTGCACAGTCAACCAGTTGCACCGACTCGGAGATACCCGCCTTCGGACCTAGTCCATCTGCAGTATTGCCGACACGTCGCCGTAACCGTCTCCTTTGGTCGTCGTTTTTTTTTAAACATCTACCAAAATTCAGCCCGTAAAGATGTCGGCGTATTATGAACCTTCTCAATGGCCGCCTACCGGCCAGCCTGGTTGGGACCACCAGACCCCCCCTCCTGCACGTTCAGGTATGATATATTGCCTGCGTAACGCGTTCGGCTTCTCTGCTGCTGCTGTACGAATGATGGCTGACCCTTTTCCCAGGTGCTAACTCTGCTATCCCACGCGAAGAGCCTCAGGCCTTCGCTCATCAGCTAGAGGGTATGTATCGTCTCTAAGGGCCAGCCTCGGACTACGCCGTTGTGCCGAACAGGCCATCCTCGGCCGGCCCGCCTCAGCAAGACATTTATCCATTTAGAAATACACATTTCAGAGGATACAGAAGGAGGAACAGTACAGTACTAACCGTATTGAATCACAGAGGTCGACCGTGCCATCGACAATCTCGTCAAGAGCGGCAAGATGTTTGCGTACCCGGGGGCCCGTCGTGAGTCCCTGCCACCTTACCCCGGCCCTGCCAGATTCTACCCAGCTTTCGGTGAGTATGCCTGGGACTGGCCGGGCCGCCCCCGACGAGCCCGTCCCACTGACCGTTATTATCACCGGTAGACGCGCGTCCGCCCGCCATCCCTGGTGCCCGTCCTCACCCCATCCCCGAGTTTGACCCTCGTGCCCCCCACCCGGCTGCGAACCTGCAGAACTTTTACGCTGCCCAGCGACACCAGCCCTCACGCGGCTCGAACGAGGCGGAGCAGATGATGCAGGCCAAGAGGAGAATGGCCGCTCAGCGGGAGCGCGAACTTCGGAACTACCATCAAGAGCAGCAATACAACCGAAGTAGGCCTCCCTCTTCTGTATGAGATCAGACTTCCTACCACAGCCAAGACAAGACAAAAAAGAACAAATCATACCTAGATAAGAGGGGTTTTTGGTACCTGCTGTTCTGTGGGTACTGAAACCTCCTCGCTTCTACTTTCAACTATGTTGCACCACAAGTGCGGTCCGACGCCCAAAAAAAAGACAATATTGGTCCTGTGCTTTATGAAAACCAAAAAGCCTTCCCCGTAAAGACCGGCACATGCGCCCCCTCCCCTGGCAGCTTGAATGGCTGGTGGTAGTGAGTCTTTGTGGTTGGAGGATACAAGCTAACCCAATGTCTCTTCTCTTCTAGCTGTTCTCGCCGGCATGCCCTATGGTCCCGACAAGCCCGACCGCACCATGAGCCCTGGCGGCATGTCGGAGGAGGAGCGCCGGAAGCTCATTGCCCAGCAGCGTAGTGCTTTGTATGGCGAGGGTCCTTTCGGCGAGTCGGGCGGCTATGTTGATGAGTCTGGCGCGCCTCGCCCAGGCCTTCCTGGCCCTCAGGCCGGTCCTGCCGGTCTCCGCGGCCATTCGCCTCTGGCGTATGACTATGGTCGTGCCCCTCCTGTCCATCCTGATGCTGCCGCTCAGGCTTCTAGTGCCGAGGGTGGTCAGGGCGCCCAGTCTGCTGGCCCCAATGAGCGCTCTCGCGCCAACAGCAACTCAAGCCCTCAGTCGAACCCTCCTGCCGGCGGCAAGGGCATGTTTGACTCCCCTGCTGCTGTCCAGCAGTCGAGCCGCACCAGCGCGTCGTCCCCCGGTGGCTCTCCCCCACGTCAGAGCGCTCCTGGTGCCCCCGGTAGTGGCAAGCCAAGTCAGACCACGGTTGCTCCGATCGGTACTCGCCCTTCGGTCACTAGCGCCCCGACCAATCCGGCTCTCAACAAGCGCTCGACCACTCCGCTGCCCTCTCCCCTGAGCCAGGGCTACACTGCCTCGTCTGGCAACGAGGAAGGTGCTAACACGGGCAACAATAACGCCAACTCGTCCTCGGCCGGCACCGAGACCCCCAACGTCGGCCTGGCCGGCTGGGGTGCCCGTTCCAATGGCTGGGGTAGCAAGAGCGGCCTCGGCACTCAGGCTAGCGTCTGGGGCTAAGTTCCTTTTTCGCCTTTTTCGATGGATATACACACAACAAACATGCATTCGGGTCGTTTGCGTGCATTGGAGTCTTTTAAAGTGCGGTGTTTGGGTCTGGGAGGAAATGGCGCCGGGAAATGACAAACTGGTAGGGTGCAAGGGTTGCCATGGGGGATAAACTGAGAAATGGTGTTGGTGTTGGTTTTTCGTTTCGGGCCTCTTCATGGGATAAGGGCATAATATGTTTCGTGTTTGGAACTGGAACTTGGCGAAGGATGTTAGGGAAGGGGGGGCCTTGGCGCGTTATAAGAGTGGTCGGGGTGGTTGGTCGGGGTTGTGTTGGTCCAAATATATTGGGTGGGAGGATGGATGGTTGGTGCAGATTGCTTTGGGGAAGTTGAATGGGAGCGTTGTTTTACTGCTGCCTTTTGTTTCTCTCTCTTTGCTCGTTCTTTCTCCGTTCCTCCGTTCCGGATTCGGCTCTGGCTCGCTCGGTATATCGTTCCTCGCAGTTTCTCTCGACGTCGACGATTCTCGTCCGTCTCATCATCCCAAATCAATGGATAAATCGGGATGGTAAAGATGGGTTAGGTATTTTGGACCATTCCGTCATGTGTAAGTGGGGCATACAAAAACGCGAAGGTATAAGCTTGTAGAGGTGTAACAGAGTCCCAAAAGCTCTGGAGTGAATGGAACGGTTGGCATTAATCTTTTTTTTCTTAAACCATTCAGGGACCTTGACACGCTCAATTACATCTATGTCGTCGGTTCGGCAATTTCCTGTACGCGAGTGGCTCTAAAACAAGAGAAAAGGGCATTCTGGGATTCGGCATGGTACAAGATTGGGATGGGATAGGGCAGGCTTAGGTTAAGCGTTAGGCGTGCTGGGCAGAAAGGTGGAGCAATGGATCATCCCAAGGGTTATGGGCTTTATTCTACTAGGGGGGGTATCGAATTTTTTGGAAGGAGATATCAACTACCTAGCTAGCTACCTAGGTTAGGAGTAATGGTGATTGATTTGTTGTTTTACTGGTGCTCCTTTCTTTGAGTGTTGGATGCCGTGGTGAAAAAATATGGCAGGCGTTGTGTGGGTGTTCAAGAGGTAGAGCTTAGGGTTAGGAATGATTCAGGGGTAACGATTTGGGGGTTGTTAGGGGGCCAAGAGGGGAGAGGAACTCGACTGCCGTTCATTTGACATGCTTTACGAGAAAATGATCATGTTAGATTTAAGGAGGACTGGTACTCGCTTTACATATTTGATAATGTCTTTACCAAGAGTGTAATCGTGTTTGGTAAACCTAGGGTAGCTGATATATGAGGTTCTCAACTGAGGTCCACACCTGCTTGGAGCATGTCAGGCGGGTTGGGCACTTTTATTTGGCATTTCAGTTCATTAATATGAGATCTGTTGTCGTGACCATAAGCACGAAAACTCGGCATATTGTTCTATTGTCTTGTAACCTTCGTTTGTCTGCTTGACTCGGCAATTGGCGCGGGATGTTGGCTGACTGACCACTTCGCCTTAGAGTTCTCTCCCGGCTCCTCATCATTCGCCCTACCATGTGCCCACCCACAATCATCGCTGAAAAAAAGGTCCCATCCCTCATAGCTGATCTCATGACTGGGCCATCTTCTATACCTCATCCAGCACCCATCCCCCGAGCGGTAAACTCTCCCCCATCCCATCCCTCTTACAAGTCAATAAACCCCACTCACCCAATCTCTCCAAGAGCTGCCCACTTCAAAGGAGTGTATCCCTCACGCAATGTAATAGATTCAATAAACGCGTTCTATGGTCATAAGCCTCCCGATGCTGGCTCGAGGGCCGGACCTTGGCGGCTGGGCGGCTTTGGGTAGATGCGGAGAAGGTGGTTGGTGGACAGGGTGCCCTGTTTATTGCATCCTTTAGATCTCACATGCAAAACCCAAAGTGTCCTTGTTAACAAAGAGTACCTTGCATCAACAAAATCCTAAAACAATGAGCCAACATGGACGATACTTCATGTATTCTTTGACCTTGGATCTGAACTTTGCACAAAACTCTACTCCTAGTGATCAGCGTCATGAGTTAGCTCTGCTTTCTAACAGTGACATACTGGTAACCAATGAGGATGACAACAGCTTTCTATGCACTTCGCTACTCTATGTGTATCCAGTCAGCAGTTTCTAGAGTCCTCTAGATAACGCCACCCATATGGTCCACTTAGTATGCGTTGCTTGTGCACTGGAAAGTTCCAGTATCGTTGGGATCCAACACACACAACTTTTCAGGCAACTGGCATAAAACGGAACTACTGGCCCGTCCATTCCGGAAGAACGGGACAAAGAGACCTATGCCATCCTGGAGTTCCAGACCCAACCAGATAAGATAATGAGAATTAAAACTGGGCTAAGGAGGTGTCATCCTTGAATAAAGCGTCAAGGCCAGCGTATATTTCTGACTACTTGACCAGCCATGAACCAGAACCTGGTCCTTCCTGGAATAGTGCTCTTGATAACATTTTTGATTCAATGCATTGGAAGCACGATTTACAATTCCAGGTTCGGTTGGTTCTCAACCACAAGAGACAGAAAGGATTAAGTGCCAGACATCCACAAAGCCTAGGTTAACTTGTCATTATTATTCGCATCACATGTATCATCAATAGGTTCACCTACTTGTTCTTTATCTCCTGAAGACGTACGAGACTGTAATATGGTCGATAAAATCGAATGTCAGGGACGTTATTTGCTCGGATATTATGAGGATGACCATGTCGAGAGGAAGAGCGATGCCAGCACTCTCTGTTGCTATAATGCACACAAGAGACTGTGGCACTGGCAAAAGCATCTTCACACCGAAGCGCACCAATGGCAAAGATGATTCAGAGTAGTGAAATTCAGGCCAAATCGGAAGTTAGACATCATCACAAGAAGGACAGAAGGACAAATTATAAGGAAACTCAAGTCAGAGAGTGAAAGGAGAAGAGCTCGAAAGCAAAAAGGCTCAAATCTCAGAAAAGGCAGTGGAAAACATGACCACAAAAACAAAACGACAGAATGTCAAGACAACGCCAGCACATGTAGTGAAGCAGAAAAGCATGGAACGCATAGACCCCCTTATGGAACATAAAAGGTGTTCTGGTCAAGTTCAAACTATATTGAAAACAAAGGCCTGAACGTAATTGCACAGCGTACTCTACGCCAACTAGGCCTGGGAAGTGGGGAAAAGGAGGGAGAGCTATTGCCCTAGAAGCAACAGCCAAGTCCAGAAGATCGCCAACCCAAGACGGGTCGGAGATAATTGGATGTGTTAACTACTGCCACAGAGAAACTTAGCAACTAAACGGCACTTGATGAAACAGGTCTCGTACAAGGCTAGGCTCCTGTGTTCATTTTTTTAACAAGGTTTGCGAGCTTCTTCAATGTCACAATGAAGATAGTCTACCTGGAGGAAGGTTCTGGGTTCTCGATCTTATTTGCGAGGCTGATCATATGGTTTTTAAACAAGGAACAACGGGGCTTGTGGGACTATGGCTTCCAACAAGATGTATATTATACTCCGGGCTTCATTGCAGGGATATGGACGGAGCACAGGAGGCTGGAAAGGATTCCCCGATGTGCAACTACCGTTCGTGGCATTTGAAAGTCAAGTAATGGAACACATCAAAAAGGACTGGATATCTGACATAAAGTTAATTAAAACCCAGACTACGAGTTAGGATCGAATCGAGCTTAACAGATACAATAAATACATGCTGCAAAGGTCCTCGAACTACTAATACCAGACCCAAAGTTCTTGTTCAGATCTTTACCGGGTGGTTGAATGTCGTAGTTCCGTACCTATCTCTCCAGCAGAAGTGAGAGTTGGGATCCTAAGTTTGGTCGGATCGCATTAGGTACATGTAGTGAATAAGGGGGAAACCCTTATACAGCCAAATCGCTTTACACCAATGCAATTCAGGGAACGCCAACTGCGAGAATGACAAACTTAACTAGATGTCACAGCAAATATGCAGTCGTCTTCGCATGGTAAGGGATGACAGTGTAAAGAGAAAAGCAGCAACGAAGTTGATCTATAGGCTTTGTTTGGAAGATGGTTGAGTTCAACTATGACATGAACTATTTAACCACTTGTGACATTTTACCGTGCTCCAAGACGGGGATAACTTTAACACGGTTTATTTGCTAGGGAATATTTTGTGCGAGATATTAGATTTCCATTTCAGACATATATCACTATCATCGAAACTGATGTAGATTGCTAGCAGCCCAACAGTGGCTGTTACTAAAGGAAATTTGGAGACATATCCAGATGCCATTATTGGTTAGACCTCTGGTGAGGATAGTAGTAGTGAAATGCTCACTCGCTTTTGATTATCACACTGGCGACCATTGGCTTCTTTATGAAGATATCACATGGATTGATACAAATGCGAGGATCTGTCATTAGCATTAGTGTCAGACTTAAGGAGGGCATGCTACGGTGAGTCTTAGCGTCGAAGGTGTTGGGGAACAGCAGGAAACAAGCTAAGGAGTCCTTTAGCTATCTGAGGTAATGTAGAAAAGGTGGACAAGTCATCAAACCAGAAATATGTGCGAGTAACACAAATATAGAAAGAACCTCAAATTGCCAATATCATCATGAATGCCTGCTTCTTCCCCCAGAGTGTCTTCCACAAGCAACTCTCAAACTCTTCTTAGAAGTGAAACCATATGGCAACCACCGAAGAAAATCACGTTCCTTTCTTCGGTGCTTCTCGACCGTGTGGTGGTTCTCGCAAACTTGAACTATCTTCCCCGAACCTACAACAACCCATTTTCCACCTGCGACAGGCTTCAAGAAGGCCTTGAAAGAGGCTGAGCCTCTACTCGCGCTAGGACCATGTTCATGTCTAGCATCCCTGATTCCTCATGATTTACTCTTCCAAAACCAGTCGCCCTGCTCATGTCAGCCTTGCAACCACATGGGGACTAATACTAGGTAGACAAACACTCAGTTTACTTGGGCCGTAGGGACAACCCGCAGAGATGGGAACCTGGCTTAGTCTCGAGTTCCTGAGGTAAACATCCCGTTACCTCACCGCAACAACAGCTTCTTGACTTGTTCAAGCTACCAGCCGTATTCATCAGCTGGAGGATCTTCGTCAACTTCCAGGAGTTCTTGGATCTCAGATGATCTCTCCGTCTGCGGTAGGATTTCTTTTTCTCAAGATGAACTTGGTAACGCAACTTGCAGCGTAGAAATTCAGTCCACCTTTGACTCAGCTACCTAAAGCAGATGTTCGAGAAACACATGAGAATTTGGAAGACTCCTTGCGCTTAGGTGCAGCTCCGAAACAAAACAAACACTCCCAAGTGCACAGGAAACCTTCTAGATATCCCGTATATTTGTGTCGATGAAGACTGGTCCGTACCCAAGAGCGACCAACGGGTTATCATCAGGCAGCTCGCAACAAAGCCTACACGAGGAGAAGCCAACTTGAAAAGGGGTCCGTGACACCATCGTCGTAGCCCATGTCTGTGTCCAATCCTGAAGTAATTTTGCGACCAATCCTAGTCCAACAAAATAGCAATATTTTATTACCTTCAAATAAACAATACTACAATCGTCCCGCTTCCACCCACCCCTTTCCTGCCTTTCCAACCCCTCATTCCCTACTCACTCCTTTCCACCGCCCTCCTCTTCCTCTCTACAACAGTATCAAACCTTACGAATGTCATCCTCCCTTCCGCCAACGCGCTCGCAATCCAAAGCAGCCATACCAAAGATCCTCTCTTGACCCCGTACCTGCTCAGCCGCGTCCGATCCAGCCACCATGCCTCGGCCGTGTGGATCCCGACCACCGGAATAAAAATGGTCTCTGTCAGCCAGCGGAAACCGTCCCATCCCCCGGGGAAGAACGGCGCAATGACTGAGCTCACAACAGTCTTTCCGAGCTCAGACTCCTCGAACCACCCAGCTCGGAGAAGGGCATAAATGGCGTAGTACCCCACAACGAGGAATAGGATCGTCATGTCGATGGGGAAGCGGGGGGGCATGTACTCATCCACCGTAACCATCCCTTGAGTAGTAGTCTTGTCCGAACCACCGGGGAACTCCTCCTCTGAGACACCCAGCCCCTCTCGCGCAGCACGCACCAGGGCGACCAACCTCGAGCGACGCTCATTCCACGACGAGAGCGGGGGTTCAAACGGGATGCGGTAGCAAGCTTCTTCCTCGCCAACACAGAGGACAAGGAAGTCGAGGTTAATCTCGGTCATTTTGATGGATGAGGCATACTTGTTGAGGAGGTCGAAGGGTTTAGTTTTGGAGGAGGATGGGTCAGTTTTGGAGAGGTAGTGGGCTAGGATCAGGGCCATGTCGCGGGTGTGGTCGTCGTTCATGTGCCGGAGGGTGTCGGCTTTGGAGGTGGGGTCGATGGTATGGGCCATGACTCCTTTTTTGTTTTGAGAGAGAAACTGGTAGAAGAATGGCTTTGGATTGAGTGGCTTGGAATTATTTTGAGCAAATTCAGCCGTGAAAACGACGTTGTTTGCGAGAGCTCGGCCAAGTGAGGTGGGCGATGAAGATACAGCGAGTTGGACACTGTGGATGAGACATGTTGCCAAGACATGTCGTGACACCAATGGAGCCTGATTGATTCAGGGTTTGGGTTGTTGCTGTGGAACCGGTGGCTTAGGACCTTCCGCCAAGAGACCCGATCACTGAAAGACAGCCTCGAGAACTCAAGGTATTATCGGCGAGACCGCAAAAGGTAGACCGAACGGGATAGCAAAGCAAGCCTCGTTGCCAATAGATCGGTTTTATCTTCGCTCTAAAATTGATGTGGAAAGGCGGCGACGAATGAGATCTTTTTTTCGCGGTTTCACTATCGCCGCTACTGGCCGGTTGACTCAACTGGACTCCGTCCTCAGTCTTTCCTCACTTCATTTACACGGTCTTCATCACGGATTTAAACGGTCGTGTCTCTCCAGTCTCAGACCTGTTCATCAGCAACAAGTCCGACAGAAATCAAAATCAAAAAAGAAACCAAAAATGTCCTCCAACGACAACCTCATTGAAACAAATGGCGTCCGCATCGCCATCGAGGGCTGCGTAAGTTCCATTCCTTTCACTCACCACTCATCATTGAGTTCATCACTAACACCCCTCCGTTCATAGGGCCACGGCACCCTTGACGCAATCTACGCCTCCGTCGAGCGCTCCTGCCGCGAGCGCAAATGGCCCGACGTCGACCTGCTCATTATCTGCGGCGACTTCCAGTCCGTGCGCAACGCCGCCGACCTGACCACCATGTCCTGCCCGGCCAAATACCGCGAGATCGGTGACTTCCATAAGTATTACAGCGGCGCGCGCAAGGCGCCATACCTGACTCTCTTCGTGGCCGGCAACCACGAGGCTTCGTCCTACCTGTCCGAGCTCTACTACGGCGGCTGGGTCGCGCCCAATATCTACTACATGGGCGCAGCGAATGTCGTTCGGTTCGGGCCTCTGCGGATTGCGGGGCTTAGTGGCATCTGGCAACAGGGAGATTATCACAAGCCAAGGAGCGAGAGGCTCCCGTTTGGGCCGAAGGATATCAAGACGTTTTATCACGTGCGGGAATTGGACGTGCGGAAGTTGCTTCAAATTCGCACGCAGGTGGATATTGGGTTAAGCCATGACTGGCCAAATGGGATTGAGAGGCATGGGGATTACGTGCAATTGTATAAAAACAAGCCTCATTTCAAGAAGGAGTCGGAGAGGGGAGAGCTGGGCAACCCGGCTGCGGGGTATGTGCTGGACAGACTGCGTCCGAGGTACTGGTTCTCCGCCCATATGCACTGCAAGTTCTCTGCCATCAAGGAGCACCCGCCTCCGGGGCAGGAGGACAAGCCGCAGGCCGCTCTAGCGCCTGCCGTCAACCATGATGAAATCGACCTCGACATGTCCGACTCCGACGTTCCCGCCGCAGGACTCAAAAAAGAACCAGAAAAGGACACCCAAGTCGACATTGAAGCCCTCCGAGCCAAACTGCCCCCCTCTTTCGCCAAACCCATCAAACCCGGTCAACCCGTCCCCGACACAATCACCAACAGAACAACCCGCTTCCTCTCCTTGGACAAATGCCTACCCGGCCGACACTTCCTCCAACTCATGGAAATCCTCCCCGCTGACGGCTCAAAAGTCCAACGTCCCCTCCGCCTACAATACGACCCCGAATGGCTCTCCATCCTGCGCGTCTTCCACGCCTCCTCCAAACCCTCTTCTACACCCCCCGATCCGGACCAAGGCGAAGCCCACTACCTCCCCCTCATCGCCGAATCCATGGCCTGGGTAACCGAAAACATCATCTCCAAGGATAAACTCGACATCCCGCTGAACTTTACGCCCACCGCGCCGGCGTACGATCCCAAAAACCCGGAGACGACTAAAGAAGGGATGCCGAAGGAGTATAACAACCCACAGATGGCCGCGTTTTGTGAGTTGTTGGGGCTGGAGAATTGGTGGTATGAAAAGGAAGAAGAGAGGGAGGAGAGGTGGAAGAGGGATTGGGCTTCGTTGCCGGATTGGTGGGTTGATGAGTTGAGTGGAAAAGGGCAGAAGTCTGGAGCTGGAGGATTCAGGGGAGGACGGGGAGGGGGGAGAGGTGGTGGACGTGGGGGAAGAGGAAGAGGAGGGACAGGTCGGTGAAAAGGACATAGGATGATGCGTGTTTTTATATCTAATGCATAGGTCAAGGAACAATCTGGGATGAATGGTCGAAATCGCATCGACAACGCATTGAAGGGGTTAAAGTGTTCTATTGTCTACCTTGGGTTTGAGTTGTCTCCTCTTTTTCAAAGCACAGACTCAACCGATTGACTTGAGCCGGGCAGATCGCGGAGGACTGCTTACAAAAACAAGTTTTGATATTCCATCCGTGACAAACATCCAACCCATGGAGGAGAGGGGCCGAATGCATCGTTTTGATGGGTTGTCTGAATGGTGTGACCGTCGAAGAGAGATGGTGAGAAAAGAATCACACTTCCCGGATTCTTCTCAATCACTCTCAAGTATTTTGGAGATGAGGGAGAGTTCATCCCACTTTCACCCCAACCCATGTTGCCAATAAAGTATGGGCCACGTCCAGTTGGTCTGAAGTTTCTGCACTCGAACGATACCTCGTTGCTTGGTTGCTTACTTCTGCCAGATAGCTGGGAGAGCTAGAGCTGAACCACTTCGGTCGTTCAATTCACATGCTCCTTGACCTTGATCTGAACGATGATCATGGGTTCTACCACCCGACTAATGATCATCCTGCGAAGAGCTCAATAGGGGGAAAAAGGCATCCGGACCCAGCACTTAGGGTGCGTTAAGCGCTTTGGAGACGAGGCCGAAGTAATCGGCCGCCTGGACCACGACAAGGCACAACTCGACCGGAATGTCCAGGTCCGGGACATTCTCCTTGTCCTTGTTCTGGTGGTAATAATGCAGATATTCTGCTACCTTTTCGATGATAGGGGCGCTGTAGATAGAAGTGGGAGTGGTTAGTGATACCATCTTATATCCTTGTTGTCTGCGTCGCCCCTCGCAACCCCGTCATCCGAGGATTGATAAGAGTGAATGCACGAATGCTGCTAGTATCAGTTCAAGTGTAGAGCAGTCATGCAGTCCAACCTCTCTTCTTGCATAGAACCCCACTATCTCAAGGTGGAGGAGAGTGGTCTGTCGACGACACAGAACTTTTATCATCATTTGGATAACAGAGGCGTTGAGGATGCCTATCGGCAAGAAGGGTGAAGAGTGCCATACCTGAACTCAGGAAAATGACAGCGCCCACTCTGGGCCTCAGCAAACGGGCCGCGAAGCATGCCTTTCAGCGTAGGGCTGATCATGGCAGCTTCCCGTAGAACCACGAATTCGAACCCATCGCTGGACACAAGGGTGACATACTTGCTCTCTTCTGCTGTTTTGTTGCTTTCCATTCTCCATGTAGGGAAGGCCAGAACTGGAGCAGAAATATGTGTTGTGTGTGTGGGCGTTGAGCAGAAGCGAGCTGAGAGCTGAGGTCTGCAGACCAAGAAAAAATTTGCCAGAACCGAAATACTCCTTCACACGCTGCACGAGTGCCAGGGGGACTGAGGGAATTGATGTCACTCTATCGTTATCATCCACGAGCAGGATGATGCAAGAAGTATTTTGATGCTGGGGACGTCGTTTTTCGTCCACCCGCAGTCCGCAGTTTTGCGTGTGATAAACTTTTTAAACAAGGGAGAACGCGCAGCAGCGCTTGGGTCAAAGAAAGCGAAAATGAATGCAAGGAAAAAAGAAGATCCCTGCCGATAAGCGCCCGAAAATGCGCTAGCGGGGCAGGCTCGAGGCAGCTGAAATCCCCACAGCGGGGTCCGTTGCGGTGGGGCCTGCGTGGCTCCTGGGAAGGACGCCTTTGCAATTGACACATGTCACACAGTTCGCTGACCGTCAAAGCGAGCCGCCACTTGGAGGACGAGCAACGGACGGTGAGGCTCACGGACACAAAATGCTTCTTGAGCACCAGCCACTCCAATTGGATGATGAAAAGCCTTATGATGCTCGTGGCAGTCCACTTGAGCGAGCATGATATTTGATGCACAAGAGGCATAACGCATCTCAGGTGTACTGTGCATTACGGTATCAGCGTGGGTAACAGAACCTCTCAAGATTACGCCGATGCGCTGCTGTGCGATCCGGTATGGCCAAAACAACGGGGGCCAAAACCCCCTAGAAAAAAGTACTTTTAGCACCATTGAAAAGCCCGTCAGGCTCTTAGGCACCCGGGAAATGAGCAGGCATCCGCTGTAGCCGTGCCTCCTCTGCGCGTAAGCCGTACCTACAGGATGCAGGTAACGTGATGCCCGTCCCAAGTGTATCGTACGGTGCGAAATACGAAATGTAACTGGCCAGAGGCTGGGCTCCGTGTTCCAGATTGCCGTGGGCCCTGGGATTGGCGGTGGGGTCCTTGCCCAGTTTTAGCCCCGCGGTTTGTGTCATTGCCGATCCGATCGTAAGACTGGTTGCCCAGTCGACTGTTTACATACAGCAGGCAGGTCGCAGCTGGGCGGTGCCATCATCCACCAGCCATCATCCATCATCTCAACCACCTCCCACACGGCGCCTGCGAGCACAAAAATTTCGAGAAAAACATACCCGCGAGCTCACTGCAGCAGCGCGGCATTTTCTATCTTCTCGACATATTTGCAGTAGTCGCATCGACAATATTCTTGTGGAACTGTCGGTCTGGACGTTTGACGAGCGATAGACTTCACACGAAATTCCATTTCCTGCGATTTTCAACCCAGCGGGGTGGGGACAACGACCGACCCGAATCCACCATCAACAACAACGGCGACCACCGAACAGCAGCGACGATATTGGTAGCGCGAACAGTTCTCCAGCAGCATTCGGTGACCGTGTTTCCTTCACAACCTCTCCTTCGCACGACTCTTCTCTTTATCGGGATTCGGGGCCTTTGGTCGATTCCACCGCCCATCTACGTATTGCGAGGACGACGACTGAGTCCGACGAAAAACAGCACACAACAAAGGCCTGAGTTACTTTGTCATCCCGTTACCTCTCTCTAATAACTCTTCCACAGTACTCTCACAACAGTACATTACAATATTACAACAAGCCAAGATGGCATCATACGATCACCGCCCATCGACAGCGCTCGGGCACAACCGCCACGACAGCACCTTCTCCTCGTCCTCAGCGCGCATGCGGCCCGAGTCGCGGCGGGATGGCCGCGGCTTGCGGTCTAGCGACGGTACCGTCAGCACGACCGGCACTACTTCCTCTTCTGGTCGCGATTCCGCCAACACGGCGGCAACTGAGGGCCCGGCCTACTCCAAGAAGATCGTCGTAGTAGGTGACGGCGGATGCGGCAAGACGTGCCTGCTGATTAGTTACAGCCAAGGTTACTTCCCAGAGGTGAGTTTCCGACACTTTTTTGCCTGGAGGCTGTGTCAAGTTAAGGGCTAACCGACTTTCAGAAATATGTCCCGACTGTCTTTGAAAATTACATTACATACCCAGTCCACCCGCCAACCGGCAAGATCGTGGAACTGGCACTTTGGGATACGGCTGGTCAAGAAGAATATGACCGGCTGCGCCCGCTTTCCTATCCAGAGACCGACTTGATCTTTGTGTGCTTCGCCATTGACTGCCCCAACTCCCTTGAGAATGTCATGGACAAGGTCCGTATATATCGTTACACTCTTGCAGGCTTAGTACACGCAAGCTGACACTAGCCCCAGTGGTACCCCGAAGTTATGCACTTCTGCCCCTACACGCCGCTGATCCTGGTCGGCCTCAAGTCAGACCTGCGCTACAAGAAGTCGTGCATTGACATGCTTAAGTCACAAGGCCTGACGCCTGTCACACCCGAACAGGGCATGGCTGTGGCCAAGAAAATGGGCGCGCAGTACATGGAATGCAGCAGCAAGGAGATGAAGGGCGTCGAGGAAGTCTTTGAGCGTGCCATCCTCACTGTCGTCGCTAATGACCGCAAGACCCTCGAGGCCGAGGCCGCTGCTTCCGGTAAGAAAGGCAAGGACATTGGTATCACCTACACCAGCGATGGCGTGCCCATCCCGATTGTTAAGAAGAAGAAGAGAAAGTGCGCGCTGGTTTAAGGATGAAGGGAGTTGGTTGTTGTTGATAATGATGTGGAAGTCGGAGGAGTAGGTGCAGCAAGGCGGCAACAAACATGCAGTTTGATGCGAGGACGACCAAAAGGGTTATCTCATCATGAAACACAATCTTAACGAGAAATGGGCATGGAGAAATGGCAGATGAAGAAGAAGAGGGACGAAAACATGACGGTTCATGACTGCGACAATGACCTCTTTCTCCTTCTCTCAATTTCTCTTACTATCAGCATGCATGCATGAACCATGACACGACGACACACAACAACATGGCTCCTGGCGTCTGCTGTTGTGTTTTAAGTTTGATTTTTCTTTTCCCCGTCCTATACTTTTGCCACCCCCCTGAATTTTTTTTTTTTTGCACATCCTTTTTGTTTTTTATGCACACTTTTTGTTCTCTTTGGCTTTGTTTCCTTTCTGCCCTGTCTGTGACAAGCTCTTTCCTACAGAAACGAGCAGGCAACTCTACTTTTCTTTGCTGGGGGCTTGGTGCTTCGTTGGTTCTTGTTTTCTTCTCAAGTCTCTATTATCTCCTTTTTGCTGTCTTTAGTTTCCTTGCCTGCTTGTGTCTCTACATACTCACACACACGCACACACACTCTCTCCCTTGCTGTGGAGGAAGGTCCTCGGTTGGAATGCATGGGCTGGCTGGTTGGCTGGATGGACTGGCAACGGAACTGACGAAGCGATTGTCTGAATGACGGAAGACGACAGATGATGATGACAATGGTTTCGTTCGGTTGCTAGTTGGTAGGCTGGATGGTTGGGCGGTTGGCTACGGATTGGCTCAATGAACAGATGGATGGGTGAATGGGTGAATACATGGACGGGATGGGGACCTTTCCAACAGCACGTGTTCCGGACGTGTGTGCACAGAAAAAGCTGCATGTTGTGTTCTGTGTGTCTGTTGTACTTGCTGGAGTAGGGTATGTATTATCTCTTACCTGGTCTCCTGCATCTCAAACAATCAGCCTATCTATTATAGGGTGTTTATTTTAGACGGGATGCGATACCCCCTAAGGGATGGATGGATGAATAGGCGGGTCTGGATTACATGACGGGACTGACACACGACTACCTGTGGGTAAAGAAGGAGAGGGGAACTGCAAGGGGAAAGTCAACAAACGTTCCTCTGGTTTGTTGACATCAACAACACGGAGTCTCGCGCGATGGGCGCGCGAGACAGAGCGTCTGATTCCTGTCGTGCAACAGACCCCCACTCACTCCATTCCGTCTTATTTGCTTTTATTAGGACGGGCTTAGGCGGAATAAGAAGGAATAGGTTTCTAAAACCTGGTTTTCCCGCTTGCCAAGGTGATACAGTGATGTGTTTATGTGGGTTTATATTCAGGGGATGTGTATTGTGTATGTTTAGTGTATTTGGGGTATCATACCATGTGTGTGTGTGTGTGTGTGTGTGTGGTCGTCTTCTCCATCTCATCCCCGTCGGCTGACCTGGCTCCCGTCTCTCATAGGTTTATTTTCCACGAATCCGAGCCGGGCAAACATGTAAACAATGCCCCCTCATCAAACCTGGCCGGCGTCATTCGCTCCTCGGTCCCCTGCCCCCGCGTTCCCATCCCCTTCTTGTTCCTCTCCCGCCTTAGCATTGGCTTCCTCTTCTGGGGCCTTGGCCATCACGTTTTCGAATTGCGACCAGAGCGCCTCGACAGATGAGAACTCATTTCCTACCTGGGTAGTCGCCGTATCAATCCGTTAGCCTTATTGATTCGGTCGCATCAGAGGTTGCATGGCCAGCTGTTTGAGAGCAGATGTGACCCACAGCGATAACGGCCTCGAGCGACCGGTTTAGTTTGTTTATGTTGGCCAGGACATGCTCGAAGTTCTGGTTTTGCATAGTGTGTAGTCAGCACCAGCGACACGTTTCTATTTTTACTTCTCACCGTTGCCCGGCAGAGGCAGGTAGCGGACAAGAGACGGATGAGGTTTGGTTCGGTACCATGGCAATCTCTTCTATCAGCGCCTGGCGCTGCTGCTCGAAATACGACATTTCCCTTGTGCCAGGAACAGCTGAGGTAGATCTTTTGTGGGCAGCCATTTTGTTTTTATTGAGGTTCTTTACAAAAACGCGGGTTGAAAGCGTCGGTAATGATGAACGGAAGTGCAATTGACTTTTGAAGAGGGGCAACCTTTATTCAACTGCGCGTAACCCTAACCCTTACCGTTACCACTTGGCTGGATGGTTGGCAGCTCGTGACTTGTTGCTGTGCCAACAAACGCTTTCTTCCGCTGTTGTGATCTTTCTCTGTAATTCAGGTCGGTTGATGGGCGAGGGGATGCTTCCCGGGCTGCTGTTCTGCGTTCGGCCCGTCTGACATGAATTGATGACGTCCGAGAGCCAGGGGAAAAGTGCTGATCTTAGGTTACAGAAAGATCCTTCGTCCTTGAGCCGGACTTGTGTTGCTTTTGGATGACAAGGCCATTGTTTTGTTGTGACAAGGAATAGGGAAGTTGGCTGTTCGGTTTGGGAGCTTTGTTTTGTTTGACAAGGGTTCCTTCAAACAAAACCATGTGCGGTGGCGTTACCGGTATTAATGCGGCTTACGGGCTATGGTACAGGCAATTTACATCAACCCCTGCGAAATGAATATCCGGCTTGTTTCAGAAACGCTGTTGGTCTTGAGGGCTTTTGAGGGATTGGGTTCAGGCTTTGGCTGTGACGCTGGTAAAAGTTTGCTAAACCAAGACTTGCTTCCGTCGGGGTTTCGGAGTTGTCAACATGGTTAGATCTCAAACAAGCGATGACCAGACGCAGTTGTCTCTATTCATAAGTGGGCGGTCCAGCTATTGGCAGATAGCGCAACTCTTGACAAGCACCATTGAATCGGACAGCCTTGAACAAGCCTCGCAGAAACAATCAACATAGTCTCAACCAAGACTGATGGGACAAACTTCTTCGCAACGCCTATGACTTTCAAGCCAGCAGGTGCAATCGGCTCCTTAAATCTCGAGAGGACTCAGGACCTGGAACTGAATGGTAGGGGTAACGAGCGAAAATCCTGTGGTCTTCAACCTTCAGTCCAGTGCTCGAGTTGGATTGAAATGCTCTGTTCAGCACGTCCCAACTCGAGATTATTCCCAAGTGGGCGCATACAAGGGATTTAGCCGATGCTCTGGAGTGGCATGAATCGACCAGCACATCCTGCCACCTGACATAGTACAAGGAACCCTTATAATATGTCCTGTCGTGGCCGATAGATAGCATTGGCGAATAGTCCCGATAGCGTTGTCCCAGGAAAAGTAGTTCATGTTGGTGAAGAATGGGTAAAACGGTCATTTGTCGTCATGTCTCGAGATTGATGGTCTTGCCAAATCTTGCGTACAACTCCACCTTTAGTTGTGACATCTCATCGCGGATATTGCTCAGCTTCTCCTCAAGTTCCGAGATTTCCTCCTCAAGCTTTGCCGTCGAAATACCGAGCATCTCTTGGGCTTGGGGGAGGGGAACGTGGAAAAATGCGTCGCCGACTTTGTATCTGTTTAAAACCGCTCAGTATGCATCTAGTGGATATGGTAGTTTTTATATGATAGGGGAGACTCACGGGACAAGCTCGTCCTCGTCAGCAAGCTCCAGCTCAGTTGTGATATCGTCCAACTCTTCCTTCTCTTTCTGTGGCCAGCGTCAGTACAGTGCCTACTCCTCAGGTGTTGCTCCCAGCAACAGGTAGCATACTGACCTGCTTCGCCTTCAACTCCTCCTCAATCGCCAATTCGTGGCGATGCAAACGGCTGAATCTGTTGATCTTGTCCTGGTCCTCGCGGCGTACCTCGACGTCCTCGCCTATAGCCTCCTCCTCCTCCTTGGTCAACTGCGCAGTCAATTGTCAGCAGCGCTTTGAAGTTTGGGGTTTGAGGGGTAGTTGCTGACCATTCGCCGACTTATGTTCATCATTCTGAAGCAGTCCACGGCCACGTGGAAGCAGTTCGGTGAGAATGACGGTTCTTGAAGTTAGAGCCGTCGTCGTTTGGGCAGCAGTCTCATGGCGGGGTAGTGAAGGTAACAGTCGGATCTGAACCCTAACCCTTGGGTGAGGGCAGGGGTCTTGGCGGGCGCCGCAAACTCGACCATCGCGCTTGCTTTCATCTCACCGCGCCGCGTCTCATTGCCAATGAAGTAAAGTGACATCCTGGAGTATCTATTGAAAACCGTCAAAATATCCACATGTGAAAAGAACCTCAACACTTAGATCGACGATTCTGCTTACCATCCAAGATGCCTGGACAAAAGCTTTACCCCCGCGCGACGGTCAGAAAGATCGTCAAGGCTCACTCTAATTGTAATGTGAGCAAGAACGCTGATGTCATGGTATGGTACATCTCCCCCAGATCTCGGAATGTTGCAGACTAGTCTGACATGTAATTCCTGGCAGATGTTCTTGGACTACATGCTCTTCATGCAAACGTACGACTTCGGATATCCTGTATGGTTTAGGCTTGCATGCTAACTCTGTTCCAGGCTCATCAAAGAAGCAGCGATTGAAGCCAAGCAAGGGGGTGAGCGTGGTATCACAGCGCGAAGTGTCAGAAAGGTCACGGCGGTATGCAAACTCTTGAATAAACTGTCAATCTTTCTCACAGATCAATACTCATGCGACCTGTTTTCACCAGGATGCGCTTGCCAAGTTCAGAGGATGATGGACCAACAGCGTGCCCAGTCAAAGTGGCAGCATACCATTTTCATACCGGAAGTGTGGAATAATCGGAATGGCCGTCTATTTGAACCCCAGAGTTGGGCCTCTAGCCGCATGGCGCCGAGATGTATGCATTGGGATATGCTTGGTTAAACGGGCAGATGGTGGAGACACCAGACAGAGCCCAAGCCCCAGCCCGCAACCCCGGGGGCCCGAATCATGAGATTGCCGTGGTGCGAAGGCTGGAGATGGTCACGGAGTGTAGAAGGAGATAGAAGGTTATGTAGGTTTACTTGGAAGGGAGATATGAGAGCTTGAAGCTTCTCTTAAGCGGTCATATGGCCCTTGTATTCGGGCGTTTCTTGAAATAGCAAATGGTCAGTGAATGACGGTAGGAGCAAACGGCATTTTGGGCTGCTGTCACCCTTCTGCATGCTTCTGTCCCATACCACCAACTGTGACCAATCGCGAAAAGGAGGGGCACCCTGAGTGGCCCGTGTGGAAGCTCTGCACGCAGCACGCCCAAGGTCCCCAAGGTGGCAGGCAGCTCACACGGGAGGCGACCGACCACAGACAGGCACACAGCTTCCCTCTTAAAAATTTCCCACACATCTCGAACCAACCTTTGCCAATAAACATCATCACCCAACTCTTCCGCACTCACCGATCACCTTTTGCCCGAGTCCGTGGCAATTAGCTTCTGCAATCCATTCTGGTCGTAATCTCCCATTCATTGCACCCTAAAATCCCCCGCATCTTCTCGAGCCAGCCGAGGGACCTTCGTCCGTCGCCCAAATCGAAGACGCCTGCTACCAACCACCGTCTCGGCTTCTCTAGTATAATCACAAGCAACATCCCTCTCACAAAATCCGATATGGCCGCCACCGAAGTTCAGAACCCGCCGGCTCCTGTCGAGTCGAAGTCGGCCAAGAAGAAGAAGGCCAAGGCCGGCGAGCGCACCGAGTCCCCCGCTCCCACTTCGACTGCGACCCCCGACAAGCCTGCTTCTGTTGCTCCTGGCGAGAACCCGGACGACATTTCCTTCAACCCTTATATCCGCGATTTGCAAAAGTAGGTCGTTATCTGCGCATAGGCCCGTCAAGTGGTTTGCTGACTCATTCCCCCAGGAGCATTCGCAACCTCACAAAGAAGATTGTAGGTTCCAACCTGCTTCTTGTCTTATTTGCTTCTTACCCATGACTTCTCTCTCGTGGCTGGATTGCTAACGTGATGTTTGCAGACCAACTCCTCGAGGATCGAGGCCATCATCAACGAACATCCTGGCAAGTCTTTGGACGAGCTGGTGGCCATGAAGGTCATCAATGCCGACCAGAAGGCTGCGCACTTGAAGAGGCCCACGCTGCAGGCTCAGTTGTATCAGCTTGAGGAACAGCTGGCCCAACATAAGAAGCTTGATCAAGAGTTCAAGGCTCGCCTTGCGGAGCAGGAGAAGACCCTGACGGAGAAGTTCGAGAAGGAGAAGGCTGAGGCTCTTGCGGAGCTCTCCAAGAAGAATGAGGAGGATGTCAAGAAGGCCCTGCACGACAACCTTCTTGTCCTGTCTCAGTTCCTTCGTCTGGCTGCTGCTCGTCGGGCGGAAGACCCCGAAGGCACTTCCGAGGAGAGTGCAGCTCTCGAGGGTGTCCTTCTCCACATCTACTCGGGTGATGAGAATGCGGTAGCCACTATGCTGAAGCTGGTGCAGGGTTCGGAGGAGCAGACACGTAGCACCATGGGCGAGCTGCTGCCGACAACCTGTAAGTGGTTTCCTTGGGTCAGCACCATATCCGTTATTTTCACAAAGGCTAACTTCGTTTAGTTGCCCAGGTTAAGCAGGCTGCTATTGCCTATAACGCTTCTCTTGTTCAGACTGAAGCTCCCGCCCAAACCTCCTCTGAGGAGGCTGTAGAGGCCAAGCCCGGGCCCGAGGCGGAGCCAAGCACTGAGGCTGTTCCTGATGCCCCAGTAGAGGAGACCGCTGCTCCTGTCTTGACCAACGGCCATGTTCACGAGTCCTCGACGACTAGCACTGAGACGAGCTCCGGTATTCCCCCCAATGCAGAGGCTGGGGATGAGGCTTCCAACGCCGCCGCTGGTCAGAGCCAGTGGGACACTGGCAACGAGGCGGCGACCTCTCAGGAACAGGACGTTAAGGTCCCCCGCGACCCTAGCGAGACCGAGACCGGCGTGAATGCCACCCCGGCTGCCCCCTCTGCCCCGGCCAACCCACAGAGCTGGGCTGATGACCACCCTACTGCTGAGTCGACTCAGCAGAATAATAACTCTGCTGCCCCTGCTGATGACGGTTTCCAGTCCGTCCAAGGCCGCAACCGCGGCAACCGTGAGGGTGGTTGGCGCGGTCGCGGTGGCTTCCGCGGCCGTGGTGGCTTCCGTGGTGATGGCCGTGGCCGCGGTCGTGGCGGCCAGCGCGGTGGCCTCCCTCAGCGTCCTCGCCGTGGCGGTGACGAGCAGCAGTAAGCTGCTAATATCTTATTTACCACTGTTCTGGTGGAGCGCGCACACTCAGACATGCGATTTCTCGCTCGATTGGGTCTCTCTCGCATCTGTTTGTCGGCGGACCGTCATGGCATTCTCATCACTTGGCGTTCATAAAAAAACGAAGCGCATCTGCTATTTTTTGCAAGAATCTGGCTTATCGGTCTCATCTGGCGGCTTGTGGCAATCATTGTAAGTGTACATTAATGGACAAAACGGACGGCGCACACCTCGGTTCTGGAGATATGGGGAGCAGGCAGCCCCAGAGGTTTTTCTGCTACTTTTAGGGCAGGCGACTCCCTCTGTTCCAGACAGGCAGGTTGATGGGCTAGGCGGCGGATATGGATCAAAGGCATATGGCTGGGATGTTTATCTCTCTTTCATTCTTCTCTCTCATGGGACCATGTAACGACGGCGATGAAAAAAAATGACGGCACGGCGGGGCGGGTTTTGCTCTGGGCTGGCGTTCAGGATGCTGGGACGGACGGTCGCGAGAGGTAATCTGGTGATGCGCGGGTCAACCGGGAAAGTGAAGGAGATGATAGATAGCCAGTAATACAAGGGCACTATGCATCTCCAGCTTGCGCAGCCTTTGGTCTATAGCTAGATGTTCCTGTGATTGATGTCATGTTTGCTCAGTTTCAAAGAACATGTGTAGAACCCCTGACCCCTAACCAAACGCCCAATCAACTCCTTAACTCCGTCACTCCATCCAACTGTCTGCTAGCATAGTTGCGAACTATACCTGATGAAAATCGTATCATTTCAATCAATGGGCTCTCTTACTTCACAAGACGAACCCACTGAACGGAGTCCCTAATGCTCTCCCAGTAAGAGCATCAAAACGGACTCCTTCTTTCTGCAGAAGAGCCCGCTTCTCTTGCAAAGAAGCGCATGCGTCCCCATCACGGTGACCAATCTTGCCTTTGAATCCGCCTAACATGTTACCCGTTGCTAGGACGCGGTGACTACATACTAGTTAGATACCACGTAGTCAGCGAGATTGAAACAATTACAGGACTTACCATGGAATTTCCGGAGCGAATGGATTTCTCTTTAGCGCGTTGCCTACCGCCCGAGGAGAGGATTTGAGTGCGGCGGCTAGAATACCATAGGTACTGAAGGATCCGGGGGGGATTTGGGCTGTTAGGCGCCAGACGGAGCGCTCGAAGGGTGTGCCGAGGGGTGAGTTTTGGAGAGGTTTTGGGAGGGGGATGGAGGAGGGTTTGGATGATGATTGAACCGTTGTGGAGGGGAGTATGGTGGTCTGCGTTAGGCTGCGAGTGTTGGTACGAGATGTCATGGCTTCTTGGAGGACGGTTATCGGCGGTCTAATGTGAACGTTGAAGGACAAAGAAAGTATTTTTGACTAGGAGGATCACAGAGACTGCTTTATGGAGGGACTATCTAGGTTTGAAGAATCATGAGTGGAGAGTGATGAAGATCTAATAAGACAGTAGGAGTCAGAGACGCGATATCACATGTCAAGTCAAGGGCGTGTGTGAGGGGCCAAGAGCCAGCGGTGTCTCGAGGCGCGTACAGGGAGCGCTGTCACGTGACAGCAACAGTAAGAAGGTAGGTAATGCACCCACCGGGAAGTGCAGTTCCATGCTTAAGGCCATCTTTCATTGTTGACAACAACTCATCTATAAGTCCAAAGAGGAGGGATTTCTATTCTCGTGTGTCATTTCACCGACAATTCGTCAAGAAACTGTGATGGAAGACTCGAGGCCTGAACAAGTGAAGATCAAAGACCCTCGTGCTGAGTCGACGGAAGACCAACAAGTTGCGGTCCAACAATCCTCTGACCAACAAAACTCCATTGACAAGAATGTAGCATATTCCCTTCTCCTCATGCTCATCGCCTTAGGGGCACGGCTCCTCGTCATCACCCATAACTCCTCCTGGCTACCATCCTGGGCTCTCCCATTGGTCACCTCCACAGTCGCCTTCTACAGCACACTGGCGGTACTGAGCATAACACCCATCAAATCAGTCCTCCCTTCAAATGGAACGCCAATTACAGTTTACCGCCTGATAAGCCTCTTTGGGGAGCATGTGCTACCACTTCTCATGTGGGTAGTGTTTTTCGGCTGGTTCGCATACAAGGAGTCTTGGGAGGTGATTATCTTGCAAGCGCTGGCCACGCGGGTGGCTGTGGCAATTGTGAATACGCTGGTGGAAGCTTTTGGGCCTCAGGATCAGGATAAAGTTGCGGAGAGGGTTATAGAGGACGAGGAATGATGGGAGGGGAGCTTGGCTAGTTGATGGAAGTGGTAAGGTGGTCGATATGATGGGCGCTGGGGGGAATACAGCAAAGCACTTCATCAGCGTTCAATACATCTATGGTCATGATACCTATTCAACGGAACAGCTATGCTAGGGTGGTAATAGAAATTTGACCGTAGAAGCATCGTTCACATCAGAATTCACTGTTCCAGATGGGGTATCTGTTGCATTTTGTTTGGCTGTCGGCCAGAAAACTTATGGAAACTGTTGCACCATATACTGAGATCAGGAAATTGATGCATTTACGCCCCAGGATCGCTGAATCACAATTAACGTCCCTTCCTGCCGGTCACCAAACATGATCATACCTGGCTGAGCTTCCCTGTTCAAGGAAAGGAGCCGGTCTGACTGATCCATCTTCCAGAACTACGAGGATTAATGCGGTGTCTGCAATCATACTGGATCCCAAAACCCATCTGGTCTTCAGAGCTTGATTGTCGTAGGACAAGTCCCTTTTCTCCCCAATACACGAGGCTAACTACCTCACTCACCCGTATCAACCTCCAGATCCAGCTGCACCCCATTCGAGATACCATAGTCCCCCAGCGTAATATGATCCTTAAACGGCCGCTCACCCTGCCTCTTCAGACAAATCTCATGCGGCTCGCGGCCAATCTTCATAGCAACCATGATCTTGAACTGGCCGATCGTGTCAGACGGGAATGCAGGGATCTGCGCTTTGGTACCCAGGCGGTCATTGACCGTCACCACAATCATCTCCTCTCCGCCGGATGTCGCTTTAGGTGCAGCAAGCTGCTGGGCTTTGCTCGATTTGGAGAGTTTGTCGCGTTTGGATGTGCGGTCTCCGTCTTTGTCTCTGTCGTGGTCACGGTCTCTATCACGGCGAGGCGAACGATTTCTGTCTCTTCGGGGTGAGCGATCTTGGTCGCGACGGTCTCTGTCCCTATCCCGCTCCCTGTCACGGTTGCGGTAATCTCTGTCTCTGTCTCTGTCCCTGTCTCTGTCACGACCGTAGTCACGGTCCATGCTCCGATCCCTTTCACGATCCCTCTCCCTGTCACGATCTCTCCTTGGCGAGCGATCACGATAGCCGCGCTGCAAGCCACGATCGCGGCGGTCATCATTTTCATCATCACGGCGCTTCTCTTTCCAGCGGAAGCCGCCGCTTGCTTTGGGGCGTCGCACAGGTGAGCGCGATCGTGATCGTGACCGTCTGCTGGGAGATTCTGGCATGGTGGTGGTGGTGGTGGTGGTGGTGGTGATGTTGGAAATACTTGTTTACTGTTCAAGAGCTAGAGTTTCGTTGGCGCAGCTTGGGAACCTTGATGATCGCAAGTGGGGCGATTTATTACATAAGTATCAGATAAGATAAGAGTGAGAGGGGAGGGATTACATATTTTCTGACCATACATTTTGGAAGATGATGATCCAGGCCCATCAAGCAATCACGATCACGTAGATGTCAGATACAGTCTGGGTTATATCAGCATTGATGCTATACTGAGGCTGAGCCTCTGAATACTAAGTCCATTCGCTGGACGATATGCCCACGAACTACCAACCACCTGCTTTTCATCACTACAAGTGCGATGCTGCATGAAAGATCTCACTCAGAAAAGCCCCAATAACGCCGCCATCGTGCCCATCCGAACGCCGTCAAAGCCCACCAACCAATACGCCAGGAGGTGTATCATACAAAGAAGCATGTCCGAAAAAAGGAAACCCCAGAAAAGAGAAAGAAGAGTGAGCACCAGCTGTACCTGTATGTGCCGACCCCTTACTCCTTGCTGGACTTCTTCTTCTTCTTCTTGTGCTTCTCCTCCTTGGCAGGAGTCTCCTCCTCAGGCTCATGCTTACGTTTGGAGGACTTGGACTTAACCGGCGTCTCAGCCTCAGCATCTTCTCCATCCTTGCCCTTAACTTCAACACTGCCATCGGGCTTGATCTTGATCTTGCCCTTTTCCAATTTCTTGGTGAACTTGGAGAGGGACATTCCGAGCTCCTTGGCAATACGTTCATAATCCGCCTCCGTAATCTTCGAAGAAGCGACCTCCTTCTTCTCCTTCTTCTTCTCTTTCTTATCTTTCTTATCGCTAGCGGAGGCATCCTTCATCTCGACCTCCGGAACTTCCTCAATGAGCGGCCTCTTCGGCTGCTCGGAGGATTCCTTTGAGGTTGTGGTAGCAAGGCCATCAGCCTCGATGTTGTACTTGCGAGCCTCTTTGACGTCCCACTTAGCGGGCATGCCAACCGGGATACCATTGGGCCCAAGAGCAACACCCTTGTTCAGCGGCTTGCCCTCAAGAAGACGGAGGTTGTTCTCCAGCTTGGCCCGGGCCTGAATACCCACAGCAGCGCGGGTCTCGTCGTCGGCGTTCTCGGGGAAATCTTCAAAGGCGTCCGTACGGACACTAAGGGCAATCTTGGCGGCGAGCTGACGGGCAATCTTGCCCTTGTTGGGGCCAGAGGCCTGACCAACCAAAGAAGCATGGTAGATGATACCGTACTTCGGAGTAGCGTGCTTAGTCTTGAGGGCGCGGAAGAGGGCCTTCTCAGCACCGAGGATCTGGATAGTTGAACCGGGGTTCTTGGCGAGGTTGACAAGGGAACCAGAATGAGCAATAAGGCGGGCACCAACAAGGGCGCCGATAAGCTCAGTCATGTTTGGAGAGATGGCTTTCATGCGGTTCTGCAAGTATTCAGCCAGCTGGCGCCTGTACTCGGACCTCTCGACGACTTGGACAGCGAGAAGCTTGATGTTCTCATAGTCCTCAGTGGAAATCTCAGTGCCCATACTGATGTCGGCAGCCGCTTTGACAGCGGCCTCGATCTCGGGAGGAAGAATCTCGGAAAGATCAGCGTTGGGAGCGTTGGTGCGCAGGCCCAAAGCGAGAACAACGCGCGCATACGACAGGTTGTCTGGAAGGATCTTGCCCAGTTCGGGGAAGTGCCAGCCGTACCACTCCTTGACGCGCATGGCCATGACGTTGAGCTCCTTGTCGAGCTCATCCAGCAGGGCCACAGCGTGTACAATCATGACATCCACCTTCTCGGGAGAGAACTTAAGCTTGTGGCGGGAGAGCGAGTGCGCCAGACCAAGATTCATCTCGTCAAAGTTGGACGGCTCCATACCCGGGATCAGGTTGTACAGATGCTGACGGATGGCACGGAAGAGGTCATCAGTCATCGAGCCCGAAATAGGCTTGATGTTGATGCCGGGGAGCTTAGTGATCGAGTTGCTCAGCTTTGTGTCATGCACGGCGAGAGTGACCTTCTTCTCATCCTTGAGCTCATTCAGCAGGCTAGCCAACTTAGGGGTAACCTTGCCCTCAAGAATGCCACTGGCTTCCTCGACCGCAATAGCCGCACTGTCGAACTTGGCAAACTCCTTGTACTTGATCCTGCGGAGTGTTGGTCTGCGAACACATCTAGGCGATGGCAAACATATGGTATTTGGGCGACTTACTCCTTGATGATCTTGTCAAGGGTAGAGAGCCTCTCCGACACATTGTCCGAGTCGAGCAGCTTCTTGTCGGCAGCCTTGAACAAGGCATAGCTATAATCGATGTTAGCCCAAAAGCCCTGATGGAATTGACTCTCTAAACACTGCCGACCAACTCCTCGATCGCGAACTGGTCGCGCCAAAGACCTCTTTCCCTACGGCTCCACGCGCATCTGTTTCGACGGCCAATTGAATGGAAGGTAACTTACCCGGCGCTGGTTTCCGTGAGAATGAAGAGCGGCATTTTGCCAAATTCGTGTCGGAAGCCCTTGCCGCGGCTGGTGTTGTTGTGCGAAGGTTGTGAAAGCGGCTCGATCGCGGCTTGCTTCACGGGTTCACCACAGCCTTCCGCAGAAAAAAGTTGGAGTGCAAAGGAACAATTTTTTTACCACTGACTTTGCAGGATGCAGGTGGGGGCAATTGGCCCGAGCTCAGTACGATAAGCTCGATAAGGAGCTTGGCATTCGAGCGGCGCGGCTGGGGTGAGCTAAACAGACAGTGTGGTATCAGCCATCCATTCGGTGACACCAAGGAACTTGCGATGAAGGACAACCAACCAGCGCCAACGCCATCAAAGCCGCAGGCACCTCGAGCTCTATCAACAGAACGTCAAGAGCCAAGAGGGTGCCATCTACCTGTGTCTTCTGGGCAATCTTCGCACATATATTTTCAACATGGAGGGCTTATTTTTCAATGTAAACAATGGGTAAGTCGTGGGCTTTAGCGACACCACACTTTACAATATCAAGATGGTTTCTTGCTAACTCCGACTGTCTTCCCCCCCCGCAGCTACATCGAGGGCATCATCAGGGGCTACCGGAACAGCCTCCTTACCAGCGCCCAGTATGCCAACATGACACAATGCGAGACTATTGATGGTTAGCCACTTTTTCTACGATGTTGACCTATGATGGGCTTGGTTCTGACCATCGCGTTCCCAGATCTGAAGCTCCAACTTGGCCCCGCTTACGGCGACTTCCTGGCATCGTTGCCCCCTAACCCATCAACATCCGCCCTCGCGGCCAGGACAACAGACAAGCTGGTCTCCGAGTTCCGCTATGTCCGCGCAAACGCTGTTGGCGCCATGGCCCAGTTCATGGACTACGTCACGTACGGCTACATGATTGACAACGTCGCCTTGCTCATCACCGGCACGCTCCATGAGCGCGACACTCGCGAGCTGCTCGACCGCTGCCATCCGCTCGGCTGGTTCGAGACAATGCCTGTGCTCTGCGTGGCGACAAACATTGAGGAGCTCTACAATAGCGTGCTGATTGAGACGCCCCTTGCTCCATACTTCAAGGGTAGCCTGTCGCATCAGGACCTGGACGAGCTCAACATCGAGATCGTGCGCAACACCCTTTACAAGAACTATCTCGAAGACTTCTACCGCTTCGTTAACACCCACCCAGACATGGCCGGCACCCCAACTGCCGAGATCATGTCGGAGATGCTCGAGTTCGAGGCCGACCGCCGTGCCATTAACATCACCCTGAACTCTTTTGGCACCGAGCTCTCTAAGGCAGACCGTAAGAAGTTGTATCCCAACTTTGGGAAGCTGTACCCGGAGGGCACGCTGATGCTGTCGCGTGCCGATGACTTTGAAGGTGTGAGACTGGCGGTTGATGGAGTTGCCGACTACAAGGCTTTCTTTGAAGCTGCCGGTCTTGGGGGTGGTCCTGGTGGTCCTGGTAACATGGGTGGCGGCCTGAGCACAGACGGCAGGAGTCTCGAGGACATGTTCTATCAAAAGGAGATGGAGATCGCCAAGAGTGCTTTTACTCGGCAGTTCACATATGCTATTGTCTATGCTTGGGTTAAACTAAGAGAACAGGTAAGCCGCCTCTTGGAGATGTTCTATCATGCCAGAAACTAACGCTGCAACCAGGAAATCCGCAACATCACATGGATTGCTGAGTGCATCGCACAGAAGCAGAAGGAGCGCATCAACAACTACATCAGTGTCTTCTAAGTTTGAAATGGGGTAATCGGCTTAGATATTCGTTATCCAATGGAGCTGGATGGATGACGCGCATTTTGTACACACGGGTATCATCTTGGGAACTCTCAGGGCATGAGTTCGAGTTCGCAATTGTGGCATGGCGTACGGGCGAAGGGGCTTACAAGATAAGGGGGAATCATTGCGCATTCCTGCTAGGGTCTTAACGGTATTGTACATAAACAAGTTATACATGCTAATTTGTCTTGGGACATTCCTCCACCGACCACCCCTCCAACGCCGCTCAGATCGAGATCTGGCCCTTGTAGCAAGCGGGCGTGATGCCCAGCATCTTGACCATATACTGCCACCTCTCGCTTCCTCTCTCCTTCCTCTCCATATAACGCAATAGCCGCTGACGCTTGTGGAGCAGCTTCCGCAGACTCCTCTTGTTGTTCTTATCCTTGTAGCCCTTGTAACCCTCAAGGGCCTTAGCCAGCGCGCGGATCTTGGCAGTCAAGATGGCAATCTGCACCTCGCTGCTACCCGTATCCGGACCAGCCCGTGGTGGCTTTGGCTTGGGCTCTCCCTGAGCAGGCCCACGCGGTGCTGGCTGCAGGAACTTGTCGGTAACATGCCTGCCAAAGGTCTCAATACACCGGCGGATGTTTGCGTGCTTGCGATCCTTGGCGCTGCCGTTCTTCAAATCGGTAATGCGCTGTAGCGCGATCATGGCCTTCTCATGCTTCTTCTGATGCTCCTCCAAAGCCTCCTTCTCCATCGTCGGGTCCGAAACCGCATTCTCCTGGCCGACTAGAGGCGCCGTCACCTTCTGAGAGTACTCGATCGCCTTCTCGACCTCTTCCTGCGACAACAGGTAATTCTTGATGTGGGGCGATGTGGGGAGAGGTTGGCCGGTCGTTGACGAGACCGGCTCCTGGCCGGCTGTGTCGAACGACTCAACGAAAGGAGTGGTAATGCCGTGGACGGGATCGCCCAGTTCGGCCTGGCGCTGTTCCTCGATCTTGGCCCGCTTCTCGAGGTGAGCGTTCTTGCGAGCCTGAGCCTGAGCCCAGCCCCAAGGATCCTGCTTCATCCGCCGCTTCTTCTCCCTCATAGAGATGTTGGCAGTCTGTGTGCGCGGCAGCAGCAAAGTGGCAGCCGGAGTCGTAATCGGGGCCGGACGGAGACATACTGCGAACAATATCAGGTGTCAGCCGAGTGAGGGGTCAACACTCAACAGGACTCAGCGAGGGGTCATGCCGGGGCGGGCAGGCTCACGTGTAAGGGTGCGCAGCCCCTGAGGGGCGGCTATCCGGGGCGGCATCTTGAGGTGTTCTGGCTGGTTTCTTTAGTTGTCTCCCCAGAACGTCGACTCCGTTGCTTCCGTCTGCGCGCTGCTTCGCAACTTTCTCTGTCGTCGCACTTGCGGCCCAGATTTTGGAGCAAACTGCGCTAGTCCTGTTCTGGCTAGCGTCACTTCGATCGCCAAGAAGGCAAGGTCCTTCGGCCGGCAAAACGACGGCTAACCTGGAGAAGTGCCCCAAACGGTTACAGTTGGCAACAGCTGACACAGCAATGGCAGTCAAGCCACACGCATCAGCCCCGCACTGGCACCATTAGCCATAGCCCACACTGCGAGCCAAGCATGTGCCGCAGGAACCCTGGCGGGGCACTCCACAAAATTGATTTTTGTGTGCCAAAATCGCAGGAGCTCCAGCCAAGCGCAGCCAGTCCGCCGGGGCCCGAAAAATATATCCCACTCCTGGACGCCAAACTTCGCCCTTTCTCTCCCCGTCGTCACGTCCGCCGCGAGAGAGAACCGTCAAAATGGCGCCCGCTAACCTGCCCTCCATCTTCAACCCCACGAGCGCCGACATTGAGCAGCTCCTCGCTGCTCAGTGCCACATCGGCTCCAAGAAGTGCGTCGCCGTCGTTGCGGTTCTCTGAAATCGTGTTGTGGGAGCCATTGCTAACTGATCTTGCTTCAATAGCCTCAATGTTCACATGCAGCGTAATTCTCCCTCATAACTTGTTTCGCCGATTACAGGAAAGATTCTGACAGAGCTCTCCGTATAGCGTATGTGTGGAAGACCCGCGCTGATGGTGTGAACATCATCAACCTGGGCAAGACCTGGTACGTTATGGTTATATTCTCGGGAGTTCGCCGCGAATTTAGTGTCAAATAAGGCGGAGGATGGAGCGTCGGAATATCGACTGACAAGACTGCTCTCCAACAGGGAGAAGCTCGTCCTTGCGGCCCGCATCATCGTTGCCATTGACAACCCGAGCGATGTTTGCGTCATCTCCTCTCGCCCCTTCGGCCAGCGCGCCGTCCTCAAGTTCGCCGCCCACACCGGCGCCCAGGCCATCGCTGGTCGCTTCACCCCGGGCTCTTTCACCAACTACATCACCCGTTCGTTCAAGGAGCCCCGCCTGATCGTCGTCACCGACCCCCGCACCGATGCCCAGGCCATCAAGGAGGCCAGCTATGTCAACATCCCGGTCATCGCCCTCTGCGACACTGATTCCCCTCTCGAGTACGTCGATGTTGCCATCCCCACCAACAACAAGGGTAGGCACTCTGTTGGTCTGATCTGGTGGATGCTTGCCCGCGAGGTCCTTCGCCTCCGCGGCACCATCTACAACCGCGAGACCCCTTGGGACGTCATGCCCGACCTTTACTTCTGTAAGTTCCCTCTGTCTCGGATTACTACCGATATGGAGCATAAGCTAACTTTCTGCACAGACCGCGATCCTGAGGCCGAGGCTGAGGAGAAGATCGAGGAGAAGGAGCTCGCCGTGGAGGAGGAGGTTGCTGCCGTCGACACTGGCTTCGCTGGTGCTGGCGATTGGGAAGCTGCCCCTGGCGGCTTCCCGGCTGCCACTGAGTGGAGCGAGGCTCAGGCCGGTTCTTGGGAGGCTGGTGCCGCTGCTACCAGCGAGTGGGCTGCCGAGCCTACTAAGGATGCCTCGGCTGGCTGGTAGATGAGTTGGTGAAAATAAAAACTGGCAATTTTAGGGGTCAGGCGTAATGGTGGCGCGGACAAATGGATGGGGTATCACACTTCTGGTCATGGTTCTGCTCGCCAATCTCCTCTGCAACAACAATGGGCTTGATGGCTCTCCCTGTCTCTTCTTCGTCGGCTGGTGCACTCTTTTTGCGGAGCAGCGTTGCTCAGGCGGAGGTAACACTAGACCTGCACTAATGAGGGAAAGATATCCTCTCTGGTAGCTCTTTTGCCATTGCCGGAGAGGGGGAATGCCCTGTGGGGTCTAGAGGGATTGACTTAAACGTGATCCCGCCTTGCTGACTGACCACTCTGCAATAGGTCAACCGGCTGCCGGGGAGTGTGGTTTCCTAGATCTTTGTTAGCATATGGGAACGGAGGTTTGACCCTTATGGCGTTGGAAGTGCTATGCGATACCACTGTCTGCAATTGCCAGTATTTCTTACTCGTCGCTGTCTTACTGCTGGCATCCGTCCATTCCTGCAGAAGCCCTTGATATCCTTGCCATCTCCAAATCTCTATTTCTCTTGCTAGCTGCTCCACGGAAGGTAAATGGCAGCTATGAAAGTCAATTGTGAATCTCATAGCCTCAAGGCCCAAAGAAATCCTGTCAATGTCAACTGTATTTGATTAGCTACCTAGGTAGCCTCTTGTTGAGCCTCATACCCCTTCCTCTACGTCCGAGTCGTAGGTAGAGAGGACACAACTATGTTATTCTCCCCTCTCTTCTCATATCGTTGACTCCAAACCCCGTACCAAACCGTGTCTACCTCTTGCCCCATTATGTGACATGAGACAACGCAACCCTAATACTCCATATGCATCTTGCAACTCCTTTCCTCTTCTTTCTCTCCCCAAGGGTATCCTTCATCGAAACAAAAGTCAAATGACAAGAATGTACTTAACAAGACCCCAACTCTCGGAAGCGGAAATGACAAGTGACTTTTAAATCTGGGACAGTTGGCCCAAAGATTACAAGCCAGGCCAGATATCATCAACAACCAATCAATCAAGTATGCAGACACCATACATGACGACATACGTGATTCCATGTATCCCGTAAATCCATCATCTCATCGATCAACGTGAGCGGCTGGTATAATAGAGAAGAAGAAATGCCAGACGCCCTGCTAAATAAACAGCAGAAAAGGTAGGAGAGAAGTATTCCCCTGCGTGGGGCCCGCGGGGGGGGGTATTATAGGGTTTTTAGGTAAGCTTTGAGCGGCCTTGAGAGAAAATGCTATGCGAAGGTGCCGAGCTGCTCATCTGCCGCCAAACTCTCTCAAGGGAGAGAAGGACGCTAGTCCGCTTACTCCAACCTCTCACTCAACCGTCTAATCTCTTCATCATCCAACGCCCCCATCCACAAACACCTCTCCGTAATCCCCTCAATCGGCTGGAACGCATACAACGTGCTCGCTTCGAGCAACCTCAGCAACGTTTTGACGATCCCTGCGGCCGTGCGACACCGCTCGAAATTGACCAGCGGCGCGGTCGTCGGCGAGCTGGCAATCTCGCTCGGCTTCTGCGCATTAAACAGCAGATCGTGCGTATAAATTCCCACAAACGGTATACACGCCATGTCGGCGAGTATTGAGCTGCTCGAGCCGCTTTTGCTGATCTTTCCCGTAACACTACCAGCCTCCATTTCCGCGCGGAGGTTGTAGAAATTCCGAGTTGGGGACATGAGCTGCTCCAGATCATGCAACGTGCGCTTATCATGTGGCGGAACCAACGCCCACGTCCTGCTCAACCGGCTCACCTCGTTCGAGGTCAGGGCGATCGTGATCTGCGACATGGTCGCGAAGTTCCGGTACCGCCTGCAATGCGCGGCGATGTGGATGAACTTGATTATACACCGAGCGCGTTCCTCCAGATCTTGGGTCAGTACAATCTCGGAGATAGCCCACTTCACCATGATGTTAAACCTTGCGATGACGACCTCGACGCCGCGCGCGTCGGTATTGCGCAGGAAGGAGACCCAGCTGCGCACGTTGTTGACGTTATTTTGATCGGCGTTCTTCCAGCGCATATCGATAAGCTCTTTCCAGTCGATTTCGTTGAGAGCATCCTTTTCGACCAGGGTGAATTGTTGGGCAAGGATGTCGCTGTCGAAGGCGAGGATGAAAGGGAGATGGACGGAGTATTTGTTGGGGAGGGAGGGCTGGGACTGGGCAGCGGCATCGCGGGCGCCGAGGAAGTGATGATGCTGGTATTGGAGGTGGGTTTGGGATGTTGCGGGGGTCGATGAGGCGGGGTTGGGAGTAGGAGGAAGAGGCTTGTCGAAGTGATTCTGGCGGTCTTGGATCTTCTCCCTGTAGGCGGTCGTGGGAGACATCTGGAGAGCTTGGAGGAGGGTAAGCTGCGGTGAGCCGGACCGCTCAGCAGGTGGTTCTTGATTCCTGCTCGTGATGGATTGGCCATTGGAAGTCGTCACAGCAAGCCCAATGGTCGCGGGGTTTTGCCCGTCCTCGTAATCCACAATTTCCGTTGACAACTCAGTCGAGATGTCGCTCTCATTATCACTCTCCACATTCAAGAACGACTGTTCCAGGCTAGCCCGCTGCTGCTGCTGCTGTTGCTGCTGTTGCTGCTGTTGCTGTTGCTCCTCCGCCAAAGGCATCGTCTTCCCCGGCGGAATCCGATCCATGCTATCCGTCTTCTGGATGAACTGGAAGCTTTGATGCTGCGAATCATAGATACTCCGATGCTGGACAGTCTCAATATCATTATCATCGGGATCCTGCAGCACCGACCGATCGGTCCATTCCTGCGTAACCGTCCTCTTGCTCCTCGCCTCATCTGTCAATCCCTGTTCCAACAGCGGTGTCGGGCAGTACGATATCCTCGAATCATCCGAGAAAAATGACCGTGCCATCTGCGAGCCATGTCGCCCGCTGATATCCAGCAGCGCATTATGCGCAGCCGCAAGCTGGAACGCCTCCTCCCCGATATGCACATTCCGCCTCTCCTGCTTTTCTTCCTTGCTCAACCCCCTATCCCCATTCTTCACAATCTCAACCCCATCCGCCGGCGGCGCATTCTCCCTCGGCCGCCCAAGATCAATCGACAGCTTGGGAACAGGAACCAACGGCGGCGGCGGCTTCTTCCTCTGATACTTGCCCTCCAACTTCAACAGCGCCGTTTCAATGCCCCCATCATCATCAGCATCATCCGGTATCAGCGCGAGCTTCTGCGCCTCCTTCTCAAACGAAGGCCTCATCACTGGCTTCGAGTCGTGTGTGCTCACCCAAGAGACGTCCCTCTTTGGGTTCTGCTCCGCCAACGCGCCGAGCGAGAAGACCTCGCCTCGCTCGTAGGAGTAGTCAGACGCGGCGACGTCGACGTACCCCTCCTCCGGCCCCTCCGCGCTGCGGATGTACGAGCTGCGCAGCGACTCGTCGTACGTTGTCAGCGATCCTGCCGAGCGCGACCTCCTCAGTACATGGCCATCCAAGTCACAGACATTCTTCGCGGCACGCAAATCCCCACCCGGCCTTCTGCGCAGTGTCCTCAATGGCTGGGGCATGGCGCTCTTATTCGACAATCCATCATCCAGGGAGTGCTCTGAGATAGTCGTGGCATCGAAACTGCGGATCGTCTCCGGCTGGTGGAAGGTATCTGTCGTGGAGGGCGCGTTGCGCTTGTGGCTCTGCCAGTCTTCTCTGTGACTCGACGATGCGTACGATACGTGATCCGAGTTTCGCCTGCGGATGCCGCCCACGCCGCTGAGGGGGAGACGGCGGGAGCTTTGGTCGTCGAGGGAGGGTCGCGGGTAGTCATTGTGCGTGGAGGCGTGGCCCAGAGTGGCTAGATCAGGGATGAAGGGCGGGAGGGGGTCGGCGGAGTGGGAGTGCCGGACGGGTTGATGACCGAGGATGTAGGACGATCGCCTTGGAGTACCGCCAACCATCCGGCCGGGGGGCGTCGTAGGCGGGGTAGGGTCGGCCGCGTTCTGGGAGAAGGTCTCGGCGAAGGCTTCGACGGAGGGGTTAACCGGGGGCAAGGCGCCAGTCACGAGGGGATGATTCTCCGGAAGCGAGGATCCATCCACAATCACGATGGACTGGCTGCCATTCGTGATCCCCATATCACTCGTGGGCCGCAGAACCTGCCAATTAGGCGAGAAAGCCTGGTGATGCGAGGTCTCCCTTGGCATAGGGGACAGCCCTCCCTGCACATTCGAAGTGGACTCTTGAGCTTGGCTCGTCGCCGAGCGGTTCTCATGCTGCTCGGTCCCTGTCTGAGAGTCCTCGCGAACAGCGCGCTTGAAGTCCTCGGCGACCTCGGCACCAAGCAAGTCGATGCGGATTGACGGGCGGGTACCGGTCCGGCGGCCTGGGGTCTGGGGGCACAACGGGGTTGCCGGGAATTCTATTTGTAGTAGCGCCCCGGGGGCCGGGAGGGTTGATATTGATGTAGGAGCCCTGGGTATGCGAAGAAGAGTGGCCCTTGGTGCTCAGAGCACGACGCACGCTGCCCAGAAGTTTCTTCATGCCCTGACCGGACATGGCAGAAGCTAGGATCCCGTTCTCCTTGGGCAATTGGGATGGAGGGCGCTGAACGAGGGTAGTCTGTCTCGCCCCGGCAGTCCCCGCCGGGAGCTGGACATCGACAACCGCTTGGGGCGGCGGAAGCAGGTCCCCGCGAACCAAGCTCCCGGCGTAAGGCAGGGCGAGAAGAAGCTCAGCATTCTTGTAAAGCGCCCTCTCCGTCATGGTAGGATGCTCGCGCAGCGAATCCGTCAGACTTCCATTCCTCTTGTGCGCCTGAGCAGCGCGCACACGCTTGCCAACCACAGCACGAGGGGTCGTCGCAACATGCTCGGAGTTTTGCATCGCGGATTGGTCGACAGGGTGAGCGGCAGGGTAGGTGCCGCCGGGGTGATTCGATTTGAACGCCTTGGTGGGGAACGAGCAAGAGACCGCGTCGACGCTCATCAGGCTGGTCGGCGAAGCAGTAGCGTCGCGATCCAGAGTCTCGGGGTCGATGTCAGGGGTCGTGGGTCGGTCTCCGGCCACGATGGCGTCGATATAACCGGTCGTCTTGGCCATGTCGACGAAGAGGCTTGTCTGCGGGGGCTGGTTCTGGGAAGCTTCCGAGTTTTCGTGCTGCGGTGCAGTGCCGTCAGGGGGCTGTAGCCACGACGTCGCCGGGTCCGGATTCCCGTCACCATTCTCAGGGGTACCGCCGGGTTGGATGGGGATATCAGACCCTAACGACGGATCGAACTCCGGACCCTCCCAAAACTGGGCGCACACCCTCCTCCAGCACTTCTTTAGCTCGGACAGGATCTTTAGCGGCACCTTCTGCGCCTTCGGATCCCGGGCGAGCTCCTCCGCAAAGCCATTCAGCTGGTTACAGAACGTCGCTCGGAGGTCATAATCAACAAGGAAGTCGTCGATGAAGTAATTGAGAATCCAGTGACGCAGCGCGACAAACGTTCGAACTCTCACCACAAGGCCGGCCTCGTCGCTCCTGTCAATCGCCCATCTCAGTCGTGCGAAGAGCATGCGAAGCAGATCAGATGGCTCAAGAAAGGATCGGTAAGTAAGGAAGAAGTCAGACAGGAGCTCGTAGTCGAGGAAGCTAGGGGACGTAATCTCGGCGACGAGGCGCGCAGGGGTAGCTGCAGTCACAGCGCCGGTGCTCGAATATCGGACAATAGTTCGGTCGTCGCACATCGGCTTGAAGGTCAAGGCATCGAACATCGAAGGTTCGATGACAACATGGCCAGACATATACGTTTTCCTGAGGGGGTGGAGGAAGGTAGGTGATGCGGGGTTGAGAGGATCATTAGGATCGAACTTCGAGATTCGGATCTTAGATCCGCGAAATGGGCTCGGCTTCCTGAAAGAATCCCTCGATGGGCCGTCGTGTGTCGAGGGGAAGAAAGAAGCTCTGCTGGAACGGACTTCTTCGGTAGGGGCATAGGAGGACCCGCGGAAGAAGAACGGGGTGCCGCGCATGCTGAACCGAGGGGTTCCTATCCTCCAAGACGGAATACTGACGTTCAATACTGGCGGCCGAGCCAGGTCCATCTCCTCCACGGTCCTGGGCCGCTCCTCCTCGCCTGGCTTCGAGATGACTACCTTGAAGCCCCCAGGTTCAGGATTGGTCTCGTGGATAGTCGAATCTGACATGGCGCGACGATGCCGGCGGTATGAGGGGGTCGCACGCCCCGGGTTGGGTTCCGTTGATGGCAGATGCCATTGATCGTCCACGTCCGTGAGCTGGGCCGTCGAATCGCGACGTAGCTCCGTAGTAAATGATCCTCCCAGACCGGCCGTGTCTGGGGGCGTCATGGGAAATACAAAATGCGGTTGCGGTATCCGTTGATGCGCGGGTCGAATCGTTGGCCTGCAGCAAGTCAGCTACCTCCGCTCTGTATCTCATTGTCGGCAAGATGCAGACAAAAGCGCTGCAGGTCCCATTCAAGTCGGGGAAGGAGTCCTCTGGTTAGCCGGACGGAAGGACGCGTCTACCCACCTCAAGTAGATGCGGCCGTTGTTCCCGACATTCGCGACGGTAAACTGTCTCCCCTCGCGACCAGCAGAGCTTCCGTCCGGCGTGATATCCCACTTATCGCTGTCTAAGCTGCCCTTCTTCAGTCGTCGTCCCGTCGCGCCGCGAAGATTCTCATCGTGCGATTTGCGCTCCGTCACTGGCAACAGGGGCTTCGCATGCGCAGCAGCGCCGGAAGACGACCCCCAGAGCTTCGATTTGGAAAGGCTGATGCCCGCTCCTCCCGCACGCCCCGTCCTCGAACGTCCGCCCGCTCCATCCTTGCCTGGTCTCGGCGGCACACGTAGGCGCAATGCGTCTGGGAAAGCCCTCCTTTGGTGATGATGATGATGTTGTTGTTGTTGTTGTTGTTGTTGCGGCGGCGGCGGCGGCGGCTGCGATAATGAAGATGCTGGATCCTGAGATTGAGCGTGTCTCGGAGATAGAGGATGCTGTAGCTGCTGCTGCTGGAGCGGCCCTGTCGTCGGACTCGGCCGAGGAGGAGAGTGCGGTGACGACAGGCCGGTTTCCATGTCCATGATGGTCGCACGGCGGCGAGGCCCTTGGGCGGTCGATGGATAATTTCGACTGCTCTGGCTGGCCTCACAGCCGAGTCGCTCGACTTGCGTTGCTGCTGCTGCTGCTGCTGCTGCTGCTCCTGCTGCTCCTCCTGGTGCCAGTGTTGTTAAATTGGTCCGTCGGATCTATATACGGAGGCATTGAGAGAGTCAGCACAACTGCAACTGCTGCAGCCGCATGGCCTTCTCCCTTTTTGCGACAAGGTAAGGGTACAACGCGTGCAAAGTGCAAGGGCCGCGCTAATCGAGAGCAGGCCACAGAGCAGGGCAGTTGGTTGGCTGCTGGACTACTACTGAGAGTATATTGAGTGTTGATCTGCGTGCGTGTTTACCGAAGGATGCTGGAGGATGGGATAGATGGAGGGATGAGGGACGGCTGGAGGGACGTGCGCGCGGCTGGCTAAAAGGACACAGGATGGACAGACTCAGAGCAAACGGGTTGACAGCAAAGACAGCGAGTGGCAGAGGGTTTACCGAGAGGGCCCGGGGAACCGCTGCACGACAAGGAAATCAGGGTTGGGTTAGCGCGAGGAGTCACATACAGGTACAGTTGTATCCGTGTACAAGCTAGGGTACGACAAGCCGCCAGTGATGCATGCTGCTTTACGTTGTCCTCGTCCAGCCTGTGCGGGTAAGCTCTGGACATTGGCAAGCTCATCGAAAATTGATATAGAAAGAATAAGAGGAGAGACAAAAAAAACTTGCAAAAGTTTAGAGCGAGCGAAGTCGTGACAGCAGTGTTGCTGTCAAGGACGGAAGCACTTAAAGATGATAAAAAAACTGGGCCTGGCTCCAGGGTTCCTCTTCAGTCTCTAACGCCTTGCAGCCCTGGGTCCCAGGGTCCGGTTCTGACCCTGGGTGGAGTAACCCGGACAAGGCAGAGCTTCTGCGAGAGAAAAGGCCCGTGGGAAATTTGGAGTGGGGCGCAAGCTGGGCCAAGCCGCGTGCTCGCCCTGGAGCTTGATGGAACATGGAACAGGAACCTTGATAGTCGGCATTTTTGTTTCAAGACATCCACGATGCTCATCGGTATGCGCCGGCATATCTTCTTGAGTAAAAACATGAAATGGCTGCTTCCTTTTTGTCATAAGTTTTTTTTTTTTTTTTCGAAAAAATCTACTCAACTCCAGCACGATAGCGCTGTCTTTCTACCCCCTCCCCCCCAAGTACCGAGACACGACCCCCTCGCTAACCTGCCGTACCGTGTGCACGGTTCGGCCAAGTTTAGGCACATCTGATGGGGCCCAGTGGGGAGTGTATCACTGAGGGTCCAAGAGCCCGCAGTTCACCATCGCGTGCACCAACCACCACCAGCCTGGATGACGCTTTGGGACGACAGCAACGGCAGGGCCCGGGCGAGCACAGATATCGACCGTTGTTTCGATGCATTTTCTAGCTCGCCAATTGGAAGCAGAATCGAAGGTCCTCTCTCACTGTTCATGTGCTCTGACCCTTTTGCCATTTCTTTCCCCTCACTTACGAACATCGTCCAGTTTGCTTCCCCTCAACAACCCCCAATCCATCCAACCATCCCTTTCCAGAGCCCTGCTTGCCCAACACAGAGGTTTCCTGCCTGCCGTTCTCGGAAATCCCACTGTCAGTGGTCGGCCGTCGGCAACAAGCAAAGGTTCTGACAGGGCAGGATAGGGAGGGGGCCATCAACCGGGCAACCGAGAGAACCAACAACACGTGGACGTGGGACGCTCTGCGGAGCTTCGCCATACCACAAGAGAAAAGGGCTGTTTCTCTCGGGCCCGGGGAACACTTCCGGACCTCCCACATCACCACCGACCAACGACCACTGTTGCTTTCATTTCCCGGCACTGTGGAATCGGAACCGGGCTATGTGGAATGTGGATTCTGTCAATCTCGAAAAAAAACGCCCAGATGGGCATGCATGGTGGGTTTTTTTTGGACAGTGTGTGATTGCAAGAGCCCCCCCCCTTTTTTTTTCTTTTTCTTTTTACATATTTTTTTTTCACTCGCAATCCCCTTCAGACATCGGGAATCACCGCGATGACGACAAGTGCGCGACGCGACGTCGCGTCGAGGAGAGACAAAGAAATCCACTGCGAGATCTATGGTCCTCGGCGTTGCACTCAATGCCCCGGTACCAAGAGTCCCAGGATTGATGTGCTGCGCCTCCTCCGTGCTCCTGGGTCTGGCGTGATGACGACGGGGGGCAAAAAGAAGCTTGTTTTCGCCCCTGTTCTCTCATTTTCAGAGTTGTGCCCAGTTTTGTGTTGTGCAGCAACAACACAACATTCGATGGCCCCAGCATGACGACATGCGCAACTCCCAATGTTTGCTGAGCTGCAACTGCGGGCATCTCGCATGCCACTCAATTCAACAACGAGAACAGCTGAAGCAATCACACACAATCAGGATCGTCCAGCACCCGAGATGTGCGTCATGCCGTAGGTAGCTCCTTAATAGCATAGCGTAAGATCTTTATATTATCACAGCATCAATTATCCGGTCCCGGCATTTCCCCGTGCCTGGGTCACTGGATGGTGATCGTAGAGCTTGGTCTCCGAAGTGTTTCCGGATGGCCCCCTTTTTGATCATCACCCGCGATCGATCGACAGGTGTCTGGAGAAACGTTTCAATCAGCAGCAAACCGCCAACCGGTCCGGAGACGCCACACCTGGGGCAACCCAACCCGGCAAGCAAATGCAAGCAAAGCCATTGGAGAATCGGAGCCGCAACGGTTCTGCTGCTCTCTGTCTGTTTTGTGCGTTGCGCTAATCCGTACGCTGCGCGGGAAGTCCCTGTTTTGACTTTGGACCGTTGAGACCTTGCTCGCGGCTCGACATCGGGGAAACTCAAAATAGGTAAAAAAGTACGGTATGAAGCTTGTGCATCGCAATTGTGTTTACACACGTCGGCGCTTGGCAATCCTATGCTCATAACGCTCACCTTCGGTGAAAAATCAAGGTTACAACCGTTTCCCTGTACCTGTACCCATTACAATCAAACCTGTGGATCAAGAATAAGGTCCGTCACCCAAATTCATATCGTTGTGGCCAGGGAATGATCGTTCCCAGACCTACCCACTCTTTCCTTGTTTTTTTGTAGTGATGTTTATACCTTTATGAGCATACCCCGACAGCGAAAGACGTAGAAAACACCCTATTTATACGGCTAGAGGTCAATCAGCCAACACTGTGCGAAAACAGGGCCAAAAAAATATCGGGATTTTGAAAAAAAAATTTATCTCGAAAAAAAAGTATAATAGATAGCTCGCTAGGAGGGAACCTAGGTCTTTTGACATAACAATGTTCATCATTTTGCTTGGGTGACTAAGCAAGAGCTATATTGTATATCTCAATTGCTAGGGAATTCGTCACTTTCCCATTAAACTAATGATGTTTCCCACGGTCCATATCGTTATGGCCAGACTGTCGTTATAGTTCTGATAGTTATCCGCTGACTGTTTCTTGATTGATTGAGACAAAGACCAAGACCCCCCACGTGTGTGTGCCCCCTAATAACACTTACCCCCCCCCCTCCCCACCCGGGCCTTTTCATCACATGAGACCTGATGATCGACAGATGCGGGCTTGAACCATGCAGGAGAAGAGGATGACCCCTTGCCTTCCTGTCAACCCGGCTGAGAAGGGGTGATCAACGAGTTTATTGATCTCGGAACCAGGAGACAGGAGTAGGGGAAGGTGATGGGCTGTAAACAATGGCTCTATCAATCCCAGCCCCTAACTCCTCTCTCTCCGAACGCCGTTGCAATAGAAGAGATAGATCGTGATTTCGATATGGTGGTTCATCTAGTCCGTGGTGTTAGTACATAGAGTGTTGACTATTCAGATTGATGTCATCGATGGGAGTATCACCAGCGGGACGGTGAGGGTTGGGCTGGGGGCGAGTGTGTATGGGTTCGTGAGGAGGTGGGTACCGAGGGGGTTCGTGGCTTGGATGATGGGGTTAGGAGGGCTGATGAGCTTAAGGAGTGGCAGGGGAATGGGACGACCGGAAAGGAGCTGAGATTGGCTAGTCCGCGGTCAAGAGTTGGTTCGCCGCGGTCGGTGGGCGGAAGCTCGAGCTCGAGCTCGAGTGATGCTGAGGTTAAGGATGGCGACAAGGGTTCAATTGCTGACTCTGGGCTGCTTCCTGAATCAAACGTAGATATCGTAAAGATTGGCTGTCTTTGCGGCTTTGTGCGCTGTGGTATCTAAAGGCCATAGTCCTTGCCAGAAGAATTGCTTTCAGAGCCTTTCATGTACATAGAGTGTTGACTATCCAGATTAGCTTCTCTGAACTTCAATCGGTAAATGGTGATGTTCTGTGGAGGTATCGAGATTATCTGCTCGGAAGGAAAGCAATTGTGAGAGCATCATCAGGGATTTTCGGGCGTTGTGGGAGATGACGGTTACACAGCATGGGCAGCAGTTATGCGAAGGTCGAGTCCACCAGGTCAAGCTCCTTTCCATGATCAGTTGAGATGATGTTCTTCCTTTAGATTCTTCACGCCTCGATGTTCTCCCGGTAAATCTCAGTCACTGCCATCAAACTGTTATGAAGTTAAAGCTGTGCCCAAGTCCAAAAGTCCTCAGGAAAGTTAACCCTCGCAATTTTTCATCAGATACTATCTTAAAAAAGTTACAGTAATTACACATAAGACAGATTCTACGAGAAAGTGAAGTTAGAAAGTCATCGAGTCAACCTCAATGCGTCAGAAACGACTGAATTTTCATCCCATTCCATTCTTTCATCCCCCCCCCCGCCTTTCCTTCGCTTCCCATCATACCGTCCCCTGCCAATCTGGGTATTCATTCGTTATCATGATCATGCAAAAAAAAAAAACACTCATGGCGCTAAAAAAATGCTTTGCACACTCGACCATCAGTTTTTTTTTTTTGGATTGGTCGGAGAAAGAATTGGAGTTTAGAAGAGCTTGCCAGCCATGTTGATAGCAACACTCTTGTTTTCGGTGTAGTTGGCCAGGGCAAGCTCGCCGAGCTCGCGGCCAATACCGGAGGCCTTGAAGCCGCCGAAGGGCAGCTGATGAGAGAGCATGTTGTGGCCTGTTGTTACGTTAGTATACCGCATCAACCCCAAGACAGAAAAGAGAGGGCGACTCACAGTTGACCCAAACGGTGCCAGCCCTTAGGCCGTTGCTGACGCGGATCGCAGTGTTGAGATCCTTGGTATGAACCGAAGCAGCAAGACCATAGCAGGTGTCGTTACCCATCTGGATAGCCTCCTCGATGGTCTTGAACTTGGCAATCGCGCAGACAGGACCGAAGATCTCCTCGCGCATAATCTTCATATCAGGCCTCACATCGGCAAAGATAGTCGGCTTGATAAAGTATCCCTTATCGCCGTGGCGCTCGCCGCCAGTAACGATCTTCGCACCATCGGCCTTGCCGCTCTCGATGTATCCCATGATGCGATCGAACTGCAGCTTGCTGACCTGCGGGCCCTGGAAGGTCTCCGGGTGGAAGGGGTCGCCGACCTTGTTCTGCTCGGCGCGCTTCTTAAAGGCCTCGAGGAACTTATCGTAGATACCTTCCTGCACGAAGATGCGCGAGCCGGCGCAGCAGCACTGTCCGTGGTTGAAGTAGATGCCAAAGTTGACCCAGCTGATGGCCTCCTCGATGTCGGCGTCGTCAAACACGATGTTGGGCGACTTGCCACCCAGCTCGAGAGTCACCTTCTTTAGGTTGGACTCGGCGGCCGCCTTCATGATCGAGCGGCCGACCAGGGTCGAGCCGGTGAAAGCCACCTTATCGATGTCCATATGCGAGGCGATGGCCGCGCCGGCGGTCTTGCCGAATCCGGAGATGATGTTGACCACACCCGGAGGGAAGCCGGCCTCCTTGATAAACTGGGCGAAGACGAGGGCAGAGAGAGGTGTCTGCTCAGCGGTCTTCAGGACGACGGTGTTACCCGTGGCCAGAGCAGGGCCAATCTTCCAGGCGAGCATCAGCAGAGGGAAGTTCCAGGGGATGATCTGGCCGCAGACACCGATGGGCTCCGGACGGGTGTAATGGAGCATGTCGGGGTTAATGTCGATGGTCTTGCCCTCGATCTTGTCAGCCCAGCCGCCGTAGTAGCGGATGCAGCCAACGACGGCAGCGACATCACCGCGGGCCATAGTGATAGACTTGCCGTTGTCGAGGGACTCGACGGCAGCCAGCAACTCGGCATTCTTCTCGGCAATGTCGGCGAGCTTGAGCAGCATCAGACCGCGCTGCTGAGGAGTGACCCGGCGCCAGACGCCCTCAAAGGCCTTGCGGGCCGCGGCAACGGCGACATCAACATCCTTCTCGGTGGCCTCGCATACAGAGACAATGACCTCCTCCGTGGCCGGGTTGACGACCTCGAACTTCTTCTTCTCAATACCCTCAACGAACTCGTTGTTGATGAACCTGACCGTTGTTAGTCTTCACCGCTCATAAGTGTTGGGTAGACCATTGTTGACTTACAGGCCAATGGGCTGCTTGTAGGGCCCGGTGACCGGCGTCGACAGCTCAACAAAGAGATCCGACGACATCTTGGCAGAGGTAGAAAAGGAAGATGTGATAGTAGTGGCGATGGGTGCCGTGATGGAGGAGTTCTGATGCTTGAGCTGGAGCCAGCCGGGGTTTAGAGTGCGAGAGACGGGAACAAAAGCTGCAGGATGGCTGCGAGGGCGGGCAGCTTTATGAACGATTGGACGGCTCCCCCGCCCAGCCTCCCAGAAAGAAGATTGGAGATAGCCCCTAGAGAGCTTGTTGGGACCGGGACGGCACAAAGCCCGTCCCAAGGAGGGGGTGTGGACGAGTCTCATGGCGGGCTATCCACCGCGGGTGGCTCCCGAAGGGCACTGGACGCTGACTAGATGCTGATTGATCGCTGCTCTTGTCCCTGGTTACTCCTGGATGCTCCTCTTGCTCCTCTTTTTCTCTTCACCTCCTTGTTGACCTCCTGGACTCCTCCGCCCACGGTCGAGTGGAACATGGATTTCCGGTTAGGAGTTGCGCCGGGAGCGGGGTAATATGGATGGATCAACACGATAGACTATGGAATTCGGAGGTTGGCAACGTACGGCAGGTTACGTCCAGGCTGGTGTGACAAGACGTTTGGGGGACAGATCATGAACACGTTTGATTTGAGGAGAGCAACCCCTTCGCAGTGGCCACGGGTGATTATTATGCAGCTGTCTGACTCGCTGAACGGAGGTAACGTTCTTTGTGAGGTGCAGAGCCACGTGCCAAGCCATCCCCGCATTTTCCCAAGGCAGTTTTCAAGATGCAGCCAGGTTCCCATGTACAGAACAAGTCGATCCAAGGGTCATGGTATTTGGACACTGAAACTTCTCTTCCCTTTTGACCTGGATATTTTCACGGATCTCCTATCCTCAACAGTCTCAGATCTAAAACGCGTCTTCTCAACTTTTATCCGGATAGGCCATGGAGATGCTACCGCTGGTCTTTCCTCAGTTAAAGCAGGTACCCGATGGGTGACGTGTAAGGTTCCAGTCCAACTCCTACCGTTCGTCTGCAGGTGTCTATTGACCCCGCCCCATTCCCCCGCATCCAGGCCGTGGCGGTCCATACCCCACGATGGTTAAAGTTGGGCGGCTGCCACGCCGCCTAGTCTCTAGGCGCTACAGTAGCAACTATGCGATCTGAGACCACTTTGCGTTACTGTCGTAGCCCTCCCTGCATTAAGTAAGCCGCGTAAAAGCGACAATATCCCTCCAACAGTACATACAAGCTGGGAACTCTCAATCTATCTCATCCATCGACTTCGGGGCCTCGGGATCTTGTCCAGCTGCGTAAATCGCTGCCTGAACGCGGAGAGATCGAATGACAGGCCCAGAGAAAGAAACCTCATCTCAGGCCAACGGTCGGAATCTCTGGCCAAAGTGTCGTATTCTTGCTGTGTAGCATTGTTGCACTGTCTAGACTGTCGCAGACTCGGTGGGCGACAGTAAGATTCTCGATCTATACCCCGCAGTTCCCCACCAAAGGCCAGTCTCGGCATTGCGCGGCATCCATCCGGAGCAGACTGTCTGCTTTACGATGGGCTCTTTCCACTGAAATAAACAACGATTTCTGATGTGCTCGAGAGAGCTGTACAGCTGTTGAGCACAACGCCCGTATACAGGGCCTCGTGAGGCTCAAGGGTTTGGATCGGATGGGGTATTAACTAGATTCAAGACCGCTCGGGGTAAAAAGGCCAGCGAGAGGGGAAGGCGGTCTGGGGTTATTTAAGCAGATCCGAAAAGTCTGTGTTCCGAAAAAGCTCAGGCTGGACGAACAGAGCCCCATACGTTCATGCAGACCAAGATAACTCTTGGGCACGGCCTTGGCGAGCAGGCCAGAAACCCACGGGTTGCGACTCTGGACGGCACAGGCCCGATTGAGACCGTCAGACAGTGCTCCGGCTCGCCGAAGGAACACATCCGTATTACCGGAGCGCGTGACGGAACGAGAGCCAACATTCGGAGCCGGTCGAGGTTCGGCATCTCGGAGTCCACAGCCACAGTTGCAGCGATTTCCAGGTTGTCAATGAGCTGGGAATGGTATGACGCAGCAGCCGTGACACCAAAGATGTGACAGCAGCAAGTGCCCGAGTCAACTGCCTGAGAGTCCGTGAAGGCCTGTCTGCGCAACACTACAGCTGTTGTAAAGGTCCAAAGTTGCTGTTCGCCAAGCCAAGCAGACTCGACTGAGGCCAGCGGCCAAAACCTATCGAACGCTCTCGATTTCTCAGAAAAGGATGGCACTTACGGCCACTCTTTCTTCTGGATATCTCAGAAATGTTCCGTCTTCTCAATTCAGAGGAGGCTAGCCCTTAGTGTGGGCTAGTTGCTCCCAGCGAGGTAATGTCCACTGTCGATTTGCAGCCACAAACCCAAATTTCTCTCCTTAAGGCAGCAAAAAAGCGTCTTAGGAAGCTATTCAGTCGATTTTACTCATTTGGAGTGCAAATGGGTTGTGCATTTGGCATGAGGCGATTTTTGCGCTGTGGGAGTGTAATTTTGGCTGCGATGTTGGAAGTGTGTATCAGTGCTTGGGGCAAGAAATAAGGGCAACTTCTGTCGTCGGAACTCCAGAAAAATTTCTCCGACAACTTCGCAGATCCGTGCCGAGCGACGCCAACAACGTCATCAGAACCCCTGCTGCGACCCGCGATAGAACGCGATCCGAAGCTTGTTGGCGTCAATTTGTGCAAAGGATAATAGACATTAAAAGAAAACAAGTCAGAAGGGAAGGCTCAAAGCGAAGCGTATCAACCGCCTTGCCATTGGCATCATCGCATTGCCCCGCCACTCCCCCCATCGCCTCTGAGCCGACAAGTCGCCTTCCAGACCCCCCAAATGGGTTTGCTAGTCGCGTCATGACCGCCATGGCCGACGCAGCGCAAATCGAGGCAGACCTCCTAGCCGCCCTGGGCGCGTCAATGCCCGATCCCGAGCCAGTGGTGAAGCCAGAGCCTACCGACACAGATACGTCTACGCTCTCCAGTCTGCCGCCCTCCCAGCCTGCTGTTTCGGATACACTTCCTGCTACAACTACACTCCTTGCTGCCCCAGTCGCGGCGGCTGCTCCGACCGTGTCTGCTCCCGTCTCCCCGGCAGTGTCTGCTCAACATCCTGTTAGCGCCTCGGTTCCGAACCTGTCAGCGACAGTGACGGAGACTTCAGTCCCTCCAGCCGCGCCGGCGACTGCCCTGGTACCCCCTCCAGCCTCAGCTCCAGCTCCAGCCGCCCCTGTTGTGCCTTCAGGATCTCAGACGTTAGCGACCTTCGAGACGAACAAGTCATCGATCCCACAGCCGCCGCCGACTACACAGCCGTCTATTCCCCCCAGGATAGACTCTCCAGCCCAGTCGCTCCCGCAGACAGTCCCTCCCGCGCCAACGCCCGCGCCAGCTCCTGCACTTGCTTCCCAACCGTCCGGTGCTGTGCGCTCTCCAAAACGCCCACGAAGTCCAAATGACGTCCTCGGTAACAGCGTCAAGAGACCCAAGATCGAACCGGCCGAGCAGAAGGATGAGCCGATGCTGGATGTCCCCGACCTTGACGTGGCAGCCATGTTAAACGATGCGCTCGCCAACTTCGATCAGCAAGCGAATAACTCGAATGGCGCCGCGGACGTCTCCATGCCTGACGCCGATAAGGCTACGAAGGCCCCAAGTGCCACGTCCGAGGCGGACAAGCCCGAGAACAAGATTATGAAGGCGTCGAGCAACCCGTTCTTTGTGATGCGCTCGATGAGCTTGCCGGTTCTGGGGAACATCGCTGTCCAGATCTTGCTCAGGCTATCTCAGCAGTCGCGCGCTGAGACGGACTCGCTCTTGTCTGATGCCAAGTCTGACTTTAGAAAGTCCTACGATATGGTGGCAGAGGCGTTCAGGGCAACGCGGAGGATATTCTCTGATACTCCCTTACTTTCGGCTGACGAACTGGAGATTTCGGACTCGGAAGACCGCGAGACAATCCGTATATCAAACCTGGCGGCCACGGCGGCGAGTGCTTTTGTTGCGCATGACGTGCCCCTGGGGGATGTTCACGAGGCCTTCTTCACCATCTTCATTCCAGAAGATGGGGAGTACAAGGACTCGCTGTCTGACTTGCTGGTCTGCATCAAGACGCGGCTGTTTCTCGATGAGGCGAGTCGTGCAGAGCAGGGGCAGTCACAGACGAACCCTCTTGACACGTTCTTCCCTCTGAACTTTGATGAGACACTCAAGCAAAGGAGTGGGGATGTGCTGTTGACGCCGGATGAGCAGCAGCTGGTTAATAAGCTCAAGGAGAGGAGAGACCTCTTGACTACTATATCAACGGACGAAGTTGTCAAGAAGTCCATGGAAGAGCAAGCCTCCATGGACAAGTATATCAATGCCCTGAGCAACTTTTTGCAAGGCCATCTCGCTGTCGTTGTCGACTATGCGGAGAAGTACGGTGTCAACATTCCCCTGAATGAGGATGAGAGCCTTTCGGGTCGCAATGTGGATGGCGCTCAATGGCGGGATGGGAGCCATGCTTCTAGGACGACGCCGCAGCTTCCTCAAGCAAATGGTATCTCAACCCAAGCAAAAGACTCCCGGCAACCATCAACAAGCGGGGATGATGCGCTCGACCTGAAGAAGTTAATTGAGGAGTCGCTCAACAGTCAGCTGCCAGAGCTGAAGGAGCCACCTCCACCAGAGCAGCCTGTCACCACCACCACCGGGGTGCCAGATGCTGATAAGCCCCTGGCCTCTTTCATTCAGGAGAAGCTCAAGACAGAGATTGAACCTCAAACCCACGGGATCACTAACATGGCGACGCCGGCGCATCCCGCTTCCACTACCGGTAGGCACCTTTCGTTCGATGTCCCATGTCTTCCAGTCGCTTACAGTTTGCAGTACCACATACCCAATACACACCTCAAGCCAACCAAACGACCGCCACTACTTACCAGACTTATACCCAAACTACGGCAACTACCACGAATCCTCTTATCCCTGGCCAAGAGGTGCTTCCTCCCAATCAGTCTATGCCCACGGCGGCTCTGTATGAAAAAGCTCGGCAGGCAGCCGTCGCCAAGTCGTCCAACACTACGCGACGCGAGGGCCTGCACTCAACCAGGAGGCCGTGGACTCCTGAAGAGGAGAAAGCACTTATGGCGGGGCTTGACATGGTCAAGGGTCCTCATTGGAGTCAGATCCTGTCACTCTTTGGGCCCAATGGCACCATTTCAGATATTCTGAAGGACCGTACCCAAGTCCAGTTGAAAGACAAGGCTCGGAACTTGAAATTATTCTTTCTTAAGACCAATTCCGAGATGCCCTATTATCTCCAGAGCGTCACTGGGGAGTTGAAGACTAGGGCGCCGAGTCAGGCTGCTCGCAAGGAGGCAGAGGAGAAAGCGCGGATGAATCTTGAGGAAGACAAGGCTAGGATTCAGGGCATCATGACCCTAGCTGGTGGTCTGCAGAACAACCAGCAAGCCGGTGCTGTGAAGCGAGGAGGTCAGGTTGGAGGTGTTCCTGGACAAGTCGGGGCGCATGGTCTTCCTGCAGGCCAACAACCTGTGCCGAAGACATCATCGTTCCCTCCGATCCAGCCGGCACCGTCGACGGTCGGAGCTATGCCACAGCAGAACATGAAGCCTCAGTACGCTCCGTTGCAACCACAACCTGGTGGTATCCAACAGCAACCCAAGCAACAACCCCAACAGCAATATTACGCGCCGCCGCAACAACAGCAGCAACACCCTCAGCAAGGAGTCCAGAAGCCGCTCCCGCCGCAGCAGCAGCAGATTCGGCAACCTCTGCCACAAACACCACAACCAGCGAGAACACAGACCCCTGGGCAGCAAGTACCGCAGGCCCCATTGCCCCAGACGCAGCAGAGGCCACCCCAACAGCCATACCTTCAACAACCTCAACAGCCGTTGCCACAACAGCAGCAGTTTAAGCAGCAGCCGGGGACCCAAGGGCAGTTTTCTCAGGCACAGGCTGTTCCCTCGGTACCACAACAGCACATTCCTCCGAAGCCACAGGTGGCGCAGATGCAGACTGCACAAGTGCCAGCAACGCAGCCAGTGTCCCAGGTGACACCTCAACCGGTTCCACAACCTGGGGCCCAAGCCGTGCTTCAAGGGGTAGCTCACCCGGTATCTCAAGCAACACCATTACAGACGCAGCAACTGGTGCCACAGGCTCCTATGAACACAACCCCAAGTGTCACTCCAGCGCCTACAATCACTCCGGCGGTTAACAATACCGCCGCTACGACTGCTGCCTTCCCCTCGACAACCTTCCCCACGGCCGGAGTCACTTCCACAACCAGCCCTGTCACTACGACACCCAAACCTGCTAACCCTCCAGCACCAACACCCGTCGCGGTGCCCGCTCCAACAACAACAACAACAACAACTACTACTACTACTACTACTACTACTACAACTACAACTCCCGCTCCGGCACCAACGCCTACTCCCATCGCCTTCCCTCCCCCGTCAATCCCGCCCAACCATCACTCTACACCCGATCCTGTCCCGACAGCTACGCAGCAAGCTCAACAGACTGCGCAAGCTCAAGCACAAGCTCAGGCTCAGGCCCAGGCAGATACGAAGTTGTTTGAGACGCTGCAGGCTGCTATTGCTGCTGCGACGCCCCCTACGCCATCACCGACGGCTGCTACGGTGCCTGTAGCAGGAGCGATGGTTGATGGGAGCGGTGCCGCAGCAGGGAGCCAGACTAACCCGACGGCTGCTCCGGTGACGGCGACGGCGCCTGCTTCCGGGGCGGCTGGCTCGGGAGGTAATCGTTGAAATCCAATCAATGTAGGAAAAATGATGGAACTAGGAACGGAGGAAAGACCAACTTCCTTAATAATTGCATGCGAAACCTATGTCTGCTTTTCTTTGTTGCCAAATGGGAAGGGGGAAAAAGTCTTGTCATTAAACAAGTACTCAATCTAGCATTGCATTGCATGGCCATGGCGTGGGTGTTGCAGGGAATTTGTGGTTCATGGGAGTTTGACACTGAGGAACATACCCCGGCGCGTTTTGAAACATAGGTAGAGGACAACAGACATAGCGGGGCCGATTTGGGGGTTGAACTCATCTCATACTCGTTCAGGTGATGAACGTGAGCATGTTGCTATGTTAGGAGGGTTATAGAGACGGGGAGAAGAGGCTTTAAGGACTTGATAATCACCCTTTGGACGAAGCAAGCATCCGCAGAGCCGGCGATGTAATGAAGCCCAGAGACGTCAATGAATACCAAGGTCACTCACGTCTAAAACTTCACCAATGGCCAAGCTCCAATCAGACAGTTGGGTGTGATTGGGCTCTCTCAAGTAATGCCATATTCCTGTTGGGCACAGTTCCACGAGATGCGCAGTTATGTCATAGTAAGCTGATTGAAGCTTTTGTGTGGCCTGCCGACTCGAAGTTGAAATCGGCCTTCGGCCTATGAGATTAGATTGATTCTCCTCGCTCTAAAGAAACAGGGCAAAATGAGAAAAGAAAAAAAATTTGGCCTCGCCATTCATTGGTTTATATCTCCGGTGCTCAGCCACACTGATTACAACCCTATACCCTGGAAGGATGTTCGAGAACCGTAGTCTGGTTATGGAGAAGACAGCCTTGGGGAAACACAATAATTTGCTGAAGCTTGTCCCGTGATGATAGACTTAAGGGGCTTATATCCAGGATGAACTGCATCACATTCCCAAGGCCTGATGGGGAAGGTAAGCAAGCAGATAGTTTGGCAGACAGAGTGTTTCTTTGTCTTCCAAGCATTCCGATTGCCGAATTCAGTTGCACGGCAGCACGGATGCAGGGCAAAAGTCTGGAGAAGTTACCATGGTCGGTGCAGGTTCGGCACGGGAACGCTCATTCGCTTTCTCGGGAGATCAACGTTCAATTGAAAGAGGGAAAAGGGGGGGGGGGAAGAAAATAAGATTGGGGCTGTGCTACTCATAGGTAGTTATTGTAGCAGTCGGCGCAGTACACATAGAATCCTACGATATGCACTGCACTACTCATTAAATAATGAGCTGTCTGAGCCTTTCGGTTCGAGTTAGAAGGGTAAATGATGAAGAACAGCTTGTCGGGCAGATAATCAGCTGTCCTCACGGAGATCGGAAGCAGAAGGTCTCGACTATCGGGGACAGTAGGATTTTTTTTTTTTATTGGTGGCGTTTCCTGTCGGTCAAAGTTGGACCTTGACAGCGTAGCAAGGAAGCCACTGCTTCGCCTCGAACTGTATAAAAATCAGGCTCTGCTACCACCATCAGTTTCGAGCTACCCGATGTAATCAGTGATCACAAGAGTCAACCTCAAGTGCGGCTGGTGATTACGGGAGAAAGGGGGCACTGCCCAGACACAAGTGCCCAAGGCTCCCAGGTGAAGCTGTCTTGGTGCCAAGCCCTCGCTTCCTGCCAGGCTCCCCGGTTCTTCGAGTCTGCGGATACATAGACTCGTCGTCTCGTCCAATGGGACGACCCGTTTCCGGTTAAGCTGTCCCACTAACCGTTGCTGGCAAACCTGGGGACATACCTCATCCCGCGGCTTGGCGTCGCTCCACCGGGCAGCTGTGTCCGACGGCTTACCACATACCGGCTACTGTCTTCAACCCTTTCCCTGCACATTCCGAGCCGTTGCGAAACATAAAAGGCGCGGGCGCCGCGTTCTAGAAGGCTGTAAAACAGGTTGCAGACATTACGCATTGCTCTGCATTGGGCTTCAGGCTTCCAGTCTGTTTGACATCCGCCGCCCTGGAGCTCCCAACTTCGGAAGGCTCTCCACTTTTACATCATCACTGATCGATAAGATAAGGCGTGTTATTCGCCATCACCCGACCAACGCCTGATATCCCAACTCCGAACAAACATCGTCACCATGAGCGTAGCGGTAGGCCAGAGTGCAGATAAGGGCAAGGCCCCTGAGACAGTTACCAATGGCAACACTGGGTTCCGGCCCCAGGCCAACATGACCATGGAGAGGCCTCGCCCAGAGGACCTGCAGAAGAGCTATGCCAAGGTCATTGTGGACGATCCCAACCCCAAGGGCTGGTATGGGACTATGGGTATGTCTCTTGGACACTCTCCCAAAGTTATCCAAAAACCTGCTAACAATCCCCTCCTCCCCCCAAAAAAGTCGACACCTTCGGCGCCATAATCGGCACTCTCGGCGCGATCCCATGCTGCATCTGCTGCCCGAATCCCTACAAAGAAGTCGAGCAAGGCAGCGTCGGCCTGGTCACCAAATTCGGCCGCTTCTACAAGGCTGTCGACCCAGGCCTTGTCAAGATCAACCCTCTCAGCGAGCGCCTCATCACCGTGGACGTCAAGATCCAGATTGCTGAGGTCCCCCTTCAAACTGTCATGACCAAAGACAACGTCACCCTGCAAATCACGTCCGTCATCTACTACCACATCGTGTCGCCGCACCGGGCCGCCTTCGGCGTGGCGAACGTGCGTCAGGCCCTCATGGAGCGCACGCAAACCACCCTGCGGCACGTCGTCGGCGCGCGCGTGTTGCAGGACGTGATCGAACGCCGTGAAGAAATCGCCCAGTCCATTGGCGAAATCATCGAGGACGTCGCGGCGGGCTGGGGCGTGCAGGTCGAGAGCATGCTCATCAAGGATGTCATCTTCAGCCAGGAGCTGCAGGAATCGCTCTCCATGGCGGCGCAGAGCAAGCGGATCGGCGAGAGCAAGATCATTGCTGCAAAGGCGGAGGTCGAGGCGGCGAAGCTGATGCGGCAGGCGGCGGATATTTTGTCGTCTGCGCCGGCGATGCAGATCCGTTATCTCGAGGCTATGCAAAGCATGGCGAAGAGCGCGAACAGTAAGGTGATCTTTTTGCCTGCGCCGAATCAGACTATGGCGGCGGCGGGGTTTGTGCCGGGGGGAAGTGGCACGAACCCGTTTGGGGATGAGGGGCCTTCGTCGTCGTCGATGGCGGCGAATTTGACCGAGTCGGTTACCACGGGGACGACGCTCGATCCGGGGTTCCAGCAGGCTATTAATGCGCGGATTATTGAGAACATCTGAGCCCTGGGCTGGGTTAGCCGGATGTTCGGGCGACTGACGGACTGGCCCTTAAGGTCAAGTCACTACTTCTTCTTCTTCTTCTGTCTTCGACTGTCTTTCCTATCTGGTTCAATCTGGTTAATCTGGTTGGAAGCTGCTGTTTTTCTCTTTTTTTTTTTTTGGTTTGCACAAGGTTTGCACAAGGTTGATAGGAGGGGCATAATGGACTGGTTGCAGTATAATGGCTGGAAATGATTACCATACCCCTGTGTTTGATGATAGTGTCAATGGGTCAACGATTTTTATGAAGTCACATTAGTTTGGGGCGGGGATTTGTCTTGCAACACCGCCGCCACCTCTTTCCCTATTTCCATAATGGGTTTCGAGCGTTGTGCTCCCTACATTAGGATAGTCAAGGGAGTTTTATTGTACGCGGAGTCCTTGGTAGTTAAGCTTTGTCATGAAATATGATACCACCGTCTTTGTCAGGCTGTCCTCAATATGTTAGGTGTTCCTCAAACAAAAAGTTCAAGTGAGTAACTTCTGTGACGACCTCTCAAGGCTCGAACCCGTGAGAATAGCCATCATCAAATGGTAAACGGCAAGAGTTCCCAAATAAGACCTTAATGATGATCCTTTTAAGACACTTGAACTGGGTATCTTATCACGACTTCTCTATTTACACCTATTACATCACCCCTTCAATCATCGAAGCCCTCAAACTCACTCTCCTCATCCGCACCCCCTTTTGATTCCTTCCCTCCGCCTTTGCTCTCGGTCCCATTACTACTACTACTACTACTACTACTACTACTACTACTCCCACCCTCCTTCATTGGCTGCCCATTCGCCGTGCCCGCCGCAGCCTGCTGATTCCTCTTCCTCACCTCATTAATCAGCTCCTCCAGCTTCCTCAGCTCTTCCTTCTCCTTCTCCGTCATCCTGGCCATCTTCAACGCCTCCTTCTTCCTGCGCTTCTTTTCTTTCCTCAGCTGGCGCAGCTCCTCCTGCTCGTGCTTCCCGCTCCAAGCCTCGTTCTTCTTCCTCTTGAGCGGGTTGCTGCCATCGGCACCGGCTGTTTCGCCGGCTGCCGCCGCAGCAGCCTCCTTCTCCGCCTTCTCGGCCTTCCACTTCTCCAGCTCGGCTAGCCGCTTCTTTTCGCGCGCTTTGTCTTTAAACGGGATCGCTGACGTGTCGATACCTAAGCCCAAGGACCGATCCAGACCACGGGTTTCGGGCATTTTGGGCAGCTCGAGCAGGCCGTAGCCTTTAGCCAGGTCGAACCAGTCGAGGTCGGCAACGCGGAAGATGGAAGTTGCTTGGTGCTCCATGTAGCTACGTGCCCAGCTGACGAAGGCGCGCTGCGCGAGCTGGAAGACTTCCCGGTCCTTCTTGGCCTGCTCGCGGATCTTGTTGGCTACATCGTCCGCTTGGGTATCGGTGACCGAGATCTGTGGGTGTTCGAGTGGTGTGATGGGCGTCTGCCTCACTTCAAGGAGCTGCACATATCCTTCTTCACGACCTGGCTGGAGCATGACCACGGAGAGACCGCGGCGGCCGGCGCGGCCGGCACGACCGCAGCGGTGGATGAAGACCTTGGTGTCGGTGGGCGGGTCGTGCTGGATGACGAGGTCGACTTGGGGGATGTCGAGGCCGCGCGCGGCGATGTCGGTGGTAAGGAGGACTGTGGGGGAGGTCGCGGTGACGAAGCGCTCGTAGTTCTTTTCGCGGACGTGCGGTTCGAGCTTGCCGTGTAGGGATACGATGCTGTAGCCGGCGGGGAGGATGCCGTGGAGGACGCGCGCGAAGTACTTGACCGCGAAGCAGGTTGAGAAGAAGACGATGGAGCGCTGGGGACGGGGATCGAGTTTTTCGAGGATTTGACAGAGAGCTGGGATCTTGTGGCTGGCCGGGGTTACGATGTAGGACATCTGGAGAGACATGGGTGTCTTTCTCTCCTCGATGACGCCTCCTGTTTTTAAGCTCTTCACCCGCACCGTGATCTTGTGAGGATAGAGCATGCCAACTGTGATCAGTCGCTCAACGGCATCACTTAGCGACGCGCTGAACAAGCCTGTACGCCGTTGCTTGGGGAGGTAGCCCAAGATACGTGTGAGCTCAGGGGAGAAGCCGAGGTCGAGCAGGCGGTCAGCCTCGTCCATGACCAGGACCTCGAACGACGAAGCGGGGGTCTTAACATATGGGCTCGACAGAAGCTCGGCGAGGCGGCCGGGAGTGCCGACAAGGAGGTTCGGTGACAAGCGCAGGAAGATACTCAGGTCCTCGGCTGCCTTGACTGTACCACCGACGAGGAGCTGGGGGACGATGACAGGTTTGGTAGTAGCTGGCCGCTTCTCGTCGCTCTTTGCGTATTGGAGGAGTTCTGAAGATTCAGGATGGAACTTGATCAGGGACACCAGCACATTGTAGATCTGAGACGCAAGTTCGCGGGTGGGGGAGATGATGATGGCTTGGACATGGTGTTTCTTTGCTGCTTCGTCAAGGCGAAGGAGTCTCTGTTTGGGTTAGACATACGCGCACTTCACCCACGGTAGGGAAGAGCATACCTCTACTACTGGAATCAAGAAAGCGAGTGTCTTTCCGCTACCAGTGACGGCCTCGACGACAACGTCCTTGTTCCCCCGAAAGATATCAAGACATGACTTTTGCACTGGCGTGGGCTGCTCATAACCCATTGATGAGACGTAGTCAAGGATCCATTGCGGTAGCGGAGGATTGAATGCAGTCCATGACCTGGACGACTTCTTTGAGCGAGCCTGCTCGGGAGCCATGGTGTTGGTGTCTCGGGCCAGGACAAATCGCAGAGCCGGATCCCTCGATCGAGACCTTCGATGACATGCCAGCGACAGCAAAAAAAAACTGGGGAATCGGCTTTTATCTTATCTTATCTTATCTCATATTTTATCGATAGATGATTGTGGATAAGCCTATGTGGGGGGATGGCCTGCAAGGGGCAGCCGAGCCAACCAAGTCCGGTCTGGCCCCAAAAAATTGCAGATCCACCGTATTTTTGGACAAGTAAGCGTTAAAAGACAATCCTTGAGTCAAGCATTGCAATATTCGAGATTCAGAAGCTCTCAATTGAGCTGAAACTTCTACTTTGGACTAGATGCTATCAAGGAAGTCTTACTATGCTGATTCATTAATGTTTTGACCCAATTGATATGCTGGTAGGCCTCAGCAAGGCCCAAACGTTACGGTGTGCGTATTCGGCTTCAGTAGAAAATTTTCCTGATGATGGGTGCGCTGGGCGACAAACCCGCCTCACCATCAGGCGTTAGCAGTTATCTAAAACTTTTGCCTCTGACGATCTTTTGATGGATGGATCTAAGATTCAAGATCCTTTGAGATCAGAAACGTCATCGTTCCGCCTGGTAGCTCCCAGCCGTGCTTTTGTAATCGATACGGCAGTACCTGTATGAAACTTTCCGCGAGTCACATGCAGCAGTGACGTGCGCCTGGGCGGACGTTCTGCAGCGGCCAATCTTTCCGCGAGAGCCGGCTTGGGTGTCGAAATTTTTCGCGCTGCCCTGCTTCACGAACTTGCCTGCTTTTCCTTGCTTCATCTGCTTCCAATCCGGGTTTCTTGACCTGTCTTTTTTTTATCTCTCGACAAAGTAATAGCGCAGCGGCAACGCGACCGTCAGACAGTTTCTACGAAACGAAGTTCACACGGCGAGACAGCCCATTTTGAGATTTTTACGCGACAGCTGAGCGTGTGTGTTTGATAGGGGCACGTTGCTACCCGCTGATTTTTGCTGATTCTGCTGATTCGGCTGAGTCTGCTGAGTCTGCTGAGTCTCTGCTATTGAGCCAGCTGCTAACTCGCACTGTCGCGCCTTCGCCCCCCCCCCCCCCAAAAAAAAAGAACCCGAGTGGGAGTCCCATCGGCCACCCGTCAGCCAACCGCCGTCGCCCCATCCACTCACTGGACACCGGGCACACCGGCCCAAAGTTCAGTCGGGCTTTTCCAGCGCCCCGGGCCACCACGGGACACCACCCAGGCACAGCCAAGTAGCCAAGTCTCCAAGTATGCGGTGGAGTCGTCGCGCTCCGCCGCACCCTTCCCGTCAGCATCCTGGATCCGATCGCTTTAAAGATAGCGGCCTTCTCGCACCACCACCAATCCGTTTTTAGTGCCCTTGCGACCTCTGGACCTTCAACCTCGACCAGAGCTCGTCACGACCGCTCCTGTGCCTGCGAGTCGCCGCCCTCGCCTTTATTTTCGTGTCGCAACGCCCATTCCCTCAGGCGCCTGATCTGCGGCGCCGTCTCGCTTCCTGCTCTCCCACCCTTCCCATACACTGCTGCCACCATGGCCGGCCGAAGTAAACAGGCTACCGTTCCGGCAACACCGCGCGTCACCTCGCCGAGCCCGGTGCCGGATGCCGATGCCATCAGCAGAGACTCGACGTACAACGGCCCGATGACCAGGTCGGCCGCTCGCAGGCGACAGGCTGCTGCCCTCGCGCCCTCACAATCTTTCGAACCGAGTCTCGAGGATCTCGACTCGACGTCGGACGAGGCCCCAGATTTTCGGCGCATGACTCGCAGTCGCAGTCGCAGTCGCAGTCCCGTCAAGCCGCGCAAGACAACAACATCGCGCAAGGCCACGACCGCGACAAACGGTCATGCCACTGCAGCTCCGGCCCCTACGCTCAGTGCGCCCGTGAACGGGTCGGCGTCGAAGGCGACTGATAACGAGGCGATCGAGAAGACAAATGGACACTTGTCCCCTCCAACCCCCAAAACCACAACTCTCAGCCGCAGCCCGAGCCCGCTCGGCGTGATACCCATCCACACGCGATGGCGCAACTTTGTGCACAAGCACGAAGTCCCGCGCAAGGCGCTGCACGTCTCGATCGGCTTCTTCGTCGTCTGGCTGTACCTGACCGGCACCCAGACCTACAACGTGTGCCCCTACCTGATGACGGCCCTGATCCCCATCGCAGCCGTTGATGTAGTCCGGCACCACTATGCGCCCTTCAACCGCCTCTACGTCCGCGTCCTGGGCCTGCTCATGCGCGAAAGCGAGTTCGCCGGCTACAACGGCGTCATCTTCTACCTTCTTGGCGCCTGGGCCGTGCTCTACTTCTTCCCCAAGGATGTTGGCGTCATGGGCACTCTGCTCCTGAGCTGGTGCGACACGGCTGCCAGCACTTTCGGCCGCCTCTACGGCCGCTACACGCCTAGCATCCGCCGCGGCAAGTCGCTTGCCGGCTCCCTCGCCGCGTTCTTGGTGGGCGTTGGCACGTCGGCGTTCTTTTGGGGCTGGCTGGCCCCAACTAAGGGACCCCAGCCTGGTGATGAGACGTTCATGTTTACTGGTGCCCTGAGCCTGCCTCGTGTGGTCGCCGGTCTGATTGGGCTTGTGCCCGAGCAGGCGACTGTGTCGGGCGCGATGGCGCTGGGCATTATGAGTGTTTGGTCGGGCTTCGTGGCTGCAGCTAGTGAGGTGGTGGATCTGTTTGGGTGGGATGACAATCTGACGATACCTGTGCTGAGCGGTCTGGGAATCTGGGGGTTCTTGAAGATTTTTGGTTAATGGGTTAAACCAATAACGGTTGGGTGTGTGTAAGAGGGGGGAGATTAAATTTCTGCCAAAAATGTCTGAGAGCTTAAAAGGGTTGGTTTAAGAGTAAAAAAAAAAAAAATTGTAATCGCTGATTAGGGTGCGGTTGGATGGATGGTCGATGGCTGATGACGACGAAGACGACGACGACGATGATGATGTGTATGTTTACACTTCGACGGGCGGTGCATAGGGTGGCGTTTGTTGTTGTCGGGGTCGCTTTCTTCTGTGTGTGAGATTCAACATTATGTTTATGTGGGATGGGCTGCTTAGGCCATGGATGATGGTTGGTGAGACGATCGAGCCTAGATTCTCTACTACTGCTACTACTTATAACTACTGCTACTACTATTATGTGGTAATACGGGATACAACCTCCACCTCCTACCCTCAGCTATATACCTCAGGTACTGTTAGACATACCATCTCGAATCTCGAATCTTCACCCCTTCTTCTCTTCTCTTTTGCAGTTCAGTTTCACTTTTTTTTTTCGCGTTCGACGGTAGTGATTGATGAAGCCTCAAGCGTTAAGGTTGCCTCACATCACGTTCTTTTTTGTAGAAGCAGACCGCCTTACAGTCCAACAACATGAAGAAGCGGCCGCGACATACGCAATGATTTGTGCCTTTTGTTCGATCTCTCTGCCGATATTACTACCCGCGCGGGGATTATCACTGCGCGTTGAAGGCTTCCCTTAAAGGAGAATACCTAGCTTCCCGCTCTATAATTGGCCTTGCGGCTGCCACGCAGGCCTGAGGCACAGCTCCAAGCCCTCCATGAATCATGGAAGCGGCATGGTTTTCAGACAAAAAAAAAAAAAAAATACTTCTTTCGAAGCTGGCCTCGCGGTACGTATGTGCGGAGATCAGATACGTACAGGACTTGCAGGCGAAGCAATCAAGAAAGATTTTGAGATCAACGCCTCGTACTTACATGTGTCCAATCGGCAGGGGTTTTGCGACCGAAAAAAGGGAGAGAGACGACTATCAACAATGCAGCAACCTTCAATCTTGTCTGCTTATACAGTTTCTTCTCAGAAGTTTTCCACGGTTTTCTGGGAAACTTGGGGAATAACTTGGCAAAACAGCGTCCGTTTAAAGTTACTACGCTCTTCAGCCTTATCTGCATTGTGCGGCGTCGTGTCACCTCACTCAACAGTAGGGAAACAAAATTGGTCGAATATACGGTATAGGCGGGGTGCAGTACTTCGCCCAGTTTTATTTTTTTTGTTCAACAATATCCAGATTACAAGCAACGATTCACGTTCAACTCGAAGGATGTTTCCCACCGCTCCCACGACATCCCAACTTCGTGCCGCAGTTCCGCCATTCCGACGCAGTCCAACTCAGTGTGATACGAACTCACAGCGCTACTCTCCGGTCTGCAGGCAGGTAAACTCTATTCGACTATCTAAATATGTTTTGCAGGGAAACGTTCCTACGCTGTACGTTTCCGACTCAGGACACAACAGGATAGTTCGTTCGGTCGCCGTTACGCGGCATGAAAGAGAAGAAGCAGATAACTGATCCGAACATAAATTGTCCGGCAAACATGACCTGTTGTGTACCTGTTGCAAGTGCAGCGGTCTACGGTCCGCATAGGCGGTCTACTATGCAAGGTTGTACGACGATTGTCGAGCATGAAGGTGAAAGGCAGCCAGCCAGGATGGAGAGATTGAGACACAAGTGTGAGGGTTACTGACATGAATCAGCACAGTCAGTCCAGGACACTGCCTGAATGCCCTGTCTCTTTTCTCTTACCCGGTTGAGGTGAAGTCTGTTTCAAAGAAGATCGGGACGGTAAATCAGCTGGTTAGTGTATGATTCATGTATGGCTGTCCCCATTGATCTCTCAGAAGCTGTGCCAGGGACCCGGCTGTGGTTTCGTCGTCCTATAGCATTCTGCCCAGTCATCAGGCGTGCTGCGCGTGCTCTGTTTTGAACTGCAGCTTCATCTCACTCAGACTTCCTTCCTCAATGGAGGGCTACTACAGGTTCATGGAGCCAACGATGTCAAACTGTACCGATACCCACTTGTTCTCTGCATCAGATCTTTGCAAATCCGAGCCGTATTGGTTACTCATCATCTATGCAAGATGGAGGGACCGTTTTCCCCGAGCGTTTGGTCTCACCACCCACTCTTTATCATGAGGAGCAAGTTACCATCAGCCGGACTCGGTCCATATCTTCGCTGTCAAACATGCGGAATAAGACTCCCGAAGATCATCGTACTCTATTCCAACTTTCTCCCTCCATCCTGTCTTACATCAGCTCTTTCTGCTCACCCCAGGGTGTAGTTTGACCGGAAGGAAGGATAGTTGCAGCGAGAATGGGTCTTGTTAGCTAACCATGCAGATGGCAGCGACCTTCTCGAGGGGACACAGTTCACTCCCGTACTGTCGGTACTGAGCTAAGGTCTAAATCCTTTTTCTCCACAGAGTTTGAGCTTTAAGGAGACTGCGCAGGGTGGAAATCGGAAGTATTGTTGGTCGAAGATGTTTGAAGATGTTAACGGACACTCAGGCACTGAGCATGAAGGCCTCGTTTGTCTCTCAAGCAATCTCTCGATAACAGTGAGTTATCCGACCTGCAAGGTCAGGTCAGTCCGTCCGGCAGGCACGCATTCTTCAGGCTTCCAGAATCTAACCAGAAAGCCCCATTGAACCGTAAACTCTAAACACCACTGTTTATCCCGCTCGCTGTCTGAGACCTCCACGCTCAGGGTGGCAAGGCTCTCTACTCATACACTGTACTATTCCTGTCTGTGTCTCTCAACCATCCCAGGTCTCCGTGTCTGAACCAACAGACACTCATTCCGTGTAGTACTCGGGACGCCCGCGGCGGTTTTTGCTATTCAGCTCTTCCCGCCACACAACCTAAATGATGAGCAGCAACAGCGGAGTAGCACGAACATGTGTGACACCGACATGTACATCACAATGTTTAGATTTTCAAATCCAAAAGTCATGCCCCCCGTTGGCAGCTGCAGGCAACAGAGAAACCACAGTAGTTCTGCGTCTTTATGGCTTTCCACACACATGAAGCGGCCAAGCTCGGGTTCCTCAAGGCTGATTGCAGGAGCGTACAAGCAGCTCGGTGGATAGCTGCGGAGTGTTCATCACGCACGTACAAACTGCACGTCGTCATGTTGTGGAGCTTCGGATTGATGCATGTTCTGGAGTTCTAGCGTTTCTGAAATTCAAGTTAGTCAAGAAACTAGCTTTACTTATTTCACCGCCTACAATTTCCTAAGATTTGATTCGCTCAATTCTCGTCGGAGAATTTTCCTGGATATTTGTTTTTACCCATTGAAGTTCTTGGGCATTTTTCTTGCAGGAATTTTTTTTTTTTTCGTTTTCACAGAAGTCAAATCAAGATGGGAAGTTAATTGGGAGTTGACCAGGGAAGATAGCACAGCCAACAGGATCTTAGGGGGAAACGCCAAGCTGCGTGTAAGACTTGTTCCCCTCGTCATCAAATCAACACACGTTGCGCCGGCGGATGACGAACGGCTGCCATGTGGTTTTGGGATGGGACAACGCATCGCCCTCCACGATGCATATCTGCCTAATCCACTCACCAACCTTAGCTTTGTCACTCATTCACCTTTTTCTGTCTTCGAAACCGAAGAATTGGCACGGCTAGGGCATTCCGGGCTTGACCACGTTACTTTGCTGGTCATCATCACAGATGCATGGTGTTGTGAGCGACTGATTAATTGACTGACTGATGGAGTGCATCCTAGCGGGAGTGCCCAACATCCCTCATATCTCTCTCATAAGTCATCACTACCTCTTAACTACATAACCGCATTTTACACTGGGCACTTACTCCATATCCCGAGCCATCTGCAACCACGTGAAGGACTACTTGCTGGCTACAATAGTTTAGCTAGCTACACTAGTGTAGTTCAGCTGTCTCGGTGCATCCCCCACAGCCGATTTGCCCATTACCCTCCCCCTCAAGACCCGCCCGGAGAGGTATTCGCAATGTGCAGGCATGTGTGCAAGTGGCGATCTACCCTAGCTATACGCTCGCACACTTCACCGCTGTGGGCCAGCCCAACAAGCTTGGAAGCCTGTCCACAGCCCGGGAACCTTAGAAGGGACTGGGTTTCTCCAATCACCTGGTCCAGCCCTCCCGGGAGGGCGTGGGTGTGTCCTGCGGCTCGGGTACACGACGCCCATCTCTCCCCACCCCCCCCTCCCCCCTCCATCCTCATCTCCAAGCATATCCATGCGGCCATGCTGTGCCCATGCCATGCCATGCTGCCCCACGGCTTGGCCGTGGGCCACGTCGTCGGGACGGAGGGACAACTCATACTTCACGCCGGGTGTGGAGCGTCGATCCTTCATACCCGTGTGGGGAGGGGATACTACGTTCACTCCCTGTTCGACCAAGTACGACAGGTACTTAACTTGTGATGGTTGAGCCTCGACTCTCTTTGCCGGCCGGCCGGGTACCTGTCTGTATCTGTATCATGGCGTATGCTATGGGGTAAGGGGTGGGCGTCACCGCTTGCTTTGCTGTCGGTCATTCATGTTCATCTAGCCTGCTGGCATGAGGATGCCTGACTGAAGGGAAATTGATCCTCGCAGACAAGGTTCTGCGTCCCAATGGGCAGCCGTTGTTGTCGTTGTCGTCGTCGTCGTTGTTGTTGTTGCCATCCTCATCATCGGGTTGCAAACGGGATAGGGTGATGGAATAGGGCTCTCTGTCTGCCTTGTCACCGCAGCAAACGGTGATGGTTTGTCATACCTCCTCCTCACCCGGTCCTTGTCTCTGCCTCAGCACTGAGTGGCTAGACCCGATCCATGCATCTTGCCTCTTCCCTTCACCCCATCGAAACTCGTTCCCAGGCCAATCCGGATCCAAATGCTCCATTATCGCCGCCATGGCACTTGCTGGTGGCACGTCTGGATTGGTCTGACCGCACGGTATGGGCTTTCCGGAGACGTCTGCCGGCATTGGAACCCCCCTCTCACTGACATGGGGGGATATCATTGTCGTCGTCCAGTGGTATTGACACACACGCCCATGTCCTTCGTGATATCGCCATCCATGTCTTGGTTGTCAAGTGGGGTCGGGCTGTGGATGGACGAACCGAAAGGTCAGGTGTTATCCTGCGTAGGCTCGTGATGTTGTTGAAGAGAGGGATTAGAAAAAGTATAAATTGGGGTGTTGATGGCGAGGGGGAAGGCAGGTTCTTCTTTCTCCTTTTCTCTTTTCTTCAAGTTCTTAGAGGTCAAGAACAAGCACAAAGAGAACACAATATTGCCTTACTACCATTCTCCTTGGACACTGCTTGGTCACTTTTTTTTTTTTTCCCCAAGTGTTGTCACACTTCACCACGCAAACATCTCCCCTCGCTCTTAAAGAGTGTTACCTTTTACCCACAAACATTCAACCCTACCACTACCCACTGTCACACATAACCCTCCCATCAACCATGGACACCTACACAACCCCCTACTACCCAACCCCCCTCCCCATCCCTGCGGCCAAACCTTCCGCCTATGGGCCCCCCTACAACCCAGGCTACTACCCCTCGGGCGCAGACAGCACCTACTCCGTCTCCCCCCCCGAGGACATTGAAGTCTCCTCGTCCTCGGCGGGAGGACCCCCATCTTACTCCGTCGGCCCCTCAGCCGGCGGAAGCAGTCGGCTGGGCAGCGAGTGCTCCGAAATGGGGGGCTACTACGATGGGGTGAGCGGCGGAGCGCCGGGGAGCAGCGTGGGGTCGGCTAGCGGGGTCGATCTGAACGAGTATATGCAGGAGAGGTTTGCGGCGGCGTTTGAGCCGGCGCGGGTGGCGATGGATCAGTGTGTGTTGAGGCAGGCGCAGACGTAAGTTCCCCGAACTCTGTCGGGTGGTTGAAAATTTGGGGAGCGAAAAGACTGATGATATTGAAAACAAAATAGATCGGGCCACCTCAACGCCAAACAGCGCGAACTCCTCGAGTTGCAGGCTAAGGCGCAGGAGCGGCTGGCTCGCATGCGCACGCGCTTTGCTCAGGGGCTGGAGGACGCAAGGCAAGTGACGGAGGATTTGGAGTGGACGCATAAGAAGCTTGAGTAAGTCATTACCCGTGAGTTTGTGACCTGAACGGAAAGGAGACAAGAGGAGCTAACGGCGAATGCAGGTCCCTTGAGGCCAAAGCGGCCAAGAAGCACCCCAAGGCGTACGCTAAGGCACGGATGCGGTACCCGTCGCCTGATCCGGATCTGAACTAAACTCCGGCAGGCATTGCAACACTCAACCGATGTTTTCTTCATTTTCTTGTGTTATTTCTCACTTTTGGCGTCATTGGAGTTTGGGTTTGGATTTCGCTATTTTCGGTCTTTTACCCATACCCGTCTTTTTTGTTTGCTCATTTTCTATTGCGGGCTGGAGCGACGAGAAGCCAGATCTCGAAACACAAGGGGAATTTGAGATCATCTTCCCCAGAAAGAGTGGCAGCAGAAAAGGAGATGTGGAGCCTTGCGCAAGAGCAGACGTTAAGACAAGCTTAACAGCGACGGCGCGGCGCGGCGCGGCGCAAACGCAGCAGAGCCTCAGCCTTGGCCGCGTTCCTCCAGTCAGTGAGTGCACTTCCCGCACCTCCACCACCTTCTCACCCATTCTCCCGAACTTTACCCACACACCCAGTCATCTGGTGACGCCGGGCCTCCCATCTGCAGCCTTACGATGCTGTGCTGCTGCGGGTCGAATGGGTCACGACCCATCGTCCCACTTGGTTGGGCTCCCCGCCGGCAGTGCGGTTAGGGCGGCTGCCCGATCTCACCATTACCAGATGATCGGGTCAGGTCAGGATCAGGGAAGTTTGTATCGTGAGAGGTGTGAGGAGTAAGGTGTAAGCTGCGAGGGTCTGCACCCCTGCTGTCAGGTACGCAGCTCATCTGGCTGGCTGGCTCGCTGAAGATCTGGCGTTCGTGCCTGTCTGATGTCCGTCTCCCGTCTTCCCGCCCCCGGGGCGTGTGAACTCCCTTTCACACACACCCCGACCTGCAGCTTGTTTTCACGCCCTACTCTCGTCATCCCATTTGGCTCTCTCTCTCCTTTCCCGCTGCACCCTTCTGCAGCTAGGGAACGATAACCCGGCAGAGCAGCGGCAGCGTGGCCTGCTCTCCTGCGGCCGCGGCCGCGGGATCACCCGCAGGTACCGCTCGCTTTACGTTTGCATCCTCACCCTCATCCGCTCGTCTGACTGTCTCACCACACCAGGCACTACCAGTCCGGGATGATATGATTGGGCAGCGTTGGGCTTCCCCCCCCCCCTTTCTGACTGACTAATAAGCTATGTGGAGGGAACAACGTGGGAGACGGACGGGCTCTGCGTCATGCTGTGCTGTGCGAGACGTAGCTGCTTTGGTTCGGTAGGGTGGCGGGGAAGTGAGCTGGCCGAACGGCTGTCTGGCTAGTTGGCCGGGCTCGGGGAGAGACGACCCGACCCGACCCAGGGGACGGGAGTGAGAGTGAGAGCTGGAGGGCTGGCTGGATGTACCGGTACTTCCATCTGTGCCGTGTACACGCCCCCCTTCCCTACACCCTCTCTGGCCAACCCGGCCACACCCCTCCTGTTCCTGTCACCTGGTTCCTTCCACATGGCTGCGGTCATGCTGGTCAGTCGGTCGTGTCGGGTGGGCAAGCTCCGGTGTGGGGGGGTGAAAGATCTAGCGTCGGGTATCGAGATCGGGCATCTGGCATCATGTGGGGCGGTTCAGGCAGTTCGACTGGTTGAGAGGTGCGTTAGCTTTGTGGCTCAGGAGCGATGGGAGGTTGTTTTGCTCGGTTTGGTTTGCTTGGGTGGTCTTCTTGTCTTAGGTCTTGTATTGTCACTGGTTTTCCTAGTCTTAGGTGCTTTGTAATCTGAGTCTTGGTTTCAGTGTCTGGGCGGTGGCTATGACATCCTCAGGTCGTAGACAGCGATAGGGTACCTGTCTCTACTGTATCAGTGTCTTATGTCTGCCAGTAACTTGTAGGGCAGGGAGGTCGTAGTGCGTGGGCTGGCACGCGTAGACATCAAACAGGGGTAAATCTCGGGATCACTCTGCCGAAACGCAAGTAGTCAGCCTTGCCCCGAGTCCGTACGCTCATTAGTCGACAGTCAGCTTCCTCTGAAGCATAGAGCAGAGGCAGAAAGCCAGCCACAAGCACTAGGGTCTGGTCTAGAAGGGTCTGTCTCAGGTAGACCTGAGTTTAATCACATCATATGCGCCTTGTTGTGTGTCCTCATGGCTTTCTAGGGGACCTGAACTTTTTTGCCTCGATGCGGCATAGTATTATGGGTGTCACACTTGCGACGTATTGAAAGGTAATGACAATGCTTGACCAGAACGGCTTGCTGCTGTGTTCCTTCTCTCTTCCTTGAATCCATCCCTTATGTCCTTGAAAAGAAGTGCCAGAAGACTTGCCGTCAGAGAAATTACCCTTTCCTGTTCATTCACCAAAGCGATGCTCGACGCCGATGCCGATATTAGGGTTCCTTCGAGCCACTGGCCATAGTTTCAGCTATACTGACTGGTAACCCTCTGTCAACATAAACCCCTCGACCGTTAACGGAGCCACGACCCAACCGGCTCCAACCCCTTCCTCTTCTCCAACCTCTCCCACGGATTAGCATTACTGCTCGGATCGTAGTAATCGATATACCAATTCGGATTATGCTGTCCTCGTCGATGCTGAAGACGCTGTTGCTGATACCCCTGACCATGTTGCTGCTGCTGCCAAAGTTGTTGCCCATACTGCTGGGGATGGTACTGGTACTGCCCTTGTTGGTACGGGTAAGGCTGCCACTGTTGCTGATGACGCTGAGGTTGCCAGACCTGCTGCCGCTGCTGGTTCTCTCCAATCTTTGACGCAGTCGTCCCCTCGAGCTTTGCGCCGCCATCATCATCATTATCATCGTCGTCGTCGTCGCTATCGGCATAGCCTATCCTTCCCCCTCCCTCTTCCAACCCCCTAGCCTGAGCGCCCTGGTCTGTTACTGGGCCCTGTTTCTCTTCAGCTATCTGCGCTCCAGCAGCTTCACCCGGATTGAAACGGCGCTTTTTGCAGGGGGGTGTTGCTTCCTCACGGTCGATGTAGTGCGGGTTGCCGAAGGAGGAGAAGCCCATTGCGGCGGCGACAGCGGCGCTCTCGTCTTGGCCATGGGAAGCGTTGTTGGTTTCGTTGTCAGAGTCAAGAGTGAGCTCATCTGGGTTTTTAGTCGTCATTTCGTGAGATGTACAGTGGTGAGAGTGTGACGAACGCGAGATCGAGTCTGAGGCCTGAAGAAGGATCAAGCCGGGTGATGGAAAAAGTTTGCTGCGGAGTTGCGCCTTCGGGAAATTCTTCAAAGTCAGTCCTCGGCTTTTTTTTAAGACCACGAACTCAGCATGGGGACCGAGTCGCTGAGTGTGCTTGCTGAACGAAGCAGATGTTTGGATGAAAGTGAAGAAGTCGGTTGTTCTCAGCCTTGCGGGCCACTTGCTAGACAGACAGTGTTGCGCGGTTTCAGGGGCACTGTCCGATTAGTAGATAGAGACTGTGTGAAGGGGTGGGGGGAAGAACCTTGATGTTTAAAGTTTGTCAAGTTGCATGGTTCTGTTGGGTGCAACTGGTTAATATTTGAAACTAGGTTTTTAGAAGTCAACTAATATATTGTAAACTTGTGAGTATTGATGTTGGAGCCCACTCAACTCATCAGCAAGGTCGATGACATGAATCAAAATGGTTAACCCCAGGACCGAGGAATGCGCTTTGGCTCGGGGGGGGGGGAGCACATGTTTTGACACCGTGCCGCCGTCGCACCTATGTAATGCTGTTACCATACTTAGAGGGGTTCAGAAGCCCCTATTTTTCTTAAAAAACGTCATAGCGCGTAGTTATCTAGACGTAGCTCCTCACTCTTCACTACAGCTCTTCTGTTTGTTTATCACATCCATTGAGTTGCAAGATCCAACCCGTATTGTCTAATACTTGGAACCTTTAATGCCATCCCTAGACTAGACTGGACGAAACCAATTGCCAAAGATTTAGTTTTTATTTTTATTTTTATTTTTTGCCCTACAAGATGTCATCATCATCATCATCCATCCAAATCACCCTCCGCCTACCCTCCCGCTACACCAACCCCTCGTCCTCCTCATCCTTAGGAAAACCCAAGTTGATAAACCCCCCTCCCCTTTCATTTCTCCACCGCACATGGACAGTAACTCACTCAACCCTCTCCATGTGGCGCTCCTCCCGCAACGTGCGCATCACATACGGCGCCCTGTCTGCCAACCCCAACCAGCCAGAGCGCATGACCGACCTAGTCCAGCACGAACCCATCTTCAAAGGGGATGACAACGAAGAGGTACGCAAGCGCAAAGGAAGTGTCAAGCGCATCCGTGGCGTCGATACCGTCAGCCTCCGGGATGAAAACAACACCAGCACATTGTCGTGGGACTGGAGGGGTAGTGGCTGGTTGTTCTGGATAGGCAGTCACTGGGAGGTGCTGGGATGGGGGGAGAAAGTTGTCGAGGGGGAGGTGGTTGAGAGATGGGCTGTGACGTGGTTTGAGCAGACGTGGGTTACCGAGGAGGGGATTGATGTTTATTCCGATCGGAAGGAGGGCGGGAGTGAGGAAGTGGTTAGGGCGATTATGGAGGAGTTAAGGAGGGTTTGCAAAGGGCAGGGCAGGTTGGAGGGGATCGTAGGGAAGATGAGGAGCGTGGAGGTCAGGTTGCCATGGTTGGAATGAGATGGTCGTAACAGTATTATGAAAATAGTCCGTATCATTTATGGATAGAGAGGGTTCATCTATCAGCGGTGTGATTTGATCCATCATCGTCTCTGTGACGATTATCTCGGTCGGTTCGCCGTCTGTCTCGCTCTCGACTGCGAGAATGGTATCTCTCATGTCTCTTACCGTCCCGACTCTGATCCCGATGTCTAGGATCTTTGTGTCTGTATCGCCTCCTGTCCCGATCATCATCTGTGTGCCGTTCCTCGAACAAGTCTTCATCCCGTCTCGAGCAGTCTTTATTCCGGTCCCTGTGCCGTTTTCCATCCCCATCCCTATGCTCTCTCCTATCCCTACTGCGATCCCTCTTCTCTTCTCTGTCCTGACTATGATACCTATGCCGAGATCGATCCCGCTTATGCGACCTCTCTTTGCCATCCGGGCTTCGGCTACGACTCCCACCCCTCTTCCTTTCTCTATCCCTACGCTCCCGTCTCCTCTCTTCCCTCTTCAACTCCTCCAACTCCCTCTTCCTCTCCTCAGCCTCTCTCCTCCTCTCCTTCTCCAGTTCCCTAACTTGCTTCGCCCCCCACTTCATCATAGCCAGGGGATCGCTTAAGCTCATACTCGCTGCCTCCCTTTTTGCCTTGCGTGCAGGATCCTCCTTCCCCCAAATACCTTCTTCCTTATGGCTAATCCTGCTCGGCGGCACAGAAGACGAAAGATCCTTCTCAGCCGTCGCATACCACGGCCCGCCATCCGTCAGTCCCCGACCGTCTTTGCCTGCGGCGTTCACTAGGCGCATGCGATATGCCTCGTCTTCGGCGTCATACCTCTTCTTTTCGTCCGTTCGCTCGGCTTGAGCAGGCTCCGCAAACAGCGAGATATGCCCTCTGCTATCAACCAACGACATCGGTCCTGCCGCTGCCGCTGATAACGCCGCCGCCTCGGAGGCCTCGACCCGCTCCCGAGCCAAGCGCATCTCAAAATCGGTGTCGTCTTCCCCGCGACGCTTGCGTTTACGGTGGGGCTCGCGGTCGCTGCCGCTGGGATGGGATGTCGCATGGGGGGGTTCTGCCTTGGGGGCGTCGTCATTGTCGAGTGGGGGAGGGACCTCGCCGCGCAGGATGGCCATGCGCCGCTCTGCATCGACGACCTGCATGCGCTGCTCCTCAGCTTCTTCGCGAGCCCGGGCTGCGGCTTCGTCGCGGGCGACGCGAGCACGGGCGGCGGCGCTGTAGGGGTTCCATGATTTTTTGCCCAGGAGGTGTCTGGGGATGTTAGCTCAACTTCAACTTGGATCTTGTATGGTTGAGAGCAAATTATGGAAATAGGACGTACAAAGGCATTGTGGCAGCGTGGATCCTTAAGCTGAAGATTGATATCTTAAGGCCAGTTAAAAGATGAAGGCATTCGCAGCGAGTACCTTGATGGCGAGCGCAGTCCCAGCTTCAGCGCCAAGAGCAAAGCTGCTGTGGCGGGGCCCACCAACCGCGCTGGTGCCCCGCCTTGGAGCTCAGTTGGACGGGGGCTAAGTCACACTGTGTCCAGGGGCTGTGGCCATGCCAAGCCTCAATAAGTCGGTATCAGTACATAAAATTAGTTAAGTCTCCTCAGGATATAGAGCCTATTTTTTGTCGAAAAGTGGATCCTGCGCCCCGACACGCAGCCGAAACACAACCACAGTGCGCCTTTGGCTCCTACGTCCACCCAACATCAATCCAAGTGTCCATCACCATCAACCTCGAACAGCCACTCCATCTGCGGCTCTTCCGGCGACCTCACCTTGACTTTTATACACATCACCGTTTCCTTTTTCTGGTCCTGCTTGTCGGCATTGTCCGTGCCGCAAGTCCCTGTCCTCTTTGGCCTTTCCCATCCAACCTTCTAACCTGCCCCCCCTCAAAGAACTGAACCAGCACATCGCCCAAGTCACCGCTTCACAGAGCTCAACACCCAGAAGCATGGACCTACGCAGCAACCTCTTCAGCCGAACCCCGCGATCCGGCGGCAGCGGCTCTGGTCTTCCCAGCCGTCCCTCAGACCAGCGCCCAGCGCCCGGCCCAGGAGGCTACGCTCCCGCCCCGACGGGCTACGACGGATACGCCGGACGCACGCCCACGCCCCAACGTCCCCCTCAACCTCCGCCGAGCAGCGGTGGAGGATATGGTGGAGGATATGGGGGGAGCAGCAGCTACGGCGGCGATAGCTACGGCAGTCCAAGTGCTGGTGGTGGTTATGGCGGCGGTGGTGCCCCATATCGCAGTACCCCTGGCGGGTATCCTTCTCAGTCGGCGGTAGGAGGAGGGGGGCGACAGGTACGGCTTCGGCTGGCGAAGGTGGAGGATAAGACACTGCAGACGCAGTATATTTTCGGGAATATGTGAGTTTTTTTTTTTTGGACGTACGGTTTGTACGCCTCGGCTAACCTGGGAGATAGCTGCGCCGTGTCGCCGAACGACTTCCCCCCGAGCCGCGACGGAACTGATTTGTACGTTCGCCTGACGGGCAGCTTGCTCCAGGGCGACTATGTCGTGACCGCGCGTCCGACGCCCGGTTTCCCTGACGGCTGTATTAGTCTGTCGGATCCGCAGAGGACATGGTGTGGTGTAGGTATGATGGATGAGGTCGTCGGTGAGCTATACGACCCGTTTTCTCAGGGCACGGCCGTCTACATTGGTTCTATGGATGTTGAAGTCGGCTTCGCCTCGGCCCGCAAGATTGTTGATACGCCGTACGACCAGGATGAGCTGGCGAACCTGTTTGTCAAGAACTTCCAGAACCAGATCTTCGCCCCGGGTCAGCGTCTAATCCTCGACGTTCGCAATGTCCCTCTGTCTATCGTTGTCAAGACGATTACACTCATCGACCTGTCCATGAAGCAGACAAGCGAGCTTGCCACGCGTAGAGATCCAAGTGCCCGCGGTATTCTCACCAACCAGACTAGCATCGCCTTTTTCAAGGATGCTCGCTCGCCGATCAACCTCAAGGCGTCCAGCAAGCGGCCTGCCGCCAATGCCATCATCAGCCCGGATTTCAAGTTCGAGGACATGGGCATTGGTGGTCTGGACGCCGAGTTCTCGACCATCTTCCGTCGTGCTTTCGCGTCCCGTATATTCCCTCCTGGCCTAGTTCAGAAGCTTGGTATCATGCACGTCAAGGGCATGCTACTCTACGGTCCTCCCGGTACCGGCAAGACCCTGATTGCTCGCCAGATCGGCAAGATGCTCAACGCCCGCGAGCCCAAGATCGTTAACGGTCCCGAGATCCTGAACAAGTACGTCGGCCAGAGTGAAGAGAACGTCCGCAAGCTCTTTGCCGATGCCGAGAAGGAGTACAAGGAGAAGGGCGACGAGTCTGGTTTGCACATCATCATTTTCGACGAGTTAGATGCCGTTTGCAAGCAGCGCGGTTCCGGCGCCGGCGGTGGTACTGGTGTGGGTGACAGCATCGTCAACCAGCTCCTGTCCAAGCTGGACGGTGTCGACCAGCTGAACAACATCCTCCTCATCGGCATGACCAACCGCAAGGACATGATCGACGAGGCGCTTTTGCGTCCAGGCCGTCTCGAAGTCCAGATCGAGATCTCGCTCCCTGACGAGTTCGGCCGCGCCCAGATCCTCAAGATCCACACGGCCAAGATGAGGGAGAACGGCGTCATGGGCGATGATGTTGACATCCCCGAGCTGGCCGCGCTGACCAAGAACTTTTCTGGTGCCGAAATCAGCGGTCTGGTCAAGTCAGCCACGTCGTTCGCATTCAATCGTCACATCAAGGTCGGGACGATGGCCAGCATCAGCGACGACGTGCATAATATGAAGGTGTGCAGGCAGGATTTCCTGAATGCGCTGAACGAGGTCAAGCCCGCGTTTGGTGCCGACGATGCCGAGCTGGAGGACAACATCCCGTATGGCATCATGCACTTTTCGCCGACCATCTCGTCCATCCTTACCGACGCGATGCTCTACGTCGAGAACGTGCGTCGTCAGGAGAGGCTGCGCCATACCTCTGTCTTGCTGCACGGCCCTCCCGGTAGCGGCAAGACTGCACTCGCTGCTCATGTCGCCATGAAATCGGACTACCCCTTCATCAAGATCATCACACCCGCCTCCATCGTCGGCTTCCGTGACGAGGGCGGAAAGAAGGATTACCTCCACAAGATCTTTACTGATGCCTACAAGTCCCCATTGAGCATGCTCATTATTGGTACGCCTTTCCCCCTTCCCTCTCCCCTTTTCCTAATCAGTGCCCCACTATTAACCTTACTGTCTAGACAACATCGAACGTATAATAGAATGGAACCCCGTCGGCCCGCGCCTCTCCAACTCCATTTTGCAAGCCCTCGTCACCCTCCTGCAGACCCCGCCGCCCAAGGGCCACCGCCTCCTCATCCTCGCCACAACCTCTCAACCTTCCGTCATGGACCAGCTCGACATCACTCCCGCCTTCGACCGCCAGATCCGTGTCCCGCCTGTGCAGGACCTGCGTGAGCTCGCTGCCGTGCTGCGCGAACTATCCAAGTTTTCGTCTTCGAGTGGCGGGTCGGCGACACCGGACGAGATGATGGGCGATGGGGATAACGGTGGGGAGTTGACGGAGCAGGAGATTGAGGAAAGGGTGAATAGACTGAGGGAATGGACGGATTCGGAGAAGGTCGGGTTGGGGATCAAGACGATTCTGACGACGGCGGAGACTGCGAGGTTGAGCGCGCGCCCGGCGGAGTGGTTTGCGGAGCAGTTGGCGGGCCAGATTGCTAGGTTTGGGAGTTATAATTTGAAGGGGGGATATTGAAGTGAAGGCTAGGGTCTGAGAGCTGGGTTTTAAAGTGGTTTTTGGGTTATGGATGGGATGGATCGGATGAGGGTATATTAGGGTTGTTGCTAGAGATATACATAACATTACGGCAGCGAATGGCAGCTTGGTCTGCTGAGAACGGCGATTAAAAGACTTATCTATCTTATGATCATTGATCGTTTACGCTTTTGATGTTTACCGAGCCCAAAGTTCCCGGAATCAAGTGCGGCAACAATGTGTGTGCGTCTTAAGGAGCGCTTGTTGTCCATATCCCACTTCCCTATGTCAAGTGTGCTGTTATAGTGCATCTATCAACCAGGCCAGTAACAAAGCTGCAGCTTGGCTCGTGACGCAGTGGCAACAGCGCGGCGAACCTAGCGTCTCGTCCCCTGGTCAAGAAATTAGTCCTCTGGACTGCTCGAAGCGCCGCCTACGCTTTCTTTTCCTTCTCGTGGGTTCGAGTCCAGTTGTGGAAAGCGGATCTTTTTTCTTTCTCCCGGGGGGAGGGGGGAACTGGGATTTATGTTTTGTCCCATGTTGTTGTGTGCGGTTCTGGCGTAGAAGGTTGGGAGGTTAGGGCCAACAGTACGGAATTTTTGCTGGTATGCGACTATTGATGATGAAGTGCTGGGCTTACTGGTCTGCTGAGTGAGATGGAGTCCAACAAGAAGGCAGACAGAAAGGATGAGAGAGAGAGACAGAGTGATGGTTTCGAAGGGTGAGCTCGCCAGCCATGTCCTTGGTTTTTAATGAGTGATCGACTTCCAGGCTCTCCAACGTCGCATACATGCACATATCATAGGAAGTAAATGTCAACCTGTGCCTTGATTGAGCGGGATTGACATTACATACCCACTCGCGTTGATAGCATCGAGTTGGAATAATTTTAACAACTACTCATCATATTTTCCCGAGACATGAAGAAGAAGACCTCATATACAGCTCAGTACGCTACTATGCGCATGTGGAAGCCTCGAAATTTGTCCCTTCTTGTGTGCCTTGGCATCCCGCCCTCCAAATCCTGAACTCCCTCCCGTCGAAGGCGTGGAGAGAATCCATTAGCTTTCCTCCTGTCCATTCCAACCCTGTGCTGCAAAACTCTTACGTACCTAGGTAGTCTATCGGAACTCCGGAAAAGTTAATATGCATGGCACCGCGCAGCTCACAAACATAGATGGCCTCGAAAATGAGAGAGCGCTGTCGCCTCGAAAAAAGATGTTGCCAGCATAGAGTATTACAACTGATGTAGTGAAGCATATCCAGGTATGTAAGACGATATTACAAGGCATGTAGGTCTCAGACAAGAGACGTTGTGAATTTTTACACTTGCGAAAACTGGAGGATATGTTATTCGTGCGTTCTTCAATATAGACGCTGTGGCAGGGTAAGGAGGAAAGGGTTGGGGCTATATAGTTTGTTGCTATTGTTGCTATCCATATTTGGAATTTAGTTTTAGAGTCTAGATACAAGTGTCCATGTTTTCTCTGGGTTTAAATACATGATGTTTCTCTCCTTTGAAGACTGGCTTGTCTTGATCTACGAGGGGATACTTACCTAAGAAGTCAAAAAAGGAAAAAAAAAAAAAAAAACAAAAGGCCTAGTTGCAGTTTAAGCAGTGTACTTATGAGCTTACGAGCCAACTTCGTTTCTCTAAGCCGAATAGGTGCCAGCGTAGTTACTCGTCCACTCAAGTGCCTGTTCGCCACCCAACGAGTCCCAAACATGGCCTGACAGGAACTCATCCCACACAAGGCAAGCACAGCCAATAACTAGCCGGGTTACCTCAAGGTCTCGTCAAGGTCTCGTCAACTGAGACATTACGTCGTTTGGGAACACGAGACAACTCTCCTCAATTTTGCTCAAGCATGGTGCTACCTTAAGTCACCGATACAGAGCCAGGCACAACATATCGAACGTTATGTCATACATATATATTACTTAGATAGCTGAACACATCAAGAAATCCCCGTTCGTTGCCGTGGAAACCTCCCAAAACTGAAAGCAAGGTACGTAACAACGAAAGTAAATCTATCTAATAATCGAGAGATACCTATCCAGAGAGCTCTATCTAGTAGTGTATGTATCCAACCGATGCAAAACAGCGAAACATGCTCCCCCCATACATGACATGGTAAAGTGTTGAAGGTATCCTTTGAAGAGGAAAGAATCCCAACAAGATTGCTGAAATCATCATCCTTTCCACCCAAGTCGTCATCCCATCAATCCATCCATCATTCATACAGATCCACATTTCCATCCTCGACATCATCTCATCTTAGAGCGGTGAAATCGAGCATGGGAGTTACATGCCTTTCCTGCCGGACCATAACTAAGGAACATAGGAAGAAGGAAACAAAACTTTCCTTTTTGTCTAACAGCCAAGAAAACAACACAAGGGCCTGGGTATACTTTACCCTAGGGATCATCAACAAGAAGGGGGATTTCAAAAAAGAAAAAAAACAAAAAAGGGGTATGAGAAGAAGCATAACCAAAAAAAATAATTGTCAAGTCCAACCGCCAAGCAAACATAGCACACACACCCTATGGATGTATAACCAAGGCAGCACACCAGTAAAGGTGAAAGGAGATAAAGAAATCTCCAACGGAGATCGAAAGCACCAGCCGTCGGATCGGGTGGAGTCAGGGGCTGTCCGGATGGATGGAGCCGTGGAGTTTTCCGACCCGGCGGGAAGGATGGATCGCTCACCGCGGACTCCACAGCGGCCGCCTGAGCCATGTGTTTGAGCGGAGCCCTTTTTTTAGAGTTTGTCTGGATCCACACCCAACGATGTCTGTTGCTCCGGAAACTACTCTGCAACGACAGTCATCAGCACTCAGCCCAGGCTTGGCGTAAGATATTGGCTGCGCTGGTGTGGCTGGCTATGACGTCGTGTAGCGGCGCAGGAGAGCGCTTCTTGTCTTCGCCTCCTCCATATTTATCTTGCTCCAGAGGCCTCTTGGGCGCTTTGAATCCTGGTTCGTCATGCCGCCGGGTTTGTGCGACCAAGTGAGACGGCAACGTGGTTCTCTCCGAGGTGAGTGCTGTGTGTCTTGCCTGTGAGGGTGGGGCGCTGCCCAGCTGGCTGGTTGGGCAGCGAAAGAAGGCAAATAAAGGGGTAACCGGTAAAAAAAAAAAGGACGTAATTATGCGAAGTCCCAAAGAAAGAAAAAAAAGGCGCGGCCCGGGAACCTGAAACAAGGAAATGGCCGATGAGCTTGGTCGATTGGCGATAGATGAGCCGAAGACGTCGTAGAGGCGGCAGTTAGATGCCGTTCATACGAGCGTATCGTATTACATCGCATCGCGGGGTTGGCTGCAGGACGGACGGGAAGCCTGGAGCCTACCACACCCATTCCCCTCATTTGGTGCAGGTACCAGACCAATCGGGTATCTCAGTAAACAAAAAAATGTGAGATCGGATTGGCGTAAGAGCAATGCAAGGCCGGGAGCCAACCGCACGGGGTAAGCTGCCGTTGCATTTGTTTGTCGCACTTGCTGATCTTGGTTCACCGCACCCGTCCATCATCGTGGATGGCGAGCGGGCCGAGTCACCGGGTGTGGCTGATGGTAGGCCATGTCCTCCTCGTCAACGACGCCATACGTGTTGAAATCATCGGCAACGAAGACGGTGGGGTGCAGAGACCGAGGTGCGGTGCCGGTGTAAGGCTCGCGGAGCGCAGGATAGGCAGCGGCTGCAGGATAAGCTGCTGCTGGTGTCGTAGTGTAAGCGGGGTATTGACGAGGTGCCGGTGCTGCCACTGGCACCACGGCGATCTGGGGACGAGGGGCGCCATGGCCGAGGGGCTCAATGTAGCTGTCCCGACGCATGCGTGGCTTGGCTGTAGTGCTGCTACTCTTTGCGTCGCTGTCGTCAGCAGAGCGGGCGTCAAACCGCTTGCGAAGCCGTTCCGTCTCTTCTTTCTCGAGACGCTCCTTCTCCTTACGCCGCTCCCGCTCGGCCCGCTCGGCCCGAGCGCGCTCCTTCTCACGTTCTTTCTCGCGCTCCCGTTCCTTTTCGCGTTCCTTGTCCCGCTTCTCGTCACGATCGCGCTCCTTCTCGCGGGTCTCGTCGCGGCGTTTCTCTTTATCGGCCTTCTCGGATGGCTCCTTATGCTTCTTGCTTGCGCTGCGACGCAGCTTCTTGTCGTCAGAGGACTCGGTGGTAGTAACGCTGCCTGATGCTTGAGAAGAGTTGTCTCCGCTGTTGTTGCTGCCGCTGCTGTTGGTGTTGTTGCTGACGCTCTTGCGATTGGCCTTCTTCAGCTCCTTGAGATTCTCCTGAAGCTGAGCATTCTGCTCGGTAAGCTCCTTGTTTGTCTTGATCAGGGACTCCTTCTCCTGCTTTAGGCTATCCCTCTCGGAGCCAAGATTCTCATTCTCGTTGATCAAGGCACGAGTGTGAGCCTTGGCTTGCTCCAACTCTTTGCGAATCTGGCTGAGGGCATTCTCGAGCTCGGAAACCTTGGCGGCAAGCTTGTTGCGCTCCTGAAGAATATCGTTGCGCTCCTGATAAATCTTATCATACTTGTAAATGGCCTCATCTCGCTCGAGACGCATGTTCTCGAGCGTGGCCATCAAATCATGGTCGTACATCCTCTTGTCGTCGTAGGTAGCGGGGACAAGATAGTCGCGGTCAGGGTTGGAAGAACGGCTCTCACAATCGCTGAAGGAGCCGACTCCCGAATCGCTTCGTTGATGGTCGTAGTGCGACCCACCAGAGTGGGAGTCGCGGCGGAATCTAACGCTTCTGCTCATGGCGGCAGAAGGTAGAGATAAGACTGGGGGCACGTAAGATGCTTGGTAGGCGTGAATGGTGGGCGATGTGAGCGATGAAGCAGGGCGCGAGGCTGTTGGATCGCTCAATGTAGGCTAAAGCAGGCGAAGAAATGTGGTGTGTGCTGATTTGACAGTCGGCGTGTAAGAAGACTGTACGCTGCAGCAGTGCTTGACTGGTTGGGTCACGTTATGTTTATAGGACAAGCAAGGTAAAGGCAAGGTAAACCGTAATGGCGTCCGTGGTGTCCGTAGTGTCCGTAGTGTCCGTCGTAAAGTAGTAGATTATCGACACAAGAGGGAAAGCGAAGGGGGGGGAAAAAAAAGTGTGTGGGCTGTGGGCAGGACAGAGGGAAAATTTGGGACGGAAACACGCAGGAGTCAGGACGGAGAGACAGGGGGTCCGCCCTTTTTTGGCGACGGGGCCAGTGTCACGGAAAGACTTGCTGCGGTAATGCTGCTTTGCTTAACGCCCAGGAGACGGAACGGCGGAAAAGCAAGGCTGGGCGAGGAATGCTAGTCCGTCTCGGGTTGGGTGTCAATCATCTGGGGAGTCCGTAGTCCGGAAAGGGCTGTTGAAAGGCTGGAAGCTGTGGAAGGACAGCCGAAAAAAATGCTGGGGCAAGGGGAAAAAAAAAATCTCTTGCACACACAGCCAGGTATAAAGGTTTTTGGTCCGTCGGCGTGTTACGGAGCAAGAAACCCTGGGCGAGGCACACAAAGGCAACCTGCAAAGGGGGACGGGTCCTGAAGGGGAAAGGTGAAAGTGAAATCAAGAGTTCGCACAGAAACTGGCAATCGGTTTATTTTTAAGAGAGCAGTAGGCAAAGCGGCAGCTGCCGGGCGTTTGTATGATATGTATGATGGAGCGAGGGGTTGGTGTGGCTGTTGTTGCCTTCGCGACGATGCGCAAATGCCAATGCAAAAACGAGAGAAAAGCGGCCGCAGGTCGAAGGGGGCAGACGGGAGACGGGCTGATGGTGGTGCAGTCTGCGGTTTTGCTGGGAAGGGCAGGCCGCACAAGGGAGGTGGGGTGTGCGGAAGACAAGGAGGCTTGGCACCAGCAAGAAGCAAGAACATCAAGAATGGATAGGAGAAGGAGAGAAGCGCGCTGTCAGTGCAGGAAGTACAGCGACTGGACAATGGGAGTCATGCGCAGCCCATCAACGAGATTCCCTGGCAGGCACCGCCTCAAGAGCACGCCTAGGCTCACCGAGGATGCCAAGAGGCCTAGGACCGTAGGACGTGTCGGCTCAAAGCAGAGTGTCTCCGACAAGCAATGACTGGCTGACGGTGAGCGGACACATACACGATAACGACACCTCCCAGCTTTTTTCTGGGTGGTGTGTATGTGTGTGTGTGTGTGTGTGTGTGTGTGCGTGTAGATGCTGTGGTATGGGCGTGAGGGTTCGCCAGAGGGGTGGGATTTGCGGACAGAAACGTTCCATTGCGTCCCCAATTTCACAACTTCCCCCAATGCGATTTTTCCCTCTGGTCTTCCTAGCCTTGGCAGTCCCCACAGAACACGCCAAGATTCCACTCAGGTGCCTCTTCCTACCGAAATTTTTCTGATCTGCCGTGCAAAACAGGCTGGCGACTAGGCGCTCTAACCTATCCATTCCGTCCATCCTCGACTTTTGCCCATTCCAGCGGTCTCGGCCGGTCAGCATTTTTTGTTCTGCTCCCTATCTCAACACTTTTGCAGCATTGTCATCGGCCCCGTCTTTCCCGGCACATGAGTCCTTACTCAATACTAGTCTGCTCTTCCTGTTTCCTGCTCTTTATCTGCTTTGTTACGCTAATCTTAGGAACACTAGAAATAAGCACTTCAGCGACAGGCAAGGTTCATGGGCCATGGATGCAGTCCGTGGACGAATGAAATGCGGCAAAAAAAAAAAAAATAAAAATAAAAGAAGCCTGCCTGCCAGCTATTTGTGGCTCAGGTCTGGCAGCGGCCGCTCGACGGTGAGTCACCGTCCGTCGTCCCGGCAAGCCTATTCTCATTTCATGCACCCAAGATTGCATCTAATGCAAAGAGCCCGTCTGCCCGTCTTCGCCCTCTGATGCGAAGATTTCTGGCTTCTTGTCCTCACGTGGTAGACCAGATCAGGCTACACTATTATTTTCCTGCTCTCTGGTTCGCTGGTTGCTTCTGAATATTGAGCCCAACGCTGCCACTGACGCATTTCTCGCGACGCTTTTGGTCTCAGCCAGGAGTGTGATACTTTAAGCGTTGTTCTTGAGAGAGAAAAATGGGCATGTCTCGCCCTTTTGAGTCCCAAAGAGCACCGCCTGATTGCCAGCAGTTTCTCGACGGTTCCGTGGGCACTGAGCACTGAGTAAATAGGGATAAGCAGCAATACACTTTATCAATATGGATCGACAAGCCCTCTTTGCCTTGCATCCCGCTGCGTATCCCGCAGCATCTCTCGCAGCTGTCCAGCTGCGCCCTGTGTCTGCTGCGTCAGGATCGGCTGCCACGACGGCCTGCAGGTCATCGCGGGTTATCTGAACGCTGTCTCGCGATGTGTACTCTCAGCCTGCTGCCATGGATAACCCTGATGCGGGTCCCAGCCCTACAAACTACCCTCCCGTCGCAACCCTGACAACCTTGTCAACCTTGCCGGAACGTTTCTCTTCCCCACCAGCCAACGGCGAACAAATTGCCAAGTTCCAGCTGGGGACAGACCCCCCGAACCCACCGTTCTCGCCGATAACCACATGGCTGTGGAGTCTTGCAGTCCAGTCCCGTGTGGGGCCGTCCTTGGCTCACCAGCCAGCGCCAGAAGATCGAGCGGACCGCTCTCGTCGTCAATGGCAGCCAGCAGCAGCATCCAGGATGTGACCGCTTGACTCACAAGGAGAGGATTGGCCGCTGTTGAGGACGGATTTTGAAGGCGTCAGCCATTGATGATGGATCACCTGGATTGGTGGGGTAACCCGTTCCCATGCCGCTCTGTGTGTTCCTCTGGGGCATCCAAGGCGTTCAGATATCACTGCCAGAGTACAGGTTTTCATTTGGCTTTCTTTTACCCAAGAAATCCTCTGATAAGCAGGTCGGCGACGAGGGCCGATTCCGGAGCGGCCCAGCTGGATGGGCTAAATCTTTTTCGCTGTGGAGGGCCCGGGTTTTTCCCGTCCGAGCCCCTCCTCCCTCCTTTATTCGTCCCGAGGTGAGATGAGACGCGACTGCGGGGAAGGGGGGCAACTCTCATCCCCTCCATTCTCCAGGTCTTGGTCGATGCTGTCATGGTCTTGGCAGCCTTGCTTCAAGCAGTTTTTCTGCTCAACTTCGCAAAACTTCCATGCGCCAAGCTTTCTTCCTTCAGCGAATTGTCTGCTCGACTTTCCGCAGCTGCCTACTTGCTGCGTGCAAGCATGCGCTTCAACACTCACACCATCCTGCTTCTCTTCTGCGGATACGCTACGGGTATGCACGTCTGGCGACCAGTCGCTCCAGTCGTCAGCGGGGCACCCCTCACTTTTTACCTTGATGGAGCCGGACCGGCTCTTTTATCTTTTTTTTCTTCTTCTTGGAAAAGCGCACATTTTTGTCTTGCCTCGACCCCAGCTTTTGTAACCGTCCACTCGCGCGTGTTGAGGTTATGTGCATCTGGCGTTGTTTCATTACTTGTCTACCTCCCTATCTCTCCGACCTTTGATGATGCTGTGATAGAGTAGCACAACACAAGTGCGAGTTCTAGAGATAAACTACTTCGTCGGTTGTCTCATCGCCCGTCAGATACACACACAACAAACTATCACCCTGGCTGGCACCTTTGCGGCTTCACTGCTACCCTCGGCTTGACGATGCCAAGCGCCGTCTCCCGGCAACCGAAGCCGAAGCCGAAACAGCAGGGCGACGCTGCCGAATTGGCCGTCTACTGCAACAGCATGTCTGATCCCGTCCGGCGCCGTGTTTGTAGTAGTGAACAATTTGAGAGGCATGCACGGCATTTGTGTTGTCTACTGAGTGGACAAACCACAAGCCGGATCGGCAGAAAGACACAGAAACGACCGCGGTTAAGATATAGATTAGAATAGATGGGTGGACCGGCGACCGTTAAGATGGACCAGACCGGATGCCTGGTGTTAGGCAAGTTAGGCAAGCTGGGAAGAGGGAGCTTGGCTGGAGGTAAGCAACCAGGCAGGCAGGCGGGAAAGCAGACAAGCAAGCCGGCTGGGAACCAACAGCTTCGTCCTCCCGTCCCACAAATTTGGCGATCTACCCGTCAAGCCACTGAGAGCATACCGCATGACTTGTTCGGCATAACTGTCTGCCTATTGTGGAGGTTGATATCGCGGTGGCTTGCAGCAGATTGCTTGACGGCCTGCCTAGAAGAGCGAAGCACGAACACTCCATGAAGGTAGCAAGGTCGCCATAAAGAAGAACCTTGAGGTCTGGCAATCCATATGGGGCATCAACCGAGTAACGAGAGAAGGAGGTACGTAGTGTCACAGTCCTTTTTGCGAGCCAGGTCACACAATTCTTGGGTACGTGGACCAAGTTCTAAGGGATGATAAGTTCTCGTAAGGTAGGCAGGACAAAGTAGAGCAATAACAGCTTTGTCTTTGAAATTCTGTCGTCGAGTCTAATCTCAGCTAGCCATAAAGTACCTGGGCTGGCTTCTGCTAAGCTGTTGCCAATGGCTCGGGGGTTATGTATCATGCTCACGAGACGTGCAGAAATTTTGCTACTTTACCTAATGGAATGGTAATATGATGAAATGGGCTAGGACATAGCTCAAGTGAGTCAAAAAGCAGGAAAGACAGAAAGGACTACCTCGTAATCGAAGTGGAAAATCGCACAATTTCCCCCCCCCCCCCGGCGTATCTAGATCGATCATCAGGGGCCGTGGAATCGTCACTTTTATCGAGCAAGTTTAGAAAAAGTGTTGATCGACCAGTCGGAGAGGCAGCTCACTTTTCGACCTGCCTACCTACTACTCACCTGCTGCTGGCCGGCCGGATCGCATGCCATGCTGTATGTACCTACTGCACACATGGCGGCAAGTAAATGATTGTGTGAAACGCTACACAGATATGTGGCATTCCGTGGTGAGGCTTGATCGGGAACGTACTCATGTACAATACACTATTTTAGTTGGTGGGATCGACCCCGGATTGAGATGATCGAGATGAAAGTGAAAGTGAGGCTTTGGTGTTGTTGATCGATATAGGTTACATTTTCGGGGTGGACAAACCGAAGTGATCCGAGAGAGAAAGAGATCCGGGATTAGGATTGAAAAGGATGAGAATAAAAAGTGTAGGATGCAGGATGCACGGTAAGAGAGATGGCGAATGGTCATCGAGTGAGAGCATCGGTCTTCCGTTGGGGGACGATGGGAGAAAGAGCTAAGCTGGTGTGGTGTGTGAGATGGGTGGCGTGCCTTCGGAGTGCCAAATCTGGAGGGAGGGTTGGGTTAGGTGAGTGAAGTTAGCTAGCCTAAGCTCAGCTCTCAGCAGATGAACGTTGGGGATTTCTTGGTGTGGGCTAAACTTAGATTCACCATGCTCGGCTTTAGTTTGGGTACCTCTCTCGCCGGCAAAGAAGAATATGTCTCCGTTTTCATCGTATTCCTTACGCTGTCTTCCTCCATACACACTTCATGCTACACGCCTACGTACCGGGAAATGGCATGTATGACTTTAATCCAATTTGTTTACATCCCATCTTTTTAAAATGTGTAAAACGTCGCATCATCATCATGCGTCCTCCCATCGTCCTATCGGCTCTTTCAACAGCGGAGATCGGCCAAATATGCTACTTACAACCTTAAGTGTGACCCCTTCTTCGCAAATAACTGCCCAGCCTTGTTATTGAAAAACGCCCTCGCTACATGCAAGCTCGGCGGCCAGTCAGAAGGCCAGGTTCCACCGAAAATCAGCAACAAGGTCACTTCCAGGATTTTTGGTGGGATTGCCCGCTCTCGCAGATGGCTTGCAGACCACACAGATAGTGTGGCGATTTGTGAGCGTTGTGATTTGTTGAAGGGGGGCTTAGAGCAACTTGGGGAGATGTTGAAGGCGTATATGGTTGGTTGGTTGGTTATCGCATGGCGGTATAGTGGGCCTCGTTTTGAGGTACATAGAAGGGGAATACCATGGAGGATTTGGGCTGGGGGGTGTGGTTGAGGGAAGAAGGTGGTTGTAAAGCGCTCGAGCGGGTTTAGCGTTTGCAGCTTGATTGTGCAGCACACGGGAATAGAAGATAGGAGAAACTGAAAGTAGGAAGTAAATAGACATCTCCGTCATCCACGATTGCTCTTCATTAGAACTCCACTGACGATATCGAGAAGAGTACGAGGAGCAGAATTGTACCTAACACACAGGGTTTCAGAGAGTACATATCGCTTGCGTGATTAAGACATTCTTCCATGAACAAAACTTCATATCCCAAAGTGCCGCCGTTTTCTCTTCCCCCGTGTTTTTGTAGTATGTGTCTTCGTCGTCATCATCTTCAGGGGTATTTTTGTTCATGTTCTCGTATCCTAGCTCTTGCTTTTGTCTTCCTGTTCGTCATCGTCATTGGATATCTCCATTAACCCATCAGGAACTCGGAGAAACGAAGGTGAGAAACATAGAGATGGAAATAATACCAAGAGAACACAATAGGGAATGGACTATCGTAAGGAAGGATAGAGAGATAACGCGCAAGTGGTACAGTCTGAGACATAGGAAAGCAAAGTGACATCTGGGGACACACAATTAGTCTTGATCCCAACTCCGAAAAATCTCCTCAAGACCTGAGCCTCACTCACCTCAAGACCCAAAAACCATCAGACTACATCCTATTCCCCACCATTGCCAGCTCCCTTTCCTATCCCTCAACATCAATCGATAAGTCTAACTATACCTCGAAATCCTCTTCCTCAAATTCTCAATATCCTCCTCTGTCTGCCGCATCTGCTCCTCCTTCAACAGCTCCAACTCCTCCTGTTCCCGTTGCTGCGACACAATACTATGCAGATGGCCCCTCAACCTGTCACTCCGCCCACGCTCCTCCTCGAACGCCTCCTCCAACCTATTGTACGCATCTTCCCACTCGCGGATGATCCTCCGCAGTCGGCTGATTTCCTCTTCTGCAGAGTTTCGGGTGCTGGAGCGCAGGGCGTGGTTCTCCTCGCGCAGGCGCTTGACCTCGGACTTGAGCTTATGGTGCTTCCGGGATTGTTCTTCGTTCCCCAAGGGGGAGGGGGTAGAGGCGGCGGCGGCGCGCCACTCGTTGAATTGGCGGTAGAGGAGTTGGTTTTGGCGATGAAGTCGGTTGATCTTGTTGTACATCACGTTTAGCTCATTGCGGAGGAAATCGTTTTCGGCCCGTAGGTCAACCCCGGCGGCTGTTCCGGTAGTGGTGACTGTGAGGCTGGAATTGGGGCTCGGGATAGGAGCATATTGATGGAGATGATGTGGCGGCGGCGGCGGAGGAGGAGGAGGGATACCATGATTTGGCCCGGGAGGCGGAGGAGGAACAATAAGAGGAACGCCATAAGGAGAGGTATAGTTCGAGCCCAGGTTACGAATATCGGAGGTAAGGTCCGGGATGGGGTAGGCGCCCAAACGGGTGTGTTCCCGCGTGGGCTGTGGCACGGGTTCGTCGTAGTAGACAGCAGAGTTGCGACGCGGCCGGGAGCGGGACCTGCTGTGGGAGCGGGAGCGGGAGCGTGGCAGGTCGAGAGGCGGGAGCTCCGTTGTGGAGGAGCCCCGGTGACGACGATGGGTTGCTGTACTGGACCGGCCCCGGGGATGGTGCCTTTGGGCTGGGTGCTCATCTTCCCAATGGACTCGACGCTGGCTACTGTAGGGCATTTTAAAGTGTGGGTTGGACGATACAACGGATACGCTGGTGCACTGCTTGGGTAGGGGATAGTGTCGTTGATGTTGTAGCAAAACGTGTGGTTGATGTGTGACCGTCGTCTCAAGTGGGTTGTTGGTTGACAAGGTGTCGAACCTTGATAATGATTTGTAGTAGGGAGGAGGTAGACTGGCGAGACGTGGAGCGATAGGTGAGTTAAAAGAGAAGTGAAATACGGGAAGTGTGCCCCTTAAGTAGCCACGATTGGGTGTGTATCACAAATCGAAGCTGGCCGCGCTCAACCTTTTGATAGGGCTAGGCATGAGCGAAACACGCCGAACGGTCTGACGCAGCATATTAAGCAGAACTAGTGGCGGACAAGGGGGGTGGGATTGGAGATCAAATGAAAGGCACACATTGGTGGATTGTTCGGGACGGGATGGACGGGCGTAGTGTGTAGTGTCCAGGGCAGAGAACGTGAAAGGGGCCGTATGTCCAGATACTTGACACGAACTAAGGTGGAAGGGTGCCTGAGACGGATGTTGGTGTGTGTGCGAGTGTGTGTATGTGTGTGTGTGTGTGTGTGTTGGTGTGGAGGGGAGCGAGAGAGACAGAGGGTGTGTGTGAGTATAGTGTGATGAAGCAGTGCAACGGGAAGAGAACATGAGGGCAGTGACACAAGGGGTACCAGCATGGTCACAAAAGCAATGTTGGGTATGGATACCTTGTTATTGAGAAAACAACAAGTTGTAATGTGCTTAAGAGAGCATCAAGTTTGATTCATACGACAGCTGACAAGCTGATGGAGGGATGTGCCCAGCGGTTGAGCCGCAGTCCAAGAGCGGATGCGGCCCCGCTATGAGCAAACTTCTGCCTGGCCCCTAAGGACATCAGAATGCTAAATTCGGCCAAAATAATGATATGTACAAAGCATTATATCAGAGAATAAGCTCTGGATAATGAAGCAAGACTTTGACGATTTCAAAAATCATGGTAATGTCTGCGGTCGAAGAGAGAGGCGCAGCAAGTCACCAGGGGGAACAAAGGGTTGAAGCCGTTATCGATAAGGGCGTTCTATCTGACTCTGACACTGGTGTCATGAGCTAATTGACATCCGGAGCCTGTCACAACTCTCCGTTGGTCGCGTCAAGTAGCGCGCGTCTCCCTCCATCATGCTGCCGTGTCGTGGGCGGCCGCAACTCGTCTTCGGTGAGACAAGGTCAGTGTGTGTTAGCCTTCACCCGTGTAAGTGGTGGGGGTGTGCGTGAGGTGGAGTCGTGTGGCTTGTACCCTGGTTCGATCTCGGGAGTCGGGGATTCGGGTTCTCCAGTCAATTAACGTCGAGTACCATGCCAAGCCTCCGACCGTCTGTTGCGGCTGGTGCAGCCCGGCAGCCACACCCTGCCTGGAGATGATGGCTGAACCGCGAATCACCCCCCACAACCTCTTTGCTCTGACTCTTTCACGCCAGCGCTCCTCCTCGGAAGGCAGAGCGCCAGGTAGACGCTCTGCGGCCGATTCCTACCGGCTATCTCGCCTTTACTACCCGTCAGAACCTGACTGCAGGCAAATATCATCATTCTTTGTTTTCTGCAGCCGTACGGCACGGCAACACTCGCTTCTCTCGTGTCGAGTTGAGAGCATCCAAGTTCGCGAGAGGCCGTCATGCCGGGAGAGGCTACAGAATAGCGCAGCCTCCACCGTCACTTCAATCAATGTTGCACTTCTCGTCGTCGTTCTCTCGTTAGAGTCGTAGGTTCCCCATATGCTCTTCTACATTCCCCAGATCTTAACCAGATGTCTGCCATCCCGCGAGGCTGTCACTTGTCTTCGCACAGCCCCAGCTACTCTGCTCACGATGGTGCAAGTACACACATACTTGGGAAACATCGGCCCTTGACGCTAGGAATTCGGTCCACAGTAGCCACAACTGGTCAAGTGACCTTCAAATACTTCAGTCGACTCGCAATTCCCGTTTCAATGAAACTGTGCTGTTCATAGATGCACCCCCTTAACTTTGGACCCGGTCGGTCAGCCTGTTTTGGCAGAGCCTTCTGGCAAGAACCACGAGCTTCCATCGTGAGCTTGGCGTGATGGCTAACGGACGATATGATCTGTCGAGGTACAAGACGAGCAGGTGGAATTTTGTGGTTGACGCTGGTAGTACCATCGACCTGGTGTCTATTGCGTGCCTTCATCCCTGGCTTCAGCAAAACCCAAAATGGCACAATGTGCTACTTTCACACGGGCTGTTGGATTAACCGTTCACTAATTGGAAACAGAGTCAAGAGCACGACGGCATGGCATTACCTCAATTCTTCCCAGATTCTCATCATGTTGGATGGCCTTGCCGAGTTGCTCGATCACTCGACCACATCTGATGGACTTTGTCAAATTTCTGCTTCTCCATAAATTTCCCGACCCCACAGGACCAGTTGTCAGACACAGGGCACTGGTTGCCTAATGCCTTTTTACCCCAGATGCCTCTTCTATGTTACGGCATTGCGGCCAAAATACCGACCAACCATGTCCCCCCCCCCAATTTTCTCCAATTGAGGCCTTCAACTCTGGATCCGACGGAGACAACCCTACGTCTCCTCGCATGCCCGTCCACTTTTCCGGCAGCGACACAGCCATCCCGCGTCGTCCTGTCTCTCTTACAGAGCCGCCGCTAGTGGTTCGCGGACTTCTGCAGCCTCTTTTCTTGTCTGCTACCGATTCGTGGCTTTTGACGGCTACGGCAGGCAGATGTCTCACAGATCTCGATCGGGAAATTTGCCACCGACGGCCTCTTTCATCTGCAGTTGTCCTTGATCTTATCAGCCACTACCACCCGAGTATTGGTTGGATGGCTGATTCTGTGCTGTGATGAACAGCGCATCCTGGAGGACCTTCGGCTTTACGGAGGCGCTGCCCCTTAGCTCTTTGTGGATATCCCAGCGTGCCTTTCTCCCTTACAATGGGCTTCCTGAGGTCAGCGGTGTCGGATGTTGCCGGTCCGATGATTGACGCAAGCTTTCCAAGCCGCCTGACGCCTCAGGCGGCCGTGGTTGCTTCTTCAACGTAATATCTCTTGTCACCTCTCTTTTACCGCCATGACCAAAAGAGCCCCTTCTGGCTGCCATTACCTTCTTGAAAGAGAAGTTTGGCTTTCTTCTCAGCTCTTCTTGAGCATGACTCTTGAATGCCCCCCTTCTGTTGGGATGTCATGTGTGGTGAACCTGTCCATCTCCTTCTGGATGGTACGCAATTAAACACACCCAATATTGCCGGAGAGTATATAGTCCACGACCTGTGTACCTGTACAAGTTGCTACAAACAGCTATCCCTTTCCCCATATCCTCATCAAGTTACTTGCTCACAAAAACATTTCTTCTATGACTCATCCCATCTGGCCCATCTACCAGGCGATATCAAACCAACAAAAGAAACTCCCTACACTCCCCTCTTCTTCCCTGCCTCTCCCTCGGACATGTGTCTACCGAGTAAACGAGGCTCTAGCGAGAGGGAATAGCAACCCTGCTGATGAGTCTAGCAGCTCGAAGGCCAGCTGTACGTGGGTGTGGTTGGCCGATGAGTTCGTTAGGCAGACAACTTCACATTCAATTCGGTCGAGCGTCAACCATGCTTTTTGGTATCCGGACCATTAACAGAATGAATGCTTTCGCTGTGTCTGTTGCCAGTGCCAATTTGAACTCTCTTCCCTCGAAGCTCGAGACAAATTTGCCCAACGTCAGCATGCCCCATGCCCCCCTTCCTCCTCGAAGCAGAGATGACAGAAAATGGAATGACGGGAGAGAGCGCCACTCGATGCCGCGAGCTCTCGTCACTTATCTTCTTCAGATCTGCCCTAGCAAGCCATCCAGGCACACAGTGCCAATTGGCAAGCCAAAAGCCTATGTGTACACGTTGTCAGGCCAAGAGATACTGACGAAGGATTAGAAGACCCTTATGATATAAAGAAAGGCTTGAGTATATAATCTAGATAGATCGTTAAAAACCAGTTGTCAACCAAACAACTGGTGACTGCAGCAAATCACGTATATTATTATGTGAGCACCCCAGATACCCAGGTTCTACAACCTGGTCACTAGCTTCGAACCCATCTCAGGAGGTTGTGGAATCTTCATATATTACTTTCAATGACAATTGTTCATTCTAACGCCGTATAGAGCTGTATTAGCTCGAAAACCTCAACCAGATCAATTCCACATGAAAAGCATAGCATCCGGCTCTGGCTCCGGGAGATTTCATTCAGGAAGGATCATCATATCATCCAGTTCGCTCCATCCAGAAGTTCATCAGTTGCCTGACTCTCGAAGCTCCAAAACCACGGGCGCCTCCTCCGGTTCAGAGGTGCTTCCAGCGCTGGAGTTGCTAGCCGGGACACAGCAATAGGATCGGCCGGGGTGGCAGCTATAGGAACAACAGGCCTTGGCCCCAAGCGAAGAGCAATAGAGATCTCAGCGTCGGATCGCTTGGACCTCTAAGGTAGGTATTTGCTGAGTTAGATGTGCTCAAAAAATATCAGCATATTTTACGGCGATGCCTTATCGGACTGCGAACTGCTTTTCATGTTTGTTGTTGCACTACTCTTCTGTCTTCCGGGAGGCTGTAACATAACTTAGAGCGTGTAGGCTGGTTGTTGGTAGCTTGTGAGATCTGGAAGTGCCTGAAAAGCGACGAAGGTTTGGTTACAAATTCAGAGTTATCGAGCTCAAATCCGGCCTTAAGATTACTTAGTGTTGAGACAAGGAGCTATGGGAGGTTATCCATGCGCTCGTGTTCCGTATCTATATGTTTGCGTTGTATCAAAGAATAACTTGTGTGAGAATTCTCTTGGAAATCCAAGGGAGAATGTCGGGATATTGGAGGGAGGCTGGCTTTTGAACTTATTTTGTTGACTCTACATTGAGTAAAAAGGCAGTATTCAGCAAAGACAGTAGGCGGATTAGTGGCAAATTGTGTGTTCGCCGGGAACACCGCACTACGCCTAGGTCATGGTCACGACGCCGGAGAGAAAAGGATGACATCTAGTGAATAGACTAGTTACAAACTGTATAAGGCCTGTGATTTATTAGTGGATACCTTGCATAATTACCACCTCCACCATCCAGTTCGTCCTTACTGTGGCACATGCTCAAACAGAGTGTTGCTCTCATCTGCCTCTGCACTTTTCCATGCTTCGTCTTCGTAATTCCACCCTTTGGAACGATAGCTACCGGAGCCAGACTCATCATTAAAATACATCACGCAGTCTAAGAACCTTCGAATCTTCCTGCCCAGCCCTGGACAGTCATATGACACGAGATTTATCCCTTTCCGGAAGAGATCAGGATGAGCCTTTCTATCCAAATCCGCCACGTATCCTTCAAGCAGGCCTTGCCAGAACAGAATGAAGGGGAGTTTTATTCTGCGCACAGAAGCGCGAAGCTTCTCCAAGCTCTTCAACTGCAAACAGCCTACATACAAACTTTGAAAGGTCTTCGGCGCGGTCCATCAGATAACAGAATTTTAACAACCTCCGTATAGCCATTCTTTGCAGCCAAACTCAGTGGCGTTTGGCCACCGTTGTCTTGTCGGTCTGGATTAACTCGGACATCAGATAACAGAATTTTAACAATCTCCGTATGGCCATTCCTTGCAGCCAAACTCAGCGGCGCTTGGCCATTCTTATCTTGTCGGTCTGGATCAACTCGGGCATCAGATAACAGGGTTTTAACAATCTCCATATGGCCATACTCTGCAGCCCAACTTAGCGGCGTTTGGCCACAGTTGTCTTGTCGGCCTGGATCAACTCGGCCATCAGATAACAAAAATTTAACAATCTCCGTATGGCCATTTCCTGCAGCACAACTTAGCGGCGTTATGCCATCGTTGTCCTGTCGGTCTGGATCAGTTCGGCCATCAGATAACAGAATTTTAACAACCTCCGTATGGCCATTCTCTGCAGCCCAACCCAGCGGCGTTAGGCCACCGTTGTCTTGTCGGTTTGGATCAACTCGGCCATCAGATAACAGAGCTTTAACAACCTCCGTATGGCCATTCCTTGCAGCCCAACTCAGCGGCGTTCGGCCTCGACGATCCGGTTGGTCAGGATGGATATCCTTGGCACTAGTAAGGAGCAGCTTGACTACATTGTTGAGCCCATAGGCACCAACTATGTGAAATGCATTCTGAGATGGCCTCAGATATTCCGAACTTTGGTTTCGATGATGAAGAAGCCAAGGCCGCCTTCTGGTCTCGGAAAATCTGTCACAAAGTTGCACCACCATACTAACCCATTCTGAACTTGTCAATAGATTGAGTAGTTGAGGAACGCAGGCCGAACACGCAGATATATGATGGCCCCAGTAGTCAGCAGCATAGGTAAAGAGAGGTTTTTCAAGTCGTTCACGCGCCTCCTCAGACGTTCTGACAGGTCCACCTGAAAAGTCCTTAAACGAAAGGTATGATACGCAGGTATTTGCGATATCGAGATGCGCGGTCGGAAACCACCGAGTCAAAGTATCCTGGAAATATTCTTGAAGTGTATAGTGGATAAGCTGAATGATTTCGCTTTCTTTGTTTATGACAACGAGCCCACAACATACCGAAAGCATGTCTTCGGCATCAGGAATTGCGGTTTCATCAATCTCGTCCTCACTTTCCCTGACGGCCCATGCATACTGAACCTCCATCGTTTTTAGAGGGCGTTTTGCGCAGATGATCCAGGATAGCACATGGTTGGCGAGCTCCTTGTGATCATCCGGTTGCCCATTGATTCGATCCATTGCGTCGTTATATGCCTGGTGCAATAGGGCAAGCTTTGGCTCTCTTTCTTGAGAGTTTTCGCGAAGCTTGTTCAGTGTTTCACGGATGCGCTTTGCGCTAACTTTATTCTTCAAGGATTTGAAGAAAAGGTGGGCGAGCAGGAACCTGATCTTGCAAATAAGTCTATGCTCATTTGAATCAGTAGCCCATGGTTTACAAAGAACTGTAACTTACATGCCATCTGCAACACTGACAATACAACTAATGATCTCATCTTGGAGGTCTGGGTACTTTGAGATAACTCGCCAATTGGACATCTGATTGCGCATGTACCGCTCGATGTCGTTGTTTTGGGCTACGATCTCAAGGCAGGAGTGTCCATAAAAGGCTTCCACAATATCAGGTACAGGGCGGGATGTGGCCAAGAGGTTAACGTTACTTTCCCTCGACTGAAGGCGCAGTAATGCTTCAATGAATTTGGAACGAACATTGTCGCTCATTTGGCACTCGTCCAGCGCATCAACAATAACGAAAACCCCATCATTGTACAGTGCGGCGACAGCATGAAACATCTCCTCAAGATCGCTCAATGATGGCTGTAATATATACTTTTTGTGTTGAGCGTAAACATCCATGACTGCCGATGGAGGTGGAAACTTGTTCCTGAGTAGTTGCTTCACGAGGTTGGCAATGAGCTGCTCAACAGTTTGGTCATCTACGCGCCGGAAGTTGCAATATAGATATGCGATACCAACGTCATGGTCTCTCAAATTCCTTTGGAGATAATCAATGACGATCGATACAAGAATAGTCTTTCCAGCACCAGGTATGCCGGGGCAGAAGAGAGTCACTGGCTTTCTCGATAGCCTGGTAGACTGATTAGCTTGAGCAAAGATAGTAACGAGACAGAATCGAAGAAAAACATGGATTACTGTGCCATTCTTGGAACTGAGGAGAATTTAGGAACCATTGTCCTGTGCCTTCTTGTCTTTGGCGTAGAAAGTCGGCTTGTTGTAACGAATAGTCTACTGAAGAGAGCCAGCTAAGAATTTCTGAATCGTCTTGTTTTTATGGAACAGATGTCAGCTCAAGATCGGCTACGAGATGATTACTCGCAAACAAGCTAGATCAAGGTTCGGACAAACCTGGTTGGTGACAGCAGAACACTTGCGATTGAACGTAACCGATAACGTTCCCGGAACCAGAGTTCTGGATGCTACCAGGCTGGAAAATATTCTGGGTGCTTGGGGTAATACCAGGAGGACCAGTGTTATTGAAAGCAGAAAGATGGGTTATGTTGACGGCAGCGGAACCAATGTTGTTCATGATGGGAGGGCTGGTGTTGTTGACAGCAATCACACCAGTGATGTTGACAGCAAGGGAATGGGGGGGTTTGGCGGGCAGTATTGACTCGGATACCACAAGATGCTGCGCGACCTAGATATAAATCCTCTCTATGTCTCCAAACGGGTTATTTGGTTGTGAGAACTTTTCAGTTATTTTCGCCTTCCACACCCGAGCCTTATGTTCCGGCATTGGGTCAAAGCACGAGGATCTGTGGAGTTGCAACTGTTTCCCCTAGGTTGGAAAAGAAGCAGGATTTCGAAGGTTGGCTCTGGTCTAGTTGGATGTACTGTCAACAATGAAGAAAGGAAGGATGATGAAAAGAACAATAAGGAAAGAAAGCCATGTAGAAAGCTCGCTCGTATAGTAAGGGCGTTGGCAAAGAGAAGATCTAACATGAACAAAAACCAAGGCAAAAATCTTATCCCCAACGCTAGTAGAATGCAAGAAGGCCTTTGGGGACGATACATCCAGACGGATGCCGTTTAAATGAGAGATATATGCCCAACCAACCTGACATAATGACAGTGCGGGGGTGAGGCTGAGTCATATGCTCAGCATGCTTCATACCCGCAACAGAGTTCTTATACAGTTGTGTGACCCAAAGTATGCTCTGATTCGAGATAGATGCATCAATCTAAGCTAGGATAACCAAAAACGGTTCCGAAATGGAGGGTACCCTGGTGCTTGCTGTTAAGTAGCACGGCTCATTCTCAGTTCACTATCAGAAGCCGTGCGTGTGGGATGCATAACGCAAGTACGTGCAGCCCTACCTGACCCTGTGATAGATGTATGCAATGACTGATCATGCAATATGCTTGCTGCAGCTGAAAAATTCGCACAAAATCGAGCTAGAGGCCACCGACTGGCCTTAGCGTGTCCGCGTGGTTGCGTATGTGGTGAACCTCCTGCGCACCAAGGCAGCTTCGCTAAATTCAGCTGCTTGAGGCTTTTGAAGAGTAAGGATTTTTACCTGTCTGATCCTCACCTAGGTGAGGCTTATCCCGGAGCCAACAGTCGCGTGTGTCTGTTGCTTGGATCAACTGCAATTTCTGATATATATCGGTACCGGTTGTAGCGTCTGCCAGGCTCACAATTGCCACGACCATCACGACCTAACCTACAGCTGTTCACTCCGTCCGGCTAGTTAGGTAGGTTTCCTTGGGCTTTGCGTCTTGCCTCTTAAAACACTCTCGATTCTGCCGTTAGTAGGCAATATTTTAGACTCACCAAGCTCTTTCGAAGGTCGTCAACCTATGCGCCTTAGCGACCTTCACCTGTCCACACAATGCTCTTTCCTAGCTATCCTTAGCAACAGCGAGTTCTAGAGCCTACAGGTAATATAAGTTGCAATGCCTCTCGCGGTTTTTCTGAGATTCCTCAGACTTTTATCGAGCTGGATGGCCGTAGTTCCCATGCTTAAAGTCCAAGAGTAGCACTAGACTACTCTAACCCGACTTATAGCACCAGGAAGCCTTTCTAGTGTCACAAACTGTCATTAGCCACGATAAACCCCTATGTATCTCACGACTACCTGCCTAATCACTCATGAGTGTATTATCCACGCAGTTTGCTTTAGGCAAGCAGCCTTGCGCTTAGTCGCTAGATATTAATGTGGCGAATTACCCTTGATCATCGTGGCATGACCGCCCAAATTCCCTATAAATGCGGTGAGATTGTACACGCTGGACCTAGACCAGCGGCCATCTCTCTGACACAAGGGGCTATACGTCTTTCGGAGGGCCTAGCGAGTAGCCTTGTGGTTGGTGCCAAGCGGCAAACCAGGCCAACAAAATAAGGTTATAGGGTCCGTAGCTCCAGGGCTGCGTCGATACAATCATTCCCAACTTCGATGAAGTCGGTTTGGCCAAGTTCCACTCCAACTGCATACATACGTACCTGCCTAGCCTAGATGCAATCAAAAACAGTCCAACGAAGCAGGACACAATATCTTCTCGCTCGCCCTGTCCATCGTCAATCTCACTGGGTGAAGCAAGCACTGCATGCTGTTGCCCTCATGGTGTGCCTGCGAGATTATCCTTTTCACAATGTAACTGCCTTTTCTGTGTTGACAAATATGGAAGCCCAACTCGGATGAGGAGAGGACGGATGTGCATGTTCAGGTCGACGGAAAGAGTAGAGAGAGCACGGATGGAATGGGTGGGTAACAGGACCTGGGCTGGATCATCGGTATTCATTTCTATAGTTCTCAAGGAGTATGGAGGATATCTCTCTTTTCCATGACAAGTTGCATGTAGCAAAGAGAGAACAGTGACGGGGATTGGGCCGGATTAAGGGAGTGATACGAGAGGAAGACAGGGTAGGTTGCAGAGGTCATGAAGGGTGAGGAAAGTGTGGGATTCATGCTTCTACATCGAATATTGATGCAGAGATGTAAGGAAGATGGTCGAAGAGATAATTCAGTTGGCCTGACTCGAGGTTAGGTAGGAAGCTCAATGGTTAGACGCAGTAGTACCATAGACCTTAAAAAAAGGAAAATTCCATGCTTCTACATATCTATAAACATCATATTGGACTCGAGGTGGTCATGTTGATGAATCATTGTAAGCCGGAGATGAAGGTTTTTCAGTATCGATCCAACTAGATATCTTCCATCTATGTACAGAATATCTAACTTGATAGCCCAGGTTAAAATCTGTTTTTTGAGATACAAGAACACGTTGAGCTATTAAAAGGAAATTACTACTAGAAACGAAGATATATCCAGCTAGCTTTTCCGTCGAAACCACTATTCTAGCTCTTTTTCTTTCTACCTTCTAGTTAGGCTCTGTCTCATTTAATTATTAACTCTTGCTCTTCGATATCAACAGTCGCATATAAACCTTCAGCTCTCCCTAAACTTCCTACTAAAAACCCAAATATAGGCCGATACCTAAATCCAAACTTGCCCCGCTCAGGCTAAAAAAGCAGAACTCCTCCTGTAGCTAGATTCGAATTCGTAAAGAAAAGAAGGAGCGTAGGCAGCTCCTCGAGTGGTCTGGAAACCTTTTCCACGACCGTGAGACGACACGCTATCTTCGTCGCGCTGTTACTACTACGCCACAAACAAGCAATAATTTCGCAAGTAGTGACCTGGTCGATAAGCAGGGCGGTGCAACAGCAGATTAGTATATAGGCGCAGTCGGATGTGGATTTGCTTCTGTGGTTCCCCAGGAGAAAGCATGTGAATATCACCAGTCTTTTTTGTGACAAGGCGGATGGATGGATGGAAATGAGCGAAAATGTCTAGGGACGGGGAATGGGGTCGAGGCGGGGGAGTGATGCGAGGAGGTTCGTATGGTAGACAGATAGGAGTTAAAAAGGGTATAAAGGGAGAGGAGGAGAAATGTGAAGTTCATGTTTCAATATGGAGCTTCATTGCAGAGATGACAAGTAAAATGGCCGCAAAGATAAGATGATCCAATTAGCCTGACTCGACGGTACCTAGGGAACTCAATGGTTAAAGAGGAGAGCATCATAGACTACATAGGTAGGAAAGGACAAAATCCGGGCCTGTAAAACTAAGTACCTCAGACCTACCTAGGTTGACATCAGGTCCCTGGCCACATGGTGGATTCTCGCTGTGATGCAAGCATCATTCCAACAATTCATCTATCCACTGCAGTTCAGAGTCGGCTCGCAGTGGCCACTCGATCGCTTGCTGACAATTGTGTGGAATCATGAAATCTCAACTGTAGGTTTCCCACAACCTACCCAACCACCTATCCAATCTATACTCTAGATTAGAATACCTAACCTCACTTATCCATATTGCAGCAGATGCACCATGCTTCGCATCAAGATCCATTCCAGTTTTGAAAGCCAATATACGAAGAGCTCAGCGCTGCCCTTATGCTGGAATTTTGAGTAAATCCGATATGGGGAGGTAAAAAGCGAGAGCAGTAAATCAACAACCGCATAATCTTATCGTTTATCTTATCTCAACAGCTACCTCTGGATCCACTCTAGCACCTAACAAATAGTAAGGGGAGCTAAATTTGCTGAATGAAAGGTACAAAGAACAGCATCCAAGAAATATGTTCAGGACTTATAGCTATGTACAGAAAGCTTTGCCAGGTAGTGGTGCAATTCCAACATTATTCTTCTTGAGTCGTGTCAGAAATGAAAGTGCTGCAAAGGGGCATTATTCTGCGGAGTAGAAAAAAAATGACCTGTGCACAGAGTTTCCGAGAAACCTGACAGCAAACCCTTCATAGTTCCGTACGTGGAATGCTCATACCACGAGACGCTGCCATGCGATACCGCTCTGTATACGTACCTATCCGTCCTATCCAATCCGGAGCCGCTCTTCTACAGCCGCTTAGCCACTTGTTCACAATCGCGATTGCATTTCTCGTGCTCGATTGCGATGTTTCCCAGCCTCAACCCGATAAGCCACCAAGAGGGGGCGGGGAAGAGACCGCCCAGGCGTCTTGGCGGCATGGGCCCGGACGCTCGGGACCGCCCGTTACGGTAAACCCGGCACTGGGGGGGGGGGGGCGCCAGTGTTCCAGAAGCTTGGTTTTTGGCTGAATGCAGTGGCATGCATGAACGGAATTTTTGTCAAGCGGAAAGAATTGTTTGGACGCCGGTGTATCATGTTACACCCTGTCTGTGTTCAGGTGCATAATTTCAACAGTCGACAGTTTTTCTTTTTTTTTTTTCTTCTACGTATAGTACAGGGGAGTGTTGTTGGTAAGTTGTCGAACAGCTTGCCAGCAACAAACATGAAAAAAAAATTCGCCTCTTTGTTATCAGACTTGCACTGTGCAGCGGGACGGCTACCCGGCCACTGCATGGTCACCTGCTCGGCATGATGGCAGCACTTGTTTAAAATCAGCCGCTTGTGAAGCGATCTTTTCCTCTAGCCGCTTACGCCACCACAGCACAGCACCAAAAGGATTTTTTTTTCTTCACCTGTTTTGCTTGTGTTGTCCTATCGTCACCGCCTGTGAGCGAAGTAGTTAGCTAGCTGGCTGCTGGTTTAAATCTTTTAGCTTCCATTTCCAAGCAACTCAGCAGGGGTTTTCTCACAAGACGAAGTGGCAGGTTGTCGCATAAGAATAACCTGGTTTCCTTTCATTTCACCATATTTACTCACCATTGATTGCGAAGAGAATTTTTTTTTTCCTTAATTGCATCGTTTCGCCTACTTTCCCTTTTGTCGCTTGTAACAGTATATTTGGTGATGTTATTATACGTTTAAAAGAGAACCCTTTAAGAACACTGCAGATCATCATCATCATCATCATCATTGATCATCTTTCGAGTACTGGTTAATTGACTCACGACGCTTGCTCATACCATTACCCCTGCCTACCTACCTACCTATCTACTTCATCAACCTACATCAACAGTGCAGCAGCTGCACTGAGCAACATCCCTAAAATCTGTTTATATCCAGCTTGAGACCAACATCCAGAGGATCAAAATGCCCAACCGCTCCAGCTCCGCCCTCGGCTTCTCCGGCTACGAGTCCCCCACCGAGAGCAACTACAACGGCTGGCCGCCCACTGACGGCGAGGTCAGCTTCCCGGCGTCGCCGGCCATTACCCGCTCCAACACGCCTCGTCCAGACTATCATCCTCATCACCCTCAAACTCAAAACCGGCACGTCCAGGTGCAATTGCATCACCCCCAGCCGCAGCGGCCCAGGTTCTCAAGGCTGTCGACAGCGAATACGGTTATCACCACTGCGGGTTTGATTGAGGGAGGGAATGGCAACGGGGGGTTTCGGCCGGCTAGTTTGGATGAGGCGGTACGTAGGGCGAGGAATATGTTAGATCCAGAGAAGGTTAGGTGGAGGGATAGGGTTGTGTGTTATAGGTGGACTTGGTTTACTATGACTATGGTGAGTAGATCTTGCATGTGGTCTTTGTGTTTTGAGGGAGGAGAAGTTTGGGGTTTGTGTGAAGGGGGACTGAGAGTGATTAGCGGAGTTGATGGATGAGATACTGACTGGGTTTCATTCACAGGCCACCGGCGGTGTCGCGAACGTGTTATACTCAAGTATGTCTCTCATATCTTCCCAGGGTTGGTGCTGTTCACAATGAGAGAGATGCTGACACTGTGCAGTACCATACCGATCAAAATGGCTCACGGGCATCGGCCTGGCCTTCTTCTTCCTTAACATCATCCTCTATCTCATCAACTGTCTGATGCTTTCACTGCGCTTCTGGTTTCGCCCCGGTGCCTTCCTGAACTCGCTTACCGATCAAGTTGAGAGCTTGTTCATCTCTGCTATTGTAAGTTTCTCTTCCTCATAACCTCCGGAATGGTGCTTGCTAACTCTGCGTTAGATCGTCTCGTAAGTGTACTTGACTCTTTCCCTACAAACCAGTTACGCATACATATCATTGCTAACCCCCTCGAGCGCTGGCACAATCCTTATCACCATCTGCCAATACGGCGTCCCACACGTCGGCCCCTGGCTTCTGCGCGTCATGGAAATCCTCTTCTGGGTTTACGTCGGCGTGAGCTTTGTCGTCTCCGCCGCGCTCTACCTGACCCTGTGGTCGACCCAGATCTTCCCCATCCACACTATGACTCCCGTCTGGGTGTTCCCTGCCTATCCCCTCCTTCTCACAGCCCCCTTCGCAGCCAACCTCATCTCCGCAGCGGTTAGGGTCGCGGAGAGGGACGGGCGTGTGGGGAGCGCCCTGGGGATGATTGATACTATTGCCGTGGCGACGGCTGCCGTGGCGGTTCAGGGGACGGGATTCCTCATTGCGTTTATGATTTGCGCTGCGTTTTTGTATAGGCTGATGACGCAGAAGCTGCCGCGGGACCATCAAAGGCCGGGCGTGTTTATCTCGATTGGGCCGAGTGGATTTACCGCGGCCGGCTTGGGTACGCTTACTCCCCCTCTCCCCTTTCCACCTTCAAAGCCCTCTCACATGGCTGCTGACACATGTGTTCCCAGTCTCCCTAGGCAACCTGACCCCCGCCATCTTCCCCTCCCCGACCTCATCCCCCACCACACCCGAATCCATCTTCTCCGCCACCACACCCGTCACCCTCCCCATGATCGCCCGTCTCTTCTCCCTCCTGGCCGGTCTCTGGCTGTGGGGCCTAAGCGTGTGGTTCTTCCTCGTGTCCATCGGCTCCCTCGTGAAGTATCTGCGGCGCGAGCACCGCGCGAAGTTGCGCTTCCAGATGACATGGTTCTCTTTCGTGTTCCCCAATACCGCGCTCGTGACGGCGACGGAGGCGCTGGGGATTGCGTTCGATAGTGCCGGACTCAAAATTTTCGGGTGTGTCCTCGCGGCGCTGATCATCCTGGTGTGGATGATTGTTTTTGGGAAGATGGTGGTTTGTCTTTGGAGGAGGGAATTGTATGTTCACATCTCCACCTTTTCTCTTTCTCGGGATGAGTTGGAGAAGGCTGACACTTGAACAGGTTATGGCCCAAAGACGATGATTAAGCCTCTCCGTCTTGAGCTCCAGCAACAATAGGTAACATCACCCGCAGCATTAGCAACCGAGTTTTTAGTCCCCATCATGCAATTTGGGAGCCCCGCCTCGAGGCTGGGTTATTACGAGCAGCAGAAGAACAACCACGACCAGTACCAGAAACAGAATCAGAACCAAGGCCAACGTCGAGTACTGGGGCCTAACACATCCCATTACAGTTCTTCGAGCAAACAAGCAAGCGAGCGAGCGAGCGAGTCCTTCGGTATCATTGGCACAGCGCTACGATCTGCCAATCTCTTCAACCATTTACCACCGTTTAAAGATTTAACCTTGTTTAGGTATGATTGACGAAAAAAAGAAGAGGGGGATGGCTTGGAATGACCTGTTATTTGCTGCATAGCATGGCGTTTAGCATTTAGATGGGATAGGACGGGATAAGATGGCTATCTAGGTAGTTAGGGATTTAGGGATAAGTAGTAATGATAATGGGGTTAGACTGGCTTGTTTCTTGATGACACCTTGCTTACCTCTTTCCCCCATATGGTTTTCTGGGAACATGATAATCCATGTTTCTAAAAATCTTCTGGGACCAAACTTTGCACCATCAATAGAACTAGTAGATGATGATAAAAGCTGTAGCTTTGTGCCTACCTAGATATTCTGGCTGAATTGATGAATTACCTCGGTAGGTACAGTCAAACTCGAACCCAATCAGTACCTCCTCCTTCCCCCTTCTCTCTCTCTCTCTCTCTCTCTCTCTCTCTCTACTACTACACACACGAAGCAATATTAACACGACCCNCAAAAACTAGTAAAGACTTCCATGAAGGCAAACAGAGACCATAGCAGAGAGCATCAAACAATCGACTTTGATGTCATACTTTACTGTACCATACAACCTAACAACCACAAAAAAAAAAAAAAAAAGAAAAGAAACCGCAGGATTTCACAAGTGAACCGTTTCATATTGTTTTCAGAGGAATTTCTCTTTTTTTTTACAAAGCAACTTTGATTGATTGTCCCTAAGTACCTATCCCATCCATCCTATCCCACAACCCGCCCGCCCGTCCACAATGGTATCGGTATCAAGTATCAGTAAGGTATCACGAAGCCTTCCCTTCTTTCCGTTCTTTCTCAAGTTCCGTTCTGTCGCCTGCCCGCCCACATCTAACAAGAAAGTACTAAAAAACGCCTAAGGTAAAATAGAAAAAAACCGCAAAGGTGTAAAAAGCCAAATATAAAAGTGACGATACACATGAATGAAGTAAAGGAGATGAAATATCCACGGGGCGGAGGAGAGTGAGGATCGAATCAAATCTGTTTCGTAGAGCGGCTCGTCCTTCGCCTGTCTTAGATCAAGACCCCCTTTCCCTTGGAGGTCGGTCGGTCGGTCGGTCGGTCGGTCGGTCGGTCGATTAAACTCGTCTGAACCCAGCTCCGGCATGCGCTCTTGTCCCCCACCCCTCACGCCCTATCCTTAGGCCCCGACGCATCCAACTTCAAGTACGCCTCCTGCACCGCCCTCCCCTCCACCCGATCCCTATCCATCTCCAACACATGCACCCAATCTCTCAGCTGAATATTCCTCCCCCTCTCCTTATCCTCCCTCCACGTCCCCAACCGGGGATACCTCGGATCGGGCGTAAGATGATGCGCCTTCTCCGGCAACCCTCCCCCCTTCCCGCCTACACCACCACCCACACCCCCATCTGCTCCTCCGGCCCCTCCGCGGGGTGTGCTGGGAGTCGAACCGGCTTTTGTCATCCACGCGTATTCTTTTTTACGTTTGCCCATGAGCTGGGAAAGTGTTTGATTTGTAGATAGGGTGCTATTGGCTTCCGCAAGACGGGCGGCGGAGGCCTTCTTTTGTTCTTTCTTTGTCGGAGCCTTGGTTTCTTCTGGAGTCGAACCGGTGGCGCCGGGAGTGCCAGGGGCAGCAGAGCCCGCGCGGGAACCAGATTGGGCAGACTCCGGGTTGAGGCGTTTCTGACGTTTGCGGAGACGCGCTTCCTCGATTTCGCGGTCCAGCTTGGCCGCTTCGCGGACGGCTTCGGCGAGGGACTTGGCGCCGCGGAGAGGTTTGGTTGTGGTGGATGTGGAGGAGGCGGCGGCGGCGAAGGCGTCGTAGGTACCTGAAAATGTGTTAGCCAGAGCAGGAGACAAGACGGAGTAATGAAGCCGTACGCTTCTTTAAGTTTAGGTCGGCGGTGCCGTCGACGAGCATGTCGTCTGGAAGCGAATCGAGGCCGGTCCGGAGAGGCGCCGACACGTCCTCCCACTCCTTGGGAATCTGCCCGTGGGACGTCTTCTGACGAGTGATGGCGATGTTATTGGCATCTTCAATCAGTTCGCGGAGACGGTGCTTGGTAGCAATGGAAAGGAGGGCAAGCTGGTCGGCGAGGTAAGCGTCGTGGGGGATCCAGGAACCGGTAGTGGTGACCATGGCGCCGTCGGGACCCGGTTTCGTGGTGACGGTGAGCTTGGGCTGGGGAAAGTCGGTAGGGGACCTCAGCTTGCCTAGGCCGAGGCTGGCATTCTTGGACTCCAGGTTGACGGCAATGCCGTGCTCTTTGGCGATCTTGTCCACACGGTAGTGTAGATTAGCAATGTTAAGGAAGGGGCTAAGGAGTTCGATGCTGCGAACGACGGCCAGGCGATGGGCGGCTTCATCCCACGCTCTCTGAGCGGCCTGGGCCTCGTAGGCCTCTTGGCTGAGCTCAGTAGACTCGCCAGGTTGGTTCGCGAAACCGGCACCGTAGAAAGAAGTACGCGGACCCGGGGGGTTGGCCGGCAGGCCGGTTCTAGCGTCCTGCGAAAACGAGCCACTGTAGAGTTCGGCAAGGAACTGTTCCTCGGCGCGCAAATCGATGCCTGTGGAGACGAGGGAGTCGCTGATCTCCAGCTCAATGTCCTTGATGGGCTCGCGGATCGAAGCGGCGTCCTTTGCAGGTTGTGTGGGCCTAGCAGGGGGCGGCATCGAGCCCTGGGTAGGCGGGGGAGGGGGGGCATTCGGAGCAATGGCCGCGGTGGTATACTGCTGGGTAACCGGGGGAGAGGTAGGGGCGCTTTGGGGAGCGGGAGAGGCCGGTAGAGTCAAAGTCGGCGTAGGAGTGGGGGCTTGGACGGGAGCAGAGTTAGCTGCTACTGTCGAAATACCAACACCGTTTTGGTTCTGGTAGGGCGCTGTATATGTCTGGGGTTTCTGAATGTAGGTAGGAGTAGCCTGGGGGGTCGCATGTTGGTTGATGTAGCTCGGAGAGGCCGCAGCGATGGGAGAAGCGACTGGGCCCTGAGTTGTAGGAGCTGAAACGAATGGCGCGGTGACATACTGCGCCTGCTGAGGGGCGGTAGGCAGGGTTGGAGACACACGGGGTCGCTTGTTGGGCGGTACCGTACCGTAAGTGGCGGGCTGAGAAGCCGGAAGAGGAGCAGCAGCAGCAGCAGCAGCAGCAGCAGTAGTAGTAGTAGTAGTAGTAGAAGGAGGAGGGGGAGGAGGAGGAGGAGGAGTCATCGTCGTCGTCTCTTGTTGAGAGACCTGCGAAGGTGCGGCATGAAGTTGAGGCGGCGAGTAGGCCTGGCGCTGGCCCATCTGGACTCCTTGGTGAGCTTGCTGCATCTGACTGACTTGCTGCGGCACTTGCGGCATCTGGGTCATCGGCTGAAGCGGTTGCAAGTGTGGAGCCTGCGGCATCTGCGAAGGGGCTTGAGGGACCTGAGGCTGTGGTTGCGCCATGGTTGCAAGTCGTGTAAAGAGGATCTAGATATGGTAAGAAAACGGAGATGGTGATGGTTCGCAAAGGTTCTGGAGGTCGCGCGTTCGCAAGCTTAGGCAGGCTAACTGTTTGCGTGGGTTGGAGTTTGGCAATCGGTAGACCTATTTAGGAGTGTTGCAAAAGCGCAGAAAGTGTGGAAGGGGGGGAAAAAGGAGAGAGGGAGAGAGTAAAAAGGCCGCGGAAGTAGAGAAGTAGGACAGAGCGCAGAGTCGCGGATGCGAAATATGGTTTGCCAGGGCAATGTGCGCGGGGTCAAAGATTCAAAATTTGCTGCTATTGTTTTGAACCCCCAAGCTATTGTGCCCTCGAAGCGGGCGGCGCTTCTGCGAAGGCAGACTACGCGCCAAGATACTGCGTTGTCGTCGTCGTCGTCGTCGGGGTTGTCGTTCTGCTCATTCGGCGGTGATGCTATTTCTTCGCTCGTCGACTGTCGTTTGCTCAAATTCCTGCTGCGACCGGCGCAAAACCAATCCTCTCAAAGGGCTGTATTCGCACGAGATGCAGGCGTCGCGGGATTGACGGCAGCGCGGACGAAATGGTGATTTTGCTCGCTCTCCACGACGTGCTACGTGCTGTTGGGTTCAAAATCGGCGGCGAATGCCTGCGCTCGAGTCTGACGCGTCGAATCTAGTCACGTGAAATGCCAAGATTTTTCGGTGGGCCAATTTGACACCTGACATTCTGCTACTGCGTGGCATGGTCTGTGCTCACAGCGCGTTTGCGACCGCGAGCCGTGAAGCCGTGATCATTCAGAGCAAGGGCGCAGTTGCCAGTTGCTTTTTATTCAAACTTCATTTTTTTTTATCATTATCCTCTTCTTTTTTTCGGCATCGAGTTTTGACTTCTGAATGAATTGTCATTCAAAAAAAAATCTTCTGAACAGCGTGCGACTGCATTTGCACAGCCATTGGTTTCACAGGGTAATCATTGGACGCTGCATCGCATTGCATTGCATTCATCAAAAGAGGGCTCTTTATATTTGATCGCTAAGACTTCATCCCCTCGACCTTTATTAGCCACAGATACACAGACATCAACCAGACCATCAGACCATTCTCAAGGTTTACCAGCTTCAGTAACCGTTGAGATTGCTGGGCTCTCTTCTCTCTTCCTTCTGAGAGCCAGCCAGGATGGCTTCCAAACGGAAGGCCTCTCAGATGGCCGCCGCCCCAGAGGAGCCTGTCGACCCGTCCGACGAGTTGATGTTCCTCTGTCTCGGTGGCGGCAATGAAGTCGGCCGATCATGCCATATCATCCAGTACAAGGGGAAGACAGTCATGGTGTGTTCATCTGTTCATCTCTAGGATCTTGTAGCCTCGAACTGACAGAGTGTAGCTTGATGCTGGGCAACACCCTGCGTACGACGGGCTGGCTGCGCTCCCCTTCTTCGATGACTTTGACCTCAGCCAAGTCGATGTGTTGCTCATTAGCCAGTAAGTATCCATCCCAGAACATTATTAAAGCACATCGAGCACATTGCGGATTGGTCTGGGGCACAAGCATACCAGGGAATTCATCCGGTTCCAAGATTCCCTCCCTTCCTTAGGCTGCCCTTGGGCTTGGTCAGCTTCAACACCCCTAGCTGGATAGCAAAATGTCTTGAGCCATCCGCAGCATGTACGGTCAACATGTATTCAGAGTCTATGCAATACAAGATATTGTTGCGCCCCCCCCCCTCCCCGGCCCTTCGCTGCTCTGCCCTTTGCTTATCCTGTGAAGCGCTTGCCCTCTTCCCCAATACCCCTTCACCGTTTTTCCCCCTTCCTCCCCTTCCTCCCCAACCCAAACCCAAGGATTCCTCTCTCCCTCCCATCTGCGTAACAAGCCCCGCTGACCGACAGCTTCCACATCGACCATGCCGCCTCATTACCATACGTCCTGGCCAAGACGAACTTCAGGGGTCGCGTCTTCATGACGCACCCGACCAAGGCCATCTACAAGTGGCTCATCCAGGACAGCGTGAGAGTCGGCAACACATCCTCCAACCCGACCTCCCAGCTGGTCTACACCGAGCAGGACCACCTCAACACCTTCCCCATGATCGAGGCCATTGACTACTACACAACTCACACCATCTCCTCCATCCGCATCACCCCCTATCCCGCCGGCCACGTCCTGGGTGCCGCCATGTTCCTGATTGAGATCGCCGGTCTCAACATCCTCTTCACAGGCGACTACTCCCGCGAGCAAGATCGCCACTTGGTCTCCGCTCAAGTCCCCAAGGGCGTCAAGATCGACGTCCTCATCACCGAATCTACCTACGGCATCGCCACCCACGTGCCCAGGTTAGAGCGCGAACAAGCCCTGATGAAATCCATCACGGGCATCCTCAACCGCGGCGGCCGCGTGCTGATGCCCGTTTTCGCCTTGGGCCGCGCCCAAGAGCTGCTACTCATCTTGGACGAGTACTGGGCCAAGCACAAGGAGTACCAGAAGTACCCCATCTACTACGCCAGCAACCTCGCCAGGAAGTGCATGCTTGTCTACCAGACCTACGTCGGCGCCATGAACGATAATATTAAGCGTCTGTTCCGGGAGCGCATGGCCGAGGCCGAGGCGTCCGGGGATAGCGCTGGTAAGGGAGGACCCTGGGACTTTAAGTTCATTCGCTCGCTGAAGAGTATTGATCGGTTTGAGGATGTGGGTGGGTGCGTCATGCTGGCTAGTCCGGGTATGCTCCAGAATGGTGTCAGTCGCGAGCTGCTGGAGCGGTGGGCGCCGAACGAGAAGAACGGTGTTATTATCACTGGTTATAGTGTCGAAGGCACTATGGCCAAGCAGCTCATGCAGGAGCCGGAGCAGATCCAGGCTGTCATGACGCGCAGCTCGGCGGGTGGGCGCAGGGGCCCAGGTGGTGAGTCTGAGAAGGTCATGATTCCGCGTCGGTGTACCGTGCAGGAGTTCTCGTTTGCTGCCCACGTCGACGGCAATGAAAATAGGGAGTTTATCGAGGAGGTTGGCGCGCCGGTTGTGGTAGGTATTCCCCTTCCCTCCCTCCCTCCCCCCCCCCCCCTCTCCCTTCTCTTCTCCCCAAACTAATCCCTTCCGCTCTATACGTCCGCTAACATCTCAGATCCTCGTCCACGGCGAAGTCCACAACATGATGCGCCTGAAATCCAAGCTCCTCTCCCTCAACGCGAACAAAACCAACAAAGTTAAGGTCTACAGTCCCAAGAACTGCGAGGAACTCCGCATCCCCTTCAAGACGGACAAAACCGCCAAGGTGGTTGGCAAGCTCGCCTCGATTCCGCAACCCCTGAAAATGCCCAAGTTCGATGCAGCCGCCGCCGATGGCTCCACTACCATCACCGCCGCCGCCACCGGGCCCGACTCCGAACCCCGCATCGTCACCGGCGTCCTGGTCCAAAACGACTTCAAAATGTCCCTCATGGCCCCCGAGGACCTACGCGAGTATGCCGGCCTCACAACCACCACCATCGCGTGCAAACAGCGCCTACGGCTGACCGCTGCCGGGATCGACCTCATCAAATGGGGTCTAGAAGGTGTCTTTGGCAGAGTCGAAGAATTGCCCGAAGGCAAGCCACGGCCGACGAAGGAGGCGAATGGGGAGGGGGAGGATACCAAGATGGTTGAGGCGGCTGACGAGGAGTACCCGCTGAATGAGGTTGTCGCTGCTTATAACGTGATGGGGTGCGTGACGGTAAGGTGCTGGACGAATGGAGAAGTGGAGATTGAGTGGGAGGGCAATATGCTTAATGATGGGATTGCGGATGCCGTAATGGCGTTATTGATGGGACTGGAGAGTAGTCCTGCTGCCGTGAAGCGTACGTTCCCCGGTATAATCGTGTTTATCGCATTTGGCGAGGCTAACATCAAACAGGCTCCTCGAGCAAACACACCCACACCCACACCCACTCCCACTCCCACTCCCACTCCCACTCCCACTCCCACGACCACGACCATGACCACGACCGAGCCCTTCCCATTCGCAACCCCCACGCCAACCTCGACCCTTCCGAGCGCCTCTCCCGCCTGATGCTCTTCCTCGAGGCCCAATTCGGAGCAGACAACGTCTCCCCCGTCGCCGAGCCCAAGATTCCTCCCCTCTCACCCCGCATCCGCGCCCGCAAAAAGAAGGCTGTCTCCCCTCCTGCCGAGTCAACTCCTGCCCCCGAGTCCGAATCCGAACCCGCTCCCAAGGAAGAGGAACCGGAAGAGGAAGAGTCGGAGTACGACACCGACGAAGAAGCCCTCGATCTCGCCCGCCGCACCGAAGAGGCTAAGGCCCGCGAGCTCGCCCGCCTCCATAAACTAGGTATCCCCGTCCCGGGGGTGCGTATCAAGATCGCTGAGAAGATGCAAGCCACAGTGTGGTTGGAGACGCTGGAGGTCGAGAGCGAGAACAAAGTTTTCAAGGAGAGGGTCAGGGCGGTCGTGGAGAGGGCTGTAGAGTGTGTCGCACCTTTGTGGTGATCACTAGGAGATAACTAATGAGATGAAGGAGTGTGAGGTATTGGTTTTTGAGGAATTGACGGGGAGAGAGAGAGAGAGAGAGAGAGAAGAGAAGAGAGAGAGAGAGAGAAGAGGGAGGAGAGGGAGGAGAAGGAGGGATACTTAGGGTGAAGGACAGAGGGGCGAGGGTTGGATGCGAGAGAAGGGGCATAATTTTGTAGGTTATTGTAGGTTAGGCACTGTACAAGGGAAGAAGAAGAACAGACGGACAAAAAAAGAGGGAACGAACTACGGAAAGATAGTAGATAATGCCTTGATGTGTGTCAGCACTTACTAAACCGTTCGAATCCTCCAAGTTGAAGTAATCTTCGTAGTAACAAGCTATTTGCTTTCCTTGATTTGGTTTTATAACATGCCGGAACAGAAGTCATTTGAGGCTTTGTTAAAAAACCAGAGAATGCCAGCGATTAAAATTCAAATGGAGATTGTTATCTTAATTTCGAGTTCAGATGGAAGTGAAAAAAGAACGTCTCATAAAAAGACTCGATGATTAGAAAGAGGAATTGGCCTGAACGCTCATGACCAGTTAGGCTACATGGGAGGACCATATTCAACACCAGGATGTACCCACCACATAACCTGCGCCATTGCACCACCCAAGGGTCTTGAAAACGGGCGCTGGGAACCTATTTTATTATCTTATTTTAACCCCTCCCCCCGGCCCCTTCTTCCTTCTCACATGACTTAGATGGAACTACAAGACTTAGCGCTAACTTTCCTTAAGCCTCTTCCTGTGAAGACTATTCACTGTCCTATGGAACAGAACTGACTGAATGTGATGGTAATGTGATATGGGGATAGTCAAAGACAAAAAAAGGTAAGTAAGAATTTCCTGATCTTGTCAACACTTCCTGTGAACATGCCTACTACCCACCTACCCACCTAAGGTACTTAGGTAGATACCAACTCACAGCATCAACACCTAGAAAAGAAGGAAAAAAAAAAACATCACAGTCGGTAGGAAGGTGGGTGATAATGCAGAGGATAGGTAGAAACCATCTATTGAACGCTGCAACCTGATAATATACAATGCCCCCCCCCCACCCAATCGTTCAGTCCTCCCCCTCATCATCAGTCTTTCCATCCATTACTCCAGGGTAACCCACCAACCAACGAACCATCCGATCCATATCCCTCACAAGCAAGGAAATGAACAGGAAAAAAAAAAAAGGTAAGACCCAACCTTATCATGAGGAGGATCACCCAATATACTCCCTCAAATCCTCCGCCTCCTCCAGCAACGTCTTGAACGAAAACGGCGCGAACGGCCACCCGGCAAACTCAGCAAACTTACTAAACGATTCAACCCACGCCAGACGCAGGGAATGCAACATGGCCGAGACGCCCTCCATGATGATGAGGATGATGCAGCTGAGCAGGAAGAAGGCCGCAAAGACAATAACGAGGAAGATGGCGCCGCCGATGCCCGTCATTTTCAGCGCTGGACCCATTGTCATGGACCACAGCACGGCAGAGAGCTGTTGGTGGGCGAGGGAGAGAGCCCACAGACGGAGGTAGGAAGCTGTGTGGGAGACGCAGTTAAGGCAGAATTCTGTATGTTGTTAGTTAAGAAAGTATTGATAGAGGGGAGAGAGAAAGAAAGAAAAGGGGAAAAAAAGTTATTTTTTTTTGAGTTTGGGGGGGGGGGTGCGGGGGAAAAAGGGGAGGGAAGAAGAAACGTACCGATGGTATGAATAACCTGATGAATCATGACCTCACCGAAATCAAACTCCTCCCCATGCTCGCCATGTCCACCACCATGTCCCTCATCCTCATCATCCCGATCCAAATCCTGCGCAATCATAGCACCAGCCTCACCCAGACTTTGCCTGCCATTAACATGACTACTCTCCCCTTCCTCCTCTTCATCATCAAGCGCATGCACTACTACCCGTGCATCCCGCTCCCCAATTTCCCGATACCCCTTGCTCCTAGCGCGATTATGCTCCCACCTCAGCCACAACGGCTTAAGCAGCAACAACACCGGTACCTGCGCAAACGCAAGCAACAACAAGAATACCTGCACATACCTCTGCCCGGGGTACAATTGCTCATTGGGATCGACATACCCTGGCTGCAGGAACATGTAGATGAGCATATTCAACAGACCCGGAGGCTGCTTCCCGATGGCAAACCAGTCCACCGTCCATTTGTACACGATGCAGATAACGAGGTAGCCGAAGATAGCCTGGAAGAAGATCATGCCGGGGACAAAGTTGCCCCAGATGTCGTAGGGCTTCTTGAAATGCTTCGCGTTGATGTACGAGAAGCACAGGGAGTACGTCATGTGTGCCCAGCCGAGGATGATGGACATTTTCATCTTGTAGGAGTTCGTAAACAACAGGTCGTTCTCCGTCCCATGCCAGCGCCAGTCCAGGCCGAAGGGGTAGCGGTAGCCGGTCGGCTCGCGGAGCTTGGCGGCGACGGTCATGCCCGGCCTGTAATCCGGGGGCACGTCCCACTCCCATTGGGACTTGAACAGCGTCATGGACTTGGAGAAGATGTCGTTGTAGATGAGACCGGTATAGACGGAGAAGATGGCCATGACCAGCGCGATGTATCGACCGTAGTAGACCATGGCGAAGAGCTCGAAGGTGACCTTCTTCAGGGGCTTCTCCCAGTAGATCATGGCGAGGGCGGCGCACAGCATGATGAGGGCGTGGCCCAGGTCACCGAACATGACGGCGAAGAGGAAGGGGAAGGTGACGATGACCGGGATGGCGGGGTTGACTTCCTGGTAGGTGGCGGTGCCGTAGGCATTGACGATAGTCTGGAAGGCCTCGGTGAACTTGTTTGTCTTGAGGTAGGTCGGCGGCTTCTTGTTGGTGCGGATCTCGTTGATGATGGATGGCACCGACAGGCCAGCCCGGTTGGTCACGTCCTGCAGAGTGGCACGGATACGCGGGAGGTCGTTGGTCGGACACCAGCCCTCGGCGATGAGGGTGCGGCGGGCGCGGTCGTAGGAGAACAGGTTGAGCGTGTTATAGACGGCCTTCTCCTTGGCGACTAGGATCATCCAAGCAGCCAGCGAGCGCGAGATCTGCGTCAGCTCGGCGTCCAGCGTCTGCTGGGTGTTGCGCAGCACGCTCTGCACGTCGTGCAGGCGGGCGTTAACCTCGTGCACCTGGTCGCGACGCAGGTCGCTGTTCTCATCGACATTGTAGATATTGGCGCCCATGGACTCCGAGATGCGGCGAATCTTGGCCAGGATCTCCTTGCCGTGGGCAAAGATGACGAAGACATTCTTCGTCACGGGCTCGTTGTTGGTCGGATCGATCAGCGGCTCGGGGATCTCGGCCTGGTTCATGTACAGGTTGCCGCGGAGCGTGCGCCACAGAATGCGCTCGAAAGCAGCAACCCGGTCACGGGCAATCACGCCAGCGACAAAACCAATGTTCATTCCCGAAAATGACCGCTCGACCTCAGGCGCGGTAATGTGCTGCTCGACGTCGTGCAGCAGCGGGGCGTCGTCGTCGGGGTTGCCGTCGGTGCTGGCGCGGATCTCGTCGACGCTGCCGTGGGCGCGGTCGAAGAAGCCGCCGGCCTCGCGCAGCACCCAGCGCCATTCGGTAAGCTCCTGCTCGCGCTTCTTCAGCGTCTCGTAGCTCTCGTTGAGCGAGGAGATACGCTGTTCCAGGCTCTGGCTGCGCTCGGCCAGCTCGTCGATCTCGGCCGTCGTCGGCGGCTGCAGCCGGTTCTCATCTGGGTCGATCTTGCGCAGCGGGATGCCCGCCTTTTCCATCTGCGCGTGGAAGTAGCCTGCCAGAGCACTGTCAGATGGCATGTGAATCAGAGGAGCATGTAGCATGTGTGGGACGTACGCAGCTGGCGCTCGATGTTGTCGAGGCGGCGGATCTCCTGGGTAAAGACGCGCTGGAAGGCGGTCAGGTCGGCATTGAGCTACACCTCGTTAGCTGTCATCCTCCGTCCACTCTCCGAAACACAATTCCAAATCATCCAGGGACATACGTCGCGGAACTGCACGAGACCCAGCTCGCCCAGAGCATTGACGACTTCGCGGCCAATTTCATTGGAAATGTACAGCTGGACCATGCTCATGTCCGCCGAGCGGAACGGCGTGTCCGGTTTGGGAGCCATCGCGGCGGCGTGCAAACGTGCTGCGGCGATGGCGATGAAAGCGGTTGTGTCGATGTCGGTGTCGGCGTTCCAGGTCGATGCCGATGTCGTTGATGCTGTCGTTGCGTTGTTGTCGTCGTCCCCCCTCGCACGCAAGCTGGAGTGGAACCAACAGGGCTGGCACCAGCCCCATGCTACAGTATATATCACAGTGTGTACTACAGTGTGTACTGTGATTGGACTCTCGGCTGCATCTCGAGGCGTACAGTGCAGGACAGTGTGTGTTTGAGATGGAGGATATCTTGGGAATCCGGACACGATTTTTGACTATTACTTGGCCGATCTCGATGAAGCTTTGAATACAACTATGATGGCTTCGGGTTTGTTCCTGTTCATTTTATCAAAGAAGAATAGAGACGCATCGCGGCGAGGTTGGACTGGAGTGATGTTGCGGGCTTGCAGCAGGCTTATGAGCACAGTACAATCAATGTCTTACAGACTGTCATCGCTTTCAAGAGCATTCCACTCTCTCTCGCAGGAACTTTCTACGACGGCAAACAGGCACGTCACGTCAGAGTGTCCTTGTGACTTGGTCTGTTGCAGCCTACAACCTACAATCGCCGTACAGTTATCCTTTCACAGTTGTAATTGGCCAAAAGAAACTCATACAATGTATATGAGGGGAAAAAAAAAAGTGTTCGAAGTCCGGGATAACTTATAAAGCTATCTCGGACGCTTACCTTGGATTGATTTTAATCCTTAGGTTAACCTTGGCGAGCAACGGTTCCGAGCATTCCGTTTCCCTGTCTTGTTTTTGCTTTGGTTCCCTTTTCTTTGAATCAGCTGCTCAGATTCAACCTAGTTTCAGATCTTTAAGTGCCTACGTAAGTAAGGTTGATTAAACCGTTCTGGGAAGTGACCTGGAAGAGGTACCCGTACCATAGGTAGCCTGTAAAAGTCTCCGGGAGAAAACATCCCGCACTAACACCTCCCACCACACATCCCTATCCCACGATAGACAGATAGACAGACCAGGGCTGGCAGCGGCACACCTCCCATTCAGGTCAGCCGTTTCCCGCGCCCGCGCCCACGCTGCCGTGGGGGTTAACCTCCAATCCGGGGATCAACCCAATGCCGTAACGTTCTTTTTTTTTTTTTTTTTTTTTTTCTTGTCTGTGCTGCTGCAAACACCATGACCCTTATCAATCAGAGATCCCAGAGCAAATCAATCAGAGCCTGGGAGCTGGACAAGGGTTGCGCGATATATTATGTACCGTATATAAGTGACCGGTCTGCCTACGCTGTTGCTTGCTAGATGACTTATCACACACCTACGCTTACTGAAACGGAGGGTTTTTATGTCACACATGTCTCGCACAAAATCAATGCTTTTCTTCCGCGTGACTTTGATTGTTTGTCCAACCTCTTAAGATACCAATCTATCCAAGGATGAGAAATGACTTCCTCCGAAGCACACAGCAAAAAACATGACGGACTGCCTCGTCATTCGGGAGATCAGCCCAATACCTACTCAACGTGCTTCCTCCCATCTAACAGTTTAATCGAAGTCAACAAGAATACAATTACATTTTTACTGCAATCCTCATATCCAACTTATCACGACACTAACGTGCCTACCACGCATATCCTTGATCAGGGCTTGTTCATCTGTCGACACTCCATGGCTTTCCTACATGCTCTTCTCGCCTGACTTTATCTGAAGAGTGCACACGGACAACTTGGCACAGAAACTACCTGCCTATGAAAGGAACTCTGAGCTGACACAACGCAGGACAGACACACGCTTGCTGCCAGAAACACGTTGTTTTAAAATCCTTTGCATACACTCCTATTTAATACAGGATGCATAGTATTCCGAACTACTAGACTGATCATTATTCGCCCAGGTTAAGTGGACCTTTCAACCAATTTAACACCCAAAAATGCCGTGGAAGACATGTCAGAAGTGAGAAGAGACAAAACCTCCCAGTTTTTTTTTGTTGTTTCTTTGTCAGCCATTTCCTACTACTCAAGATAAAAAACAGCATAGCACACCCTGATGAAGAATAACCAAAACAACTCCCGAAATGAGAAGCGATGATGAGTATTGTTCAAAAAAAAAGGAAGAGACAGAATGTCAGCAGCAAGAACAACAAAAACGCCGCTTTGAACCCCAATGGATATCCCGCTTCGCTTGCCATGGTATCGATGGAAGGATCACCAACCCGACCAAAGAAGAGGACGAAAACGAGACAAGAGCCGCAGAAAGCCGAAGACCGAAACCCCAAAGACCCATCTCAAACGAACAAAGCATGCAAAAAAAAAGAAAGAAAGAAAAAAAAATAAAAAAAA